AAAATGTAATGAGCGATAAATTGTCTCGTATGTTTCCCCAGGAACAGGATCGTGTTCTCTTCGAAAAAGATGAGAAAGCCTTGTTTCCTGAATTATTTCAGCAAAACCGTAGTCAAAAGGCCAAAGCTCTCAAGAAAAAGAAGAGTGGCAATAAAATCATAAAAACAAACAAAGACAAGTTCATTGAAGAAAATGAACTAATCAACATTGAAAGAATTCCCAACTTTCAAAACTTTTATTGTCATATCGGCAATAATGATAACGAAGTCGAATCTAACGAATTAGTTGATGATGACTTACCTCTCGCGAATAATAGCGTTCGCATCAAACAATGGTCAATCCGCACCATCCATGATACGTTGGATGAACAACTCAATTACTTGTGTGATGTGGATGAAAACATTCAAATCAACTATGCCCAAAATATGGATGACAGTTACATCATTCCTCCTGAGGAAGATCACTCTGATATTTTGAAAAGAGCACATGAATTCGGTCACTTTGGTGCTGAAGCCATTGTTAAGCGTATACGACAAGATGAAGGTATGCACTGCCCCAATATCATGAAAGACGCACTTGAAATTGTCAAACAATGTTCTACGTGTCAAAAATTGGTCATTTCCAAGCGTGGATATAACCCTTTGAAACCATTATACTGTTATACTCCAGGTTGGCATTATAAAATGGATTTGTGTGGACCTTTCCCCTGCACTTCCAAAAATAATACATACATCTTGGTTTTACTTGATGTAGTTACTCGTTTTGTGATTCTTCGTCCCATTATTGACAAGTCTGCTAAAACGGTTGCGAGTGAACTCGTATCAATCTTTTCCCTCATCGGTTATCCTCGTATCATCAATTCTGATCGTGGTGCTGAATGGAAAAACCAAATTTTGGACCTACTTTGTGAAGCCATGAAAATTGATAAGCGTCTAAGCACGGCTTATTATGCTCAAAGTAATGGTGGCGCTGAACGTGCTGTCCAAAATACAAGAAATTGTTATCCAAATTGATCCTAGGTAACTCTGAGGATAATTGGGATATGTTAATCAATTCCGTACAATTGATGCTCAATTGTAAAATTTCCAAGCGTTTACAAACCAGTCCATTTTGTCTGATGTTTGCGCGTAAAATGACAAATGAATATCCTCTCTATAATGACCCCAAAGATGACATTGAGCCGATGAGTACTGACGAATTACTCAAACGTATCGAATATATGTCTGACATTGTCTTTCCTGCCATCAAGGAACGCACAGAGGTCTATAACAAAATGATGAAAGAACAGTTCGATAAGAAACATCGTCTGGTTGACTTTCCTGTGGGTAGCTTTGTGGTTGTCCGCAAGAAGGGTATTCAAAAATCACTCGCTCCTGTCTACGAAGGTCCATATGAAGTCGTTCGTAAGACAGATCATGGTAATTATACCCTTCGTGATGAAATTGGCCTGTTATTGCCACGCGAATTTACACCGTCCGAGTTAAAACTGGTATCTCAAGATGCAGTTGTCTCATCAGAGGAAGTGTATGAATTCGATGCCATTGTTGGTCATCGTGGTGCACCCGGTAAAAGGGAATATAAAGTACGTTGGAAAAACTATACTGCTGCCGACGACAGTTGGATTACTGCAGATATGTTCACAGATCCTCAAGCCATTATCAACTATTGGCGACGTTTGAAGGGTAGTGTGCCTAAACAGGATGCTGCTCAATTGAACAAACTCACGATTGAGGAATCTGAATTTCCCTTCGATGTGACGGACAAAGGTCATATGTTGACGCAGATCGAAGAGATTGCTGATTCTACTGACATCTCAAGTTCCTCATCTCCAACTTCCAAACCGAAACGTACTTCGCACAGGACTTCACCACGAACTAAGGCGGTACAAAATAGTCCAGGTCATAACGCGTTTAATCGTAAATCTAAGGGTAACTCGAACCATAATTATACTCCTGCTACGGACAAAACTAGATTTCGCAAGTAGATGTTGACAAATCGTCTATTGCATTTCGATTATTTTCTTTCTGTTTCTTTTGGAAAGGACAAGAAAATCAAATACACAAATTATTTTTTTTTTTTTGGTATCCTCATTTGCACTTGTCACACGAATGACACTTTGCATTTGTTGATGACGACACAAATCAAACAAACCATACCATCTACCTCAACTCCTTATGATCGACGTTGTTGTGTCTAAATCCGCCAACACCCGTCTAGGGGGGGGGGCAATGTCGTATTTGAGGGTAGATGATATACAAATATTAAAGATATAATTCACTTTATGAAGGATAAAGATGAATTATACAATATTGCAAACCAGAAATAATTAGAAACTACATAAACTCTAATATATGAGTACCGTGAATTAAGTGTTGTGTTTAGTTGACAGCATCATATGAGATGTGGAGAACTCGTATACAAATTATACAAGATCCTCACACCTCATTACTGCTGAAATAATATAGAGTAGAGTAGGAAACGAATATAGAATAAGTGATGATTCTTATACGAGATTAGCTACCTCGTATAAGGCTGAACAGGTTGTCATTTACGATATATAGTTTACTTATTTTGCTATAATACGTTACTATATGACATAGGATATATAGTAGAATTAATATATGGACATGCAGGGTATATTGATTCAACACCAAGGTATAATAGGTTATAAGTACTATTCTCTGCCTTCGGCACAAAGAAGGATTACAAGATAATAGTTTGTGATCATCCTTTACAATAACTGTTCACTCAACTCAAACACCACGCACGAATACCATTTTCCTAATTAATACTATTTTCCTGCAAGCAGTGCTACATAATGGTTAGCACGGGAAAATAGGACCTACTAGTTTGATCTCGTTAAGCTTTTTACTGTTTTAATTAAGTGACATTTAACTTTCAAGTCGTCAAATACCACAGAATAGTAAACAGAATACAGCAATCATGAACTGAATTTATTTATTCTTTTGTTGCTTTTTCTTTAACTTTGCTTCAAGATAAACTTTTGCTTCTCTTGACCGCATGATAAAAAAGCTACTCAAAAGATACAAACACTCAGTTACAAACAAAATATGTACAGTACAGTCGTTGTGAGTAGCTCGTGATGAGATCTTATTTTAATCTACCTGATGATCCACTGTTAACACTTCTTTAATAATTCTTTAAAGGATATAACTAGACTCTGATAAAAAAAGGGAAAAGGTACCAACTTTTTATCTTTTTATAAACTGAAACTTTTTGTTAGAATGTTATATTTGGACAACAAAGAAGTTTTGACAACAAAAACAATCTACGCGCTAAATTTTGACATCAAATCGAAACATGTTTATTTTTAATCGAGACACGCTTATTTATCACTTCATCAGTTATTGACAAGAAACAGGCTTTTAACTTAATTTATACAATCATCTAATGTTATTGCTTTCTTTAAGGGAAAAATGACACTAAAGTGACACGATTTTAGATTAAGAGAGATGCTGAGCAGTCAATGAAAATACAGGATTGTGAGTCATTTACATAGAATACAACTGGACAACCAGTTCAAATGACAGCTAAGGAGAATGTAGGTAATTCTTTTGGGCCGATCAAACAACAAAACTTACTGCAACAAATGCGTGCAAAAAGAGGCGGGCCTCAGATGGTTATTACAAGTGTCCAAATGAAAAAAGTAACTAGTCCGAAATAATGACTTAAATTTTCTGAATTAAGTCAATCAAAATATCCAATTTTGTGTACAAAAAGGTCTAAATCTAAACCGAAAATAATGTAGTATTTTGAATCCCAACCCTTTAGTCCATAATCCTTTTTACCCTTGAGCCCTAAGGGGGTTTTTAGATTCTTTTCAGCCTTTGGAGCTGCCCCGGGCAATTTAGATAAGCTTAATATCTCGTGTCATTGGGCTTTAAAATGTCAGTAATAAGAATCCTTGTTTAAAAGTAGTAACCCGAGTCAGGACCATCAAATCTGTGTAAGCTTCCCTCCCCGACTTCCACCATCGTTATTCGTAGAAAAAAAGTATTCATTTTATCGCAAACTGTATGCGATTCATTACCATCATTCTACATATTTATTTGTGTTATGCTTGACTAAATGGATTTAAGAATGCATAGTCACCACGCAACTGAATTGCCCGTGAAATCATTCGTATCAAACTACAGCTTCTGTTTAAACTCAACGTTAATCATTTCATAAACCCAAAGTTAAGAGGTAGTACAACATACTGAAATAGTGTTAAAGATACAAAATTACATTTATCGATGACAGTATGGGCGGCATTGTTAGATAAAGGAAATGTTAAAATGCGTGAGCTCAAGTTGTGGTTATTTTAGGTTTACGCTATTTACAATTGAAGACAAGTAATAGACTTTTCGACAATCTTAGGACGAATATGGTAGAGCCCTTTTTATGATTTTCTTCTGCGTGTTGTCCAAATAAGTCTTTCTAGATAATCTGTTAATTCTTTCAGGTGAAAATCCTGAATTCAGATGTCGAATACCGACACGCCAACGCTTGAAGTTGCCGTTAGAAGTGGGTAAAAATCTACGTGATCAAATATAAAAGTGTCAAATAATCGCGATGGCATGTAGATGTTTGTACTGTATTTGATGAGAAGTAACCAACCTCTTTTTTGCTCCAGAGTGAGACTTCAACTTTTGTGCCATGCCACGGGAAGATTGTCCCAATGGTGAAATGGTCTGTGAAATCAAGGCAGCTTAAAAAACGGTGTCAGTATTTGCAATTGAATTACAGCTACTCAAGTATTTATATGCCTGTTCTACCTAAACTTCGAAACATAGTTATTATTGAAGAGAAAAGCTCGTCATTTACCACCTCCCCCACCCCCACATTCATTCAGGTACTCAAATTGACATTTGAGGCAGTCACTCAGTTATATGTGTTGCAAACAGCGACATACAAATTGAAATGCAGCACCTGCTCTGTCAATTTTTTGATCGTTAAGATCTTTTGACATCAAGATCCTCATTTTACAGCAGAACAAGATGAATACGAATGAAGTCATATCCAGCGATTCGCATCAATTGAAAGAACAATTAAGTTTTTTGGAAACACTAAGGTTCTTGTCGCATTTGTGTCTTTCCAATCTGCAAACTTCAAACGTACTTATTATAAAACATCTACCAGGCGAAAAACACAATCACTCGTGGATTGTAAAGCAGCACTGCTATCAAAAACCGAGATTCTCAATAGAAAGAAGGATTTATTAGAAGAAACGATCATGGAAAAACAACGACTACAACGAGAAAAAAGAGTTCTACAGGAAATGCTACAGAGTATTAACCAAGATCTCACTTCGGTAAATCCTTATTTCATCACTCAAACTGTACAAGGTCTATGGAAGGGATTTACTAAATGTTCCAAACCTTCACTTTTGCAACGCTATATCGGTAGATAGGTGAGGCTGAGAATGCATTAACGAAGGAAAGTCGGGAACTAGAACAATCTGTTGAAAGGATCAAAGACGAACAATATGAGCCTTTACACGGTAGAAGCGTTTTATTCAGATCAAGCGAGAAGAGACATTAATAGTTTTCTTATCAATTCAATCGTGTACCGGTATTAATATAGATCAAGTCAATGAGTTACGAACGAAGAATGGTTTACAGAAACTCCCTCACATCAACCAAGAATTAGAAGCTCGAATGGCAAAGTAAAGTATATTGATTTCCATCGTTTTTCTTTTCAACGTCTGCATAAAATTAAAGTTGTTTCATAGGATTTTGGAAGAAAGACGAGTTAAATGGCAGCAACAAGAGAGCGAATCATCGTTCGCGTCTGCAAAAAAACGATGCAGTGGCAGATCAAGAAGAGACAGAGGCTAATTTGTCACCGATCTTCTCTTTCTACCTTTTCGAGTTTTTATATATCCATCATACAATTAATTCATTACATTTTATTTTATTTTTTTTTCTTTTCATCTGTATATTTCAAGTATCATACATATACTCAAAGACATATCAATTGTGACACGAATAAATTCCATTACTCGCAACACACTTGTCTCATATACAAGGGAAAAAAAAAATATTTACGTATATGGGCACCACAGCATCTAAAATTGTTGGACGAAGAAGAGGTCCCACAACAATTGAGCCTAACGAGGCAGAGCATGTACAGTCTTTTAAATTTCATACGCCTACTGCGTCTATTAGTGGAAGAACCGGCAGCGACTCAACAGCATTTTCGCGTCGTCAGCTTAAAAAAGTTCTCAGACTGAGTGGGAACAGTAGATCAGAAACATCCTCAACCGTTGAAAGTGAAGAAGAAGGAAAAGACATCCAACGCACGAAACAAGGGATGAAGATTACGAATGACCTTTTCGAAGGTGGCAATAATAGTGTTGATATTGAAAATGAGGAATTAGACACTATGCAGAGTTATTATTCCGAACATGATACGGGATCACTCATCTCTGCTGCTGCTGCAAGACTATCAGAAGAGATTAATAGAAAGAAGCAAGCTGCTGCTGCTGCAAGAAGATTATCTGAGAATTTTGATAAACAAAAGCGAGCCGCATCAGCATATAAGCAGAAGAATAAAATGATACCTTGGGAAATGTGTCAACCGAGTAATGAGTATTTTAACGAAAATGGCGAGGACAATGCAAGCTTTTTGAATGTACAAGAACCGATCTCGCAATCGGAGGGAAACACTTGTTTTGTCGAGCCAACGGGCTGCTTTGAATACCAAAAGAAGGCTACCATTGAAGAGGTGTTGACAAACCTCTATTATCATCCGTCTAATGCAGAGGAACGACGAAAAGAAAAGGATAGACAGCAACGAATGGTAAATAATAAAATTATGTATGATTGTAACATATTTGTAATAACCATTTTTTATAGCATTATTTACTGAAACGAGTTTGGAATGGAATTTATCATGTCGATTTAGACAATCCACAATTAATAATTGACTGGCGTTGCGGTATGGGTATATGGGACGTTGAAATGGCTACTCTATTTCCTGATGCAGAAGTAATTGGTATTGATTTCAAGGAAGCTACACCAGCTCATTTACAGGCCAACGTGCCCAACCTCACGTTCGTTTCAGCTGACCTTACTGATAAGCATGCAGGTCTCGATACCATTGACAGCGACTCTGTTGATTTCCTTATGATGAGAGACACTTGGTTGACAAATTCACCATCGTCCAAATGGGATAATTTGTTGGCAGAAGTTTTCCGTGTTTTAAAACCTGGAGGATGTGTCGAAATTGAGGAGCATGGTAAAAGCATTTGCTGTTCTTCTGCTTCCATATAAATAATTAACGCTTTTCATATACAATTTTAGTTTTGGAAGGAGGTTCAATGGGTCCTAATACAGAACTCTTAATGGAATGGTATGATACCTTCTTTAAAGCACTGAACGCTGAAAGGAAAACTGTGGCCAATCTAGAGCCTTTTATCGATCGAGCAGGTTTCATAAACCTGAACAGAGATGCAGCAACAATACCTTTGGGGGAATGGCCACAATCCGCGCGTAAGATATTTATTACAATAACTTATAAGTAGCAAGTGCTCAAATGCATAGCTAAACTCATGCATTACATTCAAAACAGCTTTGAAAGAAATTGGATATTTATTCAAAGACCTGATAGAGAGACGTATACGTGGAATGGCTAGATGGGTTGCTGAAACGTGTAATATTGATGAATATCGTCTGCATGAAACAATAACCAAAGTAATGGACGAAGAAGTCGACGAAAATCGTGCTTATCTGGATTGGATGTGTTATACAGCCGAGAAACCCGAATAAAAGACTGGAAGATATAACAAAATTGTTTTAAGAGTTAACACTTCTTGATACCCCCATTTGATACCCACCCTTTACTTCATGGCTAAGTGTTGAGCTGACGCACTCAAAAATTTGACATGCTTCAATAAAAAACAGTTTTATTCAAGCACAACGACTAAAGCTTAAGGCATCAATTGAGGACGCTCATTCTTTTGATTATCATGATCTACTTCCATCATCTTTAAACGTTTCGCGATCTATTTTAAAAATTGAAGAAAGAATAGAGATGTAAGAAGTCTTTCACAAGCAATAAATAACTCAAAGCGTACCTCTTCCAATTCTACTAGATCCCATCCTAGCTCATTTTTCTTGACATTAAAATGATGCAGTTCATGAGCCAAAGTACGTAGGACATTGTCACTAAACACTCAAGATGAGTACTCTGAATTTTTTAAATCCATTGATTAATTGACTTACTTCGCACGTTGCACCCAAATACAATAATCATCCAGATATAGTTTGCTGTATATGTAATAGACATCATGATGATCGAACAAATGCTTCATTTCTAAAAGAGTTTTCAGAATAGCTCTTTTACCGAGTCGAAACAAAATATACACGTCTTGAAGAACTTTTTCACAAAGTCCAAAATGTCTATAAAGAGGGTATATAAGAGCACGACGATAAAATGAAATTATAACTTCTTTCAGAGTTGTAAATTGCTATTGTTTGATTAAAGAAGATTCATCAATATGTTTTCTTATTCAAAACGAGGTATGCTCTTGCTGTTCCTTACTTCCAAGGATGATAACGTGGAGCTGATTTTACCAATGCACCAGACAGATTCGACGTTGTTTTCACCTTCTGTTACGCGGTGGTTATATGAATAAGCCAACAGTAAATCAACTAATCCCAAGTAAATTCCCTTCTCGAAAGATAACAAATATGCTTTGTTGGGTAAATCACGCATCATAGCTTCTTCCTGGCTTGTAAATTTCAACAAAGAATCTTTATTGGTGACATTCAGTGGTGCTACCGCCGTAGACTTGTTGATACTATGATCAACAGGTAACACTTCTTCTATTAGAGGTCCTATAAATTCCATTATCAGTAATTTTATTCCTAAGTTGAAAGTTGCTGGTTGTTTGTAAAACTTACTAAGGCTTTCTGTTGCTGTGCTAGAAGGTTTAGAAAGCCTCTGAAGCCGCCTCAATTCTTTCGAATAGACAGTTTTATACTTCAATAATTCTTCTATCTCATTACTATTCGCAAAATCCATACAATAATGATCTTCGTCAAAGTAGCTATTCTCTTTTTGAAGGCGTTCTTGACGTCGACTTTCTGTAGTGGATTTTTCCACATCCGTTATCTCATTAATTTCATTCATAGTCTCATGCACATGTGTGAAGTATCCATTATATTGATCATTGAAGCCGTAGTGGGACGTGATATAGAGTTCTGAGCTAGAAGGTAATTCCTGAGGTAATTCCCAGTTGAATTCTATTGCATCCTGTATTTCTTCGTCCCCCAATTGCTGCTCTGTATTGCTGTTTTCTGAGCTTCCAACGACTTCGATCAAAGGTTTCTTTTCCTTTTGATCTGCTGTACCATTTTTCTCTTTCGAAGATTCGCCTGTTCTTGCTAAGAGTTTGGTAAGAAGGTCAAGGTCAGGGAAAAATTCTCCTTTTGTTTCTTTGGAAACACGAATGGTGAATTGGCCAACTGAAGGATCATAAACCGCTTTGGAGAGATCATCTTCAACTATATTTCCTGGAAAGTGGAGTCTACGAGGAGGGCAAAATAGAAAACATTGTCAGTACACAATCAAAATACATAGTATCATAACAGATCTTGAAACAGGCAAATACCTCAGGAAATAAGGACGTAAATAAAATCGGAATTCACAGCCTTCAACATACAAATCAACGTCTTGAGCCTGGTTTAATGAAGATCAAATTTGGAAATGAGGATGGTATTCATTTATGACACACGACTTTGAAAAGCTTACCCGAACGTAAGGGGTCTTTATAGTTATCGTTAGTGAGTCACTATCTTGATCTACCTTAAAAGTTGGTGTGATCATATTGTCATGATGTGTCAAATAGATCTAGTTATGCAGCTTCTGAAAATCTTAAGTCGACATTGACTGAGTTTCGATTTTGAAAACATTTATTACAAACGACTCGGATGATAGAAAAATTACTGCTAACCCACTTCATTCATTAAACAACACAATCTATAGAAGTTGGCTCTGAAACGGTATATCTCAATTGTTCACTCATCTAAACCTTCTCGAAATGAGTGATTATGATGCCTGTTTTTGGATAAAGTAGAAATATCATGTTTACCACCGCAGCACTGCCTTACATCAATAAGTTCTTCAGAATCAGCTGAATCAGAGTCCTCCACATCAAATATTTGAGCATCACTGTTTCCCGTGCTAAACAAAGCATCATATGAAATATTCAAGGTATCATTCGAGGTTTGTTGATGACCAGCATATTCAAGGGAAGCAGTACTGCAGATATCGTGACTTGTTTGCTCACTTATCCTTTCATTCGTAATTATAGGTCTCTTTACTAGGTAAGTCAAAGCCTACAGAAAGAAAATAAGAATTGAATATGTGCATTATAATGTTTCAGCGAATATCAGTTAGCAGATATACCTTGAGCCACACTTCATGCCTTTCTAAAGTGGATGCAGTAATTTTTAGTTTCCTCTTTGGTGTACTTATAAGCAGACTATTTGGTGATAATCCAGACCTATTGTTGTTAGGTATAGAGGCTACAGATTGTACAAAAACTATGAATGGAATGAGTATACAGAGGGAGGCTTTGGTTTTGGATAGTTTCTGCTAATACTCACTGCGCTTGGTTTTTCTTTCGTTGCCTTCAGGTCCAGGTCGTGTCGTGCTCCAATAGAGTGTGTTGGTATATGGATGAACCCAGAAGTATCTCTTGTGGTTATTTGCAGAAAACCCACCGCCGACATAACGGCGTGTATGTTTGAACATATCCTCGCCAATAACTGTTTGAGTAACCGCCATGACAACATTAATGTGCGTATCCGACGAATTATGCAATGTTAAACTCGGATTCTCTAACAAATTATCTGAAAGGCTGTCCTCATTGGAGGAAATTGTAGATATTGAAGTCGAGGATATTTGTCGTTGTGAAAGACTGTGTAGACTCATACAAGATCTTGCTTTTAGATGCTGGTAAGCTTTATTGTTGTATCTTGTCGTTTCTAATATGCGCACGCTTCCATATGAGTTGTTCTTGACTTCTGTATTATCAATACTAAAACGCTTACTTTTCTGATGCGGAGAAATGCTTTTAGATAGTTTCAAACGGAAAGAGTCTGTTCTGTTGGTTTCACTAAGTTTAGGCTTTCCAGGACTAAACACAGGCGTAGACACTGACGGAAATGGTGATGGTGTTTTTCTTGAAGGTAAAGGTTTTTTTGATAATGTTGAATTAGAACGTTTGACTGGGATGGCTGGTACATAGTTATGCTCTAAATCCTGTGGCGCACGTTTATCAGTTGTGTGTGTCTCCGTTTCCAAATAACCAGCTGATAACTTCTCTTTATCACGATTGAACTTTCTTTTCGTTGCTGAAAGAAGTGCGTGTTCGCTTTTTTTATTGTTGATAGCTTCTCTCACAGCGGCTTCTATTAATAGGTCTACTTGTTCTTTGGTATATCTAACGTCCTCTCTTGCGGCGATTGCTTTACGTTCTTTCATAATAGCATCAGCTACGGCTAATTTTTTTATTCCTTCAGCCTCAGCCTTTGATATCATTTGGTTTAATCTCAACTGCAATTCCCTTTCAAAAGATTCCTCTTTTTTTGATATCACTTTCCTTTCTTCTTCTATTGCTTTTGCAACTTCAATTTGAACCATACCAAGCGCTGATTGTTTTGGTATCATTTCTGACAAAACTGCCCTATGTTTCTTCTCTGTTGCATCTACTGCTTCATCTACGGCACGTTTGATAAGTATATTTGCGCTTTCCCTTGTCAACATTTCTTTCATCTGCTGATTGGTTAATTTAGCCTCCTTTTTGTAAGATTCGATGTCGGCGTTTAACGCCTGGATATTTGTCAGTTTCGAAGCTTCCATATCCTCTTTTAATTTGTTTATATCATTCTGCCTGGCCGTCTCTAACTCCTTTCTCTGTTCTTTTAGTGCATTGTCCATAGCCAAAATCAATTCTGAACGTTGTTTTATCAACTCAATTTCAAACTGTTGTTTCATTTCGGTTTTAGTATGAGCAACTTTCAACTTGCATTGAGAGTCGTCCAGGGATTCGAGTAACTGGAATTGAGTATATAGATGGTTATTTCTTTCTTCCTTTTGGTTCAATAAATCAACTGCTTCTGTAACGGTGATATTCGGAACCCCTACTGATTTTGCAGCTTCATTAAATTCACTCTCTACCTTATTAATGTTATTGTTCGGGCTATCAGTTGGTTCATTCGCTTCATTAGCTGAAAACGATTCAACACTTGACAAAGATTCTGTATCTGCTGCGAGAGACTCGTCCGCTTGCTGCTCTTTTAACGCCATTGCAGTTGATGGGGTGAGCTTCTTACCTCTTAAAGCATTACCTTCCTCGACTGTTATTCGAGGACTCTCTGTTTTTGCAGGTGGATCGTCTTCAGTGGTTGGCAATGTCTTTTTCATAACGCTCACATTAGGCTGCCCCATATCAAATTTAAATCTGTCATTATCAGCATTTATATTTGTTTGTGGATTACATTGCTCGTCTGATAGATTACTATAAGGGACCGATAAACTGTTGGCCTTTTCTACTGCAGTAGTTACGGTGTATCCTTCATTAAAGATCGGTATGAGCATATCTATTTGAGCAGGTGAAAGAATATCTCTTGCACGTTGCAAGAACACATTTTTTAGATCGATAATGTTTCCAAGCTGATCCTTATTTCGTTTCTAATGCAGAAAACAACAATCAAATTAGTTAACGGCATACCGTCCTGTAATAGTTCGCTATGCCATAGACAGCGCTTACCGCGGTTCTGAAGTCTACATTATCTACTCCTTTATACTTGAGCAATGTTGATGCTTGCAATGAGCCGAAATAGGATTGATTTGCAGGAGTTTTGTCCTTGTTGATTGTAACAGGATTCATTTCATAGTCTGTATTGTTAATTCTGCTCAAAAGTATAGCTTGTTGCTGGTTAATGCTATTCCTTGACATCTTATCCTTTTTATCCATTTTTTCAGTTAATGTTTGTGATACACTGCTGTCAGGTTGTGTATTGTATATACCATCAATGGTTTCCCTATAGGCCTTGACTGGTTGATTCACTACTCCCAATTGCTCTTCAGTCAAGTATAATGCATCGGTGTTCACCCCTATATCACATTTCTCAACTTTACTATTCGCCTCTAATTCAGATGATAACGGCTTCATTGCCAACGCTGGAACTAAAGCACTGTTGTTGTAACGGAGCATATTGTTTTGATGAGGATTACTATTGCAATCAGTACCGAAATAAGGATCTAACATTTGGTATTCATTGCTTTCAATGTCATCTACTTCGTCATCTGCAGTTGTTGATATGTTTGAGCTATTGTGTTGCTCTATTCCGATTTCTTCGTCCGAGTTCGACTCTTCCGGAGTTAAACCTTTGGCTCGTCGAGCAACACCTATTCTTTTTCTTTTCGCTGCTATTGGTTTCTTCTTTCCAATCATTTTTTTTGTATCATTTGTGGAAAGATGGTCTCTATTGCAATGACAGTTGATCAGTTGCTTACTCTGTTGTTCGACTATTTCCTGACTATCAGATAGCATCTTTTTCAATTCAAACTTCTCTTTCTTTTCTTTATGAGACGAGCTTCTCAAGTTGGAGATGATACGGTGGGCATGAGCTAGTGATTGTTTTAAAGTTTCAGTTTCCATAGCTTGATTTCGTACTACTTGTATCGCGTTATTGTTTGTTGCTAATATTTTTTCAGCTGCATTCGAATGATCGTCTTCATTGCCTTCATTTTCGATGCTGGGGTTGGATTGACTGCTTATAGCTTCTGTTACGCGTGAAGAGACTGATTGCTTAATAGCCAGTTTGGATTGACAGATCTGCAATTCTGCTTTTAAATCCTGGAGTTGATTTTTCAAGAGGTTGGATTCTCGTTGCGTTTGTGCTGTTATCTTTTTTAGGGTGAAAGACTCTTGTTCATGTCGGGCTTTTATTGTCTCTATAACAGATATGGACTTTTCTTCTCGTGCTTTCAAAATTTCAATCTGTTCTGTCTGCCTTTTTAACTGTTTGGACAGTTTTGCATATTCTACATTGTGTTTGGCTATTGTTTGGCTGGATTCTATTAAGTGATCACGAAGCTCTTGATTTGCTATTTCCAAGTTCCAATTTTCTTCTTGTAATCTTTCTATAGTCCCAAAAAAAGGATTAGTATTTTACTCAAGCCAGCAACTGCAGATCTTTCAAGCAAAACTTACCTTCTGACTTCTCCTTCTTTCTCAATTGCGTTATTGCATCATCATAGCTTAATTCATTATCATCTTGTGATTTTTCTAGTTGCTTAATTATATCCTCCTTTTCTTGCAAAAGGTTCTGTAATCTGCGAATCTCTACTAATAAATTTTGGCCTATTTCTGTTGCAAAGGCAATATCCGGATTTCGACCGCTGCCCTTAATATTCTTCGATCGTTGCTTTGTGGGTCCAGCAGAGGTTAAAGGCGGTGGTAGTGGCTTTACTGTAGATGGTTTCAGTTTATTAGTATTATTACCACCAAAACGAGTGGTGGACTTCAATTCACGCAAACCATTTCAATAAGGATGTTAGCTTTTCCTCCCCGGTATTTTTTGATCTCATAAACGTAAATTCATTATCTTTGTTAATACCTTACTACCTTTTACGGTATGTAATTCGTTGGTTAGCAGTTCCAGTTTGAACCGAAGCTCTTCAGACACCTCTAGTTCCTTGTCATATTGGTTTAAGTTATTTAACTCTTTCTTAATAAGCTCAGATTGTTGAACAAGAGCTTTGCGAGTAATTGGGCTAAGTTGAAGTTGCTCAAGTGCTTGATTTTTCTCATGTAGTTTGGCCGAGAGAGATGATTGCAACTGGTAGACTCTTGTTCCTGATAATGGACTGGGTGCTGCAACAGGAGCTGTAGTTCGTTGCCGAGCATTATTTCTTGCAAGTATGTTCTCTGAAAGACTTGCGGATGGTATGGCTGTCATAATTTACTTTGAACGCTGCACTGAAGACTTGATGCTTTCTAAGCCCTGTGTATCTGGATTTTTAGCTATAAACTTTGAGCACGGCAAAGGAAGCAAAGTAAAAGAAATTGCTGTTCAATGAATTTGCAACTTGATGGTAGAAGGAAAGAATACAAAGAAAGTTTAAAGTAAGAGGTCAGGGGTTAAAAGAAGGAAATAAGGGATGAGGCCATTCCTTTTCCGTAACAACACTCCATACCTTTGACAAAGACACAAAAAGAAAAAAAAAACAAAAAAAAAGTTTTTCCATGTATAAATATGGATTTCGATATGGAGATGACAGATATTAGACAGCAAAGGCAGAAGGGATTTTGTTATTAGTCTTTATCCTGTATACTGTCACGAAATACAATTGTTACCGAAGCGAAGCACGAAGTGGTACAAGCCCTTATTGCCACGATTTATTTTTGGTATAACCCCAGATTTTCCATACTAGCATGATGTTTAATATTTCATTTGAGGCAACAACTCTCAAAACATATACAATAGAATAAGGATATTGTTAGAATAGCTTGCAATGCCAGAGATTTTTCATCTCTTGCTTCTGCAGCAATATATTAAGTGTCGTTCTTAACACCATCCTGGGTGGTCTTCACTTTGGACTCCGAACTGGAATTGATGAATTTAAAATGCAATTTTACCTTTGTACTGTAAGTTCGTGATAATGCTTGATCTTGGCTTAGGTTGATAAGACGTCTGATCTTGGCAATTGTCTGTACTATTTCTATGGCCTTAGAACCAACTGATGAATGAATAGAATGCAGTTGAAAGGTTCTATCAAATCCTGCTCCGCATTTTACAAGCGCCGGTATATGCTGTTACTGTTGGTTTCAATAATTGCACTTATTGTATGAACAGGCCGTTTCCTCGACTTTGTATTTCAAATTTCGTCCACGCTAATACCTAGCAAGTCATGTCTAGTAGTATGTGTAGACTCTTTGTAAAATCTCGATGCGGTTGTCGGATACGTAATAAGGGTTCGCCAATAAATACTGTATCACCTTTTCCCAGTAAAGTAGCTATCCAGATGCAAGATCTATTCTTTCTCTTCTAAATTCTTTTATTGCAGAGTCCGTCATTTTTGAGACGATTCGAGGCGCTACACTTACAGCGAATGCTAATGAAAGTTTTTTGCGACTTTGTTTTCCAAGCATCGTATTTGTCGTGAGCGGTAAATATAGCCTTCCCCACTGCAGATAAGTTGTTGTAAAGGTAAGATTATCGTTCGTTTTGGGCTTGAGACTTGTGTGTCGATTTTGACATCTTTCGTCCCCTCCAAATCTAAAGTAGTTCCCATAGTGTCTTCATCACTCTCATCCTTGTCTCCTAAAAGCTTCTGAAGTAAGCTTTGCTCGAAAGAAGCTTCGTAATATTCCTGGACAATGATTTGAATGCGTAATTCTTATCTCTCTTGATGTTAAAAGGAAGCTTCAAAGACCGCCAAGCAATCATGCACTACATATTCACATGTAGTTTAAATAGAAGAACGATTTCTCGCAGGCATATCTGTATTGCATTACTCCTAAGATTACACAAAAATACTATACATTTCTTTGCACCGGCATAAACTCAGTTGCAGTCGTTCTGATATAATAACATGTTGGAAATCTAAAGGTAACTGCACCAGCATCAAAGCTCCAAATATCCGTTTCCTGAAAGTTGTATACCCTTCTAACCCTTATAACAACTCAGATTGTTACATAAACCTAAGCAATGTTCGACTTCGCGGCATAACACAGTATAAAGTCATAAATCACGAAGTCCCCTTTACGATTGTCATTAACCGGTGTTGTTACTAAATTCGACTTACAGCCTAATTTGTTTGTTGAATATTTTATTCAGTGACATAAACAGAACTGTCTTGATATGCATAATGATGTATGATATACACGCCTTCAATACTAATAGAAACGCTAAAAAATCAGTTTAGACTTACTTTTGCTTGCGATCTTTTTTGGGTGCCACAAATATCATTTTCTCGGGTGGTATTCTACGTTTAATATTCATTTACACTGATGGAGATATGCTTTAATAGGGAGGAAATGGGAAAAATAGTGCGTTTTTCGAGATTGTGTACTCAATGATAAATAAAAAACATCATTGATAATCTATTTACAAAATGGTCGTGTCTATAGGTCGAATGGCAACATTTGCTTTTTGAACATGCTCTTTGACAGACTGAATAGGAACTTCACGACGATGGAAAATACCAGCGGCTAAAGCAGCCTCTACACCTGTCTTTTCAAAGACCTCAGAGAAATGTTCAACACAACCAGCGCCACTTGAAGCAATAACGGGAATAGTAACTGCACCACGTACCGCATTGATCAGTTCCAGCTCAAAGCCGGAATTGGTACCATCACGATCCATACAGTTCAGTAAAATTTCACCAGCGCCCAATTGTTCACAAGCTGTTACTAACTGAATAACATCCAAATCACGACCTTCACGGCCACCCTTCACTGTACACTGATACCAACAATATTGCTCACCATTGGGGCCCGGAACAGAGCACTTCACAGTATGGTGGGTGGTATCTTTAGGGTCCTTGATATACACTCGTCGAGGATCCACAGAAATAACAACAGCCTGACAGCCATAAGCCTCTGCAATAGTCTCAATTGCAGTCTTGCCAGTTTTTTTACCTCCGTTAGCAATGAATTCTTCGGCAGAATACACAGCATCACTACCGATAGAAACCTTATCGGCACCGGAACGGAAATATTCACCTGCTACCTCGAAAGCTGGGTGGAAAGTACCATCAGGATCTGTTACATCGCGAATGCCCCCGCCGATTGTCAAAGGCACGAATACTGTTTTAGAAGTTAACTTAAGGACATCTAACATGGGTGTATCACCCAAGGGACAATTACGGAAACTGGTAATATTCAAAAAGGTTACTTCATCCGCACCTTCTTCAAAATATCGCTTGGCCAACTCGACGGGCTTACCCAAGTTACGCACATCTTTGTTACCGTCTGCTTCACGCACATCATATTGATCGCCTTTGGTCACAACCAAATCACCTTGATCGTTAGAACGCACGTCCAAACAAGCAATGATACGCTTCGTGAAAGTATCATGATCAGGTTTAACAGGTTGCTTATAAATAACGGTGTTCTCGTCAACGATGCCTTGCCCCGTAATAAACGCTTTCAATAAAGCCAAGCCAGCATAACCGCTTTTTTCAGGATGGAATTGAGTCGCGAATACATTGTTTTTCTGAACGGCCGCAACAAACATTTCGTCACCATATTGTGTAGTGGCCAGCACCCAATCTTTGTTCTCCTCTGTATAGCGGGCTGCATAAGAGTGGACGAAATAATAGACTTTTTCTTCGTCGATATTGTAATGAACATCTTGCTGGCTAGTTGAAGTGGAAGATTTAAGTAGCTGTAAGTGATTCCAACCCATGTGAGGTACGGCTTTTGTCGTGCTGTCAAATTTGACAGGCTTTCCGGGTATAATGCCAAGGCCAGCTTCGTTACTTTCGGCAGACCCTTCAAAAAGACACTGCATGCCTACGCAAATACCCATGAAAGGCTTTCCAGACGCAATATAAGCTTTTAAAGGCTCCGCATAGCCTTTTGAACGCAAGGCACGCATAGCGAAACCAAAATCACCCACACCAGGAAAGATGAGTTTCTGTTGTATATTATTATTTCCGTTAATGGAAGTAGGAAGGTGAGAAAAAGGAATTAGTCAAGTGAACTGTTTGTCTTGCTTTTCACAATTCCTATTGCTGCGACTTAATCCTACGAGGGAAAAGTGAAAGCGATTCAACATTTTTTTCAGAAAGGGTATTGTACCTCTGCAAGAGCAAGGTCAGCTGGTTCCTTAATATATTTGATCTCAAATCCCAAATGATTGATAGCATTGACTAAACTACGCACATTACCGGCGCCATAGTCAAGCATATATAAGGCTGTCATGTTTGAGTACTAATATATTTCGTTAGATTAAGTGGAGAAACAATTTCAAATTTCAAAGGTCAGAGAATTTGGGAGGTAAAAAAAAGGCACCAATACCCCATTCCTCAGTAGTGGCTTGGATGAGTCACTGTGATACGATTTCAACTTTCTCTGCAGGAGGTTCCTTTCCTTCTGAAGGCTACAAATCATTGCATTCATTTTTATGTAATAAGGGGGCAAAGCCCTAGCAAATTTTATTAAAATTAAAATATTGTTAGTTTTGTAAAGAGAAATAGAGGTATATTGTATAAAATTAGGTCGGAAAATGCGGGAATATTGTTCAAGCGATCTGAAACGTTGGTTTATTTTTTGTCACATAATTACTTGGGAACAAGCCAGAGATAGCGTTTCCTGATCCATCGTCTTTGTAACCCATCCACCAAACATTATCTGTAGTATCAGTTACAACAATAGGCGTATGAGCATCAAAAGCTAGTTCACCAAATTCTTTAGCTTCAAATGGAAATTTTGCATAAAATACGCGTGGCGAGCTTTCACTGATTGGCGGTTGTGTTGTATCTCCATTGTTGTTCTCCGTAGTACCATTTTTCAGAGCAGCCATCATAAGGGCACTGAAAGGCTGAGATGACATATTGGCTACACCGCCATTTTGGCTTGAGTTCCTGAACCGAGTAGTACCAGATGTTGCAGCTGCAGCGGTAGCAATCATGCCATCAGATATATCCACACTATCCCGTCCATATTGCTGTTGATTTGCTAAAGCATTATTTCGATTACTGACAGCAGATGAATAACCCAGTATAGGAGATTCTGGTGGAACCTTTTGTTGCTGTTCTTGTTGCTGTTGTCCAACAGCACCAACACCACCTGTGGCATTCGCTGCAAGAGCTGCTGCATCAATCATAGCGAGCAAACTCGTAGGTCGATGTTTTGGTTTCCAGTATTTCTTGCTGGTTGTCGAATCCATGCCAGCAGCCGTTGCTCCTGCAGCTGTGGTACCTGCACCAGCAGCATAGGCGTCCAACATGTCATATTTATAAAACGCTGGATGGTGGCGGTGGTTATAAAATAAGTAAAGAAAAACCAATCCCGTCAGACAGAACAAAATACCCAACGAGATAGCGATAGAGATCAAAATAACAGCAGGGACTGAAAGATAATGATGTGTAGCCAAAGCAGTTGTACAACAAGGAAGAGCTGTGAACACTCTTACGATGTGGCTGCCGTGATCAGTAAGAAAATAAGGATGCCACTGGGAACCATCATACAGCGCAGCACTGGCTTTGCTACCTTGAGGTAATTCAAGCTGCCCAACAGCCATGAGCATTGAATCTGAGTCAGCAGGATAACGTGGTAAATATTTGGCTGAACTGGGATCGATTGGCATCCAGAGAAGTTGGTGGATAATGGAAGAGGGACCCAAGTTTGTATTCATGGGCGACCATTGCTGTCCGTTCCACATTTTGATAGAATAACTTGAGTTGTTCTCGTCCTTTTGTTGCTTTCCGGCAATGATAAAGTTGGCATCTAAATCATAGAGTAGACTAGTAGGAACAAATGGATCTTCTAAACCATTTATTAGAGGGTGTGGTGCTGTAGCACGCTTGGCATGTCGGATGCCATTATTACTGAAAGAAGAAGCACTTGTGTCAAATCTAGCAATAGGTATTTTTGCTTGCCCGATATTATCAACTGTAACCAGATCACCCACTACAGTCATCATTCCTTGAGAATCAATAAACATATCATTTACTGTGCCGGAAAGTTGACCGGTGCTGACCGCTTGAGTCCATTGTCGAGTTTCCATTGAGAATAAACATACAGCATTACAGTTGAGAAGCCCTGCGTAGGCAAATTGTCCACCTATATATATCTTTTTTCCGTCATCTTGAGAGTATATAACATTCACGGTGCCAGGTTGTTGCTGCTGCCCATCCATAAAAACGCCTGTTATACCCTCTAATGATTGAGTCTGTAAATTATAGAGGGCAATGCTGGTAGCAGTACTGGCTACGTTGTTGCTGCCGTTGTTATTATCGGTGATATTCAATACTGTCGTATGACTGAAGTGGCCACCGATGAATAAGTAGTCCTTGACAATAAATAATTTGTTAATCGAACTGTTTTGCATGTTCTGTAAGATACAAGGCTGGTTCCAAGTATTTTGTTGCGGATCATACATTGCAACATTGCATAACGTGTTGTTGATGTAAAATGAACCAGCAATGATTAAAAATGAGGACTTATTATTGTCAGCAGCCATTGCACTGTTATTATGCGTATAATAAGCTGCAGCAGTGATGACAGCATTGGGATCTAATTGAGTAATAGGAGTGGCGAATGAAGGTACAACAGCTGCAGGCTTTTCTTGTTGACTATCGAGTGTGTTAGGTACAAATGCCAGGTTATCAGCGTAGTAAGTTTGTGCATCTTTGATGAGGCCTAGATATAGTGTTGTATTTGGTGATAGATTAATTTGATTAGCTATGATTCCATCAATGAATGTTCTCGGTACAATAAAGCGATGCTGATATATATCATATTCTGCGTTGTTATACAGTCTTCTTGATTGTGTTGTTGCTATTGTTGAATTGAATGATCCAGAAATATGAATATTTCCATCGCTGGTAGTATATAAATTCTCTACGATACCATTGACACCCTAATAGAACATCACATTAGATGAGAGAAGAAACGTTGAACAAAAGTTATTTGCATGCTATGATTACCCGCTCCAATCCAGTCCAAGTTTCGGTTTGCAGATCGTATAAAGCAAGGTGATTCAATGAGGATTCTTGTTGTGGCACGATTGAATTGTTGAAAGAACCACCCACTAAAAGACCTACAATTGGAGCGTGTTTATTTTTTAGTCAAGCGAAACAATGGTGATGATTAGTAAATAATTGCTTTACTTGAACCAGCAAGAATTGACGTGAAAATGGCACCGTTTAAACCATTATCCGCAATGGGCAAAAATCCTCTTTCATCATTATAAATAGCGATGTTGTAGCTGCTACTGCTGTTATTGTTACTGCTAGTAATATTGCTTTGCAATTTTCCCCCAATATAAAGTGTACCTGCGTCATTTGTTTGTATTGTATTGACTTCAGATCCCGGTATCAACTGATGTGGTAAAGGTGTCCATGTATCATTTTGGGGAAAATAAACGAGAATACTTGACAGTGACGATAAGGTAGAATTTCTCATAAAAGCTATCGCACTACCGAATATAGTAACTGTGTTGGTTGATGTCGTTTCTGTTGCATTAGGCGAGACGTTCATTGTGATCGTTGGTCTAAAAGATGATGAGATTGAACTGGAGATTGGTCCAGAGTAAATCAGAATACGTTCATCGGAGACTATATTCTGATCCAATATTACAGTGGAAGTATTTCCTGGAGTCAAGTCTAATGTGAGTTGCATTTGAGTACGTTGATCACAGGTACTTGTACCGACGCAGCCGGGTGTAGTTGCATAAACGTCGTAGTATCCTTGAGCAGCAATATAAGGTTTGTAAATGACAGAGATATCGGAATTGCCTAAATCTGTTGAATTAATGGTGGATATAAGGTATGTCTGATAAGAGTCATACGAATAGCGTTGTGTCCAATTGCCTGTCGTCAATACAGTTGATGAAGGGGTTGAGGAAGTAGATGGTACGGATGCGGCACACAGATTTCCACTACTCATATTATCTGAATTAGTGGGTTGAAGGGTAGCATCTGAATTGTAAACACTAACACCACCTAATCCACCACTTTCTCCATACCAACTATCAATATTGATTCTAATACCATTAGTAGTGATGGGCTGTAACACAGTGAAATCTTGGTACGGAATAGTAGAATCGTTCGACAAGTAGCACTGCTCACTACAGGTCATTGGCTGGTTTGTTGCAGGATCTCGATATGATAGTTGGAAATACTCATTCGAGCCAAGTGATATGATACTATATTAGCCATACAGTGTACGTAAGTACATCAACAAATAATGGTATATCTCGCAATTAAGATTTCTTACTTGAATGCGTTTGTATTTCTTCCATCTACTGTATGAGCATTGGTTATTCTAAACAATGTCGGTCGGATCGGAAATATAAACTGAGCCTGCCAATATCCAGGAACACCATTTTGCAATAACCAAGGAGACTGTGAGCAAACTACAGAGGAGGGGTTCGTATGATTTCCGAATTGTTGTCCATTTCCTTCAGATATAGTCTATAATAAGAAGTTCTTCTCAGTCGACTATTGACAATCAAGTATTCAAAGCAAGAAACCGATCACTTACAGCAGATTGCAAATTGATTGGCTGAATTAAATTGTTAGAAACTTGATCTACATACTGTCCATCTCCTGTCGAGTTGAACTGACCACCAAATATAATTGCATCTGCAGTGGATAGTAAATTCTTTGTCTTGATGATTGTACTTACAGGGCCATTAAAACCTTTCCAAGGCAAAGGGACCCATTGGTTGTCTTTGAATGAAGCAACGTGTCCAGTAAAGTTATTGCTGCTGGCAAGGGGAGATGTGAAATCACCACCTACGTAGATGGTCCTGGTTGAATTGTCACAATAGAGAGCTCTTACAGGTCCATCTAAACCCTGTTGTAATGGTATGAATTGGTATGTTTGGCTGTCAAACTGCGCAATATGGTTAAAATTACTGTTATTGATTTGTTGGAAATCGCCGGCTAGAATATACTGATTGTCCGATAATTTGCAATAAGTAGTGATCGAGCCTTCTATAGTAGCAAGTGATTTGTAGATAGTGAGATTGTCATTGTCTTTTTGAGATACAATGATGTGATGGTTGGAGGTATCGTTCGGTAATAATCCAAATTGGTATGGTATGGTGTCTAATAGAATTGGTGATAAGCCAACAAAATTTCCTATAACGCCTATGCCACCGCCGACAGACTCAAGTTCGATTTTTGGTAGTCCGGCATTGACATTGTCGAAATGAAGTATTGCGATGAGGAAGACAAAACATTTATAATAGATAAGGTACCATAGTTTTCTCGAAACCATGGAAACTAGCGGAAGCGAAATAAATATTAGAATAAATAATTAAGGTAAGGATATGAAAGACTTTCTGGTTAAGAAATAATAACGTCTATATAGAAAATGATGTATTTATTTTGTTTCTAAAGGAGAAGAGACAAAAAGACAACGAAAAAAAAATAAAATGGAAATGTATTTCGTTGTTGTGCACTTCTACTTTTTTTATTCATATTTGTCGTATTAAGCGCTTAATAAAAAAACAAACGGATTACCAAATCCAGATCAAAACCAGGAACGTCTTTTTTTTTTTTTTTTCTATAATTATTTCCTTAAGTGATAATAAAAAGGTTAAGCAGCAATCGCTACCCAGTCAAAAAAAACCTACAAATACCTATCAAATACTACCTTCATTTCATTTGACACCATCCTTTTTAGTGTTGTTAGGAAAAAAAAATGCATTATGAGCTTGAATGCGTTAAACTTTTTTTTTCGATTGTTTGCTGATAACAAAAAAAAAAGAAAAAAATTCCAAGTTAAGCACGAGATAATTTAAGTCTCCATTTAAGTTTGCACTGAACCAGATTTAAATGTCAATCCTGCTTTACAGTAGGAAATAAGTATACAATCCAGGGGACGAATAAACGCTTATTACGATTAATCAGCTCAAGCATTGGTAACTGCAAGGATTCAACATACACTATTCAGCAGACGTTACTCTTGTCTGTTGGTGATAACGTATGCACGTATCCTTCAGGTGAGAAACATTTAGGGGGTTAAACCGCTTTCTCCTTGATTTCTTTCTTTCCATCAATAAGTATGCCAGACCATTGCTAAGAAGAGGCTCCATTGACGTGCAATAGAGCTTAGTATTCGAATCTACAAACAGCTATGAAATCTAGTTGTTACTCAACTTTCAGAAAATAAAGCTAGGAAGCCCTTTTTTTTTGGAGAAAGGATATATACAAATAGAAGTGGATGCCCTAAAAGCTGCCTATCCATCAATTATGAAGTTCTGTTGAAGGTTCTTATGACTTTCTATCTATTTGATCAAAATAACTTTATCATTTACATAGCGATTTATTGCACCTCATTTTTGACGATTGAAACATATGTTTCGAATTTTATTGACCGAATGTCATCAAATGCAATACCCTTGAAGCTTTACTGCTGATTTTTCTTGGAAGGGCGAGTTTGCTTAATGTCATATGATATTTCTATAAGATTAGGCCCATCTCATTTAGATGTGTTCCTTTCGAGAACATACCGAAAAAGGTCAACGTTGGCAATGTTTGAGTTTGATAAACTAGCGACTTGTTATCGCAACGAATAAATAGCATATGGAGTATTAAAGCAAGCTCTTTGAACAGTCAGGAAATAATAAAACGCATATTGAATTCAGTACACTCTTAGTTGTCTTTCGAAAATTGTACCATTTTTACCAATTATCTCATCATTTAATAATTGATTAAGACGATCAAACACTGATTTCTGTTCCGTACTGTATCTCGCTTCAATTAATTGAAGCATTTGCTGTCTAATTTCTGCTTGTAGAAGATTCCACTGTAATTTTCCCTTTCTATAGAATATATCTTTGCATTTTTAACAACCATCTAAGAGTTTAGAACGATATATAGTATTTATACCTATTACTACAGCCTCAAAGACTACTGCATAATCCATTGGCCATAGTGTTTAGTAAAGACACTCCGAAGTCTGAATTGAAATACACACCATCCAAACTTCTCCAAAGAGTTTATCTTTGGTGTTTTACTTTTACTTTTTTCTGAACATAATTCAACATTTACTCTATGTCACAATACCTGATTGCTCTTTGGGATTATGTTGCAGAAGGTGAATTTGAACTTTCTTTTAAACAAGGAGATAAAATAAAATTACTCGAAAAGCATAATGACGACTGGTAAAATAGTTATACTACCATTGAAACATTACTTGAAAGCCTTTGGAAATTTCTAACGAATTTTACTCACTGATTGCATATGCTCATATATTCGAATATGTCACAGGTGGGAAGGTATGAGTACATTTTCTTGGTCCAAACTATACTCTCAGAACAATATCGCTTAAGCTTCAACTGAATGAAATTAGGTGAATTCAATGACGAGATTGGTTTCTTTCCTGCAAACAGAGTCCGTCTTGAATTACCTGCAGAAAAATGTAAATAGGACAAGCTTTTGATAATGCCAAATTCATGTTAACAAATCATCGTGTTTTTTATATTCATAGTTCAGCATAATGTAACTATGAAGTTGACCGTATTTGGGGTTGGAGAGAAAAGCTCATCAATGAATGCTTTTTGATAGGATTCTCAGCTCAGTAATATCAGTAGCCATGATACCGTAGTGGAAGACCTTATGGTGCCGCCTCCAGCTGTACCATCCAGAAGTAATAGTCCTCAATTACAGCAATTATCTATTTCACCCGCCTCTCCACCGCACGAAAATCAGCGATGTCACCATTCTGAAACAATCAATACAACTACCCCCACGAATACCAATACTGCGTTTAATCATTCAGCATCGTTATCTCGATCATCAAGTTTTCGCGATAAGAAAAAGGACAATTGTAATGCTGTGCACTCTTTACCACCGGGTTGGGAATATGCTTACGGTAAATATGATTGCTTTCATAGTTATTTTCATACAAAGTTTTTAATCAAAATTACTTGTCTTTGAATGTGTTGCAGATCAAAATGGTACTATTTATTACTTTAATGAGACAACCGGTGAATCCCGATGGGATAAACCTCAACATACCACAGCTGAAGAGCAGGATATTTCAACAGATTTAGCGGCAACTCCAGCAGCATCACTACAACGTGAAGAAACAGCATTTACTCAAGGACTTCATCCTGAAGAATTAAGAAAACTAGAGCTCGATAAATTCCAAAAAGAATGGATACGACATAAAGGATTCATTCAGATGAAGATGATCTTGGATAAAGAAGATTATACCAATACTAGCAACAACAACAACAACAACAGCAACCCTTCTTCTTTTAGTAATGCTACAACAACACATAACAACAATGCATCCGTCAACAAACTAAGCTCTTGGAAAGTTTACTATGCCGTTTTGTCCAACGGATTTCTTTTATTGTATAAGGAAGCTCATGCAAAAAGTAAAAAGTCAAGTAGAACGCATGTTCCTGTAGGCGGATTTGATTTAGAATCATGTCACATTGAACCTGCTGGAAAACAAGATACAAAAAGGAAACATGTATTTATCATATCGACGCCAAAACATGTCAAACTATTCATTCAGGCGGCAAATGAAAAGGAGTTCTCAATTTGGCTGGATGCTATTATGCGAGAACTAATAGCTCGTAAAGAAAAGCAAAACGATGATACCGGTAAGAAAGATTGTTGAAGTATATCTCCAAGCTGTGATCTCATTCTTTACTTTATTCGGTAGAGATCATGAGGCTGTTGAAATCACTGACTTTTGATGAAACTTCAATGAAAGTCAACAGAAAAATGTCAGAAGAACATCAACATCATGGTGATGAAAATAGTGGTAATAAGAAGATTGGCAACTGGTTTAAACAGAATAGTAGTAACAGTGGTGGCAGTAATAACGGCGCCTATAATAACGCTCGTATGCTGGAACATAAGTTTAACACTTATAATCGACAGCCACCATCCAGCAATGATGATGATGAATTTGGAGGATTTTTACATATGGAGGAAAATGGAGACATTCCCAAAGTTGTTAGTTTATGTGTAAGAGAGGTGGAAAAGAGAGGCTTGAAGTCAGTGGGTATCTATCGGTTATCAGGGCCTGCTTCTACCATACAAAAATATAGAAATGCCTTCAATAAAAGTAAGCTGTTAAACTTTGACAAATAGATGTATTGATAATGTTTGACTAACGCAACTCTAAAAATAGAGGAATTTGTGTCATTTGCAAACGAACCTGACATAAATGCAGTAACCGGCTTACTAAAGCTTTATTTCCGTGAACTTCGCCATCCAATAATGACATATGAATACTATGATTATTTTATGGAAGCAGCCAGTAAGTATTTGTTTTACAATAAAGTGGAGATTAAGGGATCCTCAAAGACTATTGTTTCATCGAATAGAAATTGATGAGTATGAGGAAAGGATGTATCAAATCAAATCTGTCCTTCATAGTCTACCTAAACCAAACTATATGGTATTGGAGTATTTGATGCGTCATTTAAATTTAGTCGCATCATTTTCTGAAGAAAATAAGATGGAAGCCTCCAATCTCGCTCTCATTTTTTCGGTGGGTCTATTGAGATCGCCGTCTGAAGATCTTAGCAGTATTATGAAGTCTGATTTATCGAGTAAAATTGTTGAAGCTATAATACAGCAAGTAGATTGGTTTTTTGAAGAGGATAAAGATAGTTACGAACATGCTGCAACAGAAGATAATAGTTCGGTTGTCGGCGCTTCTGACAATTATGAAAGAGTGCGTGAAGATATTCTAGTAGATGTGAATGATACAAAGGGTCATGTTGACAGTAGCTTGTCAGTGACGAGTAGTTACAACCATAATACAGATTATATCTCTTCGACTACACCAACTGATAATGATATTATTAGCACTATCACCTCACCCACGTATACTCCTACAGTGTTTCAAGATGCCAGTGCACATTCCTATCCACAACAACCAGCTAAAAGGTCTTCATCGTTATCAAGACCATAATGCTTTTTATTACTTTTTAAAAATAAAAGACAAAGTAATGTGTATATTTATATATTACGTTTATATTATACTATAGGATGTAGGGAGAATGATATTTACAAATTCTGATAATTTTCGACTTTACGTATCTCTTCTGAGGTTTTAATATCATTAAATACAGTACTGGTATCTGGTATATTAGTGTCCAAACATGAATAAGAATGTCTCGCTTTACGCACAGGTTGGTGTTTTAAAAACTAAGGTGTTACAACAATGTTTTTTAAAAGTCAGTCGAAAAAGGCAGAGATGTCAGGGCATAAAATAAAACTATATTACTTACAGCACCAGTTGCGCCTAAATGCCCTTCATGACGCAAAAATAGCGCTTTCATCTCACCATTTGACCAGAACCTAATAGCGTAAGATAAAGAGTTCATGGTAATAGGATGTCCTCTAATGAAGCATCCTCCAAAATATATTCTCTTAATGCCATGTTGTTGAGCATTTAAGTAAGCTATTTGGCCAATATTATTGCTGACCATATATAACAGACTTTTTGCGATATCTCCTTGAGCAAAGCTTTCTTTATGCTGTTTCGCTGTCAACATCCCATTAATATTACTTTTCTTTTTGAAAACTTTGCCGAAGCTGCTTGCAATTCGTGTTGATTTCAATCCAAGTTTACTATAATCTGAACCATATATATCTCCTACTAATAAGTCTACATTTCTGTTATCTCCTGTTTTTGACATTTCCAGCATATCTATAATGTACAAAATTAGTATACTAATGATACACAAAAAAAAAAAAAAAGGCAGACTGTTGATTACTTACCATCAAATGACGGAGCATCTGTCAACATGGATAATAAGCCCCAGAGAGTACCACCTCCTAACTATGAAAATATGCATTGCATTAGTCTCCGCCAACTTTTTTAAGGAAAATCGTTGCTTCAGCTCAACTTACTGATGTACCACTGATACGCGAGAAATTGTTAGGTCCGGGACCATCAACTTTTAAAATACTAACACCAGAACCAATATTAACGAGCTTATAGAAAGAAACAAGGGTTTTCAGTACTAAGTCATCAAATATACCGTTAAAGACTTAGTGAAGTTACCATGTAAGGGTATATATTCTTCAGCCTTTCTTCAAATTGAATGGGATTTGGATCAGTTTCACTATATGTAAATACTTCATAGGGTATCTCTGTAATAAAGAAACTCAAGCCTTAAATATAGGTTAGTAAACTTACACATACCAATAAATTTTATCACCCGATCCTATTCTTACCAGTAATTAAGCATTCCATCTCGTCTTCTTTTTCAATTATAACACCATGTAGCCTCGTTGCTAGCTTGTCGTAATATAAATGAGCGCCTCCGCCGGTAGCTTTCAAAACTACAGGCTGTCCAAAATGATGGTGTTGCTGTGCATCTTTTAATAGAGCCACAATATAATCAATACATTCATCTACATTTTCAGTTTCGAACTTTTTGAAGTGAAGTCGCCCTCCTTTTCCATCTGCTGATAATGTGAAATAAGTTATCTTTGCTAGAGACCCACCAATCTATTACTTGAAATGTTAAGTACATTGAAGGAGCATGTAAACATTACAGTATATACTTTACATCAACAGCTATTTGCGATACATGTTCTTTCTGGTTTGGCAATACAATATCTCTAGTCTCATGTGCTGCATAGAATGCTTCAGATACACTTGCCCCTATTACATTCATAATGGCTGACATAATTATATGACAAACGAGCGGGGATCAAGAATCGTAATACAGAGTATGATACTAAAGTGGACTAGACAGTAGCTGAAAATATACGATAGAATAATGACAGAGGAACAATCAAAAGATTCAGAAAGAAAGAGAAGGACGACAATGAATGGAAATTGAATTTTTTAAAAAAAAGTATCACACAGCGGAGTGGCTGTTTCCTAGATTTTGCTGAGTGAAAAAAGAAACTTTTTGGGGGTGGGGTTGGTGGGCTACTGCAAGCGTTTTCGTAATTGTTTCATTCAAAGATTGAGTATAATGATGGATTTGTTATGATAAGATGAATACAACGATAAGCACGTATTTTACATTACGTGGCTTACGGTCTGCAGGTTTGTATTGAATCTGAAGTTCACAAATGTTACGAGATATTGTATATGCTGTTCTCAATCGGTAATTTTCACTTCAAAACCGTCTTTAAGCTTGAATGGTGATACGTTTTCAATTCGGTATTTGTTCTATATCTGTGTAAGTCATTTTCTACATGTTGAGCAGAAAATGTTACATTATTATTAGTAAGCGCAAATATATCATATGATATCAACTGCTTTCTTTCATCAATCTCGCAAAGAACTTGCAAACGACTCATCCCCCCCCACCTTGCCGACTCTTACATCAAATTTGTCGGACAGTATGATTTTTTTTATATTTCCTCTGGCCAATGGAGCGCTATGAGATTCACAAAGTCACCCCCTAAAGCTGAAGGTCTCCTAAAGTAAACTTTAAAGATTTTGACAAAGCTTGGATTTCACCATTCCTTTGTAATATCATATGCTTTAAACAATGATTATGGAAACAGATAGATACGGCTGCTAGCAATATCAGTAACAATAATGATGAGAAGATTTGAAGCTCCTCCATTATTCGTGAAAGTTGTGCTCAATACCACCGAGTTGCACCAAATTGGAACTGATACGCTATCAACTAGGACGAGCCCTGAAAACCCCCTTTGCCGCAAGTCTAAGTATTTAGTATACCAGCAACAAATGCTAGCGTATATACTGGACATATGGAAACACAGCAATAAACTAAACACTATACATGCATTGTTGCATACATAGAACGGTATACCGTGGCTAATGATGTTTTTATGAATAGACCTTACTGATTTGGCCTCTGCTTTTTTAGGTAATTTTTCAGTTGCGACTCTAATTGATGTAACGAATTCAAAGTATCTCAGTTTCCAGTAACGGTGTGCAAGAAAACGAGCATGCGTATGCCTCTGAGCTGGTGAATCATCATTAATTATCTTTAGGTACGTCTGTAGAATCATGATTAAACCCCAAGCCTGTAGAAAGAATATGCAATATTACTCACTATATGGCATTATTTAACGCTTGAGCGCTTAAATAAAGCTGAAGCTGCCATGTGAAAAAAAGCCATCTGTCTGGGTAATCTCAAAAAAGATTTCATTTGTCCCCGCAATTTGTGTCTTAAACGAGTTCACACAGCAATAAAACTTTCCTTTCTTTACTCCTATTCTCAACGCATACGACCCATCACTCATTGTCAGAAGTTGCATCTTTTAAATGCGTGAAGAACTTATTACTTCGGCTGTTTCATTTCTATCTGATCCTAAAGTTCAGTCTGCTCCCTTAGCCAAAAAGGTGTCCTTTTTGGAGTCAAAGGGAATGACATCGGAAGAAATAGAAGAGGCCATGTCTCGATCCAATGGAAAAACATTGCCAACCTCTACTGCAACCACAGTAACAACAAGTACAGTGCCTACTGGCACCGTTGCTCAATATCAACCGGGTATGGCTGTGCAGCATATGGCTGCACCAATCGTTCCACCAAGACCAGCATATGATTGGAGAGATATATTTATTGCTGCTGTTCTGGCAGGTGGTGTAGGATACGGTGTTTGGACTTTAGCAAAGGTAGGAATAATTATTTAAGGGCAAGCAGCATTAAGCTAAGTACACTAGCAAAACTGACAGAATGTGTACATAGCGACTCTTCGGTCCTTGGTTTAAGGTACCTACTCAAAAAGAACTAGAGGAAGACAAGGAAAAGTTAGATGCACAATTTGAAGCGGGTGAGTTTTAAGCACTGACAATTAGTATGGTAATAAAATAAAACCTTAATAACAGAATATATTTCTAGTTGAGAATTCTTTGAAGGATATCAAAGACCAAACAAATACAGCCTTAACAACAGTGTCATCGCAGTCAAAGAAAGTTGATGATTCACTTGCCAGTCTCGAAAGTGTTATAAAGGAGCTTAAGGAAGGCGAATCACAGAGAGATGAAGAATTCAAAAGTATAAAAACTCAAATCGATGCTTTGAAGGAACTAGTGCCCAAGGTAATTTAAAGGGAACAATATATATAATAAGTAACGTTGCTTTAATTCACAAGCATCATGTATCATTTCCATCTGTTTATAGTCTCTAGACCGTAATAAAGAAGCACAAAATGCAGCCCTTCTTGATCTTCAAAATGAAATGAAATCTCTCAAATCATTATTAGTCAACCGCCGTGCACCCTCCACCGTCCTTGATCAGGTATCAAGCGCACCTTCTACACCTACCACAATAGGCAGTACTGCAACGACTGCTATGACTAGCCCTTCTCCCACTGATGGATTATCATCTCGTCTATCTGCTACCCTTAACGCCAGTGGCGTCCGTGCTGGCATTCCGGCTTGGCAAATGACCTCCTCTTCATCAAATACCAATGCTTCTAACTCAAATAGTACAGCTACTACGCCCGCCGCCTCGAATACCACAGCTACAGAAAACAAAGAATCCTCTGAATCCTCTTCTGCTTCCACCTCAAAGTAATTTATATAGATTATCGAAACTTAGTCTCTCCAACGAGCACATTGTTTTAAGGATCTGATCTCTGAATACTCCTATGTAAGCCTTTCTATTCGACTTGTAACCGTAACAGTACGCTCTTTTCAGTAAAGACAACCTTGTTAAAGATGTGGAGAAGGTGGAGAATAATAAAATATAGATTATAGCCATTAAGAATAGCTTTGCAAACAGACGGGAATAGTTTACAATGTGCTGTCGTTAAGTCATTCTTTAAGAAAAATAACCACAGTTCTTTGTGGCGCTTTTTTGGAATCAATAGCAAGGCTACTAACCCCTTTTCATACATTTAAAATACGATTCACGTTTTCATCGGCCTTATCATCATGGTTCTCAAAAGAAAACAATAACAGTTATCGCAAATTGATAACTTAATAATAATACGGTCAATTGCTGTTTTAGAACCAATTAAATCTGATGTTTTTTTATGCAAGTCTAAAAAGGAGCGAGGGCATCGGCTGTAATATCGACTTTCAAGCTTCAACTCAACAATCATTATCTTTAGCAGATTTAACTGACCTTGCTTTTCGTCAGTCGTCAAATACTTGTAAATCCTATGCACCATGTTGCAAATTATACTTGATATTGCATTGAACATATCGGCTAACTTGAGCATGACAGAGAATTATAGCCTGTGGACTAATTTGCAATTTATCTTTGGACAATCTGATGGCCGGCACCATTACTCCTCCTGTTATTTATCTTTCTTTTGTCTACCTGCCTTTCTTACCTTCCTGCGATTATGCTATCTCTGCTCTCTTCGTCCTTCTTCCCTGAGTTCTGTATCAAAGATATTTGTGGCTTTATGGAGACTAGCTATGTGGCTTTTCTAGCGACTCTAGGCCGTTCAAACTTCTTAAAAAAATTGAATAATTTGTTCTTATACGTATGGAAGTATAGTATAGTACTATAGGAAGTACAATGATATTACTACAAAACACTTTCGACATCTCGGATGTGAGCACGTTGTTCCTGTAGCATTTTTACCATTTTATCATTGAGAAATCTTTAATTGAACTCTTGTAGTCAAATACACCTTAAAATAGTATTCCAGCAGCTATTTATGGTGTGAAATTGGCTTCTGATCATGTTTCAATGATTCGTTTTGATCTTATTAGGATCCACAGTGCATGGTCAAAAGTGGTTTTCTGTTGTCTCATCTTTCTGAAAATCAGATACGCTGGATTGCATTCCGTTAAGCGGATTACTGCTTTTACTTTGCAAGTTCTGCAGGTGTAGCTATCAGTATATATCGTTTTAAAACAACTTTTATTGTAATTGTGACAGGGCTTGTAAGACTTTTGAAAGGAGTCTTTAAATCGTAAAAATATTCCTTGGAAGACAGCTTACCTATCTATTTAAAAGAAGGTCCAACAATATCATGTGGCAATATCTGCCATGCTATTCGAATGGCAATTGCGCAGAATATGAGAATTTTGGTAAATCTCACTTTAATGAAGGGTTAGGAAATAAGGATAATGAACGCGGACGTTATAGGATTCGTTGATTTTCAGCTCTTAGTAAATAATCAATTGGTCATCTGCCCCGAGCTACCTTAAAGAAGCCACTACTATGTTCACAATATAAGCCTGAGTAATGATATAATCCATAGTGGTCATTTCATAACTGTTACTTAAAAAAAGAGTCTGTTTTTTAAACGATATCTTATATTAGTGGTAAGTGCTATTATCCCAACCCGTCGCATTTTGGTTGACATAGTGTTCTGATCTAGTACTAATTTTTGTTATGAAAGTGTTTTTCAAGTTAGAAAATGAATACTTAATCAGTATATGACTGTAAGCAAACCAGAAATGATTCGAAAGGAGGTTGAAAATGTTATGATTGAAAGCTGACTCTATCATAAATGCAGTAGTTTGAGTAATACCTTCAGAGTTTTAATTGGCAAGTTTATATGTCATTATGAGTATTTCGGTTAACAGAAGAAATCACTTCCTCATAAAAAGATCGGTTGTTTGAGACTTTATTGAGTTCAACTAGTCGAGACGCTTGAAAATCTCAATAAGCGGTTCTAGTGAGTTGGAGGAAAAACGTTAGTCTTCCCTTTTGTTCGGCTTTAACCTTTGCAGTATCCTCCCTTTTCTTGACCAATTAAGCATATGGCAGCTCATGCAATTATTTGTAGGACAAGTTGAATTAGGAAAAAAAAGAGACTGTAACCTACTATAAAAGCCCATAACGAGCAGAATTCGAAAGGAGATTAATCGGTAAAAGAGGGTAGTTGAAGAATGCTACAGTATAACATGCTCATACACCTTTCAAATACATAATGCGACAGGACTGAGGATGTGTTAGTTCGCACAATAGCACGAGAATCTGCCGGTTTCTATACGGACGAAGGATCATAATGCTCGTACTACACTCTATATTGATATGCATAATACTATAACGCTATATCTAATTGATCACTAGTTTCACCGACCAGTCAAATCGTCCTTTGGCTAATCAAGGCTAGGAACGATTTTATTGTCAAGTCTAGCCAAGTGAACCAACGGTCTCTGTTTCTTAAAAAAAAAAAAGTTACGAGATCAGAAAAATCTGTGGCTGAACTTTCGTACTTCGTTGTTCCTTGGTTCTTTTTATTTCATTTTTTGAACATTTTATTGATCATCGATGGTGAGGTAAACTGGATCTAAAAAGTTAATGTTGTTGTTTCCTTTCTTTTGCTAACTTCTGCCCGAAATTGTGCTTTTTTAATGAAGTTTTCAATGTGATGCCTGTGGCGACGTGGTGAAGAAGCCAAAGTTGAATCAACACCGTAATCGCTGTCATGCCACTTTCACCTGTATTGACTGTTCAACAACCTTTGAAGGCACTTCTTATCAATCTCATACATCCTGTATGACTGAGGCAGAAAAATTTCAGAAGCACATTTATCAAAATAAGGTAAAGGTTATTTGGAACTTTTCAATACAACTGCAGATTTTATTTGCTGATTTATGTTCGTCTAGAAGCAAAACAATAATGCGCAAAAGAATAATAAGCAACCTGCTGCTCAACAGGACAAAAAGGACAGTAGTGTAAATACGAAAAAACCGGTTTCTCTTATCGAGCAACTGGAAAATAAAAAGAGAAAGATTGAAGACAAGGAAGAAAAGTCAGAAAAAGGAACAGATACGAAAGCGAAAAAGCCCAAAACCCTCAAATCTCTCGCAGGTTGGAGTGCAACTGAATTAGACAAGGATGAAACTAAAAATTTTGAAAATGCAGTAAAGGAAGTTTTGAAGGATGGAGTAAGTAGCTACTGTCTTTCTTTTCAAATGTAATCAACGAAAAAGCCTGAAATAAGTATCTCACCTATGTATTGCTGATGATAGAAACCTTTAAATTTGAGAGATGTACGTAAAAAGGTCATTAATTTGATTGAAAAACATCCCAAGTTCAAGAAATCTGAACAAAGTGATTTGAAGAAGGCTTTCGACAAGCAATTTAAATTAAAATTGAAGGATAATACCATTACTTTTGCGTTGTAATTGATGAATAGAGACATTATTGATATTCATTGATGGTTTTATCAATACAGCAATAAAGTAGCATATGTGAAGAATTACGATTTTACAGACTATTGTTCGCATTGTACAGTTTTTTTCTTCTCTATTCACTCGTAAAATCAATAGGTTAGGAACGGAGGGAAAGAGACTTATATAATGTAGCTAATGAACTACCGTTATTTGCTACTGCTTGGTATTGAAAGAACATTATCTGTCTATTTAGTTAAACTTACCGGTTCTAATGAACACAGGGAAAAAGTTACCCTTGGGTGTGGAATTGTTTTAGATCGGCTATTTTCCTTGTTGCTTAATAGATACAGCGTTGGATAATAACAATTACTACGACTTGACTAATTTAGAGTAAACATCATCAAATTTAAATCTTGTCTAGACAGAACGTATTTTATCTGACGTGGTTTTCCAATCCCTTGTTCTACTCCAATTTTTATTGTTGACGCGGATGTCTTGTTTTGAAGGTTTCGGATGAGCATGTTTGAGAATATCTCCTCGCTTCACTTAATACTCTTTTATGAATAGCCATCATTTATCGAAGGAAAAGAGTCCGTCATTTCTCTTTTCTCTCTTTTCACTTTTTTCTATTGCTGTCAGTCGTAAAAATATAGACACTCGTAGCCGACCTTCCGATTTTTTAACCAGAAATCTTGACAAGCGGAGACAAATGACCAACGTCGAACCATCAAGTATTACTCAACGAACAAGCCATTCACAAGCTTGCCGCTTGGTTGAGAATACATGGAAGCAAATATTAGCAATAGCAAGCCATCACACACATGCGCATAATTTTGAAAACGAAGGAGACGACGCAATGGCTGATTTACGAAGGATGGACACAGCAACAAGGTCTACTAGCACCAATCGACAACGAAGAGGGCCGAATAGAAGAGATCGAGCCTCATTCTATATGAGAGAGAGAAACATGATGCATGCATTGGATACTCTATTCGGATTGGCTCATACTGGTAAAGTGGTACACTTGTGATCCAAATTTCAAAACGAAATATATCTATGTATTTACCAATTTCATCTTATCATCCTTATTCTTCTTCTAGGCACCGGTTATATTGCATTTGTAAGAACGATTGTCATGTCCATGCAATACGATAACCCCGTCGCAATGGCATTTTTATGCCATGTTATAGACAAATCAGCACTTCCTTCAAAGGATACCTTACAAAAAATTGGACCTCTCGTCCTAAGCCTACTAAACAAAAAACCCAGCCGCCTTCGACGTATGGTGTCACTAATAACAAAGCGTTGTGGCATGGAACGTGGAGCAAACAACCGAGAGCTGTTACGTATGCAGCTCTTTGATGACAATGCTACTTCAGCAACCCTGATGGCTTCGGATCAAGACCCACAATCACTTTTGCATAAAATAAACGGTGCCATAGTACTGTCTTTGTTGGCAGAAAAGTTTGCAGGCGAGATGTGTTTGATGCTTTGGTCTGAAGACATAGGAAAAATGCTCATGAAATCGCTGGTGGATACCCAAGAAGACCTTACAGCTCGGTTATTTGCATTGATTGCATTAGAAAAGTTTGCTCTAACAGGTATATAAAAAGGATATATTAGCCTCCTTTACCAAAAAAAAAAAAAAAAAAAAAAAAAATAATTGACATATAAACCCCTTCCACTCGTTTTTTAGGTGCCGTGAAATCCGCACTATTGAGTCATGAAATGCCTTTACGATCAGCGTTACTAGACATTCTTATGGAGTGTGAGCATGCGTATAAGCGTATTCGGGTACTGTCTCTGTTAAAGACGCAAAAGAAAGACCAACCGCTCATAGATACCATCGGAACATACATCAAGGTTAAGGTAAATGAAGGTGAGGTAGAAGAGCGTCGGGCTGTAGGCTTTACCGATGGAGATTCTATTCCGCCCAAGGGACCACTCAGAGAAGAATGGGCCAAGTATATGCAACTAGAGATGAGTTGTCGCTGGGCTCTCGACCGTGTATTCATAGAAAAAAACGTGGTAAAAATAATATCTGCAACCGAACAGATTGTTCCTCGCTGATTTTTCAATAAGCTCACGAAAGCTTAACTTTATTTATTCAGCTATCCAGTCCTTGGAACATTTCACAACTAGGCGTTATAATGAATCCCTTTGATGCAACACCTTACATGAAAGTCGGAATGCATGGTCTAACTGTAATGATCGATATTTTTCAATATTTGCTAAAAATATTATACTCACGTTAAAGTTTGCTTTTTTTCAATTGTTAGCTACGAAATGATAGGCCGCAATTTGAATCAGTACGTGCCACTGCTTGTGTTAAAGATGGAAAATGGTATTATGAAACGTTAGTGCTAACTAACGGTATCATGCAAATCGGATGGGCTACCAACCGCTGCCGTTTCTCCCCAGACGATGGTTATGGAGTAGGAGATGACCGTGTAAATTCAATTTTCAATTGTTGGTTCTAATCCAAAATAGTTCCCCCATTTTATTGAGTTTTATTTGATTTATTTATAGAATGGTTTTGCCTTTGATACCTACAGAACTGCCATTTGGGCGGATGGTTCTGCTGTTTATCCTCAAATGGAATATAGAGCACGGTGCGAAGCTGGTGATGTAGTTGGCAGCTTCTTGGATTTAGATAATGGTTTTTGTTCCTTCTATATCAACGGAAAGAATCATGGACTTACTGTCGAATTTGATCATCCCAATAAGAGAATCGATACTTTATCTCCTAGAAGCCGTGAAATAGCCTTAAAGAAAAAAGCAGTCGGTTTAGGGCTCTACCCTGCGGTTAGTCTTACAACTAATCAGCATTGTATGATTAACTTTGGTGACTGTCCATGGCTTTATCCTCCCCCTCTCACCGTTGAATTTCAAGGTGTTAACAAAGCTGGTAAATTAGACGACGACTTCATTAGAAGAGTTCTACGTTGGGAAAAGAAACGAGGTGTAACAACCCATGGCAAATCATACAAGCCTATGAACAAACCACCATTACGTCCGCTAGAAGGTGCTGATGAAACTCCAGTACGGTCTCCATTGAGTGCAACTAGTGACGAAGAAAATGGTATATCAGATAATGAAGATAAGTATGACTGGGATGGACCATTATGTACAATGTGCTTTTCTGAACCCAAAAATGCTATGCTACTTCCATGCAAGCACACTGGTTTCGGTGTACAATGTGCAAAAATCTTCAAGAATTGGTAAGTCTAGCAACTTCTTTGGCGTACCTATATCGCGTGACTCATTTCATTCTCTTTTTTTTTTCCTTTGCTTTTGATCAGTCCTATGTGCAGAGCAAATATTCTCGAGATAAAAAAAATATAGATGAATATACTCAGATATGTGTGTCGAACAGTACTCTGTCTCTAGATTCAGCTTTTGAACAATTTAAAATACTTAATGAGCTAGTTTCTAAATAACTTATTCATGTACATAACCTCAAAAACTGTTTGTCCTTTTGTCCTTTTATAACATTGTACATACTGATATACTTTCACTCAGCTGCATTACAAAGCACTTCAAAAATTGACATTCAGCTAAGTTTTTTTCGTTGAAAGTCGAAAATACTACTAGACAACTTTGGAAAATTGAGAATATTTATGAGAAAAATATATACATATTTTAGATAAGTTTTTTATAAATTCAGACGTACTTACCAGAAATTATCCAAATTGTTATTGAATTGTGAGTTGTGTAAATGAGGTAAAAACAGTAAGCATTCGGCCTTTGGTTATACTTTATGAATATATTACAACTTAAACTGTAGGGGGATGTGTGAAGGAGTGATATCAATCACACATGTAGGTCTTGTATGAAAGATGTTTTTGGCAGCATTGACGGCGCGATTTCAAATTGCATTACAGTTTTATACTGCAATACAGCATGTACTCTTCGCTTTGACGTCGCTATCTTTACATTCTCCAAATGTCGAATGCTTGCATTTATTACAGCTAGTCATATATTCATTGATGAAGCAGATTTCCACCTTTTCATCTTCACCATCAATAGGTGCTTTTGTCTTCTTGTTCGGACACAGATTGCTTGTAGGCCATGCATGTGTGGCTTGCTTACAGGATGGACACGTAACCATTTTCGTTGTTTTATTATCAGCTTTGACTTCTTGGAGAGCTTCTTCTTTTACGCCTTTTTTGACAACACTGGCTTAGACGAAGAAGCACTCGAGGAATCATTGTATGCCATTGGTATCAGTGTGTGGGTAACTGGAGCAACGCAGATGATTTGATAGAGTCGTAAATAAGGTAGTCCTACCTATGTGCAGCTTGGGCCTTTATAAGGGCCGTGAACTGGGAGGCGTTGTTTGCCTTTCCACTTTTGTTTAAAAGAAAGAAAGCAAAAAGGTAAAGAACATTGTGTGTTCTATTGTATATCGTGTTCCTTTTTCTTTTCTTTTTTCCTTTTTTTTTTTTGGTTGTCAAAGAATTGCTTCATTGACAACATCACTCAATAAGTGATGGCTCTTATCAACATGCACCAAAGTTCTGAAAATTTATTGCTATCTACAGACAGTGGGGTATCTCTGCTCCTCAACTAGTTTTTTGATGTTATAGTATGCTTAACATATTACACAGGGTACTTAAGCGCGCTGGTTATTGCTCTTGTTTCCTCGTCACTCCTCCGTTTTTACAGTGCCCTGAGTTCAAATTCTAAAAAATTCATCTCAAACTAAAATTATTAAAATCTAAAAAGTATTTATGGTATTTCCAAAATCCATTATTCTGTTCGTCTGAAGCAAACAGTATGAAAGTCCGAATCATAATTTAAGAAACTATTTTTTTTTCACACAATAACACCCTTCACATATGTTGTTAAAGCACCATTTGTATGTAGTCACAGGAGCCAATCGAGGCTTTGGTAGAACAATTGCCCAAACAATCGTAAAACGGAGCAAATGCAAAACCACTTTGGTGCTGGTGAGCCGTAATCACCAACAATTAGAAACTTTTATCGCGGGAAAGGAAAACGTCTCTTGCCATTTTATTGCTAATGCTAACCTTCAAGGTGCAAAGGAGGCTGAAGAAACTGTCATAAATCAGCTTCACAAACTTTTAAAGGTGAAAAGCTTAAAGTAGCTAGCGCAATATAAGAAACGTTTCTAAGCAACGAAATACAAAATTTATAAAGCAATGGCAAAACGAAGATGTTGCGCCAATAACGAATGCTTTCCTCATTAACAACGCGGGATCTACAGGTGACTTATCCAAGAAAGTAAAAGATTATGAAGCTTTGGAAATACAAGAGTACATAAATTTCAACATCACTTCTTATGCTATGCTGGTGTAAGTGCATTATCCAGCCAGCTGCTTTGCCAAATATAGCCCAGGTTGACAGATACAAACATCTAATCCATACATCTATTCATTACCTATAGTTCTGGATTCATTCGTTTATTCGCAAAAGATATAGTACAGACAACGATTGTGAATATCTCATCATTGCTTGCCGTTCAGCCATTTCCCAATTGGGGCTTGTATGCTACTGGTAAAACCGCTCGAGACATGCTTTTAAAGATTGTAGCAAAGGAAGAGGTATCTATGCTTAAAAGAAGGTTAAGCGAACCACAATTTTCGCTTATTGACAATTTTTGTATATAGCCTTCTATCTGTACATTATCTTATTCGCCTGGCCCTTTGGACAATCAAATGCAAAAGCAAGTTCGCGAGACAATAGGCGATACTGAACAGAATACGCTATACACAAATATGGCCAATGAGGTACATTTAAAGGAATAAGCTTGCTTTATCGATTCAAGTAACTTACAAAAATCTTTTTTTTTTTTTTTTTTTTTGTATGTTTGATAGAATAAGTTAGTCAAAATGGAAGACTCTGCTTGTAAATTGTTTGATATATTAGAGGAGAGTAAATTTGAATCAGGTAGCCATATAGATTTCTACGACGATGTCTGAGAAGTAACGCCGTTCAATAAAGAAAGCTATTAGTTCACCCTTTTTCGTGAGGTAAATTTTTGATGAGAAATGGTTTGATCGTTATATACGTACAAGATGCCTACGCCATTGATTCAAAGATCGAAAATGTTGAGCGGAGGTACCTCTGCGTTCTGATCTGACGTACAAGACGCTCCTAATGGATCCCTTCCTGCTTCATAAGTTTAATTGCAACGAAGTCGGGCGCTCTTTCCAAACCAGTAACGCACTGTACAGCATTGTACTGATGTGCTCTTCATTTATTGCATTACGCATCAGCCTGGAAGCATTCTCACTTATATCTAACCATTTACAAATCAACTGTGAAGAAGGCTTATAGTTTAAAAAGAAACAATAGGTGTTAGCTTTATACTTAAGTTGAGAGTTACAAGGGGGTTGCAATTCCATCGTCTAGAAGTGTCTGCAGTAGTATAAACTCTGTCCCGCTAGTTCTTTAATGTTAAAAGTTGGTTAGCAGCATCTAGCTGCTATTAGTCATTGTATGATTATTTGCTGGTGTTGGGTTAACATCGAGTAATCATTTTTTATTGTTAATGACCAACTAATACGGACAATTTCAGAGGCAATTTGTGCGATGGTATAGTGAACGAAATACAAATCATCGATATGTGTCTCAAATGAAAATGAACTTCTGAAAAGGATCGTATATTGCTACTGATATCAAAGATATAAGCTTGGAGCTCAAATTAATTAGTTAAATAGCTCAATAACCTTCTAATACAGCAAACATTATTTTAAGCGAAAATGCTAGCCAAAATATGCATTCTTCAAATTACCAATTATGGAGGTAATCTACTGTATACAGCATTGAGCAATTTTAACTCTAGATTAGCTTAAGCCTTCAGGCCGTTGGTATTTTTTGAAGTGACCACTGGAAGTCGTCACTCTTAAGCGAAACTATTGTTGCAATTTCGGTTTTAGAAATAATACAGAACTGATACTTTACTTTATAGGTGATAGCTTTTATCACACAGTTCTAAACATTAATCGTTACTATTATATAGCGCATCCCTCAATTGGAACCTTTGCATATAAAAGCATTGTTCAATTGTTTGCATTAGTAACACTGACCCCCGTGCGAGTACTATGAAGGGATGAGCGCAAAACTGAACATATCATCAATGTTCTCTTATTAACTAGCATGAGCCAAAGGTATTTAATTTTGTACCAGAAAAGAGGCCTTTTTCTTGTATTTACTCGAATAAAATGAGAATGTGATCAATTGAGTAAGCTAATATTAAGTATTAACGTATGTAGATTGTAAATGGTAACTAATGCTATTGCTGATACTAATCAATGATCGATGTCCTATTTAGAAATAGTTTCTAAAAAATTGCTGGGAATGATACCACTGCATACAACTTTACGAGTTCGTCTATTTAGCAAGCTGGCTTCCCACCAGCCTTGCTCACCTTCTTCACTCTTAGAGATTATACCAAGAAGATCGCCTTCCTTGAAACTTATTTCGCCCTCTTCTGTAGCTTCGTAGTCATATAGAGCGTATGCTATAGATGTATTAAAAGACTGAGACACAATTGCATAATTACCCAAACAACTGATCAGTGGTTTGCTTACCAAAATCAATAAAATGTTGATCAAGTTCACTCGGCTTCGACGATAAACTATTATTGGGGCTAGTGGATGATCTTGAACTTACGCTATAGAAATCCTTAATGAATTTCTCACTGCTGTAACGATCCTTAGAATCAGCATATTTTTGTGAACCGACTAAGGATGCTGCAGAAGATGACGAAGAAACGTTCTGGTAGCTCAGCCTTTTTCTATCAGTATTGTTTTGATGAAGCATACGGTCATGGATCGTTTGTGCTGAGGGAGGTGATTTTGATTTCGTGGGGTTTTCAATTTCCAAATCACTACTAGCTGTTCGACGAGTACTGGAAGTATTTGTTTCTTTTGAAGAAAGCGAGTTGAATGGGTAGTAAAGATTAAGGGTATTTTCGTCACTATTTCTTATAGAGTCGGTGTGGAGATGGTATTTTGATAATGGTCGAGTGCTTTCTATCGAGCTCATGCGGCGAGAAGAGAATTTACTTTGCAATCTTTGCGGGCCGTGAAGGGTTTGTTGCTGCTGCGTGTTATTTAGAAGTCGCTCTTGTTTTTGTAGCAATGGTGAGGATGTAGTTCCAGAAGGTTTGGGGCCGCGCAACTTTGGTGGTGACTCGCCAGCTTCTGTGCGAATGATTTGCTTGCATCCCAATTTACGCAACATATCATCTAACTCAAATGCAGCAGCATCACAATTATCTAGGTCATCACTTTCAATGCTTTCTGGCTCCCCTCCTACTTCTTTCTCAACAAGTGGAGGTGGAGTGCTTGAAGGTGACGACTGCAAACTTCTATTGTATTGCGAAGCATCTATGCTTATTGTACTGTGCCTATCCAACCTCGCTGTTGGATCGATAACATCAGTCGTTCTAATCATTGCTTGATTGAGTTCATGGTCATTATCAGAAGTTTGTGAATTCGCATCGGTTTGTATATCGCCAACAATAGGGGAATCGGCACTATCGTTGGATCCCACTGCCTGGCTGTTTTCGTTAGATTTGTTGACGTTTGCTGTCATGAGCCCGTTGACTTTCTCATATGAATCCCTGCTGTCCATTGTTAAGGAATTTTTCATACTATCCTTACTTTGTTGTTTAGTATTTTCATTTTTATGATTGGGTTCGTTTTCGAAACTCGACTCTTTATTGACAATCTGTTGTATCAGAGGCTTATCGTCATTTTGATTACTACTCATAAGGTGAGTGATATGAGTTTCTTCTGTCCCCTCCATTACAATTTCTTGCCCCGCTTCAACATCTGACTCCGTTTCTGTAGTATATACCGATTCCTCGTCATCTTCGTCGTCATCTCCAGAGTAGACTTCCATCACGCCAACCATCATATAGTTACTACTCAATTTGGGGGTTTCATCGACCATATATTGTGTACCTTCTTTCTTTTGTAAGGACTGCGTAGTCTCAATTGAGTCTATTTTTGCTACTGATGTTGTCGGAAGTTCTTCTGCTTTATTTTGATCGTACTTTTCCGTATGATCGCTGTGCCCTTTATTTGTATATTTAGCCTCTCTTTTATCAAATAGGGTTTCCTGATATGCGTACATTTTGACATAGTCCATGACACCTACATTGAAAATTAATATCACCCGAATTGCAATATGCAATTGTTGTTATAATTCTTACCGGGAGGGATATTTGTGGATCGCTTTCCCTGTACGAAATCAGTAAGGTCCTTTGTGGAATCAATATTTGAAGCTTCTGCATTTATAGTTTTATAACTCTACAAGAACTATCAGTTTCGTTATCGGAAACCCCATTCTTTAAAGTTATATATATATTTCACCTGAAGTTCATTTTCGGCGCATCCAACCATTAAATTGGCGCAGTCTATTAAATTTGATTTTATAAAAGCTAATCTCTCTTTTTCCAGAATTTCGAAGCCCTTTAAAGGTAAGATAAGTGTTAATGGATATACAAATATCCTTAATTTTTCATTGCTATACCTCACAGGTCTTCCGCCATTCAATGTTCCAATGATTAACGATTTCTTGCAAGCCACCTAATGCTTCATCGTAAACCTTTTTGAGCTTGTCTATCGTTAATTCAGCTGATTTATAAACAGCCAATTTCTCATCATCGGTTGTTTGCTGCTGTACTAAAAGATTCGCTTTTTCGATTTCCATGTTATGTCGCTTATGGGCCTAAAGATTCAAAGCTTAGTGCAACCTTGTAATTCTAATTCTAGCTGCTATATCATACCTTTCTAACAAGCTGAATTTGTATATGCCTGTCATTATATAGTTTTTGTATTGAATTTTGAAGCTTTTCCGACCATTAGACTCCATAGGTTAAGATATGTATATAGATGACTATAATAAATGACTTACGTCTTTTCTAATCGCCTTTTGCTTATTGATTAAGGCACTCAATGGAGCAGCTACATTTTTCCTTAGTAGATCTGCCAGCTGTAAATGTATTTCAGCGATAATTGAAAATTCATTCTGCACTGTATCAAGGGCTCTTTTGCTGGAGCCATTTTCTGTATCCGAAACCTTTTGCTTTTGCGCAATATGTAACATCGTTTTACCATACTCTTCTTCAAGCATAGCCCTAGAAACGTTCGTAACGCGGTTAGCTTCGCTTCGTCCTCAAAGCCTAAGGATACTGCAATGATTATACCTTGCTTCATATGCATGTCGCAACCTCTCACACGTCTGCTTTGCTCCTCTCATTCTCTCAAGGAGAATCTTTATACCGTTTTTTTCGGCATTCTCCTATAATATTCAACCATTGAGCTTATGCATTGTTGTTAAGCATTTTTCATGCATTTTCATTTACCCAAAAGTTTTCAGCAAAACTATCATTGTCATTAAAAAGGACTGTCGTACTTTTGCTCATTCCTATAAGCACTAAGATTAATAAAGTTGGAATAAAGAGTGGATAATGTGTTATCTAAACCGATTGAAAATATATTTTTCTTGTCCGTCAGGAAATGTTTACAGTGAACTCTAAATATGGATAAAAGGGGAGTGAACACGAATTGCCTTTTTCGTCGTTAAACGCATCCAGACTACTTCGACACAAGGTTCGATGCCCATCCTAGGTTTCTCTATAGAGACTCGCCGTGTTGATTAATTGATTGTAATGTAAACCAATCCAAATTCAATGACGAGAAGGCAAACTTTGTCATACCACCGTTATTGATGTAGCTTAATGTACGGCCAATAGCAATAGTTATCAGACACAAATAAAAAAAGAAAAAAAAATAGCAGCAGTCCGTTTCGATCAGACGACCTCAGGGTTATGAGCCCTGCGCGCTTCCTGCTGCGCCATGCTGCTTTTTTAATTTTGTGAGATGTGGAATTCAGAGGTATCGAATAACAGCACGGTCTTTCGGAGTTAAATTAGTAGAATACACGTGATATATCATTGGAAATTATTGTAAAGAAAGTTATTATATAATGCAAGGAGCGATTTAGAGATATCGTAGTAGATCGGAAGTTAAATCAGATAACTTAGAAGTAGACGCGTGAGCTCTCTTCCTGACAAACTCAACTTTAGTCTTATTATTATTATTTTTCTATCCATCCGAGTGGAAAGATACATCCATTACGTTTATTTGATTGCTTGTATAAAAAGAATCTACACGTTTAACCTCATTATATTTATTGAATTTGTCCCTGGATTTTTACAGTCGGTCTATTACAAATCTTGTCAATTGATATAGTTACTAGTATTTGCATAGTAGCAGGTTTACACACGTAATAATTTATTGAATTTCTTTAAAAAGGAATCATACAAGCCTATTTGAAAATTTCACGTGATCTTCCGGCCCAAATATTTAGCCCTTTTGAGTATGCTCGAGGTATCCGGTTGTAAAATGCGGACATCATTAAATCCATTCGATCCCGAACGTGTATTTTGCGATATGTAAAAGATTTAGTCTTAACACATAATAGTTATGCATTACAATATTCATGATTCCCATAAGCTCCTTCTAGAGATCATAATTAGTAGCTTGTCGTATATATCATTTTTAAACTAAGAAGTCTTACCCAGGACCTATTTATGAGTATAGGTTTAAGTATTCATTACTTTATTCAATATAAGAATTGTGATTAAATTCAGTGTACACATTGCAGTTGTGTTGATTAATTGTCATGGCTCTTCCCAAAGATACGATATATACCCTTAAGCTTTACGAAATAGGATTCTGTACATATTTCAACATCATTTTTAAAAAAATTCTACTTGGAGAGCTTATAACTCTCAAAAGTGAAATTCCATCTGAGACAAATACTTTATAATAGGTAAAAAATAACTTTTCTACGTGAAATAGGGTTTTTTTCCATTTTCTTTTCAATCGTCATAGATGGGAAAACGTTCATTTTTTCTTTGCTGCATAAATCAAGTAAACAGTCATAAGCGAGAGATTTATAGTCATAGGCTAATAATTGCATTCCAGTACAAATATTAAATGTAATGGTAAATGAATTGAACATTTACTACTGTTTGTATGATACAGAATCCGCCAATTTCCCGTTTCTCCAAATGTGCTTTGTTGTGTTCTACCCCGTCTTATTGTTCGTTCATTGTTTAAAATGAAACAACATTGATCCAATCAGAAGTGAATAAGCTCATTTCGAAAGGGAATCGTTTCTTACTGCATGATTATATTTATCTATTTTCCACAATTGATGAATATAAATAGAAGACAGAAGAACAGGAATTCGCAAAGTGATTCCACAATTTTTCCATCTTATTCACTTTTTAAAATTTTTTGAAGTCTAATCGTTACCATATCAAAATGGGTCAAATTACTCAATTTGTTAGACGCTCTTTCTCTAAACCTGAAATCTATCCTCTTTTCGTGATCCTTGGGGGTGCTCTGACAGGTGCAGTTTATATGTTTTCTCATCAAGCTCGAGCTCCTGACGTCGTTTGGGACCACCATGCTAATTCACAACCATGGCAACACGTTAAAGACGGTGAACAAGTCAAACTGGCAGCATATAATCAAAAATACGATCGCAAGTATCAGCGCAGGGAATGGTAAACGCCGGACGCAAGCCTTCACTTATGTATTTTAGACCAACTTAATTATTAACAACACGCACAATTTTTCCTCTGCATCTGAGTTTAACTTGAATAATATAATAATATGTACATTCTTTTCATTATTTTCATTTTGCTCTATTAAATGAACACGATTTATCTTTCCAATTGTTAATAGTATTTACTAATTCCTATGCATACTTTCTTGAAGAAGTATACTTCTGAATAAGGGTATATTTGTAAGGCTAAAAAGGTGAATCCTTGGACAGGATTCTAAAGTTCGTTTGATCAGTCTTCTGTACATAAAAAATGTTGCTTAAAGCCATGGCATCCATGTACATTCCATTTGCGCCAGGTTTTGTGGATTACTTGCTTGAGAAATGAGTTCAATTATATTTTGATTGATTGGCTTATTACAATCAACATCCTAAATTACATATCTTGCTCAGCGAAGATTCTTAACCGGCAGTATGCTTATAATTAGTTTGTAACTCTTACCTTTTCATGATTCGGTTGACAACATAACAATTGTGCCCTGGACATTACTTCGTCTACGTTGGTCTGTATATGTTCAAGCAATTCGGACTGCATCGCTGTTTTATGACTAGAAGCGTACCAAGCCAACAATTCATCTCGGATAAAAAGATGCAAGTACTGACCCAAACCTAGCTCCGTCTCCGTAAGGCTCCGACTGATTGCGAGCAAGCAGCTGCTAAACAATCCTTCAACCCCAATAGGGGTAATGTAAGTTTGAATGTTCGGTGTGAATCTGAACGGTACAGACTCATCATTGGCAAACATCGGATTTTCTCGACTCCAGTCTAAAAGGCAATGTTAGTCTAGGGTATATGATTTGCAATGACTAATGTTAGCTTACCTGGCAATAATTCAGTCATCCATATATTACCAGTTTGTCTCGAGACGATTAACCTATGCGGTGTACGCTTGCCAACATTGAATAAATAGGTCATAAATGTAGCAGCGGCGTATTGTGATATAAACCGTTTGCGGTGCATCCAATAATCCGAGAATGAACTCATTGTTCTTTTGAGATACTACACAGGCAGTTTTGTTCATCAGTTTTCATTTTGTTAATCATTTCACCATCGTTACTTACCTGGCTCAATATATCAGAAGGAACAAGCTGCTTTGATATTTTTTCATTAATCTCAATTCTCGAATTCAGTAATTCAGTTTCCTTCGCTTCATCCTTTATTAATAAAGACGAATACAATTGTTAGTAAGAAATATAATAATTTCATTCCTCTTTCTATTACTTACGGTGATATTACGATCGCCTTCCATTTTAAGTTTGTCAACAAAGTATGCAAGCGGATCGTCCTTGTGCATATCAATACTATCGCAATAATCTTCATACACATCGTACAAGGTGCAATAAGACAAATCGTCCTCAACCATACGCACATTTGGTGCCAGAGGAACAATCACAGGCAAGTGGAATTGAAGATTACGTTTGCGACTAACTATCTTTCGCTCTAAAATCCTATTCAGTAAACGGAACAGCTGCATCAATCTCTCTTCACGGCGAAACTGTCTCGCAGCTGGATTCTGAATGACAAATGGATGAAGACTACCGTCATGACCTCGTATAGTTAAGCGGCGATAGCAATTACCGTAATTTCGAACTATTTCAACCTCTGGCAGAAATCGGTCGATACGGAGGAAATCATTTGCATTATCTTTGAGCAATAGATATTGACCAGGGATCTCCACATCATCGAACTTTTGGTGTTGAAACTCTACGAGATAATGACTGGAAGATTCTAGCTTCTGTTTACGCGGACGAGCATCCAACACAGCTTCAAATTTGTCCCGCCAAAGCCTTAATTTCGCTATGTACCCTTCTAATCCTAATTTGCTGTTAACAAAATCATGTACAAATGCTGCCTTCATATAGCCAGGATACAGACTATTGGCGAAACGAGCAATGCTATTAACGGTACTATTGCTTAGTTCAAGCGGATCACTACGGTCTTTCATACGAGAAAGTAATTGCTATAAGGAAAAGGATTCAGTAGCTGTGATGACCTTGTCAGCTATAGTATGGGATAACCATTACCTCAACACCTTCATTATATAAAGCAACGACGAGGCGGTACATTTCTTCATCAGCCTGAGGCTTGAATTTTAATTGGATTTGATCAACCATAGTTTCCATAGACAAAGCTAACAAAGGGTATCCGGTCTTCAACATGGCCATGATTTCATCTAAAGGATGTGCTATCGAACTTGTTGCTGCTGGGGTTCCTTTTTGATCTCCACCAGATGCAGTATTCTCGTTGGAGGTTTTATCAATAACAGGTTGTTCTTTACCAACGTCTTCTGTCCTGATTGCTGGTGATGCTATGTTGGATTGATTAACAGAAGCCAGGTCTGTTTGAACCACTGTGGATGATTTCAGGTTCTTATCATATTCTTGCTTGATTGCAAGTGGTTCCGTTTTATTCTGGTCAATTTCAGACTCAGTGTTTTCGTTGGTAGCTTCGTCGTTCACATTATAGCCTTCCGTTTCCTTTGCGAGTGGTGTTTCATCAATATTATCCTTTTCCTCCTTAACTTCATCATTTAGAGTGTCCTCACCAGCCTCTTTACTGGCATCTTCTTTCACTTCATTCGAGGAGTTCGCAGAACTGCTATTGGTGTCTACAGTTTGTTTAGTGGCAAAAGTTGCATTTAAGCGTTTCGCCATGTCTTCTTTTGCTGTCCGTAGCTGGAAATGGAGAGCCTAATTTCATGTTTATAACTTCAATTGTTAAATGCTCCTGATAATTTTATATTATTAACCATTTGTTACCTGAGGATATTGCTTTGCAATCCGGATTAGAATATTTCGCGCATGTTGTGCTTCTCTTTGGTGCAGACCCATCAAAAGTTGTGGTATGAATGTAATCCAATACCAAATAGGCCATTCTCCTTTATAACAATCAAACGCACGTGATACAGTACCTTCTTCATCATCTAGACTCAGTAGCCATAACACTCGCAAGAGATAGGTTCGAGCTTTTGCATTTTTATAAATGCCTGCAGCTTGCAAATAACAACTAACAGCATTATTTGCCCAACTTAGTTCCTTTGGGTTCTCTTTGAAACGGAAATCATTGTAGAAACCCCATTCGGCCCAGGCTCTGGGTAATGATAAATCAAGTTGAACAGCGTTGACAAATGCTTCGTTGGCTTCACTGTACCGCTTCATTTTTGTTAGAAACTGGCCTTTCAAAGTGAATATGTCTGCTTGTTGGGGAACAGTGAAGAATTTGGTGTTCGTACTGGAAACAAGTTCTAATCCTGCAGGTAGTTCGCTTGGAATTTGACAGCAGTATTTTGCATATTCACGCAATCTTACAAAAACCTCTTGAATTTCCATGTTTGGTAAAGTATAAATCTTGTTAAGTTGAATAGCACAAAAGTCATTCAGTTGGTGTTTTCTTGCGACATGTGCGAATTGATTTATCAACCAGGCATTTTCTTGATATCCGCGATATGCCAGAGGCGCCCTGTCTTGAGCGGTCAATAAGGGAATAAACGGTCGATAGGCATGATTTATAGCGTCGAATATGTGTTGCCTCCAAGAAACAAGCTCGCTCCATACATTTATGTCATCCCACATATTTGGCAGACGCCCACGCCAAGTTACAAGTACACTTCGTAGTTCATTCGAGCGCTGAGGGAAATTTTGAGCATTCGTGTTTTGCAAACTCAGTAATAATTGGCTTGCTTCATGCAGCTCATAATATTGCTGGAACATGTGTAAGAGCGGCACATGGCTTTGGGAAACGATTTGAGGTAAGCTAAACCATTGCTGCAGCGTCAATTGAATGCCTTCTTCACTGATACGCGTGAAATCAGTAAATTTATCATTGGAAGACTGTGATCTGATGAGTGCTAAAAACGCTTCCATTGCTTTTAGGCGAGGCGAAGGTTTGGTAGTTAACTGTGCAACTGCGTGTTCCAATGACTCGTGTTCGGCAATCCAATCTTTCTGTCTCCAAGCGCACTCCAAAAATAATGATGTGTTATTCTCATTTTTCGCCAAATCTAAAAGTATATCCCATTGCTGGAGCTTTTGAGCACACAATACCCAATGGTCTTCCCACAGACTATACTCGGACTCTGTGAAAGGTGAAACACCACTACGCGCCTTAATTTGTGCATTTTCATACATTAGTTGAGCTTCAGACCACAATTCGCTCTGTTCATAGGAGATAGCAACAGCAGTTTCGCCATACGTGCTACGTCGCTTCCATAAACCATATAGCATATCGTGTTCCTCCAAAGATGTAAATAATTCAGCCAAAGCATCCAAAGTTCGCTCATTATTATCGACATCGTCTTTTGGCTTTTCACTGCTGACTGTTGTATTCAAATTCCTTTGCAAAATCTCAATTGCAGTATGCCAAGCATTATGGGTCTTACCCAGATGCTGTAACAAATGAGGCGGTAGCCTAAATTCATTAGTAATCTTGGCAATACCACTTAACAATGCTTGTATCACGTTTGGACGCAATTCGACTTGTTTGTTGTGAAAATCTTTCGCTAATAAATATATAAAAAGCTTAGCCATATCATGTCTTTCAATAGCTGACAGTGCATCCCAGCACAATGGAAATAAACTGATCCATAATCTGTAGGCCGTATCATCGTTCATATATTGTAGAGAGCGAGTGTTGTCGATAATAATATTTACATCATAGCTCTTCAACTCTTTCAAAAATGACTGGTGTTGTTGAATAAGCTCAGAAATGTCAACAGGAAGATCACTTTCAGCAGAAACCATAGTGCCTCCTATACTTCCGATTGATCTGATTTTCAATGCATGAGGTGCTGTAATAGACGGTTGTATCTTTACAGAGCCCAATAGCAAATCCAACGCTTGGTGTATCCAAAAAGTACTCGATAAGGATTCCCAATTTTGCACACCGAGTATGTAGTTGAGCCGGGTATAAACAGTTCGATTAATGCTGCGATCAAACACACGCATAAATTGGTGGCGTATAGTAGGATTTTCATTTCTGGTACCCATCAAAAATGCTTGCTCTAATCTAACAGTTAACTCTGTTCTGGAAAAGGATGGATTGCTATAAATTTTAAGTATCAAGTCCAAGTACTCCTCAGTAAGTTGCTTGTTGTCTCGGCTCTCAAAATTCATCATCTTAGCTAGCAGTCCAGCTTTTTCTATTATTGTAGGGAATGCTTCCTTTCTATTTAATATCCAGTCTTTTAACGTATCTAAAATGCTACGAAGCAGATCAATATCAGAGGATTTTTCAATTATCTGGTTGAGGCATGACAAATATACGCGGCGTTGGTCACCAAGGTAAGATATTCTCCTCTTAAGAAGATCAAGGATAGATTTCAATAAGTTAACTGGAGTTTCGCTGTTACTTGTAACTGAATGAGCAGCAGATAGATGCTCTTTCGTAAGCTTTTGCAGCATTTTGACCATGCCTGGAATAAAAGGATCCAGTTGTTCACTACGTCCAGAGCTACAAGCTTGTAAAAGCTGAAGAACAGTGTAGGCATTATTTGCGTTGGTTAAACCATCAGTTATTGCTGAATCAACCAACGAGCAAAAGGCAGCGACATCGGGATGCTGTACTTCTTCAGGGCTTTCATTGTTTACTGATTGGTTAATGGCAAGGAACACTCGCGATAAAACTGGCTGTAAGGTTGTCTGAATACGAATATTATCGCTCTTGATACTGTTTTCAAGCAATCTGAAAATTTGACTCATATTCAACGTAAACCATTCCACCGGTTTGTGAGCAATATCAATCGCTAAAATTTCCAAGGCACTACAAAAGGCAGGCAGCGAGATCTCATTGATTTCTTTAAAAGTTAATGCTCTCTCCAAATGGGTAAACTTGACGTGGACGTCAGGCCAAATAGAAGGATCCAAAAAGTTCCGTATTAAAGTAATCACACGCTGAACTAGCTTTCGTTGTATAACATCTGATGGATTATAGACACTGCAGGCAAGTCTAACCAGGTAACCTATCACATTCTCCCGTAATCCTAGAGAAGGAATGTACACTTTGTTATGGTTTGCGCCACTAGCAACTTTTACAGAGACCTGAGCGTTGGTAATATTTCTTTCGTTAACTGATCCTTCGGTCTTTTGCTTTTTCTTTGTTGATTCAGCTGTAAATGCTGTTAATCTTTTGCCAGACGGAAGCGTAACAATATCATCTTCCGAAGTTTCCATAGATTGTAAACGTTTCTGTTCCCAATTCAACAACAATTCAGCCAATTCGACAGTAAGTAACTTATTTTCAGGTGTGGCATTTGGCAATCCCAGTTTGGGTAAGGTGTTTACAATTTGTGGCAAAAAGTGCTCACGATAGTCAAAGAATAAATCAGACTGTCGAACTAAGAGTTGATACACATTGACAATTTGCGAAATACTATGAGTATCTTCTACTATTACTTTGCGTGTAAGTCGAACCCAAGTAGGAATCCTTTCGTTGTTCAATAATGGTACACGCTTGGGCAGAACGGGTGCAATAATGTCTAAACCTTGCTTAACCAATGTACGCGCTTCTGAAAGATGCGCACGAAGAAGAGCAGCATACATTTGAATAACAATTTTGCTTGGAGTCTCAAAGGCTGTAATAAAGTGGGCGATTAGTACATAAGCTGCTTGCTTACATGTTGCATCTTCAAGCCTCAAATAGTGCCAGCCAAATTTTATAACCTCTTTCCTCAAATCTGTCAGTAGTCTTGGTGAATGCTGCACAATCATTGATGTCAGTTGCAACAATTCAATACGAAGTGAATCTTCGGCATACTGGTCATTCTCTGCATTTGAGACGGCATTTAAACGTGCCCAAATCTTTGAATTCAACTGCTCCATAATATCTTGGCTCAGCAAATCTGTAATCTCTTCATTCTTTCGAAGCATTGATACCAATATTGCAGGGTTGATAATATGACGTAAAATCATCATTCGAGAGTAGCTAGTAACAGAAGCATCATTGAATTGTTGCAAAAAATGGCCCACTATAAGCTTCTTTTTTTCGGGTGGATAGCGTAAAGCTACATCAACCAAGAAAAATTCGCGCAGGTATGATAGATCCATGACGGTTTCTTGCGCGAACAATGTTGCAAGATCAAAGATGAGTTCGATGTTGTCAGGGTTAAGCTTTAGATAAAGTATGAAAATATGTGACAAGCATAAAGTTTCTCGGTACATTTGATGACCTTCGTCATCATCCTTTTTCATTGCATCAAACCGGCCAGGGTAACGCCATAACTTCAATAAGTTTTCTAAAATCTCTGGCTGACTACTAAGCCATTCGGCATCATATTTGACAACCTGTTTTACTATCATTATTCCTTGGTAACGTAGATTGTAATCATCAATTTTTGCTAGTGACTTTTCTATCAACTGTGCAGGCCTTTTTGCTATTTCGGCACGTACTTCGACCGAGCTTTCATTGCTAATAGTATCAATCAGTAAGTGATTGAAACGTGGCTGATCTAAGCGTTCGAAAAAATATGTAACGGTTTCAGCTGGATATCTATTCAAATATTTGAACAATTTAGAACGGAAAGGACTTGATATTGAGCGACGTAAATAACTTTCCATATCCAAGACTATAGTAACAATTTCGTCCAAAAAGATATGAGCAGCAGCAGGAAGTAAATGGAAGATATTCAATATAGCAACGATGATTTTGACTTCATAATTATCGCTCAAGTTTTGGTTAGCAGCTTGTTGAAGTACCGTTGGATCTGCCCAAAGTTTTAGGTGATCTAATAGCTTTTTGCCTATCTCCACCTTAAAGTAGCTTGTAAGCAATTCTAATAACCGTGCTAACCCTTCAAGACCGGCAACACTCAGAGTTTTATGATTCGATAGAGTTGTTAAAATGGGACGAAGGCCCTGTTGTAGCAGCTCTTTGGGCAATTTAATTTGAAGTGATAAGACTTGCTTCAATCCACGATGTGCGGCTTCGACTACCTCTGGTGATTTGGAGTATAAGGATTTGAAGAAGACTTGAATGATACGCGTCGGAGTGTGCGATTGTCTCTGGTTTAAGAATTCAGAACACGCCATGGCAGCTGATAAAAGTCGAATGCATACGATGCGAAGGTTCATCAATGATGACGCATTCTTGTATTGTGAACTACGGCTAACCAGAGCCTGATCCTCAGCATCAGCTAACGCCAAGGCTTCGTGCAGGAGACGTATTAACTCGTCATTGAATTCCAAAAAAGGCGGCCGCAGAGTCAAACAATAGGTGATAGCATCAATATTACCAATCTGCATTGCAAAAGGAAGAGCACGTAGGGGTTTTGCGAAAATAGGAGCAAGTAAACGCTCTCTTACAGGTGCTAGTATCTCTGTAACCTCGTTACCGGTGAGATCTGCCAACAATTGAAATGACGATTGTATAGTTTCACGCACAACACTATTTGAATTCGACAATTCACTCAATAGAAGTGCGATAAGATTTTGAAATTTCTTCTGAGCTTCTGGTAGCTCACTATCATCTGGTCGATTGCAGACTTTGAGAACATGTGATAGAGTTTGTGTAGCTTCAGCATTGTTAATATTTGACATTCCAGGTTGGACATCCTTTAGTACAAATAATAAGGACCGAATAAAATCCAATTCATGATCACGCATCCATTGAGTGCCCATTTCGAGTTGAGAAGTGATAATAGAGATTCCTTGGCAACCACCACGTTTGGTGAACCATTCAGATTTATAGCAGCACGAACAAAATTGAGATGCAAAGACACGAAAAATGGGCAATTGAGATATATGATTTTTACAACCCAAGGCTTTAGCGACAATCTCGAAGCAAAACAATATCGATTGCTCTGCGCGTGATCGTAACTTGGCATCCCCAGAAGTGAGTGTTTTAACAATTGCATCAACGAGTACAGTAGCATGAAAATATTGATCTGCTAATCTTTCATCCATCATGTCGACCACTGGCTTGGCTGCTTTTTCTTTGCCATCGATAACCTCGCCTATGTGTAATAGCATAAAATGACGGCATATATTTCTAAAGAATAACCATGCATCTTCACTCAAATCGGAGTATACAGAAGCTCTCAGAATGGAGATTAACATTGTCCGCAGTGTCTCTTCTTGTGCGATCCGTTTCGCTAAGTATTTTGTATAGCCGTTGTTTATCAATCTTTTTGGTGCAAAGCCAAACTTATTTAATGTATCTCCAACAACTGTACTGTCATTTTTGACCTGTCCATCCTCAATATCCATTTTATCCGATACATCCGTTGCAATACTGTTATCCGCATTCACTTTTTCTAGTACATTATCTTCAACTTCTTCACCATCTTTGGTCTCCACTTTCAATATAAACCGTCTGATACGTTGATGAAGACGTTGTGCCAGGTCTTCAGGCCCTTCGTCCATATCCAACATAATAATAATGTTCGATTTCAAAAACTCATATGCATGCTTCTTATAAAAGCTATCGACATCACTTTTCTCCAATGTTTGACATGCCACTTCCAAGCATTCATCCAACGGGAGAGATTGTGGGGTTGAATTTGGGTCGAAATATATGGCCACAGCTATTCCACTTTCTGTGTTTCGTTTAAAATCCAAATCAGGTGGCGTATTCAATATACGTCTGTTCTTACCGCCCAGTTTACCCAATATCCTTATTGCAGTATGTGAGTGTTGCTGATTATAAGGCAATGGTCGGATATGCTGCCATAATGCGTTCATCAGCTCTTTTTTTATGGGCTCCATTGTTTCGTTCAGAAATTCCGGGTTCAGGTTGTCATTGCACAATTCTAAAGTTCTCAGTGATTGTGTTACTAACTCAGGACTTCCTTGAAGACCAAGTACTAAGGGCCGCATCAAAAGAGGGAGGTATGGGAGTAGGGTGCTCAGTCGCACTGGCACAGTAAGACATAGTTCAACATAGAGCATTTTCACTTCATATCGACTTGCTACTGTGATAAGCTGATTCAAATTCTCCAAAATGAAATGAAGTAAAGGGGAAACCTCTTTATACAACTTTTCAAATCTACCACCACCAATACCTTTAAACAATAGCAATAATAAGGAAAAATAAATCGCTGATTCTTTCGTCTTGGCAGATAACTTGAAGCATGACATGATCAAAGTGGTAAGATAAGGTTGAAGGGTTGCTTCGTTGGCTTCTGGGAAGTAGTTCATTGCCATGAATATTAGGCGGAATAGGTGCAGAAAGATGGCGGAGTAATGCAAGTCCTTATCGCCTAAATGTTCCAATCTCTCCATCAAAAAGTTCAATAGAATAGGCGCGAACGCTGTTGATGAAATTTCTTGAGCCACGAAAGTATTCACAATATGAGTTAATGATGTATTGATGAGCATACGGTCAAAAATGAAGCTCATTTGAGACACAAAAATCTCTTGAAATACAGCTGGATCTAGGACAGTAAAAACAACTCCAAACATATCTAATGCCTCACTGTCAGGTATAACTTGGTTTGCGATCCTGTTGGAAAGCTCGATACACCTTAGTGGATCTTTGCTACTATTCAATCTTTTATAATGCTCGTCTGCTTCATGTGGTAACGATCCATCAAGACCGTAATTATCAACGTTGTAATATTCGAAGCATTTCAACCCTTCTCTGAGTAATCGAATAAAAATTTGTATATCTTCTTGTGAAAAATCTCGGGCATATTGTGAATATGATTGAAGGTTCACATCTTGTGGGGGTGCTGGGTTGCAGTGACGCAAACCAATAAATAGAGGCTTCAAACCAATGGCAAAATTCTTGAATATAAATCGAATCTCTTTTATACTATCTTGAGGCGAATCCGTTGTATTTAGTTGGGTATGTATGGATCGCGCTTTGTCAAAATCAAAATCGTCATACAAAGTACTCTGCTCTGTATCCTGTTCTGTTTCGCTCGGCTCCTTTTCCATATTGGTTGATGTTGCAGAATTAGGTTTCTGTTGCCCTATTTCTGTAATTGTGGCCTGTTGCATTTCTTGCTTTTTCTTTAAAAACTGTTTTTTAAATGTTTTGAAATGCATATTAAGTGAAGCAAATTTGCTGGCGAAAGCATCCAAAATACGCATTAATAAATCACGTCCTTCTTTTTTGTTGGGTATCTTGATTATGCAATCAATGAGATTGAGTAAAAGCTTCCCACACATCGTTTGAATACTAGAAGCTAATGTATGGTCATGCAGGTTACGCGTATATATACGTACTGTTCGACGCAGTTGTGCAGGTGTCAATTCAGATCGGATATGGTGGACGAGATCAGCAAGCATGCTATAAGCCAATGGTCTGGAATTGTAATACAGCAGTTAAGCATAGCATTTATATCATAGACCAATATCCTCAAATTGCTTACCGTAGAGTATCGTGCGACGTTACTCCTGTACCTATGAGAACCTTTTCATTGAGCAACAGATCGATCTTCGATACGAAGGAGGCACGGAAATCAGTTGACAATATATGTCTAGTAGCAACTAGCAATTCTTTTCGTGTTGCAGAAGACTCGGGCGGACACTCGCATAAAAGCCTCAAAACAATATTAGGTATTTGGTTTTGAAATGGTCGTAAAACAGCTGTATAACTCCTTAATATGAATGCTAAGAAGGACATCGTTTTAACTTGCGCGACAATGAAATCATTATATACGGCTCGATTGCGAATTTCGGGGCTTACACCAACAAATACCTCACCTCGAGCTTGTACTGCACTGGCAGCTTCCGCTTGAGGTTTAGCCTGGAGACTCAACAACTGATGTAGGAGTAAAATGTTAGGCTTTAGTGGCGTCTGTAAAGTGAGTAAGAACCGTTTGTTGCTATACCTGAAAAATTAACGGCACAAATTTAATGATATTCTCGGCAGCAAATCGGCGATGTGTTTGAAAAAGAAGAACTACAATGATGGGGCATTCTGTCAACACTTTGAAGCTGAACATACTTTTCGCTAATGGTTTAGATGGCGTCTCGGGTAATTCTACAGCGGCTGGAGAATTAGGTCGTGGTGATGTGGCTAGTAATGGGTTAATACCAGGCTATATTTTGAGAATTTACGTATTAGCACAAATGGAAATCATATGATCCTCCTTGACTTGAAGTCATGTTAGCTTACTGTAGCTGAACCAATAGGTGTACATGGCGCGTCAAATACGTCCTTTACTGTTTGTTCCATATTCTTGAATATCTCCTGAACAAGATCAAGAAATGGCTGAACTTGATCTTCTAATAGTTGTCGGTACGTTCTGTGATAATCAATGATAATCTTCACGCAGACAACAGCATTATCTTCATTTTCAACCCGTAGTAAATTCATTAACGTTTTACAAAGATCTGGAATATATTCTTTTAAAGCCTCTGTTTGAGGTAAACGATATATGATTTCAAGGATGATGTTACGTAGTTTCTAAATACAGTCAAATTGTTCAGCTGCAATTTCTTACGGAGACTGTACTGAAAGCCGTACCTGTTCTGGAGCGTTGCTTTGAAATACTGGGCTACCATTTTGCAATACATCCATAAATACTGGTATTAAAGTCGCTAAAAATCGTGGATATTCTTGGGTTTGAAATACTTCAACTTGATCTCTAAGTTCATTTGCGATTGTCACTTTCAACCCCACGGCTAACCATAATAGAGACAAGTTAGTTTCATAATCAAAGAAAGCAATTGGAAAATCACATTGAACAGGTTTGCTCCTAACCTAAGTTGGGGTCACTAAGTCGGTGCGCGTAAACTTGTAAAGTTGTCATTGGATGTAAATATTCTGCAAAAAAATGACTTAGTTTTCCAGAATTTGTACTGAAAATAGTTTAAATCAGTAAATATCCTTTCTCTGAAAAGGGAAGGCTGTCAAATTTGTAATTCCCACAATGATATGAATTGTTGTGTGCCTGAAAGAAAGAAGAAGCGTGTAACTAGTATAAATACAAAAGGAAGGGAATTAAGAAAAGGTAGGAAAAAATATCTATGTATCCTAAATTCAGATTCTCACGTGATAGGACTGTTAACAGTCTCAGATGAGTATATTAAATGCCTGGCTGAACATCCTCATAACTTATGATCAAAAATGCATAGCAATTTACAAGCCGTTGCGTCTTGCAAACCTTCGACATAAAGCTATTCCAAACAATTCCATGAGAAAATAGTGGGGGTGCTTCCAACGCAGCGATATAAACGAAAAAATGTATACTATCTCCAAACCGTTTTGAACACATATTCTGGCATTACCTATCTGCTGAGTTACAGACAATACAGATCTGGCTTGCCTTTACTATCATTGAAATGGCGTCTTTTCCCCATTGTCTAACTTTTTTGAGTACATTATTGTTTGAATTGAAAACATGTACATACTTGTGCTATTTGTCATTATCTTTGGACAAATTCATGTATTATTGTAACAGTACCATTGAGAAGTCTTCTTTTGTAAGTAAGAACTGTTATACTAGCATATAGTATACAGTATAGGAAGAGTTTCAACATGTCCGAGAGAGAAAGCTTGGACAATTTTTTATTTAATATGAGTTGTTTCGTACAATACAGCAACAAAATATCTGTCGTATCTCATTACCGTCAATTTTGTAAAGTATTATAGATAAGCTCTTGCCTATTAATATATCCGTCTTGATTCTTAATCACGCTGGCTATAGCCATCAGGTCGGATAAGAAATAGCTTGAAAATCATTTCACTCGTCGCTACCTGCTATGATTGAAAAACAAATACCAAACACCCTTCTTTTGACATTGAGCTTGATTTGGTTTATCGATCATTACTCCTTTCGATATCAAATATCTGTCTATATTTAACTATTTTATAGGCTATACCAGCAGTGACATTGGCAATGCGTATAATCAGGAGTATGACTAATGTATAGAATGGTTTAATAAGCTGAGAGAAGTATGAGCCACTTTTAATTCTACTAACCAAGACAAACATGATGATCAGCGACCAATTAAAGTCAGTATTGTTGTTTTGGAAATATAAGCAGTGGTACCATTGACCGTATCAGCCCTTGCATGTCAGGTTTTATTGTCGTTGAGATGGTATCTGCTACTAATAACTCATTACATCCGTCGGTTCGATTGCTTTATTATAACTTTTAAAGAATGCTAAGTCGTCTTTGATATTTTGTATGTAATGGATACTGAAGCCAGCAGAGAACTATCTGTTTCTTCCCTGAATTTCACAATAACCAGCAGCTCAATGTCCAGCAGCAGTTTTTACAACCAGTCTGTCAATAGCTAATATTTTTGAGCTATAGGAGGCCTTTCTGAGTGATATACCAATGAATATTTACGGTGTGATTTTTAAACATTAGATCCCCCAAATCAATATAAAGCCGATCGTGAACTATTAGTTGATTACTAAATTGCAAAATATCTCTAAAACTTTTATTGACTGACGCCTTGACCTAAAGTAGATTTTGAGGTTGAGCAGTAGCCCCAGAAAAAAAATTATTTAATCATTTAGATGCCAATTTAGAAGCACTCCCTGCCTGACATGATCAGTTTCTATATTTAGTCTTCAACCTTAATGACATACATCGCACTTGTATGAAGACTACATTTTTGAACCTGACTGTTCCAAAAGAAGCGTACCCATCTATTAAAATTCTAGAACAAAACATCTATTGTGGATTTTTTGACTTATAAGGTATTGAACAAAAAACAAAAATGAAAGCGTATACATTTATTCAAACCATTAATCTACTATTTTGACGCTGCCTTAGCATGTATGAAGACTGTATATAAAAGCTTCTCCAACCCACCATTTGCTCCACGCCCGAGAATAGCACGCTGCAGATATCAAACATGCAACTGACAAAAGTTTTGATGCTATCGCTCTTCCTCAGGTTTTGGTTCTGTAAGCTATCGTAATTATTCTTTTTATCGTGAAGACTTTGAGCCAATTCTATTGCTATGTACGCTGAATCTACTAAACAATCCGAAATGTGTATGATGCCCGATGTACATATCAATCCACTGTTTTCCTTCTGCAGTACAACATAATCATTTGGTTGTCGTAAAGTGAGTAGAGCACCATAGTCGCTTTGCTGCGGAAGGAAATCCGAAGAATGTTGGTTATAGCTACAATTACTATTGCTGTTGGTATTTCTTGCCACCATAATATCTGCTAAAGATTGATAAGAGTCATTAGACACCTCATCAGATTTTAATATGGTTGTACGGCTAATGACATCTGTTGCTGAACATTGGCTGGTGTTGCTCGATTTGCTTTGTAGGTTGTTGCTACTTGAGTGTGAATGTTGGCTGTTACAACTATCATTGCCGCTATAATCATTGTCATTTCTATAGCAATCGGTGGTTTCTTTCACAACCCTCAATATATTTGTTGGTGCAGTTGTAGTTGAGGAAATTGCAACATTTTCTGATGACACTATAGGTAGCTGGTTTACGTTCATTTGCCGCTGGTAGTAATCAGTATTGGATGATGGAGTGGTAGATGAGCATCGATACCATTGTATCACCTCAGGAGACATCGTGAGACTGACAGGCATTTCACTTACTCTAGTATGCATATGCAATATATTTTTCTCTTCGGAACCTTTATCATCGTCCTTAATTGCTAGTGAAGATGCTTGATTCTCTTGATTCTCCTCGATTGAGTCAGGATTAACGATATACAACCGCATGTTATTGCTATATCGGCTATGCCCCAACCACATATTTTCATCCATACGCAAAGAAGTTGAGGATTCTTCTGGTGGCTGCTCAATATTGGTAGCATTGCAAGAGGACGATTCTATTGGTGTTGTGGGCATTACCAATACAGGTTCGTCACCTATGATAAATGTTTCTTCATCATTGTCTTCATCATTTTCATCCTCAATGTCTTCTGAAATACTGTGCTGTAGATTACTGTAGTAGTTACTAAAGCCATCACCATCTACAATGTCTTCTATTTCTTCATCGTATATGTTGTAATTATCCGAAATCATCATGCTATCTCTATCTTCTATGTAATATCCGTCATGTTCGTTATTACTGTTATAATAGCTGTCAATATGAGCGATTTGTTGATGTGGGGTATATATAAAATCACCTTCTGTCATCATTACTTTGGGTTGAATGACTGGAAATCTCAATAAAATTTGTTGCGATTTACTAAAGATATAATGTATCATCCAGTTTTCCAACAGGTTATAAGGCGGTCGTTTACGATAGGAGGGGCTGTTTTGTTGTGATATTTTATGGCAAGTTGTATAAAAAGTTCTATTCGCTAAGTAAAATATCTCATCTTCGTCCTCTTGTTCTCTGATAGTTTCGCCTTCTTCTTCCTCTTCATCTTCTGTTAGGGTCATACCAAAATATAGATCATCGTTGAATACCGAAAATATTTGGTTACTCCTCTCCTCCCCTTCCTTCTCCTCGTCGTCCTCTTTCTGTGCCTCGGATAATATTATATGGCTGTCACTGGTAACGCTTGAATGCTCCTTTTGTTTCTTCAAAGATGAATTATCAATCAAAAAAGTTTTAGGCCTATCTGGGTTTATCGTTTCTTCGGTATCTATGCTTCCACTGGCTCCCACAATGAACAAGAAATTGCCGTCGTTGACCTTGTTCAAAGGATCGCTACTGTCATTCTGGGTTTGTCCATTCTGCCTCATACTTTCGAAGAAGAAATTGAATTTCTTCTTGCCCTTGAAAAAAGAATAAGCTTTTGCACACGAAATTCGAAAAAAAAAAGATCAAAGATGGGTAAAACAGTTGGATCACTCCATGGCAATCCTATTTGTTGAAAAGCCGCCTCTTTCTTTCTTACGTCGAGGGACAACTGGTAACCATTTGTGAAACCGGAGGGAACCTAAGTGTTTCCTTCTAAAGAAAGCGATTCACTTTCAAGTAATATTCCAATTTAAGTCAGCAGTCAAGGTAAAGGGAGACTATAAGTAACGTGAAATAACAAAGAGAGATGCCTGCTATTGTGGTCTTGCAAACGAAGATGTAGGCACAATTGAAATAGGTCGAATCGGGGTTCTAATACAACGAACAAAATGAGATGAGCGATTTGATTCTCCGAAAAGGAAAAAATTATGCAGAAGTGCTAAATCTGTTTCAGGCTGGCTAAAATGTTTGTATATCTTCTAACATTCGTAGTTGTTCGGTAAGCGAGAAAGATATTCACACTCTTTTATTTCGATCTGTCAGATCAATGCTAGTTGTAATCTCTGACCCTTCTAATCACGTGATAGAAACGATTACAATTAATACTAGGCGGCTAAAACAGGCGGCATATTCAGTATCGAGCACTCTTCGTTCATTGCTTTAGTCTCTTCAATAAGAATATTATCTCTTCAAGCAGTTTAATTGAAGTTATTGAACAGCACAGCATAAATAATATCTAAAATGAGATGTGATTGGGTGCAGGTTTATATGCTATGCAAGTGGCAATCCATGAAGAATTTTTTATTAAATACTTTTATAATACTTGACAGTTGCTTTAAAAGTTTCAAATACCTCGTTTGCTATTGGTTTTTATTTTACATACAAAAGAAGTCCAGTATAGAATTTGCAAAACTTCTCTTTTTGGTTTTTTTAATCTCTTCAAAAAAGCTGATAGTCATGATAAACGACATTCGACAAAAATTTCTTCAATTAGTAAAGGACATCACAAAATTGCAATGGGTTCGGGAATCCCTACCTGCTCATTCCAACTATTATGAGGGTTTAAAAAGAAAATTAGAAAAACAAATTCAACTTAAAAACTTCTCAGAAAAGGACTTGTAAGATGTTTTCCTTCAAACTGAATTGAAGGTTCATAACCACTTGACTGATCACGATGTCTTCTCTACTATGAAAATATTTCCTGCAGTAAAATTTATCAAAAAGAAAAAGATTTAAAACGTAGTTCTATATTCCATCAACAGCAACAAGAACAAGGTACTGCTTTGAATGACAAGTTAGAATCCATAAAATTCTATGAAAACGCCATTTCACAGTTGCAAGCTCAATTAAATGAAGCTGAAGTAACGGTAAGTTCAGTAGTCAAGCGCAACATCAAATTTATGCTATAGTAATAGATTTTATAATGCGCTTAAAATTTTTTGCTTTGCCAGTTGAACGAAATTAATGATGAGAAACGAAGGTTAGACTTATTATGTGAGGAATTGCACACTCTATACGATCAGGTAATGTGGCTATGGTGGCATAGAATTTTTCGTAATGCCAACAGAAGTTTAATGATTCGGTTTAGGTTATCATGCCGGATAATGAAGACTCTGCATATCTTTTTGAACAACAGCTGAAAAAAGATGTACAACAGTTAAATGATGATATGCCTGCTGTAAGCTAATATGGTCAATTCACTGTCATAAATGGATATATACAGGTTTTGATTTTTACATTATTAACCGTTGGATCATGTATATAGATAAAGGCGAAATTACAGAATTATTCTATTGCACAATCTAAGCTTTACAAGGCTAGGGACTCAATCGAAAAAGCCATGAAGTCACTTCCTGGTGCATCCACCTTCATGGATAGGCAAGCCATCGTAGCTACCAACAGCAACAACAACAACAAAAAGTCGAATGTGAAAGAGTACAATCACAAATTGTTCTCAAAGACGGCTTCACTTGCGATATCTTCTTCTCTACTTGTTGATCCAATAAAAAATGCCGATATGATCGCTCAAGAAGCATACCGGCTCGTCAAAGAAGCAACAGAATTGTTATCAACTGTTGAAAGTGACCCTATACCCAATATACCTGTCGTTAAAGCTACAAATAATGTAACAGACAGTAACAATCATTATTACCATCATTACTACCATCACAATACAAATACGAATAATGTCATTTATATTTTAACCCATTACCGAGGTTATCGACTCAAAATTGAAACCATTTTAAGGACAAAAATTAACCCACGACTCCATCAACTCACAAATCAGCTCTCTGCTACAAAATATCTCCATGAGCAGAAACTGATCGAATGGATTGATTCTCAAATAATCAATCTAGAAACTTATTTGAAAGTCAATGGCTTATTGAGCCATCAAGAGCATTCTTTATTAGACCGAGATCTCAGTAGGTTAAGAGTGAGTTCGCGAGCAGCTATTGCAGCCGTAGCATCGGAGGAAATCAATCACGGAAGAATGACAGTAGATGATGTGCTTGATATAACGAGATTCATCCATATTGATGGAGATGAAACATTACCTGAGTATGATGAATATCAATGCAGCAGCAGAAGGAATGGTATCGACAATATTGGCAGTAGTAATGGCAGTAATGGTACTAGCAGTAGTAGTGACAATATCAATGATAGAGAGGAGAGGAACAGAAACAGTAGTAATCGACCTAGAATGAATTCAGTTGATGCAGCAGCAACGGCCAATCCAATTATGGCAACGGCTTGTGCAGCAGTTGCAAGAGTGGAGCCTTCCTCCTCTTCATTATACTACTCTATTATGAACAGCCGTGGTAGTGCTGATGAACAGCCACATGCATACAGAAATCTGTTGTTTCAACCGAATTACCCATCCGATTCTCTTCCGCCTGCTTATACGCGTTAAAATGGACTTGTATAGTCAATTTTATACATAGTTATTTAGTACAAACTTGCCTATATAAAGTAATGTAACTTGTAGAGACTTTGAAACTTTATAGTGTAAGTACTGACTATAGTCGATCAGATACGCACAAAATGTGTCTTTCTTCTTACGAAACAGACCCAAATCGGAAGAACAGCTGGCTGGAAAGCATTATTTCGATGTCTCGATGTATGTTTTTTGTCTGTAGTACATCATTCGAGTATTCTACTGTTAGTATGTTATTGCTGTTCAGCTCGACTTCTAGTTGCTAACGGCTTGAGAAAAAAAAAGTTAATCATTTATACCACTGTTCTTCAAAGCAGACATTCTCATAGTAAGCGTACAGCTCTTTGATGTTTCGCTATTTTTTCTTACCTTCCATTATATGTCATTGGCATTCGTTCATCGCTCTCTAATATGGCTAGTGACTATAGCATACAACGTTATATATAGTTAACCATTCATCGGGCAACTTGCGGCCTGTAAAAGAGTGGATTTATGATGGATAAGGGAGGATACGATTAGAACCAGGCTTAGCACACTTTCCCGATAAATGCTAGAACATTGTAAGTGAAGACTGTATGTTTGTACCTTTTTTTTTTTTTTTTCTTCTTCTTCTTCTTCTTTTGATCATGCTATTCGCATCAGGACATTACCATGGTTAACGTGAGCTAAGAAAAAGAAATCAGAATCATCTTTTACCAAACAGCTTTATTTTCAAGTGAGATACATCTAAACAAATTCGAGCAAGGATGGAACACCGATGCGAATATACGCCAAAATAAGCGTAAATATTGCATGCATTTACATTGTATAGTTCATCTTTTCCTTGACATTCGAAACAAGGGCTCTCGTAATAAGCACTGGAACATGATCCAAAAGGATTGTTACATTTTTAAGCTCGTATTTTTGACAGCTCCGAGAGCTACATTGTTCAGCAAAACATAGGAGCGTTTATCCTGGCGAAGGTAGTCAAATTTTGATCTGTTAAAACTGTTTTGAACACTCGTAAATTCCCAGGACATTTAAGTAGAGAGTGAGAGCGACTGGAATTATTGATATAGACTTTAACAAAACATAATTTGCGTCTGAAACTCACGGCTTCTTAATGGTATTTCAATTTTCGGTATACTTCAAGATATTTCATCGGCACATCTATTTCAACCAGAGCAACAATAATCAGTAAACTTACTCTATAGACGAGAACTTTTTAAATGTAGATACTGGCAAAAAAAATCCAGCCGAATTCCTAGCTAAAGATTTTAAAGGGCAAGGAAGCTCTTATTATCATTTACCATTGTATAAACCTACTTACAGGTTACTACAAGTTACAAATTTTCAAGTATTTGTAGATCTTGCCATAGACTACCTCACCATGTCCGTCAAAGTCGCCAAAGGCAAGTTGGGTCGATTGTTGCTAGCCTTGTCTTTTATTTTCAACGTTGTTGAAGCTTATGTGTTTCCATTTATATTTTGCAGCAAAAAAAAAAAAAAAAAAAAAAAAAAGGGCAAACTTATCACAACGACAGCGTGACCTCCTCCATCCTTTCTACCTGTTCGTCTTTTGTCGTAGATTTTTTTTTATTTCCATTTTTCTCCTTTTGTATTAACAATAGTGTAGGCCTTTCTTTCTTGTCTAACCCTTCTTTCTCTTTTTATCGTCGGAAATAATCATATAACAATTAAACGAAGAAACTTATATGGCAGATATCAACGAAAATACCATTACTACAAACTCTTCTCTCAACAGTAAATCAGTAGTTTTGCATAATAACGAGAGCAACTGCCAAGCGAACGATTTTTCAGAACAGGAAGAGAGTGACATTACAGAAACGAGGCCTAATAATGGTCACAATGACGAGGAAGAGAGTGGCAATGCAAACGCAATAGCTTGTTCTCCAGCACTTTCAGAACAGTGTCGACAACGCTTATCGATAGAAGATTCTGCTTCTGAGGAAGATGTGACAGATGAGCATAGCAATAACACACCGCTTATTTTTCAGTCTTGTAGGATGGAGCCAACTCCTCATGTGGGGAAGGTTACGGTGGTTGGAGATGACAATGAAGCACGTGCAGTGGAAACGGATACAGTCGAAGTAGAAAATCAGAAGCAGAGTCCGCAGAGACTACCGAGTGATACTGACAATACCCATCATGCGACTGCAGTTAGCGAAGAGTCACCAGAAGAAGTGAGAAGAGAATCATGTCAAGAATACCAGCAAACAAGGGACGAGCAAACACAAAAACCATCTTCGATCATTGCTCCAGAACCAACGCATCACCTAGGATTAGGCCCTACAGATACATATTCCCCTGGAACGGCAAGTTCTATCACTACTATGCCATCACACCATCCTAGCTCCTCTGGTACCGGTACGAGTAACAGAGGGAGAAGTGTGAGTAATGTGACACCAAGCACATTTTACAGCAGCAGCAATAGCAGCAGTAACCACACCCAGATAGACAGCACGGCTACCACTACTACTGCTAGTATGAACAGTGACTCTACTGCTACTACGTTACCGCCCAGATCGCAACGTATATGGGAAATGGATCGACAAGCATCAGAATGTAGGAGATGTCATCGAAAATTCAATTTCCTAGTGAGAAGACATCATTGTCGACGCTGCGGTCAGATTGTTTGTGATAAATGCAGTTCAAATAGGTTAAGACTTCCAGTCGAAGAGTTAATTGAAGATCCTATGATATCCCTCTCCCAATACCCATTACTCGCTTCACAATATCAACGAGTGTGCGATACATGTTATCGTGAGCCTATACGAAGATCTTCTGAATCATCATCCTCTTATTATAACAGAAGTCGCCATCTTTATGGTAGTCCTAGTAGAAGTCGAACGGTACCCTCCATGCGACAGCAACAGCAACAGCAGATGCAGCGAACAGATAGCTCGCAAAGCTTGATGATTGATTGTCCTGTTTGCGGAAATAGCTTTTTAGGGATGCAAAAAATGGAGCAGGAAGAGCACTTAAAACAGTGCCTAAATGTAGGAAGTCCGCCTGTCCATGCACCAAGATACATTGTGTACAAATTGAAAGAAGAGTCAACTCAGATTGGTGATGAATGTCCTATTTGTTTTGATGAGTTCGAAGAAGGTACGTTCTTTTTATATGCAAAAAGGGGTTATGAGAAGGTGTGATGATTGGAATAAACAGAAGGTATTGACATGTAGTACATAATCGAACTTTTTTTCGTAGGTGATAAAATAGCAAGAATGATCTGCTTGTGTTCTTATCATCAACGTTGTCTATCATCTTGGTTACAGAGGGGGAAAGGCTGTCCTGTCCATTATGACTCAGTTCAAGTATAAAAGCTCTATTTCTTGATCGAATATATTTATTATCCTTTCCTTTTTTTTTTTTTTTTTCTTTTTTTTTTTTTTTTCTTTTTTTTTTTTTTTTTCTTCTTTTCCTTCTTCCTCCGGGCTAAGCTACAAAATCTGCCATAATCGAGCATAATTATCTCCAGAACCAGAAGCAAATAATAGCTTTCCATTTGTACTAACAGCAACCGATATAACTAATGGAAATAAAACAAGAAAAGTGTTCGAATCGAAACAAATGAGGACGTCATCCTGAAAAAAGGTACCTTGGTGTTTTGGAGTTTGTATTTTTTTTTTTTTTTTTAATTTTTTTGTACCTGAATTTTTATGTCCCTGAAGCATAAAAAGCGGTAATCCGGTATTAGGATCCCAAAAGTGAATGGTACGATCTTTGGAACCCGAAATGATCCATTTTCCGTCATGCGAACAAGTAACAGACAATACAAAATCTTTGTGGCCGGTGAATGTCATTTTGCACGATTGACTACTATTCGCTGTTCCTAAGCGCCATAATTTGAGTGTTCTATCCAAACTTCCACTCACGACTTCATTATCACCAGGCATAAATGCAACAGAATAAACACTGTCCTTGTGGCCTTCCAGTTTCTCAAGTAAATGTCCTGTATACGCATCCCAGATACGCACCATCTTGTCCAAGCTACCTGTAGCAATTAATCGACCGCTGTTGGAGATGGCTACACTAGTAACACCGGGATCTTTACTCTGATGATAGTCCTTGATAGATAAAATATGGCGACAACTCATATCAGCCATGTTCCATATCCGTGTTGTACGATCACCTGATCCTGAAATGAGCAAGGCACCATCACGACTAAAATCCAACGAATAAATGTCTTGTTCATGACCTTGTAAAACACTGGTTATACGTTGAGCCGCGATATCCCAAATCTTAAGTGAGGAAAAGAAAAGATTCAAGTTATTCAAAGCGTGCAGTGCATGGGATAAGAAATGATAACACGTCTACGTCTATTAGTTTACCCTGATCAATTTATCCTCAGCTCCTGTAGCTAAATATCTTCCATCTGGACTGAAGCATACAGATCGTATATACAGGTCACCCTCTTCGGGCAGATTATGGTCTTGTAAGACGATAATTCGACCATTCGGATGATGGACATCGTAGATATAAACCACTCGATTACAGCCCGCTGCTAAATATCTGCCGTCAAGACTGAACTTCACACAACAAACCACACTTTTATGATGGATTGAATTGTATAAATTGACGCTGAGTGTTCGATGAATCTTGGGGTTGAAAATAGCAAACCAATCTGAGCCTTCCATTTTTAATGAATCAGGTAAAGTCAGTGGATCGATGTCGACTAAAGAAGCTGTGGTCGTAGTGGCGGTAGTCATTGTTGTTGCTGTAGTCATAGAAGAAGATGGTGTATTGGCAGACACTAAACCTGCTGCAGCATTGGTATTTGTGGTAGTAGGTGGAGCGGCCATTCTTGGGCTACCATGTCTATTATGCTGTTGTTGTAATGTAGTTGAGGATGTAATGGGAGAGGCTCCCAAGTGGTTTGGTATCTGCGGTAACTCAGCCCTCAATGCTGAGACAGAAGATGAAGTAGAGGGCGGTGGGAAAGGTAATGGAGAGTGTTGGCGACCTTGTTGCTGTTGATGTTGTATGGATAAGTGATTCACTGAATAAGCGTCGATTTGTTGACGTAAGCGTGCTATTTGATCTTCGTATCTAAAACGAAAGAAAGGAGCGTTTCTTTAGTTCCATTTGCAGACACACACACACCAAGAACAAAAAGCGTACAAATATACTTTACTGCCTTTTCATTGCTTGATGTGATCTTTCCATTTCATAGATGGTTTGCTGGAATTTCTGCATTTCTTTGATTTGTAGAGCAACTATTTAAATATGTATCGGTCGGTTTGGTGGATAGTCCCATCTTACATAATATAGCCCAGGACCGTACTTACTCTTATTTTCGTAATCATCTTTTTGGGTCTTATTGTACATATTTTGTTGATGTAAATGATCGAATTCTTGTCTGATCTTATCTAAAGTATTGGTTACTCTTGATATACAAGGTGTAGCGCCTGTTACAGCAGCAGCAGCAGATGAAGCAGCATTATTGGCAGAAGCCGTGGCGGCAGAAGGTGGTAACATGGCATGATGGTTATAAACCGACATTTTTTTTTTTATTTTTTTTCTATTTATCAAAAGAAAGGAAAAGAAAAGAATCAGGGGAAGGAAGAAGAAAAGGGAAAGAAAAAGGTAACAATAAAGTTTGGTTGTTTTTTTTTGTTTTTTTTTTTTTAACTTTGCCATTTGTGTTACCTGAACCTTAACTCAAAATCTCGCCTTTTCAAATGCTTACTTTTGTCTGACATTAAGTGGTTTAACAACAATAACAATAACGCATACTTCCAAGTTTTATTGAAGTTTATGAATAAACAAATATGCCTCACTTTATATACATGACATGCACACGCACTCTGCACATCTATACGCATGCATATATAATGCAGGTTTCTTCCATAAACATAACGTTGCGGACATATGCACAAGCCTCTTCCTATGTATGTATTACTGTACCCCGAATGCTTCTAAATAGACATTTCATGAATGAGACCCAACATGCATCAGTGAAGCGCTTTACTGGCTAAACTCCTGGAACGACTATCAGGGGAAAAGTGATCTACTAAAAATAACTTAAATTGCGCCTGCCTAGCAATCGCGATCTGTTGATTCACTGTATATCCTACTTGCTCCATACCTGTTGAATGTCGCGTGGCATCGTTGTTTTTTTTAAACCGTCATAGAACAATTTATCAGCAAAACCAGATGAAAGCACGCGTCACAGAAAAGTTTTCCGTCGTTTGAACAAATAGGGTATAGTTAAACATTGACTTGCCGATAACACATCATTGCATCAACCACACAATCTATAACGGATAGTGTACAACCCAGATATTCGGGACCGTAACGTTGTTGTGTGTATATATATGTGTGTGTGTGTGAAAGAGCTCCAACTGAGACGTCTCATGCCGAAGAATGTTGCAAACCTAGAAAATTCACAATCAGAAAAATTGCTGTCAAACATGTACTCATCTATTTATTCCCAAATAGATGGGCCAAGTCCCATCCATCCTTCATAAACGGATCTTATATTCATAGTACAGCAGATAACCATAGGCTGATTTTCAGGCGCAAGGATATGATTGGTTTGGGCAATTTCAAAATTGTGGGGTAAAAATTGAGTGATCTGTTCATTTTTTTGCACACTGTCAAAAGGCTATTCAGCCGTAGGATGACATAATCAAATTCTCTGTGTAGTACCACTCAATTCTATTACTCTTATCAACGGTCTGTAAGGAGCTCCTACAGAGTCTATTGCTGTGGTAGAACTTTTTTAGGGCGCGCCCCTCAAGCCTCCGTTCATCGTTCACCTCTTCGGCATACCACCTTGAACTTTTGTGTTTGATTCTTGCGCACAACTTGTAAACCTAGAGCAGCAACACAGATAACATCGGTGATACAATGATAGACTAAAGTTTCTACGATCCACGTTAAGAGGTGTGACAACGTGATGCGTCTACTTTCAGCTGCTATATTTTAGGTACATTTGGAGAAATCAGCAAGAGTCCACCTTTCCCCCGCACTGTGTTAATTTCATCTCAGTCAACTTCTGTGGGTGCAGTAGAAATTTGTTCCTCTCTTTCGTGGCTTCGTCTATATTTCCCAATAGCAATATGAACAGCACTATAGTTACCCTGAAAAAGCAGTTGCGTAAAGAGATGGCAATAAAACTTTCGAAACTACCGAACAATGAACTCAACAGACAATGTGAGCATCGGCAAAAATGGTTGATATTGCTTTACTGTGGAGAAACGTACTGAACGCTATTCTCCATTTAGCTGATCTGGTTTTTCAAAAACTCAAACAAATGAAGGAATTTCAATCGAGCAAAAATATAAGCGTCTATATCAGTATGCCGACGTGTGAGATACTGACGAATAAGATAATTCATGACATACTCGCCTCAGGTACAGGAAGAAATGACGAGCCTTAACAAGATAATTTTTGTTATAGAAATAACCCAATGACTCATATTATAGACAAGAATTGCTTTATACCACGCTGCACAAAAACCACAATGGACATGGTCAAAATATCCAGTATGGACGATTTTAATTCTCTTCCTACCAATAAATGGAATATACCAGAGCCCCCTTTGGATGAACCAAGAGAAAATGGTATTGTGTGTGTGTGTGTGTGTGTGTACGATCTGTTACTACTTATAGCTATACTAAGTCCTTCCTCCTCTCTATAGCTTTGGACATGGAAAAGGGCTCGGGTTTAGATTTGATTTTGATGCCTGGTGTAGCATTCGACAAGGAAAAGAATAGAATCGGCCATGGAAAAGGATACTACGATCGTTTTATCAAGGAATGCGCTAAATGGTCAAAAGAACATGGCGCACCCCGAGCTAAAACAGGTAACTTGTTCAATCATTAATCCTTGGACACATCCATATATCTACCACCTAGATGTCTCCTAATGCGCAATCAAATTATTCTACAGTGGCCTTGTCATTGAACGAGCAAATTGTCGATAGTGGCGTAATCCCAACTGAGGAAACGGATGAAAAGCTGGACTACATCCTGACACCTGAAAGCGTCTTTCACTAGTTTGTTAATATATTTATTAGTAAAGAGAGGAGGGGAAAAAAAAGATGAAAATGATATATATATGAAACTAAGGGCGGAAGAAAAAAAAAAAAAAGCAATTTGTAGAAGTAGTCTCTTTTTACTTTTTACAAATTCAAAAGGGAAAAGAAATAGGAATTCCCTTCTTTTTTTAACTTTTTTGTCAAGTTTATGTTCTTAATGGGATTATTTTAAAAGGAGGATGAACTGACCTACAAGGATTGGGGAGGAAAAAAAAAAAAAAAAAAAAGCCGACGTTAGTAAACGAACAAGAAAAAGCTTTTGTTTTATTGTGTATGGGACAGAGGGGTTAGTTAGACTTACTCTATCCTTGATGTGTTGTAAGAACTGCTGGTAGCTCATGATGTTGTCGGTACGATCTTCAATCAAATGTGCCAGGAACCATAATCTGAGGTAGGGATCACCATCTTCTTTCACCAAGTAAAGTGTAGGATAATAATTACCACGTCTTAGCTCTCGTATTTTACCAATCAATGTATTCACCTTTTTATTCAAAGGTGTTTCTAACATGGGCAAAGTGTATTTGCCACCCTTGAGGCCCTCGTAAGACTTGACATTGAACAAATCAACACACAATTGAGGTACCACATTACGTCCTACCCAGATATACATGTTTTGACCATTTTCCAAGAGATAGCAACCATGGACTTCTAAATTTTCTGCGGTCAAGTTGAGCGCAGGTGGGAACACCACTCCGTTTTCAGTGATCTCGCCAGCATCAGCAGGCATGTTGTGTAGGGAATAGAGATTGGCATAAAGATAGGGGATGAGGAGTTGTAAGGGCATGGTATTGACCAAGTTCATAGCATTGGATCTCATATCTGTGGGAATCTGAGAACTTTGACGTAAAGCATCATGCTTGATCAAACCAAGAGCCAATAAGGGAAGCAGCTTCAGGTTATCAGGGGCGGTGAGTTGTGGGGTACTTCCTTGTCCTGAACCCAAAATATGTGTTTTGTATACGCCCATGAGATCGACAACCTTGTTCACAATGGCATCACGAGCATCATCCAATTTTGATGACAATCCACGCTCAACAGCTATATATATATATATACATCCAATCATTAGAATGGTTAGTTTCCCAATTGCATTCGCGCCTGCTTAGTTTCCACACTATCTAATATCATTACCCTTCACACCCAGGTAGGCAGTAATAGCCTGCTGATTAGCACTGGCATAAATTTCAGAAAGCGAACTGGATACAGGCAAGCACATAGTGATGACACGAATACGTCTTTCGCCATTGGAAGCCGTATGCAACAAAGCAGTCTGGAAGCAGACGGTAGGTACCTTCAAATCATCTTCCATCGATACTTCCACAACATAATTTTGATCGCGAGGTACATTGGGAAGGGCTAATAAATCGGAAGAACGAATGAAAAAGTTACCATGGAAGGCACTCATACGCAAACCGCGAGAGGCTCGGATACGAATCACAGCTTCCAAACCAATCTCTTCAGCCAACAGTTCGGAAAATTCGTGGGCAAATTTGAGAGCATCTTCTGTACGGGCAGCGTTGAATCCAGGATAATAGTACGTTTGACCACCGGTATAATGAGGAACGCAGCTAAGAGTGGCTACATCAGAGTATTGTCCACCAAAGATGATCATATCACAAGCGACTTGTGAACGAGAACAATCGACAGCGAATGACTTGTAAAAGGGTGAAGCAGCATTGAGAAGGGTGGATTCTTTCGAAGTGCCGAGTAGTTTGACATCCTCACGAGGTTTCAAAATACCAGCACCTGTGTTGGGTAAGGTGGATTGTAAGCAAACGATTTTACCACCGAGGGGTGACTAAAATAGTCGTGAAAAACGATCATCATTTAGAATAGCGTCTTTTGCATTCGTTCATTTATGTCCTACTATAAAAGCACTCTTACCAAAAGCTTAAATGCAGCTTGAAGAGCAGATCCCAATGCATTGTTCACATTCACCGTATCCTTAAACATATCAGGCAGCTTTTCCAACAATTTCTTCACTACTTCTTTACTCTCCGTCAAATTTGCCAGTAAATCGGTAGGCGAAGGCAAATAGACGTCATCCAAATCAGATACCACTAACATTTGAGGTTCGGACAAAGTAGCATTCAGATTGTAAAAGTGCAGAGAGGAATCGACAGTGATGATACCGACACGTGTACGGTTTTCATCATTAGGTAAACGGTCCAATGAATCAAGAAGGGTGCGAGCTGCTGTAGCTACCATACCCGATTGAATCGCAGAATAAGACACATCAATGACAAACATGTAAGCAGGTGCTTGAGGAGGTCGTACCATATATTCGGTGGGCGCAACGAACTCAACACATCCATAATTCAATTCAGGACGCTTCCAACGATCAGCAGGTTGTTGCGTATGATTGTCATAGTCGAAAGCAGCAGGTACATCATTGAGTAAGAAACACATATTACATTTCCAACGTTGTCCACCTTCAACAAATGTAACGAATGGATTGATATAAGTTCTACAACGTCTACATCTGGCAATAACACTATCTTTAACCACAGGAACAGGCTCCTATCATTTTTTGATAAATGGGCACGTCAATGGTTAATTTCTATACTACCATTCCATTTCTCCTTCTGTCTCTTATTCTCTTACATCGCCTTCTTTCAAACTTCTATAGGGTGCCAGCACGAGTGCAAATGGTAATCTAGATTTCTTCAGTAGAGATTCTGTAGCAGGAATAGCATTGATAGTACTGCATTTATAAGAAGGATCACAGTTAACGTAAGGGGAATCTGTGACAGATATCTTTTTTCAAATTTTGTAAGAGGTCATAAGTGAACATTAGCGTCTTCGTTGTCTTCAAACCCGTAAAGATAAACTATCCTTTTCACTTACATTAGGTGGTAAACGAACAGCGGGACCGTTATGTCCAAGATCAGCAATATGAGGACGAGCACCTAACAACGGTACAGCAGGAGTAACCTGTCATATGAGAAAAGTAATCAGTATTCAAATCCAACAAAGAAAGGTTTTACTATTTTTTTTTTTTTTCCCTTACAGGTGGTGCACTGCCCATACTCATATTTCCAAACTGAGAGGTCATTTGACCTACAGGATCCTGTCCATACGCGTTATATCCTTGTTGTTGGATAGATTGACCATAACCGGGCTGTTGTGCATGCATTTGTTGTGGTTGTTGTTGAGGTTGCCCGTAAGGAGAAGCAACGCCAACACCACCAGTTGAGGGTGTACCCATGGGTGAAATGAATTGAGGTTGTTGCTGTTGTTGTTGCGGCTGGTGCTGCAAAGGCTGAGACGCCATAGCAGGTGAACCGTATTGTTGTGGTTGTTGAGCATAACCTGAAGAATAAGGAACAGTAGCAGAAGCAGTTTCGCCAGTATAAGCACTGGTAATTTGTTGAGGGTAGACTCTCTTTCTCCTATGGTGCTGTTCAGGAGAGGCAGCATGTTGAGCCGTAGGTGACATGGGTGCGGGAGATGCAGGTTGCTGCTGTTGCTGTTGTTGTTGTTGTTGTTGTTGTTGTTGTTGTTGTTGCTGTTGTTGTTGTTGGTTTTGTAGAATTGGAGAGTGAGTAGCTGCTGGTGAAGCATTAGCTAGGCGTGCATTAGCAATAACTGGGCTAGCAACTGAAGGATTACCAGAACCAGGTGACTGAACGACAGGAGGTCTCATCATCATAGGTCGCTGTGGCTGCTGAATATGTGAGGGAGGCATCATTCCTGGTTGTGGTTGTTGAGGATGGCCAAGATGAGACGGTACCTGTCCCATTGGGAGAAATCCAGGTCTAGGAGGAATTCCTCCTGGACGGTAACCAGCTGGCGGTTGCTGTTGAGGTCTAAATCCCATCGACACAGGTGGCTGTTGTCCAGGAGTCGGAGGACGTTGTTGTAGAGGTTGTTGAGATGCAGATGGTTGTTGCTGCATTTCGAAATACGTGTCAAACGAGCAAGAAAGTGTGAAATTCACGATATTCGAAAGTGCAATTCAAATTTTCTTTCTGGCCAATTAAAAATCTCCTCCTGCGGCAAAGCGGCCATTTAACTTTTCACAAAACTATTTCTTCGAAAAAAAGTTCCTCGAAGACCAACAGTTGGGCTCTATGCTTTAAAGTCTTCTACTAACTCAAAGACAAAAAGTGATATTGTATGATACTTGCACTGACAATTTGTCTGTAATCTTTACGATCTCAAATTCAACCATTATCCAATTCATACGAAATATGCTGAGTTAGTCACAAATTCTAGTTGCGTCAGCTTTTTTTTTGTCAGCTGCACCTGTTTTCGACTAAACGGGCATCACGTCTATGCAAACGGAAAAAGTGTTCATTGCTACAAGATACAAGCATTACATTTTTAGGAATAATAATCTACATATATGGAGTATACGTATGCACAGATTACACCTTTTACTTTTTTTTGTATGCTATTCTGCGTATTGCAGCCATTATGTCGTTTTTTAGCCATACCAGCTCCAAATACACATGAATAAATTGAGCAATGCTATTTACGTTATCTGCAAAATGAAAGTTAACCTGTGTAAATGATATTATATGACTGCAAAGATGAAGTATGCTTCGTTATAAAAGCAGAGTTTCTCTACTCGTTGAATAAACTGACCTTCAATTAATTTAACTGGTATCAATGTTTAATGAAATATTAAAAAACTTTCTCGTTTTGCATCTGTCAGAAACACTTTTTGCTTCTCGAGAAAATTAGCTACTGCGTATCATTCTTCGTTTAGTTATATTCTCGTCGACTATTCCTCATTGACATGGTCAGTTGTTCTAGATGGTTTCTTACGGTCACATACGCCACCCTCCCTGAAGTGGCCTTTCACAATAATATAAGAAATATTTGCATACAGGAGCAGTCAATGAAAAGCTTTTCCATAATAAAATATTGATGAGAATAGTAACAGTTTATAATATTAAAGTTGATCTATATGCAAATAACATAAAAAAAGAAATGATGGATTACAAAAGAAAGCAAAGTGGTGCAATTTCGATATCGAATATAAATACATGGATAAAAAAAATCGAGAAATAACTAATCGAAAATGATCTTGGTGGGTTTCTTTGCTTCAACTCCAGAGGTATCTTTGAAGAAGGCACCATAAGCACTATGTGTCTTCTTCTTCACAGTAGTACCAAATGCCATTAATTCATCAGGAACCTTCATATTTGCTTCCTTCAAAACATTAATCAATTCCCCGGAATGAGCCTTATCTTCAGGAGTGAAGAATGTATAAGCGACGCCCTTCTTACCGCCACGTCCAGTACGACCAATACGATGAACATAAGCCTCAATAGTCAGTGGAAAAGTAAGATTAATGACATACTCGACATCTGGAATATCAAGACCACGAGCAGCGACGTCAGTAGCAATCATTAAGGGGTATGAGCCATCCTTGAACGAATTTAAGGCTTGCGTGCGTTGTTGTTGGTTTTTATCACCATGGATGCCAACCACCTTGAAACCATTGTATTCTAGAGATCGCTCAATACGCATCGCTTCCTTTTTATACAAAGCAAAAATAAGAACACGGTTTGTACGGGATTTGTGTACTTTTTTCAACAGATCCAAAAGATGGCGCTCCTTGTCTCTGGGATTTTGAATCACCTTAACAATTTGCTCAACATTTTTTGAAGCGGCCAAGTCAGGAGAACCAATAGTGACACGCATAGGCTTATTCAAGAAATCACTGGCAAGTTTACGGACGCTTTCGGGCCAAGTGGCTGAAAACATGAGTGTTTGACGGTCTTTAGGTGTGTAGCCCATGATTGCACGAATATCATTTTCAAACCCATCATCTAACATACGATCTGCTTCATCCAGCACCATGAAAGATACATTTGATAAGTCACATGAACCTTCGTTAATAAGATCAATTAGACGACCTGGCGTAGCTACAACGATGTCGACACCTCTCTGAAAAGCTTTACGCTGGAATTGCTTATCAACACCACCGTAAACACATACAGAGGTAACACCGACAGCCTTACCAGCCGCTTCGGCTTGCTCAGCACTTTGCATAGCTAATTCACGAGTAGGGGAAACGACCAACATGGAGGGTTTTCCATTCTTCTTTCCTTGCTTCAATTTGGTGGCAATATGGACTAAACCGGGAATAGTGAAGGCAAGTGTTTTACCGGAGCCAGTTTCTGCAATGCCGACAATGTCTCGACCAGATAGAGAAATAGGCCATGTTGCTGCTTGAACAGGTGTGGGTCGGTCAAAATTCTTCACAACGGCCATAATATTATCGGGTAATCCTGCATATTTGAACTCAAGAATAGGACGATGCCTAAGGTCACCAGTAATTTCAATAGTATGTTTCTTATAGAATTCGTCAATTGTGCTTTGTGGAAGTGCTGATAGTTCGGCGTTTTCTTTATATTGGTAGGAAGCGAGAATCTCAATGTTCTCTTCAGCAGCGGTAGTTGCTGGTGAAGCTGTTCTGTCAAGTTTAGATTCATCAGCTGCAGTACTATCATCATCTGTCTTCTTTTCCTTCTTTTCCTTCTTCTGCTTTTTATCCTTCTTGTCTTCCTTGTCCTTTTTGTTCTTCTTGTCCTTTTTACTCTTCTTGACCTTCTCTAAAGGTGCTTCTTCATCTCTTTTTCTCTTCTCGGCCTAATCATAAGATAATTAATATACATGATACGGTCAGAGGCTTTCCTATGTGTCTGTACCTTTTCAATCTTTGTAGGTGACATTGCTGTTACTGCTGTGCTTTGAAGAAGAATGAGAATTTTATTCTTGTTTTTTCAAAAAAAAAAATATAAACATGAAATCCTAACTGTGACGGCTTTGCTCACCATTTGAGCCACAGAGTTCGATCGCAACTGTAAATAAACTTCAAATGCCGCTTTAAAACCCAATGGGCACAGTGATTATCAAAAATGCCTGGAGCAGATCCTAAAGAGCAGTCGTTCTGATCGAATGACCAAAGACGTTGAACCTTTAAAGGTCATGAAAAGAGCAGTCATGTTTAAGCCTATTCGATACATGAAGACAGAGTTATATACTATTGTTCTTTAATTGGTTCCTTTTTCTCCTTACCGCTAATTACGAAGCCAACAATTTTAATACTGCTCATGTTGATAGCGTACTGTCGCGATATTTCAAGAGCGAAGTTCTTCGTCATTATTGGCATTTTATGCCTGCTTCTTTTAGCTCCTTTGTGCCATGAGAACCACTATCGACAAGTCCGAGCTCAAGGCATGCGAGCTCATTAAAACCGTAGTAGAAGCAGAGATCTGCATGTTCGCCAGAAGCCTTTCTTTCTTCCTGGTTTATGCTGCCAATCATTCGCATACTGTTTCTATGCTTGGAAGAAGCACGGCTTTCAATACCTCTGTATATCAGTAGAAATGGGTTATTCTGACAATATATTAACAACACAGTATATAGCATTCAAACATACGTCACATAGGCTGTTTCGCTTAATCTCTTTGATTTCTTAATGAAGTCTCAAATATCTTCCAAAAGATCCTGCTCTGTTAAAGGCATCTTCAACGTGGCATCATTTTGATCCATGAATAATAAGACAAAGTCAATAATGGCATGCTTTAACCAGAACACCTCTGGGTCTTTGACCGGGTGCGCAGCAATCGTACTAAATTCATCATAAATATCACTAGAACAATACTGATAATTGAGAGAATAATTAGAACATGTTAAGTGTATGGAGTTTTATAAACTTACTTTCTTGTTCAATTTGCACAATATTTCTTTCAAATTATTAGGCAATGGTTTATTCAAGGCATTATCATAGGAAGACGATATTTCCTTGAGATCTTCTTGCTCCATGTGTTTTTCCCAAGTACCAGCAGATAAATCAACAATGTACGAATGCGATGGATTAAGACGGTAAAATAGCAACGCAGAATTTATCGACATTCCAAACTTTCATTTTATTGTATAAAATACTTACTGTTCGTAGGTGAATGATTTTGCTAGATCATAAACCATGTCTTCTACAGACCTGCCTGATGTGATATATGCGGTTGTTTTATGCTTAGTGAACGCGACTTATAATTTGATATAAACTGTAAGGTGAAATGAGTCTCCTTTAGTCCTTTTATTATACACTGAAAATCAGAGAGGGGAGCGTTCACAGCAAACTGAATGTTTGTATTTAAAAAAGAAAAAATAAAAAAGTCCTCGTTCCATAATAATGCAGCATTATATATGCGCATCTTCAGAAATACAATATGACGTGTACAAGTATTATTATGATTCTATGATCATAATAACGTGTCAAATGCTTGAAGGTGTGTCTAATTCGTCTTTATATATATTATAGGAAGTATGGAAATACCACACCTGATTTAAAAATCCATGTATTTTTTATATTTTTGTGTATATGACTAAGAATTTGAACATCATCTGTACCAAGTTTTCTTTGATATTTTATACTTGATGTGCTTGTTGACGAAGAAGACTTGGACTTTTGTATTGCTTCTGTTCTTTCAACTGTAATATTAACTTCAATAGTCTCCTGCCAACTGTCTTCAATATCTGTATTTCTTTTGCAAATGTATCCCAATTCTTTCGCAAAGTACTTATAGATATGTTTCCAGGTACTTTTAAAATCCACAAAGGTTTGATTGCCTCTATAACTTTGTATGATTGTTGCTTGCATATTTTGAACAAACGAGCACCAATCTACTTTCTTAGATCCATCGGATATTTTTTAAAAATGAAAAATATCTCTATAACATGTTAAACATTTCAAGTAAGTAAGTCTAATACAATTCTTTGATACTTAGGTTGCGTTAAGTTTAAGCTTACCTTCTTTATATTCCTCATACATATTGAAACAACAACAAAATAGAGAATCACACAAAAGAAAAGAAAACGCAGTGGCAGTGTACCGTAGATCGGCATAGTTTTTATTAGATTCTACATAACAAGTGTTTCAATACCTGTGCAACCGTCAATTATACAAAAAGGTGGCATACACTGGTCCTGAGTAGAAGCTATCATATGGAAAAAAAAAACCAATGCTATGGATTAGTTGTCGTATCTAAACCAATCGCAGTTGATTCGCCTCCAACTTTCAATGTCCTATATGCTCTATGAGCCACGCTTTATTTTCTTTATTAATAATGATACAGTTTTTTTTCTTTTGTTTAAATTCATGTGCGTATTGTTGTGAGGCACGATGGCAATATTTTATATGAGTAAATCACTCAAAACGTCTAACGAAATGTAAAAAATAAAACTTGATTTCAGATATGAGTACTGCTCATATCTTCATTCCCCTTTGGTAAGCGGTGTGTTCGATAGCATACATTTGAACCTTAGATCAAATGCATAACAAATAAAGATAAAATGAGATAAGAATTTGGATTAAGGATAATTCTTATGTGAGATTAGCTACCTCACATTAGAACTGAACAGGTTATCTTTATGAAACATATTTCACTTAGATTATCTATGGCTATATGACGTTTAGGTATATAGCACGATTGGTATATCTACTCGTAGGATATATTGATTCAACAACCAGAACATAGTAGGTCGCGGTACTGCTCCCTGTTCCGGAAATAAAGTATGGTTGGAGATAAAAAAAGGCTCAATCACTCTTTATTAATACAATAACTGTTCACGCAATCAAAGGAACACCACGCACGAATATCCCTTCCTAGCTAATATCTATAATCATTCCCACAGTATTTGAGCTACACAACTGGTGGCCGATAAATATTAATTTATAAATGTAGGTGCATGATCACCGTGGATTTGCCAGGATAGCACATTACAAATCAATCCGCTCGGACAAGCCATCATCCACTTCAAGGAAAGACCTATTCTTTTACAGAGACCTCTGACTCACAGAGTATTATCTGACCATAATATATCAGTGTCAGCTATATCCGGATACAATCATTTCGTAAACAGCAAACAGTATAAGTCTTTATTAATAGCAGTAATCTTAGTTTTCTTTTCTTTTTCTTTAGTTTTTGTTTTTGGAAAGAGAAATAAAGACGGTGGTTTGATTTCGTTAGGCTTTCCTGTTTACTTTCTATTGTGTTATTCTTTACCTTTTGTCTAATGGTTAAAACTAGCGACTACCACACTTATATCTTTCGAGTTAGCGAACTATTCAATTTTTTTTAAGAGCGGGATACGATATAGAGTAAATATATGAGCTGATTAACCAAAAAAGCATTTGTACCAAGGGTGGCTGTGTATTTTCAGTTGTCGTCTCATCAACATGAGTAACATGTTTAACAGATACTAATGTCGATCTGCGCGGGGTTTGAAGTTTGCACTTCTTTCATACATTTGCCTTCTGTTCAATTCTACGCTGCTTTTGTAATAAAATTCTCTCTTCCTCTTGACTCGAATTTTATTTCTTATTATGCCTTTGAATGAACGAAAAAAGCATCAATTAGAAGATATTCTGTCAGATAATGTCTCTTTTATGGACACAGATGATTCGCCAATGGAGGGGACTCCCTCTTCTATTGATGAGGAAGCCGAAGTAGGCTTTTGTGTAGAATGTAAAGATCAAGCAGCCGATGTATTCTGTCAACAGTGCAATGAACCCTTTTGCGAAGTCTGTTCCGGTACATAGCTAGATCTTCATTTCTTTGTCTTTTCACAAGCATTGAAAACCAATTTTTTATGCTTTATCTCTAGGCATGATACATAGAACCGGCAAGCGTGCAAAGCACACTATCAAAAAATATTCAACTGTTCTCGAAGAGAAAGAAAAAGATGCAGAAGAGAAAAATAATGAGGAAGCACTAGAAGAAACTGTTAGTCATCAAAAACGCTTGTAAAAACAGTTCAGCAGCATTAATTTTTTTAATATTTCATTAACTTCAGGCAAACGAAGAGCAAAAAGCCACCCCACCTTCGAAATCTAAAGAAATTGATGTAGGAAAAATAATGGAAGCGAGAGCAAAGTTTATTCCTTTGAGATTGAAACTAGAGGAAAGAAAATACTTGAGATTGTAAAGTATTCTTTCAATGATTGGATTGATTTCTGAAGACGCGCAGATAGATTACTAACAAACCATTTCTATCTTGCAACAATCGTGTTGCTAAAGGTTGGAGGCAGCATTAAATGTTACAGAATACACGGAAAAGATTGACGACGCCTCATCTGCAGGAAAAGCTAAACGTGTCGTTAATCAGATCAAGGAGTTATGTGCAGTTTTGACTGGTCTCGTTTTAGGATGTGATTATAAGAGAGGTCAGGAGTTATTCGCAGATAGAGACTTCGAAGAAAACGAAGACTTTTTTCAAAAAATATTTGAGATTGGTCGTAGACATAAAATTATGAATCCGGAGAAGATGAGGGGCGCCTACGGTAAACTAATGTACCTTTTATCAGTAAGTTGATCTTAAATTAACTGGTCAGTTTATGAGATTCTAATGGATATGCGTACGGTTTACAGGACTCTATGATTCCTGAAGTAAAGGAAATGCTTGGATTCGATTGTGTGATACCAATCAAAACTGTTTATTCATTCTTGAAAGAACGACATGGTTTAAAAGTATTGCATGAAGATATTGTGCTACTTGCGACCATGGAAATAATACCGGACAGAAAGACGCGTTCTCAAATCCAAGCAGAAATCAAACGTAAAGAGAGGAGTATTGAGACACTTAGCCGAAAATATCAATCGAAATATCTTTCAGCAGATGATATCCGTCATTGTTTGTACAGTATAGGCGATAACAATGCTTATCTTCGTGCAAATCGGTAAGTTTAGAGATAGATGGCATATAATTTTGCTTTGTTCAGAGACTAATTGGGCGTTGTTAGTGATCCTTGCGAAAAGATGATCAGATATTTGGAGGAATTTTTCAATCCCAAAGATGAACCGGAGGTAGAATACTCTCTGTCAATCGCGTCTGGTAATGAAGGTCACCGTTTGAGCCACGATCATGAGACACAGTATATCTACGTTAATCAAACCCTTAAATTATGGCGCGAAATCCTAAATGACATGTTTAAGCTTTGGACATTGGCAGATCAAGATATACTATCACCATCCAACCCTTATCGATTGTCACAAACAGGACAAGGTTTACATCGTATTCAACCCAGCCCTGCTATTTCTCGAGAAATGCATCGCACATTATTTAGAGCACAAAAAAAGGCCGGAACTTGGATTGGCAGCAGTGTGATTCATCTGGGAGATAGAAATGTACCAAATGCGCTTATATTTATAGACAAAGTAAAATAAGTTGCATTCTACTTTTTTTTTTGAAAAAAGTGTATTGAACTAACTGTTGTTATACGTAGTATAACCAAGTAGCTCGCATATTGAACCCGATATGTATCACTATCAGCAGACTGGACGATCTAATAAAGGATGAAGGTATTCGCAAATTTGTCGAAAAGAAGTTTGGCAGTACCAAGCTCTGTAAAAAGACTATTCTGGGTGTGTAGTATACTTTTAATGTGTTATACCCCGGACATTGTGTATTAACAATTATTTTTGCTCAGCTGATTTTTTCCGATCTGCTTTTGATGGCTCTGGAGCCGACAACTTTTATGATGCTGGCAGTTGTATTGATGGCCGACTTACTTCGGCTTGGAATTGTAAGTGAATGGATTTACATATATGCACAACTTATTGAACTCACTGGAATGATACTTGTTGTTAACTTAGGGTGTTCACAAATTGAGAATAAATCTTATTTCCCAGTATTTCTATTAGCAGTAAGTAGTAATTTTTTTGTTTCCATCTCGCTGTAAACAAAGATTAACAATTACCTGTATTAGGGTTTCACTGGCTTTGATGGTGGTGGTTGGTAGAACTACTTATTAAAAATTTACATTGTATTGCTTATTCTTAAAAATGTTATAGAATTGAATAACTGTAAATATCTATTCTTCACATTACTGTATAGAAAAATAAAGAACAAACCATCTACTACGCACAGAATTAGACTTTGTTTACAACAGACGAAAAATCTCAGTATCAAATAATGAGACGTACATGTTAAGTTGTCTTAAATCAACGTTTTAAGTAATGGACCCTCACATAGAGGTAAAAATAATCAGGGATTCCAATCACGCATGAAGGATCAATTAAGCGCTGTAATACGTCGCAATTTGTTCAGAACTAATATACCCGTAATTATTACCCTAATAATATTCGATTTGGATTCTGTTATGATAATTGAGCATTTTCACGACTCCATTTCCTTAATCAACGGCTCTGGAACGAAAAGAATAATAAGCTGTCTACATAGATACCCGATTAAAGTTGGTCTCAGCATAATTATAAAGGAACAAAATTGACCTAAAACAAACCAGCATTTTATACAGATTCAAAAATAACGGGAAGCTGCCAATTCGGTTCTTCACTCCTCCCGTCGCCCTTTTTAAGGTGTTAATCCAATTCTATGGATAACTATGACTCCAATTGAATGCAGTCGGATTATACGCTGGCGTCTAGGTCGGTTACCTGGTGGAACTCCATAGCCATGCATCTGTCATCATAATAACGTGTTTTTAGACATACCCATTTACATGTCTTCGCAAGCACCGTTGATTACAAATGTCCTCACAGTAACTGATTCATTCATTTCTCCTCAAACAAGCTTCCAGCCAGAAAATTACCTAGCAGCACAGCAAATCCAAGTAAAACCTTCAACGCTTCTCCGAGTGGAAATCCAATGACCCGCCATATGTCGAATCACGCTAAGATCTCCCAAAAACTATCCTCTTGGTAATAGGTTAGTTCGGTAGCTTTATAAAGACTAATCTAGTCTTTTTGCTATTTTTGGTCTCCCTCTTTCCTTCTCTTTTACTTTTTTTTCTCCCCTTTATTGACTATCAAAAAGGTTTTTCCGCACCCTTCACCCTATGCCTGACCTGACCCAGGCAATTCAATCTCACATTGATTATGTGCTCTATGAACTTATTTTTGTTCTTTATCAATAAAAAAATATTTAATCGTTCCTTTTCCGACGAAAACTACCATAAACAGATAAGTGTACAAAGTGGTTTGTGCCATGCTGCTGTTTCGAAAGCAGCAGAACTATGTATTCAATCTTACTGCACAGATAAATTTTTAATATAAACCTTTCTTCTTCTAATAACAGCTTAGAAGTAAATCAAGTTGCTTTTTCCTGGCTTCAGCACCACGCGATGGTATATTTTTGCTTGAATCTGTTTCGATTAACCAGCTCTAATTACTATCCTGTACACAGGCTATAGAACGATATGTTCCGGTTGTAGGCGCCGCTTGCTGTCTTATTATCACAGGTGCAAGCGTTTTCTATTTGATTCTGAAGAGACGGCAATACAACAAGCGGTATAGCAATTTTGTAGACAGTTTTGACCTTGTGAAATCACTAAGAAGAGAAAAGACGGCAATCATAGCCCTTTCTGCTATCCAGACTATAACATGCTTTTACCAACTGATTCGAATCGTAACGAAATCAGATATGACAGAAATAATCAATATATTGAGTCTGTTGCTTTTATTGATTACTTGGGTAAGGATGAAGCAAATCATATGTTGAGTAAAAATCTTGATTTGACTGAATTATGCATGCTATAGTCAGTTCTACTCTTTCTGTCAATAGTATCACCTCACTTAAATCAGTACAAATACAGAGCGTACTATCAAATCTTTACGGTTATTTTCGGACTCCTATTCCTTGATTCACTTGCTGTTATTACCTTTGGAGAAGCCTCACAATTCCTAAGTATATCTAATGGTCTAATATGTCTGGTGTTGTTCTGTATTACTGGATCTACACGACAACCTATGCATCCGAGGAACCTTGAAACAGTGAGCTATGAAAAGCTCGAAATTAAGGATGGAAAAGTCTTTCGAAATGTGAGTTCAGAATTAACACCTTTTGTTGTAGTGAGCATATTAAACAGAGATTTTTCTGTAGGACCTTGCACTAAGCCCTGAAGCTACTGCAAGCATTTTCTCATGGGTTTCTTTCCAATGGGTATGTGATTTACTGAAAAAATCTGAAAAAAAGTGTTTTAACAAGTGAGGTCTATTATAGATGAATCCTCTTGTTGTTTTTGGATTTCGCAACATTGTTACACGAGATAACATTTACGCTCTTCCTTTTCAACAAGTCTCACGTGCAGCGTATAAAGATTTTTCTGCTACCAAAAAGTTCATATATCATGCAAAGATTCTTCGACGCATATACAGTTGTAATAAGCAAATAGTATGGTATCAGTTCATATTTAGTATAAGCGCTTGTTTGATCAGTTATTTGGGTCCATTTTTCCAGCAAAAATTCCTGCATTACGTTGAGCTGCGAACGAACAGACCACCTATAGAAACAGCTTATATGTATATAATCTGTTTATTCTTAGTAGGAATGGCTAAACTTACGTGTGATAATATCCAACTATATGTGGGGCGTCGATTAAATGTCAGAACGTTGATAATGCTCGATTCCGAAATATATGCAAAGACGTTAAAGAGAAAAGATATGACAGGAAAAGTAGTCAATGACAATGATAGTAACAAAAATGATAAAACGAATGCCGCTAGAAAACAAGAAAAAGAAGAGTTGTCTCTCAGTAATGTGGGCAAGGTCACCAATTTGATGAGTGTTGATGCGGATAAACTTGCTGACATACCTTCATACATGCATGTAAAATATAAGGTGAACATCTTCTCTTAATGAAGCTAATACTAAACGCAACTCGCCTATCATCAATAGCTACTATATACTGCACCAGTTGAAGTTATGGTCTGTATGTTTTACCTTTATCAACTACTGGGAAACGCGGCTTTGGTTGGTTTATTGGTTCTGCTTATATGCTTTCCCATCACTGGCTATTTTACAAGAAAAATGTCCACAAACTTCACTGCCCTTACAACAGCAAAGGATAGACGTAATGAGCTTGTGAATGAATTATTACAGGGCATTCGGATGATTAAATTTTTCGCGTGGGAAGGCAATTGGAAAAAGAAAGTGAATGCTGCTCGTAATGAAGAAATGCGTAAAATCATCAAGGCGATTGTGTTCGAAGTGCTTGTCAATTTACTGTTCGTAGTTGTACCAGTCATTGTTACCGCATGTACTTTTGTTTGGTATACTAAAGTGGACGGCAAAGAGCTTACTGCTAGCGTTGCATTTGTCAGTATTACCTTGTTTGATATGTTACGAAATCCGCTCATTTTTGTTCCAGAAGCTATAAACACGTTAACGGAAGCTCACGTTAGCTTAAAGCGTATCTCAAATTATTTAGAAGAGCCTGAAATTGATGATAACATAAACACAGAACTCGTTGAATGCTTGGCTGGCACTTCCCCTGAAATGTCTTTGGCACGTGTTGGCTTTGAACAGTCAACATTTCAGTGGCATTTGGACAAGTCAAACTTACTATCTCGTGATATTTCAAACCATAATATTTTGGACACCACCAACCCCATACAGAGCTCTCTAGACTCTTCCTCCACATTTGATGGAGTTAGTAGTCAGCAAAGGAAATTTCAATTGTTTGTACCCAAATTTGATTTTCCTACAGGAAAGCTGACGATTGTGTGCGGTCCTACAGGAAGTGGTAAATCTAGTTTCCTCAATGCTCTTTTAGGCGAAATGGATATAGCCTCTGGAAGAGTCTACCTTCCCTCTCATACGGTTTTGGCAAAAGACAATAGTCCCAAGACGGATCCTAACTTTCCTCAATTATACCTCGATAAAGTAGCTTATGTTGCTCAACAGCCTTTCCTTCAACACGCTTCTTTACGAGATAATATTCTTTTCGGTTTACCTTACGATTCTGAACGCTATAAGAAGACTCTATATCAATGTGCTCTGATCAAAGATTTAATGATTCTACCTGATGGTGATCGCACTGAAATTGGAGAGAAGGGTATTTCTCTTTCAGGTGGTCAAAAGCAACGGTATGTTCTGCAATAATATGATGTATGGGATCTTCACATTGACTGTTAACAATTATACGCATACAACAGAGTTTCACTTGCTAGAGCAGTTTATTCTTATGCAAAAACAGTTCTGTTAGATGACTGTCTGAGTGCGGTAGATGCGCATACATCGAAACATATCTTTAAAAAATGTTTGACAGGCGATCTGTTGAAAGGACGTACTGTCATTCTTGTTACGCATCAAGTAAAGCTTTGTCTCCCAAGCGCTCACTATCTTATTAGAATAGAAGATGGAAATCTGATTGCTCACGATACTGTTGAAAACCTTAAATCCACTGGTAGACTGTACAAACTTGTTGATGATAACCCGGAAAACGATGGCTTAAATGAGACAAATGAAGATGAAATTGAAGAAATAATTGACGACGAAAAAGAAAAAGCAAACATTGCTAAGCTAGACATGGATAGCAAAACGGATGTAGGAAAGCTTGTAAAAGAAGAATCATCTGCCGAAGGACAAGTAGAAATGAAGGTTTATACTACATACTTATCAGCTTGTGGTGGATGGCTTTTTTGGTTGTCGCTTATCTGTACTTTTGCCCTAGCACGATTTCTTATCTTCATTGAGAACTGGTGGTTAAGAATCTGGGCAGGTGCTTACGACGCACAATTAAATTTAGTGGTTACAAATGGGTTTTCTGCCTCTTCTTATAGAATGCTGTCAACAAGATTACCCAATGCTCATACCACGCCGAACACGATCACTTCTGCAATTGAGAAACTGAATATTTTCCAGCCCTGGGTTTTCTCAGAAACTGAACCTATTGATATCGATTATTATATCGGTGTGTACGTAGGTATCTGTTTTGCTTACATTCTCTTTGATGTTGGCCGAAATATTTTGATGAACTGGGGCTCTATACGAGGTGCACGTATTTTGTTCAGCTCTTTGCTTAATAGTATTATCCATGCTCCAATGCGATTTTTCGATACGACACCGGTAGGTCGTATATTAAACAGATTTGGCAAAGATGTTAGTACCATCGATTTGCAATTAGCTTTCTCCGCTAATATTCTAATAGAATGCATCACCGGTGTTATCGCGTCTATTCTTGTTATAACTGTCATTACACCTCAATTTCTTGTCATTGCCATTGGCGTTAGTTGTATCTATTTTATTATTGGCTTGTTCTATCTTCGCATTTCCCGTGAACTCAAGCGCCTAAACTCTGTCAGCCGATCTCCTATTTACTCACACTTTACTGAAACACTCATCGGTGTGACAACAATAAGAGCTTACGGCATGGAGGATCAGTTCATGAAACAGATTTATGGGAAGATTGATTCTTACATTGCTCCTTTTTACTACCTCTGGATGAGTAATCGCTGGTTATATGCACGAATAGAGTTTACAGGTGCTTTTGTCGTACTTTTTACTGGCTTATTCCTAATTTTGAATATTGACCATATTGATGCTGGTATGGCAGGTATATCTCTGTTCTATGCTCGTAGCTTTTTGGAAAATATATATTGGTTTATCCGTCAGTACACAGCCGTAGAAATGAACCTAAACTCGGTTGAGCGCGTACAAGAATATTTGGAGCTCGATCAAGAACCTCCAGCTATCATTGAAGGAAGCCGCCCCCCAGCTGCCTGGCCTACTACTGCATCCGTTGAAGTAAAAGATCTCGTCATTCGATATGCTCCAGAGCTAGAGCCGGTTTTGCATGGCATTTCCTTTGACATAAAACCGCATGAAAAAGTCGGCATTGTTGGTCGAACGGGTTCAGGAAAAAGTACATTAGCTCTAAGTTTCTTCCGTTTTTTGGAAGCAAGCAATGGGTCAATTTCTATCGACGGTATCGATATTTCAAGAATTGGTGTTCAAGATTTACGCTCAAAAATAACTATTATTCCACAAGACGCGGTTCTTTTCTCTGGTACAATCCGTTCTAATTTGGATCCATTCGAAGAATATTCTGATGAAGAAATGTGGGAATCTTTGGAACGTGCTCATCTTGTCAAACCTTCAAACAATGCTAGGTTCGGGCAACATGGGAATGGACAGAATATACCAGCATCCTCAAGTACAGACTCAACGAGTGAAGAAAGGATTTCATCAGCCATCAAGAGTTTGACACAACTGGTCAGTGATGGTGGTAACAACTTTTCTCAAGGGCAGCGTCAATTGCTTTGTCTGGCTCGTGCTTTACTAAAAAACAGCAAACTTATTATTATGGATGAAGCTACAGCCAGTGTTGATTTCGAAACGGACAGTAAAATTCAAAAAACAATTCGCGAAGAATTTGCAAATTCAACGCTACTTTGCATTGCCCACCGTTTGCGTACAGTTATTGATTACGACCGTGTGCTCGTTTTAGATCAAGGTACCGTGGCTGAATTTGATTCACCTTATAATTTGATCGTCAGGGACAGCGGTGTCGGTATTTTCAAGTCAATGTGTGAAAAGTCTGGAGAAATGGAAGTCTTGGTAAAGATGGCTACTGAAGCACGTGAAGCTCAACAAGACAATGATACCAATTTTGATAATCACAGCCGTGTGTTCTAATTTATACAGCTCATTTAATGGAATAACATCAAATTATGCAAATATTTCTAACCGTAAAACCAACAGAATTCATAAATTGTAAATCCCATCTTTATTACATTTGATAACAGGTCAATTTAACATAGAATAAAAATGCTATATGCATCATTTCAACAATTTTATCGCTAAAGAACGTTGTTCAGTACAAGTCCTTCAAAAATTTTGATATTCATATTGACTGTATTGTTGTTGAAACTTTCAATGTTACATGCTCTTTTTATTGTTATTAGAATGCTTATACCAAATTTTGCAGAATCCAAACCGATGTAATGTATGCGATTAACGTGAATTTGTCAAATATTATTTTGGAATGTCCGCTCTTTAACACTCTTCCTAAGCAAATAAAGTAAAAAAAAAATAAAATAAAAATACTGCGAGTAGCTATTAACAACGCGGTAAATTGCATTCATGAACATCACATCTTTTAAGTCACATCAAAAAATGGTTGACATAAGTATAGCAAGCGAACCTATATGTGTGCTAGAATGTTTTTGTTGTCATGTTTATTGCGAATATATTTGATCTGAATAAAGGTTATAGTTAAATCTAATCCAGCAGTTTATAAGATATGTATGGCAGCTTTAACTTTCATTTACGCAACTCTAAAAATGAAAATAAGCATTACTATGTCTATACCTCTGATGTTCCAATTTTGAGGCATGTCCGTCGTTGTAGGTCGAAGCATTTCCTTGCTCAAATATTAATGATGTGGATAATCAGAAGTTTAATGCTTGTAATATGCTATTATTGATCCGTTGTTGTGTGGCTGGCCGTATGTTGAATATGCTTTGAAAAAAATAATTAGAATCGTTCAAGATGGAAGATAAAAAAGTGTTACCTCTTCAAAAATTCACGCGGATGAATAACATTGGAAGAAGGCGTACCGATATTACCGATATTACCGATAATGTTCTTCATTGCTGTAAATGATACAGTTGACTATGCACTCGCAGGTGCTTGAACCTAATATGCTTTGTAAGCGTATCCAGGTTTTAGCGCAAGACTACTTATTTCAATTTCTGCTATTTTACTTTATAAAACTGTCAATAAATGATCCAAGTTTACAATTTACTCTTAGTGAGATTACTTGCTAGTAGTGGTTTCCTCTAATAAAAATGTCTCGTCAATTTTTTCAGTTATAAACTCTTGTCAATTTTCGCTCTCCATACGCGTATTCTTTAAGACTCGTAAGTCTCAGAAGTACACGCATAATTGTCCAATCGATATTATTTTTTATTTTTTTTTTTTTGAAATTAGCTAATCCATAAAAGGTCAATGAATTTATTACCTTCCTTGTTTTGTTTTACTCAGCCACGAAGAAGGAAGGTACAGATAAAGCGTTGAAATTAATTTTAGTTTGTTACCCAAGAACCTGAGCCTCATTGGAGGTTTAGAGTCACATTAAAATGTGTACCAGAAGCATTCCTATTTCTTTCAATTGTTATCTCTTCTACTTTTCAATCTCCCGGCTTTTCCCCAACTTCAACAGCAATCAATAGTGTGATAACGCTTTCCGTTTGAAAATAACCATGGGATTTCGATCGTTAACAGAAGCGGAAGATATAACAATTCAATATGCAGTTGACGCAGAAGAAGCTGTACCTTTGACGAAACCGTTGGAGATAGGAACGGAAAAGGCACAACAATATCAGCATATAACAGACAAACTACCAGCCCACCTTGAACCATATCTTCAAACAAAACCGACTTACGGTTTGACCGAAAGTGAAGTGAGCGAAAGAGCCCAGAAGTTTGGTCGAAACGAATTAGTAGAAAAACAGAGAAACAAATTATTGCATTTTCTCTCTTTCTGTAAGTTTTCTCAATTCAATTTCCTTTATCAGCTAAATTTTATATGCAAGCTAATCAAAAATCCATAAATCAATAGTTACTGGCGCTATTTCATATCTTATGATTATATCCCTGGTATTGACAGCAGTAACCGCAGATTGGGTCGACTTTGGTATTATCTTTGGCATGCTCATAATAAATGCACTCATTGGATACGTAGAAGAAGCGAGAGCAGAATCTTCTATTGCTTCGTTAAAAAATAGCCTAGCGCTTCATAGCAAATGTTGGAGAAACGGAAAACTCATAGATATCAAATCATCCGAGCTTGTTGTTGGCGACATCATAGTATTAAGAATAGGAGATATCGTGCCCGCTGATGCGCGCTTACTAGGCATAGGTGGTGGCGGCGAGATTATCGAGTCAGCTATTCAAATCGATCAAAGCTCACTCACTGGTGAGTCATTACCGGTAAAAAAAAAGCCAGGCGATATAGTTTATTCATCATGTATCATCAAGCAGGGTCAGCAACAAGCTATTGTAGTGCGCACAGGAGCGGATACATTTATAGGAAAGACAGCGAATCTTATCGCAGTAACAACTGGATCTGGAAGATTTCAACAAGTTATCAACTACATTGGCAACTTCCTAATTATTATTTCAGTCTTGTTAGTTTTTATCATTTTTATTCACGAATTGGTTGAAGAGAAAGTGCAGACGGGTACTGTGACAAGAGAGCAAGTATTATCAGCTCTTAATCAGATGGTTGTGCTTACAATAGCAGCGTAAAGTTTCATCCTTCCTTATCATTTTAGACCATTTGCCTAGAATTGTTTATGACCTGCTCACAACTTTGGATGTTTTAGGATACCTGTAGGTTTACCAACAGTCATGTCTGTAACTATGGCCATTGGTGCTAAACAATTGGCAAAGAAGCAAGTAATTGTCAAACGGCTTACGGCTGTTGAGGAATTAGCATCTGTATCTATTTTATGCAGCGATAAAACGGGCACATTGACAAAGAATGAGCTTACATTTGACGAGCCTTATCTTTCCTCACCTTACGGAAAAGACGATATACTCCTCTATGCCTACTTGGCGTCGGGAATTGCAGCTGACGATCCGATTGAGATTGCTGTTCGTACTGCTGCTGAAGAGTACCATCCCAATATTAGTAACGATGGCAGCCATACTGTGTATGGATATCACGTTTCTTCGTTCAAACCATTCAATCCTGTCGATAAAATGTCGGAAGCGGCAGTAGAAGAATCAGCAACAAAGACAAAATTTAGAGTGGCTAAAGGTGCGCCACAAGTTATTCTCAAAATGACTGGAGATGATAAAACAGCTACAGAAATGATACAGTCATTTGCTGCTCGTGGGTTGAGATCATTGGGTGTGGCGCGTACATCTGATAATGATTTAAATCAATGGCAGCTTGTCGGGCTTCTTAGTTTCATTGACCCTCCAAGAGATGACTCAGCAGATACAATCGCAGAATGCAATAAGTATGGTTTAACTGTAAAAATGATTACAGGCGACCAAGGTGTCATTGCAAAGGAGGTGGCTGGTAGACTTGGAATGGGTAAAAATATTTTAGATGCGGATGAGCTGAGTGATTCGGCCAAATCAGCAAAAGAAGTGTCAGATTTGTGTATATATTCTGATGGCTTTTCTCGTGTTATCCCCGGTAAGAATATTCGCTTTTATATACGCAAGCAAAGAATGATAGTAACAAAAACAAGCTAACTGATCATATGCTATATGATAATTTAGAGCACAAGTATCATGTTGTAGAGCTACTACAAGATAGAGGCTATTTCGTAGCCATGACAGGTGATGGTGTCAATGATGCTCCAGCCTTAAAAAAAGCCAACGTAGGTATCGCCGTAGCTGGAGCCACCGACGCTGCCCGCTCAGCATCTGATATTGTTTTACTTTCTTCTGGATTATCAACCATTATTGATGGTGTCAAGGTTGCTCGAATCATCTTCCAGCGATTACAATCTTACGCACTATATCGTATCACATCTACCATTCACTTTCTGATATTCTTTTTTGTGATCACTTTGATTGAGGATTGGAAAATGCCTCCAGTATTCCTCATTCTGATTTCTTTACTAAATGATGCTGCGACGTTGATCATGGCTGTAGATAATGTCAGCATCTCATACACCCCAAACATGTGGCGCCTGCGTTTGCTTATAATATTGTCCTGTGTTTTAGCTCTTGCTTTATCAGCATTTTCATTTGCTCATTTCTACATATTCAGGGATGTTTTGCATGTTACGCCTAGTGAATTATCAAGCATTATGTATCTCCATATATCTTCAGGTATTACGGCTGATTGTTATCTGTCGAAAAAAGGTCGTATAGATTTATTGATATTCATTCGTTCTTTGACACTATTTGATAGCTCCTCATTTTGTTATTTTTTCTACACGGACTAATACTTTTTGGTGGAAAAGTATGCCTTCAATAGTCTTCACAATAATTGTCCTTGGGACCCAAGTTATCGCACTCGTCCTGTCAGTTTATGGTGCTTTCGGAGCAGATCCCAATATTAGTAGTATTGGATGGCTTCTTGGCCTGGCTATTCTTGCCATATCGTTGGGCACATTTTTTCTCATTGATGTTTTAAAAGTGCTTGTCATTTACTTTTGGGACACGTTTGTAGGCAAACAATTAAGCCATGAATATAAACCAGCGAAGTGCAAAAAAACAAGCAAGCCAGCAAGTAAAGCTGCTAAATTCATCTACAAACAACAACAGAAAAAATTATACTTTGGCTATGATAGAGCGCGAAGACGAGAATCTGTTGGCTCGGTTGCTTCTTACTAACAAGCCGTCTATAGTATAATTACCCTCAGACATACTGTACAGACTAACTACTCCCTTCTTATTGCTTCATAGTTTACATTTTTTATTTATTGTTAGTTTTAAAATAAAGTATTTGCAAACAATATATTATACATTCATTTAATTCAAAGCAGAAAAAATACACCAAAAAGAGAAAAAAGAAAAAATAACTATGTACCACCTACGACTTGCCAACAATAAATGCTGAGTTGTTCGTAACGAGAGAACAAAATGATAATCCCATTAAGGCATATCACTATAGATATATTTACAAAAAGAATTCTACATAAACGTCTGCTAACTCCAACCTAGATGCAAGCTATTATACTACAAGTTGTTTGATAATGTTTGAACCTTGGATAAGGCGTTTGGCCTCTAAACTGATGCCGGGACACTGACTGATATTAAGTTGATTGATATGTACAGAATTGAGTATGGTTTCAATGCACAAATCTGTTATACGAACACATCCTCTCAGGTTCAATGAACTAAGATTCTGTATGGAAATAGAACTGAGTAGTTGTTTGATCGAAATATCAGAAATGGCTGCTCCACAAAAACTTGCATCTAGAGAGGTTAGTTGAGGTAAAGATATTAAACTCTCGATGGCTCTATCTGATAAGGCGCAACAGAAGCTGAGTGACAGGTCTTTCAGGTTTGGTGCTGCGGCAACAAGATATGCAACGGCTTGATCTGTTAAAAAGCTGCAATCAGTTAAATTCAAATATTGTAGTGAGGAAAATGGTGCTGTACTATCGGCCCATTTCTTGAATCCTTGATCAGTGATCCGCGTACAACGTTGTATATTGAGAGATCGCAATGTCTGTGAGCAAAATTCGACGAGATGCCCCATAGCCATATCTGTTAATTTTTTACAATAGGATAAACGTAGCTCTTCAAGTTGTGGGTAGTTGTATGCAGCTTTTCTGTCTAACAGTTTGAATATACCAATATCGCTGATTTTTCGACAATTGGACAGGTCAAGTTTCGTTAAGTGCGGACAAGCTTCTGCCAAGCGGTTAAGACTCCTATCCGTCAAAAGCCAACAAGAGTTCAAATCCATCGCCTCCACATTTTTCATGTCTTTGATCATATTTTCAAAGCCATCATCAGTAATATAGAAACATTGCGACAAGGAAAGTCTGCGTGGACGGTTGCCTACAACTTCAGCAATAGCTTTGGCAGCATTATCTGTGATCAGCTTGTGCAGTGGCGCAAGATCTACATGCTGTAGAATTTTATGTGAGTGACGAATAAATTCACGGCATCGTTTTGAAACTGTAGAGAAGCGAAGAATGGACAAAAAATCCAAGTAGTTGATAATAATAGCTAGAATATCTTCATGAAATAGTTCCAAACAACCGTCGCCGGCAATTCTGGCAGGCTGCATGATTTCGTCGTTAATAACAATGTCTTCCTTGAGACTGGACTTTTCAAGCTCATCGTGTTTAGTTTTTAGGTTTTTATTGGCGAGGGCAACCAGATGTGGGTCTGACCAGATAGCTACACTCGCCCGTCTCCTCCTAGTCTCTGTTTGTTTCAAGACATTAGTGACAGTCGTTGGGGGTAATAAAGTTGGATCTTGGTCACTGGTTGTACTACATATTGAATCTAATGTAATGACAGGACCAGCCACCGAGGTTGATGTTATTTCAGCAGATGATTGTGTTGGTATAATAGGCGATACTGGCAATATGAAGACGGTACCTTCAAATTAGTTACTTATTTTCATTCAATTACACAGTGTGAGGCTTTTACCTTTTTCTAAACCACTTTTCTGCAATTGCGATGCCTAATGAATAAGGTGTGTCAATAAGCTTAAAAACAAAAAAAGAAACATCAAACTTTATCAAAAAAGGTTTACCTTCTGTCTCAAGTTGTTCAAAGAAGTCTCTGCCATTGTTTTCAAGTGATTTTGAAGGTTTGGAAAGCGACTAATGACATCAATAAAATCAGTTTTATTGAGTACATACAACTCTATGGGAGTCACAGCTTTGACATCGGCGGGACGAGGAGCATTCAGTAAGACAGATATATCTCCAAAATAGTCTCCTGCAGAGAGTCGTGCCACTGGAGTGAAGGGATCATTGATAGCACTGTCAATATTTGCTATCTCAACGGTGCCTAATATACCATCACGGGTTAAATACTTTTATGCGAGAACAAAGACCCTACAATTCTTATTCAGATGTTACATACCATTAATGATAAAGAATAACTCATTCCCTTGTTCACCTTTTCTCAGAATCAAATCGTTCGGAGCATAGTGGCGCGGTTCAACTTTTAGTGACACCGAATGCAGAAATTCTTCTGGACAATTTTGGAAATAAGGAATCTATTTTGTATCATGCATGAAAATTGTAACAATTGTAACAATTGTCAAAATTGAATGTTGTAATAATGATTTCCTGTTGATATCTTATTTACCGTTTGTAGAAGATTATTAGCGCTTCTGAAATCCTCAACGTTTCGTTCAGTCAAAGGCTTTTGGGTTACTTTGTCTGCATCATTTAAATTCTTGCTTTTTCTTAACAGTGTCAAGCGTTCTTCTGCCTCAAATCGAAGAACCTTTTCAACTTCCGGATATTGAGGAAGAATACTGTTTACTTCATCGGCTGTCAATGAAGCGACAATACATTTTGTACTGGCAATAACAGTAGCTGTTCTCGGCATAGAGTATAAAATGCCGATCTCTCCAAAGCAGGATCCCTTAGGTAAGGTTGCATAAATTCTTTCATAATCTTTGCTGCACACGTCAACTGATCCTCTCAAAAGGAAAAACATGGCTTTTGCTGGCTCTCCTTCAACAATAATAACATCACGAGGACTGTAAGTTCTGAGATGCATACAGCAAGCAATTTTCTCTAAAAAACTCTCATTCTTGGCACGTTGAAAAAGTGAATGCTGTTTGAGCGATTGCAATAGTTCAGGTGGGAATGAGCGGTCGTCACTTATTTCCAAAGACGAAGAGGACGAGTTGGATGACCTTGGTGACGTTGTTGGCCAAACAGTTTCCTTGCGGATATCAATCATTGTTCTGTCTGTTAATCGAAATCGATATTTATAAGTTAATGCTATTGTTCGGTTCTACGGCGTCTGCATTAATGGAAAAAAGAGGCGAAAGAGACTCGGCGGAACAGTGTGAAAAAAAGAAAAATAGAATTAATCTGAGATTTAAATGAGATTTTGACGAGGAAGTATAAAACAATAGGCACATTTGCTGAATTTCATCGTTGTGTCGATCATATCTCTTCGAACGGGATCCTTACAAATCTCTGACGTCTATTATCACTGGTCTGCTTTTTGACATCAATATAAAACGCTCAAGAGCTTATGAGACGAACTTTTTCAAATGGCTGTAGTGCACTAGTCGCACAACAGTCATCTAGAACAAAGAACACTACACAGCAGTAATTAAAATGAAGAATGCTACCAACAACATTAATGAAAACAAAGCCACCCAAACAGCTGTGTCGTGTCGTAAGATCCTGGAGGGGACAATGTTAGTATTCAAAAGTCGGATTGTGTGTTCTTTAAGTCTAAAGAGAAAACCAGGAGCATTGATTTAATGGTAATCCTCTAAAGACCAATCAAGATGGAAGTATATGCATCTGATAGCTGCTTCATTGGGTTTCAGGTCTGAGTATATCTGGATATTACATCAATAATGGCGAGTATTTAATGGTAAATAAAGGGAAGCAAACATTGAAAAGGTGATAGTCGAAGGCTATGGTTGGTAAAAAGTTCAGACTGATATAGTATATATATAGATTTGGAATAACTAAAAAGCGACTGTGGCTGCTCTTGACAGCAGATCATCAATCTATGTTGAAATCCATCAAATCCATCCCGACACCTTCAAATCCTGGACCAGGTGTTTCAGCGTTGTTTACTCTTTTAGAGGGGTCTACATATGCCATAAATGTTGGTATTAGAAGAAACCCTCTTTATTTTATTACGCGTTGACGACAGAAACTTACCATATTTCAGGCCCTTCTTTCTCAAGACTTGATCAATAGTCTGTACATAAGCAGCAAAATGTTCCCATTCCTTTGCACTTTCATCAACTGATATTTCATGTTGTTTTAAAGTATCATCTAAAAAGCCATGGCTACAGCAACAGAAATAGTTGTAGAAGTAGTGTGGGTTAAATACAGTGTGGTATATTACTTTTGCAGTTGTTAAATGGAAAATGATGAACTTACATTCGAGCTACATCACGAGCTCGCTGTAGATCCTTTGCAAAAACAGTCAAAATCTTGAAAAATTTGAGAGCATTATCTCGTTCATCGTCCTTATTCTGTTCATAAGCTTCAGCTGCTTTTGTTAAAGCAAAGTTGATACCTTCCAAATGAATGCGCTCACAAATAATTTGAGGATGAACAGTGTTGGCAGACTCATTGTTGCTCGCGCCTCCTCCATTCAGAGATGATGCGAAAAGGCGTGCTAATCTAAGTGTACTTTCGATAGAGCGTATAGAATGTGACACCTTTTCATTGAATGACTAAATTGCATGAATGAAAATTGATGAGATGCTGATCAAAACAAGTTATCCATTCTATGGATATGTACTTACCATCTTTAATGCTTCAAGATAAGCTCTACAAAAACCATCAGTTGCAGCTTCGTCAGAAACCATATCCGTTTGTACTTCACTAGTTAGAGCCTTAATTATGTCGTCCACTTCTGTATCAACCTTGTTGAACTGTTCGAATAAAAGGATGCTGTATTCAATATTGATCACTCCCATGAGCAAACCTCGCGCAAAGCTAGTAACGAGTTGATAAAGTAGGTCTTTTTGTGACAGATTGGATTGCTTAGAAGGCTTTTCGTCAGGGAATTCTTTTGCAACCGTCAACTGTGTTTTAAGTAATTCAACAAAAGTTGTTTGTAACTCATCAGAGCATCTCACTTTCAATCGACTAGCATCATGAGCATCAAGCATATCGCTGCCGAATAACCAGTAGAGATCAATTAAGTGGCCGAGAACTGCAATGCGAACTTCAGGTGCAGAAGTGCCATCAACTCCCTTAATGATTTCAACAAATTTGTCGAGAACCCAATCTCGACGACGTTCAATGATTGGAATGATATCAGTCACAGCTAATGCATCTTGTAAGTTTCTACATTTCCACATCAGATAACGAGAAAGAATCGTCATGGCCGTTAAACTAATATCTGGCTTCTCATCATCTGAGCCGTACGCAGCACGATCTACAAGTGCGCCAACGTAATCGGTAACACTCATTGCCATATTCTGGTTATCATCCATTGAAGTTGTGGCATCGAGAAAATTAATCAGATAGGCCAAACGGTGTAAGCAAATGGATAGAGAATGCGTAAGAGCTGGTGTAAAATTGACAGTAGCTAGATCCCTGCCGTTACAGGTTTGCTCAAATTGTTTGATAACTGCCTCTTTCAAGTCTCCTATGTTCGCGTCATTGTAAGTTGAAAGGTTGGTATTCTTGCTCATGTATTGAAGAGAACTTGCACAATTGGCCAACAAATCTTTCGTAATGGCGCCAAGGAATATTCTGGAAAATATCTGTAGCAAAATTTCGTAATCTCTTTCAGCCTGCAGTTCTAAATAAACATTCATGTTCATAAGACTGGGCAAAGCTACTAGATCAACAATTTTACTGCTGTCATCCAAATGCTTTGATAGCAATTTAGGTAAGCTGCGAACCATATGGCGTGATAATTCATTTGTATTCTCTTCCCAGAATCTATTGTCCAGTTTTTTCCTGTCTTTGGTTTCTGACAAGTTTTTGTCAAGCCCTTTGGTCATTGCTGTGCGAAGCACGCTTGCAAATACAATGATAAGCATTGTTTCTTGATTCTCTTCCAATCTGTAGCAATCACTTATAGGCTCTCCCAAATCCATTTCCTCTTCGTCACGCTGTTCTTGTTGGTGAGATATCGAATGGTCACGCAAAAGGTAGTCTGTCAATGCTTGAAAATCCTGCAGTTCAGATAATTGATCCCATAATGCTTCTACAATGTTAGAAATCAGTCGAGTACGTTTTTCAATCAAGCTACTAGATAATGTTCCCAAATCAGTTTGCATTTGATTAACGTCATCGTCCGCTGCTGCTAAGTTGGACAAGTGCTCTACAAGAAAACTCGCAAGTGCTTTGAACGTAATCCATGTCTTGTTAACATTTACAGATGAGGCATTATTTGCTGTTGCTGCTGAGCGTCGGCCAGATTTGCTGCCAGAATTATGAGCTAAAAGTGATTCTGTCACATTTGCAATAAGAGGTTGAATGACAGTTGCTTCCAATAATGCTTTGGCGAAGGGAGCAGCTGATTTTCGAACACGAGGAATCTCTGAAGAAATCATACCCAGCAGTTTTTTACGACCATTATCGCTGAGTATATTGACATTTGCTTCAAAGAGAGCACTACATAGATGGATAGCATTGATACGTACTGATATTTCGATATCTTTAAGAGCCATCTCTTCAATTCGGGTTTTAAAACGATTAATGAAACCAGTGAGTCGAGTCGCAATATTTTCAATTTTGTATAATTTTGTGATTGACTTTAGCGCTTCAGAACGGACATTAGCACTTGGATCATTCAGTGCCCAGCCGAAATGACGAAGGTAAACATTATCCACAAAGTATGCCTGGTAGCTTTGAAGCCAGGTGCATAGTTCTTTCAAACATTCTACACGAATGACTGATTCCACATCTCGAGAACGACGAATAAATACGTCGTCGAAGAATGCTTTAATAAACTCTTCTATATCCTTGTATTTTCGCTCGTTGGTTGCTACTTTTGCTTTTAACTCTCTCAATCGCCCTGTTTCTCGCTTCTTCTTTTTGTTTTCTGTATTTAATTGACGTAAAGAAGTATTGTAAAGATCTTTAAATTTGTCTCCCAGGATAGCCAACTGATCGGTAAGTTTCAGGGCGATGATTGTGGCTGTATGACGGAAGGGACGATAGGTTGAGCTTTTAATGGAACATTCTTGATGTAAGTATAATTTTGCTTTTTCATGTATTTTCAACAATTTCTATTGCTCATGACTCACCTAGACATAATGACTAGCCATCCCTGTAAACTTTCCATCAGCACACCATCATATATAGCTTGATGCTGGCATTGATTGATTATCTCTCTAAAAAATAGAATCAAATTACGGCGTAGAGTTTTGAACTCTTTTGCTTTGGAAATAATCGGGTATTCAGTGGGTGGGTGCTATACAACAGGAAGTAGCAAAGATTAATAACAATTTTGTGCATTGAAAAGTGCAGGTTTAATTGTACCTTAGATAGCTCATCTTTTAGTTCATTAAGCGCAGTTACAGAATTTTGTTGGTCTTGAACAGCTTCAATTGTTACTTCTAATGAACAACCAGAACACTGAGAAAGAAAATAGAGTAAGATAAATGCTCCCTTTTTTTTTGGCAAGAATCTGTTACTCTTTAAAGTAGTAAACTGACGTACACGAAGAATAAAATTGAAAAGATTTTTCAATGCCTGATACTGGTTGCTTTCGTATTTTCTCTTCCATGATTTAGCCATTGCTTCGATATCAATCTCTGGTACTAAAGCCTTATCTGAATTCGGGGGTTAACTTTTTCTGCATATTCAATTCAGTAATTAACGGCAATTTAGCTTATATCATACCGTATAAAGAGTCCTGAGTTTCTTCCTGAGTTGCTGGTTGCAGAAGCTGACTATTTGTGTTGACGACAGCGTCAAAAGAGCCTTCAGCTTTTCTCTTTTTAGCATTTCTTCCTTTTGCTGTCGACGGTTGATTGTTTGTTTCGAGTTCGTCTTCTGATTCACTCCCAGAGGATTCAAGTTCGTCGACATCCTCTTCAGAATCAGCTTCAGCAATGGTTCGTTTTCTGGTAGAAGCTATTATTAAATATAGTACCAGTATGGTTTTCTTTCAGGTAAGCTTTTTTTTTTCTTAGCCTTTCTAAGATTTCTTTCAATATTTCTATTTTCCTTTACCAGCTTTCTGTTTCATAAACATGTCAGGTACAGTTCGTAATTGCTTCGAGGAACCTCCACGCTAGAAAAACGAAACATTATAAACAGGGATACAGAAAATAACACAAGCGTCAAATTCATTGTTTTGTGCAATAATATACCGTTGTAGCTTTTCTTGTCTTCGCCATTGTATGAATCAAATTTAACTGTCAAGAAAAAAACAGTTGGAGTAATATCGTTAGGAACACGTAAAAAATAAGAACGCGAAAACTTCAAATCGGCGCGTGAAATACCCAAGCTGCTTTTTAAACGCAACAAAAAAGAAAAGTAAAAATCATCTTTATAGAAGTAATATACAATTTGAATAAATAAATATAATGTCTTGGTGGGACTGTATAAATAAAACAGTTTACGTATGAAATAAATAGTAAGAAGCTATGAATACAAAGGGTGTAAAAAGAAAAATGTCTATGCTACTATGGTCAAAAGAAATGCTAAAGCTGAATCAAACTCTCAAAGTATCTCTTTAAGCTCTATATTTATCCATGAATTCCTTGTGGAAGTTTGAGATCTTGCCGCAGAAGTCATCAAAAAGATGTTCTTCAGGTAAGAAGGTGGAACGGAAATGGTAAGTGCCAGGTTCTTGACCGAAACCGGATCCAGGAACAACACAGACACCAGTTGCTTCCAAGAGAGCCATAGCATAGAAAGCATCAGGGGCCATTTTGGAAGATTTGGCAGCTTCAATAGCTTTGGCAGGTAGTCTAATTTGAGGGAACAAGTACATGGCACCTTCAGCATCATTACATGAAACATTTTCCAAACCGTTGAAGCATTTAGCAAGCTTCACAGCTCGGCGACGAAGTGATTCAAAGATCTCTTGCTTTTCTGAAATATATTGAGGATAAGATTCATCCCCTTCTACAGGAGGGTTGGTCATCACATCAACCATGATCTGGCCTTGGACATTGGGACATAAAGAAATGGAGGCTAACTTGTATAATTGTTCCATAATTTCAGGATCGATATTAACACATTCGAAGTAACCACCACGACGACCGCACTCACCAATCATACCTTTAGAGGTAGAGTGGAAGGAGAAGAGTTCTTGATCTGCGAATTCGCTACCCATAGACATAAGAACCTTCTTGAAACTGTGGAAGGGACGAGTTTCAGGTTGGTAAATGTTGGTTTGGTATACTTCATCAGCTAATAAAACAATGCGTTCTCTGTGGCAGAAGCGAATGATATCACGGATATTCTCTTCTGTTAAGCATTGACCAGTAGGATTACCCGGATTAATAATAGCAAGAGCTCGTACGTCAACACCTTTAGCACGAGCTTCGTCCACTGATTTTTGTAAACTTTCAATATCTAAACCCCAACCTTTGCTTTCGTTCAAATAGTAAGGGACAGGTGCTGCGTTGACCATGGATAAAGTGGCGGAATACAATGGGTATTGAGGAATGGGGATCATGATACCGGAATTTGCATTCTGTGTTAACATCTGGATGACTCTTTGCACACCTTCAGAAGCGCCTTGTGTCAAAAAGATGTTATCTGGATCGGCTGGGTAACCATCACGTTCTTCAATGAATTTAGCAACATTTTCGCGGATATGTGGAATGCCCTTGGAGTGAGAGTAGGCACCTACACTTCCGACATGCTTAATCAACAATTCAGCACGAGCAATAGCATCAGCGGGGTATAACTTTGAGACAATGGAGCGGTTCTCAGCTTTCAACAACTCAGGGTTGTCGCAAAGTGAAGCAACCTAAAGACGCGGATAATAAAACATATTAATGAGGAGTTCAAAAAAAAAACCTTGATCAGCCTCAACTTGGACCCTTTTTTCAGCTCTTTCTTGTTTCGTTTTGGTTTTTACCTGTCTGAAGAAGGAGATAGGCTTCTGATTCAGTTGTTGAGGATTGCCAATATTACAAAACACAACTCTATCAAATTTCATGCTTGAAGGGTCCTTTTTCAATTGCTGTTGGAAAAAATAGAATGACACTGTCAGATCAAAATGCAATAGTCCTTAGCAAATTTGAGCTGTTTTACCTGACTAATAGCTTCAGCACGAATGGGTAAGGCACCACGAACAGCGTATTCTGCATTCTTGATCAAAGGATGCATCGTATCAACAGTGAGCACCTTGCCTATTGAAAGAGAATGAATGTGAGAATGCTGATGCAAGTCAGACAAGTACTGGGTGTAGCTGTCAGATGTACCTGCTTGGGTGGATCTGAAACGCTTGACATTTTGGTTAATTTGTAAATATCTAGGATTGGCTGTGCGAATTAATGTTCTAATCATTTTGTCTGGTTTATTTCAAGTAATAGTAAAAGAAAAAAGGGGAAGGAAAGCCAAAATGAAGGTTTTTTAAGAGTTTTATTTTATATCACTTTACTTACCTTTTAGTTTAAAAAAACAATGTTAAACTCCGGTATCGAGCCTTAACTGCTATCATTATACACGGTTCGACGCACCTTCAGAAGAATGAAAAGCTCGCAAGAGTTACCTAATAAGATATGGGGATTATAGCTACCACAGATAGGCTGGTGCTATAAAAATCTGCTCATTCTCCCAGCATTTCACTATTAAAAATGCCCTATTTCTAACATATTAATTGTATGACATAACCTCAAATTCGAAATATGATTGGCAAACAAAGCCTTTTCTACATTTTCATTATGTGTTTGGTGTTCTTTATCTAGAAGCTACAGTAATACCATATATGTAGGGTCTTCTCTGCTTCTGCTTTTTTTAAAATTTGCCATTTATGCTTTAAAGGGAAAAAACACTTAATGAATCCATTCGATCATTTCAGTTACATTTTCCCATGGCGATCCAATTGGTCACTTCTGGCAGAACGATATTCCGCAGTAGCTACAATTATGAGCTCTGGAGTCATCTTCAAAAAGAAAGCTCAGTTACAAAGCTAAAGAACTTCTCATGTATTATGCAACTTAGAATCCATTTAATGTGGCTGATGAAGTAGCAGCTGCACGTCCATGTAGTGTAACTCACATGTGGTAATCCAACAGAGCGTACCAAAATTTATGTTCTTTCCTACCTTTTTCCTTATAACTCAATAATTCTGCGTAGTTTTTCGCGATATAGACCAATTGCTTGTAATGCACTTGTGATGATAGTGATTTGTGCTTTCTAACGAAAAATGTTTGCGAGGGAAATTATTACTTGCAATGATAGAACATAATAAGCGATAAAGTACTATTCAGGCACTGTCGTAGCTGAAATTGAAAGTAGCCAAACATCATCATTGTTTGTTAGCAGTTTCTTTTTCAAGTCCTATCTGAGATTAAACCTAATCCTCACATAACCCTATCTCCACGGAAGATAAGCTTAGAATGCCCTTCTTAACATGAAGGTAGTATTTCCATTTATTGCGTGTCACGAGTTGAATACAATTACAAAGGCTTATCTAAGGTTCATAACGAACGAAAATATTACACAACATCGTATCATGATGTGCGAATCCAAAATAGATGATTTAAAGACGGTTGTATGAAATACCTCAGCGCCTGCTGCTTAACGTAAGGTTTTATTTGTTCACATGCCATTTTACAGTGTTTTGCGTTTAAAAATCTAAAATTCCGAGCTTCAATATAACTTTTAGAATATGAATAGAAAATTCAAACGATCAATACAAAAATTGAGTGTTCAATAAAATTTTCTGGAAAGGATTCTAAACAATCCTTCACTATCTTCCTTCCGGAGATTATGTATGTGACGGACCAGAAAGCGATCCGGAGGACGATTTAAGCCAAGGAGTGTCCATCAAAACCTTAATGAGTAGGACCATCTTTCAGATGACTCTATGTCAGCGGATGAAGTTGGGCGTAGTCAAAGTGTCGATATATCGATGGCTGAAGTTGAGTTAGGATTGGTCCACTAGCCGCAACTTGTATGGACATCTACGAAATATACAAGGGAGCAAGTTGCTCCAATTCATAGCGTTGATGCAAAACAGAAATTTGAAGATCGGTGATGCTGCTACTCAGTCAGGATTCTTCCAGCTTCTGGCTATAAGTTCTTCGCTGAATGGAAGAAAAACGGTGGAACAATGTTGCCTGGGTACAAGCTTGCCTCTGAAGTAAAAAAAAGGCCAACAACAGCAAACTTTATGAGGAACACTCCGAGTACCTGGACAACTATGTTACAAATAATCCAACGTGTGTCGTAAAAGATGTTACAGCTAGTTTGGTAGAAGCATTTGAGGATCTTACGATAAGTGACTCTGCTGTGTATCGGCATTTGACTAACAAACTAGCCTTTACAATTACACGCACTCAACCCAGAGTTGCTAATCGTAACTCTGAGGACTCTTTGGAGCAGAGAAGACGTTTTGTTGAAGAGCTCGGAGAACGGAAGGTTGACTATAAGGACAAATGTGTCTTCGTTGATGAGAGTGGCTTCTTGAAGAATATGGTGCGTCCTGTAGCCTGGTCGAAGAGGGGCACGCCTGCAGAGGTGGAAGTAAACGCACAGCGTGGTCATCAGTTATGATCCCCGTTCTCATATTTGAAGAGACTGCCTCAACATTTTTTATAAAGATCATCTTTGTTCTGTCTGGCCATTTTATTGCCTCAGCATATTAATTGCTGGATATATCAGTATCAACAAAACAGAATCCATATCTTTTAGGGTCTAATAGACTGGACCATGACAACAGCAGTCATTGCCATAGCTGTTTATACTCAAGTTTATAGTAGATAATCTCACCAATCACAACACTTGGTCTCGCTGTGCCACATAACAAATGGAAAGGAACAATTCCTCACAGTCGCACTCCTTTATACTGTTTGAAAAGCTTAGCGGTAAGGAAGCAACCATGACCACCTTTTTCTTCCCTCTCCCTTTTCGCCTGATTCCTACTATAAACAATTTATTTCTCTACGTTCCCATGACAGCTCCAAACTTGCAAATTACCACTTGATTAAGCACTGTGTATCTTCTACTGCCTTCCGTTTACGGAAGAGAACGTGGCATGGGCCATCAATGATCTTGGAGGGTTCGAAAATAAAGTCTTGGTGTACGAGAGCGATCCTCAGAAACCGATGGTTTTGTGGTATTTCCATACCTCCTATAATATATAAGGACCAATTAGACACACCTTCAAGCATTTGACTCGTTATTATGATCATAGAATCATAATAATACTTGTATACGTCATCTTGTACTCTAAAGACATACGCATACATAATGCTGCATTCCTACTGATTAAGAACGAGTATTTAGCTGCTTTTTTTTTTACCTCTTTCCTTTCCTTCTTTCTTTTGTTGTCAATACAAACATCCAATTCGCTATGAACGCTTCCCTCTCTGATTTTTAGTGTATAATAAAAGGACTCAAGGAGACTCATTTCACCTTACAGTTTATATCAAATTATAAGTCGTGTTCACTAAGCATAAAACAACCACAAATATCACAGTTTTATCGAGGACCACAGTAAATTCAAGACCATTTTCGTACCATGCATATATTGATCAACCTAAACCGATACAAGAGAAACCTGAAACAACAGGAAGACGTTTGACAATTTCTTGCTTATTATTGCCATTATCGGATTCACAGCTTTTAAAATTACTGAATACAGCTTTTCTGCCTTACGATCCGCATAATCCAGCACTGTATAAAAGAATGTCTATTAGTTCACATGATATCTTCAATGCCCTGGCCGGATACATTCCAGCAAGCCGATTCAAAAATTCAATGTCGTTTGCTCAGTGGTGCTCGCGAAAAAAGGCACTCTTTCTAGGTACCATAGCCAAAAACATCAGCGAATATCAGCCAAATTACTAGAAAGAAATCCAGGATATGAAAGCGGAGAAATACCTTATTTTAGGGTATGTTCGGAAATCACCTGGAGTGGTTGATGAGAATAATCAGAAAAGGCTGTTGGAAGCTGTGATATTCTTACATATCAGGAGTTATAATTTATTAAGTTTTTAAATGTCGAGACTGAGTGAGTCAGCGAGACCGAACAATAGTTCTTGGATGATTTTATTTTGGTTTAGAAATTGAATGGTCTTTTATATGAATGCAAGGTAGAACTGAGCTTATAGTGGAATTAAGAAAGTAGTAGTGACAACCGAATAATATTGTTCCTGTTAATGAATTGTACAGCGCCACTGATATATATCTAGATTACCAGTAAGGTTGAAGTGTGCCTGGAATCTTATTTGTTCCAGTGCACTATAACTGGTAAAGGCAGTAAATCTGGATTGTTTCTCAGATTGTTATATGAATTAGAGTTCAGAACGTGACAGAAGCGATGATTTCGCGTCTCAAAGAGCGATCACTTGTGACGAGCGTGTTTGTGTCGTGTTCCTCCGAATCTCAAGCTTAATTCAGCAACGAGACTTACCGCGTCCAGCATTAGTTGATAGACTAGATTGTGCTGGACCTACACAAGATAAGAGTGTGAACTACAAGATTAATTATACAGAGTACTAAATTATTTCTTTAATAGATCTTCTAATACTGCTAAAAAATACAGGAAAAAGTCTGCCTTGTTTGTGTTGACTTTACTGGCCTTTCAACCAGTTCAGATGACTTGCTCGAATTTATTCGGTAAGTTACAAATTCTATAATTTGGAACATCTTTATTCATACAACTTGTTTAATTATAGTTCATACGCATCGATCAAAACAATAATAATAGACCAACTTGCATACTTCAACAAGATTCATATCTTCCAACGCCAAGATATACTTGAGGATCCAAGCGTATTGCAGGCGTTTGATAATTGCAGAAAAGGATTGATCCAAAGATCAAAATAAAACCCTGTCGCTCTTTTTTCACTTGTAACGTCGGCATGCTGAGTTTCCTTTTATAAATGATCCATTAAATAGAATCTACTACGTTTGTCAAAGATTTCATTATGGCACTTAGACTCTATTACTTGCTGCTTTTCAGCCAGCATTAAGGAAATGACAGGTAGCTTGAGGATCAGCAAAGATATGGTTGAACGACTGAAATTATAATAGGCCGAAAATCGGTTGAAAGATGGGCTGAAAAAGGGCTGAGAATCGGTTCAGGATCAGTTGTCGTGAATATGGCATATGATTCAGGTTTTGATGTAGAATTGTCTGGAACGTCTAGCGTTGACCCTAGTTAAGGCAACAGAAACCTTAGTACTTAGAATAGTGATGTAGGAAAAGTACTTAAGGACAATAAATACTCTTCAATAAAGCCTCATCTATTTTTTAGGTCGTTCTAAATTCTGTTTCCGCCCTCTAATTTCATGGTGGAGTGGCTGTTATATTGATCCCCCCCCCGGTGTCAAGTCTGTTTATCAAGTCCATCAAGTCTACTCGTCAAGCCTAACCTTCATTTTCTGTAAAGTGTCTATTCTTAGTTTATAGCCATGTCTGCCGTCAAACGTGCCGCCGAACGTACTGAACAAAGAGTGGCCAATGCTTTAGCTAAACTGATTACGGGTAACCGAATGGTTACCACCAAAATTTGTCCCCCTTTCTCTGGTACTGGTCCTATCAGTCGATGGGTGCAAATCTGTGAAGCTCGCTGCCGCATGTTGTAACTGCATGAATTTCAGCGTATTGTTTACCTTTTATAATATCTGCCTGAGAATATGGCACAATGGATCAATCAGCGCACCAATTTGGACTCGTGGTCTACTCTCAAGGATACGTTGATCGACAGGTTTGGCGTTCCAATCCAGCAACAAAAAGAAACTGTTAAAAATTGCAATTTAAAGTGTTGAAGCAAGGTTCTCTCTTTTGTCGCCGTTTTGAAGTGAAGTTTGAGTCCCTGGTTCTTGACTTTTCGGAAGGACATGTCCCTTCTGCACATGAACTGAGAATCTTTTTACCACCTCAAGCCATGTCCCCTCGAATGTGCAACCTGGTCCTGCCTCGCATGCATGGTCTCAAGAACTAAAAGATGTCTCGCAAGCGGCTATCGATATTGAGAACTTGCTGTCCACGAATAGTGAGACGTTAGCGTCAACTTTTGAAAAAGCATCCATTATCATGATGCTTCCGCTCCGGTCGCCCTTTCACCGGTAACATATTTACAGAGCGTTAAACATGGTAGCACGCAAGTTGCTTCGTAATTTTGCGAGCACTATCTCCATTCACAATTCATGCCAGCAGGATCATAGACATTTTGTTTGCTGCCACGAATAGTACAATGCTCTCAGTTACAGTGATCCTCACTATCCTTACCAATCCAACCAATTCTGAACCAATCCTCAACAATCCTGAACCAATCCTCAACCAATCCTGAACCATTCCTCAACCAATCCTGCAGAAAATTTTATTGAACACTCAATTTTTGTATTGATTGTTTGAGTTTTCTATTCATATTCTAAAAATTATATTGAAGCTCGGAATTTTAGATTTTTAAACGCAAAACACTGTACCCCACATTTTAACTGAATTGAACAAAAACTGCAAGTTGTGCAACCTTATTACCTCACAGACCGATTAGCTTACAAGCGGTGATTGTTTCAAAAAACTCTGTCCAAATAGAATTCGAGATATTCGATTATGTACGGTAAATCGGCGATAACCTTATGCATGCGCTTCCAAAGCAACTTGCATCATACATTACAATACTTGCTTAAGCCTTTGCTCGAATCATTTATTAAGCAAACTGTTATATGAGCTAGTATTGAATTTTAAAGTACACTATTACATATGAAGGCTCTTATTGCTGATTATTGATCCATTGTCGATGGTTCTTCAGCGATCTCTTCGAGGTATTCAAAAAGTGAGGAATAGAAAGAGGAGCTCCGTGGTTTCGTGTCCGCAGTGTTACTATTAGTATGCGAGGGTATACTTAAAAATGAAGGTTCTGTAATGCTTGTAGTCGCTGGCTTATCAGTAGAAACAGTCCTCGCTGCAGTCGTTTGTTGTGGTTCTTGTTGATTGCCAGTATGAGGCAAATTGTGAGCGTGGCTTGATAAGCTCGTATTATATTCTGTTAACGGTAAGACAGGGTGATAGTAACAGCTGTCCAAAGAGTCAATAGTAGTATCACTACCTCTTCTATTACTACACGCATCCTCTGTCAACAGGTGTCGTGCTGTTAGTCCGGATTCCTCAAACTTCTTGCGTTGGTTTTTCAAGTCTGCCGTGCTAGATGCAATTTCAGCCGGTGCTTGAGATATAGGTTGGTTATGGTCCACATAATTGCCCGTGATCTCTTTATAATCTGATATTTTTGCTTTTTGTTTTTCTATGACTGTATCTTTATTACTTACATCCGTCGTTGCTTCTTTTGGCTCATTGTTGGTGTTATTGAGACCATAAATGGATGTATTCTGCGAACTGTGCTTATTATTGAACCAATCGTACCAGCATAGCAGTATTTTTTCTGATTCGACCTGCATAAGTATATTTGTCATGCCTTGGCCATGCACTTTTAACACATACTGTTTTGGCACACACGATTTTATAGTAGCACCTTTGTAGGCGATGACTTTCCCTTTCTTTACTTTATCCTATATAAGGTTTCGAAGGGCGAAAGTGATGCGTTGTCAGCAATATTATACATAATATAAGAAGGGATTTGTATGAATAAATCTATGCTTACCGAATAAATACTAAAGTACGAAATTGTGGGCATCAATACAACAGACATCATCTCCCAAGCTGCCAAAAATGGAAAGTATTTGAATACTTGTTGTATAGGTGTTTCCATCTAATATGTAGGATAAGAATATTAGAACTTGTTTGGTTAGACGCTCGTTTCATAATAATAAAGCATACTTCGTGCACGTCCAATAGGAATCCATGCATTTGACCCGTTCGGGAGATATTTTTGAGGAGTACAGTGGAGTCACTCAGAGGCTGGATGGAATTATTTGCCATGTAGTTTAGGCTCATTGGGTTGTCATTCTTTTTGCACAAGTGATCAATATTACCATCGTCGCTTATAGTAACTTGGCTGTTATTTTCTGTAAGAGCGGTTTGTTTAGCCTGAGTAACATTTTCGTTGTATTCCCTATATTTCTCCCGTCCGGTCAAGTCAGAATGCTTGCCGTTATTGAATCGTGTATCGAGGCGATCCTTTTTTGAATTTGAGAAAAATATATGCAGTTTGGGTACAAACAATACCAGAAGCGAAAAAGTTGTGGCCCAGACTATCATGGTAGCCGTTAGATAATGCCTTGTGTAATAGTCGGTTGTAGGCACAAAGAAAATGATAAAGCCAATCAAAACCGAAAAAAAGATATTGCTAGTTGTTCGCATATAGGTAGAAAAGCAAGATGTTTAAATTCAAGCTCTACATGTATGCATTAGCTATAAATATTTATAACTTACTAAACAGATAAGCCGATTTGTTTATATTCACTGTATTTGGAGTAGTTTCTTCCGACCGAACGCGTCTTGAAGGCAAGAAAAGTAGCAAATATCAATTGAAGCGACCCAAAAAGACTGAGAAGAGTGACGAATATAGCGTGATTAACGCCTTCAAAAGTACAGTCAATATAATATGCATCTTTGGATACGGGGATACTAATGGTTGACACTTTGCTCGAAGCAAACCATGCGATCAGAATGGTCTAAAATAGATGGTTTCATTAGTCATAAAAATTGAATCGAATCTTGATACCATCATCTTACAGAAGTTATAGCGAATATCGAACCCGATACTTTTAGTAGCTGCATGTCAGTGACGATCGTTTTAGTGATGAATATGTTGTTGAATATGCGGTAAATACGATAGTTCTTTGCGATTAAATTGCTGTTTCATAAACAGATTTATTCTATTAAGTACACAAATCGCAATAAGGTACAATTGCATTATGTACGAAGAAATGACTTACCCTAAGATTAAGGAATATCCTAAATGGAATGTAACAGGAATTATAGTACAAGTGAGTTTAGTTCTGTAACCAACGAAGAAGAATAAAGAAACATAGGCCAACAGAAACCCAATCAGCTCTAGTACACAAAATAATGGACTATGTAAATGTGAGCAGAAGTTTGGTTTGGTATCAATATCAGGTATGCTAAAATTATTACAATTCATAAGAATGGCTTACCTTGAAGCTTTGAAGACCTCTCGCTTTCTGTAAAACAGCACCAAAACCATAGTCAATAGGGCAATGCATGTGCCCAAAGATGCTATGCTTAGAAGCACAATGGTAACAGGAGACTTGTAGCCAGGGTTTAAAAAGATTCTGTCAGGAATACCTGTGGGTATCTATACTAAACGTCCTAATTCAATTGACGAACTACAGCTGATAACCATTTTAGATAGATGCACTTTCACTTTTACCTTTGTTGACCCATCGTGGTAAATGGGCGAGGAAGTAAGATTCATGTTGCCAGCAATAATTCTGCCAATTTCGATTTGTGAACCATTTTGAATATTGTACAATCGAAAGTTTCTGAATGAAAGAGAAACTTATTAGTGTTTAAACAAAGATTTTGAACGACTCTATTTGTATTATGTATTACGCTGTAGCAATATCTCCATTTTGATCAAAGACAATTGGTCCCGCCGGTCCGACAAAAGATGAATTGAATGCTGATGGGCTGAGGTACTGCCCTAGTTGCCCAGCAGCTAGTTTCTGAAGCATCTCTGACCTATTTGAGGCTGATGTCGTATCTTTCAATATCGTATTGAACCCGCTCGCCATCGCCATCATACAAGAATAAGCCATCCCTTCGTTACTACTAATATTATGCTGTCCGCCATAAGGGTATCTAGGGAGCAAGTTAGTATATTGCAAGCTCGTATATGCTACCTCTACGAATCGTTATCACTCACATGGCTGGATCCAGATGAGACCATTTCTCCAAAAAAGTATCAAAAGGTGGATATCCATTAAGTTCCTTAAGTGAATCGAACATGAATACACCTCCAGAAAAGGTCGAATTATAATCTATCTGCGTTAGATTAGTGGTCGTTCTTGCCGCATATTCTACAGGGTCGATCAAATCTAACAGTGATTGCTTTTTGAATGCGTTATTCGATTTTGATGAAGCGTTTCGCGGACCAGAAAATTGGTCATCAACCATGGTGGCATTATAAACAGAGGGAATGACATCTGTGTTGCTTGCTCTTCGAGACAAAATGGAATTGTAGTCGTTAATGGCTGCATATAAGGTATTTGTATCTGCGTTGATTGTGATCCATACAGTGTCGTCATTGATATATCCGCTATGGGCTGCTACCGTCAATGCGGCGATTTGTGCTACACCTTCAGCAGCAATAAAGACAACACGAACGCCGGAAGACATAAATGAATCTATGGAAGCTTTTATATCACTTTTCGGCCCATTTTCATAGTAGGATTGGTAAGTTTTTACATGTAATCCATTCAAGCGAGCTTTCATCACAATATTCTCAGACACTATATATTAATATTTGTCATTAAAGGATAATGTGAATAAGTATATTCAAGTGTTTTCCTGAAGCAAGCTTTTGTTTACTGATATAGTACATTGTTGACCAAAATCATTATCCGAATACAAAACACCTATTTGAGGCCAGCCTTGGCTGATGATGAATGACATCGCAGCATCTGAATATAATAAATTTGTAGGTGCAGTTCGGAAGAAGTAACCAAACTGGGTCTTATCTGATAAAGAAGCTGTAAAGAAAGGCCAATAAAGTTAGTTGGAAAATTGATCCATGCAAGAGATTGTCAGAAACTTACTTGCTATGGCTGAGAAAGAACATTGTGGGATTTGTAGAGTGCTTGTCATAAGAGCTGACAGAGAAGTCCATGAAGAAGATATATCTCCAATCACACCAATGACACCTTCCTGTATCAAAGAAATGGCAGAAAAGACCGCTTGAGTGATGGCAGCTTGTCCTTCTACGGTTTTTGGATAAGAGTCTTTTTCTACTAAGGTGATATAAACTCCCGGAATAAATTGTTGAGTATTGATTTCTGCAACTGCTAATCGAATGGCCGATATTCCACTGTATATTGAAGATGACAAAAAATCAATGGCTCAGTTATGTGCAATTAGGTTTTTTTAATTGGTTTGGGTTTTGCAAAAGCAAATATATTTACCTCATCGTCATAACTCTTGTCCAGCCATCATTATTTTGATGAAAAGGTAGTAGTACACCAATCTTTAGCTCTGTCAAAGAATTGTTTTTGATCACCGGATTGATGAATGTTGAGCCTTTCCGCCTTACTACTGAAAAAGTATAATTATTGAAGGAATCAAAATACAAAGATGAATTGAAATCGTCTATGTCACTGTCATCGATTACTATAGAAGAGCGGTTTTTTGCTAATTGAAACTGATCTGCTGCCGTGAGTGATTGTGGTGGGCTTATAGTGGATAAGCTGTAGTTAGTGGCCATGTATTCTGATGGGTTTTCCTTTACAAAAATGGGAAGGATGCTTTCACTACGTCAGTATATCTGATGAGATATTAATTGTTAGCGGCCGACGATAATCCGTTTATGTGGTTTAAGCTGATTATGAGGAAGAAAGGAACAAGAGAAAAAGTGTATAACATCAATTGCATGAAAGAACAATATCTGTTGTATAAAAAGTATAATTGAACAAAAAAGGAGAAGACCTATACAGACTTGTTTACTAAGGTTATTTGGCAAATCAACTAAATCTCAGTTTCCCTTTTTCCATCTTCCTTCTATTTTGAAATATAGAAGCAATTTTGAAGATGGCACTTGTCAGTAATTATTCTGTCTATGTGAGACGACATTTCATAACAGTTACATAATAACCAAATACTTGTTCACTAGCTATACTTGCAATTTATTGTTATATAGTGCGCTTATAAATAAATATGAAAGGGGTTCTCTCAGGGAGCTACTTATTGCAAAGGAGCATGGGATGGAACAGGGAAAAATTCGTTTGGTCCGAACTAAGAAATATCAGGGCGAGGAGTAAACGAATAGACGATTGCCTAAAACAGCATTTTTAAGGAAAACATGAAGATACTGTCAAATGCCACCGAAATGTCAGAGCTAAGCATGCTTGGAATATATATATATATATATATCTGTTGGGCTTTTATTATTGACTTCCAAAAACAATTAACAAGTTATGACTACGGAAGTTTTAACTTCCCATTGTTACATCCTCATCTGCAACCTGTGATTTCGGAGACACCATAGAGTTAGCCATGGTTGTATTGCTATTTGACAGTAGATCATTGTTGGTTACTCTATTATCATCCGATGGCTCATTATTATCATTGGTGGATGTGATAGTATTTGAAGAAGTCGTAGTACCCGCTGCAATGGCCTGTGACATGGCAATAGTAGCGGCTACAGCAGCGGTGGTAGATTGTTGTTGCGGCAGATATAATGGTGTTGTTTTAACGTTTTGATTAGCACTAGTCATTTCTGTATCCTCGTCCTTTTCTGTCTGTTTCTCTACTGATTTTGTTTGTTGAGGCTGGCCTTCACTTGCTGACATTTTTTCTTGAGAAGCTTCTGATTGATGAGATGGACTACAAATATGACTTGCGGGTTGCCAAACTTGAACAATATTATCATCAGCCGTGCTGCCTAGGACCCAAGGATCCACAGGGTTCCAATCAAAGTCAGAAATTTTATTGGTGTGACCACCGTGCATGAACTAGAATAGAATGACAGGTTTGTGGGTTTTTAGCAAATTAAGAAAAAAGGGAGCGGTATTATGGTTTTTCTTTTTCTTACCAAAAGCTCTGGAGGTCCATCTTCGGCGTCTTCAGCAGATTGAGAGGCACCAATTCTGGATAGATCCCAGATAAGAATTCTTCTATCACTGCTGGCGGTGGCTAAAACTGCATCATGATGAGGTGACCATGCTAACTGAAGGATTTCTGATTGATGCGCTCTAAAAGTATGGATAGGTAGTTTAAAGTTACGCAAATCCCATAACTCTGCATTCTATAATGTTAAAAAGTAGGAAAAAAACCACCGTTTGATTAAGACTATGATCCTCCTATTATGGCCAAGAAATGGATCTTACTTTGTCACTGGAACCTGTTGCTAGAATCCACTCACTTCCTGGCGCAAAGGCAACGCAATTGACTTCAGCTTCATGTGCTTGAATATTATGTGTGGGTTTGGTTGAATTATTTCGGACATCCCAACTAAATACCCGTATATAACATTGTTAACAAAAGACATTTGTAAGATAAAATTTTAATTGACCATAACTTACATCATCAGTCGAGTGTCGTCACCCACAGATGCAAAAATATTTTCAAATTTGGTATGCCATGCTACATCCTAACAATATAGAACCCGTCAATCGAAACACTGTTCTTTGATATAATTTTCTTGTCTAATACTTACTTCAACACCAGCATTATGTGCTCTATAAGTACGAACGGGTTCTAATTCATGATTTTCTCTGGTTGTACCATTTATATCCCATTGGCAAATTTTTGAATCAAAACCAGCACTGATCAAATGGCTGCCTTTCTGCTTGTGAGGATTCCAAGCTAAACCATAACTAAAAAAGTTTATGCAATTAAGTAAAATATGCAACAATCGACTTCTCTTCGTTATGGAATGAATTTGTTGTTCTTATTACCCTTCTTTGTCATGTCCAATCAGTCTCATTGTGGGGTTAAAAGTTTCATTATCTTTGGGTCTAGCGTCAAAGGTTGTACGGTCAAATAGATAAACATCTCCAATTCTGGATTTGGTAGCTATGATATTTGGATTTCCAGGTTGATAACGCGCGCGGTTTACTTCTCCGTCATGTAGAATCTTCTGCGTGATTTTGATGAATGTATCGTTTTCATCGACTACCAAAAAAAAACCAACCAAAAAATCCCGTTTTGGTAAGGAAAACAAAATTCAACTTGTAAGCTAGCATTGTCTGGAGCGTGTCTCTGATCCTTTTATTTTTCCTGTTACCATTCACGTCTTCCATAGACGTATCGTCTGTTGTATTGTCAAAGGTTGGAAGTTTGACGGATGCAATCTGAAGATAATTTGGCTCGTCGTCATTGGTATGTGTTCCCAGTAATAGCTCTTGAACTTTATAGTTCTTATCCGGAACACTGTAATATTGAAATACAAAACGTGGAGTGGGTGTTAGCTTCGTGTCATAGTCCAGTTTTTTATTCTTTCATTTCGACAACACTCACTTTTCAACAGTAGGGAACCATTGACAAGTTAAACTTGGCCACTCAAGCGCATGTGTGATGACAAGGTCGTAGAGGAACGGCGAGTTCTTCTTCCACACTTTGTACTCTTCGTTCACTATCTTTTCAATTTCCTCTTCCGATCGTTGTTGTTGATTTTCAAGTTCTAAAAAAGAAAGTGATCAGATATCAGTTGCTGATGTTATGAAATTGCAAGAGGCCACTTTTCATCGCTTTCAAATGTTTTACCGAACTCCATTTTGTTATTATAAGCGTTTCTCGCCTTTAAACTGCTGAGACGCAAAGGGAATAGAATGTAAGCAGTAAAAAAACTCTGTATTGATGGTTTTTTCGGAGCTGTGTCTAAAATAAAACCTAGATACAGAAACGTAAACAGCAGCGTGCCATCACAATTGCCCTTTTAGATTTTTAACAAGCGCCAATTGATCGCTGAAGTTCAAACACGAAATCCCAATTCATTTTTTAGCGCGATTTTCTCTTTTATTCGTTCCTAATTCCTTAGTAGTCAACAAGGCAAAATTATTTTGGACACCATGAGTATTGCTGTTAAACGTAGACTTTCCGATGCAACTAATGACCAACAAATCAATGACATCAAAAACAATAAGCACCTGAAAACAGAAACTGGGGAAAAAGTCAGTAATCACCAAAATGGCGAGCAAGATAAAAGTATAAGCCGAGATGCTCAACTCCAAAAAGTCTTTGACAATATGCGATTAAGAAGAATTGTTAAAGAAAATCATGGCTGCGACATCAATCAATTGTCTTTCTTTTTTAATAATAAGAATTTTACAGCTCCTGTGAGTTTGGATCATAATAAAACTTTCGATAAACGAGGTGCAGTACAACGTGACAGTACAGATACCAGTAACATTCTAGCGACTTGCGGTGGCTGCGAGGTAGTTTATCTTTTTGGTTCATACGAACAGTCTTTTGGCTTCTTTTCAAAAACTGATGTTGTTAATTTTTTCTATTGCTTAAATAATCAAACATATATCACAGCTCAGTGTTTACGATAATGAACATTGTGGTGATCACTTGGATATTATGTCAAATTATGATATAACTCCTGGCAATGATGATGGCGGAAAGGATAAAAGTAATTATACATTGGAGACATTTTGTTGGCTTTATAAAGATGGTGATGCTTTATTAGCCACTGCTGGTGCGGACAAGTTGATCCACATTCTTAGCTTAGCGCACTCAGAAGAAATTAAGACTTTGGAGGGACATACAAGTAAGTGATCAATAATTCGATAACTTTAAGGAGAATTTGGCTGACGTTCCAAGCATTACTTAGAACTTATATACGACTTACAATCGCACCCACACAACGATCACATAATTCTGTCTACATCCAAAGATGGCACGATACGACTATGGGATGTGGATGAAGGAAAATGCTTAGTGATATTTGAAGCTGATGCAACTGTTTCAGTAAGTTTGTTGTATCTCTCGGCTTTATAGGAGGTATACACTTAATAATTTATACATGACTACTAGTGCTTCCATCCTTCAGGCGAACAATTCATTTCGGGCAATGCACGCGGTGAATTTCGCATATGGGATATCCCATCAACGTCTAATCGAATGGATGATGACGATTATGAACCTGTTACAGTTGGCAAAAAACATTCGCGTTTACTCCGCAAAATTCATGGTGATACCTATATCGACTGTATCCGTTTTGCAAACGGCCATGTTCTTTCCAAATCCATCAACGGCAAAATAGAATATTGGGATTACGAGACAGAGAAAACTCTACGATCTTTTCGCATTCGATCAGGCGAGAACTTTTGTCGCTTAGATGTGAGTTTAGATGAGCTGTTCTTTTGTGTCGGCTCAAGTCAGGGCTCCATTTTTATCTATAATCTGGAAACAGGAAAACTAGTGACAGAGTTAGGCCATAGAAGATCAACAAAGGCAGTGCATTGCTGCGTGTTTTCCAGAGATTGTCGACAGATTGTGGCGGCTGGTGAAGACGGCTTTATTATGCGATATGACTATATAGATGATGATACGTTAAAAGAGTGGGACAATTGGAGAAAGACAGACTAGATAATATTCAATGGTTACGGATACCTTTTGAAAGTTGCATATCAAAAATAAATATTGTCTTATACACACTTGCTGGAGCCATTTATTTTACTTATGCTTATTCTAAATGCTCCTCTATCTCTCTTTACAGTGAGGCTGTTCGAGAAAAAAAAAAAAAAAAAAAAAGAAAAATTCAAGCTCATCTTCAGTTGTACCTGTGATCTCACTTCCATTCGCATAAAATTTTTGATTGTTATATTTTTTTCTTATTTAAGGGAAAATGATCGTTGTGCTCCTTTCAAATCAATGCGATGAATCAGAGTTTAAAGTATGAACGTTGTAAACAGCAAACGGAAGCAAAGCTGCTAGAGATTAAAGATCTTGGTAATTTATTGTGAGCATGGCGAGGTAAACTGCTTTCATTAACGCGGTCTTTCGTTTTTCTTTTTTTTTCATTTAGAATTGCAGATTTGCTACGTTCAGAAGCAACTGGATCAGAAAAGAAAGTCCATTTTACAAAATAGACAGAAAGAAGATTATTTTGATAAATTATGCCATCACCATGCATACTATCAGCAACAATTAACAAAGTTACTTTCCTCTGCAGAAAAGAATAATCAAGAGAGCATAAACAATAGACCTACGACGCCCACTGGTGGCAAGCGCGATCTCGCTGAAATATTAGGGACAACACCAGACGTTTTCAGCAAAAAAATTGAGCAAATTATTGAACAACAACTCAAATCAAAACAGATGGCCTCAGAAAGAGAGTTATTACAAATACAACAACTGCTTGATCGTCTACCACGCAATGATAGTACGATAGTATCAACTTTCAACAGAGTACTAAAACGTCTTATCGCTGAAATGGAAGGGTTGAAAGTGAATGATGATAATTATATTACACCTCGAGTCAATAAAGAAATTACATCTGAACAGCAGACAATTACAGAAAGAGATAAGACTATGTATCAATTAGAACATCGAAAGAAAATGAATGCATTGCTCAACAAAAAAGAAAAACTGGAATCAGAAGCAAGAACAGTAGAACGGCAATTAATACGACGTGTGCGAGAGTTGCATTCAGATCCAGCCGTACAGTCAGCCTTAGTGTAATTAACACCACATATAAGAGCTGGATAGACCTATGCGAAGAAAACGTCATACTGATATACTTTTCATACTATAGCAAAAACATGAGAACAAAATCAGGGAATCAGCAAGTGAAGGCTGAACTACAATCTGTTCTTTCACAAATAGAAGATATGGAGAAGAAAATTGAAACTATACAAAAGGATAATTCATTGACAGAAATGGAATCATTAATCTCGGACGTACTACGAAAGATAGTAAGGCAAACTTTGTTCATGAGCATCCATCATTGTATTAGAATCTCATTGTATGCGTTTTTCACAACAGAACCAGAAGCAAACAGAAATCCATATTCTCGCCAATGCTAACGAAGAACACCAAAAACTGAACAACAATATTGGAAATAAGGTGAATATGACTTATACGGACGGCATTAAGTGGGTTTGATACTGAATGATTTGGCAACCATATCTAGTTGAAGGATAGAAAAGAAACCGAATATACGAATCTATTGGAAACGATTGAGACCGTCAAATCCAATTTATTGACTAGGTCACAACCTTTAAAAGAGACAAAAAAAGCAATAACAGAAGAACAAGAACAGGCGGAAGAAACGTTCTCCAAAATTAAAGAAAGCCTATACTCGACATATTCTATTGTAAGTAGATTTCTTACTCTTGTTGAAAGTAAGATTTACAAAAGCTAATGATTCGCTCTGGATTGCTCAACATTCACACTGATAGTCAAATATAGAATCTCTTTCGAGAATCCTGGAAATAGTGGAAGCTGGTAATTTTTCATACAGAAAAGGAAGCTGCAACAAAATAATTGCTGATCAATCTTTCTGTTAGTATATACACTATCTGATGAGCTAACGGTCAACGTAGATATACAGACTATGTTGGCACAACTGAAGGAAAAATGGCAAACATCGATCCAAACAGATAATCTTCCTTTACCTGATAGCATCGAGGCTGTGCATCGCGACAGAAAAGATAATCCTTTGTTGCAGTATATCGATGAATTGGAAGGTAGTTTTTACTTTTTTTTATTCTATCGTTTCATATTTCAAATAATAATGTTATTTGTTTTAACATGCAATGTTTAGCTTACATCCAGAACGTTCATACCGTTTATTCAAAAGAAAAAGAAGAGAAATACAGAAGCAAGTTAGAAATAGCAGATAAGGTGGAAGACGAAGTAAATCAAATCCTAGGAGTTTTGCGGGAACGGTAAAAACGTATAAGGCGCTATTATATTATTAAGTTATTCGTCGACGCTAAAGTCTTTTTATATTATCTTTAGTGAGCTTATCAAGCAAATTGGTAACGATTATACAGTGGCTAAAAGAACCTTTGGTGAATGGTTAGAGCTACTTCGGGCCGAGAATAATAATCAAGATGATCCTGAAGCTGAGTACGATAAGTTAAAATAGCTTTAAGATCGAAGCTTTTTGGTTATTCATGATTTATTTACAAGAAAGTCTATAGAAGGCATAAATGCAATTCATGTTTATATACAATTAAATTTAAAAAATTGCATTTTTACCAAGTTTGGCTTCAGACTTATCACTTCTTTTGCCCTTATGTTTTAAGTTGTTTCCTCTGGCATTTCTATTTCCAGATTTTGCAAATTTCTTATTTAAGGTACGCGATACTCTACTCTTCAACTCTTCTTCGGACATTCCCACTTTGTGTGGCTTCTTTTTCTTTGATGTCGTGTCACAATACGCTTTGAACTCACGATTATTTGGTTTTTCCAGTTCGTCACCATCGTCATCTTTTTCAGCTTCATTGTTATCTTCATCATCAACTTTTTGTTCCTCTAACTTTATTTCTTTCACTTTTTCAGCAATATCTTCCTCATCATCATTATCGTAAGTCTGTTGGTTTGGTGATGCATCGCCTTCCTCCGTTTCCTCCTCTTCTTCACTATCGTCAGTTTCCTCGTCTTCGCTTTCGTCATCCTCCTCCTCCTCATCTGATGTCTCTTTGATTTCTTCTTGATAATCTTCTAATTCCTTCTGCATTTGCTTACTGAACCCACTAGCAGCAACTTGCACATCCAAACTGAACTCTCTATTGACATCCTTGGTAAAACGAGGATAAAGGACGCTTTCGTATCCAAATCGACGACGGAAAAAAGTACGAATACATTCTACATCACGATTGAAGTAACTAGATCAATATAACAATTAATACATTACTTCGAATCGCCGAATTTCCGAAAATTTGGTTTGACTGAAGCTTACTATTCTGCGTTCATATGGGATGTTGAAACCATTTGAGGAAAATCAATCAATATAGGTGAACCGTCACTTTTGATCAATATGTTGAATTCGTTGAAATCACCATGGATAAGGCCATACTGAGCCAATTTGACAATCAAACTCATTAATTCAGAGTAGAGTTTGCCTGGGTCACCTACTTCTTCGATTTGACGCCTAGAGGTTCATTTGAAAATGAGTTGCATGCGAGATAAATATGTGCCCTTCTCAATCTTATCTACTTACAGAGGGTATGCATCAATTAAGCCCATGACCACACAATGTCTGTTTTGATCAATTGGTTCTGGCACTGGAAATCCATTATCATAGAGAACTTTCATAAAGGCATATTCCTTCATGGCCGCTAACCGTGACATATACATCCAAGAAGCAGATTTTCTTTTTTGTAAGTAATCACGTTTCGACTTGATAGTTCTAAAGGACATACGGCCAAGTCTAACATTTTGCAAGGAGAGAAAATAGGCTAAGAAAAATTTTCCCCCATATTTTCTAAAGGATATTTGATATAATTTACCTTTGTAACTTCAACACATGCTGATTATCCTCTTCATCAGCGACAATATAGATATCTGATTCTTTACCAACACCAATTTGATTACCAACTGAGTAAACAGATCCTCTTTTGGCAAATGTCTTTAATGCAAGGTAATCATAACCACCATAAGTCAAGCGATAACCATCATCTGTAGCGAAAAATAAATGACAACTATTAGGGCATAGACTCCTTTGGGTGTCAGAAGGCAAAGGAAATATTTAAACGTTACAGGACATATTTTGAACACGCGCAATCAATTTCCTCTTTGCTAGATCGCCAACAATTTTATGTGCACCACCATGTCTTAACTGAGCAATTTGCGCAATCATTTGACTGGGAACAACTTCGTGGTTTTTCGAGCCCATTTCAACCTAAAAAGTCATGAGTGAATCACTGTTTCTATGGTATTGGTTATAGTTATTTGATGTTGTCCTTACAGCTGTTAGGACTCGAAAGTCTTCTGCAGACATATACCGAAGGGCTTTGGCGTCTAATTTCATTTTTAGTTATTGATGATTAAGATCGATCAGAAATATACGGTTCGGAAGAGTAAAAGTAAGAATTACAGTATGCAGTTACAAAATTGGGATAAAAGTGGAGAATGAATTTGTGGCTTAACATTTTTATTATGCGAATGCAGTGATTAGTTTCGTAAGTCTTTACCTTTCAGCTAAATCAACTACCAAACTTATTCCTAATGAATTTAGAGATTTTATCCCCTGTTTCCACTCGAAACAAAAAAGCCGCAACCATTCAACGGATGGACGTGGATGAAGAGAATATACATGTTGTTAATCCCGGTGAAATCGTCACCACTGATCAGAAATTCATGAGGTATTTTGCAACACATGTGAGCAATGTTAGCAAACACATCGACTGAAGATTGGCAAAATTTTTTGTAGGGGTCATGGTACATATACAGACGGTGAAAGCACAGTTTATGCATCCGTAGCGGGTACTGTTGATCGAGTCAATCAGTTATTATCTGTCAAACCGTTAAAGGCACGTTATACGCCAGAGATTGGTGACATTGTTGTAGGACGTATTACCGAGGTAAAGTAGGCAACGTATACAGGAATTTTCTAAAATGCTTTCTCAAATAGCAATTAAATATATTTTATTTTCTGCTATAGGTTTCATTAAAGCGCTGGAAGGTGGATGTGAATAGTCGCCAAGATGCTAATTTATTGTTGAGTTCAGTCAGTTTACCAGGTGGTGTCCAAGTAAGGAACAACTAAGAATAGCATTGTGCGTTAAAAAGAGGGTTGGCGCTGATAGTGTGTTATTTAGAGACGTAAAAATGAAGCAGACGAACTTCAAATGCGACAATTCTTTTCAGAGGGAGATATGTTAGTGGTAAGTTGATAGAGAGTACACTTGCTGTGAATAGCCTTTCAATTGAATCTAAACATTTGGGCTTTTGTAGGCTGAAGTTCAAGCGTTTTATAATGATGGCACAATGGGTCTTCATACACGTGGCTTCAAATTCTGTAAATTGAGGAACGGTTCTTTAGTCAGTGTTCCTGCAGTACTTGTGCAGCGTTGTAAATCACAGTTCCATTCCCTTCCTTGTGGTGTGGATGTGATATTGGGTCTCAATGGTTATATCTGGGTGCACAAGAAGTTTGAAGGTATGCAAACAGAAGACGCCGATTTGACCGTATCCTACTCGAATGAAAATGATGTAAGTCGCTCTTAGGTAGTCTTGAACATTTTTTCAATGAGTGCTTATTTTTAAATTTTTCGCTCCTATTTGTAGAAAATTACAGAGGATGAACGACAGGAAATTGCTCGCGTTTGCAATTGTATTTCAGCCCTAGCAAAGCAATACATGCATATCAATGATACGATCATCGTCTATACATATGAAGCTTCTTTGGAATATACCGTGAAGGATTTACTCAAATTGGACGTGATAGCGAGTATCACAACTGCAGCCAGCATGAGAATGCGTGCCAATTAATCGGCACAAATAACGGATACATTTCTCTCATTTTGTAAATATTCATATAAATCGTCAAAAGAGTCTACACATGCTTTAATTGAAGGCATTATAATAGGATATCTCGCCTTCCTTTCAAAGAAGAATGTGGTATAAAATTTTATCATTCAACAATGGTCGTTGTAATACTTTGTATTGAAAGTTAGAATAAGCCGATAGGAAAAATCGTTATGATTCACAAAAGATGTGTTTTTAGAACGATTTAATCTGCAGGTTTCCATGATCCAGGAGAGATGGAACCAGACATAGCATCTTCAATAAGTGTCCAATCCTGATCATCTTCCCCGTCCTTTTTACTCGTACTAGTTACATAGTTGGTTTTCGCGGTTTTCTGTATTGAGGACATTGTTCTGGCTTTTGCAAGCTCTAAATCTCGGTAAATGCATTGAATAGCTGTTTCCACGCCAGTTTCCTAAATATCTTTGCCGTGAGCGACCCCCATCGAGCGTTTAAGAAAAACCCATCGTCCATTCGTGTTCTCTTACCTGTCTAATTTTATGTCCAACTTGATTCGCTACGCGCAGCATGTTTTCATCGGTAGATACCACCCTTAAAGCTGCTGATAGGTTTTCTACCGTCAGCTGTTTGATGCATCGTCCCAGACCCATTTCCTCTACTCTTTCTCCCCAGAAAAACTGATCTGCGAAGAATGGCTTGATAATCGTGGGTCGACCCGCCCTTAATCCTGCAGCTGTCGTGCCAGCACCACCATGATGCACGACTGCTCGTATTTTGGGAAACAACCAATCATGGGGGACTGACTGCACGCTGAAAATGGTATCAGGGTACTTTTTCAATATATCTTCCTCTTGGTTCCCTTCTTTTTTTGCCCCTGCTTCTTTCTTCGTAGCTTCATTCGCTCCCTCTTGTTGTTTCTTATCGTGTAATCGGGAGGACCAGCCCTGTGATACAATGGCTCTTACGTTGGACAGTAAAACCGATTCGACGATCACGCGAATAATTTCAAACGGATCAGAGACAATGATGGAACCAAACCCAATATAAACGATAGGACGACTATCGGGCGCTTCAATGAAAGCCTTCAAAGCGGCGTCGGGCGCCCAACCTGTTTGTGGATTATCTAAAAACCAATAACCGGTGCAGTGTATCCAATCAAGCCAATCCAACGGACTAGGCACAATATGTGGACTGAAAGAGTAAAGATACGGTATTTTCCAGACTTCCAGTTTCTCGTACGTGGTGGAGGGCAAGCCAAGCGTGGATCGACGAAAAGAATTCGTGCGGCTCGCAATGGCTCTCCAGACAGCATGGTCAAACAACACATAGGTCATATCATTGTAAAGCCGACCTTTTGGATGATTGGGTGTAGCAAAGGGGTGAGGAAAGGAGCGTGTGCGTGTCATAGGCATGGGGAAGGATCGAAAGTAAGGGACTTGAAGTGCTTCCGCCATGTGAATACCGACCATGGCACTCGGACTTTCAATAATGATGTCCGTTCCTTGAACGGCTTTCCATGTGAGGCCTAATAACTCATCGATCCAATTCTTGAACAGACGAAGACCTTCTACGACAAAATTGACACTGAAAAAGTTGTTTTCTACGCAAATTCTCTATCACAAGAGGGAAAATGAGAGGGGGTGAATGGGTTTACCATTTTTTGAGTGACCCGATATTTTGTTTCTCACCCCGCTTACCATGAGTTCACCAGGGTCGCCTCCAATGCTTCTGAATTCAATATGATGTTCTTCTATCCAGTCCTTGAATTCCTCATGGGTAGCTATTCGACAACGATGGCCTTCTTTCATAAGCCCTTTACATAAGGCGATGTAAGGTTGAACGTCGCCCCGTGTACCGATGGTAATACAAGTGAAATGAAAGGAGCGAGCGGGCTTTTTGTAAGCAATAGAAGAAGTGGGTTCATCCGAGAGACGAGTGAAAAGAATAGGCAGGCTGGTTAGATTATGAGGTATGATTCGCTTTCCTTTCGTAGAGGATGTGGTAGTCGTAGGATCAATGATGTCTTCTTTTAATCCTTTCTCCGTCAATACAGCTTCCCAATGCTTCATTCGCCTCGTATGAGTTCTAGAATGGATGCTGATCAGTTGTCAAAGGAAGGGAGATGGGAGGGGGGGGGATAAATGATGCCTACTTACTCGTCCGTGGACGTATGTGTTGCGTCTGCCTGAGGCTCTAGCACTCGTTTATGCTGTATGAACAATTTTGCAAAACAGCTATTCCGCCGAGTAATGGAAGAAAACTCTAGGTATATTTCTTTTTTTGTTTGGGTCAGGATGCTTAGTGAATGAAATAGGTAACCGCGGCTTCTTATTTTCTGAATTCTTATGACATCCTGGAAAGGGATGATCATCTATAGCATTTTCCAAATGAAGGATGTGGGTAAGTAAAACTCTGCTCCTAGCCCGGGCGTTTTTATCAATGCCGGTTGTGTTTCCTTAGTTCACCTTGGCTTTTGTAGCAAAACCTTTTGAATTGAAGGATATATAGTTTGGAGATATGTATAGCTTTCCATAACAGGGTAGTGTCTTCATCAAAGAACAACGAAAGACTATTTAGAATGTGAATTGCTAAGCATAAGAATGATCCAAGTAGGCTTCTGTATCTCGAAATAACCCTGACTATATTACCAGCAATCAAATGTTCGGTTTCTGGCAAAAGGAAGTACTTTTTAAAATTCATGACAGTACGGTCGTTCAATACTTCCGTCTCGTCCGCAGTCTGTGGTGGAAATGAAGCGGCAATGGGATGGTGGTGTTCCATCGCTAACGGCCTTGTATCAGCATCTTCCTCTTCCTCGTCGTCGTCGTCATCGTCATCGTCGTCGTCATTGTCGTCGCTGTCAACAATAGCTGATGATAAAGTTCCCGATGATTTGCTTCCTCTTAGTAAGCCGTACATAAACTTGAGCCCTGAACGACGTGTACCATACAGCCAACCTATATTAGGCTCATCTTCATCCTCTGAGCTCGAGTCATTACCGTTGAACACTGTATTGGAAAAATAGGCTTCTTGGTCTGATACTTGCTGCTGTGCAGTTGCGGTTTTATTTGGAGAAAGAAAATCCTTGATGACACTGGGTACTGCTAATGCATTGGCGACAATAGAAGAGGAGGATGATTTACGTTGCATAGGTTCAGCTGGCAATACTGCTGCATCCTTCAAAAATGCGGAAGAAGAGTAAGCGGGTATAGTGATGGGTTGAGAGTTTGTATCATAGAGATCAGATATAGAAAGTGAGGGTGAAGTATTTGCAGAATTGTCTGTAAGGTGGGTATAGGATGCGGAGAGGGGTTGAAGAATTTTATTGTCTGTTTGTGTGTCTTGTTGTTTCTGAGAATGACTATCCCAAGTTGATTTGAGGTGGTTGAATGCCTGATCAATATCGGTGAAATAGGCAAAATAATACTATATAGAATGCTTTGAGTCTTTCTTTGCTCAGAAAAACATTAGTTTTGCAATAGCGTACAAACCTCATCCATGACAAAGTTATCGTCTATTCCTACTGCTCTGATCTTTAGAAACTTTTGAAATTCAAATGCCTCGGTCAATTCCATATCAAAGATATTGTCAAAGGGCAATGTCAGTTTCAAACTACTGCCATTGTTTTTGGCTAGGAAGATGGCCTTTTGTAAAGAATTTGTCCTAGAAAAGGCATGGGCGGGGGGGGGCGGGGGAGAGAAAGATGTTTGAATCAATATCACCCGTAGAACAGATAACAAGAGAAAATCCGCATACCATTCAATCAAGGCAGCATGTGTATCCGCTTCCAAATGCCATATTCTGTTCATAGTCACTATCCTGAAAGCATTCTGTCGTTTTGTTGATTGTCGGATGGCAATAGTTGATTTCAAATCTATTTTACCTAAAGGAGAGTAGGCATCGACTGGGCTTTCATACCAGCTCAAAGTGTCTTGCTTGATATCAAAGAAATACCGCTCATACAGTTGACTTTTCTTTTTCGTTGTTTTACCGGCTGATTTTTTTAGCAATAGATAGCCTGACTTATGAAAGGCTAACTTCGATTGAAGAGAATCACAACGATGATAGAATAGTAGTAGTAGAAAAGAGAATGACATAGATCAGCCTTTATCCATGGGGTTTGTTGGTTGGTTTTTTTTTTTTTTGGGTTTTTTTTTTTTTCTTTTTTTTAAAAAAAAAAGGTAGGATTGCGAATACTCACTTGATTCTTGGGTAATGATGCATAAAAGCAAATATGACAATCCGTCAAGTACATAAAGCCAGGCACAATGGCAGATTGTACAATATAGCACGGCCATTCTAAAGAGGATTGTACACAAATTTTAGCAAAAAATGCGGCCCAAAATAGTTCAAATACACACTTGTCAAGTCCCCCGAATCGTTTACCTCCTCTTAAAGTCTCTTTCGTTGGTAAATGAAATACATTTTTTAGCTTTTCTTCAATACTCTGGTCATTCAGTGAAGAAGAGGTCATTGAATTTCTATGATCATTTTTGGCGGTTGATGTTGTTGTTCGGTCAACTGCCTCTTCTGCTTCGATTGTAATACCTGTTGCTTCGGCTAACAGCTCCTTTATATTTTGCTGATTTTTGCTGTTGTCATCTATCTCCTTTCGATGGCTCGGAGTCAAGCTATCATCCACCGTTTCTTCTGTTGTAATCCAGTTTGTTGATAAGTTATCTTGTGAGCGTACAAGGTCTAAAAAAGGGAAAAAGAGAAAGATTCGGTTGTCAGCTTTTGTTCCGCTTTCAAACAGAAAAAGGGTCAAATGAAATGCTGATGACCCAGTGTGTTTGAATGAGCTTTACCGATGGCAGAACCTAATCGGTAGTAGTTAAAAGTTACTCTTTAGGAAGTGGTTGTTATAGAAAACTGTTTCTATTTACCTCTTAATTCTTCGACTTCCTGCTTCTCAAACTATTATAAATCAATTCAGATGTTTAATCAAGGTTTTTGATCAAATAGGGCTTATCGTAACTGAACATACTACTTGAGCAGCAGCCGATACAAACTGTAAAACATTATGGTTTACAGAATCCATTTTTTTTTGCTTCTATGTAAGGAGTATATCAGTATCTATGCCTTGAGTAAAAAAAGACACAAAGGGGGGGAAAAAGAAAGAGTGGGAAAAGAGAGAACAGACCGGATCCACGCAGTAAAAGAAAGGATGGCTAAATTGCTAATTCATGCAATTTACGCAAAACTCAGTTTCCTATTGGGTTCCTTAAAAAAAAAAAAAAAAAATCTAACCCCACATAAATTTATCTATCTAGAGCTGCGCGCAGTAGAAGAATTGAAGAGAGCCCTTCTCATTTAGAACCCATCTGTTTATACATACGATGAGCCTAATACAAAACATCATAAACCCTTTCTAAATAAAAACTCGTCTTTTTTACATCATTTGAGACCGAACAATGATAATGCTGTAATGCATACTGGAGACATAAAGATTTATATCCTTGCATCCACGTGTCCCAGATCAGCTAGCCCTTGTGGTCTATACAAAAATGACAGCAGATGCAATATAGCGTTGTCATTGCTCGCTGGTGACGCTTTCCCCCCCCCACCCTTGAAGCCAGAGACAGAGAAAGACCAGGCCCTGAAAGCTGTGCCTTGATTTTGTGTTTTAACCAGCTGATACAGTCACCCCCTATCTTCTTGGATACTATTATCTACTGGTTGAGCATCAGCAGCAGCAGCTAGCCAACCACTGAGATAGGGTTTTCTGGGTTCAAATGTTTGTTTATTACATTTTCCATGACTGTTTTGCCATTAGGTCGCCCATGACGTGACCCCATCTGTGTCTATTTCAGTTTTATAGCTGGATGAAGCAACGTATTGTAGTTGTTGCTCAAACTGGAATAGAGTCAGTAATTCAGTGATCGACTTGTCATCATCGTTCATGCCTAAAGGCAGACAGAAAAGAACAAGATAAGATAGAGAAATACCCACAGACCTTTCTCTATTCTAAGGTCAATGCGGTATAAGCAGTATTTCTCTTGCTGCCTCAAGTAACAGCACGCCAGGGAAAGCGATGCTATTCTGTTGTCTTCCTTCATCAAGTCCATTTGGGAAAGGAAAGCTGTAGATGATCATGATTGCTTGATACGGATGCCTGTAACCAAGTTTTGTTGAGAGATCTTTTAAAGCTATTCAGAAAATGAATACGATGATATTCACTGTAGATGTTTCTTTTTTCCTTTTCCAATCTACAGTACGCTCCTGACTGACATCAGCAGTTTCCTCATGTATAGAAGGAAACCCACCAGTGTCAGTCATTTCTACTGCCACTGTTGATTCCTTTTGTCATACGATCAGAGAAATGCGTTCGTAAAGAGAGAACTTCAACCGCTAGACAGCCCAATGAAACGACGATGGTGAAAATGACAACGCGCTTTCAAGACGAAAGAAGGCCATTGTTTTCTGACATCGAAAGAAAGCGATTTCATAAAAAAAAAAAAAAAAAAAAAAAAACCCCCGAAAAAACCAACAATGATTTAATTTATGAATTTGAAACCTTATTTTTGTTGGCAACATTTTCCCCCCTGAACTCCCGGTTCGCCCCCCCCCTCTCCTTCTCTTGAAACAAAAATGTCATAAATTCTTGCGTGGAAAAAGAGAGATTGATTCAGAAACAGACGTAGAGGTATGTGGTTGTAAGATCATCAAGTGCCGTTCCGTACATTTCTTACTACGTTGATTCAACTTTTAGGCTGTACCACGCTGAATTATCATTGTGACTATTTAAAGAAAGCATGAAACGGGAGCAAGATTTTCCCAAGCCAAACAAAACCATCATATGATAATGGGCATTGTGTCTATGTGTGTGTGTTTTCTTGTTTGCTTACACACCTCGAACAACCGGCTGGTTTGGCGAACGACAAGGGAGAAATAAAAAAAGACTTGTTATTCATGCGCCCCTCCGCCCTTCTGATTTAAAAACAAATAAAGAACGAATCAAAACCTTCCATCTCTTATTGTTCTCTATTGTTCTCCAGATAACAATAAAAAATCCAAACTCCACAAAAACAGCCATTTCCCGTGCTTTTGATGCAAAAGGACCCAAAGATAAATAAAGGAGTAAAACACAAAAAAACCCACAAAGAAATGTAGCAGTGATACAAGTGCAATGATGGAGAAAAAAAAAAGTGATTTTACTTTTGACACGTGAAAAATTAAAAAACAAAAGGGAAAAAAAAAAACACAGAATAAAAATGCAATCGCTTAGTCTTGCTTTGAATGACGGACGGGCTGTTTGAATCCATTCTTCTCCTTTTTTTTTCTCTTTCTTTTTCTCTCATTTGAATAAACGCTTTTCTCTTTTTTCATCTTTCATAAAATGATAAACACATCACAACCTCAAGTTGCTGGCTATGCCGTTTCCACTGTAAGTAAGGCTATAGTGAATACGAAAGACATGTACTGACTGGTATTTTATTTTGCTCATGGACATGAAAAAGACAACTCCAGCCAATCTCTCCGTTGACGACGCTATCTACAACTCGACAAAGGCAAGCTCCTTCTTATTACACATGCTGGTGATGACGGAACCTCACCAAATTAAAGCAAATGAAATTGTAAAGGTATGTAGGCATTTGTAAAGGAAACAGCAATAAAAATCATGGGTTACATGTAACTTACCTTAAAAGGGCTGTTTTCCTGATAATGCCATCTAGGATGCTTATGAAGAATGCTTACAATTAAAGGAATACCTCTCAGAGTATCTTTGGACAGAAAGTGATTCTGAAGGCATCAACACCATTCAAGCCTCCTTGGATGAACTTAATAAAGCCTTGGACAAGTATGAAATGACAAACGATATTGTCGAAGGAGAATGGTAAGAAGAGATCCAAACCACCAGAAGCGTCATTGAAATTAATTGTGACTATCGATGCGTTTCATTAGGGAGTTTGTTGAGTCGGCCACTTGCTGTGTTTCCACCTGTTGATAGGCTATTTACAGGAAAATCACAACCCACCACTCTAGGATGTGCGTCTCCTTCTATGGCGTCATATTCTGAATACCCCCTTAGTCGTTACGTTGCTCTACTGCGTATACTCTTCCTATTTATTCTTTCTGGCCGTTCTCTATCAAAAAAAAAAAAAAACAAACCAAAAAAACAAACAAACCAATGATATTCCCCTACTTTTGCTGACCAAACACTTTTTACCTTTCCTTCCTCTCCAAAGTTGACAAACAAAGCAAGTTATAAATGACATCATGATGGAAAAAAAAAAGAGACAAAAAAAGACTTGTTTGTGTTTTTCATTAGTTTCAAAAAAAAAAGGAAAAAGGGGGATTGCGAGTTGATTAAAAGTATAGGCACTAGATGGATAAGAAAAGGGAATATAAGAATCTACATTATAAGAAAGGGTGAGGGACAGGTGAGGTAAAGTATATAATAGTATAGTCTATGTGTTAATGATGATTACCACCAACATATGAATGATTTTACATGGAGGATGATGTGAAGGTCCAAAAAAAAAGGAAAAAAAAAAGTGGAGTGGGAGAGAGGTCATGCTACAAGAAGGGTTATTTAGCTCCATACGTCTTCTTGATAACGACCTGTGGTTCTCAAACTCTTGATATATTCTTGTGCTTTGGCATCCTCCATACTACCAAACTCCTTGGCAAAGTGGATGAATGTTTGGTTGACATCACGGGCCATATTCCTTGCGTCACCACAGACATAAATGTAAGCACCTTTTTGAATATAATCCCACATCTCAGCACCATGCTCCATCAAGCGATGTTGAACATACACCTTCTGAGCTTGTTCACGAGAGAAAGCTGTAATGATACGCGATGGTGCACCCAAGGTTTCAAAAAGCTCGGGCCATTCTTCATTGTAAATAAAGTCTTCAGCAGAGTTACGGCAACCAAAGAATAAAATGGTAGGACCCACAGGCTTGCCCTCTTTCTTTTGAAGGCAACGCTCTCTCACGAAACCACGGAAAGGAGCAACACCCGTACCAGGGCCCACCATGATGACAGGGACTTGGATGTTTCGGGGGAGTCGGAATTGAGAGCGGCGAACGTGAACGGGAACCTTTGCCACCCCACCTGCTCCTGCATACAAAACGCTACGGGGACCTGTCAAGCTGTATTGCGGAAGGAGAGCATCGGCTTTGAGGTCATTGATCGCCTCGTGAATTCGATACAGGTAGTTTGTGTTCACGCCATAAACAGTACGGGGATCGGCTTGATCAGGATTGTATTGAAGCGTAACGACAGTAATAGAAATCTTTTTGGGATCTTCCTTCGAGGAGGAGGAAATAGAATAATAACGCGGTTGCAGACGAGGAATATCTTCGACAATAAGGTCAAAAGGAATCGTTGCGAAGCTGTGGTTGAGTTCTCTGCCTTCAGTACCAGCCATCATCTCCAAGACTTCACCCAAGCTGCGGTTGACATCACCCACGCGACGACGATATTCATCTTTATCCGTCGCGAGTTTGTGCAAAAGCTGCTTCGAGATTTCAGTGGGCGCATATTCGACCAGTGTCATCAGTGTTTGACGAGAAACAACAGAGTGGATATCGAGATAGTGACGGAAAATAGCGCGATACGTTGTTGGTACAGGGAAAGGATATTTCTTGGAGGCTGCTACATCCACCGCTTGCACTCGAACAATCGCATCTAATTTATCCATCAATCCCAATGCTTTGGCCAGTCTTTCGACCTCTACTTCGCTATTGGTAGGCCAGACAGCCACGTGATCCCCTGTGTGATAGGTCAAGTTCGAATCGGATATATCAATTTCCATGTGCAAACAGTGACGATCACCGCCTTTAAACAGTTCTTTGGAGACAATGGGAGCATTATAAGGGCGCTTCGCATCGTAGACGATCTTACTTTATCGACACATGACGAACAAATAAAGGGGGGGGGGAAGAAGCAAGTCAATACACTACAAGTCCAGTCTAAAACTCACTCAAACAACACAATAAAGAGGTTTTGAAATGCAACTTACGCTCCTTCTTTCATCCATTCACCTAGTTCACCAAGGTACAGCTTGGCCTTGTCAAATTCAGTCAATTCTTCGACTTCATAAGCAGGCTGTCTCGGTCCAGATTGAGCACTGTTTTCGTCAACACCCAATGCTTCACAAAAGGCAGGCCACATGTCTTCTTGCCACGCCAAAAAGTCTTCTTCCATCGTGCCATCATCATCACCTTCGCCACGCTCACCGATTCTTTTAGCACCCAGCTTTGACAAACGCTCATCGACCTTTCTAATCACCGCATTGTATTGATCATAGGTCTTATTACCCAAACCGAATGCCATGTAACGCAAGTTACGGAGAGGTTTTTCCTCGTCCTCGGGGTTACTGAACGTAGGATCCTCTTCCATGATATTATCCCAAAATTCAACAGCATTATCCGTAGGTTCACCCTCACCATAAGTTGCCATGACAAAAATGGCCAACTTATCGCTGGGTAACTGATCCAAGTAGCTAAGATCGTACAGATCCAAATCGGCTGTCATCGTGCTGACACCATAACGTTGAGTAATCTCTTTGGCAATGCGTGCAGCAAAACCTTCAGCTGTACCCGTTTGTGAGCCATAAAAAACAATCACTCTACGACCCTAGAAAATATAAAAAATGGATATCTGTTATGCATCTATTTATCTATCTCACTTTACTCATCTATCGTGGCAAATAGGCTTCCCCTTTCCAACAACAAACCCATTCATCTATTTCGATTTTTTTTTTTTTTTGATTTTTTCCCTGTGCCAGTGGTTGCTTCTTTTTATTTTTATTTACCTGTTGGTCCATCACTTTGACAAAGTTGGTTTCTCTCTTGGAGGTAGTAGACGTTGTTTCCGTAATAGGCTTGGCATGCTTACTGCCAAACAATAAGTCGGATATCTGTTGTCGATTGAACCAGGCAATGGTGCCTAGGCCGATAGCTGCCAAAAAAATGATGTCTGTTGTATCAAATAACGAAGCACTCGTATCGGGTTCCATGTTGCTCTTTCTGTTTCCTATGAGGCTTTAACGAACGGAAAAGGGGATGATATGACAAAAGAAAGAACAATGAAAAGTGGTGCAACAAAAATCGAAACGACGTCTTTTTTTTTGTATTTCAACAACCACATTCTCTTTCAAAAGGAGAAAAATTAGGAACCCCTCATTCGATCGGAGATGACAGCCGAGCATATCCGAAAAAGAGGATTTTCTTTGTTTGTGTATGCTTGTTGGTATAGCAAGCTTACGTTCACTGATAAAAAGACATTACCCTCCGTTTTTGTAAAAAAAAAAATGAAAAAAAAAACAGATAAACAAGCCATATACAGTAATCCGGTTGAAAACGCACGTTGAATAAATCTTCATCGTTCCAACACCATCTTATTGAGTCTTAAAAAAAAGCATGAATAAACTCACCAAAAACGGAGCGACTGACCGCAAAAAAAGAAAAGAGCTCAAGCAAGCAAAAAATAAATAAATAAAATACTTTGACGTCAACGCTTCAGTTATATTTTCTACCTAATTATTACTGTGAACAAAATATAATACACACCGCTTAAACTTTAGATAATGACAGTGCTTGCCTCTGATGGCTTTCTGTTCTCAAAATGTGTATAAGAAAGAAGGTCTAAAGTCAATGATCCCACTCCCCCCTCCAGCAAGAATATCACACATCATTCATAAGCTCATAAACTCGGATTGATTGAAAATGAAAAAAAAAGACAATAAAAAGAGATGGTAAAGCCCTTCTTTATCGATCAATTGAAGGCATACTAATACACAGATCAAACAAGTGCATTTATCGTACCATTTTTTGCAAATCGCTAAATTTGTTTTTCTGTAATTCAACTGAAACCTGCTTTCTGACATTTCAACTATTTCATACAGCGATACACTCTTTTCATTATCCCCAATAGATAAAGTCGCCAATGTGATGATGAATATTACATTGACTTGGAGGGGGAAACTTTCAAATTGCTAAAAATCTAGCTGTTTTGGTGTACGTAGAGGAGAGGAAGAGACCGGATGGGGCAAGGAGTTGAACGCGTTGTTCGTTGATGTCGTGGCTGGGTAAAGGAAAGGGGGCAACAGGTGAAATAGAAAAGAAATCAGAGCACAGCAACAATAGCATACGAGTAGTGCTGTAGATTATGAATGACGTTATATCAAATGAATGGTTGAAAGAGTTCTAAGCCTGTCTCATTAAATAGTAGAACAAGCAAGTTATTCAATCTGAATCACATGTAGCATAGTGTGAAGTGGCAAAACCAAGCTATCTATACCTACGTTCATTCAAGGCTGGAGTGGATTTTTATCAATAGCACTGCACTTGCTATTTTATGCTTTCTTTTATATATAGCACCCTACTATTCTTTTTTGTCATGATATCATTTGGAGCGCTTGCACAACCCGCTTCAAATGCTGAATAACAGCAAGGCGTCGTTGCAGGTGGAATGACTGTTCCTGACAGGTACCTCTTTATTTTGTTGGGTTCAACATTCTAGAACAATAGTAAATGATCTGGAACAAAATGATATGATTGAATGGAATGTGTACTTCTTCTATGTTCCTACTGATAGCCGTGTTCCTATCGATCATCAGAATGAGCAACAGGTAGCCGAAGCAGCTTTTCAATCACAATGTATTCATAGAAGAGAGCGTAGCTTCATAGCAGGAGTTGAGAAATATAAATAAGCACTTGAGACCATAGAGAGCTTTGCTTGTCAACACGGCAAATCTGAGGGGCCGTTGATGGCTTTAGGATATCTTTCAAACACGATAACCATGACAAAAGTCTTTGAGATGGGATTTCCATCCTTTGGTACTCATCAATTAGCAGTTATTGATGTAAGAGAATATTGTTCCACAATGAATGAGAGATGACTGTCATTTGTTCTAAAACAAAACCGTTTTATTACACTTAGCGGAACGAAGCTAGTATTTGAAAGTTCAAGAAAAAGTGAAAGGATATATACAATATTTAGGAAGCGGCTGCTTTTGTTTGTTTATCTTTTTTTTTTTTTTTTGTTACTCGTCATCCATTGTGAGAACCATCTCACCCTGTTGGATTCTCTTGGCTGCTTCCAACCCTTTCAAGACAGCTGGTCCTGGGCATTTATCGGGTGCAAAATGTACAATAAAATCGCCCGGTATATAACGTTTTGGCAAAGTGTTAAACGTATGATCGTCATTCTCCAGCAGTAATACTTTTTCCTTATAGCCCGGCAATTGGATAATATCCCACATCGCGCCTTGCTCATACGATGGTCCCTTATTATACCAGTTTTTGGAAGCCTGTACTGCATTTAGAAACTTATGTGCCCATTCTGTGTTACGCAAAAGGAACACACCGGCATTTATCATTTTGTCTCGGGTAGGCTTTGCAATCACCAAATCAATGTTCTTCTCAAATGCACGAGGTCCTTCCGGATATTTGACACGTAAATCATCAAGAATACCTTGGAGTGTTTGATCTGCGTTCATGATCACAGCGTCCATATCCATCCAGAAAATCCATTCATACTTTGGCAATACCTTTTGCACTGCGTCTATTTTACCCCACACAGTTCTTCGTTTAACATCACGAACTTCTTGCTGGGCAAATTCTGTTGATCGCGAGACAAAAGCATACTGATGTCGAAGCGCATACTGGCGTTTGTTGTCTGCAGCCAACGAGGCAGATCGTTCCATACAACCATCAGGGTAAATAAATGAAGAAGTCATGACCGCGATCGTAGGTCTTTCCAGTGTTTTACAGAGGGATGCTGCTCCGACATTTAACTTTTCAGCGACAGAAGTGAAATCGGCGTCCTGATAGATGTTGCTGACGGCTACTGTCATATCTGGAATGCTTTCAACGTTATTTGTCCATGTCTCAAACCTATTCTCGTCTCGAGAAACAAAGACAGGAAGCTCTCCGAGCATGGTTTTTAAACGATCAACATCCTTTTTCGTAGTGATAAAGTTCATTTGAACCGAAATGGATCTGTAAAACTCGTAGTAATTGGCCATGATCGTTGAAGGGCTAGCATTTTCATCATCTTGGACGCTAATATCTTTGAGCTCGTTTTCTCTGGCCATGGCTTTTTTCACTGCATCTTTACCAGCAATGAGTACTTTATCACTTTGAGCAGGGAGCCAGGCGAGGTCCGTGACCGACTTGCTGACCTCCCACATTTTTCCCGCTTCGGCTTGCAGTTGTTGCTGAATATAATTCAGTTGAACCAAAGAATAACTGTCTTGTATAATCAAATAGTCGTAGGTTACACCTCTTTCATTTAGAGTAGTTTCAACCTAAAATTAGATATTTTTTTCCAAGTACAAATGGAGCCCATTTTAATTACTTGTAGTTAGCATGGCTGAATAAAACTTCTGCTTCATGGGGGAAAGGCTTTGTTTTTCCATCTTACCCATTTCAGGATAGCATTTTGATCATAACTGTCATAGCCAACCTTCTCTAAATCGTTCCATTCCATTTTTTCAGCTTCATATAAGCGACGCTCTGGCGTTTTAGGTTTGGGTTCTTCGCCATAAATCCAAAATAAGTAATTTAAACCTTTGTCTCTCTTCAAACAAGCTTCCATATTATCCGTTAAACCAAAATAACTTTGTCGAATAATCTGACGGCGGCTTAAATGATCGGCTTTTGTGGCTATCACCAAAAAGTATTTAAAGTGTTGTGGTTGTAATTCAATGGTGGCTGCAGAAGGTAGCTTGTTGCTGCTGCCATTATTGCTGTTACTTTTGGTCTTGCTTCCCGAAGTATTGTCAGCGCTTGTTGTCGGTGGCTTCTTACTCACAACTGCGGCGTTCTCGTTCTGCGCATCTTTCTTTTTCTGCTCATTCAGTTCTAGTTCTTCATCTTCATTCTCTTCGATCAATGGCTGTCCTTCTGTTCCAACGTCAATTTTGCTTGTTTCATGAGCGCTCTTCGCAGCATCAGCTCCTTTACTCAATTCATCGAAACTCACTCCTGTAGCATCATCTGGTATATAGTTGGCTATATTATCTTGCTGTAAGTCACTCGAGTTGTTGGTGAGTCGGTGCAAGTCAGAATTGAACCATAGCACAGACCCAACGACAATGATCAATAGGAGGAAAACCGTTCTCTTTTTCCGTCCATAGCGAGTCAGTCCAAAAAGCGACCCATTTTCATGCCGCGAACTACTATTTGGGAATGGTAAATCTGTATTTGCCATATGAATGGTTGGAAAGAAAATAGTGAGGGCGCGAAAATGCAACAAAGTAAAAGAGAAGAAGAGCAGTAGCAGGAAAAGAGGGAGGGCTAATTTTTTTTTTTTAAAAAAAAAAAGACTTAATGTGTATTCAAAATTGCGGGGTAATGAGTGTATTTGAGGTACGAATCAAATTGTTCAAGCTCCTCAAGCCACGCTGTAGGAGCAGCTACACAACGTTAAAGAAAAAGCTCAAGAATGCTCATTTCCATAACTTTATTGAGAGCGCACTGTTCGTCCGATCCAGTACCTTTTTACCCACTCACCTGTGCGGACATTAGGAACTTACAACATCTTTTCGTCCAGGAAGGGAACAGCCTTTACAACATTACAGTGTTTTAACGTCCGTTTTAGACAAGTTGCAATCTTTATTGATAATTTTTTATTTTGATTTTAATCGTATTCACAACTTCTTTAGACGAATTCAACGCCTAATTCATAAGGCCAAGTCGGGCATAATTGTCTGACACGCCCTGAATTCAAAGCGATAATTCATCTTCCATCTGCAACGAATTGCGTCAGATTTACTTTCAATCCTTAACCAGCATGCTCGATAGGATTCAAAAATAACGAGTAAGGAGGCATGAATAAAAGCTTCAAATCACGCTTATTGATATCCTCTACAATAATTTACTAAGGTAAATTTTACATTTGTCCATGACTATAAAAAATCCTTTTGTATCGTGCTTTATCCATTAGAGTATCTTCATTTTCTAGCGATGATTCAGTCTCCGGACTGTAACGCATGTAAACCGTGCAAGAAGTTTTAATCGAACAGTTATGAGTTCGAATGGTGCTTGCTGCCTTACGCAGCAAAGATATCAGCATAACATCGAATCAATTTTCCAATGTCTACGTATTTTTAAGCGTGATATCAAACGGGTAAAATCATCTTGTTATAATAATTGTTGTCAACGAAAGCTTATGTTGCCAAATTTAAAAATCATATTTATGATTTAACTTCCTCAACACCCTTTTTCTTTTCTTCTTTTCTTCTTTTTTCCACTTCATTACCTCTAACTTAGCGTTACTCTCTATGCGCATGTATAAGGGTATCCTATAAATAAAATCATTTCAGTGAAAGAGAAGAACATAGAAGGAAAATTCGTTTAGTAAAGGCATATCACAATACTGTATGTTTTTTGAGACATTAGTAACCTTGTTGTGCACTTATTCAGACCATACCAAACGTGAAGACTGTAAGGAAATGGGTCACTTCAATAAAAGCTACCCGAAATGCAAATATCATAAAGCTGTATCCGCTGATGATGGTAAGTTGAGCATCGACCTGCTTTTAGACACAAAAGCCGAGTAACAAACTGTTTCATACTCATATAGTTGAGAGTCGCAATAAGAAGAGGAAACAGAGCGCTAGTGTTGAAGTAGAGAAAAAAGCAGTGAAGAAAAAGAAATTAAAATTACAAGCTGTAGAGTGTCCCAGTTGTGGGAATGATAACCATGCTTTTTCTCGTTCGCCCCCTGTCCTAACCAAATACAGTCAAAGGACGAGGCCTTTTCATCTGTCCTTGGGCATAATTTTACTATTTTTGTAACGAAGTTTCCTATCGACCGTGCTGCTTTGCCACAGTTTCGTGAAAAGTTCAAGAGAAAAGTCATTTCATGCTGCAAGGATATCAGAGCTATAATTTCCTGCTACAAACTATTTGTCGTGCATAATAAGGATGACATTCCTTCAGAGGTTTTCACACAGCAATTTTGGTATTACATTGGACAATTCATTACTGATAAAAAGGTTACTCACAAGAAGGCGTTGAACGACAGCATCAAAACTTATTTTGATGACTTTAAACAAAAGCATCGGACAATAGTAATCAGCCATAGCTTCACCGAAGGCTATAGTCATTGTCTCACAGAAGCCGCCAGTGAGATAAGCTTTTCGTATGCTAAGTCTATTGTTGAGCTCTGAAGAGCGAGTGTTTAATCATCTAATCTATACGCTTCAAACATGTTTGTTGTGCGTATTGTTATCACTTCTGTAATTTCGATTTTTTCGTTTCTAATCATATGCATTTACTTTATTATGTTTAGAACATGAAGAAGGCCGATGAAGCGGAAATATTCATAGCATACTGCTACCAAGTCATTTGCAAAGGCGAACCCAGCTGCCCCGACAAAATTAAGCGTAGTAATGAAGTCAAAAGCAAGATAGAGAAGCTATGCAAAGGCTTTAGAAAACTTGTGACAGAGAAGATTACGCTGCTTTCCTTATCGTCGGATTCCACCAAGCTTACCAGAGCCTTGTGGTACACCCAATCCTCATATAAGAAAGAGCCATGACGACTAAGCAGCTTACGATGTTCGTAGATTACCGTTGCCCAAGCGCTTTCACCCCTTCCCTGTGACTTCACTACATTATAGCGTTTCATCACAATAAGCATCAACTCGCTCTCCTACTCTGACTTTGCGGCGTTCAGCTATTAACAGCAGATGGTAGCTTGGCTGGCCCTTCAATCAGCCACAAATACCAACTCTCTGAATGAAGAGTTCTTCTCGTACTGACTTCAATTACTGTTACGATACGAATACTATCAGGAGAATAAAATTAACCTTGAACACAGCTCACGTTCCCTATTAGTGGATGAACAATCTAACGCTTACTGAATGTTCAAAAATGGCATCAATTGCTCAGCTTTGAGATTTGACAGGTAAATTTAGAAAATGTTGGCAGAAATGCTGCCACTGTTATTAACTGAATTTCGCTTTTTGTGATAATAGTTTGAATGACCTCAAGACAAGCCAAAATATACTATTCCGTAATATCATCCGTTCGGATGGCCTCACTGTCAACTTTGATGGGGAAATCAAAAGAAGAGAAAACCATCGCAGACCATCGGTTGACTTTGGAAGACTTTGATTATGACGAAATCGAAGCTGGTTAGAGACCCTTCGTCATTGATCCCGGTAGAAGAGATGTCTTCACAGCAGCTATTGGGCTAGATGAAAAGAAGCGCCAAGTACGAAGCTGTTTTAGCAAAAGTACTATCACATGTCTGGCTTCTAATTGCAAATATATTCGTTTAGATGGCGAAGAGGCTATTCTCCAAAAACTGGAGGCATGGCTAGAAGGAGGGGATGGATTACTTGGAAAGAGCAGGACAGCTTATCGAAATGCCGAATTTCAACGGGGATTTACTCCCGAAATGTTCCAATACGTGCGAGAAGCGTTACAGCTTAACTTTGACAGCTCTGCCAACGCCAGGCATTTGAAAGAGGATAGTGTGGAGGCGCTAACGGAGATGGCTCTGTGGGCCATTGGTAAAGACACCATTTTCGCGGCGCAAATTGTCCAAGTCAAAGTTGGCCGCTTTGGAAGCGCAATCGTTTTCAACGCAGTTTTGAAACGTGCCATCGGTCTTGGTATTGTCGATGACATTAAGAGCGTCATTTTTTCCATGAGCCCATGGTCAAAAATCAAGTGGAACCGGTTTAACACTCGTTGCCGTCGCTTGCAGATGTTGATTGAACGGGTAGGGGCTGGAGGGGATTCGGTAGCACCGTACGCAGCAAGGCTAGAGAAGAAAGCTGGTACCATCAAGGATATCGAAAGTGATATGCCAACTGCCAAACAGGCTACAATGCACGATATCGAGTGTTATACAGCATTATATCCTGCACTTAGAAGCCTTGTTTTCTTTCTATGGTGATGGCACTGCCGAAGATCGATTCCATTTGCATCTAGGACGATAACGTGCTGCTGATAAAATGGTAAACTTGCTTATCAATGGCATGCTTAGTAAGGACAACGTCGCACTGGAAGGCCACCGATGCGGAACGGTGGACGTATTGTGGCGTGCGCTTAAGCGACGCGAAGCAGTTGGAGGCCTGCTAGTAGTGGAAATCGATGAATTCAAAATGTCCTGAATATGCTCGTGCTGTTTCATAGGTACTTTGGAGAGGTTGAAAAGGGTCAAGACCTACAGTATACTTGTTTGCAAGACTTGTCATATACCGTGGAACCGAGACGTCAACGCCCCAAAGAACATGATGAAGATCAGTAGTGCCATTTGGAAGAAGTAGGAAGACCGAAAAAGTTTACGCGACTGAAAAGATAAGACTTCCCTTCCCCTTAACATCGCGCAAATGAACCCGGTTTGATTTTTAGAGGTAAAAGAACGAAAAGCTTGTACTTTGTACTGTTGAGCAAATTGTCCAACATTTATTCTTAACGGTCTACTATTATATTACATTCGTTAAACTTAATCTAGCTAACGCCTAAAATTATTTGTGTGTTGTCCAAATTCAAAGTTGATAAACTGTACCTGAATGATCACCACCGCCTACGACTCCCCACATCAGTCTGTGATCCCATATCCTATGTCCTCAACTGTCTTCCTACACATCCAATCAACAACCCATCCCAAATACAAAACTGGCATTTTCTATGACCAGCACTTTGTCACATTTTGTTTGAACTCGACTACTTACACCACTCTCAAGAGCCGCCTACAACTCCTCGGTTAGGGCACCTATTGCTCGACTGGTTACCCTCTTCCCCTCCCACAATCCTTCAGTACATAATCCTTTTTACCTTTGAGCCCTAAGGGGTTTTTAGATTCTTTTCAGCCTTTGGAGCTGGCCCCGGGCAATTTAGATAAGCTTAATATCTCGTGTCCATTGGGCTTTAAAAAAACTAATATTATGTAATAAAATCTATGTTGAAACGTACCTGAATGATCAACTTTATTTAAAGAGTCCGTGAGTTCTGTGTTTGTATTTTGAAAAACATATAAATACAGACTGCTTCCACCTTTGATATACCTGTTCTTTTTTCCTTTTTGTTTTTAGCAAATTTTCTAACAGAAATGACTTCCCTCGGACATGGCGTCTTCGTACCTGTTCCAACATTTTTTGATGAGTATGAGGACCTCGATTTAGAAGCGCTTGACAAGCACATCAATTTTTTGGCCCGCTCTGGTATTGCGGGTATCGTTGTGCTGGGATCTATGGGTGAAGCGGTGAGTTTGACAGAGGACGAAAGAAAACAAGTAATTCAACAATGTATAGTCTCTGTAAAGAAATACAACCCTCAGTTGAAAGTCATTGCTGGCACGTCTAGTCAAAGCGCTAGAGTCACAGTAGCTTATATTAAAGATGCAGCAGAGGCTGGGGCTGGTTTCGCTCTTGTTTTACCTCCGTCATTTTATAAAGGCAATATAACAGAAGACGCTCTTTGTCAATTCTACACAGCAGTGGCTGATGAATCACCGATACCTATCGTTGTGTATAACTATCCTGGTGTCTGTCAAGGGTTGGATTTAAGTGTAAAAGTCTTGGTCAAGATAACCAAACATAAGAATATTGTCGGTGTAAAAGGAACAGATGGAAATGTAGGTAAAATGGCCAACTTGGTTCAACAAACCAATCCTAAAGGTGAGACTTTATGTATACGCCAAGAAAACAATGAGAGTTTGTACAAGAGCCAAACTAATTCCACTGTGAAATAGAGGTTACGCTACTGGCGGGTTCGGTAGACTTCTTTTTGCCAGAGCTGTTATACGGCGTTGTTGGTTTGATACCAGGCGCAGGCAATGTGTTTCCTACGCTCTGCGTTAAAGTGCAAAAATTTTTCGAAGCAGGCATGCTCAATGAAGCCATTGCATTACAAAAGAAGCTGGTTGAAGCTGATGATGCTCTTTGTCGATGGTATGGTGTTCCTGGTGCCAAAAGCTTCATTCAGTCTAGATTAGGATATGGCCAAGGTATTTGTCGTAATCCTCTACAAAAAATTTCAGAAATTCATGCAGCTGAGATTGAGGAAGCTGTGGACGAAGCTTGGAAGCTTGAATTGATTTACCGCCACCAATAAAGAAAGACTTTTTCTGATTTGCTAGTTTCTTTTCGTTTTCGTGAGGCGATAATGCTCTCCCCCCTTTTTTTCATCTTTCCTCGAAAAAAATTTTTTCTGCTCACTCATACTCCGTAATGACCCGGCATTCATTTTTCAACGACAACCTTTCCGTTCTTTTTTCATTTCTTCTTTTGCCCCATTGCGTCCGGACTGGAACTGATTTATAGTCATCAGACGGCTTGAACCATCACTTTTGAATTTTTGTCATAATGGACACTACGAGTGTAGATACTGCAGGAACTCCAACGCAACAGCAGCAGGAAGGTTACGTTCAAACTACTCCTCAAGTGACGCAAGAAGCTATTCCCACTGAACACCTTGAACACCATTCACAACAACAAGATACAACACAACAACCACAACAAGCTGCGCCAGAGCAAATAGAACAACATCCAACTGCAGTAGAAGCAGAAACAGTTTTTAAACAGGAAGAAGAGCAGCAGCAAGATTGCAGTATCCTTTCTCCTACGCTTGCGGATATTTTGAGTGATGATCGTATTCTTCGATTTTATCAGTGTGTGAAAGACATCAAAACCCAAGGTCATCCTCGACAAACTGCAGCTATGTTCTTTGCCCTCTGTCATGCTTTAGGTGACACCGTTTCGTTCTTAAAGGTTCCCAATATGAACAAGATTATGTTTAGACAAGAGCAACAAATCTTTGGCGTTAATATTGCCGGTGTTCAGCAAGAAGGTATTTTCCAGCAATCACAACCACAGCCGATGTCTCCTGCGCATATGGGTACGCCTACTGCTCCTCCTCAACAAAATATGGCTTTTGCCGGTGGTTCGGCCGCTTTAGTACCGCATCAAACACCACAACAAGATATCAATCATGCTCACAACGATTATTATTCAAATCCTATGATGGATAACTCCCCACAGCATTTGCTACAAGCGGCTTTAAGTGCTGTACATGCTCAGTTGAATAACAATTTACATGCTACACAGCAACAAGCCTCACATACATTAGCCAATCAAGCAGGCGCTCCTGTCTTATCGAAACGAAGAAATACACAAGACAATAAAGATGGTTCAAAAAGAACCAAGAAGTCTTCTCCTAGAGATAAAGAATATAGTGTTCGTCGTAAGTGTATTTTGAACCATTCTTTTGACGCTATGATGAGTGTTATTCATTATAACCTTTCCAATGTATGTAGGCAATGAAGTAATCCAAGACCTGTTAAAGGTGTCAGATGCCGATTTGATGCATCAAGCTAATATGGTTGAAGACGACGTCAAACTCGTTATTCAAGGTCACGAACGCTCTACCAAACTCGGCGTATTGTCGCCCATCCAACGTTTTGCCGCTTTCGCCAACCTTGCCGCACACTATGATTGCGATTTCGCACCCAAGAATGCAGGTGTTTATTACAACTATGAATACTTTCAACTCTATCTCGCCTATCGTGATTTTGAGTTGGAACGCCAGCAACAGCAACAAATGGAGGGCGGTGATCCTCGTCCTATTATGACACAGTGCCGTACAGAAATGGAGAAAGTGTTAGTCAATACGAACTGGGAAGCCATCCGTCGCCGTTTGACTATAGGTGAACGCATCTGCCAAGTCTGTGGAGTGTTAGGTCGAGGTTTCTTGTTGTTGAGTAAACAAGTCTCTGGCCGTAAGTTGTTGCATAACTTCAATACTGGGGAATGGTTGGATTTCATGCGTGAGTTCCGTAAACCTGAAAATCAAGAAGTTTTACACAATTTGCAAGCCAAGTATAATCCTGAACGCTTCTATGGTAAGCTGATTTGTTAATATTTGAGCAATCACTATCTAACTTTGTAGCTGACAACCGTACGATTTAGGTCACACAGCCGTTGTTGCTGCTGCCCCTATGCATATTCCAGCTGCATCACCTGCTCACGGTGAGAACAGTAACGCACCCATCCGTGGTGAGGAAAATAATACTACTTCTGTTGTTGATGCACAAACTGCTGGACAGACCGTAGAGGCATTGGACCATCAAAAATTAGCAGAAAATATTCAGAATACAATTGTCGAAACAAAGCCAGCTGACGTAGAGACTGCACCACAAGCTGAAAACACACCACAAGTTGAAAATGCACCACAAACGGATGGCGCATTACTGGCTGAAAACGCACCACAAGTGGAAGCCGTACCCCAAGCTGAAACTGTAGCTCAAATGGAAAATGCAACCAGCAATGTTTAATATTTCAAGAAAATGATATGGCTTCTTCACTCAAAAATATGATACCAGTCATATTCGTACTATTGTTACTCAATCATTTCGTAGAATCTCTTTTTAGAGCACTAAATCATTAACCAGCACATTTATGACAAACTTTCATTCCATCATCTCAATCTATCTCTTCCCTCGTCTTTTCCCTTTATCAGAGATTGATTCCAACCACTATCATTACTATCATACATATTCTTTCATGATGAACAATTTTTATAAACAAAGCAACTTATTTCTTCCAAAAAAAAAAAAACCCACCATTCTAATGCAATAATATCTAATTTAAAGGATGCCTTGTCTTTTAAGATCTTCATAAATCTTCTTATTATACACATTTCCTTCAGAGTCTTCGAATTCTTCTATGGTGTCAATCTTGGCTTCTTCGTTAAGATTTTCCTTCTTTTGCTTTTCAAATACTGCAGAAAGCGTCAGTAAATGTTTAGAGGTACACATAATAAAGTGATACTTACAAGCATAAGCATCTTCAATTTTTGTGATTTCATGGAATTGACGCGTATTTGGAATTCCTAAACAGCGCATACCGTGAGCGTGTCTCCATTCTTGAAAGTGCTTGTCGAAAGCCTTTCTGCCCATATACACATAGTTGCCGCAAATTTCACATGGGTACTCTACTCCCAAACCATGTAATTTATACAGCCAATAAGGAATGGGTTTACCATCCCAACCAAGTGGTAGTTTAAGAGGGTTGTAAATCTTTTCATCATCCTCATCATCCGATTCTTGATCATTAATTTCAATCTCTTCTTGTTCTTGCTCCAACTATACATGTACATTAAAACAGAACAATCAGTCAGTGATTCGAAAATTTTCCCTTTAACAGTACAGTATGACTTACGATACGCTCTCTATCCGTTAATGCTTGCTTTCTTTCAACGTTGGCTTTTGTCTCCTCTCTCACCTCTTTCAGCGCGTCAGCAATAGATTCAATCAAACGTTCTTTCCATGCAATTGCCTTTCTTTTATCGTCCTGACTGTTACTGCTACTACCGCCATTTATGTTACCGTTCGTTGTAGTATGGCTGTTGGATGATCCCGTTGACTCATCTAATTTCTTCTGTGCCTTTATATGCTTTTTGCCTGATAAATGGGCATCGTATACTGTTTGTTTCGTGAATTGTTTCTGACATGCTTTGCAAAATAATGATGCATCGCCTGCTTCTACTTGTTCCCAGCCTTTTACTTTTCCTTGCCGCCAATTCTCTTCAAACTGTTCGCGTGCTCTAGTCTCCAATTCATTCAAATTGTAAAGTGGTTTAGCACGACGGTAAAATCCGTAAAGATAATCATAAAGATTGTTGAGGTAGCTTTTATAATCATCACTGTTTTTGATAGCTTTAGGATAGATGGTAGAAAAATCATCAAACTCGCTTAAAAATTGCAGATAATCCAATTTTTTGACGCCTTTAAGATTGATATAGGTTGTGTGAATGGTATTCATATCGAGATATCTACCGAGGCTTTCCTCTCCAGAGAAGAGCTTCTCTAATTCTATTTTTTTCCCCAGCACATAATATTTGTTAGATTGCTCATTCAACTACTAGAAATAAAGCTATCAAACAGCAAACCTTCAAAATTAGATTCATCTTTCTTTTGTGAAAGGAAAATAAATTCCATTTCTGGTGGCTCGACTGGTTCGTTAGGGTATTTGCGGTGATGTTCTTTTATCACTTTTAAGCGTTCATAAAATTCAGTGAATTCAGAATTGGTGCCTGAAAGCGCATCCATTTCTGATTTACGTAGCCTTGTCATAATATAAAATATTAAAGTCAGTTTGAAGAATCGAAAATACGCCATATAACTGAATGTTACCCTTCTTTGTCCTCATAAAGATCAGCTAGATAAGCGCTCTTCTCAGCAATACGATTCAGAAAATTATCAACAATATGTTCGTTATGCAATCTTTCACGATGAGTTTTAGGATTTTCCATGTATTCATCGACGATGGCTTGCTCGAGACGTTCGAGATCTTCGTGAGCACTATTTAGCATAAGCAGGAACAATTGAGAATCACAATTATGCAACTCAAGTTAAAAATGACTTTATTGTTACCTCCTTTGTTTTTCAAGCACGTTATCCATACTGAACTAGATCTATTTATTTGATAATAGAAGAATTTGAATGAAAGAAGCCTACTGGCGTTGTGCAAAAGAGAAGAGGGCAACAAAAAGCCGAAAACTCAGTCACTTGCCACTGTCAAATCAAACTTTGGCACTGTATTCTTTTCATGCCAAGTATTTTTTTGATCGCATACTTATACCCAACTTTGCAATGGAGCAGCGAGTGCCGGAAACTCTACGCGGTAAAGTAATATTCAGTAAAAGTCTCCATATACCCTTCAACGTCTAATAGTTGATTAAACGAATTGTACACCAATGAAATGTCAACTGTGTAGAAGCTTTTACTGACTTAAATATAAACCTGAATAACAATATTTATGAAGACGGACAACAGCAACAGCCTCTTTTACCTCATTGGAAAGATATAACAGCGTTTTTGGATGAAGCAACAGAAGGTTATATAGCACCTATAACAGATATATCCATCGTTATTTCAGTGATACTTATCGTTATGTTGGCCTCTGTAGATTTTGATATTGGCCAGCTTGTTCATTTGCAATCGTTCACCTTATTTGATGCTATGGGCGCAATCGTAGTTATGGATCCCCGAATGGACACTGGTATGAACGTCAACAACAATAATGACGAGCAGCAGTCTTTTGATATCGACAAACGATTGTCAGGAAAGCAAACTTTAAACATTATGGATCAGTTAGTTGTGCGCGAAATGGCATGGATCTCTGGACATTCGTTATCACAAACAGTGTTTACTTGTATATATTTTCATCATGTGCAAAAATTGAGCCAACTACCCATGCCTACATTATCAAACTCCTCTGCAGAAGATACGATTTATGGCGTTCTGAAAGCATATATATTAGCCACGTTGAAATGCTGCCATTACATATTTATGGAAATGTCTCAGGGCAATGTATACGAAGTAAGCCAAAACCCAACAGAAAAACTAATAGAAGTATGAAGTTTTCATGATGATAGTAAGAACCAAACGTTTTTTACCAAAGGAAGAAGACTTTACTACTAATTTGTTCGGCTTAAGCCTCAATGACCAACAAAGGAGCGTAACAATATTCAACGATCTCGATTTTTCTCTCCAACTCCTAAATCATCGTTTATCTCATTGTGGGGATATTACTGGTAAGAACAACAAATTGACACTAAATGATTTCAAAAGTACAGCTTGAGTCGTGAAGATATTCATTTGACGTATTGTTCTGGATTGAATTTCTTATTTAGAAGAGGACCGGCAGATATTCATAGCCCTGCAAAAAAGGGTAGAGCTTCGTAAATCATTTCTATTGTCGCTTGTTCATCTATCTCAATACTCTTTGAGTGAAGCCAAAAAGGAATTAGAGAAAATGATGATTATTTTGGACAATTTGGATCTATCTTTAGGCGAAGACTACCCTTATGCATTCGACGCGAATATAAATAGAAAACTAACGTCCCAAACACCGCCTCGACCCGTGGAATTAGTTTCTGTTGAGCAGTCTTATAAAGAATTTAAGGCTATGATAGAGCGTCTGATATCCATATGCGATGTAACTGAATTCTCATCCGTCACTTCGTTAATGGTAAACAATAAAGCTATAGATTCTAATAACAATGATGAATTTGCGCATGAGTTATTGATTTACTCTTTCATTCTATTAGAATTATTTCATAGCTTTTGGCTCTCGTCGACCCTACCCTGATGCGTTTTCCAGGTCAAAGTTGAATGTAAATATGGTCTACATCTCACGTCAGTCATAACTTCTTTGTTCAAAAGCGAAAGAAAAAGACTAACTTGGCATATCTTTCTATTAGTCCATCTTTTATCACGACAAGTTAGTTTTCGGTAAAATTGCTGTTCCTCGACTTATTTTAGCCTCTATAAGCGAAACAGTAAAACCACCTCATTGGTTCTTATCCAGCCATATGGACCTTATGCCGCAAAACATGAATCCTGCTGAGTTCATGAATGCTCATGATGTTCTCAAGGCCTTTCTAGACAGAATTTCTCTCGTTTTCATTGAATATTTCAAAATCAATTGCCACAACCGATCACGTCAACGAAGAATGCTTGGTAAGCTTATTGCTGAATGGGAGATCCTACAAGAAGAAGCTGCAGGTGTGGACGAAGTCTTTCATAGACTGGTAGAACAACAACTGCAAGGAATAGAAAATGGCGCTTTTATAGCAGAATCATCTGCAGATACAGCAGCACCCTATTATTTCTCGTCATGGGCATATGATTTAAAACTGAACATGATCGAAAAGATTTTATTTCTTGGCTTCGAGTTGGAATTATACGGACCTCATGAGTATATCATGATTTACTGGTATTTACAATGCGTATTGGGTAGTCGTACTTTTCTTTTGGAACGCATGACAAGTTTTACTGTTGAGCAAACGTCATCCTCACCAGCAGTCCTCGCAAATTCGAAGCAAACGACATCAACAACAGAGGTAGTTGATTATGTTCAAGTGAGCCAGCTATTGACGCAAACAAAAAAGATCTTATGTGAAGCCATACTAAAGTTACTCCTCACTGCGCAATACACTGGTCAACTACGTCAGTTTAAACCGATTTTTGATGATGAAGAAACAAGATATACACAACGCTTTAAACCTTTTGCGGCACTGAGCTCGCCACCTCATCCCACCTATCCCATGTTTCTAGAAAATATCACTGTAGAAGAGATGGATGTGCCTCAGATGTTAATGATTATAAAAACTGATTTAGAAAGAGTCAGGCGATATCTCGAACATATTTTGGTCTTGATGCCTGAAGAAGTAAATATGGACAAATGCTTTGATTACTTCAAATCGGTAAGAATGGCAATGGTTTGTGGATAAAGGCAGTACACCTTATACATTTAATTCATTGATTAGGATATGAAAGATATCGTTCGAGCGGTGGTTGCAAATACTATCAGTATAAATCTTCTTAAAAATGACAAGCTTATGGAAAGGGGTAGTAAAAAGAGACAACAGAAGGAGTCGTCCTTATCTGATCTCGATACCAACTTTAAATATCATCCGTGGTTTTTAACCATATCAAGAAAGAAATAATTCTCTGTATATATAAAGATAGATGACGCTATGTAAATTTCTGTTTTATACTTTATTCCTTGTAATAGTAGAGATTGAAATATAACCTTGTTTCGAATAATAATATTACGCACCCACCTGTGTGAATAGTCATATAAAAGAAATGAAATCGAAATTCTTGCAGTAAAAAAAAATGAAAAATCACGAGCAGCATATTCTGTTTGGCAAAAAAACTGATCTGGTGCAAGATTGGTGACAGAATTTAAGATTAAGTGGGCCGTGCAGCAGTCAAAGAACGGTGCGAAGCACTGCCTTGCTCACATCAAACTAAACAAGGAGATCTGTAAGATTACTTGGCTTAAGATCACTCTTTCAATGTTACACGGTTGGTAGATAGTTGATTAATCGAGTTGCGAAATGCCATACTACAAAAGGTTTACTAAAGACGCGCAAAATTAGGATAACTCCAGAAGCAAGAAAAAAGGAGACAGTTGACCATGAAAGAATAACAGCAAGACTTGAACAACAGCAAATAGATTCGTGATGAACTAAGGTCAAGACAGGAAGGTTGGGGTAAGGAGGGAAATTAGTAAGAGCATTATTTATAGTGCGTCTGCAGGTAATATTGACAGGTAGCCTCGATACCCAAAAAAAAAACAATTTACAGGATAGTGATGATGAGTGGTAGTCATGCAATAAATATCTCATTGAAATCGACTCAAATTCATGACTGACAAAGTTAAATAACGATCATCATCAATAAGATTTAGCAACTATGAAGACGGTTGAAGAAGACTTTCAGCATTTATTCTTTTGAGGATTGGCAGTTAAATCGATGAGACGCGTTGGATTTCGCCTTATTCATTGAATATAATATTTTAATCTGCATATGTTTTGTGCGAAAACGTTCCTCAATAAAAGCTGGTGTTAATAACATCATCCATTAGCGTCTCTAAGCTTTATGAACTGAAGCATACGAGACCTTACATTCACGATAAGTGCTTGACGTTCAACTAGAGAAAGGAACTAATAAACGGCCAGTAATGGATGCGAAAAACGATGACCTAGTCTGTAAGTAAGAGTACTTTTCAACCTTTGAACAGCAATCTGCACCTATCTTTCAAGTACAGGGATGAAGCGATCAACAAAAGAAAAAAAAAAAACAATCCCTGCCAAAAAGAAATAACTATTTCTCATCCTTGGAATAACTTTATGTAACTGTTCTATATGATATCTACCATCGAAGGTGTCTTGTTTATAAATCCTTAGAATCATACAAAAGTTAAAGTTATTAGCCCTTATTGTCAAAGTACAGGAATTAAATGGCTTTGAGTTTAAATGAAACGAGTGATCATTTCAAATTTGAAAGTATACTATCTTATCTACAGCAATTGACTAATTTTTTTTTATTTTTTTTTATTTTAGAATAGGAATGCATAGGATTTTGCCGTCACCTAAAATTAACGCACATGTATAAGCAAAATAGAGCGGATTTTATCTTTAGGATAAATAGATATTTTAAATGATAAGTCGAGAACAGCATTTAAAATAAGAAGGATTCAAAAGCAAGAAAACACTGCAGATAAACTTGATTGTTATATACAATTACTTTTCTATTGTTCTTTTTAAATGTGATAATACAATTTATGGTACATAACTAAGTGATGAAAATTATGATTGATTTCTAAGAATTTTTAACTCAAATACAAGCGATATACTACAGTTACTTTTGTTGTTGTTGTTGTTGTTGTTGTTGCTGTTGCTTTGATTTGCGAATATAAGCAGCTACCCTGTCTATGGTATCTTTGTCCACGCGTGATCTAACGAGCGCTTTTAATAAATAGTGCCAAGTGATTTGATTTGGTTCTACATTCTGTTCACGCATATGCTGAAAGACCATCAATGCAATTCGACTATTTCTAAATATGGCTGATCCTTGAATAAGTGCGGTATAAATTTGGACTGTAGGTTGAATCTGTCGTGCACACATGTCGTCAAACGCGCGAACAGCGTCCATTAAGGCAGTCTTGGCAAGACAGGAGATAAGTGTGGTATAAATATAAATATTAGGTCGTTTAAACCCTGTCAATCTTTGAAATAGGTGAGACGCTTCGAGTGCGATATCTTTGTTCGTGAGGATGGTCGTTGTCGTCGTCGTCGCCGGAGGGATAGGAGGAGCATCTATACGATGAGTACTCGTAGTGGTTGTCGATGGTATGGGTGGTAGGATAGAAGCTGTGTTGGATTTGAAATCTGTAAATAGGTCAGAAAGTGCGGGTAAGCTCGACGCTCCTTTGGCGTCTTTTGATTTTTTCTCTAAACGACTGAGGGCTTTGAAAACACTGGTATATGCTTGAAGATTGGGCTCAATGCCTTCGTCCTGAATAATTTTAAATAAGTGGTAGGCGACCTTGGGTTGATGATTCATCACCAAACCCTGTATCACCATGGCCAGAGTAATATCGTCTGGTATGGTTTCCTTCCGCATCGCCAAAAAAGTGTACATGGCAGCCGGCACGTCACGGCATTTGAACAAAGCATGTAATAAATGGTGTTTTGATCGCGTCCATTCACCGTCTTTGCCAAAACGCTTCAATAGCGAATAGGCTTCAAGAACGTTCCTTTTGTCCTTCTTGTCGCCATAACCCTCGATCAACATGTTGACCATAATACGATTCACTTGCTCTGGGTACTGTTCGTACAAGCTATCAAAATAATGTTGCGCATCCTCGACGTTGTGCTTTGTTTTCAACCAATGTATGGCTGTCTTTGTGAGTGAATCGAGCTGATATTCACGAAACTGCTTCCGAATTCTTGCATTGGTTTTTTCTGCTAAATCCCAATCGTGATGGCGGATGGCGTTGACAAGCATGTCTGTCAAAATGACTTGATTAGGGTATCGAAATCGTTTGTCGTATTGGTTTAATAGTTTCGTTGCTGTATCAAGATCACCTAACCTTCCATATCCATTGATCAATGCTCCATAGGTGACTTTCGAAGGCTTTATACCCGAAATCAGCATCTCGTCAAAAATACGCTGTGCTTTTTTCATATCATTTCTTTGAGCAAAAGAAGCGATCAGAGCTGTATACACATAGACATTGTACAGATGATTTTCCGTTTGATGGTCAGTACTACTCTGTGTTGTTGCTGCTGTTGCTGCTGCTTTGGAATACGCTTGATCTGACAATTGTAGAAACTTGTATAATAACATTTCCCATTTTTTAGTTTCCTCGTCTACCCAGTTGGGATTGTCTTGGGTGGTTACAGTGGATTTCAAGCTGGTATATTTCATCTGTGAGGATAAAGTGTGTATCATGATCGATAAAGTTTTGTTGTTCAAGACAACAGAATCGTTCTGCATGGCTTGCATCATCATTTCCGTCACTTTTGTCAGTAAGGCTGGATCTGAGATTCCTTTCGTTCGATGGAGGTCGAGGTGTGTGCTGCTGCTACTACTACTACTACTACTACTGCTATTTCTCAGCGCTGATGCCAAGAGTTGAAAATGATTGGCCGTAGGGTACAGTGCTTCTTTATTCGTCTCATTTGCCTTTTGGATGAGATGTTGTAGATAGTCATAGGCTTCTCGGACCAAGCCTAGTCGTGCCATCGCGTAAAGAATCTGGGAATGATGCCGTGGATTTGGGTATGGATGGTGTTTCGTAAGGTGCTGCTGCTCCATATTCTTCACGAGGGTCAACATATGAGCTAAATGACGGTGATTTCCAAACTTTAAAAGGTTGAGTAGCTGGCCGTAATGGTTCGGTTTGAGCTGTTTATGGACTTTGCACTGCACCATTTTTTCGTAAATCGTCCATGCTTCGTCAGCTTCATCGTAACGAAGGCTGTAGAGCGCTGTACGTAATAGTTTGTATCGATTCGCATATTTTTTGGGACAGGTGTCTATTTCATGGAATAATTGTTGGAGGCTGGTGGTAGGACGATCAGCATCAGGATGGTGTTTGCGCGTAGTACTATGACTGTTGTTGTTGTTGCTGCTGCTGCTGCTGCTGTTGCTGTGCGTGCTGGAACATGTTTGTTGCTGGTGTTTGGAAGTAAAAGTCGATGCCGCCACGGTTTCGCTCGGTGCTGTTGCTGTTAAATACAGAGTGGAAGAAGAAGAAGAAGAAGAAGAATAGCGCCTGGACGTAAAGAGCCATAGTGACGGTAAGGGTGGTATCGAATGATCGTAATATGGGTTGTGCTGTTGTTGTTGTTGTTGTGGAGGGAACGGATCAACGTTTTTTCTGGACGGTTTCAAAAAGGAATGATGCCATCGTTTACAGTTTAAGCCTTCGAATTCACATAGGTATTGTTTTAATAGTAAGCATTGAGGCGACCTTTTTGCTGTGGATAGACTAACAGCAGAACGCATCTAAAAGGGAGGGGTTCTTGTTTTTTCTTTTCGTTGGAAAGATAAGCCTTTATCGACGTTGGAATCGTGTCTATATAGGTCAAGCAAGACAATGGAGCAACGGAGTCTGTCTGTGATTAATGAGTGAGAGATCTACTGATGATGATGATGGGGCGACTGCTTACTATAAAAGATGGGCGTTGTTCGTGGATCAGAAGGGGTCTAGAACAAATAGATAATTCAAACACGCTTTATAACAAAAATGCGTCTTTTTCAGCTTGATTTATTTTGAATGGGTACAGAAAAAAAACGATAATGTTACAAGGTCAAAAAAAACCAGTATACTATCATTTTTCTATTTGACAGACCCACACCCACCCGCAATTTTAAAAAGTAAGGGGTTTTTTTCCCCGTTCAGGTGAACCGCCCAGTCGAACGCGGTATTTCAAAAAAGTGTTTGTTGATTTCAAGCTTTTTTGCAAATTTGGGAATTGTTTTTCCGACCATGACAAGATATGGATTGCTTTAATCAATGTTAACGTATTAAAGAAAGTGAGCAGCTAGAGAATACTTTTTTTTCTAACACAAATGTTCATATTGGATAGCCTTTGCAGACACACTGGAGAGGGAGGGTCTTTAAGCAGTTGCTTTCCAAGCAGCATAAATTTGAAATATGGACGCGAAACCGCCAAAGACACCAACGAGTACATCAGGGAAACCTGAATTTTCCAAAGACCAATGCACAGTCAAAGGTAGATAACTATGGGAGAATGGTTGAGTTTGAGTTTTGATGTTTTGTTTGAGGGACACACAGATAGAGAAAAGAGTTTTTTTTTTTTTTTGGTTTTTTCGAGGGCATTTTTTTACTTACCCTGTATTGATACAAGTATTCACCACCATACTCGATCTTTCGGCCTTGATAGCGGCCATCTCAGCTTCAGGATCTTCGTATGTCTCGATATCGCCTGCTTTGATACGCTTCAATAAATTTGTCTCTCTCTTTTTCAAATGCTTGTATTGTTCCAATAATCGTCCGTATTCCAAAATAACATAGGCTGCCCAGAACCGACAGCTCCACATACCAATCTTGTTTGTCTTTTGTTCTGAGAGAGGAATGACTTGATGAGCACCAAGCCAATAGATGTGCTCTAATGGATAATAAATCACATTGGCCCAGTTCTGTAAACGTTCAATGGTGAGTGCGATAGAGGTAGAAGGTGGATTGTATTCGAGATAGTTCATGTATTGAATCATGGGCAAGAGTCCGTAATAACGCAGTAAGATACGGAAATCACTGACGGGATTAGCCAAATTGCGAATGCGTTGAACGAGGGATAGAGTGGCTACTGCGGGCTTCAAAGATGATTTCCGTTTTGACAATATCCATACAAGTACTTTTGACCAATATTGAATAAACTAAGAGTAGAATAAGGGGGATGGGCTGTTATACTCTAAAAGAAGAAACAACTGACGCAGCCTTGAGATGACGTTTACCATCAGTACTTTGTCTGTTCCGCGCACAGAGTTCAAAAATCGAATAAGGTGGTCAAGCTTTGGATTGGATGGACCTAATAACTTGGCAATGGCCAAAGGATTTATAGCCTGCTTTTCTTTCTTTGTTGACGATAAGCTGCGTTTTTCTTCTTTTGTTGACATGATGGACTGGTAAAAAGCTTAATTAAAGTCGTTTTTTTGCAGGGTCTTTTGGGCTTTAGGATGTTATATGAATGATGAAAGAAAATTTAAGAAAATCTGGGGAAAACGAATAAAATAAAAAAAAGTTGGAAAAAAAGGGGACACAAGTCAGCGCAGTGATTGGATGAAGAAAACAACAAAATTGAAGTCTCGAACAGGATAGACTTTACAATTAAGGAATTCCTAATTCGTTTTCTTCACATGAAGGTGGCTTTTTCCCACTCAAATGGAGTAGTCATTAGAAAAACAAATGACTAAAAGGAACGAGCGATTCACGAGCGATCAAAGAAAAGAAAGCTTACTATGGTTTTTTTTTTTCATTTTTTTATTGAAATCAATGACTGTATTTACAAACTTTGGTATAAAGGGGGGGGGGAGAGGGAAAGAAAGCTTTCTTTGCATGTAAAAAGAAGGAACAGAAAATGGAAATGCTGTTATATATATGTATATACATATATATACATATATACCTGTGCGTATGTATATATACATAAATGATATATGTAGATAGATAAATGTGTATATTTTTTGTCTTTTTGTGCAGGTTTCGAGTAGTATTTTTTTTTTTTTTTTTTTTTTTTTTCAAAGGGATTATTTTTGGCTTTTTTTTTTCTGGTTTTTTTTTTTTTACCTTGGCTTTTCTACACAGAGTTCAACTAAAAAAGAGAAGAGCGGGTTCATCAGGAGAGAGAGAGAGAGCGTTATATACAAATTTGAAATAGAAAATAAAATGAGAATAAGAATAAAGAACAATAATAATAAAATATGAAATAGTTAATTAATAAAGAGGACTCCAAAATGGTCCTGAATCGAAGGAATATTCAGAAAGATCTTGCGAACAAACATCTGAAGGAGGAGCAGTAATAGATGCTTTACTTGAGGGTAAGATAGATGGCGTGGATGGGGTGGATGGCGTCTTCTCGTGAGTCATCATGGATGTCGATGGGAGGGTGAAAGCAGTGGTCGTGCTGTCCTTGGCAAGATTGTCTCCACATAAAAAGACATCAGAAGCATGGGGTGAGAATACTTTGGGTGGACGGTTATGTAGGAGAGAGGATTCAAGGTAGACGAGTTGATGTAGAATTTCAAGACTTTCTACAGTCTGGTTGAATAAAAGTTGATTCATTTCTTTGACATCAAAGGGATCAGATGCATACACTCCTCCTCCTCCTGTTGTTGACGTGGATGAGGCAGCTGCTAGTGCGGCGGCGGCAGTAAGGGCAGACGAAGAATAAAACTCCGTGGTAGGAGTGGTTACTTCACTGGTGCAAACACTACTGATAGTGCTAAGACTATCTTGACTGGAAATACTGTATCTTGATTCAGAAGAAATATCAGGCCAATCCGTAGATGTAGGCGTTACAGGTCCTGTTGTCAAATCCTCTGCGGTAGAGGAATTGTCATCCTCTTCGTTTACAGTCTGCGTCATGAAGGATGTAGTAGCAGCAGCAGTAGCAGCAGCTTCGAAGGGTTGAAGTTGAGGAGGAATATAGTTGATAGGCGTTAATGGTGAGGGTGGTAGTGTGAAAGGAGCTAATACAGTAGTGTCAGCAGTCAAAGGAGCTGTAGATGTAGAGGTGAAAGGCTGAGATAGAGGAGATGGGTGTTGAACAGTGAAGTTTTCATCCACCTCTAAAGGATGAGCAAAAGTACAAACATCATCCATGATCATATCGTCGTCGTCGTCGTCATCGTCATATTCATCATCCGTAGAATGATGATTATATCGTGCAGAATCAGCCAAAAGACGGCTCTTCCATTGAGCTGCATAGCGCCAAGTAATGGAGCTCAACATCTTTGGGTTTTTTGCATTCCTCTTGCCATCTTTGTAAATATTTCCCATACTCAAGAAACATAATGGACAACGGAAGGGTTCTTCTTCACCCAGAGCTTCATCATCTAACTCGAGACATTCTACATGGAGCCAATGATAGCAATCATCGCACTGAACCATGGAACCAAATTCCTCGTGAGGTGTATCACAAATACAGTGAATCGTGTTGCAGTTTTCTTTCTTTTTCTTTTGCTTTTCTGTAAGACGTGGTGGCAATGAATAAGGATGTTCCATCATGGATTTATGTTTTTTGGAAACATTTGTTTCGCTATTCACTGAGTTCTTGGGTGGTCTACCTGGCTTACGACGCCTATCGTGCTGCTGCTGCTGCTGCTGTTGTTGTTGTAGCACTACTGATTTAGAACCCACTAGAAGGAAATGAATAATTCAAAGTCAGTTTCATTCTTTTTTTTTTTTTTTTTTTTTCTGATCCAACGTAAAGCTGGCTCTATCTCACTCATGTGAGCCCCTTATTTTACGCCCAGTGAAATAAAAAAAATAAAAAAAGAAAAAGGTCCACGAACAATATGGCTCTCTTTCATACGCCCGCTTTTCACCCCTTAATTCAACCTTATTTTACCCCTAATTATTTACAAATATACACATATATGGAATTAAAAAACAAAAAAAAAAAAAAAAGAGCTTTACCTTGCAGATGTTTAAGTTTTTGCTCCATAAGCATAGGCGAATCGTGAACCAGTGATTCAATCAAAGTAGCGCCTAAACGGGCTGATGGATCTGATAAGTCTTTAAAAGAAGAGGATGTTTTGTTCAGATGACGTTGAAATGTTAATTCACGATTGGAAGAATTCCATTGGATATCGTTTGTTTCTTTAGAGATAAACAAAAGATATTGTTGAAGTAAATGAAGGTTACGCAAAGTCGTTGTTGTTTTTGTAGTTCGTTTATTGTTGTGAGGGACATCTGAAAGCGTTGTTGCTGATAACGGTGCTTTCAAGTCGGTTGTCATGAAAATGTCCGTGTTAGTGTCGGGTGTAGTAGGTGCAGTTGTTGACGATTCAGGGGAAACTGTTTCCATAGTTACGTCGTCTTTGTCGTCTCCAGCGATGGTGGATAAAGGTGATGAAGGTGATAGGCAATACTCCATCATGGTAGTCTCATCAGCGACGGTGGTTGCTGTCAATGATTTTGCTGCGTGAGACAAACGATCCTTGAGTTGCTTTGCAATGGCATGAATATCAGAAATAGCAGCATTCTTTTTTGATACGAGTCGATTGAAAGGTCGTCTTAGTTGAACAGAAAGGGACTCTGTTGTATTTTTGTTGTTGATTTTGGACATTTTCCTTGATGCACTAACAAAAAAAAAAAAAAAAAAAAAAAGAATAAGAATTTGATGTCAAAATTGTGTATCGTTGGACAAATAATAATATATGTATAAAATGTGCAGTGCATATGTGTGTATGTATGTACTCTTGTTTCTTTCCCTCGCTTTGTGTACATAGAACAAGAGCATGCAATGGCCCTTGTACATACAAAAACAAGTACACACATACACATAACAATAACAACAACAACAACAACTACAACAACAGCAGCAGCAGTAGCGGTAACAGTGTGTGTCGTACATTCTGGATTATCAGCATTTCGAGAAACGAGCTTATTCCCTTTAGAATTGGACTTTAGAATAATGAAAAAAGATTGCTAATAAAAGGGGGGAAAGAGAGGGGGATTGGACCTTAAGAATTGTTATCGTATTCAATGGCAAAGTGTGTAAGCTGGATGGTTACTGTTACGGTTGCTGTTATTGTTACTGTTCACTACTACGGTTGTTACTGCTACTGCTACTGTTACAGTTGTTGCTGTTCTTGTTGTTGTTTGTTGCTTAGTAAGTAAGTAAGTAAATACAAGTAGGTAAAAAAGGTAGACAGACTCACGTTGATTTCATGGTATTTGTATGCAGAACAATAAATAAGAATATAATAAAACTTTTCTTTTTTTCTTGGCCTTTTCTTTCTTTCTTTTTTATTTTTTTGCTGTTTGTTACTTTTTTGGTTTTTTGAAATAAATCACAAAAAACTGAGTTGAAAAAATAATAAAAAAAAAAAAGAAAAAGGGAAAAGGTGAAAGAAAGACTTTTTTGATGAAAATGAGAAAGAAAAAAGAAAAAAAAAAAAAGGGGGGGGGCAGGGAAGACTTCTGATGATAAAAAAAAAAAAAAATAAAAAATAAAAAAAACTGTCATTAAAAAGATCTTCTTCAGAGCAGACCCAAAAAATAGAGTTTCGGTATTGTCTTTTTTCTTGTATCCGAGTTGAAATTTCGCGTTCCACACATATAAGCACATCAACTCACATAAACCAGCTTTTTTTTTTCTAACTGAGACAGTCCTTTTTGTACCAGAGATTTCGATGCATCAAGGCATTTCTTATGTTGTTTCACATTATCGTTGGAAAAAAGAAATGAAAGAGTGCTTATAATCTATTTTATAAAAAGGTTTATCTTTAAAGCGCTTATATAAACATGACGTCACTTTAGTAGTGAAGGTCTGTAAAAGAGGAAGGAGAAAGAAAGAAAGAAAAAAAAAAAAAAAAAAAAAAAAAAAAAAAAAAGTATAATTCAAACACAAATGCAGTGTACATGTATCGTTATAACAGCGTCGAAAAAACCTTTTGTGTCTCTTGAGTAAATCCAACGACAGCATGAAAAAACCCTCAGCGGGAAAAAAGACGTGCCCTTTTATCTAGAAAAAAAAAAAAAACGCAAAATGGAGTCAAATATGAAAACAGTTAAAACCAAATGCTAAAAAACATCTCAAAACCATTTTTTCTTTTTCCATAAATTGCATGCATTTATAAAAAAATCTCATTAAAGGTTTTCTGAATCATAGAGTTCATTATAAACAAATTTGTAATTTAACGTAATAGTGTCAAAAAATGTATATCATCAGATGATGCTACGGATTTTAGGATGGCTTTTTTTTTTCCTAATCTCATACTACTCCAAAACGACTTTCTTCTATTTTTCTATTTTGACGATTGCTGAACGGGGGCAGTTTCTTCCCTTTTCCTCAAACAAAAAAGGGCACCAAGACCAAAAAAGGCTGCAAAAATAGTTCGATCTCCGCTGATCAAAAATCGAATGCTTGACCCCGACGTTTGATAAGGACAGATGAACCAAACAAAAAAAAAAAAAAAGGTGCTCCCCCACATAGTCTAAAGGAAAAGGTACAACAACAAAAAAAAACCGGTCTTTGTCGATGTGTAAAAAATAAAAGGAAGCCATCCTTCACTGCTTTGCCCGTGAAATAATGCCCACCAGCAATTGCGTTGAACAGCATGAACGAACTTTATAATTGTTTCAGATCAATCCAAGTCATTGTGTAACGCCTGTCATAATTTACGTTGGTCAATGTGTTTCTACTATCGATGGTCTGTTTGCGCTACGTATTCTATACTATTTCAAGGAAAATAACATAAAGTACGGATGCATTGAATGTTATTTATTCAGTGTTCTTCTTTACACCATGGCCTCAGAAAGATGGACTGTATCTACCTCTAGAAAGAAACAAGGTTCCTTTCTATTTTCTTAAGATCACGATGATAGAAAAGACCTAAACCTTAAAGCTTAAAAGACAATTATTATTATTGCTCATGTTTCTTTGTGCACATCGTTCATAGACAAAAGCAGCCGAATCATCATTGATAGCCTTTTAATAGAACATGGAATCCGAAGAGGATTGTATCCATTACCCTATATATACATCTGTCATACATTAAATATATATCGAAGCCCGACGTAAGCCCTTTTCTGCATTAAAACAGCAAAAAGGAAATCAGCCTACGATGCCAAGCGCTGAGTGACTGAAGGTGTGCAAAAAAAGTGCTTTCTATTTTGCTGTTTGTGTGTGTGTGTGTACCAGTAATACAGATCAACACACTATTGAGTTCGATCATTGATACGAATCATCGTAAAAAGGTGTATGAAAAAAGAAAAAAAAATAGCGCCATGTCATCCTTATCAATAACTGTAAGAGGCGCTCTTTTCCATTCAAGCATGAAAGAACTATTTTAAAGCTCGTTGACCTATTGTTTAACGCCCCCACCCCCCGTGAATTGACTTTCTTGATATCGTAACACATACAAATTATAAAACCAAAAGTTTATAGCCCCGCCGCTCCTTCCCCTTTTTTTTTTTTTTTTTTTTTGGGCATCCTTCTCCAACTAAATTATTCACCGTTTTATGGTTAGTCCACAACTTTCGAAAGGCATAAAGGCCGTTACAGTCATAGGAGCAGGTGCATACAGCGTCAATTGGCTCGTCCGTCAACATCAAGAGAAGCATCTTTCTCCAGCTCCATTAACCAACATGGCGACACCATCACCACCAAAGAACGATGCGCCTTATGATCATCGGCCATTCACTCTATTAACACAGACCGACATTGACACACGATTACGATCTGGACAATCTATCAGTAAGCTCGACCATGCGCAACATCAAGTGAAAGGCGTGAAGGCTATCTATAGTAATCAGCTGCCCTCGAATGATCCTGTCGAGGACAACTACAGTATCCATACTTTCCAAAATGGATTGATTGCTGGCGTCTATGACGGTATGGAATGGAAAAAAGGGGATAAAGGGGGTGGGGGCGGGGACGAGAAAAACAAGTCATGATGCTAATGCAAAAGTGGATCATAAAACAGGTCATATTGGACCTCAATGCTCTCGACTTATCAAAAAGCAACTACCTATTTATATGGCACGCGAATTGTCGGCCACTTTGTCCTCAACACCAGCAGGCAACAAGGAATCTGCTCATAGTACGGAAGAAACAGCCATCAGCACTGCTTTCGACAACCTTGATCAAGATATACAGCAGCGATTTTACGATCTCTTCCCTCGTAATGTGAAATATGCTACAGAAAATGATATTCGATCCGCTATTGCGCGTCAACCTGATCGAGCCAAAACGGAAGCGATCATTACAGAAGCCATCCACGGTTCATGTGCTTGTACAGTTTACATCAAAGAGGGTTATGTTTATGCTGCCAACACTGGAGATTCTCGCGTCGTCAGTAAGTCCTTTCTCTCTCCCTTCTTTCCTTTTTGCTCGGATCTCTTTTTAAACACCCCTTTTCAACTCTCTCATAAACAGTCGTTAGTCAAGATGAAGACGGATCTTGGAAAGGTAGACGGTTAGTAGAAGAAGAATCACCTGCTAATCCAGAGTGGAAAGCACACATGCTTTCTCAACATCCTTCAGACGAATCTGACGTACTTGTCATGAGAAAGCGTATTTTCGGTTTAATTGCAGTAGGTGGATGTAAGTACTTTACCAATGAATCGATCATTCAAAGTTGAAAATGGCTTATTGCTTTCCTTTTTTTTTTTTTTTTTTTTTTGTTGTTGTTGTTGTTGTTTGGGCTCTTCTTCAGCCTTTGGAGATATCATGTATAAAGTGCCTGTCGAATATCAAATGAAAGTGCTTCCCTTTATACCTTACGATATATATAAAACATTTGCTCGCTATCATCATCGTATCGTGGTGAATTACAAGACGCCACCTTACCTTCGATCCACTCCTCTGATCGCAAAGCACAAACTAACCAACAATGACAAATTCATCATCTTGGGTACAGACGGACTATGGGATGAACTCAGTTGGGATGACGTACGAAGTACAGAAGGAGATCAAGTGGCCGCTCACATCATGAGCCGCTGGCAAACATCGTCTCCTACCACCGAAAAGGAACCCAATCCTGCGACTCATATGTTGCGTGAAGCTCTCTTATACGAAGCCGTTTATAAGAATGTGGGACAAAGAAGAAAAGTAGAGGACTCGACACTAGAACTGTCAAAGAGATTAACCAGAAAACCGTCAAGACGTTACCGTGACGATATCACCATCACCGTCATAGAGCTGGGTAATGAAGAGGTCTCCGCATCTTCAGAAGATGTGGGACCGGCACGTCATGTAGAAGAGGTGGATGTGAGTGAGCCGAGGTTGGTCAATCCTAAATCCTCAAAGAGCTCATGGTTATTAGGATGGATTGGGTCTCGCTTATAAGTGCCCATTCAACCTACCCCTCCCCCCTCCCAAAAGATAGCCTTCTCTTCCCAAGCAGACGCGAATACCATGTTGAATAAACAGGTCAAGGTTGTAAAACCCTTTTTGCCTACGTGCGTAATTTAGCTGATCACACATCTTTCTTTTTGTTTCTGCTTTTGGTATGGATGATACATTCTAAAACGGAGAAATACCAGAACCATTTCGACAGGGTCCTCTTCTCAGCAACTGACATGAGCTTCTTGTCCACAGGCGGATAAAACTAGCTATCTGACCGGTATCATTTTAATTAAAAAAGGCTCGTTTTTTTACTAAAGACATAGAATGCTATGTGAAAAGAGGGGGGTGGGGGGATGGGAAGGGTGAAGCATCTGTTTCATATGAACAAAGTCTTGGCTTATTCAGAATATCCTTGGTACCTGAGAGGCTCATTATTTGCCATAGCCAACTTTGGGTTACGAACCCATGATAAGCGTAGAGAGAATGAAAGCCTTTCGATGGAAAACTATGTCTAGATCATCTTACACCTCTCAACAGATATGCTTCAGTGCTGCAGTGAGAGGCACACGCATTGCATCAAGGTTTACTACGGTGAGGAAATTTCTCATGTGTCCTTACTCTTTCACCTTGTACCCTATAATGCAGTTTGGATGGATTCACATGTATAATGGAAAGCTAACAAACACACAAATATCAGAACCTGCGCGTTATTATTTGAAGAAGGGCACAGAGCTGCTGGGTAGACTAAAAGATATGTCAATGACAGCATCAAGGATTGTATACCGTTTTCAGCAGTATTATCGATGATGCTCATTGACATGCTGTGACAGATGATGATGATGATGCAGAGAGAACACTCGCAGAAGAAGAAAATCGTCTAGTTGAGAATTTGGGCTCAATTAGCTTACAATTAGCTTACAAAATATTTGACTCAATGACTGCAGAAACAGGTATGCTAATCAAAGAGAGGGCAAAAACAACCAATGTAGGTATAAGGGAATGTAAGTAAACCGGTACTACTTTACGAGTGGCAGAATGAAGAGAAGCACGATCCGCAACGGATAAACTGATCGCTGCTGAATGTTCAAGAATAAGGAAAAATCACGTTGACCATTTTGCACTTTTTACATTCTAAATGCGAGAAAATACAGTGGATTCAACCTTGTTATCTTTGTTAAATCTATCTTTTTATAAGGCCAATGATTCACTATTATTATACATATTAAACATTAAAAGAATTACAAAGGAAAAACGTAAAAGCATAATAAATATTCTAGGCTTATTCTATTGGTAAGGAAATGTCAATTAAATGACAATGACACTAGGATCACCATTCTACATCAAAACAAAACAGGCAGTTAGGTAACTGTTCAACACTTATTAAGCCTAATGTCGTATTACTTACAAATGGATGACGCCAGCCGCATTGAAATTCATTCTTCTTATAACTTCTATCTGAGCTAGTCGATGCATTATAACCTATATGGTACATCAATAACGTCTTACTGATGACTAGCGTGTCTGTACACGTTGAACATTCTTCCAACTCTCCTCTTAGACACTTTTGTATAACGATATCAGGAGGGGTATCCTCGCCCACGTATTTCAATAATAATTTGGTGAGCATACGTGCCTGGTCCGGCTTTATAAAAAGACCACTATTGCATTTAATAAGAGTGAATGATATGAACAAAAAAGGGCTTAGAGTCTTTGATAGAAATAAGAAAATGATTACTACCTTCCGCCAGTTCCTACAAAAGCACCGCAGTGATCTGGAATATTCGTGGCAGCCTTGTAGACAACATTTTCGATCTGATGCCATTCATGAGGTCCACATACAGGAAAATCATCCTCCATCAAAACGTAATACGCACTGTCGTACAGACGAGTGCTCATGCTCAACGCTTTTGAGAGATGCAAACGTTGATTTAAATCACTGCCTTCCTCACGAACCCATCTTAGATAACGTTGCCCTTTCGTTGTATTTGAAAAGTATTCTTTCGCAAGATCATATTGAGTATGTTGTGAAAAGTGGGTATAGATGATAGCTTGCATACGGTAATAAGGCGAGGCAGGAGATGGATACTCGGGCCAATTAGCTAAATAAGATTCAATGGTGCGTGTCAAATAAGCAGGATCACCGCGTCGTGGCGCGGTCATGAAAATGAATGTGAAAAGGTAAGGTTTGTCTGTTGCAATCGTATTGAGTTCAGCTGGTGTGACAAGGTGTTCAATGTTATAATATGTATTCCACAATATTAATACAGGCATTGCTAAGCAAACGGCCTTGCCGCATGTTTTCATGGCTGTCCAAACAATTCGCCAAGTGGGTGTTCGCCGGTAGTGTTCGAGCGAAGCAAATTCGTTCGCATTTTTTACTTTTATGGATTCTTCCCGCTTCTTATGAATCAAAAATGCCTGAAGGGCAATGATGGCTAAACAGCCCGTTAATAAGCCTGAGATAGACCACCAAAATATATTTTTCGTGAAATAATTCATCAAGCACATAATAAACTGTAGCGTTATTTTTCGAATCGTAAGTCGATGATTTGAGTCTTCTTCTCCAAAGATCACGATGTATTTGTCGTCCATACTCAGTGATTGTACAATAAGTAATGCGAATAGAAAAGGAGATAAGCCTACCGCAAATCATTGTAAGTAAAGCTTTTTTCGCCCCAGGTTGCCGGGTTATTTTTATGCTTAAGATTTTTTTTTTTCGAACATACCTTGATTGCATTCATGCATACTGTTACTGAAAAAGAAGGAAGGGAATTGCCATCCTGTCCATCTCGAAAACGTATAGCCTAATAAGAAGCGTATACTTGACACGGATGCAAACAAAACTATTAACACTCCCACAAAACGTCTTGTCCCGCCCATCATCAAGGTCAAAGATTCTTCAAAAAGTCCAAGTATGAGTAAATTCCAACCGTACAATGTCATATTGGGTAATGTCCAGTCGAATAAAAATGGTGATAGCAGCAAGTTCTTGAAGTCATACCTGTAATAAAGGTATGAAGGTGCAAAACATGACAAGTCCATAATTTTCGCTGCGTTTAACGAGGAGATAATTGTTGCTGTCAAAATCATGTACCTTGTTACTAAGGGTAACGGCCATAAGCATAATAGCTTTTGTGATTTATTTTTCTGTATATCATCCCCCTCGGTGGGTATAAGCGAATAATTACGGAAAAAGTAGTTACTGGCACTGTTGCTGTATCTACGTAATCCATTATCAGAACGATATTGGTGATGATGACGAATATTATATTTCGAGCTTCGTCGACTATTGTGCGTCCTTGCGGGAGAATTGGTTTTGCTTGCGGAGGAACGGAGTGAATGAGATAATGAGTGTAATCTTGACGTCCTGTTTTTGGTGTCTCGTTGTATGAATGAAGATGATGATGAGGTCGTTTGTGTGGGATTGTTGAGTATATTGTAAAAAGTAGCTGCACTGTCAGCATATTGAGATTGTAAATCAGAATCCAGGGTCAGTGGCAGTAAGGGCTGCTCGGTTTCTTCGTTTGGTCTATGTGTGTGCATATGAAGCCAAGCTGCCCGTTGTTGTTGTTGTTGTTGTTGAACTATTTCCTGTTCGTTCCTTGATTCTTTATTCTCTTCAGAATCTGTCTCGCTATCCATGGGCGTAAGACTGATAGCTTCATCGTCAAAATAAGATACCGTTGGAGGCCAAGCTTCTGTAATATTAAGAGATCGATCTACAGTTGAGGGCGGTAAAATGGTATCGAAACTGCCAGTATGTGTACCATCAAACCATTGATGGGAATTGCGCTGATTATCTGATAAAGGTAAATATGCAGATGTGTCTTCTTCATCTTCTATAGAGGCTATCGTTGATTCTTCTGCATCAAAGTTTTCGGGATTGGTTGCTTGTATGGAGTTATTGGATCTGGTAACCTCTTGAATAAGTCGAACGGATCCAAGAATTTTGAACAGAGAGTCTTGCATTATCTCCCTGTCTCTTTACACGCAGGTTTTGCTCTTCGTAACGTAAAGTTGAAAAAAGGTTTGCAACACAACAAAACGAAAAGAAAAAGGGCTAATGTAGCTTTTCGTAGAAATAATTTAGAGTTTAATACAATGAGTATTCTTGGTATTTTCGAATACTAAGGTAACTGAAAAACCAAATGACGTTGTGCAAATAAAAATAGAAGAATTTCCAGTGATGTGGCTTGCTTTGCGTTAAAGATAAGCAATAAGTTGTTGTTTCAATGAATAATGAAGATAATCAAAGCCCAACAGCAAAGAAAGTTTGTTAGATACAGAAAAAAAGGGGGTGTTAAGCGAGATGTAGTATCAAGAAACAGAGAAATGGGAAAAGATGCTGAGGGATTGTCAAAGGTGAAGCCTTGGGGGCATTTTTCCTTTTACAAACTAGGAAAAGTGCAAAAAAAAAATAAAAAAGAAAAAGTCTGAGTTCGCTTCATCCAACAAGCATCAAAGCTGCGTTTTGTCGGAAGGAGAAAAAAAAAGCTGTTTCTTCCTTATTGCTAATCCAGCGAATAGGAATCGCCTAGTTCCAACCGCAAAACATTATGTATATCCCCCTCATCCACATTGAGCTAGTTGTTGATAATGCACCGCTTACTTTAAGAATACATTTGCAAAAAGAATTATGGCAAAGCCGCTTGTTTGGATTAGTTTCTGCATGATTAAATTTCTTAACTATATTTCAACTTTCTCAAGGGTAACGGCGGATTGTTAAGAAATGAATATTATTGAGGAAAAGCACGATAATCAAAACAGTCAGCGAAAGTATCAAACAGATTCAAAGACCAGGCCTGTTATATTTGATCGTATCTGTTTCAAATAATTCAGATCTTAGGATGAAAATTTTGAGGAGAATTATGTGTGATAACTCTGAATGTGTTGTTTGATCGACTGTCACATTGTCCTATATAAAAGCACCTGTACACAGACTAAATATGGATAAGTGTACATATCAAAGAAGCTTGTCCTCTAAGCTGATGGAGTTAGAATATGAATAAAATGAGTGCACTGTGTTATGTTGTGATAGAATGCTGAATTGATTCATTAATATGGTGCAATAAGTAATAAAGTGACAAAGTAATGGTTATAACAGTTTGAGGGTATACAGTAGGTTTTCGCAATTGTTACTAGCTGGATTATTTATGTTTAAAGGTATAGTCTCTCAATCGAGTGACAAAGTGCGGCTATTTTCATTTTCTTCTTCATCTATAGTCTCCTTTGCGGTTTTCAGTACTGTCAAGAGCAAAAAAGATCTACTTAGAATTTGCGGAGTTCATATAGGTTAATATGCTACAACTTACAGTGTGATTTCAACCCTTTGTCAAAGTTACGCCAACAAATAGCAGCATTTATACTAGTCAGCACTATTAAAACCAAAGTTACGCAGGCTATTATACAATAATATCAGTCTTAGCATGCTTTTTGTTTCCACATCTGCTCTCCTGAATTTATGCTTGACAATTACCGAAGAAAGTAAGGACCTGTTTAACATACAAGTACTTTGCTGCTTGTGATTCGTCATACATACGACAGATCTTGAATATAAAATAGGCAACACCTGCAGCCAAACCCAAGAAGAACAACATGATCATCTGTTTTGACTCATGCTTTATCTAATAGAGAGTACAAATATATAGTTGCTCATTAATGTTTTTTTCTTCCTAGATGAAGGTGTTTGTACTTTACAGCATATACAGCAAGCAATAGACCGATGCAAATCAGCGGTAATGCAACTATCGTTAAAGGATATTCTGCGTCACCTTTTTGTAGGACGAGCACCAGATACTGCACAGAATAGCCCAGGAAGAAGAAAATGTCTAGTTTTAGGATAGTGAGAAAGATCTGATACCAACGGTACATATTTCGTATATCAGGATCAGCCCCGATTTTTTTATAGACTCGCCAGCTAACGAAATTATAACGTTAACTGATACACATTGAAATACATTTTGACATACATGTTTTGTTTTGTTTTTACCCAAATTCCAAATACAATCTTGCTCCCAAATAGAAATAAACCAACTGACAGATACCAATGATGATGGGGTTAGCTATGATGAACTTTTGCAAATCCCAAACCAAAGCTCTATCTCCTAGTGTATCTTTCAATGCCCTAGCTATCTGCTTGAATTGGAAAACCGCATAGATGAAACAGCATAAGTTGAATAAATTGAAAGCGATTACTTGAATTGTATTCTTGTTGTAAACCTGATAGATTTTCATACGAAGGTGTAACGAAATTCGGTATAAGTACACTGCCTCCATCTAAATGTATGTATGATAACAATAATTTTCTCTTCTTCCTTCTTACCGCATCCCATGCGAGTGCTACTTGAAACACGAGTGATATAATGAATATAACCAAATAGACAGGAATACCTTTTGTTAGACCTTCCTCTATGTTTACATCGGGTGGTATTCTATTTGTTTTGTGAAATGTATTGATCATTCAGTTATGAATATTTAATAGAAAATTTTCATAACAAAAATATATAACAATAAATTAGTTCGCGAACCTTTTCTGAAAACGATCGAAGAGTATTGATTCCAATATAATGACGACAATCGCTTCGAAAATGGCGAGTAACACTAAGCAAAGTGAGTTATGTGTTCGCCATAACGTCTAAAATTTTATTGCATAATGTTTCAGTGACAAACTCGTTTATATAATGTTTCGTACATCTTTAGGGTTATATGTGCATGCGTTGATAACAATAATGGCAACAAAATATTTACTGCAAGCGTTGTTTCTCTCTTATTTAAAATGCTGCGTCGTTGTTTTCTCTTTAGATGTTGGCTGTAGTCATAACTACTGTCTATGATTTTATTTTCATTGATATTATAATGATTTTCTTCTGTCTCGCTTAAAAAACTTGAAGATGAGGCGGAATGAAGTGTCATTTCGACAGCCTTCGATTAAACAGAGAAGTAAGCCTAGAAAAGAAAGACAAAGAGCGCAGAAAAATAAAAGAAGAAAGAAAGTTTTTAGGTCACTCATTGTTAACACTACATGTAACCATGCCTAAAATGCCCTAATGGCATTAGTCCCGTCCATATTATTTCTATATTCCGGTTAAATTTTCGTTAAAAATAGATTCTTGAAAGGAAACATTATCATTGTTTGAATCGCCTAAACTGAATTCCAACAGCTTAAATGATAGCTGACGGAGTAGGCTCAATTGGTATGAGTTATATTGTGTTTATCCAAAAGAATGTCAACCGCATGGTGTTATGAATGTTACCATAACAAAAGAAAAAAAAAAGCGATACACATGAATGGCTTTGAATCTGGAACTTGTCCTTTGTTTATATTTCTGTTCAGGTGCCTGAATCAATTGGAAATCAGCATTTTAACATTTTTGGTGGATATCAAAAAAAAAAAAAAAAAAAAAAAATTGTTTCCGATTTTGGTGGTCATTTAAGGAGTAATCTTCTGCTTATTTTGCGATAGCAATAAGATGCAATGGTATTCGTGGTACTGATACAATCTGGAGAAAGCCATTCAACTGCAAACAAACAAAATAAGAACTGCAACTAATTACGAAGACGGAACAAATGCCATGTAGAATGCATTTGGCTTGTTTGAGAATGGGCACAGACTTGGTTCTATTTGACTTCATCAATCAATGCTTCACAGGTCATCGTGAGCGTAACTGTGTTTAGTAATAGTGATACTTTGTCATATTCTTAAAGTTTTGAGTTTCACACATAACAACGCGATATCAGGGGTAAAATTAGAAAGGTTTGACGGGTTCATTACTATTTGTTTGTTGTTTTGTTCACATTGCTGAAAAAGTGTGCAATGAAAGAAATCACAGAACACTGAACATCAAAATTCCATAAACTGTATAAATAGTAGGTCTTTTACCTTGCTTCATCTTTTCTTTTCCTTCGTTATCTTCTTCTTCCCTACATTTTCTAGTCTAGTTTTATTTATATTGAAAGGGAACCTTGTTAAACAACAATTTGTTGCTATTTAAGTCTTTATCGTGTTTGCTTTATATCGATAGGCTTTTTAAATAACCAACTATTGCTCATTACAGAAAACCAGAAGTAACCGATGGTAATACGTGATCCTCTTGCTCGTCGGCCTGCTTCCCCTTCTTTAGCCTCTACGGCTTCTGTGACTCATCACAAAGGGTGCAATTCGGCGACTTGTTGCTCTCCAGCAAAAATTTGGCGAACCTTACAGACCTTGATCAAAGAAGATGATCCCGGGGCCCTCATCAAGCACTTTGAACAAGCTGATGAACAACGTCTACAACATATTGTTCGTGTCGCTTTAACTGCCAGACTGTCCAACGATGCTTCCTTGTATCCTCCTTCACAGCAACACAAATTGGTTCGTTTGACTTCCCGGGAGGCTATGTTATGCTTTGGAAAATCATTCAGAGATCTGAATTCGCTTCAACTGGCCCTGTTGGCAAGTTCTGAAGCGACGGTATTGGCTTTATTTACACAATTGAAATCGTATGCCGAAAGTTTGGGTGAAGCAGAGAAATGGAGTTCTTTCATCAATCACATTTGGGGTCAAGGCAATACGACTTTACATTTGGCAGCTCATTTACAGAGACGAGAAGTCATAAAACAATTGCTCGAGCTGGAATGCTGTAAAATTCATGTACGTAATGCAAGAAATAGGTATCCCGAAGATTGCTGTCTGGGTGATCAACGCATTGTCTCGAATATATTGACGTTTCACAAGAGTATCACTGCTACTCATGCTGCTGTCAATAGTACAAAACACAAGAACAAGAATAAGAATAAGAACAACAGTAACAGCAGTAACAGCAGTACGAAGAAGTTTGAAGATCATGCAATAAAATTGGAGACATCTTCAAGTGATACACAGAAAGCAAAAAGTAGCAAACCTCAACTACAAGACAAAAGAAGTAATAATTCCTTACAGCAACAGCCAAAGAAGGAATTACCCGTTTCAGTTTCTGCAGAAGAGTATGCTACTTGTCAAACTATTGATGGGTTCTCTCATCAGCAAACAAAGCAACAATTCACCGAAATTAATCAGGAGCAACGGTATCAAGATCACCTGAGTATGCAAGAAAATCTATCTTCAGTCAATCCTATCTCCAGAACTAACATTACCAATAATGGTAAGGCCTACCTCAACGAGAAGAAAGAATTGCTATTATCGTCATTGCATCCGGCATATACTCAGGAAAACAAGGAAGATAAGCTTATAATTACAACGTTGAACAACAACAACTACAACACCTTCTTCGCACGACAAACTCTAATGATTGACAGGTTACGGACTAGTAAGCTAAGCTTGCTTCAGTTGTCATTTCCTTCACCTTTTGTACCACCACCTGATGTTTATCGTCGATGCATCAATTTCACTGACCAACCGCAACAGATGAAAAAACCGCCTGATATATTTCATTGCAACACTAAGACATTCATTATTTCCCAGTGTTCGTCGATCAGAGCTATTGCAGCGGTATGAACATCTTACCACTGCCATTTACTAACCTATTCTGTTTGCAACAACAAGTTGTCTTTCACAAGACATCTATACTTTCCTTTTTTGTCAATTATACTTAACGAAGACTCTCTCTCTCTCTCTCCTGTGATTATCCAAATGATTCTCTCCAACTCTGTGTGTGATTATATATACTCTTTAAACTCATGTTAACATATCTTTCTATGCTCTCTCTCTCTCTCTTTCTCTCTATCATATATGACTGGAACTTTTGTAGACGATAATATTACCACCCCATTTTATTATTCTAGTCCATTCCCTTCTTGCATATTTTTTGAAACGTACATATTTTACAAGACCCTTCTCTTACATTTTGAATACTGGAACTGTAGATAACCCTCAATCTCTCACTTATATATGATACACAATAACTCTTCTCTCATGCTAAAGAAAAACTTTTCGTCTTTATCTTATCACATTTATATTATTAAAAACTTTTAAAATCAAAAGCGCTTCTATTCTTTCATTTATGTATAGCAATGGCCTCCTGTCGTGGCTTTCGTATCGTGTCAAGTAAATATATAAGGTTAAAAATTGATTGAGGATACTTATAAGTTTGTAAAGATAAAAAAAAAAAAAAAAAAAACAAAAAAAAATAGAATTATTACAGTTTTCTTCAAAAAGGTTGTTTACAAAAAAAATTGTGTGTTTCCTCTACTGAATTCATGTACTTTCATTTCCTGTAGCTTGAATTTATTCAACTCTTCTTTGATCTGCTCCGCTATAAAAGGCGTAAGTTTTGTACATACTGCATTCTGATCTGAACTGCGATCATAATCCATTTTTGAAAATGTTTCTTTCACCATCACCAGTTTCATGAACCGTACTCTGTGTATTTGTTTATTTTGTTGAGGACGACCTCCGCCACCTAGGTTACTACTGAAGTTATTATTATTATTATGACTATGCTCGCTTATAGACGTACTTGTTGTTAAATAAGAGGCCTGTCGTTGAACAGATTGAGCTGTATTCACTGTTGTCGTGGACACAACTAACCCTCGTCTCCCGTTTTCTCGATTACTAATCACACTACGCACAATTTCATAATAAGGAGAAGTCGCAGATCTTGTTTTAATTACGGCATCTCGGGTATCAGCAGCATTGTCAATAACGTTTTCATTATTGACAAATCTTCCAGGAGCTGCAGCAACGATATGATGGGTATTATTGAAACTGGAATTGCTGCCACCAAAATAACCTTCATCGACTAAAAGTTGGTCATTATTTGATTTTTGGATATTCTGCTGTTGCTGCTTCTGCTGGTATTTATCCATATACAGCTTATGCGACGAGATAGACTTTTTTAATCCTAGCACGGAATTGATTTTTTTGGTGCATGCATTCTGTTGTCCCAAGATAATGTCGTTGAGTGTGCTTGCCCTGTCTTCATTTGCTTCTTCATCGTCAGAATCTGTTGAAGAAGAGAAAGAAATTGTACTATGCGATACATGTAATTTGGTAGATACAGATGGGACAAGTGCTACTGCTCTGCTATAGTAAGGATTCTGTGGGTGTCGGTTGCCGATGTATTTGGCTTTTGATATACACTTTTCATCTTCTTCATCTTCTTCAGCTTTTGGGAACTTTTTGGAGAATCTACTTAACGTTGTGGAAGAACAAAAATGCTGTGTAAGGGACGAAAGTGATGCTGAACGCCGTATCGAGAAACCGTTACTTTTTGGTCTTTTGTCATATCCTTTTCCATTGTTTTGTATTTCACCATTATCATTGTCATTTTCCGATAGAATGCTGTAGCATGTTCTTGAATTTTGTTGATTTCGACGAGGATGGTAATTGGTATTGTGTACTTTCGTCGGCGGATAATGGTGATGCTGTAAACGAAATTTGTTCTTTATTCTGGAAGCCAATACACTTTTCGGTGATGCGCTAGCACTGTTGGACGACACATTTTTAGTTGTCGCTGTCCGTGCATTTTCGGGTGCGATGCTATTGAATGTACTAGTGCTATTACGATCACTGATGACACCTACAAAAGAAGCACTGCGAACCAATCTACTATGTAATGATCCTTTCTTTTTCTGCTGGTCATCAGCTACTACTAACTCATTATTACCGCCGCGTAACCGTTGAAATATACTTTTGAAACGAGTTGTAGCATTAGTATTATTCGTAGAAACTTGATGTTCCTTTACAGCTGAATCGGTTATTGTCTTCATTGTACTGCTTTGCTGGCTAATAATAGTAGTGCTTGCTGAAGTAGAAAACGTGACAGACGTATAATTTTCGATATTAAAAGAGGAGGGGTTGGAGGAGCAAGAAGAAGAACACTTCACAAACTTTTTCAAAAATGACCTTTTTTGATTACTTTTTTGATAGGGTGACGATGATGCAAGAATTGGATTCTCAACTACTGCAGAAGCAGCGACAGATGATGGAGTCGAGGACGTAGATGAAAAAGGAAAAGAGGGGTGATTGGCAGCATTGCTTATTGTTGTTTGCGTCTGTTCTGCTGTTAAAAGTGTTGCTGCTGCAGTAATTGGTCTGGGCTTTCCTTTTTTGTTATTCTGCTTGTGCTTAGATGGGGCCAGGGTTAGAGTGGGTACTCTCATTGATGCCCTTAGGTCTACTTGTTTGAAGCAAAGGCAGTGATGGTGCTTGATGACGATGTTGTAGATAAAACCTTTACTTAACAAGGCTTCTATGTCGATTGCAGGTTGCTGCTGATGCTTCTTTTTCTTAAAAAATGCATGTGTACGATTAAGGGTACTGTCTGTATAAGTACTGATAATGCTTGTCGATTGTGCCTATTTTGTAATTGTAATAAAAAATCAGAACAATAGGGGAAGCCATATTTTCTCAAATTGCTGACTCACGCTATTAGAGTAATGCTCATGCTGCTGCTTTCGCTTGGGTGGCAAATTAACTTTAGCCCTTGCAGATACTGCAGGTAAATTTTTCAACGTATCCTTTAGGTCATCTGTATTATTGCCTGTATCGTTCAATTCAATGTAAAACCATTCAGTATTTATGGATTGTACTTGTTCCATATCTAAGTTTTCTTCACCAAATTGCAGAACAGTTCTTGATCGGTATTGTGACCATCTGAACGGCTTAAAAAACATTTTAATCAGGTGAAAAAAAGAACTCTCTCATCCCCAATCTTAATATAAAAGATCTTTAATATTACCTTGGAGCGGTCATGTTTAAATACATGGAGTCATGGGTTAAATAAAGGTTCATTGTTGAGCTCCATTATTTGAAAGATATTTCGAGTAGACTTTGTTTTTGTGTGTTTACAATGTTGAATAGGATATGATCTCACACGTTAAAAAGTAACAAATTTAGATGTGGGGATAAAGAGTGTGGAGCACTTTTAACTTTGCAGTATCGTCCAGTTATAAACGCTTCTGTTGAGGAGAAATAAAGAAGTTCAATATCATGCCATCGGTGTGCTCGGTTATAATTGAGCATCTGTTAACTTCATATTTATAAAGACAATAAATGTAAGGAGGTACACAGCATCTCATTTTTAACAGTTAAAATTCAAGAAAAACTCTAATACTTTCGGTACAGACAATGGGTCAGGGATAAACTCTTTATTGATTATTCCTTTCACTAAGCTTAACTGATCGAAATTATAGTAGACACTTGCAACTGCGAACAATCTGTATGCAAAAATAATATTCACAAAGGAAAAGCTTGATACACTTTTTTTTTTTTTTTTTAATTACTAGGCCATTCACAACTATCTACAATAGCCTTGGCAATTTTTTCCAAGCCTTCTTTATCTTCTTCAGTAAATCCCTCTATTTTCTCGCAGTCAATATCAAGGACACCCAGAACACGCTATAAAAACAATAAGAATAGATCAGAACTTAAACCAGTCCAAATAAAACGATCCATACTTTAAAAAAGATTTTACATCGACTTACATTATCCTTAATAAGTGGTATCACTACTTCAGAATTGGAAGCAGAATCGCAAGCAATATGTCCAGGAAACTCATGTACATCACGGATCACTTGAGACTGCTTCGTACGAGCAGCAGCACCACAAACACCCTTACCGAAAGGAATGGCTGTACAAGCAACCTTGATGATAGAAAAAATTAATGAATTTCTGTGCACCCTTTTCGCAGTTTAACTTTTTCATGCTGTCAAAAACATTCTTCTACCTTTCCTTGAAAAGGTCCGAGAATTAGCAACTCATCGTTTTTACGATCTGTAAGGTAAAATCCACACCAGTTGATAGGCTTTTTTTGAAAGTGCTCTAATGATCTTAAAGCATGATATATAACAGCAGAGGCGTTAGAAAGATTTGTGACCTGAGCAGAAAGAACTGGTTTGTTAAATTGTGAAGACTTGACTCTAAGACGATTGTCAAATGATACCCAAAAAGTTTGGTCTTCACAAATAGATTTAATTTGCTCGAGAAGTTCTTCGTAAAACTCTTTTCTGGAACGGTGAGGATCGGCGTTGGTAATGATTTCTTTCATTATGATTGTGAAAGATAAAGGGAAGGTATAAAGAGCAAAATCTTTTTTTTTTTTTTTTTTTTTTTTTAATTTTCTCTTTTACTTTGACAGATCTGCCCCGCAAAAAATTGGAGAGATTCGGAGTGAAAGCTGTAAACATACAATGACAAAGTATAACATCAAAGCTGTGCATCCTTGGTAAGTTAGACAGTTTCAGCTTGCATAAAGATTATACCGATAAATGTATTAACAATATCAGCTACAGAAAAAAAGGTTCCAAGAAGATAAAGATTTCATGATTTTTTAATTAACGAGAATGGGGTATTTTCAGCAACAGGAGTGCTCGCGACAAATAGTATCCGCTCTTCTAGTGCTACGGTCTATTGAAACACCCATTTAAACATGGATATTTCAATAAATCAATTAAGGGAAACAAGCCTCTATTTAGCAAAAACATCAAAACTCTCGATGTCACTCAAGCAGAACTTCGCGCTCAATGTACATATCCTCACAAATGGCATCTGACCGTTTAACCCCCTTTTCCACAAAGATTTGCCCATGAGGCAAAGAATAAGCATTTCAAATTTTCTGTCATGATATGTGAACTCATCGATAAGGTTACCCAACGCGCGTTTAATAACTGCTAAATCGCATCACTTTTCGAACCCTTGCCTTGATCCAGTTGCAAATCCCACTACAATCCAAATAACATCGCGTAACATTGCTGTTCTCTGATTAAAATGATGAGAGTATAAAATCTAAAGCGACTTCTGTTTTATTGTAACTTTTGCAAATACATAAAAGAAGCTGATATCACGCTTTGCATTTTAAATATTTATTGTTGGTAAGAGAAGACGTTCTTCAAGTCTGATTTGTGGAATTAAAAAAAAAAAAGAAATAGAAAAGTAAGCATCTTTATCAACCATGCATCATCACATTAAAATTTTTATTCTGTTAGTAAGACTTACAGCCATCTTGTTGAGCGAGGCGGTTGAGAGAATCATCAGATTCAGCTTCCTTACGGAGGAAACCACAGAAAGCATAGGTAGAGAAGGTGTTGGTGGCACGACCTTCAGCATCAACATCGGCAATGTTGATTTGAACGGAAGCGTGATCCTTGGCAGTGATGAGGCGGTTGGTGGCGGAACTGAACGAAAAAGCAAAAAGAGAAGGTAACAGGTTAATTAACATCAAGTTTTCTTAAAGCCTTATTCTCACATTCTCAACTTCTCTTCTTCTTTCTTTCACAACTAATACAAAATATATGCAAAGGTTACTTTACCACTTGCGAGGAATGTAAAGATCGATGATTTGGCCTTCAGAGTTTTCCATGGTAAATGTATAGAGGGAAAGAGAAGGAACCACTTCACTGCCGGCATTACGAACAAATTTTTTATTGGGTCTAAGCCACTTTTGCCTGCGAAATTTGAAATGTTTGCGGGGTTGGAAACACGAGGCTGCTGCTCAGAACCCTTTTGACTTTACCAAAAACTTTGTAAAAGACGTGCCAAATTTTAGCAGTACACTGCAGACGACAATGGTTTATATTTGCACTGCAGCACCATTTTCAGAATAGTTGTAAGAGCATAAAGACGATTTATATGTCTCGTACTATTGAGAGAGAGAAAAAAAACCTTCGCCCCCTAACATAATGCTCTATTTGAGCATTCTCAAAGAAAAATTGCAAGCATGCATTGTGTTGAACCTGTATGTACAAACTCTACTAAAAGCAGGATATATATGTATGTGTCACTGGAACGTAACAATTGCTTTCAGTCCTGCAATATAAATACGGTACTCTAAACGTTACAACAGAGCATCACGGCTTGCACGCGGTGACGAATGCAGTCAAATGTTAAGCCAGCTCTGATACTTCTGAGAACAATCTTTTTGACAGATACAAAAAGCTAGCACGTAGTCATTCTTATGAACTATATACGCTTCATCTAATAATTATCTTTAAGAAAAAATTATATTTCTTACAAACATAGCACCGATTATATTCCCAATACGGACAAAAAACAATATATGAATTAACTCACCGTCTTCTTCTGCTATGCTGTGAATTAGCCATTTTCGGTTACGAAGAGCACAGTGACCTCCAAGAATATTATATCTGATATTGTTAGGCTGCAAATTTCCATTTTTTGTTAACCCAATATAATGTATGGCACTCTCTTGCTGGTTTATTAGTGCCATTTCTTTATCATTCACTGTTTATAACTATAATTATGAGGAGAAGGATAGCAGAGTTCTGATCTTTCTGACGAGCGCTTGCAACGTTGTAACAGCGACAAATTTACAAGCAGCCGTGAGGTTATTAAGGACAGGAAAAGGCGAAGGCTGTAAGATGTAACCTTCAAAATAGCTCATATAAGCGAGTCTATTATAAGATGAACGGAAAAACAGAGGAAGCCATATCCTTTCATTTATTAGGTAATTGTGAATGGTGACAAAGTTAGGTGTTTTAAGTTTCCATAGCAATTCTCGATGCAATTCTAGCGTTAAGAGGTAAATTTTTGCTCTTCCTCCATTGAATTTTACTGTGAGCAAGCTGAGAACATTTCTTCTCTTAAGGTTCTCTACTTACTGTTTTTGCTTTCTAAAGCATTCGTAAATGTTATTTTGGGAGGCATAACGCTAATCAGCAAGTTTCTCATATTCAGCCATTATAAGACCTCGACCGCCTTATTGATCTTGTATGTTAGATGAATAAGTTATTTAGGAAATCATTATTGCAAAATATGTAAGTCAATCTTACAAGATTAAGGATGGATAGTCTTTGATTCCAAGCATTAAATTAAAACCTAACGCTTCTTTACTTCAGAGCTATATGATGATGGGTGTCAGTAACATATGCATAAGTTTATCTTGGTTTGAATGTTGTGAGCAGAGGCTGTCCACTGTTTTTAAAAATTGCTCATATATGCTCACTTTGTGACTTAGACGAGTTCGAACTTAAAGTACTAGTGCAAACGTTGGAGAGCCATTCTAACCATTCTCTAATGACTGTAGGTAAAGATACCTTTTATTAAGGAAGCTGAGATAACATCTTTGAGCTCAGGATATCAAATCACAACTTCCTATTCATTACGTCCGGCGGTAACTGTACTAGACGATTGAGTTCACTCTCAACATAAAGAGAAAGTAGAGAAGGACTAACCATATGTAGCCCGGCAACTACTGTAAGGAATCGAGGCACTATGTTTTGTTTGTTTACCAAGAATTTATCCGCCGAATAAAAGGATACAACTGCTGAATTCTATCATATCTATTTTTGGTGCTAAATTGAAGCAACATAAGCAAAGCTGGATTGCGTACGATTTTGAACTATCACCTTTAGGGAAGCGACCATCAACATCTGATATTAATCCAGTAGCTCGAAAATACTAGAGAAGGTTTTGTAGGGAGTATTCGATTTGAGAACGAATTCAATGAAAGACAAGCGGAAGAGTATAGACAGGTATGTTCAGGAATTATATAATCACGTAGAAAATTCTGTCAAATATAACTGGGAATTGTTCGAGGTTCCCGCTGTAAAATTAGAAGCAAAAAGAAAGGGATGGTTTATAGCACCTTCTAAATAACCGTGAGGTATGTTTCGTAGCTTTCACTACTTCGAGCGTTTAAGGAGTCCATGCTCATTTATTGATTTGCGCGTATTTGCTCAAAGGATTAGTATCTATGCTCATCTACTTTTACTTCAGATGATGTCATTAGTTACAGCACTGTTATTGAATTTATTTCTCTGATTGTTCTACAGCTATCTTACTGATCTGCTAAGTGGCCAGTCAAATATGTCAATTTAACGTTAATCAGCTATAGACATAAAGGCCTATTGAGCGTGCCTCTCTTTGTTTGTTAAGCACAAGTGTATCAGTGATAAACTTTAACTAAGGCCATAACTCCGTCCCGTTGCTTTTTCTCACGATCCTTCACTATATTAAATACGCATAACCAAAGAGGCGTAAAAACAATTAATTCCTTTCCTTTTTTCATTCCCAACCATCATGTCTTTGTTTACTATTCGGCACAGCACTCGCTGTCTTCCCACTATAAATGTTGGGCGTCTAACCGTTCGATCCATTGTTACCACGCAACAACAACATTCCTCTAATAAAGAAGCTTATTTAGAACATCTGCAGAATGGTATTACTTTACTGAAATTAAATCGACCTGCCTCAAGAAATGCATTATCCGTCAATTTAGTGTCTGAATTCAGACAAGCCTTGGCTGATATCCGTTTCTCTGGGTAAGATTCTATTATTCATGGATTGCTATTAATACAAAAAGCGCTAATACGTAGAGTATAAATTATGCAAATGCATACAAATTTAGCGATTCTCGCGTTTTAATAATACAGAGTGCTACACCTGGAGCCTTTTGTTCTGGAGCTGATCTTAAAGAACGTGCAGGAATGAGCCCGATACAAGTCACTCAGTTCTTGTACAATTTGCGGAAGGCATACAGAGAATTAGAGGTAAAAAATGTACATTGCTGTTTATTCACGTTGAGCCTTTGATTCAAATTCTTCCGTATCTGTATTAACTTAGACTTTACCTATTCCGACAATTGCTGCTATTGATGGGCCTGCATTCGGCGGAGGGTTAGAAATGGCTCTATGTTGTGATATTCGTGTGGCAGGTAACATAACTACTGTAAAAGCGAAAGAGTTATTTTCTTTCGATTGATAAAATCCAATATTTGTAGGCCCCTCCGCCAAAATGGGATTGACCGAAACCAAGCTAGCTATTATTCCAGGGTAAAAGCAAAGGGAAAAAATAATCTATACATACATTATACATCATATATATAATTTGTTTCTATTGGGTACAGGGCTGGTGGTACTCAACGATTACCACGACTTATCGGTATTCCGCGTGCTAAAGAGCTGGTTTACACAGGGGAAATTTTGGACCCTAAAAAAGCAAAGGAATACGGTGTTGTAGGTCATCTTGATGAAAGTAGTGCGCTTAATAAAGCTATGCAAATAGCTGAATCGATTCTTCCCAATGGACCTGTTGCTATTCGAATGGCCAAGCTTGCTATCGATCGAGGATCACACTTGGATATGTAAGTGTAGTTTAAAAGCTGGGCCTCTGCAGACAAAAATATTCATCTGTACCTCTTCTTGATAGGGATTCTGGATTGGAAATTGAACAATCCTACTATGCCCAAATAATCCCAACTGAAGACAGATTAGAGGGGCTGAGGGCATTCAAGGAAAAGAGAAAGCCTGTCTATAAAGGTTGCTAACAAAGTATATCTATGCCTTTTCAACGTCCTTACGTAATGAAAATAATGTCCAGAATTAAAGCTACACTAAAGCCATAATCTTTCATACAGTTGCAAGTAACGCTTACATTGTCACTTTGTGCCTATTATATATCCGTTTTAAACCATCTTGATATCATTGTTTAAAGTCTAGATCTTCAATGTAGCTTTATTTGTATAAAGACATTTATTTATTTTTTTTCTTTTTTTTTTTAAAAAAAAAGGTATTGTACACTTTTGTGATTTTGATTGGCATGATTAAACTTTGTATATTTTATGCCAAGCTCGAATGAGAAAATGGTAATGAGTGCTGTAAGTTCTGTTAGAAATGCTTCATTCTATTTTTTTGATCCAAATAGCGATAACCGATGAAAAGAACACCAACAATACCACCTGCTAATATCATTTTAAGGAAAACGGAGAAAACACTGACAGGCTTGGAAGGCTTCTTGACTTTAGGGGGTGGAGGTGCTGCTTCCTTGATTGCAGGGCGAATAGATCGAGTAGTAACAGAAATAATATCATGTTTGTCAGTTACTTCACCAGTATGGGCGCTGAAACCGAGATAGATTTGACGCGGCAAGTTCACATCATGCTTCTTGAAACAAACTTCCCATTCATCTTCTTGACGCCATTGTAATTCTAATTGAAGGAAGTTGCCCTTGTGGTAAGTTAATTTGGCCTTGGTAGGAAAACTCTTCATTCTGAAGTCAGCCTGATATATGTAATTGTATACATTTCATTAGTATCACCTATTTATTTAATGTCCCTTCTTCATCTAGCAGCCTATTCCCTCATTGTATAATACCTCACAACCAGCGAGTTCTGTCTCTCTACCGTCCAGATCATTATTGTATGAAGTATGTCCATCCCCGAGCATAGCCATTACATAAGGGAAAGTGTGACGCTGGAGTCAAAGAAAGTCAATGATAACTAATCTCACACAAAGTAAACAATCGCAGTGTCTTTTGTTAACTTACATGTGCTCTCTCATTATCGTAAGTATCAAAGAAGACACCAAGACCTTCAAAGTTATCTACTGAGCCAAAGACTGGTCCTTCTGTCATCCTTTGTTTTGTGAGCCACACTATCGATATCACAGACATTTAGTAAACAGTTCGCTCCCGTTACTAATAAATATTGACTGATTGCATTGATACATACTAGCGAAACCATCACCGTAGAGATGCCCGGAGCTGCCGCTTACCTTGAATTCGAATTCAACTTCAAAATTCTCACCCATCAACGGCTACAGTTGTAATTTGCAATTGTACAATTTTGAAGAGTGTTAGGTGAGAAGTTTCTTTCGCTCGAAATCGATAATCCATATTTCATCTCGATTTTACCAGACGTGACCACAAGTAGCCGAGTTCTGATTGCCTCATTTGAGTAAGACGAATATGTTGGTTGGTATTAATAATAGCATCTCCACCAAAATCAAACCATCTGTTTTGAAGGTCGTCATCTAAAATTTGGTTTGTTGCATATTAAATACTGTAAAGTAAGGGCGTTGTGCTCAAAACTGACTGCCTTACCAATATAGGGCATATGAATGCTATGCGTCCTCATATTCGACACTTGAGCAAGCACAGACGTACATGCTACAAGGATGGTGGAAAGCACTACCAGAAGAGAGCGCATTGTTTATATTCGAATACACTTAACTGATAAAAATAAAAAGAGAAAAAGGTTCAGCTTGCAACGAAATAGGGCGCGTTCTTATACAATGGCCGTTACGAAGAGAGAAACTGAATCCTTGAAATTGACCAGTCGTCCGAAAAATAAAAGTCAGACAAAATCTTCTGTGTTTTGTATCTCAATCTCCCGTAGAAAATCGTTGGAACTTGCCTTCTTTTTTAGTAAGAAAACTCGTTGTACTGTTGCAAATTCATCAGTATTGTATTTAGCAGGTTAGTGGCTGAGTAAGTAGGAATTTTGTCCCAAGCTGGCTGTGGCATAAGGTAGGGAATTCAGTTTATTGGTTCTGTTTGTATTGGAGAAATGGCAACTGTTGTATGATCGTAAAATATACTGTTATATTGATTTACACGTAATTTGGAGGCTCTGAATAAAATGTTCTAAATTATTTATTGAGGCATTTATCCCGTTTCTGTCAGTTCCTTCCTAGCTGTAATACACAGAAAATATTGTCGTTTGATCTATAATAAAGACGTGTCTTTTTGATGCAATTATTGAGTACTCACTGAGCATCAGCAAGTGGAAGCAAAGAAACCTCTTTAGATCAATTGACTATTTTCTATTGTAACACTTGTATAAACTACTCATACAAAAATTAACAGAATTATCTTCTGTCAAGAATCTGGATCTTTGATCCGTTCTTTAGGAAATGTAATATCCTCTTCTCTTATCGTTTCTTCGTCAATTCGGAAGTGCAGAGAGTAAGAAATACTATTTATTTGCTATTCAGATCCATTAAGCGACCTACAAGTTCTTTTTGAAGTTTTGCTTGTTGTCTACTTTCTTCCAAAGAACTTAAGCTTCGTAAATCGTTGACAATATCCTTTGTTTTACCAAAGTACACTTCCTGTAAAGAGTTACGCATCTTCATTTCCATATCCTCCACCATACGGCCAATGTTGGCTATATGGGCAGAGGGATCGTCCACTGGAGCATCTTGTTCTATTTGTCTGGTCATACTACCACTCAAATTCATTTGTCCCAAGTCCTGGTTGCTGGTGATCATATACAGCATAATAGTGGATGTCAACTTGTAATGTGCATTACGTCCACGTTCCTGAACTTCAAACACATGTATAGAATCCCAAGCTCCCTTCATACGTCTGGCCCCATCACCAACTTATGACAAGAAGACAATATCAGTGATAGGTATAATAAGATGTGAAATAGTACATAATTCTTTTACCTTTCTTCAACAAAACAACAACGGCGAACTTATCATCAATTTCAAATGCATAAACTGAAGAAATGCCGCCTTCATAATACATCTCACGATATGTGTCGAAAGCTTCATTAGCTGCTATCTCTAATTTTCTAAGACGGGGTGAAGGCACTGATCCATCTGATAACTCAGGCTCGTATTCATTACTCCACGGTGATCTATTTCATTTCATTTTTTAAATTAAACACGTATTCACATTGGAAGACATCTATTTTTGCAGGAACTTTTTTCTTTTTCTTTTTTTTTTTTTTTTTAATCTATACCTGTATGAGTCACCATCTCTGTTATAATCGCATATAAGGTAGTCTTTTCCTGTCTTCGCACAACGTTTCACCTTTAAAGGTTGGTCAACGGCTGATAATAATTCATCGGCCAAGTCGGGATGAACCAAGTCCAGTAGCTTGGATAAGTTTTCTTCGACATTTTGTGGAGGTAAACGACGCATCAGGTCCAAAGCGCAATCATACTCGTCGTTCTAACCTCAGCAAACAATATATCAGAAATCATTCAATATTTTAGTTTCTTTGAGATTGCTTTACCATCTTTTATATATGTATGTATTGATAACTTTGTCCAGAAAGAGAAAATGAGTCAAAAAATTACGGGAGACGATAATGAATCGGGCAATACAAGAAGGCCTGTTGAGTTCCAAAAATGATTGCTGTTGCTGCTTGTATGCTTATAGTTGTTATGCATTCACTCACACTACCTCTACTGACTATAATAAGGCTATTTTTTTTTTTGAGAATAAATTCGAAGAGTATCATAGAAACCACTGTTGAGAATAGCAGGTAATATCGTTCGCAGACTGATAGTTTTGAATTATTCTACATTAATATTGTTCGGTTGACTCATAAAATATAATAATCGCATTGTCCGTATCAACGAAAGCCGCGTAACATCTGCCAAAGATTTAAGTATGAATCTTATTCTATTAGTCCTTGTTAATTGCTTACGAAGTATTGTCAAAGTATTGACTCATATTCTCGTATTACTGTAAGTATCCGAACCCGACAATGATTTCAGGAACTGATTTTCTTTTTCCCTGAGGGGAAACCCAGCAGCGAGGCAACTATAAATTCCGGGGAGAGCTCATTGTAAATTTCGCTTTCACTCCTTTTTGCATAAAAAACAAGTAAAATGAGCAGTATTATCAGATCTCGTGGTTTATATTCATCAAAACGCTTGGTTAATGTGGCCGGAAGACAGGCTATTAGGGTATTAGTTGACTATATTGTTGCAGACTGAAGCAAAAACACGTAAAAACTGATCGCTTTTTCTAATTCCATCTCTATTGACTTTTACATTCTCAAAAAGACACTACCAGTTGTGAAAAAAAGTTTAGCTTTTTATAGCGGTTACGGATATAATGATGACGATAATTATAATGGAGCAAGAGCTGGAGGTTGGGGTAGCTCTATGGAACGACAGTCTTTACCTCGAAATACTGTAAGGAGCAAGCAAATAAAGTGGAAAGTGAAAGTTATACGCACAAAAAGTTACTCATGAACATGACTGATTTGGAGATTAGATCGTCAAATTTGTTCCTCAACAAGAAGCTTGGATTGTTGAGCGTATGGGAAAGTTCCATCGAATCCTAGATCCTGGGTTGAACATTTTAGCACCGTTCATTGATAGAGTCAAGTATGTTAAAAGCCTGAAAGAAACAGCAATTGAGGTGCCTAGTCAAAGCGCTATCACCCAAGGTAAGTAAAAGTGGTATATAAATTGACATTCCTATGAGAGAAGATGATAATTATTTACAATAGATAACGTAACACTTGAGTTGGATGGTGTATTATATTTCAGATGTGTTGATCCGTTTAAGGTAAGACTACCTCTGTAGAGATTAACAATGCTGTATGTTCATCGATCTATGTCATTACATAGGCTTCTTACGGTGTTGAAGATGCAGAATTTGCTATTACTCAACTTGCGCAGACGACAATGAGAGCTGAGATTGGTCAAATGACTCTTGATCGTACTTTAGCAGAGCGTGCCTATCTAAATATGAATATTGTGGATGCTATCAATTCAGCTGCGGAAGATTGGGGAATTCGTTGCTTGCGTTATGAGATTCGTAAAGTAGTAAAGCAAAAATGAGTAATGAGTCACTTCTAACATACATGTGCGTCTGACACAATACGATAAAATTACTTTGGTATAGGTGACATACATCCACCATCTAAAGTAGTAGAATCAATGCATCAGCAAGTTTCAGCTGAAAGGACAAAGAGAGCTCAAATCTTAGAGTCAGAAGGTGCTCGACAAGCAGCTATTAATGTTGCGGAAGGCCGTAAACAGTCAACAATTCTAGCCTCTGAAGCTCAAAAAGCTGAAAGGATCAATATGGCAGCAGGTGAGGCGGAAGCCATTCTTTTGAAAGCTAAAGCCTCTGCGGAAGGTATTGAACGTGTGGCTAGGGCCATTGCTGTCAATCAGGGCAATGAAGCAGTATCCATGACTGTAGCCGAAAAATATGTTGATGCTTTTGGTAAAATGGCGAAAGAGGGCACTACTATCATAGTGCCCGCTGCAGCAAACGACGCCGCGTCGATGGTGACACAGGTAACATCATCAAGATATTTGATATTTTTGCAACTCAACATATCCTTATAACGTATAACTAAACATTTCTCTATCCTTTCGATTATACTATAGGCTTTAGCGATCTTCAAGACTATCAATAAAAAGAGGCCTGCTACTGGTACAATAGAGGAATTACCGCAAGAAGATCTGTTTTCAACAAAAACAGCAACAAAGCAGAAGGTAAAAGACGTGTCAAAGGCTATCGAGAAGTTGAAGGATGACAGCAACACCTCGAATATATAATACCTTTAGTTTCAAAAGCGTGCATTACTAAAGCGCACTGTTATATACTTCGTTATTGTCAGAAATTAAACAGTTGATTCGTCGTCGCTTGCTTCGCAAATCTTTTGCTGACGGTGCATACCGAATCTGTCAAACGTGGGGCAAAATCAGTTGTATTTTTTTCTATATTCGTTGATCTGAAATTGACATGTTTGAATCACAAGAAAAGGTTATATTATTTATCAATTAAATCCCTTATTCCTTCCAGAACGATTGATTGCTACCTTGCTTTCAAAGTGCTGGAAAAAGAAAATAGGCACACTAAGAAGGAAATATTCCGCTTGCAATGTTGCGTAACTAATGTCGCACAATGCTTAACAACGTTGAAGACTCGTTCGATGTTATTTTCCAAAATTAGAAGCAACTCCCTATTGACTTATCTGTGTCATAGAAACTGTTATAGAGACGATCTGTCTATACAAAATTAACCAGATCTTTGGTTTGAGCATATTTGGTCTTCTCCTTGAATCACAATTGGTCTATTTGGAAAAAAAAAAAAAAAAAAAGTCGTTGAACTATTGTTAAAAACCTGGCAACTTCTAAGGCGTAAAGTTGCCATAAGTCAAAAGTAGGATGTTAAGAATGTGAACTCACTGCTTCAATACTGTTGCAACGTTGAATTTACACCCACCACAATCATCTTCTTTAATAATAGAAATCAATGTACAATAATCGATGGTATGTAGGGTTTTCTACGTTTATAAGATGACTCCCTTCTTTCTTTAAAATACTCCGTTTCGGTTTGTGGTCTTACTAGTTTGAGTATTGCAATTTAGCTCTAAAAGGTTACTTTTTCTATTAGAAAAGTTATTTTTAATATTCCAGTATACGTTTGCATCGTTCAAACAGAGAACATTAACTGTTAATACAGGTAACACCTTGTCAAACAAGGAACAATATAGACGAAGAATTTATAAAGTATGTCTGGCTAATGAATTTTTATTTTACGGTTCACAAAACTGATTTTTTTAGGTCGCAACTGAATGTAGTTTCTGTGTCTTCATTATTACAACTTTTTTTCTGCAACATGCATACCCTCACGCAAAGCCTTCAAAATCACATCATACAATAAGATCTTTTTCAGTGCAATTCTTATAAAATTGCAGGTCTCTTCCCTTCTTTTTGATTCCACTTTTCCATTTCTTTCATTTTATTTGTTACAAGTTCCTTTCAAAGCACGTCGTTTGGCTTATTGCGATTTTGGCAGCTTTTTTTTGTTTGTGAGCTAGTTCATTACAGTCTTTCCTTAAATCAATTCTACTCCATTGATATAAATTGTACAATTCTCCCTTCCTTTTTTTTCTACTTTGATACCCTGTCAAAGTTTCATTCACACTTCTTGTCTTTCATATTTATACTTGCTCTACAAAAAATTTCCTTGTTCAACTTATCCTAATATTCAACATTTCTGTCGTTACAGAAAAATAAAAATAAAAAATGGACTACCAAAATCATTCAGTAGTATACCCTGGTAGGAAAAAAGCCCTTCAACAATAACAAGCTAAAGTTGAAGTTGTAATGACATATATTTTTAACAATCTTGCTAGGCTCTGTATTCCACGTATCTCATGCTTCCGTGGCGGCTCCGCAGGTTCCTACAACAATTACAGCTGGCTTTGATCATTCCCAACAGTCTCCACGATACCAGCAACAGCAACATTTTCTAACCGCTTGCTCCACGGCCTCCACAACGCATCATCCATTTCACCAGCAGCAGCAATTTTTACAGCATCAGCCTTCATATTCTACCACTACTGCCATATATCCTTCACCCCCAATCCATCATACCGCCACTAATAGCAGTGACAGTATCATGATGCATGGGTCGCAACACGCCCCACCTCCTCTTTTAATGGCTTCATCATCCTCTACTACAACTGCTTCTAGTATTTCTTCTTCCTCTGCAGAATTTTTGAACGAAGCTTTTGCAAAGGCAACCTCGATTCCTGAATCGTTCTACCCCGAATTTTTGCAATATTCTAAAGAGTCCTATGAACAATCCAAAGGTATGAATAATAACCTTGGTACTCGTAAAAAGAGAGGTTTAACGGATAAAGAGCAATCAGAAAACATTCAAGAGAAGCCTAAGCAGCAGAGAAAGGCATTACACGAAAACAGTAACAGCAACGGTAGTGCTTCTGATGACATTGAATCTGAAGACAACGAAGATAATAATAGCACACAGTAAGTTATTACAACTTTACCGCATACCTTGAGTGATCTGGAAAGAAAAGGAGTTATTCAGCTCATCAACATAATATTTCTTTACAATAGTGGTAGTAAGCCATTGACATCCAGTGAAATTCGTAGACAAATACATATACAATCTGAACAAAAGAGAAGAGCTCAAATTAAAGATGGCTTCGAAGAGTTAAGAAATGAATTACCTGCTTGTTTGAATAAAAAGATGAGTAAGGTCGCTTTATTACATAAAAGTAAGTGTATATAGCAATATTAATACGACTTTAACATTAGTATTCTGTGCTGACATTTTATTAATTCTTTCTATAACAGCCGTTCAGCATATTCAGCACTTGAAAAATACTCAAATGTCTATTTTGTCCGAGCTTGAAAGACTAGTTCATGAAAATGAACAGCTGAGAAAGTAAGTAAAAGATTATACCGGTTGACTTGTCTTCTGGATGTTGTAACATGATTAGTAACATTCATATTATGTTAGGTTCCAAGAAAGCGTTCTTCAAAGAGAAGCGTTAGAGAACCTTTACACTATGTCCAGCAATAATAGTATGTGAAGCAGAAGCAAAATTGTGCCTTAATCTGCCCATGGTGACTTTTTTTTTTTTATCAAAGTTCATACATTACATATAATAACACACCCGTTCACTTCCTTCCAAACTTAGTTTAATACCACCTGCTCATACCTTGTATTTACTTTTTATTGATAATAATATACTCCCCAAAAGAAACGTTAACAATCATTAATCGTTATAGTACATTATATGTGAATCTGTTGTCTATGATTTACTATTTAAATTATCCATATTGTTGTCCCTTCTGTTATTCATGGAGTGGGTATAATTGTTAGTGGTATTATCGTCAAAATGAAATGTTGCGGTTTCATTGGCATTGGGAGAAGCAGCGGAAATAGTGACCGCAATGTTAGGATATGGAGAGATTGATTGATTTGGAGAGTTACTATCCTGCTGGCTGTGTATATCGGGTAAATTAGGCGTTGTATTAATCGTTAGTTCAGTAGCTGAAGCTGTTCGTGAGCTGGCAGCTGACAAAGAAGCTTCAGTAAGTTTATCTTCTTTTTCAGTGGTTATAGCCTGAGACTGTCGCATTGAAGCTGACGTTGCTGTTCTGGAATCAGGCTCGACAATTGCGCCACAATTTTCAAAAACCCAGGCTTCAACACTATCTGGATCCAAACCCTGTTTGAAATGAGCCCGTGTTGTTTCCCAAAATTCAGTCAACCATTGTTTGTCACTACAGTGCTTCTGAAACTCTGTACGGAGGGTATCAGGATGACTGAACTGTGATGAGGGTTGGCGACGATTGGCAATAAGAGCAGGTGTATGGTTCGTGTAAAGACGGTTATTTACCCAGAAGAAACCCTCCCGATTAGGTCGTATTTGGACGAAGGATACTCCTGATCTATGTATATATTGATCATAATTATAAGTGTCTTTGATGTAGGAGTATTCAAGGTCAACCCCCTCTGCTCTGGCTACTTCAAAATTACTATCAGCCTCCACGTCTAAAACATAATCTAAATGACGAACTAATGCAATTTCGTAAAACTGAGCAGGAACATTGATTTTTGACATAGCAGTGAGTTCTTCAATAGGAGGCGGAGGAACAGCTAAAGAAATAGGCACAGGACATTGGAAAGGGTTATTGTTCTCCAAATCTTCGTATGCTTGCTCTACTGAACCTTCAACAAGTTTTAAGCCACATCTGTCCGCTTGTCTACTCCAATTTTGTAAAAGCTCTTGAACAAGTTGAGCAGTACAACCGAGCCAGTTTAATTGAAAATGGTAGCAGTTATTCGGGTTGTGGATGGTATCATAATGTAAAATAGCAGTTTCTCTTCTGGCGCTCTTCTTATAAGGATCAACATCAATGATCATGGACTGCGACATATTGTATTCAACCCGTTTGAGTGATATGCTCGACTGTGTACTGGGTATTTGACGAAGTGCGTTACTGTCATTATCTTTTTCTTTAATTGGAGTTGAGACAGCTGAACCTGCCGCTGAATCATTATTGCCAGTTTGCTTACGGTTGGCCTTAGATGACTTTTTCCTATCGATCACATAGTCTTCATGAAGAGTATAATAATAATTTCCATCAAGAAAATTATGTCTTTTTGTTGCTGAATAGAATAAGGGCGGTTTGCGTTGCATAAGTGTATTACCACATTGTACTGCTTGCTCTCTCGTTGTTACTTCTTCAAAATGACTAATTAACCAATCAACAAATTCTGTGCCCGTGAATACGTCATTGAATAGTCTGAAATGCCATCGACGATCCGTGATCCGTAAGCCTATCTTACTGTCTTGCATTGCCAAAGCGATATCCTTAGATTTGGATTCCTTACTTAGACTTTGGCCACTAATAATCGATGATAATAAATTACTATGAGATTTTGACTCTGTCATGACTGGTTGTAGAGCAGCTCTTAGCGTATCACTAGCAACATAAGCAGAAGGATCCATCGTTGTCAATCTAATGCCTAAATCAGAAAACCCAATCTCCTTTTTATGCTTTTTCTGTAGTTCTTCCCTTTCCTCAGGATTTAGCCATTTAGCACGGCGTATATTTTGAATCCATAATTCGAACAGAGCGATTCTTTTTTCCTCTTCATTAAGATTCTCATGAAGTGCAGCGGCATAAGTGATATTGGTAGGCAACGTTTTTCGAGGAATGACAATAAAGCGAGCGCGCCAAAATCTGAGGTTATCTGTTAGTTCTTCCTGATAACCAGCCACTAAATGATCCAAATAATTCCAAGCGTACATCAGGCTTGGATAGTTGAATTTGACGTTCCTTGGTTTGTAGGCTGGCATATTTTTTGGCCAAACGGCACATTTGTATTTTATTTTACTATCGTCAAACTGAATCATTCGAACGTATCGACGAACCTCCACGTTTTGCCCCGAAGAATCAAAAGTCAATTGATGCACTTGATGACCCATAGACAGCCACCAAACCTGATGTTTCCAATTTGTCTTCTCGACGTTTTCTTGCAAAGCTTTACCAATGACCGGTGTGGCATTGTTATTGGCAGGAGTAGATTTAGTGTTACCACCTATCGCCATAGTAGTTGCTAATGTAGTAGTTGGATGATTGCTTGTAGAACTTGCTCCAGTGGCTCGTAGGGAGGATGTTGTAACTTGATTCAAGTCTTTTCCGGTAACTGCATGCAAAGTTCCATGTCCGTCTTTATTTTTTAAATGAGACAGCCCTCCACCGAGCGCCGAAACAACACCTTCTGCTTTGGCCGGCACTGCCTTTGTATAGTTTGAACTACCTGTACTATCTACGATGATTTGAAATCCTTGCGCTAGACGCTGACTTAGCATTTCAATCAGTAAGTTTTCAGTTTTTTTATGCTCGGACAAGTTTCGGTCGCCTGCTTGATAAAGGTTTGTATCTTCACTCGCTGAAACAGTATACATATAATGATTATAATGTTGCGCAAGCTCTTCATTTGAAGGGAAATAGTCAGTTGTTAATGGTAAACAGGCAGGTGTAACCAAGGACCTCCAATGAACAACGGGCCCATCACTGGGTTCAACCTTCGGAAGAGCGTGTTGCCAACGACGTAAATGTGAAGTAAACAGATTTTGATTTTCAGAGGGATTACAAGGGTTGATAAGTATATGCTTGAACGGATCATGTCGATTAAGTGCATAAGATGGTGAAGACTTGGTAATATTTAAAGCATTATTCGCTCCAAAACTAGTTCTTGTTATATCACTACCTTCTGATTGTTTATGCACAGACGTCAAACTACTGGAAGTGAGACCCTGACGAGGAGAATGACTGATGCCCTTACGGCTCATGTCTGAACGACCGCTGAATCCTTTGTTATTGATTGGAACCGGTTCAACCGTACTAGAACTGATAACGGTGAACTCATCTTCTTCATTATTAGGCTGAGCTGCAACCTGTAAATGTTTTTGCTGTTGCGGCTGTTGCGACTGTTGCGGCTGTTGTAGCTGTTGTGGCTGCTGCTTCTGCTGTTGTTGTTGCTGCTGCTGTCGTGATTGCTGCTGTATTGATTGTTGTTGACCCGATTCAGTTGCTGAAGTATATTTGATTTCCGTACTTTGCACGGTTCCCCTTCTCGTCGGTCGTATTCTGGGAGCAGTTTCATCTTTCACATTAGGTGAAACGCGAAAAGGATCTATGTTAGGTCTATCTTCCTTTCTAGGTGGTAAAAACTGCGAATCATGAAAGCTTCTTCCATTTACTTGTTGCGTGTAAGATAAAATAGATGGAATCTTTCTTTGATCGATTGCATGGTGCCATGTCTACAATAAAATTAGTCGTAGACATTAAGCAAATTGATAGAAAACATTCATTTGTGTGGAAAAAAAATAAAATAATCATCCTACCGTATTTACTTTGAAGCGCGCACTCGCACTCTGCGATCCATCTATTCCAAGGTCATTTCGTTCTTGACCATCGAACGAACTTCTAGTGGAATGATAGGCCTTGTTGATTTTACCAGGTGCTGATGCGGATGTTGGGCCTGCCATTTTTTTGGTAAATCGAGGTTCTGTTGAAGTTTTAAATATAGCATCATCATAATTCTCTAACGATGGTGTTGTTTGTTTTTCGAATGCACTGCTATTTTTTTCCGGACGCAAAGGGGTCATTTCTGTTGTTGTGAGAAATGATGGGCGTCTAATATTGCTTGGCATAGTTGCAGATTTTGATAGGTAGGCTTCGCCATTGTTGAAGTAAGGGCTATGCTTACCGTCTTCAGCTGCTCTCAGCTTATCATAAAGGCTACTGCTACTTCGCTGTTGGCGTAACAACTGCGCTTCATCATTAGTGTTACCGTGCTCACCAGAATTCTTTAGATACGGTAATGAGATACCCTGTAAATCATGTTCCATGATACCCATCATCTGAAGTTCATACATCTTGCATCTCGTTTTGAATTTGTCTTGTTTTTGAAATCTTCCTGTTTCATGGTGGTAGAAGCTACAATCAATCCAATGTGGAACAGAATAGAAAACTTGCGTAGGAGCATCTGTAGAATCTCTGTACAAAGGATCAACAAAACCATTCTTCTGAATAGGAATAGGGTACATGGCCGATTTTTCAGGGGAGTTTCCCACAAGGAACGAAGGCCTACCAACGCCCGTACGCGGTGCCAAATTATCCGCTAATGGGGCTGTGTTGTCAACATCTCCGGTGAATGGGGCATCCATATAGCACATCAATGGTGTAACGTGTAAAGGCACAGGAGATAAACAAACAAGATCCATAGCGATCCCGTTGTCTGTCATGCGCTCGTTCGTCAGACGTAGAAGCTTCTTGTTAACCCAAAATTTCCCCACACCTGGTGTAATCAAGATAATTGAGAGGCCAGTTCGCATTAAATCGCGATCAACATAGTGCTTATCAAACGGGTTCAATGCAAGGTTGACAGCTTCCAGTACATTGCCTTCATATACCATTGAAATCTGTCCACATATCAGTTTTCGACCATTTTCTGTGCGCATTAATATATCGGACTGGAAAGTGAGTTGTTCCTTTTTCAACAAACTTATAATTGATGTCCAATCATCGGTTGTTTCCCAATCTGCTATCACCTTATAAAAGTCCTTGTAAAATCGTCCATCTGATGCTTGGATTATCAGAGTGTCATCAATTTTCGTTTCATAGAACACACGCGTGAAAAGAATAACAGATACAACATGGTTGGTTCCTTCTTCTTTCCATTTGCTGAATAGATGAGGTAAGAAGTTGCTGACAGCCTTTTCGAAATACAATTCTCCATCCTCGTCAAACTCCCACATTTCTCTGGACATTTGAATAAATAGGAAGTATTTTGCTGAAGCTGATCTGAAAATGACTCGTGTTGTCTCCGTAATGTATCCGGAAGTTACTCGACTATCTTGAGAGAACAAACGTTTCACAGTTGCCTTTATCGACCCTGCAAAAAGAATCTTCTTTTCTAAATAAACACACGTTCCTTTCAAGTTCTGTTGAAGCCTCCACATATCGCTTCTACCTAAATACTGTTCCTTAAATCCCAGCTCCACATAATCCAAAGCTACCTGTAGAGGGTTAATCTATAGTGAAATTATCTGGACAGGTTAGACATGATTAATTTAGAAAAATCGCATAGATACCATTGTATGAATAGTTACCAACTCAACATAAACTTCCTGTCTCGATCTTAGATTGAATCTGTCTGCAATATCTTTCGAAATTGACAGCTAGTAGATTTTGTTGCTTATTAGATGAGTCTCTCCATTTGTTGCATAAACTAAACCCTTGAAGACAAACCTGTAACTGTTGTTGTTTAGCCAGATTTTCGCGATCTACTGCATGACCTTTTACTATAACGGAATCGAAATGGCTAGAAGAACCTTCATGCTGTCTATCCAAGTAAGTAATACGTTGTCCCAATAACCCATCATTTAGTTGGTATCGTTGTTGTGGTTGACTTTGTTGCGGCGGAGGATCTTGATGTTTCTTTTGATCTTGTTGGTCTAATCGAGCATTTGAGCTTGATTGCGAAGTTTGAGCTTGCTGATTTGTCCTTGCACAGTGGATGCGCAAAAGCTGTCCTTCGCGAAATGCAGGAAATAAGTCGGGATTGACTACCGCATCGTGACTATAAGCAGAACTCGGGTCATGTATCCATAAGATGATCGGTTTTCGAGACAGTAAAATTCCTTTCGGTGCGGAGGAATGAATAGATGTTGGCATACAAAACTAATATATAGATTTCTTTTTCCTGCCTATACGTGCAAGCTGGTGATTTTTTTCAAAGTGCCTTTTCCAGAGAAATAATAATATAGTTATCGCTGACAGCGAGTAATAACAGCCTGCTCTGCTTTCGTTGAGAATAAAGAGACGTCGGCATAAATTTCCCAAAAAAAAAAAAAAGTAGGTACAGTAGTCTAAAGGGCGGTTTAATTTTGGTATTTTGAGATATAGCAGCTAACAAACTATTTAGTTTTTACATGGTATAATAGCTTCTAAATATCATTCAAGCCTTCGATATGAGAAATGCTTACAGGAAGATAGGCTTTTAACATCCTTTATAATAACTGTTCAGAAACAGCACACTTAATACTAGTTTAGGACGGGGAATTAGGTTTTTAGCATACTCACCCGATCAAGCCATGCATACATTTACAAGTCTACCCGCTCCAAGTAGATGCATAGACTCCACCACAAGGGAGAATTTTATTCTTTCACCAGCGCCTTTATACCACCTTCCCAATATCGCCCCGATACCAATTAACCGAGCAAATTAATACTACGCCATACTTCTGTTAGAAATATTATCGTCAACACTTTGAATGGGTAAGGGCTAGCCACTTACTCTTTTAACGATACATACAACTAAACATTGTGATGAATTACATAGATTCTGTAGCCTGTCGCTGATATGTCGAGCGATCTACTGAATGGCCTAGTGGGCAATGCTCAAATGTATTATTTCCCCCCTCCGAAGCCATTTTTTCTTGCCTCCTGTTCTAGTCGAGGCCCAAATACAATTGAATTCAAGTTTATACAGAGAATCTTCAAATAATAGCCTTGCAGTTATAAAAGAACATGACATCTCACCAATCATTGTTATCTACGGTATATTCCACAGACTCAAGCGTAACCAATGATTTAGTAGAAAGTGATCAGACACTATACGCGAAAGATATCTTTGCAAACCGTGGGTCGAAACTTTTTTTACATTCTTCATTCTTGTAACTATCAATAGTCTGTTCGTAAACAACCACTTGAACCATTAGTTGCAATAGGACACTTTTTTTCACGGGCAAAAAAAGAACTCTGGTTGGCTTGCACAGCAAGGTACGTGCTGCTGAGACAATCAACTGCCTTATATGATTGTAAAAACAGATATTTGAAATTGGAGGAAGAAATAGAAGTAACTGACAACTTGAGATCCAAGAAAAGAGGCCCCACTTAAAATAAAAATGAATTTTTTTAAAAAAAAAAAAGCTGACCATCTAAGATAAATGTAACAAGTGTAGTAAGCAGTTCCTTCTACAAGGTTTCCATCGCTTTATTACGCTAGAAAGAATTAACTATAGCTGCTGGAGCTTAACTTTTAGAGACTATCTCCTGTCAATACGTAGGAACTTCTAAGATAGCTCGAATTATAGCAACTGTCACGGACATTCTATGCACAACATCAGAATAAGGGAGACTTTCCAATTCATTTTGTAGTTCATGCAAATGTGAAAACGTGTGCCGAATACTTTCACGATATTTACTTGAAGCTGTGTTTAAGTATTTAAATGTTTTTCGTCAGAACCATGAATCGACGACATAAATGAATTGAAAACCAAATACTTACCCAATAGCAGATTTCTGACGCTTGTTATGCTTTTCTCCACAGCTGTAAGCATAGTATCATTTATGCAAATAAACGAAATTGACTCGTTTATCGTCCCTGGTAAGCAGGAATGCAAATTGGAGACTTGAGTAAGTTTGCAGAAGAAATAAATTAAAACAAACTAAATCATCCTACGTATAATGGTACGCATTGTTTGGAATTCTCCCTGAGTTAGTTCGCTGTATAACTTAAGGGAGGGGAGAGAGAAATTAGGGCCAGTACTTCAGCTTGTTTTCATAAAAAAGGTTGAGCTCACTTGTATGATAACGTCCTGCAATATATCCACACTATTCGCTTCTACGATGCAAGAACTACAATATACCATACCCATCTCCTGATATGCATCATACCTTGATCTTTTGGATGAATCACTGAGTGTATTATATGCCGTTGAAAGTACTTTTTCGATAAAATAAGAGAGTAACCATTGAATACAGTCAGTTATCTCGCTCTTGAAAGATACGTAAGTGAAGAGGCTCACCTTGAAAGCATTCTGTAGCCTTCGGATAAGGAGGTATGAACTTATCTGGATGACAGACTCTGCTTTTCTATATTGCACAAATTCCACAAAGTTAAGCACTCTACTGACCCTCTGTAAGAGCTCTAAAAAAAAAATGGGCTGTCTATTACTTCAATATAGGCTTTGCGTATTTCTTCAGACGATGAATCAACATGTAATCCTAATACTTCATAATAATTGGTTGCTGTAAGAATAGAATTGATGAGGACATATCTATCTTTTTCTTCATGCTGATATCGCTTCACACCAGTTAAATACATGAGCCAATTTGATTGTGCTGAAGCCGTGAAGGAAAGTAGAGAGATTATTCCCTAGTGTTGTTATGATGTAACTTTGTTTGATTTATTCTATGTTTGAAAAAGAACTGGCTGCTGGATAAACAAGTGATCCAGTGATGCAGGCAATGTCAATTTAGTGATCTCGTGTTACGTACAAGTTTGTGGCTTAGATACATGATTGTCCACCGTCATTGTGAAAGTCTGTTGTAAGGTTTCTTCCCCTAATAAAACAGACTTAACAATGGGACGAAGTGCCAAGTTTTATAAAAGGCCAACAAAGAAAGAGAAAGAAGGCTTAGCGTTGAAACAGTTAGTGGAGCCATCTGCCATCAAGAAAAAAGCTACAAAAGAAAGCAAAACTAGTTCCATTGCGAAAGCTCTCATCGATGAAGCCATGAAGAAGAAAGAAACCTCAGTTGCTAATGGCGATGTGGACATGACAGCCAACGAAAGCAAATTGAGCGCAAAAAAGGAAAAGAAGCAGAAAAGTGAACCTGAACTACCCGACTACGTTGATCTTTTCTCGGGAAAAAAGACATACAAGAAACTTCCTGCGAAAAGAAAATAGTGTATACCATATCGATTCTCTCTTTATTTGAAATTGCTGTACATACGCAAAGACGTTCTGCTCTTTTAAGGACATTTTGGAATACCCAACCGCATTTTCATCAGTTGCCTACTAATGTATATTGACAAAGTGAGGCTAAACGGTGTGGACAAGGAAATAAATAATAGAAAAGGACATTGACATTACGAACAGAAAGTGAAAATCAGCCTTTTTTTTTTTTAAATGTCATAATGTTGTTGATGTCGATAAAGATTTTTATAACTCAATTTATTGAACAAATAAAATTTTCAAACTGTTCCATTAAAGGAATTGGTACTAAAGAAGGTTAATAGATGATAAATTGCTGAATGGAATTTACATGTAGTACATGACTTTTTGAAGTTCGGGCTTAACGGTAGCGAAAGATGCCATTTGAGCTTCAGAGTCCATAGATTCGGAAGTGGCGTCGGTATCACTCCAGTTTTCACCACGACGGTGGAATCTGGCACGAGCAGCGATCAAATCGGCGTAGTAAGCGGCAGGTACAATGGAGACAGCACGGGTGGCACGACCGTAGATGTAACACAAGTTGTAGGTCAATTCTTGCAAAGCATCAGAAGTGAACTTGTTCTCATCATGAAGCACGTGGTAGTGAGTAGGGCGAGAAGTACCTTGAAGACCAGCATGAGATTGGAGATAGAAATCGAATTCGAAAGGATGAACAATGTCGGTATCAATGACAGTACCGGGCAAGCAGTTGCCAGTACGGTCGGCATCACGTTGTTCGATAGGGAAGAATCTAGCATGATGACGCTTCTGAACAACAACAAAGGTAAGGGTAGGTTGGTAAGTCTTTTCAAGAGAGGCACAAGCAGCACGAATAGCGGCTACTTCGGAATCCATGACTTGCTTGAATTGACCTTCAGAAACACCATCACGATAGAAGAGAATTCTTTCAGGCTTTTGGCCACAAGATTGATAGAAGTTCTTCAAGATTTCCTTCATCATGTTTGCCAAATCAGCAATAATTTCAGTACGGTTAGCTTGAACACGAATAGCAGAGGAATATCTGGAGGCACGAGCGTCCATAGAGGCGGAAAGGGCGGCAATACTAGGTCTGTTGAAATCACCAGGAGAAGGATGAGTGACATCGGCACCAATAATAATTGTAGGACGTTGAGCAATGAAAGGAATTTGAGGAGGAGAGAGGAACAAATTCATACCACCGAGCTTCATGTTAACCTTCAAACAGACGTTAGCACAATATTGCTTCTTAGCATCAGCAATATGCTTGCTTTGAAGACATTGTGTAGGGACACCAATGAGAGTATCAGAAATACGCTTGATTTCAGCATATAAGGGTACACCAGTGTTGGGAAGGATACATAAAATGAGTTGAGGGTTGGCCTTGGCGGCATTACCGGCCTTCAACCAAGCTTCCTTGAGTGTGCGTTCAATGTTACCGTGAGGGTCGGCAGAGATGATAGGAGGTTGACGGTTGACAACATTTAAGCCAGTATCGATGAAAGTTTGACAAAGTTCACGAATGAATCTTTGAATGGCAGGCAAGGGGACAGCACCGGCAAAGTTGACAACAGACCAAGAACCAAGAGTAGCGCCTTGAGCAACTTTCTTGCCTCTCAAATTCCAAGCACCACCTTGAGGTGCGAATTCGGCATCTTGAGAACTTTGGTGATAGGAAATCTTGGGAGTAGGAAGCACACGAGCCTTAACAACAGCCATTTCGGGCTTAACAGCCATACCAAATTGCTGCAAATAAGGATTATCACGATGTTGCATAAGACCAAGACCTTGACGGATCTTGTTAGCACGAATGTTGGGTTTTTGGCAAGTGAATTTGATCATTTCAGCAGTTTGCTTTTCATTCAACTTCTTTTCCAAACGTTGACCAGGGATAATCTCACAAACTTCCATGGGCAAAAAGATGTCCTTCTTGACAACGATACAAGGTAAGAAGGGCAAAGCCAAACGCTTATTATATTGCTTGGCGAAGTAATCGGCAACGGACATTTCATTACCAGCTTCATCCTTGAACATGGTACGATCAGCAGGGGAAGGTGTAAGCTTGGTGACTCTATATTTGAGTTTCTTTTCGCCACGATGAATAACGTTAATGTAAACATTCTTGAGGAGCTTGACAAGCTTGGTCAATTCACGTTCAGGGATACCACGACGAAGTTCATCAATAGAGCGACGACCAAGCATCTTGGCGACGACTTCAGGAACGGGACCAGATTCAATGAAGGCAGTGGAGCTTACATCGACGTTGATCATCATTTTACCTAAATAAAAAGAAGAAGAATCGCGTTAGTTGAAACTATTATTTGATATATCCGAAGACATCTATAATTTTACTGTACCAACTGTGGGACGAGCGGATTGGTAGTAACCCTGCCAGACTTCGGCACCGTTGGGTAGGGCACGCTTATCAGCGGGAGTATAGAAGGAGCGACCAACACCAATGTGCACATTGGAGGGAACATAACGGATAAGAACATCCAAAACCATGATAGCTACAACCAAAAAAAAAAAAAAAAAAAAAAAAAAAAAAAAAAAGTTCAATCTGTCAAAATCTTCCGCGTATTTTTCTTTCTCTTTCTTCCGGCATACCTGTAAGACAGTTAGAAGTACAAGCGGATTGACCAGTCAAGAAACGACGAAGTTCTTCCATGTTGACTTCTCCAACCTTCTTGATACGAAGCTTGAAGACACTATTGCGCTTACGACCTTCATTAAGTTCAACCTATGATAATGTAAGCAAAAAGAAAAACCAATAACAATTTAGTTTTGTCTAACAAATTAAGGAGAAAATTTTCTGTGCTGAATTGAATACAAACATCAAATTGTTTGGCATTCTCTTCACCCAAAGGCAGGGGCTTAGGAGAAAAGATATTCTTACGACCATCAAAGATAGCCTTGATACCGTTCAAAGTCCCTTGACCATTAGTGGCTTCAAAGGACTTCCAAATTTCACGGTAAAGCTTGGTAGGAGTACCGGAAGGGTCAATGGTGACATCGTAGTGGTGAATGTTTTGAGTAGGAAAAGAGGTAACTTCAAAGAAATTGGCTCTGACATTGACAGGTCTACCATTTCTACCAGCGCCAGGACGCTGAACGAGTTCAGTAAGTTGGAAAGACATGAATGTATTAAAATCAAACGGATTTAAAGGGAAAGAGAAAAAAAAAAAAAAAAAAAAAAAAAAAAAAAAAGAAAAAAGAGAGAAAAGAAAATGTGATTTTTTTTTTGATTTACAGCTCTTTAAATATGTGACGTAGAAAATTGTCTAAAATCAGAGAAAAAACGGTTGATTGCAATCAAATAGTGCAATAACATTCTTCATCTCCTCCATCATTTTCATTGCTTTTTTATAGAAACTCTTTTTATGGTCAAAGCTCTCCTGGTATCGTCTTGGAATTTTTATTATGGTTGGTTCGTATATTTTTTTAAAGGCCTCATGAAAACTGAAACAAAGAAACTGTCTGGTATTAATCTTGTTAGTGCTCCGATAGGGATGGACAATAGTCCAATCATCAAACAGAAAGCCCACATACTAGCGTTTAAAGGTACAGTTTGAAATGCGGCACCACCATATTGCACGATTAAGATTTGACCTGTGACACTCAAGCTAAAAATGAGAATAAAGAACTTGTTGTGCTTCACTCCCTTAAAAATATTCAATTTATTGTCTATCCTCCTACAGCTGAAGTTTTAAAGTCAATAAATGCAGTCAGTGTCAATGCAGAGTCTGTCTATACCGTTTTTAAATTTCTCATCCATTAAGGACAAATAGCCCTTACTTGACTTCATTGAAAATTTGGCAGAAAACAAAGGTTGTAAAAATAACTGTTTGTGATTTTGCTGTGTTATTGGCAAGATGTAATACATCAGTATATAAAAGAGTTAAAATGACACCCAATTGATAAAAGGACTCAAAAACAATCATTTTCCACATGCATATATCAATGAGCGGAGCTGTTCTTTGTTCCGGTAGCCTATTCAACAAGTCTAACGAAGGTGCGTCGGTTGCTAATGCTAATGCTGCAAAAGTATCCATAATCAAATTGACCCAGAGAAGTTGCACGGCTGACAGAATGGAGGTTTGCTTTTCGCTTACAATGGCAGATATGACAGTAAGAAGAACAGCCGTGATATTGATCGTCAACTGAAACTGAAGGAATTTCTTCACAGAATCATTTACACACCTGCCCCACGAAATCGCATGCACTATGCTTGAGAAATTATCATCCATCAAAATAATGCTGGACGCTTCCTTTGCAACTTCTGTCCCTGAGAGGCCCATGCTGAACCCCACATCTGCAGCTTTGAGCGCAGGCCCATCGTTTGTACCATCTCCTGTCACGGCAACAATATCTCCATTACCCTGCAATGCGTTTACCAATAGCCGCTTATCTTCAGGACTTGATCTTGCTAACACTCGTAACCGAGGTAGTATTCTGTCTCTTTCCGATGGTTTTAATTTACGGAAGGTTGGTCCGTCCATAGCTATAGCCCCCTGTGTATATATACCACATTGTCGTGCGATACTTTTCGCTGTCAGCATATTGTCACCTGTCACCATTCTTACCACCACACCTGCGTTTTGACACGCAGCAACAGCATTTGTAACACCTGGCCGCAGCGCATCTTCAATTCCTACGATGCACAGAAAAGTGAGTTGATCCAGTTCCATTATTTGGTGCAATGCTGCAGAAGATGGCCACTCCTGAAAATCTTGGTAGCACAAAGTGATTGTTCTCAAGCAGCGTGTAGCATAACTTTGTATGATCTGGTTTAATCGCTCCCTATTAGCGCCTGTCATTACACGTGTCTGTACATTGTAATCATCTACATTATTATAGTAGTCGCAACTGTCGTAGAGAGGATCGTGTAGGGATACAATGTGACTGCAGTGATTCAGAAGGACTTCAGAAGCGCCTTTCAGATGCACACGATAAAAGAATCGCCCGTTCTCATGTGGGATGCGCAAAACAGTTGCCATTGCTTTTTGTGCAGAGTTAAAAGGAAACACAGCTTCAACATGCCAAGATGACCTCAGCCATTCGAAAGGCTCGCAACCCAAATAATCGTCTGCAAATTGGAGCAGTGCTGTTTCTGTCTTATTGCCAACCAAAGATACATCGCCCATGGCATTGGTATTTAAGGAGGCAGTTGAATTTACAACGATGGCTTGATTCAAAAAATTTCTGATAGGCACAGGCATCCTTTCTCTCAGATATTGAGCGTCAATAAGGTCAAATCGTGATAAGGGTGGATCTTTCAGAAAGCGCAAAGAAGACCCAATCGTACCCGCAACAACAGCCATCTTGTTCTGAGTCAATGTGCCTGTCTTATCTGAGCATATGGTTGTCGCGTTGCCCATAGTTTCACAAGCGGCGAGGATGCGAACAAGATTGTTGTCCTTTAACATTCTTTTTGTTGCGTAAGCTAGAGCTAGTAGTTGTAATTTCGATTGTCATTTTTTTTTTTTTTTTTTTTTTTTTTCAAGGTATAAGAAAAAAAAAAGGGTAGAATTAACGAACCATTGTCACCAACAACTACTTTGTTTTTTGACTAATAACATACCTAAAGTTACAGCCAGAGGCAAACCTTCAGGCACAGCAACGACGATGACGGTAATTGTCGTGATCAAAATTTGCATTATATGGGATACGATTTCGGTAGGAACTGTCGTCAGTTGACCTGTCGCATAACTTACAATGGAGCGTATGGTTAATACAGAGAGTAAGATGGCTGCTGCAGTCAACCCACATTTAGCAATGCTTGTGGCTAAAACGTCCAACTTTTTTTGAAGTGGTGTACTGTCATTCTTTGTGCGTAAAGTCATCATTGTGCGTCCGTGCCATGAATTGGGTCCAACTGCTGTTACAAGATAAGTGCACACACCCTCCAGCACTTTAGAGCCTGATATGAGAAACGGATCTACTCTGGCTTCTTCTTCATCTTCAATCGATGTTATTGTTGTTGTCCTTTTACTCATTTCTTGGTAACATTCTTGCCATGATGCTTTCCGCACGGCTTCCGATTCTCCAGTCGATGCTGACTCATCGCATTTCACGTTGTGGCCCTCTATGAAAATTCCATCAGCACATATAATTTCACCTGGTTCGAGTTTAAGAATGTCGCCGACTTGAACATCATATACTGATAAAAAGATGTTCTTGCCTGAGCGTATAGCCTAAAAAAAGATGTTGGACATCAACCCTACTATTCCTTTGCTAGTATGTCCCCTTAAGTTTTATCACATGTTGTTACCGAAACTTGTCTGTCATCTTTCTTTGAATTCAAGCTTCGAAATTGTTTTTCTTTTTGATAATCATTAACACTTCCCACAGAAACCACCAAAATGACGGCCAAGATAATGGCTACGCCTTCTACCCATCGCACGCCTGGTATTCGATTTCCTGCTGAATCGTACTCAATCCTTGTCGAGTCCTCGTATATTCCTACGGTCAAAGAGATCAACGCGGATACTGTTAAGAGTATCTTTGTTATGGAAAATGATGAGTTCCTTCATGATCTGGGACCCTGTATTTTGAGATTATTTGTCAAAATCTCACAAGAATCTTATCCTGAAATGCTTGCCACATCAGTTGAAGTAAAGTAACTTCTTCTATTATAGGTAGAATGTTGGATCCAAACACCTTTCTTCGCTGAACGAAAGTTTCTGAATCATGTAGAGAAAGAGGCAAATGGCTGTCATAATATTCTTCCTTCAATGTTCTTTCTTTTGATTCATGTTGCTGAAGATCGTACATTCGTATGTAACTTAGGCTGTTTTCACTCCATGCAATACCTTTCTTGATATTGGAATGAAGACCTTTGGCCAGCCCATGTAGGCCTCCCATCTGATGGATAAAATCCAATCGTTTTTGTTCGACAACAGCTACTAGTTGCTCTGATGTAAAGGCGAACGGATTTGCTGGATCTGTGTGAGGTATTCTTAGGCTGTCATCATTATGTTTATCATCATTATCATTCTTTTGATATGTATACGGATCCTTAACAATTTCTGACAACTCAAATTCTGTGTTATAATTGTTGTTGTAGTTCATCTTTCCGGCAGAGAACAAACCCAGGAGCTGTTGTTTGAGATTTAAATATGCCTAGTGAAGTAAAAAGGTATTATAATATAAAGTAGGAGGAGAAAAGGAAAGCAGATGAAGAGGATGTAAGCTATCTCAAGGAAAGTAACTCATTGATCCTTAGCAATGGATAATAGATGGGCATTTTACTCTTTACATCCACATGCAGCTGCTTCAAAGATAAAAGGGGATGAATGGTGCTTTGATAAAGGTGTCATCTACTCCCTACTCGGATGTGCTACAAATGATCTGTGTACCTTAAGAAAAATATGACAGTTGAACCCCTGTTCAGTTTACGAAACATTCAAATGGTTTGATTCATCAACTCGCAGCAAGCGCACTATTTGCTTGAGATATAGGCTGCGAAGCGTTCGAAAAAAAAACGTATATGAAGTTCGCCTGTTTACGTAATGTTTTATCTGTGCAGTGCGGGACACGGCAACGCTACCTAAGAAAAAAATGCTGTCGTTTTCTTGGCTTGATCGTCTACAGCATAATTACGTTTGTAAAAAAAATAGAACTTTACAATTGTAACATCAGTATGTCCCATCTTCCATCCACGATCAGATTGGAGAATCCGTAACGATATTCTTTCACGCATTACGTTTGGATGCAAAAGTCGAGCAGTTTCATTTTTATTTACGTTACTCACAGCATACAAATTTTTCATTTCTCCTTTATTATAACAAGAATATAAAAATGAGGAATCTTTGACGACGAACTTTAAAGTCTCCTTGATGGAAGCAAGGAAACCCTTTCATCAGTTCATCATCATTTCACAGCTTCCTTTATTTTTGCTTGCGATTTCCGCTAGAGAGTCGTACCGAAATACTAATAGCAGCTTTGACCTCCTACTGGCAGGCTTCGCTCGCTACCTCTAGATTCCATACACAAACCAGAAGACGTGAGAATATCACCACCTCATAAGCTGGAGAAGGAACCATCAAGTCCGTAGTCCAATGAACAACAAGATGAATCTATGAAGGAAAGGTTTTTTTATCCACTTATTGAAAAACAAAACGGAAAAGAAACTTCGCCGCAAATAAAAGGGAAAAAAGGGTAGTGGGGATCGCAAGACCGAAAGCAAGAATACGTATGGCTTCTGAACCATAGCTTCAAATACTTCCCACTGAGGGAGATGATCCTACAGGCCTCATCTCGATAGGGTTAGGGTTAAGTGTGTTTTCATAATGTTGTTCATCGCGACTCCAAGAGGAAGATCCATTAAAGAGAAAAGAAAAAGAAAAGCTAGAGGGGAAACATAAAAGGGGCAAGAAAACGACCCAGCGGAGGTGAAATCAGTCTTTTTGAAAACGCGCATTAACATTCATCGCGCCTACAAATAAGGGTCAAAGGTCAGCAGCATCATCATTCAACAGATAATGATTATCTATTCAATAGCAAGGAAATGGAAGCTCAAGCTCCTTTAAATAAGTGCTAAAAAAATTCCTTAGCTAAACAATTAAGATAACTTGGCAGTGTGTAAAACTGTGCTTGGCCTTTACGATGCTCTCAATTCTGATCTACAGACTATCGCTGATGAAAAAAGCATTTTGCTAGTTCATTGTCAAGCAGAATAGGTCGCTAAAACTGTATTATCAATCAGTTTTTTAGCCAGAATAGTTGTCGATTCCTTTTTTCTTAGCAAAGATACTTGCTTTATATCAGCATTATCCTTTACACCATCTGTATCTGGAACCCTTTGTTTTCCTTCTTAAGATTATTAATAGACGAGACAATGAAGAAACAATACGAAAGAAGAGCGTTTAAGTATTCTCACGTGCATCATGAAAACAAAAAAAAATCAAGCGGTTTAAGCTTCAGTCCCTTTTATCAGTACGCAAATACCGGACATCATCAACCATGATACGCAGCAAATGCATTAAGAAGCAATCCATTGGATGGGTTGCAACGGATTTGAAATACCGAACGCATGAACGAGAGTTGAAAAGCAAGAAATCACTTTAAAAGGTGATAAAAATGATACAGCTTTTCTAATTCTCAATTAAACGTTCGAATCGAACCCAATGGCAGATAATACAAAGCGCAGTTTAGATCCATCAGCTATATTACATCAGATTTCGCAGAATGTCACAGCTTTAAAAAACCCATATGACGCCATTGCTGTAGCTACGCATGCAATTATGCTCGATGTTGGTTTTCGTTTTGCAGGAATTGGTGACGATGCTCGTCAAGGTAGAGAGAATAGAAGAGGTGAGGGAGGGGGGGGGCGGGATCTTGAGTAGCCAACTTTTTATCGATACTCAACATCATGTTTCATAGAGGGTGACGGTCAGACCGTCAAATTACCCGAAGGCTGGAATAGTAACGGACCACATAGCTATAACTTCAGATATAGTCACCCACAGTCTAGTCTAACCTTCATCATAAAAGTGGTTCGACTGGGTGACAAATGTGTTATACTTGGGTTGGGTATAGGGGTACGTTAAGATATTTGTAGGTAAAATGACTGCGTTCGTCAGCTCTAAATGCAAATGGCTTATGCGGGGGTATAGGATAATAAGACCGCAATACTTGATGTTCTGACAGAAGATTATACATCTGAATCATTCTACCCGTATGATTCGACAAAGAATGAGCCATTAGTACATGGTTTTATATCCTCAAGCAGATTTGAAGATTTTATCAAATCATATAAGCTCAATATTTTACAACGTTTGATACCAGGATTAAATAAGCCAGGCTATGAAGATACGTCATCAAGGGAGGAGACAAGGTAAGAACTTGCAAAACAGGTGTTCCTATTTGTTGTACGCGAGCTTAGATGGTCTGATTTTTGTAAAAGGCAGCGACACTTTCCTCCTCCATCAAACATACCATCACAACCATCAGGAGATCATCCTACACCGATGTTTCCGGATGTAGGTAGCTCAGATTTGAATCCGTTGGGTAACGACGGCATTGGTGGTGGTGTATCTATGCCTGGGTAGGCAGCACAATGGAAAATAAATGACATAGTGCCAGACATGTAGAATTCAAGTATTCACCTTCATTTTTCACGGGCTAATCAAAGTAGTCGTGGTAGTGGTATGTATGTAGGTCCTGACCATCCTATATTTGGCAGTCGCAGTGGTGATGACCTTGAGGACCCTACTGGTATATATGGTGGACCTCAGCCGTTACCCAGGTAAACTATTCCCAAAAATAATACGCAGAGCATACAATGTGATTAATAATTTGTTGCAGAGGAGCGGTTCCACCTGGCGCTCGTTTTGATCCAATTGGACCATTTGGTCGTCCACCTGTCCGTCCACCAAGTGGACGTGGTAGAAGCGGTCCTCGTAGACTCTTTCCTGGCGAACCCAATAATGATGAACTTCCTCCACCTGTAAGTACTTTCCAAAAATGAAAAAAAAAAGTGAAAGAATTTTTATATTGATTTCAAAATTTTATAGGGTTTTGGTGACATGTTTGGATAAATCAGTATCTAGGAACAGCGCAAGTTGCCTCGACCCTTTCATTAATATTAGTTAAATGCTTGGTATATTCCAAAATAAAAAGTTCAGTGATCATTGCTACGCGACTCAAATATGCTCAAAATTTGAAGTCAAATTGAAGTAGGCGATCCTTTTTGGCTTGTCCTTTGTTTTTTATAGCATGAAAAATTTTATTACCGGTTTAGTGGGGGCAAAAAAAAAAAGGGCGTTTTAGAGGCATATCCTTTTCGACTTCGTTGTCCCATTCATAACAATTATACTTTCAAATATGAACTGAGTAGAGCTTAACATCGGAGTGATTACAATTTATAAGACTTTTGTGCCTTGATCAGTCAGATGGCTGTATAACTGGGACGGCCCGTCAGATTTAGTTGAAGTATGTTGCTTGCACTTTAAAAAACACTGAGCTATGCGTTCATCGTGCTTTGTTTACTTTTTCTTTTTTTATACAATGAAAGCTGATAATCAGTGTAAATGCTGTTCAGGAACATCCTGTAAAGATATGCTAAATATATGTAATTCAATAGACTCACTCCTTGTTTCTTAGCACGGTGTTCTCACCTTTAAGTCTTGTAAGACCTTCATGCCCAAAAAATTGAAAGCTTGTTCTCTAAATCAATTTTGATGAATTTCCATTTAAGGCTGGGATTTTAAGAACCTGGAGAATTTTGCATAAAAGTGCTTCGCTGCTGCTGATGCGCTGAATTCTCCTCTGTGTGGTGCAGGATACAAATCAACAGGCTCGGTTTAAGCGGCTGCTTGAGCAGGTTCAAACGCTCAAAGATTCTGTAAGAGTTGCCGAAGCAAAGATATGATCGTTTGAGAGGCGTCTATTCACTAGGCAACCTATTACGGATTTTAATTAAAGTCGTTGCTGATATGATTTTAGGTATCACTACGTTGTCACATTTTCATCTGGTTGGCCCATTTTACTAAGTCCGGTTCAACTACTTTTGAAGGCTGTTAATTGTTAACGTGTCTTAGTCTTCTACAGTGTGTCAGTTTTTCCTTTGAAATACACAGAATTAAGTTGTAAAACGCCAATTGATTGGCTTAACGTGCCTATGGAAATTTCAGTTACGCCAATTGAATCTTAGCATTACGCAAAATGAATTTTAGAATACCACCATTTAGAAAATAAGAAGCAGCCATTTAAGCCGTAAGTACCATATTCATGGTTGTGAGTTAGAAAAAATACTTTGTGTCACCTTGAACTAATATCTCTCCAAAATGTCGTAAATTTTCCCATCAAATCTTTGTTCTCTTTTCTTGATCTCACTTCCTATTCTCTCTTTCTTAATTGCACTTTCCTTTCATACTTTAAAACACAATTCAGAAAAAAATGCCTTTTGATACAGTAAACAGATTATCTAAACGAGTCAGATTAGACGGGCATATGACTTCATTGGATGAGGATGACTATTATTCACAGTACGCTTATGATGGTTTTTACAGGGCTTCAACCAGAAGCAATTCCGATAGCAACAGTTTCCACCATAATAACAGCGAGTTTCCACATAGTTCATTATCACAAGGTTGGAGCAAGCCTGTACTCTACGATCCAGACAGCTACCATTGGCTTCATCCGACAGTTGAGCTTACTCCGCAATTGGCAGCCAGCAGCAACAACCCTGCGGCATCCTCAATTCAGACATTTGATATAGCATCGACAGTGGAGTATTTTGACACCTCAAGCTTTGATGATAGTATTCTAACAGCACGTTTGCTAGAGGATAGCTCTAGCGCTACACAATCTGACGCAGAGAAAAGCCCGTCAAATACTTTTCAAAACCTGATGACAACACCATGCTCTCCAGTAGCAGTAACCAACACTCTGTCATTTGATGAATTAGTAAAACCTTTGATGATGAAAGAAAAATCTATGGCACAACTTGAAAACAGCCTTTTTTTAACGGATATATTATCAAAAGTTCGCTTCTCATATACGGATGTGGGAATCAATTTGGAGGCGAAGGTTTCGAATGCTACGGACCTCACTTCACTCATTGAAGCATTCAGTCAGATCTGTTGCTCGTCACTGGCAAACTCAACTGTAACACCAAACAATGCTAGGAACGAACCGACGAATAGAATTGTTCTATCTCGAAATAAAAGCAATCAATTAAAACCGGTGAACTTCTTCAAGTCAGCTTGTCAACTGGGAATCATAGCAAATCCTCATTCTAGCCTTGAGACTTTCTCTGAATTGAAGCAAATTGCCGATGCTTGCGTGGATACTTTCTTTTTATGCAAAGTGAGGTTCAAGCCGATAATCCAAAAGGACGAGTTTATTCGTTGGTATAGAATGCAGGAAAATCCTCTTGATACGTTAATCGTCAATGCAATGTGCTCTTACGTCTTTCGACACATGGTGATACATCATCCACGACCTGCCTTCAAACATTTCTTACAGGATTTGGATAAAGTACAAGAACAGGAGGAGTACTTTTTTAGTTGCGCTAGAGAACGGTTGGCGCAATCATTTGACACACCCGATCGATATACGGTTATCGCTCTCCTATTCATGAGCACACGAGCAGAGCCATCAAAACGCCATCATTATGCTGGAATGGCTGTTACAGCTATGCATCAACTTGACATTTATCCTCGTATGGTGCATGAAGAGCCAGATTCGTACGAAAAAGAGATGGATACACGTCTTTGGTGGTATCTCTGGGCTGTAGACTTTTCCATTTGGACTGCGGGTTCGCCAAAAAATAGTCCCCAGCCAAAGCATCCTGGCGAGCCAGATTTACCCTTGGTGTTTGAGGAGGATATCGATGAGAGTGAGATTAATGTTATTACGTTCAGCCATTGCCTCAAACTCTGGAGGATTCAGAGTAATATAGTCTCAGCACTATATGATCAGCAAAACAGTGAAACGATGACAGTGGAGCAGCTCTATGAATTCGATAAAAAACTACAACATTTTTACAATCAACTACCCAGCTACTTAGTGTTGGACAGTGGGTTTGAATATGGCTGTGAAGACTTATTTTTGTCCTGCCTTCGAGTTAATATTGAATATAATGCTACCCGTATCATCTTACATAAGCTTTTTATACCAGAAATGAACGACACTGCACCAAACCAGTCTTCGCTAGACTCACTGAATATCTGTTTATCCACAGCTTTAACACAGTTGAGTGCCATCAAAACTTGTAATATGGGTGATGTTGGTCGATGTGCCTTTGATCGTGATGAACTATGGCGAGCTGCAGAAGTTGTCTCCGTCGCTATGGATATATACCACAATTGCTTGTCCCTGGAGGCTAAGCAAAGAATTTTGACAAACATCAAAATGGACGACTTCAATCGAGCACTCCAGAAATCATACGAAGTTTTGAAGAACACACGAGAATTTAGATTTTCTTGCAAAAACTGGTTTCAGGTAGCAGATTGGATTCAAGCAGAGTTACAACGACATCAATCCAAGTACAACAGCAGCATACACGATTACCATCTTCCTGAAGAGCCCACTAAAGTAAATAAACCTGACTTTTTCTTGGCACATCTCAAACCTACTGCAACTTTGAATAGTCGAGATTATAACGATTCTTACCAGCAATTTATACCTATCAAAAATGAAATACCAGCAGGTCGAAGTAATAAGCCAGCTGTTACAAAATCCGCTAATAATAAACCTCGACAAAAATCTATTACTTTTCAAAATCATTTCAGTATGCATTCATCTTCTTTTGCTTCATCAGTCAAACAACAACCCACTACTAGTAATAATGATACCCGAAGAATGTCTTCTTCATCTACACAACTTATGGAGTACAATCCTGACGTTCTTCCGAGTCATACTCAGCAACAAAAACAATTTAGTAACAAAACTTCTGCAAGATTTCGTTACTTTAATCCACGCAAAATGAACAAGTTTTTATTTATTGATGAGCATCCCATGCTGTAAATTAGTTTGCAACATCTTTATACACATATCTTCATATTTTTTTATTTTTTATTTTTTATTTTTTTTAATGGGCAACTTCCATGTATATATTTCTCCTAACTGTGAAAGTGAATAAATCTTTACACTGCATTTCTATTTATTCTGCAAATTCGTCAAATACTTAAAATCCCAACCATTGCCATTTTCTGAACTAACATAATCTATTAGTATTTTTACAGGTATGACAAAACTAATGCAGCAGAAGGAACCAAATCTGGAGTAATAATAGTGTCAGTGTTAATCGCTTATCATAAAATATCACATATTATACTTACTCAGTTCTTTCAGGGTTCTTTGACGGTCATCAGCGCTAAAAGTCTTTCTTGGGAATGTAGTCGAAAGATTGAAGGGAGTATTACAACCCTGGTTCTGCAAAAAGGTAAAGACATCGGATAGCGTTGAATTTGCATCAAAGGTATTTGTCACCGGGCCTGCTCCTGGTAAACGGATCTGAAAAAGCTTCAGAGTTAATAGGTCTATATAACAAGTGACTACCAATATATTGAGGATACCTGTATTCTGCTCTCAGTATACTCCTTTTTCGTGGTTGCCTGTGAGAAAGCAGCAGCACCACCACCACCAGAAGCAGCTTCAACTGCATGGGCTTGAGCTTGTTGTTTAGCCGCTTCTCTCTATTTGCATCAATATTACTTGAATATATATATTCTCTTTATAACAATTATGCTTTGTCCTTTGATACCTTTGCTGCTCGTTCTTTTTTATCCTGCTCAATTTGTGCCTTAATTCTGGCTTTCGCAAGTTTCTCTTCTTCTCTCTCCCTCTTCTTTTGATCCATCATCTTCTTCATCTCTTTTTGCTCTAGAGCTTCTTTGGCCAATGTCATTTCCTGACCCGCTTTTCTTCTGATCTTCTCTGCTTGTTTACGTTCTTCTTTTTCTGCTTTTTCACGAGCGGCTCGTTTTTCGGCCATACGTGCCTTCAATTCGATTAATTTCTGCTTTTTTTCTTCTTCAGTCAATGGTTTGATTGCCTCTGTGCTCTCTGCAAAATTTTGGTGGCCTGTACGTGTAGCATGTAACTCTGCGCCTGTCGCATCACGGAATAATTTCTGACAGTCGTTACAAATTAGACTTTGAGCTGTCTGCTCCCCATCCTTAATTTCTCCTAATATACATAGTTAGAACTGATCTACAGGACTAACATATGTCACTCTAAGTCTGTCTACCTTCTTCATGCGTAGCTTCTTTATCAGGTTGGGATGATGAGCTATCGGCTGTACCTAATGCTTCAGGAGCGACTGGTTCTTCGTCAGGTTCTTCAGAAACTTCTGAGTGATTCAAAATCCTGTGAAAGAAATGATGGGTAAATTGTCTCGAAGTGTTTTCTTAAAGCGTAAACTCACCAGTCCAAGGCGGGTTGAAGACCAGCATTATTAGTTGCTCTTAGTGCCTTCTTGCTGTTCGTCATGAAATTAACGTGTGTGAGTAAGAATGGCCGGATGCAATCAACACACTAGTATATACCAAGCTAGCTCTTACACTTTGGCGTCAGAGAATCCCATTCCTACAAGAGTGTCAAAGTCGTTGGCCATTGCTAGTTATTTCTTAATATGTGATAAATATTTGATAAGAAGGAGTGTAAGGCGGGGTGTATACAATGATTGAAATTTAATCTAAAAAGCAACCAAAAAGAAAAAGAAGTTAGGCTTTAATTCAACTTGATGGTTTTATTCTTTCCGTAGGCAGGCAGTCTGAAGAAACGCTTGATATTGCCCGAGCATAAGGCTATCATTGCACTAAGACTGGATGAGCGAATTTCATCTGTGAGTTTGTTACCATAAATAGTGCATAGCGGCACGAACATGTTTCAGTAAGCAATCGTCATTTTGATATTGGCATTTTTTGTCCTGCCAACGTCTGACTTTTATCCTTTTAAATGTTGATCTCTGAGAGGCAACTAAATTTCCATGCGTTGGTGGCACAATTGCCAGGTTATGCATTCGCAGAAACAAAGTTGTTTACTCCTTGTTTTGTCAAGTACCTTTTTCTCATCTCTTCCTTTCTTTTACGTTTCAGTTTCAAAAAGAAAGACAAGTTAAAATGAAAGCCGTCTATCTTCTTGTCTTTTTGCTTTTTTACGCTTGGGAACATCCTGCCACACATGCCATTGATGTAGCCACAATAGCAGCAAACGGCTTTCATAATGACCGTGTGAGACGCGTCGTCGACTTGACAAGTAGTGTTGTAAAGGAAAAAATAACTCTAAAAGCTACAAATATGGGTGGAAAGCCAATGGACCGATACTACTTCACTATCCCATCTGCCTATAAAGATCATATTGCTTATCATCAGGCCTATCATTTACCGTATGGACTGAGCAACGAGGATCTAGCGATAACATATATTGGTATTGACTCTAAAGTGTAAATATTCCACTTATTGTTCACATGCTGAAATGAGATAATAATCACCTTGCAATCTAGAGGGCTCCATGTTTTTGCAGTTCAACTTGATAAACCTGTAAATTCCGCAGAGCAATTGAAGATTGGTATCAACCTTTCTTATGTTCATTTCATCGGTCCTTTTCCAGCAAAGATACCACAGCTATCCAAACAGCATGTCACTTTCATAGGAACTATTTTTTTGGTATCTCCATATGAGACAAGTGAAATCAAGTCTACATTCAAGTAAGTTTTAGTGAGGAAATTAATTGTAAAAATAGATGGAAGGAAAGAAATGTCCATGAACAATTCTGAAATTTTGAGAGCTAATGAACTGTGTTGCGCCAGCGTAGATTTCCCAGTAATAGAGTTGACAGTAATCTTCTAGAAGGGGTGAGCTACGATAGTAAGGTTGTAGGTAATACAATTATTTACGGAACTTTTAAAGACGTACCACCATTCACGAAAGCACGCGGTAGCTTTCATTACGAATATTTGAAACCAATGGTAACAATAACACGGTTGGAAAGACATATGGAAGTTTCGCACTGGGGCGGAAACATGGGTGTTGAAGAGCATTATGATCTACAGAATGATGGTGCAGAGTAAGTATAGTTTTATTCTTAATCGCATTAGTGATAACTAGTAATAGCCACTCACGGTATAAGCAAGTGTCTAACAATTTGCTTTGCAATTGATTTTGGGAAAGCAAGATTGGAGCATCTCTTCAGTCGCGTCAAATATCAAAGCTCACCACATGTTAGACAATTGACAAATGTTTTGACAGAGCTTGAATTCGATTCCCAAGGATGCTACAGATATTTATTATCGCGACGAAGTTGGCAACGTATCCACTTCTCATTTTCGCAAAGAAATAACCAAATCATACCTGCAGATACAACCAAGATTTCCTGTCTACGGTGGGTGGAGATCAAGTTGGTATATGGGCCACAATGTACCTTTGCGGCAGTTTCTACGTCATGACTCGAAAGCAGACAGAAAATATATCTTGAAAGTCAACCTAGTAGATAACGTAAAGGAGAAAACGATCAACGACATTGAATTCAAAGTTACCCTGCCCGAAGGCGCTACGTAATTGTTTTACTTTTTTTCAACATATTCTATGGGGTGTAAAACCTAACAGACTTGTTACATTTTCTCAATTGTGCCAGCGATATCGAGCTTTCAGTTCCTCCACACATTGAATTTGATTCGATTGAGAAAACGATGCATTTCACGTATTTTGATTCTGTAGGGCGACCGACTATTGTGTTTAGAAAAACATACGTAGTATCAGATCATGAAGTGCCCATTTTTGTAAGTTACCTATCAATTTCACCGAATAAACGATCTAAATTAATCTTCTCTGCCTCAAATGCCACTTAAAAATTTGTCAATAGATATCGTATAACTATTCGACTTTGCGTCTTTTACAGAAGCCGTTGGTTACTTCTTCAGCAATCTTTTTCTTATTTTTACTAAGCATATGCGCATCAAAATTTTTATGGACAGTTACTAGTGACATTGCAAAAGGTATGATAATTTTTTCGAAAGTATGAACTCTATACAGTCCTCAAGACACGATAGTAAGAAAAACACTTTCTTACCTAACAATACATATTTAGTTTCCGATACAGTTACTCAGCCGTCAAATGAAAAACAACAGGTATTTACAGAGAGCAAAACCTTACAATCATTATCTACGAACTCTGTTGGTCTCAATGCAACGATCAAAAAGGTATTTAAACCAATATAAAGGCGCTAAATACTTCATTGTAAAAATTAACATAGCAAAATCTTTATCTGGTTAGAGAAAACAACAGAAAAAGAAAAAATAAGAGTCTATTTTATTTATGAATGGATCCATCAGTGTATAACCGCACCTACAGCCTAATGAATGAATAAATTGCTTCATTATGATATTACAGTATCACCAATAGCAATATGTTCTATGATTGCTGATGTTCCTTACAAACATGAATAAGTGACATCAGTAAAGTCTGATAATTTGTTAATAGACAAGTGGACAGTTATATTTTGAGAAATGCTACTGATTTCTCGCCACCTTTCTTGAGGCCGTTCCTGCATGACATAAATTGAGAATTTATTTTGTTTGCGAACGATATAGAGTATGTTTGAAGGTATGAGTTTTACAATATGATACATAAGTGTACAGAAGTTTAGAAGGTATAAATAGGCTTGGCATAGATATTTCGAGACATTTGTGAATGCCGGGAATCGAGCTCTTCCTCGAGTTTTTTATCGATCATTTCAAAAGCAAGCTGTAATTCGGTTCGAACCAGCGATACCTCAGACATTGCAATGTTATGATCAGAAACAGATTGCGGCACTGTTGTTGGCATTCTAACTACCTCCGTTTCGACTTCAGCAGCAAAATATGTTTCTTTAATAGAACTCTTAAGTGACTGATCTATTTCAATTTTGGTTGTTGCTGAGGAAATGCCGCAAAATACTTGCTGTTGCTCTGCTTTGGTCAAAGTAACAATTGGTGTAAAGAAGGATTTAGTTTGTTTCTGAATGATCTTCTCCGTTGTAAAAGTGTCTCCTTCATTGCCATCCTCATTATTTACCAAGATCTTTTCCGAACCACTGCTGAAAAATGATGTAGTCGACTGTGTAGGTGTAATCAAGTTTTCTTCTTCGGAATCATCACTATTTATGCTATTTGTCACAATATGTGAGGAGGACCTGGATGTTATGTTGCTAGAAGGTTTGGTAAGAATTGAAGCATCAAAGTCAAGCGAGAAAGGTGTAAGTGTATCCTCTTCTCTAAAAGATGTGCTGATTTTATACCGACCACTGCTGTTACGGGTTAAGAGAGAGCCGAATCGCTTTACACGAGAGAGAGTAGTTGATCTTTTCACAGAGTCAATGTTCGCTTGGCAGTCGATGTTATTGTTCTCCTTGAAGGCCTGCCTTGAAGGGAATGAAATGGTGGATCTTTTGATGGGAAATTGTGAGGGAGTATCTTCTTGGCGTTTAGTATGTAGAAATGACCGTAATCGAGCAGTAGCCATTTGAAAAGGGTTATAATAAAGATAGAAAGGAAACTGAAGTGAAAGAAAGGAGGGTTTGTTGTTAATCAATTGACCGGATCGAGCCTCATTTTATACCAATTTTTTTTTTTTTTTCGTCGACACACCTGCTCACATCAGGAAGATGATTAACCGAAAAAAATGACTAACTGACCGGATTGCGGGCGATCTTTGCCTTCCATGGGTTGTAGAATCAATCTATGAGGATCAAGTGCATTATTTTTACTCTCACCTTTCACTATGGCAACAATGTTTCCATAGCAACTTTTTTTCTTTACATTTTTGATTAAACTTCCAGAATTTGACAATTCTTGGCTCACAGTAGTAGGTTTCACAAGGTGCTAACGTCGAAATCATGGTCCCTGCAGCCACTAATTAAATCTGATTTTGTCTCTTCATGCCAATTCTACAAGGTACGTGTAACATAGTTTAAATTGGTACCCAGCTTGGTCTAGGCCCTATAATCTTAGTTCCATCACAAGTTTCTAAACCTAGTGCTCTTCATTCCAACTGGTCGTCTGCAGAAGTAATGTTTGTCGCCTGATGCCTAATACAAAGCCAGTGTTGTCAAATATGAAACCAATATTAAGAGTAATCAAAATTGCATTCAAGTATTGGGCTCGCTTCATAAAACATTCATTTAATATCTATGTACCGCTAAATTGTGTTTCGTTGCCAACACAGTCGATTATATCACAAGCTTACATTATGATTGGAAAGCGGGAGAATTTGTTCCGACAAGAAGAAACGTCAAAAGTTGAATTGCTTTCCTGGACCCATCACATTTCAAGTTCAATTACTAATTTTAAAGCGAAGCTCGGATAACTAGATGATTATAGTGCTCTTGATGACATGACACCAAGAATATAAAGGGATCATTCGAGGCAGAGCCGAAAGGCACTAAACCCTAGGAGCTATATCATACGTTTCGAAAGCAAATTTATGCAACAGGCTACAAATTCCTGTAGAAAACCTGCTCTATCACTATAACGAAATAAAACAGCCTTGCAAAGTGACTAAAGTATCTAAATGGCTTAAAGAAAATGTATCTGGGCTTTGAACCATTAGTGTAAACTAACAAAAGCGGCGTGTGCTTAACAATAGAACAAGCATAAGTCGAAGTAGAACTTTATCTAACCACCAAATACCTTAATAGGGTAGACTGGTGTTCACATCCTCTATAATCAAACACTCTGCAAATATACCAAGGATTTGAGTGCATCAGAGATTCAACCAAGCTGCCAAAAATCAGAAGTCTTTAACGGAGTACATTGTTAATCAATTTCAAGAGCTGTAGAGGACCAATTCATATGCACAGATGAATAACTATATACACAGTTTGTGACTGCAGTTGCTCAAATGTATTGTATGCATTATAAGATGCCCGCACATGGATTTGAGGCTAAGCAATTCAATTTGCCGTCCAGATGCTACTTTATAAGGTCAATCTTGCTAGGTGTTAAGCGTTTCAGAAATGGTATAAGCACATAATTTGATGTATTGTAAGCAAGAAATTTCCTTTTACTTTAATGGTCAATAGATCATACTGCATTCAGATTATACCCTTCGAGCAGCAGCTGCATGTAATCCAAACCAACGCCCTACATCTTTAACTGAAATTAACATTATCCATCTTGAGTTATGAATTTCAGGTACATCTTTATTTTTATTTCTTCTATCCTTCTAAGCATGGGAATTAATATAAGCTATAATGCTCAATATTCGATAGATCATGCATAAAAACTAAGGTCGTAGGAGAACAGCAGAATACATTTCAATTACACTGCCTCTTCTTGTTCTTCCTGTTGTGGTTGCTCTTCATTGGTTTTAGCCGTATCTGAAACTGCTGATTCAGTATTGGTTGCCGTCAATGGTGGCGGGTTTCCCGCTGTTTCTTTTTTGTCAGCATACATAGCTTTTAGGTTTTCCTCGTCTTTCTGCTTACGTATTCTATCAATTTCTAAGGCACCGCCTGTCTTTTTCAACTTCTTCGTCTCTACAAATCCTATCAATTCCTTTTCAAAATCATCGATACGATTGGCCAATTCTCGTTGTCTCATTTTATCAGCCTGCTCCAATGCTTTCAAACGACGTTCATGATCAACATCGATCGTCGAGACTTGCTTCATTACACTCGCCATACCTTCATAGCCTTCTTCAGGAGGCGCTACCCTGAACTCACGAGGTTTAGGTTTTGCATTTGCCTGATACACATAAATTTTTTCCAATTGCTCAAACACTTCCAGTAGCGCTTCTAAATCATCCTTCATATCTGACAGAAGATATTCCTGATCCTTAAGAATTTGTTGTTCGTTGACAATAGTTTGCAGTTCATGTTCCCAGGTCTTTTTCCAACGAGGTCTAATTTGAGCAATCAATTTGCCAAACTCCTCAATTTCTTCAGTAAGAGCTTTGCGTTCATTGGCACAATGAGTCATTTGGGCCTCGGAAGGTCGACATTTACGCTGTGTAACATCTAACTTGAGCTGATCAATGGTATCTTGCAATTCTTCTAAGCGACTAGTGACTTTATCAGATTTGTCTAGGAGGTTCTTTTTACCCTTCTCCAAGTGAGCACGTGCCACGGATGCTTGTGTTGGTTGTTGAATTTCACCAGCCTTTGTTTCTTGTTCGATAGCAGCAGTCTTTTCTTTTAGTTGGCTGATAATTGTGGAAGTTTCTTCGCGTATTTCTCTATCGAGCTGGCGAAGAACGATGATCTCACGGCGGAGGGTGTCGATCTCGGCGCGTTGAGCCTCGAACTGATTTTTGGAAATAGACACCCTCTGAGTTACTTCAGCTCCTGTAGGTGATGGCGATCCTGCGTCTGTAGCTACAGTACGGGCTGGTGGAGTTGGTTTATCCTTCTCATCTGCTTTCGTTTCGTTCACCGCTGATACTTCGTTATCATCCGTTGTTGAGTGTTTCTGCTGTTGCAAATTAGAAACATGAATTGCGATATGCTCCAAAAATTCCTTTTCTTTCTCTTCTCTAAATAGCTGAGATTTCGTAGCTGTTTCCGTCATTTCTTTCTTCAGCTCGTCTAATTGCTCTTTGAATATTTGCCGGGTTTCCATAATTTCCTTGTTGAAAAAGCTAGTGATTTCTGCTAACCAATCTTTCTTTGCTTCTTTCTGCTCCTCTTCTATGTAGTATAATGCATGGCATATTTAAACATGTATGAACATAAATGAATCAAAGCATTAAGTAACAATCATACCATCTATATTGAGTGACAAAACAGATTTGTCTTTGACTTCAGTTATGTCTTCTAACTCATAAGCAATTCCTACTGCTGGATCATTTATATAGATTTTTGGGAAGTCATCTTGTCGGATTGAATAGCTGAATTTCTCTAAAAATAACATGTTCAAAGCAGGAATACTAATCTCGCCGCCATATTTGACCTTCTGTACTTGTTTACCAAGTTGAAGAAAAAGAGTTAAAGCTAATAATGTATCAATTCAAAAAGAAAAGTCTGTGAGGGAATTCATTACACCAATAAAAAAAAAAAACCTTTCATTTACCTTTGGATTCTGGCTTTCCATTCTCATTATCGTCACTCTTGTTAACATTGTCAAGATTTTCTCCTTCAACTTCTTCTGAAGATTCTGCAATTGTATAATCTACATTTTTTAGAGGTAGCTGATGATGGGCGGGTAAAGATGGTACAGGCGGCACAACTTCAATTCTACCACTGCCAGCAGCAGTACCATTGTAAGGAGAATTGAAAGTCGATGAAGAAGAAGAAGAGATTGGAAAGGGGATTTTTCCTTTAGAGATACTCCCCCCACTGTAATCGCCTCGATACATTGAAGCTCTACGAACGGAAGATCTGCGGGCCAGGTTCTCTTGCCTTTTTAATGCTGCTAAAGCGATCGCTGTGTTTGGATCGTTTTCATCGAACGATTGTTGCTGTTGTTGCGGCATTGATGAGTTTTGGGCTGGTGGAGGAGGTATTGGCGGAGCTGGCATTGTAATTTGCTGCTGAACATTAGAACTTCTACTAGATGAGTTCGATCGTCGAGGGGCTGGAGTAGATTGCATATGATGCGTAGATCCCATTCTTGGCGGCATAATTCTAGAAGATAGGTCATTTGTAGGCAAAGAAGGGCGAGGCATACCACCTGACCATGGCTCATAATCAGTGCTGCTGCTACCGCGAGGTGAAATATGGGTAATTGCGGCAGTAGAAGAGGGCGAGGAAGGGGGTAGGGTAGGTGAAGTAACCGATCCTTGCTGTTGTTGCTGCTGCATCATAATACGTTGTGATCCACTACCTCTATTTAAGGCAGCTAAAGGCACCTCTCTATTCCAAGAATCACTTGTTGACGAAGTTGAGCGAATTGATCCACGTGACTCTCGTTCCCTCTCTCTCAGCATGGCTTGTTTACCCTTCAAACCATGCAATAAATGTACAATGACTTCTCTAATTCTGGGTAAATATTGGTCTAAAGCGTGAGGTGAAGGTATATCCAACATAGCTACTGAAACGGATTCTTTTAGCTGTCGCGGGATCCACTGCAGATCGCTTATGTTTTTTCAGTTTAATGTCAATAACAAAGCAAGAGCATGAGCTACATTTTAACAAAATAGTTTCGACTTTACCTCATTCCCACTCCCGCTTCCTCAAAGGCTTGAGAAACAAGATAAAACTGCTTTTCTAAGGTATCGTGAAGTTCAAGCACTTCATTTTTTGAAGTGCGCATAACAGACCATTGTGTTAAAGCTTCCAGTAATGACTTTGTCGTGCGCAATAGTTTGGTAACGACTTGTTCTATTTCTCCAGACTACAAAGAGTGTTAAATAGTCGGTAAATGATACTGATGCTGAGAAATTGAATAACATGGAAGTAAAGGTCATATTACCATGCTGGATATGTTGCTCGCTGCTCTCATTTTTGGGTATAGATGCTAGGAAAGTTAATACAAATTGGGCAAAAAAAAGATAAAAAAAAAAATCGGTAAAAAGACGGCAGTGATTATTTGAAAAAAGAAAAGAAGCCGCATCATACATTTATTAAAAATTGCAAAAGATCATGAATTTCTCTACATGCTTTTTTTTTTTTTTTCTTTCCGGCTTGCAGACAATAAATAAATTTTGTTGCTGAGCCTGCTTTTTTAGGAACCCAAAATAGGTTAAATTACTGTTCCTGAGAGATGTTATTTATAGGATGTGTTTTGCCGATAAATTGACATATTGTATCAATGCAACAGAAGAGTTAATGCAAAATACTGTATACGACTAACGAAATGTACAAAGTTATAAAAACTGGACTCTTAACCATTTTGAGTGTTACTGAAGCAGCGACAGTATTTAGACAGAAGGAAGTAAAGATTATATTCGAACTAAAGACACTATCAGATTGCCGTAATGCTTCATAGCGTTAAAAATAAATTCTAATGGTCAGCCGATAGTTAAGATACCAGCAGCGAAGAGTGGAGAAGAACAGTAATAGAACATATTCGAACTTGACGCGATTAGTTAAGAAGAAAAGATTGTGCCCAGAACGTCATCATCAAAATAGGAAATTAAAAAAAAAAAAAAAGAAAAGGAAAAAGAAAAATATGCAGCCCAACGAGCTTTTTTTTTCCTTTTGACAAAAATCGAATCCTGACATTACAGAAAAGCCAAAATGAAATTGGTCAGGTAACAAAATGATAGATAGAAAGAAAGGAACAAAGTTAAAAGGAAACATAAGGCTGACATAACTGTTTGTTTACCTGTTTTGGTTCGAAGATTCTTAATGAAGTTAAACAATGAAACAGTCTCAGTTGAACTGAAGAATGGAACAGTTGCTCATGGTACAATCACAGGAGTTGACATGAGTATGAATACCCACCTAAAAACTGTCAAAATGACAGTGAAGAACAGAGACCCTATAAGCTTGGATACACTAAGTATACGTGGCAATACCATTCGTTGCGTTATTCTTCCAGACAGCTTACCGTTGGATACTCTATTAATTGACGATGTCCGAAAGTCACGAAAGAAGAAAGAGGAAAGTAGCGCCTCAGGCCGTGGAAGAGGAAGAGGTATGCGTGGCGGTGGCCGTGGACGAGGTCGTGGAAGACGTTAAAAGATCGGTAAATAGACAGCATCTTCAACTATAAATGTGAGGCCTTACAAAGGGGGCTTCTTCAAGGAGAGGAAACCAAGACTTAATTACGATTCGCTAATATATCACTTATTACAGGACAGTTTTCAATTATTTATTCTGTTCGAAAGAAACTAGCTATAGTAAACCATTCCATTAATTATAATAAAAGAAAATGTATGTAAATGTATACGGAAGCATTAATATAAAGTAAGTATATAAGAAGAGGGGGTATATTGTTTGTATTTGGAGCACAACATATACTCAATTAGACGGTGGTAGTAGCCTTTCGGGGAAGTATTGTGGATGCTGATAATGATCTCTGTTTTGCAGACGAAGCAGATGAGTGGCCTTGGACTCTTTCATGTCGTCGTAAAGCATCCATACGAGTAAAGCGTTTTCCACATGTGTCGCAATAACAAAAAGGACGGTTCTCCAAGTGAATGGTCTGATGACGAGATAAGTCGTAGGAGCGACGGAACGTTTGGCCACACACTTTACCGTGATCAATTACGTGCTCACAAAAGAATAAAGTGCTTTGTTGAATATTATGAGCGTAGTGTGTACTGCCAACACTTGATCGGACTCGTTTTTTTGTTGTTGTAGAAGCATTTGGGGTTGCTTTTAAAGACACTCGTACTTCTGATGTTGCCAGACTTCTACTTCTAATGACATCAGTTACAGGCGTCGAAATGAATGGATGGTGAATATGATTATTGTTATGTATGCTTTGAGTGTGATTAGTTGCCGTATTAGTATCGGCATTAAAACCATTTTGAATGCTGTTATCAGAGGTATAAATAGGTGCTAGCTGCGTATTAAGTATTAATGGATGGTGTAAGGGAGATGTAATAGTTGAAATTGCGGGTAGAGTAGGAATGAAACGCTTCTCTAGTCTGGAAAATGGAGAAGCAGGTGGAGGCGGGGAAGGCGGCGGAGCAGTTGAAGGGCGTCTATCAACATCCAAAGGATGTAGGCTATTATCGATATTATTCCTTAAAGGCGGTAATGTAGAAGGAGAAGTAGATGAAGTCGAATAAGGACTAGGTAGCTTGCGAAAATGATCTGCAGACAAGACTCTTTGCTTTTTACGACTAGGTTCTTCATCAAATGATATGGCTGAATCTTTTCGACAATGTTCGCTATCATAAACGGTGGTTACAAACGCAGCTGAATGTATATTATAATGACTGAATCGTCTCATATGATTCATCGAAGATAAGCTACCATGATTCGCTGTAATCGAATGATTATCAGAAATCCATTTCGAGGGTATCGGTTTGATTATCGGAATTGATGCTGTACTGGATGAGTTGCAACCCAAAATCGAAAGGCTTTTTTCTTCTATATTGCGCTTCTCACCTGAATACAAATCAGAGAATCAATTATTATGCGCTCTGATAAAGTCATCAAAATGTAAGAAAAAAGAAAATAAGTAGTACTATACCAATATAAATATATTTTGGCTCGGAGTGATTGGTGATGTCAATTTTGCGACTTATCACAATTTCAAGTTTATGCTGATTTGAGGATGATAGACTCAAAGCTTTCTTCAAACTATGATTGTCGGACAGTAACAACCGATTATCAACTGTTCTGAATTGGTAGTCAGCAATATTTTGCATCTGAAAGTGCAAATGCCAGGGAACGTTAGATCAAAATGATTGTTCGCTGCAAAGTTTCATTTATAGTACCTCTGTTATCCTTTGAATCTTTCTAAGAAATTCTTCAAATGTTGGCTCTTCATTCTTGAAGGCACATAGATGGACTGGGTATGATTGAGATGTATCTTCGATGATGAGTCTAAAGTATATCGGCAACAATTAGAATTTGTTACATGCACAATTTTTAATAAATATGAGTAGTTACTTCAAACGATATATTTTATCTGGCATTTGAAGTTGAACAATTATGTAGATATAAATGTAGGACTGGAATAATATGAATTTAGTGAATGAAAGAACGGAAAGGGTTCACTTTATAGTATGCAATCGTGTTAACTATAAAAAGCGAAGTTGAGAAAGGAGTAGAATGAAAGGAAGGTGAAAGAAAAAAGAAACTATAAGTAAATCAAAGTTAGAAGTAAAGTGAAAGGAAAATATAATGTGTAAAGATCTCTTATTTATCATAACGTAATATACTTAAAAAAGGAGTGGCGATGCTTGTAACCTATAACATGAGCCTCTACTGTCCATTCTATTTACTATATAGGCGATATCATGTTATAAGGGGATCAGTATAATTTATTGCAACACTCGCTTTTTTTCTTCTTTCTTATGTTAGGTTCATTCCAAAATGAACTATAAATCTGACCCTTTACCCTTAATCTCTTTTATTTTGAATTAGACAGACAACTTGGGGACTTGTCCACTCCTATTCAAGTTAGTTCACATCATGAATATAGTTCGTTTTCTAGCCTTTTGTCATACCTTTTCTTGCCTTCAATAAACAATTAAGGATATGTGGCGGCAAAACGTGCATCAATGTTAGTTTAGTAGACCCTGGGATCATTTCCTGATGAATACATGATGTCCATGATGCTTCTTGTCCAGAATTTTTGCCCACACATCATCTGCAAATACCCAACTGATCTCTTATCAAGGCAAAAAACTATAATAAGATGACGACATGAGAGCATACACACATTTACGAATATTATAAAAGGCTTCACCGCTTTTTTTTATAGCCTAATAGTCTTTTGATGCTTCTATTTAAACTGTTACATACTTTAAATTGCTGCTTATACCAAACCGCCACACGTCCATTTTCCAAGAAGGCATAAGGTTTAGGCAATAGTGCCAGCCTTATCACGAATCGTCTCTCCTTAAAATTTACAAGAAGCAAATATCTTCATGAAACAGAATCAGTTTGATTCACAAGCAGTACTTCAAATAAAAAAGTAGAGAAAGAAATAACTCGACGCTGCTCATATGCTTATTACACGTATAATAGATTTGTTTCTATGGCTATCTTCAGGAAGAATATAACCTTGAATTTTCGTTTCATTAATGGCACGTTTCTCTGTTGTTACAATAGCCCTCCTATCCGTGACCGACCCAGCTGGTCTTTTTGAGCCAACTGACTCAATCGCTCATTTATCCTTTTTTGACAACACTGCGTGTGCAGCGACATTGAGGTGCCTTGATAAGCTTGAGAAGGCACTATTGAGCATTTTCAAGATGAGTTTTCTATTGCAGTTTTTATTCAGAAAACCTAAGACGCAATTGTCGTGAACATGAATAACATATACTTGTTTACTAACCATCATGTATATCCTTAACCAGTATTTTGTCTATGGACTTTTGATATTGACCCCTTCCTTATACAGAATCTTAAAATAGATTGCTGTTCCCAGACTTGGTTCACATACATCAGTTTTTTGTTATTTTTGTCATAAAAGTAACAGATCAAACCTCCTTGTTCTTTTTAAGGTATACGCAACTTTTTTTTGTCGTTTTCCACATGAGGCTACTACTAGAACGATCACTGATAGCTCTCACTTGCCCCTCACTCCTCCTCGCACAGATTTTATACAAACATAATACAAAATATGTCAAATTGATTGCGCAAAAATATTCAGGGTTCTCACAGTACCTCTGATTGCTACATAAGCTTATTTTTTGTCTGCACCACGCTTTGGCTGAAATGAATTACGTGCATTACTTCCATTTTTGGAAATTTGATATTTTGATTACAAAATAGACGTAGTAGTGATAAAGCCTATAGCCCTGTCCTTCCTCATTAGACAATGGAAATACTGTATGGTTCTTAAACCCCTTCACTCTTCGTTTTTACTCTGTTGTAATTTTAATGCATTCTGTAGTGCGAACAGTTTTAGGTTAGTAATATCAACCAATTTCCTTCAACCAAGTATCCCTGATCTCTATACTGCAAATTGCACAATGTGGTTATTTATTATGTAATGGATATTCATCTAATTCTCGCGACAGTGATCATTGCTCGAAGGTAGTGATTACATCATCAATCTTCAAAATCATCTTAACCAATTGAGTAGCTAATAAATATTGTTGACGCTTGGATATTAAAGGATCATATACATGCTGTTCTTTCATGTCTATTTGAAAAGTAAATAAAAAAAAATCAATAAACTTGAACGAAACACATCCATATTTCATGACCTACCTTTAGAACCCTTGTGAAGACAATCAATACCAAGTTTAGAATTTCCAGTAGTAGCTTGCTCAGCCTTAACTTCAGCCAAAGTTTCAATAGGAGAAAGACCAGAGTTTTCAGCAAGAGCCAAAGGTGTGGCGTCTAATGCATCAGCAAAAGCACGCATAGCGTATTGCTCAATGGATGAAATTTCATCAGCTACCTTGGAAACAGCAAGAGAACAGCTGATTTCAGCTGCACCACCACCATAGACAACGCGATTATCACGAACAAGATTACGAACAGCACACATAGCGTCATGAATCGATCTTTTAGCTTCATCAATAATCATCTTATTACCACCACGAACAAAAATGGTGACAGCGCGAGTATTGGCACATTCTTCAATGACTAACATCCTATCTTTTGTTGTACCAAAGGTTAGTTCACGGACGATACCAGCTGTACCCAATTTCTCTGGAGACAAATCTTCAAAACGGGGAACAATACGGCCATTTGTAGCAATAGCGATCAATTCAATTTCGGGGCCACCCACCCATCTGACAGCTGGTAATTTGTTCTGTAACAATAAGTGGTTTGCTTCATCGTCAAATCCCCATTGACAAATGACCAGATTAGCACCGGAGTTCTTTACTTGGTCAATCATAGTGGTGAATTTCTCTCTTTCATATACTTTGAGTTTTTCGTATTCTTCCACGGATGTAATATCAAGCTTATGCTTGGTTTTAGGTCTGGGTGGCTCAAATGCACAGGTTAAGATAGCAATTTTGGCGTCACGCACTTCACGAGGCATTTGAGGGTGAGACATATCTTTATCGACTACAACACCTTTGACTAATACAGTATCCTCTAACGAACCACCGACTTTGCCATCTACCTTGATCAACTCAAAATCAACATCTTTACGTTCCAAATCAGCAACAGATAAAACTGCATTTACAGCAATATCAGCATATTTTTCATGATATTTAGAGACACTGTAATGGCGATGATTGAAGAGGTCAGTCATTTTGGTCGCTTTCTGATTATCGTTTCCATAAATCATTCTTTCTTACATTTTACTACCAAGACTGGTCATAGCTGTTTTCTTCAAATTAGCAACATTATCTTTATCAAATTCAATGGTATCTGAGATTTCATCTAAATGTTTGACAGCAACAGAACAAGCACGTTCAAAACCATCTGCGATACGGATAGGGTGGATACCGCGATCCAAAAGCTGTTCACACTGTTCTAACAAAGCACCAGCAAGTACTTGAATTGAAGAAGCAACAAAAATAGATGTTAGTATAGTTATTGTTTTCCTTCAGAGGTCATTTTTAACGTTTTTCATTGAGCTTTACCAACTACACCTGTGGTACCGTCACCAATCTCTTGGTCCTGACTCTTTGACAATTGAACAAGTAACTTGGCAATTTGGTGTTCAACAGCCATTTGATCGAGAATGGTAGCACCATCATTTGTAACAGTAATATCACCATCGGGTGAGATCAGAATTTTATCGAGACCTATTTGAAAAAAAAATTAGAAGATCAAAGGTTAATAATATATACTCTGATCTGCTCCAGTCAATGATATCAAAGTGCACACAATTAAAAAGTAGTGATTATTACCACGAGGGCCAAGAGAAGTTTTGATAATATTAGATACTGTTTTAGCAGCTAGAATATGAGACTAATCACATTGATCGCGTTTTGTTAGTTTAATGATTGTACTTTTGTCACGTAGTGGTTTCTGTCGACGTCAAAAGTAGTCTTGACTTACACGAATGGCTGCAATGCCAGATAATCTTGACTTTTGTTGTCCCTCTCTCACAATAATAAAAGGTCTACCGTACTCATCAGTAGCGTAGACTGCTGAATTAGGGTCAATATTGGCTGCCATTTTCTCCTGTTTGAAAAAAAGGGGGGTAAAAAGTTATAGAAAAATGAACTGAAGGAAGCTCGAAGAAAAAAACTTAATACGCGCTGTGAAGACTACATTACGACGGCTTTCATTCTCTTATTTACAAATTCCGACAATAGAAAGGAAATTAGCCCAGGTTAGGCCAAGCGATTAATGCCTTCAATAGTGTTCATACAGTCTGCACTACACCAAAGGAAGACTTGAAATTTTCTCTGTGAGATTTACATATATTCTATTCTATTTGCTTGAGATGTCTTAAATAATCGGTGCTCAAACAAGTGCTCAAACAGATATGAATCAAAAAAATTTGATCTGCACGCGTTTTGTTTAAAAGTTTGGAAAAGAATGAAATCATACACGATCCACGGAATAAAACCTTGCAAATAGTACATTCACAAGGAAACCAAACAATACGATCAATATTCTCGACTTTCCTTTTTTTCTACCTTTTTCTATTTCGTGTACGCCGAAACATATGAATGATAATCAGAGCTTCTCCACCACCACCATATCAACTGAATCCTATCGTTGTTCCATCGCAGTTACCTCCTTCTTATACTTGCACTGTATATAAACGCGGATATGTAAAGCTGAAAAAAGAATTGGAAATTGGTGGCACTCGTGAAAAGCATCGGCCTTGGAGGTAGATATGATTACGACCCATTCTAATTAAAAGATATACCTGGTCTAATCAATGAGAATCCACCCAATTCCGTTGACTTAGGAAAGTGTACTTCGAACTTAGAGGCACTGTATTAGAAGTACGTAAAAAAGAGAAAACAAATCATTCTTTATGTACTATCTCCATGCTCAAAGCATACTGTGGAGTTGCAGTCGATTATTATAAAAAAGATAATGTGTTGAGGCTTCGACTTGATCCAACAAAAGAGCAATATCTCATTCAGCCCATTGGCGATATTTTCGACATAATATCTTGGTGCGAACATTTACAAGCAGCAGCTAACATAAGTGCAGACCTTGATTGTAGAAGAATGCCTAAACTGTTTACTTTATCAAGAGGGAACTACGGCCAATTTGAACGTCATCAACCAGAGGCGTTATCAGAGCAGCAACAAAGATTAAGCAGATCTAGAGCTATTACCATACTTGTAGGCAAAACTGAAGCAGTGCTACCAGTTCTCAAATGTCAATTGCTGAATAAGAGTATTTCACAGAAGAATGACAAATAAAGGTAATTTCCATGAATAGCCAAATTCGTCCTTACGATGCTTAGTATTGTTTCGTAGGCTAAATTTCTGAAGAAAAGAATACTTTCTATAAGGATAGAATTATAATTAAGCTAGTGTTGATGTCGTGCATTCGGGTACATTGTGAACGTCTGTTATACATTGATTGAAATAACATACTGCGAGCAATTATATGAACAATAAGGGTCTAACCAAAAGAGTAACGATAAGAATAAAGTACGTTTATCTACGCCAATTCATAAAAGGTTCCAGTCAATTGTATGAACAGTGTACATAAAACTTGCTATTGTATGACATTCGTCGTTCGAAAGCGCCATCATATTATGTTACTTGAAAGAGAAATTTTACCAAACTATACTTCTCTTTCCTCTTTCTTGGTATCATTAGCCGAGTGGTTGTTCTTTCAATGGCTTCGATCGTCGTATACATACCTTTTTGAGACTGATAATTTCTTACATTCTCATAGTTATTTCTTCATCAAAACTGTACCGGCTTCAAGAATCAGCAAGGAGTCCGATGGTTAATAGGTATTGACAACTAATAAAGCTATATCAATTTGGAGTAATACATATCGACAATAGTTTTCCTGTTGTATGAAGTGCCTAATCTTACTATCCCAAAAGGCTCATTTGGGCGGATAAAAGAAGAGACCACTATTAACTATATCCATGCATCAAAATGTTGATAGCGCTGAAGTCAAGTAGGAGTGTACTTATTATAACAGAAAACAAGGAAAAGATTTACAATGAAACAGTCTATTCTACTATTGTGCTTTAATGTTATTACGCATTATTTTTTTAATAGGATGAGATTTTATATTTTTACACAGGAAAAGAGAATCAGCGGAGTTAATGAAACAGTTGCTTCCAGGAAGTGAAGCACGGTTTCTTTGAAGCTTCACTTTACTTTTGCTGCAAGAAAAGGAAAACCTCATTTATGCCATGGGTAATACCATTTCAATTTTCACAGACATGACTGCCATTGGCAGTTATGTGAGTGAGTTAGGAGATGTGTACTACGAGAAAAGGTTGTTTGTCGCATTCGTATAAAGGATGAGGTTTCCACTTCGAATAATACTGAACCTAAATTTTTGTTATTCATGCATGAAAACTTATCAGTATGGGCACAGCACGCTTCATGAAAACTTTACGCGGAAGACATAAAGATGGATATGTAGTAGTTAAACTTTTCATAAAGCCAGAGACTGGGCTCAATTTATCGAAACAAATCAGAAAAATAAGAGGTATTTGGCAATATTCACGGATACAGAAAGGGCAATGAATCTTATGTACTTCACCTTTTGTTTTATTATCACAGAGGAATCTAAAGCACTAAGCGATGTTCCGAATGCATTTTATTGTCAGCGGGTAATGGAAACTGATAAAGCAGCCTATCTAGTTCGGCAATGCTTATATAGTAGCTTATATGACAGAATAAGGTAGAGATGTTGGATAGATTCTGACCTAAAAATAGTCGTAGCTCAACCTTAAGCTAACAATATCTACATTGAACGTTTTGCAGTACTCGACCCTTCCTAACCTTAATTGAAAAGAAATGGGTTGCTTATCAGATTTTACGAGGAATGGCAGACTCTCATGCTCGGAATGTATACCATGGAGACTTTAAAACAGAAAACGTCCTGGTGACAACCTGGAATTGGGCATATATTGCAGATTATGCATTTTATAAGCCAACTTATTTGCCGGAAAACAATCCTGCTGATTTTTCATACTTTTTTGATACGTCATATCGAAGAACTTGTTACATCGCTCCTGAACGATTCTATAAGTCCGGAACAGAGATAGACCAGAAAATGAGACAGAAAGCAGACGGGGACGAACAGCTGACGTACAAAAGTGAATTGACAGATAAAATGGATATTTTCTCGACTGGGTAAAGAGACCAAAGCATTGCTTCAGTAGCCAGGAAATTCAAGCTTATCACGTCTTTTTTTAACGAGTAGCTGTGTAATTGCAGAATTATTCTTAGAGGGAACACCGTTATTCACATTGTCGCAGTTATTCAAATATAGAACAGGCGAATATAATCCAAATTCATTATTAGAACAAATAGAGGACATTCATATCAGGGTAGGAAAGCCACTTTGATTCGTACTATTTGAACAGAGACTAAGCTTCCTCTTTTGGCCGAGTAGGATATGATCCTCCATATGATTCAAATAGATCCTGAAAAACGATTATCAGCCGAGAAATATTTGGATCAATGGCACGAAAAGGCATTCCCACATTATTTTTATGCGTTTTTATATCCATATATGTGCTCTTTGAATGAAAAGGAAGAACAGCATCAGCGTGACCACCATCACAATTTGCATCATCACGCTCAGAAACATAATACCAAGAACACAGCAGAATCTACTATAATAGCAGCATTATCTTCAGCGTACCCCAGCATAAGTAAACAGCGAAAATTAACCGATGCAGATGAAAAAATTGAACGCATATTTTACGACTTCGATCGCATAATACATAACGTATCTATACAATGCGATAATGACACTACAAGTTCTAATGTTAGGACTAAACGTAGACCCTCTAATACAGCAACTGTAAGTCGTTTCTATAATTTTTCATGATAATCATCAACTCATTCTTTCCATTTATCGGGTAGAGTGTCTTGTTGCCTCATTATAATTCAACCATACCCACCATATTAATGAAGGATGAGAATTGTGAGACTGCTAATCCGGAGCCAGACGGTAAAGTAGAAAATAAACATCACTGAAGAATGGTTCTGTAAATTAACCCACTTTCTCTACATAGAAGGGGCATTTCTTCTTTTATCATCATTTGTATGCTCCATGATAAGAAACACGCTCTATCCAAACTCTAGGCTTAAAGCGCTGGATATTATTTTAGCTCTCAGTCAACGCTTACCAGATGACGTGAAGCTCGATCGACTTGTTCCCTATCTTATTGTTCTCTTGACGGATGAATCAGCCTTGGTTAGAGCTAACGCTATTAAAACCCTGACTCAAGTTCTTTGTCTAGTTGAATCCATATCTCCCATCAATACGCGTATCTTTCCGGAATACATCCTACCCAGCATTCGACCATTCGCCACTGATCCTGAGGTTTTGGTCCGATATACCTATGCTAGTTGCATTGCCTTATTAGCAGAAACAGCCTTACGATTTCTAGAAATGACACAACTCTTGAAATCTGAGGAAGAATACCCAGTGCAACAACAGCAGCAAGATACATTTGATTCAGCAGCTGCCCATGATCAGGAAGATCTCGATCTAGAGTCGGCTTATGATACTGCGCTACAAGATTTGCAGGCTGTCATCCAAGAACAAGCAATCACCTTATTAATCGATCCAGAAAGTTCAGTCAAGCGTGCACTACTAACTAACATTACTTGCCTCTGTGTATTCTTCGGCAGGCGAATGGCCAACGATGTGTTGTTAAGCCATATGATTACATACCTTAATGACAAGGATTGGCTGCTTAGAAGCGCTTTTTTTGAAAGCATCAAGGGAGTTGGTACATTTGTAGGGGCTAGAAGTTTGGAGGAATATATTCTGCCGCTTATGGTGCAGGCACTGACTGATGCTGAAGAGTTTGTGGTTGAAAAAGTCCTAAACTCACTTACAAGTTTAGCCGATTTGGGCCTCTTCCAAAAGATGAACTTGTGGGAATTAACCAGTATCATTTGGCCTTTGCTTTGCCATCCAAACTCATGGATACGCAATGGTGCAGTAGGCTTCATATCTTCTACGATTAAACATCTACCAAACACTGATCTTTGGTGTATTATCTATCCCATGTTGCGGCCGTTTCTAAATTCCGATATTGCTGAAGTTAACGAACAAAATCTGATAGAAAACATAAAAAAGCCAATATCAAGACGGATTTACGAGCAAGCTATCATATGGGCAACAAAAGCAACCTCTCAATCGGTTTTTTGGAACCAGCAGCATATCCGCGGTAAACTTCATAAAGGGTCAGCTTCTTCCAGGCTCTCAACAATGTCGCAACGCTCAGCATCAATGTTCAATAGCACTTATTCCTTGGAAGCGGAGCCTCAGTACTACTCCAAGGAAGATGAAGTATTCCTGGATAGGCTTAGAAGCTTCGGAATGACACTTCAAGAAGAAACAAAATTAAAATACATGCGAGAGTATATCTATAAAGTGTCCAAGTCAAAGATTAGTCGCCCCAAAATATCGGAAGAACATAATGCGCACAAAGGTGAAGTTTTTTTGAAGAACCTCAATGTAACCCCCATGACTGTATTCTTGCCTGATCTATCACAAAAATTATATATGATAAAGACGAAGAATACTTTGCCAAAGAAGGGCTCAGGAGATGGGCAAGCGACAACAGCGTTGTCTACCAACACCAAGTTTTCTAATAAGCCAAAAGAATATATCGATGTGGGGAACCATGTAGCCAGCCAACCCCATATACAAGCACTTTCCCCTGCTCTCTTGAACAAAGAAAAGCATAACCACTCTCGTGACTCATCCATACCCTTCAATGTTGCTCCTACAAGGTCAGACGCTATACCCATTCCATTATCAACTTCCTCGAACAAACAAAATCGATTGTCACAGCAACCTCAATCATTTTCTTCACCTATACCCAGTCCGTCTGATTTCCATTTTGAGTCTTCATCAAGTATACCCTACACTTTAGTTGCAGAAACGAACAATGGAAATAGTTTGCTAAATACCGAAGAACAAGATAAGAATCTCAATGAAACGACAGAGTTGTCGAAAAGTCATTTTAGTCCTAGTAAGTCTGCTCTGCTTCAATTTGATTTTAGTTTCTATACGTTCGCTCAATACTAAGCATTTATTTAGTTGGATATACCCACTTACAAACATTACTGTATGAAACTGCTATGGAAGCCTTTCCTCCAAATATACCAGGTATAATTCAGTCCGAGCATACATATTATTTTTTCCTCCTTATGCTATATTGACAATGAAGTTGTATCATAGAACTCGTGGGTGATCCATTAGTTATGAAACGTATCAAAAAATTAACAAGTCAACTTACACAGCAGCAGCAGCAACAACAACAACAATTAAACAATAGTACTACAATGAGTAATAGCACTGGTTACTTGGCTCATCCTTACTGGAAACCAGAGGGTAACCTAGTAGCTCATTTTACTGAACATACAGCCGCCATCAATCAATTGGCTATTTCATTCGATCACTTACTTTTTGCAAGCTGCTCCGATGACGGCACAGTGAGAATTTGGGATTGTTCACGTTTGGAAAGAAATGTGACCAATCGTTCTAGAGCCACCTACCATCAACAAGGAGGTAGAATAAAATGCATCACGTTCATTGAAAACACGTACAGTATTGCTGCAGCATCTGATAACGGAAGTATCCATATATTCAGGTAATTTTAGTGAATTTTTATTCTCCAAAGAGTTATATGAATTGCTGACTTTGGGGGTGATCTTTTCTGCCCTTGATTACGCTGCAGAGTAGATATTCGGAATTCAGGTACGGGCGGTTTGAAATTCGGCAAATGCCTTCCTGTGCGTGAATATCAATTGAGCGGTAAAGGCGAGTATGCTGTTACTCTGGCTCACTTTACGAGCAATGCTTCAAATACAATGGCTGGATCGAAGTCCATTTTAGTTTTTGCAACTACTCACTGCAATATATACGCCTTGGACGTGCTAACAATGGATATTGTGTGGACCTTGAAGAATCCAAAGAGTCACGGTGTGATTACTTCGATGATTTCAGATCCTAAACATATGTGGTTATTGGTAGGAACTATGCGGGGTATTCTGACCTTGTACGACTTACGATTCCAGATCTCATTGAGATCTTGGCAGCATCCAACTAAAACACGTATCAGTGCTATGACATTGGTGAGCGGAGTGAGCAGCGCAGATTCTCGTGAACAACAACAATCCAATCATATGTATGGCAATGCAACTACCAGACCTAACATGAACAATAATGTGGATAATATGATGCATAGCATCAATAGTAGTAATGATGACAAGGTATTGATAAAAATAGCCTCCGGCAGAAATGAAATATCTGTTTGGGACATAGAGCATCTTAAATGTATGGAAGTCTATGCTGTCAAACAAGGGGATGAAAAAACCACTGGTGTAATGTTGGAATCATACAAACCACTGGAAACTCCTACGAATCATGATTTATTGGTTACATCGTTCACGAATAACGAAACGCATCTAGTGGAGAACTCGATACAGTCTATTGTTCAAGTAAATCCCATAGTAGTGCTTACTGGTGGAACAGATCGGAAAATCCGATTTTGGGATACTTCACGCATTGAAAATTCTGGTATTGTGTTAGGCATGGATATTGATGAATCAAAGCCGCGCTATAGTTTCAATTTGTTGAACAATATTAAATTCTATTTCGAGTTCACTTCTACGACAACGCCATCAACGATAGCAGCAGCAGCAACAGCAAAATCAGCATCACCTTCTACTTCATCTTCATTGCAGCAAAATAGTTATCAACAACGTCAACGCCCAATTCGGGGCAATATTCACGGAACTACGTCTTTATCTACCAATAGAAGTGATAATCCGATCAATAGTGATAACTTTGTTATACAACAACAAAATTTACTGAAGAATCACACAAATGCAATTACAGACATTATAATTACAGAAAGGCCATATCTCATGATAATCAGCGCTGATAGAGACGGTGTCATTAAAGTAATTGCATAGATATATATTTACTGTGTCGAAAAGGGTATATAAGTTTACATGTAGAGTTTAAGCAAGTAAACGTGGTATTACTTCGTTCTAAACGGAGTGCTTTCTTGTAAGCAGGTATACACAGTATTAGAAATACTTTGGTTATCAATATATCTAGAGCTTCAAAAATAAACTCCATTAACCATTTCTTCAATGGATCTACCGGAAACTCATCTCTCGTTTCAGGATCCTTAAGTTCAAGAGTAACTTAAGAAGCCAGAAAGAAATTATTCTTCATTTCCATAAGATTCCCCTTTTTCCTGCGGGTCTTTTGCTCGCTGCGGTTGTTCATCCAGCACTTGTTGCTTTGGAAAAGTTGAAACATATTCATTAATGAAAGCTGCAATCCTTTGGCTAGGATATCTGGCAGTAAAGCTGGTAACATTTTCATCATTATCTAATTCCATCTCTTCTTTTTCGCCTAGGAGAATGCTCCTGGTCCAAGGTGATTGATGAGCCAATTGTTGAATTTGCTGCATAACATCCTTCATTATTTCAAGATCATCTGATAAGTTCTGGCCCGTGCCCAAGGCTATTTTTAACAATTGAACACTCTGTTAGTTGTGTTCTTTTGATAGTCAAACCCTTCATTACCTTCTGCCATGTGTTCAGATATTTTCGTTATACAAATTTCAATATCTGTTTTGAGATTTTTGAGTTCATAGTATAACAACGTCTTTTGATAAATTCGATTAAACTTCCTTTGCTGCTTAAAGAAAAGAAATATGTTGAGTATACTCTGTTCAAAATTACGATTTTTACTATAGGATATACACTTACTGCTCGAATTTTCTTTTCCATCCTTTCAATTTCTACATCTAACTTTTTTATATCTTCGTCTGTTTTTGCAATGTCAATATCCTACAACGCCAGTTTTTAATATTACAGAAGTTTTGAACTGTAAGGAGGACTACAACTCTACCTTGAGATATTCAGGAACAATATCTAAATCTGGAGGTAAATGCCAAGCTTGTTGCGAAAGGTACTTTTGATAAACGTCCGTCTTGCGCTTATATGCGCGCTCTAGTTCACTTTCATAACGTGCTAAAGCCTAATGATACTTTGATTTTCAGTATCCAGCAATCAGCCATCTTAAGCTTTGTAGGTGTTGTACTTACCGTATGGATATCACGTATTTTATCTGGATGAAGGTCGCTTAGTTCATTTTCTGCATCTTCAATAAATTTGTATAATCGAACAATAATTGCAGTATGCAGATCTCTAACTACTTTGGTTGGTAGACAACCTATAGCTCCAGCGACAATCTCGTGTTCAGTAGCTCTTCTTTCTTCCATCTGCAACGTTTAAGTTGAGGAACTTTGATGTACTTTTCTTGTGCCTAGAGTCAAAGGAACAAATATGCATTTTCGGTAAATAAGCCACGAGATGCGAGCAATTCATTGGCCAGACCCTTTATTTTTTTCAAGCAGTTTCAAATTTCCTTTTATAGAGGATCTTTTGCTTTCAGAAAACGAGCAAGCCTGGAAAGAAAGCGTTTTTCAACACTATTCTTTGAAAGTATTCTTTCTTATTAAAAGAAAAAAAAAGGTTTTGAAAGAATAATATAAAAAGGAAGTTTATTTTTCTTTCTTTTTTTCGTAAGTCAATCTCGTTAAACGCGTAAATCTGTGAAATTTGTTAATCTTTTTTTATCCTCCCGATTTCATAGCACCAAAAGAAAAACGTACATAAATATTTCAACCATTGAATCAGCTTGCACCCGCATTCAATACTGAACTTTTCCTCTTTCTCAGTTTTGCTAAACAGTTTCCTGGTGGTTTATTTTCTTCAAAAATAAAGTCATAAACAATAGCAGTTTTGAGCTTGGAACTACGCAGTTGAAAGTGATCGTAAATATTACAATATACCGACAAGATCTCTTGACTATATTAATTGCAGAATTTAGAAGATGGTCCAGGTTCTACCTATGAATTACAACAACGAACAACATTATAAAGCTGCCAACCCTAACTACGTTAATGATTATCAACAACATCCTACGCCCCCACCTCCACCCCACTATGGTCTTCCCCCACCTCATTTGCAACCACCGCAACAAGCACCCCCTCCCCGCCATCAGCAACAACAACAGCAAATGCCTATACCCTTGCCTGTACCTATGATGAACCATATGATGCCACCTCATCACCAGCATCATCACGCAGCAGCTCCTCCTCATCATCCGCATCATGCTCCACCACCTCAACCACCCAATTTTTTTCATCCTGCTGCTGTAGCTGTAGCTGCTAGCGGTGGTCCTCCGCCTCCACCTCACACAGGACCTCCAGCTCATGCTCCACCACACCATCAGCCTATGTACCCTGCTGATCAACCTGGAGGTCAATATATCGATTATGGAGCTGCTGCCGCTGCCGCTGCTGGGTATCCGATGGGCTTTATATCGCCTGGTAAGGGGATTTTCTTTTTTTTTTTTTTCTGTTTATTTATTACACTCTTAATTGTTCAAAGTATCACATGATTGATTTCTTTCTTTCTATACAGGCTATTACTCTGATATTACCGTTTATGTACCGACGTTGCAAAAGCATTACGCGCTCAACACAACCATTCTCTCACGTTCACCTGTCCTTTATCAGCGTATGATGGAAGAACAATCCAACACTATGGAACTTGACCTTTATGTTTTACCAGAGACTTTCCATACAATTATTGGTCATCTCAACCGCCCACTTTCACCTCAGGAGATTATGTTTTTAGCAACAGAAAAACCTCAAATTGCGATTGAATTGTTGGAAGCGGCTGAGGAATTGGGATTGGATCCTCTTTTGGATGCTTTAATGTTGGCTTTAAGCCAAAACCTCAACCACCGAAAAACAGCTATGACTTATATTCAAGCAATGGAACCTTATCAACCTCTTGAGGAAGAAGAGCCGCGTCGTTGGGTTGGCTTATTAGAAGAGGATATTATCATATTCATGGTGAAACGTTTATCTTCTCAATTGGAAGCGTTTTCTACCTCAGTAAAGGTCAGTGGAAATGTCATGATTGGCAGCGTAAATGCGTGTGGCTACATGCCGTCGCGCACACCTCCTATGCGTGGATTCAATGATTTGGCTAGAGCATTTGCGGCTTTACCTCATCATTTGATGGTACGTTGTTTGGAGCATCCTCTTTTGCCTGTTCAAGACGCGATTCAAAGATCTTCTTTTGCCAAAAGAGTATTGGCGATGTGGAAGAGCAATAATGAATTCCATCAGCGACAAGGTCAGCCTGAATTTTTGGTAGTAATGAAATTTGATAAGGGCGTGGATTCTATTGCAGTTGTTAAAGAAACCCCGTTAAAGAAAGGACGTTGGAACCCACAACTGTATGAAGTATATAGTAAAAAATAACAATAGCGATTTCAACTATAGTCTCGTGAAGATTCATCATACTTCAATGAACCTTTATACACACGAAAGTAACTATCTATACGGCTACAAAACGATAAATACTCTTGGAAAGAAAACGAAGAAAAAAAGACGAAAAAACAAAAAAAAAGCCCCCACCAAAAATATAACTTGAACCTGATCTGGATGTATATCTTTGAAATGGATGCATACTACCAAACGACAGTATAAAATATGCCATGTGAATCGTATACATTGTAATATAACTCACCATAGTCACGAAAACATACTAGACAAAAATGGATATACATATTTCTTTCAGGGAAATATCCTCTTTCGAACCTCTTTCATTTCTACTTTCATGTAAAAACCCTGTAAATCTGATAATCTTAATTCAAATAAACCTTTACACACAATTTCTCATAGATTTACATAATGTTCTCACTCGCGTCCTTGCACATACACATATGGACATTATCTATGTCTACTGATTTATTGCAAAAGCTAACTAAGGGTAAAGATCAATACTTTTCTTGAAATCATCAACATAAACTCTTAACCTAGCATATTCAGGTGCAATTATATCATCTACGGACAAAACAATGTGATAAAGGATGCGTATCAGTTATAGATTCTTATCGTTTGAAGTTAGCACCGGCTTGCTGGTTATAATTACCTTCATTATAGGCCCTTCCAAGCACTCCATAAGCTTTTGATAGGTAACCCCAAAGTTTCTCACTGATAATGTCACCATGTGTTTCTGGAGATGGACGATATTTATCCATTGGTAATCTAATGTTGGGATCTAATGTACCATTCATACGAGCTAATTTATTGTTAGTAATTTTGGTAGGTAAGGGTGAGCCTTCGCCTATTGTAATAAGTTGAACGGTGAGCAGTAAGAATATGCGTAGAACAGAGAAGCATAAATCTGCAAAGCTTACGGTTTCTAAACAACATCCATGTTCGGCCCCATTGCTTCTCCACTAAATAGTGCATTAATGTCATATCTTCCCTTCTTAATTCCTGTATGTACAATTGCTGTTCGGCTTTACGTCTTTTATCCAAATCGTCTGCTGATTCTGGTGCTTTGATATAATCCAAAATAGCCCGCACATCATTACCATCCTTTTCCACAGTAAGCTTATTAAAAAAGAAAAAATAAATAAACAAACAGATATGTCAATGAATCACGTCAATGGAGTTTGCTATTACTTCCTGCTTTGTTACCTTGCGTGGCTTTCCTTCACCACATTTAAAGCAGTATAATTCACATGATTCCAAATGTAATTGAATGGGGTAGTGGTTATCGTCTTCAACGTCCGTCTGACTCAAGCAGTCGGTGCAAGCTGATTGTTGAACAAAGGTTATTATCGCCATTCACTCATACAAGTGCTCTTTGATCTCAAGTAGCGCTTACCTTCACTATGTGTAATGACACTCATATTCAAAAATTCAACTGATTTTTTATGACAGATATCGCACGAATAACGGTAAGGGCTTTTAAATAAGATGCGTTTAATCTCTTTCATTGTATCGGAAAGCTCGTCCAAATGAGGGCATTCATCATTGTTCTTATCTGATTCTGTCTTAATAGGTACATTCTCTTCAGTGTCTTTGTCATTCTGCGCAGCGGATGAAGCATCTTTCTCTTCCTTTGAGTCTTGTTGTTCTTCTGATCCAGTTCCTGCAGTAGTGTTCCCTCCTGCATTGCTATCATTAGTATTGTTGTTGTTGTTGTCAGGTGTAGCGAAATCGCCTTCAGTATCATCGCCATTCTCGTTTTCTTCTTTAACTTGTTTCATTTCTGCTTCAACAACTTCTGTCATTTCGACATCATTCTCTGCTTCTGCAGCAGCGGCACTATCTCTGCTATCGTCACTGTCATTTTTCTTATCATCTTCTTCTTGTTGCGAGAGTAGAAGGTCTCTGTACAGTGCAACCCATGTTGGTCGCTTCTCGTCCTCTGTTACCTTTATCTCTGTCACACCAAAATCACGCTCTGTCAACTTTCTGAATATAGATTCATCTGTCATTAAAGTCTTAAAACTTTTCGAAGCAAGGGCTAGCTGAAGTATTGAAGCTACTGTTAGGTGCGAGGATATATTGGCCAATACTTCAGGTGTCAACTTCTCTATTTTGGTTTGGTTATGAAACATGGTGTCTATTTGCTAATGGAGTATCAGAATATGCTTGCTTTATACAACAATGAATAAAAAGTATAAACTAGAAAAAGACGCGTATTGGGAATTTTAGAGAATAACAGGAGGGAAATGGAAAGAAAAGAAGAAGAGAGAAATTTTTCGCCCTTGTTTATTAAAACAAAAAAAAAAAAAAAAAAAAAAAAAAAACAACCAAAAAAAAAGGCGAGATCTGAGTTTGATTTCTAATTTTTGCTCAGGTATTATACTTTAAACTAATGTCTCAATGTTTGGATGCTTTTAAAAACATCTTCAAATTGTTCAAATAACTATGAAAGAAACATATAACATTAGTCTTTAGTGTTTATGTTTAGAGCATTTAATGATAATACTTTACATTAAATTGGTGTTCAGAAGTAGTCACTATTTTTGTTTCCTCTTCCAAATGCCTATTCTCCTTTCTTTCTTCAGCCAGTAATTTGTAGTACTCGTCACGCGTCTTCTTCATCAACCTTTCTATGTTTCTGATCCTTCCTATTCTGTCCGTTTGATTTGCAAAATTGTTTGCATAGTCAGTAAGAGCACCATTTACGGCGCTATACCAATCTTTAACCATTTGTTCGCCGTCCTCAGTGAATACCATGTCCCTATTTCAGAATATGTACGTAGAAAGATTAGCATTTGATATCCTTGCAAAATTCAGTAGAACAAGAACAAATTTTACCTAGCTTTCCTTGTCTCTTCTTCCGTGGTTTTTTCAAAGAAATTCGCATGTAATTCTGCTAACTGTAGGTTTCTTCTGGATGCAAGGTTTAGTCCGCTAGTTTCTTCTATGACTTCTTTTAAGTAACGCTTTTTCATCTCATTCCTTAGCTCTTCTTCCTCATCAATTTCGAAGGTTACATTTCGAGTATCTTCTGTAAGTTTTTGTTCTTGTGGTGGTCTATTTTCCTTATCAGCGTCAAGGTCTTCATCCAAAGAGATTGGGTGCGGCATAGGAGTTATATCCTTTGCCATAGACTCATCGACCATTAAGACATCCTCAACCTGGTCTATATCCATATTATAATCATTGTCGTAACCATAATCGATATTGTCATCATCAAAGGCAAATGGATCGGAATTGTGATGCTGTTCTTCTTTATCTTTATCTTTATCTTCACGAAGCTCTATAACCAAATCTTTGTCCAGCCCTACATCTAAATCTACATTTGAGTCTTCTTCAATTATAGCCTCTTGTGCTGGTTTCTCTAATTGTTCTGCTTCTTCAATTATTTCCTCTTGTGCTGGCTTCTCTAATTGTTCTACTTCTTCAGCTATTTCCTGTTGTGCTGATTTCTCTAATTGTTCTACTTCTTCAGTTATTTCCTGTTGTGCTGGTTTCTCTAATTGTTCTACTTCTTCAATTATTTCCTCTTGTGCTGGTTTCTCTGATTGTTCTGATTTTTCATCTATTTGTTCTTTCTCAACAAAGTGGAGTGAAACGCTGTTTCCAGTTAACGACGATGGCATAGATATCAAAGATTCTTGGGTATCCAATGTGATTTGCTCCAATTCTGTCATCACATTTTCACTTGAAGTGCCTGTCTTCGTACGTTTAACGTTGCTACTTTCAACTGATTCTCCTGAAAATTTCCGTTTAGCTGCTACTGTTGTCTTCGGAAAGTCATGCGAATCAGCCTTTGCCTCTTCTACTTGCTCTTCATTGGTAACTAAATCTGCTTGTTTTACTTTTTCTGGAACAACAGTGTTTTCATTAAACGATAATGGCATACGTATTAAAGGCTCTTGGGTATCCAATGTGATTTGCTCCAATTCTGTCATCACATTTTCACTTGAAGTGCCTGTCTTCGTACGTTTAACGTTGCTACTTTCAACTGATTCTCCTGAAAATTTCCGTTTTAGCCCACAAAAATTGGACTTTGTCGAAGAAATTTCGTCCTCATCACGAACTTGCGTGCTAATGGATGGAGAATTCGGAGGGCTACGTTCATTTTCTTCTGTAGACTCAGTTGTCTTACAAGTGCTAATAGCGAGAATATCTGTCTGCGATATAATTTGTTGAGTAGGTATCAACGCGTTTTCTACTGTAGAAGAGGTGTTTTGGGAATCATATGTTTGCACGAGAGGTGACATCGCATCATTGTTGATTGAAGCATTCAATTCCTTTTCTATTACAGCACCGTTTTCTTTATTATTCTTCTCAGTCAGCTGCTGATTTTCTCCTTCTTTTTCAGAAAGACTTGATGGCTTATGAGCATCAAGGTTATGTGGTGCTGCCATCTTTCCAACTGCTTTCTCTGTTTCGTCCACTTGATGCTCATTCTCATAGTTGTGGTACTGCTGTCGTTGGCGATTTTGCCGTCGTTTTCGTCTGCCCAATTCTATCAAAGCAGAAAATGAAGTACGTGGCCATTGCTTCTGTTGCTGCTGTTCCACCTCTAGGTTTTTGCTCTTATCGATTACGCTTTTGTCAAGTTTAGGATGATCTCCTGCAGCGATTGTTGCTTCTTTCACACGACTGTAGATTTCTTCTTCTGCCTTTCGAAGTGTGTTTTCAGAATTGAAAAGACGTGCAAATACCTCAAAAGGATCCTCTATTTGATCAACATCACGCCGTGGCGGGAGGAGAACTTCACTGGGAGGTTGTAGGGCTCGTATTAAAGCAGTGGGACGAATAGAGTTGCGAATTTGGTCGTTGGTTTTATCTTGAACCTCCAAAAAGGGAATGTTGTAATCAAGTTCTTCTGTACTTTGAGAATCATTGTCATCATCAAATACATGAACAAATTTATCCACATCAAGAGATTCATCTTGAATGTCGTCCGCGTCTTGGTCAGGTATTGCTACTATCGACACAAATGTTTGAGACACGAGCAATAGTACGAATAATCGTATGGACTTACCATCATTGGTACAACTATCAAATATGGCGCTGAGGTCATAATACTCGCCCTTCAGTCGATGTGCAAGCTTACGTTGATGATATTCGTTTAGCATTTAACTTTGACTAGCGTATAAAAAATGGCTGCCTTTCGGTTTTAAGATGCTAAAGAAAAACGCAAAGCATAAAATTTCTCCTTTTTCTATTCCGCATGCAAAAAGGGAGCAAATTACACACGATTTCTGTTCCAATTTATTAGTACATCGGGTTTATTTATCCAGCTTTATCAAACAGTTTGAATAGAGACCATTCCCTAAACCTAGACTTTATTAATACAAGTAAACAACGTAAGAAAGAGTTTGTATACGGATCACAACAACTTTCGAGCACCGTAGTGCTTTAAATGAAGTGATGGATTCATATTCTATGCTGCTATATTAACAAGGCCAACATCTTTTTGCATGTTACAAAGTTCGCTAGTTTCCCTACTATGCCGCTGTTGCTGGCGGCTTTGAGTGTTTGTAAAGTGTTGTTGTTGAAGTTATTGATTTGATGAAATTTATCTCGTTTGGGCCCTAAAATAAATTTTCTATTCATCAAACAAAGAATGATCTAGCATTGGTTGAAAGGAAAGTATTACAATCAGGTTTTAGACCACGGATGTATGTATATAACTATTAACAACAGTATCTGGTTGCTTTTGATGGCGGAAATGTCTAATTTTAAGCTCACTTTTGAATATACATCATTAAAAAACATTCCATTTAACTTAATTGTGAAAACTGAGTATCGTTTAAATGAATGCAATATAAGAACTTACTGATTTTGTTACGGTTCGAGAACCAATCTTTATCAATCAGTGTTAAGGTCTGTGCTGGCATAAAACAGTAATTAGTACTAGAAATAAGAATTATAAACAACTAATGGGATACACTGTTTTCCCCTTGACAGCGCTGATAATGTTCAAATAATTTTTGTAAAAGTGTACCATATGGATGTCTTTGAGTGAGTCGCGGATGCTGTAACCGACTGCCAAATAAGCATTAAAATGTGATTCATTGATGATACGATTTATTATTGTTTTTTCTGTCAAGTTTATTGAGTATTGAGAATACTGTACTATACACGGCCATATCTCAACCAAAAGTGAGGAGCAATACCACTTGCGTCCTTACTCTTATGCTCAAATGTTAAGCGTCTTTAGCATCCCATTTCTACAAGGCTATCTACGCGTTATTCTCCTCAAAGTAAGAAACCTTATACCACGTCGGGCAGATGAAGGGAATTTCAACGGCAGGATTTATCAAGGCATAACTGAGCCATAAGCTCGGTTCAAATCAGCTATCACTGTCACGACATCGTGAACAAGCAACAGCTGTGAAAACGTTTCCAATAGCAGTTGGTGTTGTGAATCAATTAAGTTCATTAACTACTCTAAACAAACCAGAATACAACGGCGAGAACTATATACTCTGATTGCTGATTGAACGCTGAACAATGTCTTGAAGTTGTGTGATACAATCGCCAACTGTTTTCCGCTTAAAATACTTGCCTCTCCCATTGTTTCTTGTAAAATACCCATGCTCATCTTCTCATCCAACGACCGAAGAGAGAAAAAAGGTATGACGTCAATCATATAGCCTTTTAGTTCCTTACCCTACTCTATTGGAATTCAAACGCATGGAATAAGTGAACGAGACTAGTTTTTGACCCCTCATATGTACTCATAAGTCAATGTCTTTCTGAGAACTAATTTATGAACTGAACACTAGAATTCATAATCCATTGAAAATATGAATTCATTGAAAGTTGAAATGCTCACTGCGGGCTATTCAAAATGTGGGGAGAGGGCATTTAATGAAAAGGGACAGAAGCATTGCCCAAAGACTCCTTCTCCAAACGCATTGACACCGGTAAACCGCATCAGCTTCTTTAAAGCTGATACAATTCAATGGTATTAGTGCGGTTATTTCTGAGAAGCAGGCAGAAGGAAGGTCCAAATCAAACACATCTGGAATCACCAAATCTTGGTCGAAGAGAATTGCCTGTCGTACTTGCGTTTTGCAGCTGCACTAGCTGTGGTACGACTGATGATGGTGGGGGGGGTTGGACGCTTCATTATATAACAAACTCTCAGTGTTGACTGAGTCACTGGATGGTTGTAAAAAACCTCATTAAGGATGGAATAAGAATGGTGATACTGCAATGCAGAATGAGAAAAGGCTGGAAATGAAATAATGTCTGAGATGTTGAACGAACTTTACAACACTTTGCTTTGACGAATACCATTTCATACTAAGGATAACCTTAATTCTGTTAAGCTGTTGTTGTCTCTCTTCGATCAGCGGATTTTAAAATATAATGCCACTTTGAATCGTTCAGCACGACTGTACCATTGTAAGTTCAATTTCAATAGCTATATTCAAGAGGATATAGCCAATTTCAATTTACTGATCACCAGAGCTTCTGTATTTGTTATGGTTATTTGATCTGCGCTTAACGTGCTTTGTTACAAACCGATGGAGATGGCGTGTTTCTAGATTGTTCAAAAGCTTAACGTGCAAGTCCGCCTGATCTACGAATACCAGCCAATATAGATAACAACAAATTTCCATGCTGTTTCTTTCGACTGCATAGTCATAATCATGAAGGCACAATGAAAGATCTGAAGTTGTCTGTTATTGAACAGTCAAAATGTACAAGTTATACTGTATATAGCTCATGAATGAAGACTCCGATAACAATTTTAACTTAGATGCTGCTACATGATATTTTAAGCGAAACGTCTAAGTAAAATCAGTAAAGTTCCGTTCATTTTCGTTGAAGACATTTTGCAACGTGAAGAGGAATCTGATTAGAAACTATCTAAAATTAACCGTACTGCTCGTATTCGTTATGCTTGTATCAATGTCATCTAGGCATAATGAGCAACCGTAATAGGCAGCTATAATTGTTTTAATATAGATTTTTGGTAAAGTCCACATTGAGGAGAACCTTGAGACACATGAAATTCGGACAGAAATACAGTACGATTCTATACATATGTATTTAAGCAGAGAAAAATTTATATAAAATATTAACTATATTAACTATCTAACGCCTTCCATAACCTCCGCGGTTACCTCCTCTGTTGTTGTTATAACCGTTGTTGTAGCCACCGTAGCCTCCTCTGTTGTTGCGATTGTCATATGTTTGGTTATATCGAGTATGCGAATTTTGCTGTTGGTAATATCCGCCACCACCGCCGCCACCATAACCCTGCTGCTGTTGATAATAACCATAATCATAGCCATTTTGGTAATTATTGTTATACTGACGCTGCTGCTGTTGATAATTGGAGTGTTGGTTATAGCCGCCACTTTGATGATAGCCGCCTCTTCGGTTGCTGTCATGATTATTATAGCCTTGTTGACTGTAAGAACTGTCATAGCCGCCATAAGCACCAAACTCTTGTTGATTATATTGACGGTTATATGAATTCTGACTGTTGTAATTATTATATCTGCGGTTTTGATAATTGTTATTGTTACTATTTATCCAAGGAGAGGAAGTAAGAAAGTTAGCGACAGGATATAAAAAGCTACGCAACTGAAACTTACAATTCGCGGTATTCTTGAAGATGGTTGATCTGCGGAGTCCAGCCTCTATTCATCTGATATTTTTGTCGATTATCAATCTTCTCAAATGTTGCTAACTGCAAGTCTTCATAATTCAATGTGTTGTGAATTTTGATTCCCTTCAGTAACTGTGTGGAAAATACAAAGCCAGGAGGAAAATGTGGAAGTGAATACGACACACTGATTGATTTATCATTACGTATATCAGGTAGTCCAAATTCTGACAACGGTGAGTAGAATGTGCTACGCGGTACACATTCTCCGTCCTTATCAATTTCGCCAGTTAGACCATCACAAAGTCGTGGGTCTAATGGCAGTTTTTGACCAACAGTTCGTTTACTATACACAGTGCTAATAAAGTTATAGGCTTTATGTGACTCGCTCACATAAAGAATACTAGGCCCTTCAGAATTACGCTGCTGCTCTTCTTCGTTTAATTGATCATAAACGGTACTCATTGCTTCTAATAGTCGCTCTGTATTGATAAATGGGAGTTTAACAACACCTTGCCACTCAAATTTCTTGCCGTCCATGTCTACATCGAATTCGGTAGGATAGTAATCAATAATTGGCGAATCAGCCTCGGTCATTAAAACGTGGAACGGTTTGGGGATATGGTCTCTACTAGCAGCTGGCAATACGCCCATCAGTTGTTCGAACGGCTTCAGGGGTGCACTCTTCTCAAATTTGATGTGTAAGTCACCAATATCGGTAAAATCCGAAGCCATGGGAGCATAATAGTAAGGATAATACCAAGACCAAGAAGCGCAACCGATGTAATAATATTTAAACACCCAAACAAGGCCCTCACAATATGATTTGACAATATCCTTGATCTCATCTCTGTCCGTAGGTGTAAGATTGAATTTGGTCTTGTAATATCTTTCTTTCCAGCCGGCCTCCCAAAGTCGTACTTCATCCTCGGGTGTTCGTTGATGGGTTGCTTCCTCTTTGTCTTTCTTTTCCTGAGCAACACGTTGTAAAATAGCTTTTCCCTGAGCTTCTAAATCACTTTCTGAGTCCTCGTCAATGGCGTCATCATCATCTTGATCAAATGCTTCTTCATTGCCACGGTCTTCTTCCTCATCATTACCTGACTCGACTTCATCATGTTTACGTTTAACACCACCTTCAGTAGAAGTCGCTGTATTTCCCATCAATTCAGCTTTTAATGCCTGAGCTGCATTAATATTTGCCATACGGATCTCTGCTCTATTCGCTACTACATCCATATTGGACATTCCGGCATTCGGGTTGCTTACAGGTGCAGCTGTCATGGCGCCAAAATCGGGCCTACTAGCGTCATAAACTTGTTGTTCACGCGTTCGTCTTTCATTCTCCAACTTTCTTCTTTTTGCTCCTTGAGCGCGTCTTTCTTCTGTCTGTTTTCGTTGAGTGAAAATCTGATCTTCCATCTTGCCCAATTCGTGTACCAATATCTGAACTTTTTTCAAATCAACATCGCCATTGTTGGTCATATAGCCGCCCATCAACGGCATAGTACTCTTCCATAAAAGGCTGAGGGTACTGATAGCCCCCTCTCTAATTTCTAGAGACGGCAAGTGAGGTAAGAAGTCATTACCAACAAAGAAACATAAGAATACCCAATCGTCAATAGCTCTCTCAAGGTCCCAAGGAATTCCTGGAATGTTAAACTTCAAGGCATGCTCCAAATATTCTCTTAGTACGTTGACGTGCAGAAATACATAAGGCTTAGGAGGTTCATTCTGTTTCATTACTGCGAGATCTTCATTTGATAAAGGGCACTGTGCTGCAAAATGACCGGACTGTTTGCAACGTTGACAACTATTCTTTTTACGTTTATCTCCAAAAACATCTTCACGAAGGACTTTAAAGTGAGGTTCATGAGTAGCTAAAGCTAACATGATAAGATCGGCGTCGAGACCGTACATAACGTGTTTTGTGTTGGGGTTGTGTTCAGGCCGAGAGCGAGTGACTCGAATGAATTCCATGACTTTGTGCTCACCTTCACCGGGAACGGTAGCATCCGACAGAATTACTTTAAGCTTTTACAAAAAAAAAAAAAAATCAAAAAAATCAGTGATTGTCTCTTGCGTTTTACAAGTTGCGGAAGTTGGTATGAACACTCACATTCTTCCATAAGGGGTCATTATTTTGCTTATAAGCAATATGATAACGCAAGCATGTTGCCAAACGAGCCATAAAGGGTGTACCTGGTGTAATACAATTAGAATCGAAATGTTTCTTTTCTTCGGGCATTTGGTGTTCTTGACCAATAGCTATTTGAAATGCTCTACATTAGTTTATAGGAGCCTATAGGTAGAGATATGAATATAAGCAAAAATTCTTTGTTACCTTGCAATTCTTCAAAAACTCTCTCCTTGGCGTTTCTCTCAACTTCAGCTAATTGCGATGCACGGAAACGACGTGAACGCTGTTGATTCATTTTAGCACGAGGTGCAACACCATCTAAACAGAAGAAACAGCAATGCTCCTTCATTAGCCATCGTATATCTTTTCGACTAAGCAGCAAAAATGATATCTTTACCAATGGCCATATACAATAATTTACGGGGACGCACCATGTCTACTAATCGATCCATATAGTCGAAGATGGCAATCATCATATCATCTTCTGTAGCTGGTGCAGGCTTTTGATAACAAATTGTTAAAAGTAAGAAAACTGCGGATGGAATTTTCAAGATCTAACGAGTAACTGTTTGATCGGCTAACCTTATTTTCAGGATGACAACAGGGATGAATAATACCGTTCATATCCAGATATAAATTATCAAACTCTTCGCCATTAGGGTTTGGTTTGGTTGTATCCACAGGAATCGTTACTCCATTGACATTAGTGGGCTGTTCTTCGATCACCTCCGAAACAACTTTGGGAAATTTATCTGATAGCCATCTTAAATCACGTCAAATAACAGTTAGTACTAACAAAATAATATTCCTCTTTTTGATAAATAATTGTACCTAAAAAATGCGGGAACCCCCATGATAAGTAAATTCAAAAATGAGTTTAGCGATATTGAAAAGGAAACAGGATAAATTTTGATTTTTTATTTTTTGAAAGGTAAAAAGCATGAAAGGCTAAACCTTTTTCGGTGTGACCGGTCCATTAATCATGAAACCCAAAAGACAACACAATTATGCAATGGTTTCTTTCCGTCTTTTATTTATAGTCTTCTATATCATTTTTGTTGCTTCTGCTTCACTTGCGCTCACAATGTCTACCCCGTTCGAAAAATTGCTAAATAGCTCGCGAAATGCACCCGATGAAAGTTGTGATGGTTGGAGAGACAAACTAATTGGCAAAGTGGTTCTTCAGGATGACGAAGAAACAACGCTTAATAACGATGAGGTAAAAGCGCAGTGAGCGACCATATTCTGCGGCATTAAAGGCTGACTCTTCAGATCAATTTAGTATGTTCGAAAGAAGGATCTTCCAAAACCTCATAGAGTACTGGCGCCAAACTCGTTAGCCACAATGGATTATAGACCCGACCGTTTAAACATTCGAGTTGATCATACTATGAGGGTTACAGGTGTTAACTATGGATAAATGCAAATGTTTGTGCTTTACTTCTACCTTAGTATGAGTATATAATCCCTATTGAAGTATACTATCTGTCCGTTTATAAATCCATCCTTCTCAGACGATATTTTCGGTTCGTTCAAGTTGGGGTACGAATTCAGTACTGAGTGATCTTCATCCGAACCCAGCAAAAATGTGAATATACTATTCGTTTAAGTTTGATTGCTCTAACTGATGTATCAATCTTTCCCTCATTTTTTTTCGCTGTTGAAGCCATTTAATGCACCATTCCGTTGTTTTTTTGTTTGTTTTTTTTTCTACTTTCTGAATTTACCATATTGATAATTACCTTACACACAGACTGGTGGGATGACCTGACAAAGTCCCTTGACACTAAATGGAAGGGCTTAGAAAATGGTCATTTCGATATCTTTCAGTCGCACAGATTACGAAATAAATTTAATGTACCAGAGATTGGCCAGCTTATTATGGCTTTCAGAATCAATAAAACGACCAATAACGGTAGACGAATTGTTAATGGTTTGCGCTTAAATGAATCCAGATAATGCTATTTTGGACCATATTTTTATTCAAATCACAGTATAATACACTCTAGTTCAACTACTATGGCACGGTGTTTCACTTAGCCATATTTACTGAAAGTTCACCAACTGAAATAATAATACAAATCCGAATATTTATCTGCTGTCGAATATATGCAAATCAGTTAGACCTACCTTGTGAACCTATCATCTATACATATTGTATGATAGCAGCTTTGGCAATATTAAAATATAGTAAGAAGAGCAGTCAGAACAACTGATCAATAGCCAACATTTATTCAACATCGCAGGGATCAAACCAGCAATTGTTTCCAAGAAACTAAGGTGCAACAACCAAAATTTATGAAATATTGCTCTGACCTTAACAAATGTTTACTGCTCAAAATGATCGGTCAATAACATGGACAATTTATAGGCTATACCAATCCAACAATTCAATCAAGCTCATCACTGAAAGGATATACTGAAACTAATTATGAGAGAGTCCAATTTTATACCTGCTCACTTTATCATTTTATGCAACAAGTCTGTATTTATTGCACACCAGCTTTCCAAAAATATGCTAATAATAGCGTATGATGTTGAACGATTACCTATTCATTCACTTGTACGGGTAACCACCGAGATATAATTATAGCTGTCAATTTATAGAGAATATTTCCCAGTTCATTCACATTAAAGGCTCAAAAGGAGCAATCAAAATTTTTCAATTCATCTTCCAAAGTGAAAAAAGACATGTTGATCGATATATAAATAAGTACTTAAATTAATAGATATGGAATATGTATATAGAAGGGCTTTAATAAGGCCCGTAACACATTGTTTAATGATAATTGTAACTGGCCTGGTCGTGATTGCTTTGCTCTGCTGGCTCATAGGAGGATAAGTCAAGCATCGAATCCCATACATTCTTGGAGATAAAGTTATGTATTACATTATTGCCTGAGTTGCCACTTCCAGCATTATTACTGTCCTCCTTACTTGGCAAAACACAACCAACGTTGCTGCTCTGTTGTATATTGCCTCGACTATAGTGATCGTCCTCTTTTCCAGTGGCACCCGTAACGTCATTGTGAATAAAAGTGCACCGAACCCCATAAGAGCAGGTGCCATAATCATGGTAGGCTTTGCATATTTTGGTTTTATATTGGTTTGAACGCAAGATTGGCCTAAGTTCTTCTTTGCCATGTGCATAGCGACACCTTTTGCCATATCTATAAGATTTGTGAAGCCCAAACTGAACTTAGTCCTGACTGAGTAAAATAAAATAGAACAAAACGAAGAGATATACTAATTACATAAATCCTTGTACCTGCAGGATCCTTTTTCGTCCCAATTTCTACAACTTTCTGTTTTGTAAAGAAGAATATCCTTATAGGTTATGTCTGAAGGCATACAGTAATCTGGATCACTCTTTCCAAAGATATACAAAATGGAAACATCAAAAAGAAAAGCATGGAATTAAGACCTATCTTTTATAAATTGCAATAATAGATGATTTATCACAAAATCCATCAATGTTCTTGTACAGTGATATTACTTCACAAGATTCATAAACTGTCGAATCTAAATTCATGTAATGTATGCGAACTTTTTATTTTTTGTTTTCCGCTTCAAAACAGTATACCTACAATACATCTTTACAGTTTTGATCACCACGAATACAAGTGTACCAATCTCCAACAATACATTTTTTATCCGTGACTTTTGAACATGGACAATCTTTAGGCTTTTTGACACAAATATCAGAAGCTGGGCAAATATAGTTATTGCAAGGTATGTCTATCATTTGAAAAATTAGCCCTTGTGAACACTGGAGCTAGCAGCGTAGGCTGTGCTGAACTTTCCTATCACGTCTGCGTACCTGATCTGCTCGATCTTTTTAAGATGGTCGTTCCAAATACCGCTGCTGATTCTTCTGATGCCTTTTCATCCGACGTTCCGAATAGAGATTTCAAATTAAATGCTTCGATACAGCTTGAAAAAGAGATGTATATGAACAACAGTGGAATGGCGATACTCGGTTTCAATAACATTAAGTGAAGGGCAAAGTTGAGACCAACAACTAAGCGAAATTCAACATGCAAATCAAGCAAAAAAGAGCCAATCAAATAAGAATATTTATAGGAGCTGTTTACGATTAAATTTAGTTTTAAACCCAATGGGCACACAGATAAACTACATGTCAAAAAATTATCTTGGACAGATCAAAATATGCTAAGGAATGAAAATCCCAAAATGGACAAAGGAAAAAAGATAGTGTATCATAATGCTGACTATGGAAAAACGGGACAATCAGATATTGATAGTTGTAGAGCTGTCCAAATGTTTCTGATGGGGTGGGGGGGGGCATTTTCTCGTGTTGAAGGTAATCGAGTTCATAAGAAATACTCCAGTTGACTGGTGCATTGGTACGCTATCTTATGGGCCGAGTGGAAAGTTGATTGAACAAGTGGGAATTGGGGTCAGCGACGACTGTCAGAGGTTGCAGTCGGCTATGCATTTGTAGGCACTCAGTGGCGTGGGCTTTCGTGAGAGTGTGCAAGGGGCGGTATAGGCAATGGACTGAGTAGTTGTTTTGGGAACCATCCCAGTCTCCAGCGAAGAACGACTACGTTTATTAAAGCACTTTGAAAGCCAAAGAATGGGGTCGAGTGAAATGTGGTGGAGGCTCCTACTTCAGGTGGTGTGGCTCCATCCAAGCGTAAACTTGAGACAATTAATACGTTAAACAAAGCTAATCAATACAACTGTGACAATCTTATGAGTAAAGGAAGGAATCTGTATATTGATAGGTAATATATGAAACCTATAGCCGTATCCTTACAGTAATTTAGCGAAATGAATTATATCATACAGTGTCTTGTCAACCCGAGATATCGAAATCTCTTGTAATTATGGACTCGAGCGAAACATACTTATTTGAGTCTAGAAAGCAATTTGTATATTACGATCTTTGTGTACGATATTATGTAGCATTGAATGGTTGAATAAATACTTTATTGAAAGAAATGCCTATGTACTCTTATTTTTCTTTTCGTAATCATCTAATCGAGATGCTAACCTTTGGAAGAATCTTGTAGATATACTTGGGCCATTATTTTTATTTTGGTTACTATAAACAGTAGTTGTCGCTGTAGTATTGCCGGTAGATGCTGGCATTAATCCTCTAGTGATAAAATGAGCCTTCGGTGTAGCTGATATTGTTGAGCCGAATCCGTTGAATCCAGTCAAGAAACTCGCTGGTCTCAAAATAGGTGCAGGTGGTGGCTGTTGCTCATTACTATTTGATTCGTGAGCATGATTGAAATCTTTGTTCAATTTCACATTGGATAATATGGATGAACTTGAGCTTATTGTTGTTGCACTTGCGGTTGTGCTCGTAGATAAGCTCTTTTTTGTAGCAACGGCTACCATTGTCTCAGAATTTGTATGTAATAATTCTTTTAATCCTTCTCGATTTTTCGACGGCTTCTGTTTAATGCTACCACTACTATTAACCTCGATATCTGATCCTGTTGCACTACTTAATATAGAGGTATCTGCTGTAATAATGCGATGCCTGATCTCGTTTCGTAGACTTAGATTTCTTTCAATTTCTTTTCTCATCTCATTTCTAAACTCTGCTGAAAATAAAGGCCCTTTCGTTGCTGATCCTATTGCCGTTACAACATTTTCGCTATTTGTCGTAGTACTAGCAGTGGTAGATGATGTTGTAGAGGAAAAAGAGAATGTCCTTGTTGCTACAGGATTAGTATTATGAGGGTGGTGATGGTGATAAAAATCTTCCTCATCGTCCTGTAATATTTTTGGCTCACTTAGACTATGTATTGTGTCTTGCGCTTGTTCCAACCTTTGAGCATATTCTTGTGCTTGCATCACCATGGCTGCTAGTTTTTCTTCACATTCAACTTGCTGGTTTTCAAGTTCAGCGATGCGTGCCCTTAATTGTTCATTTTCTGATATAACCTGACCATTAGCATAAAACTGGTCAGTCCAACTTCATATCTTTTAAATTAATAAATCTTTTTCCTTAGTACCCTAGACAAATCGGATTGTATATTTTTCACTAAATGGGACGTATTGGAACTAGACTGTTTTTGTGATGTCAGCGCTTTATCCAATAATGACTGTAGATTGGTATTGACTTCTCTAGTAGCTGCTAGCTTCTGTTCTACTTCTGCTAATCGTTTTGCATACATAGTCACTTTAGATCTAGAATCAATCTATTTAATAAGAGTATTTTTGGCTTAGCTGTTGAGTGTGTAAACTGAAGCATGACTCTCCATATCTCTGAATTACCATTTCTACAGCCATATCGTTCAACTGAGCTGATAAACCATCCATTTCCTTTCTGAATTTCGACAGTTCTTTCTTTGCTTGATCTAGCTCTTGTATGAGTTGAATACGTTCATCTTCATCAAACTCTGAGCCACTATTGACATTGTTCCTGCTAATCCTACTGCTGTATTGTCTTGCTGTTGTCGTGGATAATAGCTCTTCTTGGTAAAGTTTATTATCTCTCTCCAGCTGTTCCAACTTGAGGGCAAGAAAGACAATTAGTCCTATCCCTGAAGACATTAAGGAAATTTCGTGTTCTAGCTTACTTTTACTTGAATTGCCTCATTTGTTTCAGAAATGACCAGCCCAATCCTTGCTGCTACTTCTAGGTCATTAGCTATGCTTTGCCTTTCCCTTTCTTTCTTTATAACTAACTGTCGTAATAGGTTGACGTCATCTATTGCATATATTTCCTTTATAAACATAGGTTTATCTAAAATGTTTTTGCCCTTTGAAATATAAGTATAAATATTGATTACTCTTGTTTATACAACGCAAATAAAGGAAATTGAAGACAAGGAAAGAAAAGGGTCTCTGGAGATTGTTTGACTTTCAAACTTACCTTCTGGTGTCGTTCCAATTCGTGCTAAGCAAGGTTCAATTTCGTGGGTATACGAGGATGTTGCTGTCATTCGTTTATCGGCGGCCTCGTGGCTCTGCTTTAATGATGTGAAAAGGATTAAGGGCTACAACCAACAAATGCATTTAGAGGGGAAAAGGAGGGCTTTACATTTCGCTCCCCGCTCAAAAACGGATGGTGAAAATTACAATTGCTTCAGAATGGCACGCATTAGCCAAAACCAGGAATTTCTCCGTAACACTGAATCAGGTAAACCTATCACTACGGCAAGTGATGACAACTATAGATTCATTCCTTTTAAAAGAAGAAAAACAAAGCCTTCCCTTCACATTAGCGGAAGAAGTGATTTTTCCTTCTGATTTCGGTAGTTCAGCATACCTTTCCAAAGAACTATCGTAGAATGTTTCGTAGATTACTAGGTAGATTCAAGCCTAATACAGTATTCTCGCGCAACGTATTAAGCAGTTTAAGATTCGTTTCTTACTACGTTTGTTAGGAAAAAAAAACCTCAGGAATATGGAACAGTTATAGCTATGCTAAACAATGTTTCATAAAGAAAGCCATTGTTATTGATGATACATTCTTAATCATACATTCATAAAAGGAGTTCCAACTGTGAGTTTTACGGGTCTACATTAGAAAACATCATTAAGTCAAGATTAACAATGCCTAAATGATTACTATTTCCTACAGCTCGAGTCCTTCTTTCCACAAAGTGGTAAAAATATGCAGTGGTACAGCAAAAAAAATAAAAGAGTAACGTGCTTTTCTTCGTCATGTTATTTTCAAAGAATAATATATTTTACATCGGTAACCTTATGTTTAAATCAAAACATCTCTACAGCAAAAGTTTTGGCTTTCTGTCTTCAGAGTTATCTACGAAGCTTTCACTATCGACGATGTTAGAGAAGATTTTCCCAATTGCCACACTTTATTGAGATATTTTATTGGATAGGATATATTGAACACGCTGTTGTATCAGTACCTCTAGGTAGCCGTACCTAGTATGCTTAACATGTCCCTCTTTATTAAAGCGTTGCTAGTTGGTATGAGAGTTAATATTTTGAAAGTTATCAAGGTATTATTGCTATGCTTGGTCTACAATGCAAGTTTCCTACAAGTACAATCTTTTGATCTAAATTAAATAGTATTCAAACATACCAGTCTGAGGAACAAGAATTACAACAGCAGCAGGATTTTGCTATGGTCGTACGCTAAGCACAGTCCTAAGCACATCTACATATGGGAAACTTCACCTCTTATTACCTATGAATCAAATGTTTCTATCAACCTGATGCATGAAGCATATACGAACATTGCCCTCTCTTGATGCTATTGTACTTTGTGAAATGGTCGACAGGTGTCAAAATGAACTGATTGAACTGCTTCCTTTTTTTTTAAAAAAAAAAATCAACAAATTAATCTCACGTTTATTTATAGTCTAAATTTATTCAATAATACTTTCATTACTACTAGCCATAAACCTACCAGACTGAGGAAGTATTTTTTTCAAGTTTAACTTATGGTAAAGACAGCAGTTATCTTTTACTTTTTGACATCCCCGGTAATTATAGTGATAGTGTCAGTAGCAGCAAGAATAGTAAGGGGGTATCTCAGCAAGTCTGCCAACGCGGACTAACTAAACCCTGCCAGAGATAGAGCGACGTTTGAAGCAGGATTCCATTTTGTCCATATCTTCATTTATTACAACTTACTATATACGTGTAATTATTTTCTATTTTTTTTTTTAAAAAAAAATATTGAACAGCATTTTCTGACATACATTCAATTTATTATTGAATATTTCCACTCATAACGAAAAAATGCTTTAAGCGTATTTTAAGCTTCACACAATGCAAAAATTTACGTGTATTAAAGGCAAATCAATATATATCATCACTTTAGTGATTATGTATACGTGTAGACAATTAGGCTTTGATGGTAGCATTTTTGGGAGGGGATATATCAGGATGAAGACACATGCAAGCACCACCTTCAACAACATTTGTATCGACGGTATCAGGTTCCACACCACCAGGCCCTTCAGGGAGCAATTCCCAATCCAGAAATTGGTTTGTCTTATTTTGTACAAAATTTCCGCCGACTATATTCAAACGCTTACAGTAAGCTGTAACCTTATTCCAATCACGGATAACGTTCTTAAGATCGCGAGAGAGATAGCGGAAACAGCGTTGAAAAATCTTGCTATTGGTGCTAGAGGCCAAATGAGGAAAGACTTCAGTATATTTTCGGTAGCCTTCTTTAGGATTTGTAATCAAGTAGTCGGTAGCCTTCTTAACAGCACGCATAAATTTCTGAACCTTTTCTGGATTATTTTTGATGAATTCTTCATTACCGACGTACAGAATCTAAATATATACATACAATTCATTGCCTAACGGTTAGCTTCATCATGTCATATATTAGCAATTTTGTGTATTAGCCTTTAAGTCTGGTTATGTACTTTACAGAACAAAAGCAACAGCAACCCAAATTGGCAAGATGGTCGATACGGAGCATTTTCACAACCCCGCGTCCCCAACCTTGTTCTTCAGCATAGTCTTCCAATTCAACTTGCTGGACACATTCAATACCAATACCGGCATCTACCTCACCGCGCTTGATGGCATCGACACAATTCATACCAACGCGAACAGCAGTGTAGTCATTGGGTGTCATACCAAAGTGGCGAGTCAAATCATCCAACTGGATCTTGCCAAATTCACCAACGTAGCCAATACGTTTGCCACGAAGAGAATTGAAATCCTCAGTAATACCGCTCTTATTGCTTAAATGAATAACACCAGTGAAAGGCTCATCTAAAAGAGTTCCAATAGAGACAAGAGGGTAACCACGAGCCTTGGCAGCAATCGTATGAATCATGGCTTTCAAACCAAGATCGATTTTACCAGCACCAATAATTTCAGTAACATCGGAGGGGTTACTAGGTTCGAGTATGGCAACTTGAATGCCTTGTTCTTCAAAAAAACCAAGTTTTTGAGCCAAATATATAGGAGCGTGATAAGCAGTAGCCTCCCAGTTAGTCAGAAAAGTAATTTTGTTTTCTGGATAAACCATGATTGTTATTAGTACTGATAGTGATAGTGAAGGTCTATTCTTAAAGTTGTGGTTTTTCAGACTGTTTATATAATTCTGTGCTTTTTTTTTTTTTCTTAAAGATACCTTGCGTAACTTTTGAAATGCCAATACAGGTCCCTTCAGATCCCTTGTTTTCTTTTCTTATACACAGGAATCATTGTTAGTCGCTGACATCCGAAGAGTTCCCATCTCTCCTCAGCTGAGCAGATTTGATAAGATGCAATATTTAAACTTTCTCTTATTTCCAAAAGTGCTATTATCAGAGTTCATAATGTATAACAGACTAAGAGGATTTGTATCTTCTCTATCAAAGCAAAGCGTTATACTGTAACCAATAAACAATGAATGCCATCATCTCTTTCTTTCGCACAGTATTTTTAAAAGGTGATTTAGACTGGCATTTACGTTCATTGATATTCAACTTTATGCTACTAACATTTTTATACAGAACAACGCCGAAGATGGCAATGAGCGATTTTTTTTTCTCATACTCACAAAAGTTTTTAACCGGATTTATCTACATAGCATTTATGATCTCAAATATTCGACAAGATTGAATGTTGCTCTATAGATACACACTTTATAGTGACTTCTATTTCAAAGATTATCCCCGTAAAAGAAAGGTAAAAGTAAGAGGATGGATAACAGTTGAGTGGCCAATTCTAGACCGAGGTCGTTTACTTTTTGAAGATGAATTAGTTTGGCTTTAGAATTGGCAACAACAAGTTGTACAAATGCATTTAACATTGATGTGCAGCTGAGGATTTTTTATGCAAATGGTACGTTATATGCGCACGTGCGCAAGAAGCTGTTCAAGTAGTGGTTCCTAACTGCAGATACGAGAATGAACAGTTTTCGTTCCATCTATTACCATATTACGGGCGGTATAAATGATGTGGGGAAAAAAGATCTGATTAAACCAGCGCTTAAAGAATAGAAAAATTCCCTCATCATTTTTATAGTAACCTTACATCAAGTGCACTACGTCAGATTTGATATAGACTTCTGATTTCAAGATGTTGGCAAAGATGTAATAGACAAAAATAGCGATCTAATAATGTGGTATTATAAGGTTTCGATTAACATAAGCATGCATTCCGGTTGAGCTCAGTAGGTCAAAACCCAACCATCTCAATCAGATATAATAAGAAATGGACGTTGATGTATTTCTTCACTTGGATATATTGAATCCCGACTAGCAATATAAATTTATTGAATCGTACATACAAAAAGTTATCGCCGGGTATGAACACACTGGAAGCTTATCAAATACAAACTTAATGTCTAATGGAAGGTAAACTTAAAACTAGAATTTTTACGAACCAGCACACTTATTTTGTTAACGGGGCAGTAAAATGGACAATAAAAAAGACACAGTCAAAAACGGAGCAGCAAAAAAGACTGTAAAATCACAGCCAAAACTCATACTAAGTGGGCCTTTTTACTGCCCCACTTACCGCTCCGTTTACTATGAAAATCATAAGAGACTGACCTAACCAACAGGTTTACCAACAATAGCTTTGCCAGATGATAATGCAGCCATTGATAACGGTTTCAATGTTGATCCTACCTCTTCGCCAGTACTATCTGGTAATTCATCTTATCTGACTGCAAACGAAAGCAATGATTTGTCAGAACTTTTCTCAGTGACTCTACGCTTGTCAGATACTTTAGGCAAATGTCATCATTTCTTGCTATAAAACTACAGATGACTCAATCCTATAATTCTCAGGCGAATTAGATGTATATAATGTGGAGCGGTAAGAAAGCCTTTTGCCGCTTCAATTGACGGAACAAGAATCAGTATCATTATGAAGAAGACGCCTGTGACAACTAAAAAAAAGCAGAAGGGGCAACATTTTGCTTTTGTCGATAATATTATTATTGGCATACATCAAAACAGCAAATACTTTGAAAATGTAATGTTAGTAGATTCTGGCTAGATCAAACTCTTCGTAGCTACAAAGAAAGTTGAGAACTGCACAATCTTTTTTTTTTAATGAAGGAAAAAACAAATTAACCACGTATAGAACTTGCTTTTTAGTCATATATATATAAAATACACCACTACTGCAATTTTCTTTAAATAATTTGTAATCGTGGTAACTTTCAGTAAAATAGCTCATTAGGCGTTCCAAAACGCGAGTTTTTCCGCACTTTTAAAATCCTGCCCATTGGATTGCTAATTTTATAGCTGGAGATGCTAGTATTGCTATCTTTTTCGTACTAGTAGCCACTCTTCCCATCCTGACAATATCTACGGGTGATACATTTTCATTCTCCTCATCCTGGACGACATGAACGATATACTGGCTGTGAATAACTAAAGGATCATTTGGATACAAAAGAAAATCACCGCCAAACTTGATGCCGCTGGTAATATAATAGCCTTTTGTCCAAAAGTAATCAAAGATAGTAGCGCGTATTTTTTGATTTTCCGTTAAATCAATACGTTGAGAAGGATCAGTTAACGTAGCAAAACCTTTTTGATCATGTGATCAAAGTTAGAAGTCAAGTTAAAAAACCCAAAGTTTTTGTAAGCTCTCCTTTCTAAGCTTTAATACTCCCTCTACCTTTTTTCAGTAAAAGATCCACTTCCTCAGGTAATAATACGAGCGGTAATCCCATATAATTATTTTGTAAAGGTGCTTGCGTTAGTGTGCCGTCCAAAGCGCCCACTATACGATGCTTACAGCGTAGCTTTTCAACATCTATGGAGGCTGTGTTAGATCTAATGACAAAAAGAAATGCAAGCCTTTCAAAGCTTGATTCTGGGCTCACTTTGTTTTGGTACAAACCTTTGGCGTTAAATATGAAGAATTTATTTCCCAGCTTCTTGATTTTAACTAGCTCATTATTTGACATTGACGAAAGCAAGATGGCAAAAGTATACCAATAAAACCCAAAAAGGGAAAAAAATCAAAAATTTCAAAATAGCTAGCCGCAATGAATGATTTTTTTTTAAATTGTTTTCGTGTCTTGTATTCGACACTCAAGAACAGTGTAACTGTCAATCTGACACAAATTATCCTCTCACGCATTGATTGTGCTTTGAGTAATCATATATCTCTCAATTTTTACTAGATTGGCCTTCCAAGTACACCCTCGCCTTTTCATATAAAAAAGAAGGCGATGTGGGGGTCACATATTCAACTAGATCACCGCTGTATATCCTTTCAATCTTTAATACTTGGTTAACATTTATTAAGCTCGATGGTACAATGCCTTTATCTATTTACAGCTGAGTTGCTCTGCTATCTACAAATTTATAATCGACGATGCACGGGTCTTGAGGGAGTATACAAATCAATATCATAATAATACTGTGATCGTGGGTATCTTTGTTGTCGTTGTTGTGGTAGTACATCATTTCCTTCCTCTGAAATTGAGCGCCACGGTGGTTCTTCACCATCAATACCTGCTACAGTTTCTACATCATCGATAAAGACAGATCCCAAAGGAGATGCTGAAGCTGACGCAGCGAGGTTTCTGTAATCAGGACTTGCTAAGGAGACCAATGAATTTCCCGGTCGATGTCTTCTGCTGGCATAAGGCGAAGCAGATGATGATGAGGGAATGGAGATTGCAGCGGCAGCAGGTGAAGCCATTTCTTTCAAAGGACTTCTCATAATGCTATTAGAGTTATTTTCACGTATAGGAGATGACTGAAATAGATCGCCATTGTTGTTTCTAGTAGTGAATGTAGTAGAAGGTGACTTCCGTTGACGTTTGGGAGAAAGTAAAGGGAAGGTTTCGTTATCTTCGGTGTTGTTAGAATCACCATGGGTAGCAATTGGAGAATTAACACTGGTAGCTTGATTACTGCCATATCTAACAGGGCTACTACTATGACGATGTTTTGCTGTAAATTGTTCGTCTTCGGGTTGCTTATTTCCGTCAACACGTTTGTCAACACCAATGTCACTGTCAAGGAATCGCGGCAATGAAGACGTTGGACCATTTATATTCTGATCATTATCAGTTAATTTCATTTCTTTCAAGTCACTACTGCTCTCATCGTGCTTCATGCTATTGATCAAAGAAGTTATTGATTGCCGTGTCCTTCGACGTAGAGGCTGTCCGAAGGCTGTGCTATAGGAGCGCTCATTAATGGGACTGCCAGAATTGGGTAAATGATGCCTATTCGTATCAAAGATGCTACTTCCTTTATTGCGGTCATTATCATCATTGTACTGGTGTGATACATCGCTAAAACGTCGAGAAGGTCGTAAATTATCCAAGATGTCGCCGTTATCGGTATTAGGTGACCCAACCATGTCGTTTTCATCAAAGAGACTAATGCGTTGAGAGCCATTATCAGGGTTGATAATAGATCGTCGTCTAGCAGGCCGTGAAGGAGCCATAGGAATATCATCATCGGTTATAGCTGTCTCTGTTGTTGTTGTAGCCGCAAAAGGTTTTTCATCTTTTGTCATTTTTCTTGCTGACCGATCTGTCAAAGTTGATAAACGTCGTAAAGATGAAGAATAACGACGCGTTTGATGGACATGACGTTGTAGCTGGAATGGTGGAGGTTTCCAATCGATATGTTCGTTTTCGGATAAATTAGTCTCGTCAAATTCGTCATTGAAGGAATGTGCTAGTCTTTTTATCTCTTCTAACGTTGGAAGAATAACAAAATGTTTGATTGAAGAGGAGGGTAGCTGAGTCAATAAGTTAGTTAGCTGCTGACGGAAGTTGGGGAAATCCCATTCTTCAGCACTGACAGTTTTCGTATGTGTTATTTCACCATTCAAAGTAGTGTCTGGCCTAAATGAAGATAATGCTTTTGCCGAAGATAAGGATGCTCTTGAAGAGAACGGTGATGATTGGAAAGAAATAGCCTCTGGTGTCTTAGATAAGCGAGCAGGCGTCGTTTGCATTCTATGTATTGGAGAAGACGTTGACTTAGATGTACGACTGTCCCGTCTTCCATCGTCATTACTGTTGTAATAGTCAGTAAGTTGCTGATTTTGAAGTATATAACTTTCCGATCTAGTAGATGACTTGTTTATTGCAGATCTGGGAGATGAAGCCTCAAGTACAGATGTAGGGGTGTTGGCAATGTAATTTAATTGCTTTGATAATCTTGATTTGACAGATGAAGTAGACATTGGCGAAGAGCGTGAATATGCGGTAACAGCATTAGGAACATTATCTGAAGTCAAGTGTTCAATATTGCTGTTAAGAGTAGCTGATCCCACACCAGCCTGGTGGGTTCTTTTATAATCCCATGTTGTCAATTCAGGTGAAAGTTGTGACAATGAGTGGTCTGGTAAATCAGTAGAAGTTTGGAACTTATTAGGCAAGGCTATTCCATTTGAATCGGATTTGATGTCATCTATAAAAGTGTTGTCTGTCGGTAGCATATCTTTTAGTTCGAATCGTCTTTTTTTGGTAAACGGAGGTTCAGGCATCACCGATGATACTGTAGCCAACTTATTGGTTTGAGTCTTATCACGTACTCCACTTACGTGAGGAACAAAAAAATCGTGTTTTTGCTGGCTATCAGCAGAATAATTCTTTCCATTATCATTATCGTAATGCTTTCGTTTATGTGTCTGTAATGCGGATAGTCGAATTTTAACATCCAACAAAGGTTTTCTCAAAGAAGATTTTAGAAGCGCTGTGTTAGGAAAAGCAGGCTGCTGAGATGTCGAAAGTGATGCACTGGAAGAGGAAGAGGAGACGAATGACATATCGTTAAGTGCTTCAGAATACTCTTTAGCGGTGGTAGACGCGTTTTGCATAAAATCAGATCTGTCTGCTTGTAAAAGCTGAAAATCTTCGTGAATTCTTTGTATTGCTTGTTCTATCTCGTAAGGGTTTTTGTATATAGCATCTGTTAAAGGATTAAAGAGAGTGTAAGCGAGTATTATATACTAATATATGGTCATCAAGGATCTTTCTCGTTAAAAGTACCTGTGGCTATCTTATCTCTTGAAAGCACTTTTTGCAATACAACGGTAGAGAAAGCTACCATAATTTCGTTAATCTCTATGCCTCGACAATCAATCAAATAACTTCGTCTAATTGGAACGTGTCGCAAAAGAGGCGATGTCTTTCTTAAATCTTCTAACCAGGCACATGTTTTGTTCAGAAAAGTATTGGCCTGACTGCGGTTGGTGACAGGAAAGCAGCCTTCAAATTCCTTTTCAGTACGCTTTTTGTCCAAACAACGAAATAAGAAAAATGTGATAACTTGGAATGGCTTTGAATTGTCGCCATTGTTCCTGAAAAGATTAGGATCGAGATCACCGGTCAACTGACCTTTACTATGAACAGTAGGGTTGAAACCAAGTAATCTGATATTGTTGAGCAATTCAGCTGCCGTATCAAACATAAATAGACTTAGTTGATTCAGATGCAATCAGGATTGAAACGATATCGCTTGTTGTAATTTTGAGACTTTTGAAGAGATAGAAAGAACGAAAATGTTTTATAACAGTGATTTCGAACAATCTGCTGGAAGAAATTCAGAGCTCCGATTGGGTAATTTCCGATCAATGCGACAATACGCTTTGGCTTAAGCACGAAACTATCGAGACGTATCAGCTCTTTTGTCCCAAACCACCCATTGCTGTCTGAACGAATACATATCTAAAACAGAAATGGTACTTGACGCCATGTAGCTTACTCGTTTTTTTTTATTAAACGAAAGAAGATTATGAGGATCTCATTCAACACGGTACTTTACTGAGAGTGCAGTAAAGTAATAACCAATCACTATAGACAAAATATTGTCACCTGTTGCTTCGCTGGTACTTTTGTCTTCTTTTCTCACTCTGTTCTTATGCTCGAGCATGAAATGGCGCTTCACTTAGTTAGATTTGCAACTAGCCCTCAAATTGTCTGACAAAGTTGTCCAATGATACATACGTTGACAGTTACCACGGTGCTTTTCATGATACTTTATCTTCAGAATCTTCAAAACCAATAGGTAAGCTTAAAATTACATCTATTTCAAAAGTATTGACATGATCGTTTTCTCGCCTAATATTGAGGGCTTTATTGATTTATCTTGTCGAAAAAACAAAATTTTCATCAATATCATACACCGACGGACATCCGTGACGCTTTGCTGATACTACAATTTTTGCAAAAGAGTACTTGATGGATTGCTTTACGTATACCAGCACGATAGTTTGGTATTTTTGAAGGTTTACAAGAGTTGTAGATCTAGTTGTGAGAATGAGAATCGTACGTTATGGTTGTGGCACAAAGAGACTTCTAAATAGCTTCGGTACTCATCGATACTCAACAATAATAACAACCCTTATTACTCTTAACACGATTTTTAACAGTAATCTCTATCAAAATGAGATCAATAAAACTTTGTACGTGCACATATGGCAGCAAAATAGAACACGCTTTTCATCAGAGCTGTCATGATGTGATCGACTAATTGTCCACCCTATCGTCATATGATCTTTTTCTTACTTTTTTTTAGCAAAGGAAAAATCAATACGCGTTAATACCAGTTCTCCAATATACTTACGTATAACTAACTTTCTGTTACACTACTATTTATACTTACATAAATATCGTCAACTGAATGATAAACTCTCTAATTGTTACTTACTATTGTATGATAATGTAAAGATACATACCAAGAAATATTCGAGGAGTACGTCTTGCCGTTTTGAAATATAAGTGTTTTCTTTTCTACATAGACAATCACTAAATAGAGACCCTAACAAAACAGTTCGTAAATATATACTATGTATACTATATGAAAGAAAGAAGCAAGGCATATATCAAGAGTGCCTATAATAAGCTGAGATGATCTTTGAATTTGAGATTTATGCTGACTGACTCTTATTAGAAGCAATTTTGACGAGGAACTGTTAGTACATGCCATTGTTCTATCTGCAATAACTGAGACAGTAAAAGCCTTAAGACTAAATTAGCAGTAAATTTCCTATCAAATGCAAAACCATCCACCAAAAGATAAGTAATAACAATATACCGTCATCTTTATCTACAAAACGTGTAAATACATACCACTTGTACGTTACTTGCGATTTGAGGAAAAGAAAACCGCAAATAGACGCTGCAATAAATTCTACCAAGACCGAACGATTTGATAATCTCACCACTGGTATTACTGCAAAATGTAATAGAATTTTGTAGTGCAGTTGGTTCATGTCAAAATCTTTGAATAAAACACGTTAGCTCTAATTTCTGTAATGCATGTCAAGCTTTATGTGGCAAAGAGCTTAATGTTCTAACAGCTAAATGTTAAATTTGCTGAGGTAAGAGGTGAACGTGTCACGGTCCTCAAGAGATACTATTCTTTTCTTTGTTTTATTTGAGTGGATGAATGCTGTCAGTTCTCGTACCTGAAAAAATCAAATGGTTGTAACCCCACAGCACAAGCTGAGTTGAACTTTTCGTCATTTTTTTCACCCCAGACGCGTGACCAATCAGCGATTGATTAATTGAGAAAAGATAAGGGTCTCGCTTTTAATGCAATCCGTTTTTCAGTGTACTCGTGATTTTTTTTTTCTTACTCTTTTTTATGCTGTTGACTTCTTTCCGTCGATATCTTTCCATTTTACTTCTTTTGTTGATACATAAATATAGATCAAATATAATTTTCCCTTATGAAAGTGTATAGAGCAGAGACTGGTCGACCTATACAATGGCATTTCGACAAAAGCAGTATTAAAACGTAAGGAAGAAAGGGTTATTTTCTCACCAAGTACCCAAGTTTTTTTTATTCTTTTTATTGTTCTCTGATGACTTGACTGTGACATTGACGAAACTGATTCCTCGTTTGACGCATTTGGCTTTAGACTAGACGATTTAAAACAAGCTTTCGAAGCTGATTGCGGTGTTTTCGTTGAGGATCAAATTCTTATGACAAGTTTTGGAAAATTAGTTCGACAACAGAATTTGAAGGACATACTTGAATCAACCGGCAAAGTAAAGTATATCTCCCACAAACGTTTCATTTTGTTACATGTAGATGATGTTAATACGTGCTTCCTTAGGATGAATACATTATATTTTGTTATGATCGTAGATATTTGAATGCCACTGATGAAGATATTGAAGCCTTATTAGATTTAGAATCTCCATTGCTTGACCCAAAACAGCCTATTCCGTCACCATTTGAAGGTGATAAAGGTGCAGCTACGCTATCACAGCTGAAGGCATCTACGTCATTAAAGAGGACGTCAGTGACAGATGCCTGCAATGCATTCATATCATTGTTTTCGAACTTTGATTCCTATTGTCAGGTATAATTCACCTTTGACTCAACAATTTTCTCAATATTTGTTACTTACCAGCATTTGCATTAGTCTCTCACAAAAGCAGTAAACTCCTATACCCAACTCTCATCTTCTATCATTCAGGAACAAAAATTGCAAAGTATGGCACTCAACGTTGCTATGACTAATTTAGAAGACCATCGGAAGTTATCAGAAGTTTGTATCAAATCCTTTGTGGCTACTGCAGAAAAAGAACTATATAGGCAGACATTATTGCTTAGTTCCGTGGATAATGATTTGACTATTTTAAGGCATGTTAAGATTCATCCCAGTATAGCAAATTATTTACTACCCTCACCATCGTCTTCGAATAAGCAAGTGAAAGAAGAGAAATCTTTATACCGTTTTATTGATCAAGATCATATATATCAAGTCAAAAAAGATACGGCTGAGTTATGCGACTATTTGGAATATCATATCAGCGTGCTAAAAGATGAGATGCTAAAGTTGCAGTTGGATGAACAGGAGTTCCGTGAACAGATAGCAAATCAAAGTGAAAGACTGTACGAATTGGATAGTATTTTAGCTGATATACGTATTTTACAACAGAAGCTAATGTATTTACGAGATAAAACAAAGAGAGATCTGAAAAGAGTCTATGATAAGATGAGCCGTATATTGGACAAACCTATATCTGCTTTGTTTGCCTCTTTATCAATTCACGATAACAATATCAATTATGCCGCTTCCATCAGCTCAGCCTCAAGTAATAATACAAATACAAATACAGCCACTAATACTAATAGTGCTGCCACAGCAAGTATTATGTCATCATCATCAGCGTCATCAACCAACCATAATACTACGCCATCTGCATCTACTCTCACTGCTATCAACAACTCTTGCTTAGTTGATAATGGTAGCAACCGGCATGCATCGCTATCCATGTCTCCCTCTTCAGCAAAACGGATATTAGATGCGTTCTATCACCTGGCAGAAATCCATATCAAAGACTATATACCGAAAATGGCCGCTTATGAACAGACGCTTCGAGAGAAAACGAAAGCCTTGATTGGATCTAAACGACACTCTATTGCCATGTTTATTCGTAACATGGCAGTTGTGTCCGAATTTCAACGACATGCAGGGACTATTCAACCTACCGTAGACGAACATTTTCACTATCTCAATGAATTCAAGCGGAAATACGATAACAAAGATGATCGTAGTAAAATGGACCTGGAATATGTCCGAAACACTTTATTCTCTTATGGAGCTCTTATGATTGAATTGGTACGCCGAAAGGAATACCATACTCTGCTAGTATCTAATTCAAACTTGCTAGCAGATGTTTTAGCTCAATACCGAACAGAGGAAGAAAATAGAAGGACCTATTTCAGACACAAAATCACTAAATTACTGACGCCTTTTAATGTATCAAAACTACTGGAAAATGACCCTCCTTCTCAATGCGATATAAATGTCATTCATGGAATACCCTTAGTTGCAGACAATGAAAATGAAACACAAGAAACAGAACAATCGAAAAGGAAGCAATATCTTCAACAGTTGAACAAACGGGATATAGCCGACTTCATTTCTATTATTACTCAAGTATATTCCAACTCTCCGCAATGGACGAACAGTGCTCGCAATAAAAGCAGAGGTTCCAATAGATCAGAAGCCACAATTACGGCAGCCACGAAGCGAGACTCAGACAGTGAAGCAGAGGATGAGGATAATGATGAGGATGAAGAAGGAAAACCGTTAGAATTACTACAGCTGATTAACAGAATGGTCCAACAAGTGGACGAAATGGGCTATCAATTCTTATCATCAATCAAGGAGCAATTTTTTAACAGCCAACAGCAGCAATTTTCAATTCAACTGAAACCTTCCATTATAATCAATGCCGCCGGTAATGTACAGGAAGAGGAAGCTCAGCCAAACCAACTCCATGCTATCATTCAGCAAAAACATGTCACGCCGTCTACGTCTTCTTCTTCCCAGTTTTCCGTTCTCGACAATGAAAATGCAAACGATGACGATCATTCGGAAAACCTACTCAAAGCTGAAAACAGAGAACTCAAATACAAGCTGGAGCAGGCGGAAGAAGATGTAATTCTCCTTGAGCAAAAACAGCAAGAACAAGCCGATGAAATAACGCGACTCAATGATTTAATCAAGTCCCTTGAGAATGAAAAGGATGAATTCGAATCTCATCGTCGCAGCTTTTTGAACGAACTTAAAAACAAGGATAAATCAGCTGACTTTCGCATTCAAAGCGCTGAAGAGGATTTCCGAGCAAAGATCAACGATTTACAATACGAGCTGGAAGAGGAGAGACACATGAAGAAGAATTTGGAAATTGAGCATACTTCTGAGTTAAAAACAGTAAAGGCAGCTCACGAGCAAGAAATAGAAAAGATAAAGCAGGAGGCACAACAGCAGATTGAACAGCTTAAAGAAGAATTAGATCAATTGAAGCATGAAAAAGAGAAGGAGAAACAAAATAATAAAACGGAAGTAGACAAGCTACTTAATGCTTTAGAAGAGAAGCATAAGGCATTGGAGGCAATCAAAGGGCTACAGCAGCAAACACGGGAGATGGTAAAGCGTGCCCAAGATGATTGGGAATTCAAAGATGAAGAACTGAAGCAAATCAAACAAGCGAAGCAGCTAGTAGACTCCGCAATCTATGACCTGTTGAGGCGATTTAGAACCTCGGAAGATGGTGACATGAATATGATAAAGACAGAAGAAGAAGCAGGTGGAGCATTAGCAGCAGCCGAGCACCTAGAATCTTATATCCGACAATTTCAAGAAAATTTAGAACACTTTGAACATCAATATGACATGACCAAACAGCATTTAGAAGAAGTAACCCATGAGCTTGCTGAAGTTACCGAGGGTTACACCAATCTAATTGATCAACATAATGAATGGCGGACGATTGCAAGTCGAATGGCTGAGCGTCTAGAAGATTATCGTAAACATGTCATATTTGAATTTGTGAATCAGCTTCAGTTACCTATGGAAGAGGAGGAGCTAAACGTGTTGCAGAAGAAATTAGTTCCTTATGATGATGACACTATCGTTTGGAATCAGGTTTTGCAACTTTCTACCGCTATCCATCTGCAAAAGTTTGTTTTGCGTGTGATGCGCAAGATGAAAGATACGTATGAATCTGCGAAACGCTATAAAAAAGAATATCGTTCTGTACGCGAGAAATACAATCGATTACACGCTTCCTTTCATCATAATCACAGTGATAAGATTGCTATTCACCACTTCAAAGTAGGAGATGTAGCTTTGTTTTTGCCTGCGAGAAAAGACAGTAATAGCAACAAAGATACAGTGGCGTCACAACATCCTTGGGCCGCTTTCAATATCAATTCGCCCCACTATTTTTTGAAGGACACTAACAATGTCAATCCTTTATTATTCCAAAGAGAATATAAAGAGTATTTCATCGCAAGAATCACGGCAATCGAAGAAAACATCACTGTGGCTGGTCAACCGGAAACGAATCCTTTTAATTTGGGAGACAACGTGAAATATCATTTAGTGGAAGTCGAACATTGGAGGAAAGCATCTTCAAGTAGCAGCAGTAGCTCAACAGCACTAACGAGCAACAGTTTGAGTAAAAAGCGGCAGACAGTCCATGATAATGGATTGGCTTCGATTACTCGCAGCCATAGTGATACCACGACAGGAGGTGGCAACCTGGAGGACGATCGGCCAGCTCATTTACAGAAAAGACTGTCGCTTGGAGGAACGACCGTGCACAGTTATAGTGCGGGACAATCTATAAATTAAAAAAGAAAAAAAAGGCCAGTTCTGGCTTTTCCCTTTCCTTAATTTTTTTTTTTTTTTTCAATCTTACTGCATTCTTATTTATTTTCCTTACTCTTTACCCTTTTGTACTTCATATTAATATGCTCCCTTCATTAGGTTTATTCAAAAATATACCCTGTCCAATTTACCCAAATTGTTCTCGGAATCCATGTTTTTATTCGCATTCAAAAAAGAGACCCATTCATAGTATTGGGGATAATGACTCGTCAGAAGGTACTCAGTAGTTTTATGAAATGATAATGAAGGCTTTATTGTTATTAGTCATGTTATAAATTGTTTATAAGATGTTTATTCAGTTTCTCTTCTTCTCCTCTCTCATGTTTAATATAAATTTGCCTTACATCCACGTTTCTTCTCTCCTAGCAGAAACGACATTCATAAAACGATTTAAAACTACAGCAGAATCAAACGCTCATCAACCACGATCCACAGCTACTAACGTTGTTCACAAAAGGGTTGACAAAGTTGCCATGTCAGCCATCACTTCCAATACGGCCATTCCTTCTTTGATACCAAGTAGCAGTCTAGGTAAATAAATAGAAGACAAAGCACTCTTTTATATCTGTATAGAAAATTTATTATTGTTTTAGCCCAACAAGCAACTACGAATAAACAGTCTGCAACAACAGAAAGAAAAATAGTAGCCTCAGATGGAAATAATTCCACGAAAACGTTGAACGCACAAAGGACACCGTGGGCTAAAAAAACACCCAATGTCATAGTAAAGCCAACAGCTAAACCCATATCAGCGGCTGCTCCAACGGCGACTATGAGCAAGCCGTCCTTAGAAAGCGTTGTAAATGCTATTACTGGCAATATTAATACCATTGAAGCAAAAAACAAACGCATCGCCCATAAACCCACTGTAAAATACTCCTGCTATGATTAATGTACCTATCTACGAGCATTGAACTAACTTGCATTGTTCAGTTTCCAAAATCCTCTACTTCCAGTGCTTCACAAGCAGGTGGGCCGCCGACTATTTTACCCAACGTCAAAACCAGTATTCCCTTAAAAACTCGGCAACTTATCGTCACTAAATTGTATGAAGCCTTTGTTCGCATTTATCAACCTCTGCTTAATACAAAACCTGCATTAGCTACTGAACACGCAAAGGCTCAAGAGGAAAAAATATTTAAATTCACCACCAATTTGGCCGGCTACAAACAATTGGCCACCAATACCTTGATGAATTTGAAAAGAAGACCTGTCAGTACTAATGAAAACGATATTGGCATAGACGGTGAATGGGTCGATCCCTCCACACTAAAACCTGACACAAGTTGGATCAAACGAATCTCTGAATGCATAGCACCACTAGAGAAGTTGAAGGAAATGAACTATCCTTTGCCTGATGTCTTAATAGCACCAACAGCAGTAGCAACACAAGATTCAATTGATAAAAGTGGAGTAGGCACGGTGCAAGAATGTGATCGTTGCCATCAACAATTCACTGTCAAACACATCCTTGATACCGCTGATATGAATGCCTGTGTTTATCATACTTATAGAAACCCTTATTTCAAACAGCTCAAAGACGGATCAAAGGAAAAAGTGTATGCTTGTTGTGACGAAAAATCAGGATCGAGTAACGGATGTAAAAGAGGTCCTCATATCTATAAAGAGGATAACATAGAAAAATTACATTATAAGATACCCTTTGTACAAGCGCCATCAAGGATTGACAGTGATCAGCGTCAGGATATTGTTGCTTTGGATTGTGAAATGGGATATACTACAGGAGGCTTAGAGTTGATTCGTTTGACAATGGTGGATATTCATGGTCAAGTTTTATTGGATGAGCTTGTCTTACCTACCAACATGATTATTGATCTGAATACAGTATACAGTGGTATTGCAACGCTAAAGGGCGCTTCTCATGATTTGGAAAGTGTGAGAAAGGAGGTGTTCAAGTTTGTGGATCGAGATACGATTATTTTGGGTCATGGTTTAGAAAATGACATGAATGCTATGAGGTTAATTCATACCAACATTATTGATACAGCAGAGGTAAAGTCGGTTACATATGCTACGCATCGTGAAGATGAACAATCACTAATGATTTTTTCGATAGCTCTTTCCACATTATAAAGGTTTGCCTTTCCGTATGAGTTTACGGCAGCTGGCTTCCATTCATTTGAAAAAGTTCATCCAAACAAGTACAGATGGTCATGACTCTTTGGAAGATGCAAAAACCTGTGTTGATTTATTGGAATTCTTCATAAAGAAAGTATTAGATAAGAGGCTTGCTGAGCAGCGAATAAGCACATTAAAATCGTGAAATACCTCGCCCATTCCACCCACCATATATGGTGGCCTTCCAATAAAAACGTCAATATCACAATTTGTTTGTTTAATTTTAAGTTTGCACAACAGCGCAAGAGGTTGAGTTTTAAGCCTTACGCTTATTTGGAAAATCGTTGGCCGATGTGAATGGAGTACCTTACGACTAATTCAGCTTATTCTTTGCCATCCGCGAGTACAAACGTCTTTTCTTGATCCGATCAGCTTCGTATCAAAATAATAATGGTGAATAGCTTGTATTCACTTGCTATACACAACTATGATAAAATTGTGGTCTACAATACCTTCATAGGTAGGTCTTGTAGCAACCCTTATCACTCATCTGAAATTATTGTTATCTACTATTGATTACTGATACAGCGTGGTAACAACAACAAAAGCAGTTTTATGTGATCTATCTTATTATTCCTTCACTACGTCGTTCCTTATCATCTCCTGATTACAGGGGGCGGGGGAAGAGATGAACAACAATTTCTATCATACTATTAGCAAACACTGCAAGACATGAGAAGCATTGCGTGATTGTGAAAGGAGGAGATGTAGTGTTCCATCTCGTTTTCTATAAAATAAAGAGAGTAAAATAATGTGCATGTCTTTTCCTTTTTGTTACTTTCGAATCTTCATTTATTTTTCCGTAAGAGATACTCATCCTTTGGTTTGAAAAGCACCACTTTTTTTTGGAGGGTAACATGAAAGTCCAAATGTTGTAATAGTTTCCACCTACGGATACTAAAAGGTTATTTTCAATCAGGGCTATTTGTAATAAGAGACTTTATTCTACAACAATAATCTATTTTTCGTTTGATGAAATTTCTCGTTTAAAAGAAAAAAATGTTTGAAAGGTTCTTTACAAGCTTGATGAAAGTGAAAAAATAAAACTGAAGCAAAGTGCAGCGTTCACGTCCTAAGTATGTTTCACCATTTTATCGAAGAACTAACTTTGTACTAATTCAATGCGCTTCCCAAACATTATGTTTTATGGTAAAGGAATTTTGGGACTTTTTTCAAATAACACGACATATTTCTTGTAAATGATGAAGGCGATGAAATGCCAGTTTAAAGAAAAATCCCCCCAGGGAAAGCACCCAGGAAAAAAAAAATGTGAATAACATTCGTTCATTAGTAAGTTAAAAGAGATATATAGGATCTTTTCAAAGGAATCTGTCTTTATAAAAGTGATATTGATATGTATAGAGATTAAAAAAGAATTTTTATGCAGTTAGTTATTCAAAATGGATATTGACAATAGCGATCCTTGATGCTGACAATCTAAAGGTAGAAGGAGAGTTATTAATAAATGCTCCACATGGAAATAAATAAATGTTCAGAACGTTCATGATGCTTTACCTCAATGATACCTTCGACCGAGGTGTTGATATAATAACGATGTTCCTGTACACCGTAGACATTATGACTCTCGAGCACTTCACCCTTATAATGTTTCTTATTCTTTTCGTCCCAAATTAATCGGCTACGGCGCCATTCAAAATCGAAAGGTGGTGTACCATAAAGGTCAACAACGGCTTGAACCATGTCACCTATGTAAAAGAAGATGATAAAGTAGTACATTAGCAAAATAAGGGTCTTATACATTCAAATAATCATATACTTGGCATCGAAGAAAAAAGAAGCGTTACCTTCGTGAATACTTTCAATAATTTCTCTGCCACCACTGATATAAGAAGAAGGTACTTCATGGATTTGCTTGGTTAGATCTTTAGGGAAAGATCGGCACTTATTCCTTTGGTCACCCACGGACATAATCGTGATGTTACCAGGTTTATCGGCAATCATAGACAATTTTGAACCATGAGATTTGATCATTTCCAAACGATCGTTGAACTTGTACTGAACTGTAAAAGGGCTGACACCCATCAAACTGAAATCAACAGTATCGCCGACACAGATATCACGGCATGTATCTACTGGTTGGATGGCAGCAATATCTAAGGCTTGGAAGGATAATTGACGGTCAGATTGATCCACAGGAATGCTGCCACCGCACCCGTTGGCATCATTTACTTTGAGTAAGTTGATGACCCAAGTGCCGGCTGTCGAGAACTCGTCCGGCAGTCGAAGTCTGTAATTCTTTCTTGTAATATTCTCGAGAGTAATAACACGACCAGTTAATTCCGATTCAAGATGAACGCCTATGTCGACAGTGAAAGGAGCAGTACCAGTGAATTCTAACTCAATGGAGTCCATATCAGGCCCAGAAAGTGTATCACCAACACAAACTTTACGGTCCTTCTTCATAGTACTTTTGGAGAATTTAACAGTAGGAATAGCATGGACAGTTTGCTCCACGGTCAAAGCACCGCCTTCCAAATTGAAAGGCTCAGTATAGAGTTGATCAGAAATCTTGCTAAAGACATATTTAAAATCACCAGCTTCGCCAGTTCTGAGAGCTACTTGCACAAGTTCATTAGGAGTATGTACCTCTTCAATACCGATTGGTCGGAAATTAAAAGAGCCTTGATTATATTCCTTGTAACTGCAATAGAAAGGACCATGACCTGTGAACAGGATATCTAATGCATCAGTCGTACCTTGACAGACAGCACGGCGTTGATATAGCCTTAGAGAAACCCGTTTGTTGGCAGAATCACTTTCATCGATGGCCAAGGTGGGTTTATCCATGTATTGAACCAAATATTGAGGCGGTAGCACATCACCCTTGCAAATAGCATCTTCAACCTCTAATAATTCATAATGACCCGTATGGCGAACATTTACGACAGCGTTGGGATCAGTAAAGCGCTCTTTGACAATACTACGGTCACCCATCTCCACATTACGGTAGGATACTTTCCAAGGGCCTTCACCAGTCAGACGAAGTGGTAAGTTAGCCGTAGATCCTTCTGTGATAGTCACAGTACGAACAGTTTCGTTAAGTTCTTGATTGGTATAGAAGAAAGCAGTAGGACGGTTTTGACGTACATCCACAGTAAAGTCACGAGCTTCCAATTGTTTCACACATCCATTATCGTCACGAATGTCCACTAAAGATATGACATGATGTCCAGGGCGATCGAACGGTGGCAAATTGATAGTATAGCGTTCTTTCTCAACGACATCTGCATATAATTGATCATCAACAGTCCAGCTAAGCTTAAACGGACCAGTACCACGCAACTGAACGTCTACAGTTACGTCTTCGCCAAGACAGGTTCGAACAGATGTATGCTGTTTTGTAAAGTAAGCATCAGGTTGAGGATGGACGGTTTGCTTAAAGGGTTGTATACCAGTGGGTCGTTTCTTATAATGCTTATCATCCAATACATTGAATTCATAAGTATAATCACCTGCTGAACTGGGGAAGTAAGAAAAGATATGACGAGAGCGATCGATTCTTTCACGTTTGTGTTCAATGATTTTCTTCTTTGACAGACTACCGCCGTGTTTGACAACTGTATAGTCAAGGACATAGGGAGGAGCGCCTGAAAATTCGGCAACAAACTTCATACCTATTTCGCTATCTGCATTACAATCAGAAGGAATAGCTGTGCCTTGTACCTTAACTGTAGGCAAAGGTGGCTGAGTTACTTGACAAATAGAAGGGAACAAAACATCACCAGGACAATAACGATCACGGATTGATTTTAAGGTGTATTCGCCGGGAGAATGAACTTCAATGGAACGTGCTTGGTCATTAAGCTTAATATGACGTATTTCACCGCCGTGCTCATATTCTAATGAGAAAGGTCCTGTACCATCATTTAAACTTAAAGGTAAAGATACTGATTTACTACCAATCAATAAACTGACAGGATCGGTTTGGCTGCATTGAAATCGAACAGCTGGGCGAGGATGAACTTGGAAGCTTTGAGAACTGACATCACTCAAATCGATTTCATTGCCCACGCCATCAATGACACGAGTTAGAAAATATTTCTGCGTAGATGCTGTATCAAATGTCATATTGAGGTTGATTTCTAATTTATGTACAGCAGCCCATTCAAGATTATGGTTACTTCCTAAATGCTTGCTCATGGCTGATGTACTGAAGAATGATGGATCTTGCGTTTTTGGCGATTTTGTACGAAGTAGAGGTGAGTCAAAATTTTCTGGCTGAATACGGTCCAACTGAAGTAGTTTATCGTTATACCAGGGATTTACTGTTCCATCATTAGTCATTTTTTTATAGTTAACTTTCAAAGGAGGAACACCCATTACTTCCAACTGCAATTGTTCCGTGTCTCCCGTACAATAATCGGTGATGCTATTCAACTGATGTTGTTTGGGCTTAAATTGGGCATACGGGCAGGTAAATACTAGTGCTTGTTGCTGATAAACTCTAACATCCATGTTATCTTTTGCAACAATTTTATCCAGTTTGTAAGCACCTGGCTTTTTGATGCGCAAGTGATAATATTGAATTCCTTGATCTGCCTGTTCAAATTCTGTAGCGCGTATTAGGTCTCGACCAGAATAAGTTTCTACCGTGTTAGTTTTCGTATCAAAGTCAAAATGAGATATGCTGACAGTACGCGGCGTAGTATTGTTCAGAATGATGGGTATATAAATCTCCTCTTCTTTCGTGGGATCTAAGGTAGGTAGACAGTATACTTCGTCATGTGGATTCAACTTTGCGGTGCTAGATTGATCGTATGCGATCAAATTGAATAATGTCAGGACTATTTTTTTTCTCCAAAACTAATTTCTTTGCTTACCCATAGGGAAGAATATGGACAGTGTGTCGACCCAAGATGTGTGAAGAGTTATACACGATATCATTGACATTTACAGGCTTTGCTTTTGAAACTGCCGTTTGTCTACTATAAGAGTCACCTATTCATTAGAAAATGTAACAAATGTTAGCTACTTGGAATTTGTTTGTCCTCATCCCTACATATTGACTATTTTATCAACTGGTAGTTACCAAAAAATAATGTAAACAATGCTTGCAAACCAGCACCTTGCTATCAATGGTCATTAGAAGTTTAATATCCCAAAAGCATTCACTCAGAGAAACCTTCATTATAAAATTTACACTTACATAAGGCACGGCAAGAAGGATAAAGTTAGTGACAAGCATGACACATATCAAAAAAATTGTTTTCAAGGGTGTAAACTGTAACCAAGGTATCTTCGCAATATGGAGAATGATGAAATATAATGCATCGAGCATCCACCATTTTAATACTAAGCCTTCATATTGTTCTGGATATGCTGCTGTGAAGCGTCGGAACACATCAGCAATTTTCATAGCTTGCAGGCATACGAAAATAGTAACAGCCCAACGACGTTGAATGGCGAATTCCATAGTGGAAGAAGGAATCAAAGCCTTCCTTTCTGCTTCCGTTAATCGAGGACGACCTCGTTGTTGTGGTGGCGGCATGACCTTAAAACTTAATAGAACGATATGTGTATAAGTTTTGTACTAGTTACTTGTTAGTGGTGATCGACTTGAGTGTAACGAATGGCTAGCTTGTTATTACGAAATGTTAAGGCTGATCAGGCAGTAAAAATAGTGAAAAGAAAGTGACAAAACGCCTTTTTTCTGTTGTTTTTGTACAATAGATACGATTAAATAGAGAAGAAAAAGGTGAATGGTGAAGGGAAGGAAAAAGGAAAAAAGAATGACAAACACGCTGAGCTTTGCACGCGTTGGTTTCAACTAGAAGTACTTTCCTTTGTCAAAAAAATTTAGACACCCATTCTCAAAATGCGGCGCAGTTTAAACATTTGCACATGAAGAAATAGCATGTCACATTGGAGAACGATCAAGAAATTCCTGTGCATGGCTTGAAAAAATCTTGGCCTGAAAACTGCATATGTTTAAAGGTATATTGTTGCATCTTGTCAAATTCTGTTGCTTAACGGTAAACCTTGTTCAAAGCCTTTGAAAAAGCGGGTTTCTTGCATGCCTGCAGCCGTGTTCTTCATTCTTCCTATTTCACAAATTATATGACTGTCTAGCCACACACGACGCATACTACTGCTATCCAGGCACGGTAGTATACGATGACCTAAAGTAGGAGGCATATTCACAAGTAGATCTGCATATGCTGACTCATTACGCAAATTCTCGAATTTTCACTCAGAAGAACTAATTACTTTGCAAAAAGTTACATGTATTATAATCTCAAGTGAACCTTCTTACGAACTTTGGGCTTTTTAGTCGTAATTTTGCCGCCGTCCTAAAACCAAGCTTACCAACGAAGAGACGCCGTAAGATTGATACTGAAGAAGACCAATTCTAGTGTAAGATAAAATACATTAAATATGGTTCTTTGTAAGAGCTGATTATTGCGAAGCTTGGCATATTGTTATATGCTGACCTTCTTTTTTCTTGTGTGCTTTGTATTCCTTGATTTTTTACCGCTTAATGTAAGCATTCCTATAATTTTGTTATCGTTCCTTATTTTAACTGATCGTATCTTTATTTCTTTTCATTCCATTTACATATGAGAAATTGTAACAACCAGGAATATTTGGATTATGGGGTATCCTCCTTTAGGTGGGTTTTTGCAAGCACTAAGGTTGGAAACGGATATAGCTGTCGAGAATCTTCCAAGTTTATATAATGTTTTATTAATTGTATGATAGTATACAATTCAACAGCAATTACTTAGTACTTCAATTGCTTAATAAGCAGCAGCTATACCATCTTTTCTAGGGTCACTGGCCGCATGAAGAGTTCCATTCTTAAATCTGCGAATAGCTTGTGCGGCAGAAATAGTTCCTGTCTCCCTCACATTTCGAAGCTAGATGAAAAGTGATATTAGACAGTTATTGTCAGCTTTGATACCTAATGTTAACTGAACCGTTCTACTGAAAAATGTGACCACTTACAGAATGTCCTCTTCGAGATAACCCTTGCAAAATGCTTTCTTTGAATCCAGACTCGAACTGGATCTCGTTTGGTAGTAACTGGTGATGAATCCGAGGTGCTTTTACTGCTTCGAATACATTCTCATAATGAAAATCAAGAGTATTTAAAATGACATTAAGTGTAGCTGTTAAGATTTGAGAGCCACCAGAGCCACCGACAACCATTTCCAAATTTTGATTCTCGTCCTCTAACATAGTTGGAGTGATAGTAGATAATGGTCTTTTACCAGGTGCTAAGAAGAAAAAGATGGTTTCCTCTTGGTTTTAGTATGCAAGACTTGAAAAAGCTCACTTAAGAAAAGTACTTTGTGAAAATTTTTACCGATAAAATTGTAAGGACTTGGGTATAATCCAAAATTGTTAGGTACACCGGGAATACTAAAGTCATCCATCTCATCATTTAATATTACACCTGTTATTGGATCCATAAATTTAGCGCCAAACATTAGATTTACGGTCGATGTTAGTGCTACTGCACTTTGATCCGAATTATCAATCACGGAAAGGTGCATCGTGCCATGAGATTCACTGTTATCGTACTTTGGATTATAATATAAATAGCCATGCGTCGTATTCTACGAAAACATTAGCAAATATCGATGAATATGAGTAATTCAAAAAAGTTATACATTTCTTTGAGAGAACAGATTGTAGCCTACATCTGTGATATTGCTTCTGATATTGTCAGCCCATTCTTTGGTGATGATCTGGTCCTGAAGTTTTTCATTTCCTGTGAACTTGGGATCTCCCAACTCTGAACGGAATGCAAACCCAAATTTGTAAGCTTCAATCAGTCGGTGAATCGTCAAATTTGATATCGTTGCATCATTAATGGTGTTGTTAAAATAATAAGGTTCAATCAAATTGAGAATACCCAGAAGAGCAGGTCCACTTGTAGGTGCTGATGTAGTAATCACCTTACGACCATGATAGGTAGTTTGAATGACAGGTCGAATGATCGGCTGATAATTTTTCATGTCGTCTAAGGTCAAAATACCACCTGCATTTTGCGTGGCATTGACCAATGATTCAGCGATGTATCCCTATGATAGGTCCGTATAAGAATAATTTGTTTAAGTAAACAGTTATGGATTAGACTGGAGGCGGGTTTAATAGTATTGCTTACATTATAAAATACATCCGCGCCTTTAGCAGCGATTGTTCTTAAGGTTTCGGCTAACGTGGGCCGTTTAATTATTTCTCCTGGTTTGGCAATAAAACCAGTTGGAGCAAATACTTCTGCAAATCCAGGTGACTCTTCAATCCATGATTTCGATTTCTATAACGACAATTGCATGATGACGAGATTGATGACAATAATAAGTTTGACGTATACGTCAAAACCGAAACCTAAGAAAGTACAAAGGTTCCTTACCTTTAATTTACTGTATAGATGTTCAGTCACTTCAAAGCCGTCTTCAGCTATCCGGATAGCCGAATCGAACAGGTCTTTCCAAGGAAGCCTTCCATGCCTAGTAGTATGAGTGCGAGATTCAGCCATTGGCTTCAGTCTGATTATTAATGGGTTATGAAGAACTTACAATATTTTTTTTATATTACCTTTGATGCGCCAAACCAAAGCCTCTAATTTCACCACTACAATCAATTATGATTAGTGTATGTTTATTAAGACCATAATATAGACAAGACTTACGGCACAGCTACCGCTAATCCACCCCTTTGTGCTGCAATTGGATTATCGTTAAACATGTCTTTGTGAGCTGCGGCTGGTGCTGTTTCCCGAAAGTCAATATGTTCGTAACTTCCATTCGCTGTTCGAATAAGCATGAATCCACCGCTATTCAAAAATTAGCAAAAGACAATGAACACAAATATCTTATGTATTGGCTCAGCGAAAATTAAAAAGGAATAGTAATATAAGGTTACCCTCCAATGCCTATAATGTTAAATTACAACAAGTTTAACATAGGGTTAGGTATTGTTTTCATCATTTGATTATGACTATTACCTGTTGCGAAGCTGTTAATAACACCTATACAAAGGGCCGATGCTATAGCGGCATCAACAGCACTTCCATTCTTCTTTAGAACTTCGTATTGGTGTGAGTACAACAAGGGAAACAAGAATGAAAGTTGTGCAGGTTCTGCCATTAAAACTTACTGTCAAGCCCTACTTCCGAGCATTCTTTCCCTTCAACTGCCACTGCTCCCTTACTGCCCACGACTAAGTGAGATATTGCACCTTCAGAAAAAAAATATCAGTATATACTGAAATATTTAAGCAGATATCGAAAAGTAGTATGCTTCGTACCTGAATCGAGCTTATTATTTTGATTATATAAGTGCTTGAAATTAAATATGCTTAGAAAGAAAATGATGCATAGTAAAAGTAAGCTCACTAGAGCACTTTTACTGTCAAATCTGAACCTTCTTTCGTAAAATTCTTCTTTGATATGTTTATGTCTTAATAACGCTTGGGCTTCCTCGTCAATTTTGCGAGTCCTTTTCATGGTATCTTACTTTAAAGACAAAGAATGTAATTCGATATAAGAAAGAGAGACGTTCAGTTTTGGAAGAACTGAAGAAAAGATATTGAGAAGTACAAAGATATTCGAACCCCATTTTTATCAATCATGATCTAGTGTCATCCAATGAACTTTGAAAAGAAAAACTAAAAAACTTTAAATTTCGTCGTCGTCATTGTCAGTGCAGATTTCGTTATTTTCAGGTCTCCTGTTCACAATATCGTGTGCATGCCTAAAAAGCCTGATTTCTTTTTTTTTACGTTTATTTTACATCAAAAAGAAACAGAATATATTTAATTGTAGAAACAAATGAAACAAAGGGTTGCAAATTTGAGGTGCGTTGGTTATTTGATTTGCTGCTCTTATACCATGAAGTGTATAATGCTGCTTTTGGTAATGTGAGTTGAGGAGTTGATTATTTTTCCTATAAAATGAAAATGTTAAAAGAGAGAGCCTAGTAATGTTTTGGCTTCAAATTCAAGACTTACAGGAATTTCAACTTCACCAGCATCAATAGCGGCACAAAGGTCCTTAGGGTTTTGACCATCAACAGTACAACCAACAGAGAAAGCAGTACCCAAGATTTCCTTGACAGTACCAGACAATTCACGAGCCAAGGACTTGAAACGCATGGTACGGGCAATTTCGATCACATCATCTAAAGAAATGTTACCGCTGTGCTTGATGTTCTTTTCCTTCTTACGGTCACGGACAGGTTCCTTAAGAGCCTTGATGACCAAAGAAGAAGCAGAGGGGACAACAGAAACTTGAGCTTGACGATTTTGAATGGTCAATTGAACAGTAACACGGAGACCCTTCCAGTCCTTGGTGCCCTTGGCAATATCTTCACCAACTTTCTTGGGGGATAAACCAAGAGGACCGATCTTGGGGGCAAGAGCAGAGGAGGCACCAACTTCACCACTATCGTAAATAGGAATAGATTTGTAAATGCAATGTGTTAGTTTAATTCAATGCTGAACTGTTTTGACAATTTGTAGACTGCGATATGACTGTATGAACATTTACCCAGTGGCACGGAGATAGATGATCTTGACTTCGTTAGGATCGAATTTAGGAGGCATACTATGATTATTTCATGCGATACGTATATAATGGTTAGATTGATAACGATATGGATGGATGGATTGTTGTATGTTTATTTACCTGTGATATGATGAGAAGGAAGGGTTAACCAAATGCAGCTTTTGGATCGCCAGATACACTATTTCACCCACATTTTTCTTTCCTTCTCCTTAAACAAGCTTGTCTGTTTTGTTAATGCATAAAGAGAATCCGAGCCGGACTATAGCGTGACCCAATCAGATGATTTTCCTTCAGTAGGAGGACAGTGCATAAAGTAGGTTTTCCATATTTCAGTGCATTTCACATTGAATGAAATTTTGCATAGAATAAGTACATATGATAAATTCTTCTATATGTGAGGTATAAGATAACTAGTTCATTAAAATACTTTCATGATTTTCTATAAAGCCCTTCTTATAAAAGGCAATACGAGCGGTTTCCTTTTGTTGATTTTTCGAGATTGAATTCTAGTGGCGACAAGCGAGGGAAAAATTTAAGTACGATTCAACATACGTTTAAAGAGAAATTTTACCCAATGAGCACACAGATAAATACTTATCAAAATTGCCCGGGGAGGTTCAAGGAAAGTGTGAGGGAATTAAAAAACCTTTAATGGGACAAAGGGAAAAAGGGAAGATGATCAGAGGCAAACTAGGGAATAACGGAACGATCAAGGTGTAATTATCGCGGGCGCATACATCCAATTCAAGCGTAGCTGTCCTAGGTTTTCTGGCGGTGCGATTCAACATAATGTTTTTTGACTTTCGCACGAAATCGCTATCGAATTGAGACTATCTTACAATTAAAATTTAGACTAGTTTAAGAGATTATTTTGGATGAAAAGTATAGTTTTTCAGATTATACCTTTTCTGTCAAAATGCTCAATGCCAAATGTGCGACCTACTCTTACTCAAACGGTAAATATACTATGCCGAAGCACAGAATATCTACCGTGTTTGAGTATGTAGTAACGTCAAGCAGCAGTTAATAAAAACTTCAGAAACGTACAGTGAGAAATTTCACAAGATGGACTCACCTAAACGCGTACAGATCTTTAAGCCGTCGGTTCCAGAGAACCTGCGGCACCATTTTCGTTATGGCAATATCGACAGAAGATTTCGGGTCGACCATTGCTGTTCCATATGGAATTTGCAATATGAAGCATGTTCTTTGCTGCATTCACATCGCGCTGCCATACGATACCGCAAGCGTTACAAGCTTTGGTACCGTAAATTGACGATCCATCAGCAACCTTCACTTCCTTCATGTTTTTAGCCAGGCAGCCGTTACAGACCTACAAAAAAGGTGTTCATCAAATTAAAACCAGCTTGCACGTGCATTCTTCTCAACATAACTTACGATTGACGTTCTGAATGCGTACCTTTTTTGCGCAGCTGCTTCTACATTGATCGTTAACTTCTTCTCTTGTCGTTCCTTCCTTTCTGCAGCCCTCTGTGCTTTTCTTGCATGCACCTTACTCTTCGTTGTCTTGCTTCCTCTCGGCAACTTTCTTTTACGCCGTTTATTCTTGTTGGTTTTTTTTTCTTTTTCTGGGGTTATATTCTTTGCTCCCACCCAGAAGCATGCTAGCGAGCTCTTCGTCAGCTCTTTGATGGCTTTGTTAGTCGTTAAATATGAATTTGGCAGAGTTGAAGCCATAAAATTCTTGTAAGCTTTGGATATGTCTCAATACATAAGGAAGGTACAGCTTATATTGTATTTCGGAGTGAACAGTCTGCACGTCGGTAGATTGGTCTCAATTTCTTTAATGCCAGTTGCAGCCTTCTTTTCATCTACGACCCTTGCACGTCTGTTATATCCAGAAATTTGAGCGCGCTCCTCTGTGCTACATGTGCGAATTTGATGCATATCTGTGTTGTAACTAACTATAGCTGTGAATATCTCATTACGTCCTGGATCTACAGCTATCGGCATGAAATACTTGTTGATTGCAGCAGGAGTAAAATCCTCAAGAGTGAGTGTAGCTGTTGCACTTTTTTCTTGACGGGAACGGACAAACAAAAAGGTTACAGCAAAGCCATCTGTGTGTATTACACAATTGAACATGTCCTTAGAGTTGGCTGGGGTTCTGGAAAAGTCTTGTAGGCTATTTGAGCAACAGATGCTTGTTAATGTTATTAGGTTCTAAAAGCAAAGTATAGTTTTTTCCTTACGTTTCATATCCGAATTTTGCAAAATTAAAAACATTAAAGAAGATCTCGAGATTATTAGCATAGGACACGTTGCCAATAGACTGTCTGGACAAACAGCATAGAGCCTTTTCATTGATGCTGATGTCGTATTTGAGGCACGATGACAATATTATATGAGTAAATTACTCAAAACGTCTAACGAAATGTAAAATAAAACTTGATCTCAGATATGAGTACTGCTCATATCTTCGTTCCCGTTTGGTAAGCGGTGTGTTCGATTGCATACATTTGAACCTTAGATCAAATGTATAACAAATAAAGATAAGATAAGAAACGAATATGGATTAAGGATAATTCTTATGTGAGATTAGCTACCTCACATAAGATCTGAACAGGTTATCTTTATGAAATATATTTTACTTAGATTATCTATGGCTATATGACGTTTAGGTATATAGCAGGATTGGTATATGTACTCGTAGGATATATTGATTCAACAAACAGAATATAGTAGGTCGCGGTACTGCTCCCTGTTCCGGAAATAAAGTATGGTTGGAGATAAAAAGGCTCAATTACTCTTTATTAATACAACAACTGTTCACGCAATCAAAAGAACACCACGCACGAATATCTCTTCGTAGCTAACATCTATAATCATTCCCACAGTATCTGAGCTACACAACTGGTGGCCGATAGATATTGGATTATAGATGTAGCTGCATGATCACCTTGGATCTGCCAGGATAGCACATTACAAATCAATCCGCTCTGGGATGGACGAGTAATTATCCACTTAAAGGGAAGACCTATTCTTTTACGGAAACCTCTGATTCACTAAGTATTGTCTGACCATAATAAATCAGTGTCAGCTATATATCCCGATACAATCCTTTCGTAGACAGCAAATACAATAAGTCGTTATTAATAGCAGTAATTTTAGTTTTCTTTTCTCTTAGTTTGTTTTGGAAAGAGAAATAAAGACGGTGGTTTGATTTCGTTAAGCTTTCGTGTTTATTTTCTCTTGTGTTATTCTTTACCTTTTATCTTATAGTTAAAACTAGCGAATACCACAGCAACAATCAGGTGTTGACACCGAGACCACTGTAGTTGTTGTCTTGACACATTGAATACCAAATACTTTTAGCCTTCCAAATGTCATCTTGTTGTTATCTGGGTATTTCGCCCAGTATGTGTTTAAAGTTGCAGCAAGATTTTCTATCAATTTTAAAAATGATCAAGAGCGTGATCAAGTTCCTCTTCCGAACTACCAGAAGACGCCTCCACCAACAAAAGCTTATCTTGACCAGTATATCCAATTCCATCCGCGTATCTGCCTCTGTCTTTTGTCCATGTTTGCACAATACTGTGCTTCTACTTTGGATATATACTTCGCACCTATAGCATATTATCAACCAGCGATATAAACTTGTATTAACCATCGTCATTCATCAATTATCATATTCTTTATATAGTAAACAACTTACCACTAAATTGTAAATATTGAATATGATTATGGAAATATTGAAATATTGGAACTGTATAATCGACGAAAAAAGTTCTTTCGTAATTTGTCGTTATTGCCTTGATTCTTGAGCATCTTGAAAAAAAGCAGGTGAATGTGATATTTGTGGTTTGTATGTTTATTGCTCAGTAAACGCGACTTGTTAGTTGATGTAAAGTGAAGTGTGAAATAAGTTTTCTTTAGTTCTTTTCTTATCTTTCAAATCAGAGAGGAGAGCTGGCGAACTGAATGTTTATTCTTAAACAAAAAGAAACAAAAGAAGGAGTTAAATATTTGTTCCTGAAATTCTCAACCAGTAAGAATGTAGCGTTATACATGGTGCTTGTCTTTAAATACATGATGGTACAGGTGCTATTATAAATCTATGATCATAGTAACATGTCTAGTATTTGAAGGTGAGTCTAATTCGTGTTTATATAATATAGGATATATGCAAAAACCCCCATCGATTACCGCTGTTAAACTCGTCCAAAAGCCTCTAAGCACTTGAACGAGGTATGCCGTATACCACAGCTGCTTTAGAGACAGTTGAAAGCCCTCTTTTTGAAAAATCTCGATAATTTCTCCATGTAGTCTGCCTCATACTTCTTATGCTTTTTCGTGTTGAGCTTAACCTTACTCATGTCAACTTTAACTTCCTCCCTTTTTGGCTGAGGCTCATTTACTTGTTAATTTAAAGATTCAATTAAACTAAATTATTATGTACCAGAATCAAGCGATCTTCACCAAACTTCAAGCTTATATTGTGCAATTAGCAAGGTTCGGTTTCTGTGTTGCAGTCAATGAATCCATTTAGTATGAAGTTTAATGAATGAAAAAAGGCATAAAAAGTAAAGTCTAAGTTTTTTTATAGAGGGTCCTAACACAATTTATTTTTGTCCCAAAAATATTAAAAAACAGATTCAAAAGTTTAGTCTATTTATTTTTTAGAAAAATTATGAAATCGTCCCAAACGCAACCGAAAGTACTGTGCCTTGGCAGTTAATGATATAAAGATGCCCACACCCCATTTTTTTCAAATTAAGCATCTTTCTCTAACGGGTTATCCTTTACTTATTATCGTGCTTATTGTTTTCTCATTTTCGTTTTGATCGAAGTTGGACTAATTTTTTGTTCTTCTATATACTAATTTTGCTCTTTTAAAGCTCTATTTTATTACACATTTGAACATTCTTCTTACGACTTCGGCTGTCAGTTACAAAAAACATGTCTTATACAAAACCACAAGGGAAGAGACAACAAGATAACGTTGGAGGAGGGTATGGACAACAATCAAAACAACATCAGTAAAGATATTAAAGATATTTAATGCTCACAATGTATTCAAGAAAGCTCCTTGAAAACGAAACTGATTAACGCGTTTTTATTTCTTATTGAATTAGTCGTGGGGGAAGCAGCAACTCAAACTCTAACAATGTTAAAAAGTGGCACAACAACCATACCAATAATCGTCATCATCACGCGTCTTCAAATCGCTTTTGTGAGCCCATAACGCAAGATCCTAATACTACCCTAGAAATGCACGATCGTATGCTTTATTTGCTCGGTAGCTTGGTCGTAAAGTATCCATTTGCGCTCAATTTTACATTGGAGAGAAGAAGTATTCATTTTTCTTTCTATTAATAGGGTTCTGTTGTCGAAGTAACAGTCAGAGATGGTACAAAATTCAAGGGCATCCTACACGGTGCTTCAACGGAAGGTGATTTAGGTGTCGCATTAAAGCTCGCTCAGAAGGTGTACAGTTCTCGTACAACAATGACTACCGAAAAAAATAACAATGCATCAAAAGAAGATACAACAACGACAAACGATAATCCAGTTATCAACACATTACTTATATTTTCAAAAGACTTGATTGACATCTATGCTACTCAGGTTGATTTTACTGCGCATGAGGACCGTAATACATTCAAAACAGATACCGATATTAGTGGGAAGATAGACATTAAAGAGAGAGAATTACATAAATGGTTCCCAGGCGATGACAGTGAGGGCATGTTATTGGAAGAAGATGCACCAGCAACTGTATCTGGAATAGGGTTATCATTGGAGGCAGAGGTGGGAGCCAAGGGAGGATCATGGGATCAATTTTCAGCTAATGAAAAGCTATTCGGTTTGAAGACGGATTTTAACGAAGAATTGTATACGACACCTTTGAATCGTAATGCTCCCGACTTCAAGGATCGTGAGAAGCGCGCAACTCAAATAGCGAACGAAATTCAAAACTCCACTACAAATAATGTACATATGTTAGAAGAACGTGGTTTGGCCATCGATGATAGTGGTCTGGACGAAGAGGACTTGTATGGCGCCGTTGTACGTGAGTCATCTGCATCCCCTATGTCTGCAGCAACACAAAATAGCAATAAGTACGTTCCGCCAGCTTTACGCAAGCAACAATCACAGCCTTCGCAGCAACAAGTACAACAACAAAAGAAAGAGACGCTGAGTAAGGCCACTCCTTTGGATAAATTGATGACGACAGATTTACCTAAGGGCCCATCAAACCCTTCACCTATTGCTAACTTACCAACTGCACGTAGGGAATCAAACGAAAAGAGTGATAAGGTATATGAATTCTTTTTTCGTACATTTCCTTTATAACAATTCCTAACATTCTCTCGCTGCCGCTACCTCAGCTGCGTAACGAGCCTCCCAAACGAATTGAGGCTGAAATTGCAACGACGTTTAGATACTTCGCAATGATGGAAAAGGACAAACTTCATGCAAAGAAGCAGGCATTGCAAAAGAAAGAAAAAGATGGACGCTTAGCTGAATTAAAAGCATTCCATCAAAACTTTAAACTGACCTGCCCAATTCCAGCTGATTTGGTACCATTATTGTCGAAGAAAAGATCCACCCCAGCACAATCGCCATCTTCAGTTACATCTTCTCCATCATTATCCGTATCAACTCTCTCGGCAACAGCTGCTACTACCAGTCCGACTGCCGCTGCTGATACAAACTCTAACAAGGAAACGGCTCAACCTACTCCTGCTGTCACCGATACCACAGCTTCTTCCGCTACTACGACACAATCACCATCTAAGCCTACTGCGGCAACTGCAATCGAGGAGGAGACTACTACTGTTAAAACTAAATCCTCGTCGGATGAAAAGGCTACGAAGTCTAATGAATCAGCGTCGTCTAATACAAACAAGTCTACTTTCAAATTCAATGTCAAGGCATCCTCTTTTAAACCCAATCCTTCGGCAGCAGCTTTTGTACCAGGTGCTGCAGTTACTACTCCATCATCTAATCAAGCTAATACAAATAGAAATGCACATAGAAAGTCGAACACTTCACATGAGAAAATTACGTTAGCAGAGGCTTTTAGGCCAAGCTTCCTTATTGATGATGTTCCTCCTCATTCTGTTGGCCCCACCTGGCCATTTGGTCATAAATCCTATCGAGTCCAATTTACCCACCAATTTGCAACAGGTGGCTACGAAGATATCGGCATTGTTTATAGCGGAGGCTACCCTTCACCGACTGTTGCAGGCCCTTATGGATATGGATACCCGCCTACCGCTGCTTACCGTTATCCTCCACCCTATGTGCCTGGTATGCCTCCTCATATGCAACAACCACCCTACATGAGTCCTCAGTTTGTTCATCATCAAACTGCTATCCCTGTTTCTGCCGCCGCTATAGCTGCTGCTGTAGCGGCAGGTGCATCACCTACACCTATGCCTATGCCTGTTCCACCACCACCCCCTAATGGTTACCCTAGTCCTCAGATGCCACCCACAACGGTAGGTGTACCCTCACCCCACGGTTCTCCTTTCTTACACCAAGGATATCCTCCTCCATCTCCTCAGCAGCAGCAACAACAACAACGTCTCCATCATCATCAGCCGCAACCACATAGTCCTTACCAACATCCTCATCCACATCCTCACCATAGTAATGGCGGCGGCAACAGTTCACCGCCTACTATGGTCATGCGTTATCCTGCACCTCACCATCAACATAATCCTGCTAATACTAATAACAGCAGCCCTGCAGAAATGCAACGGCAACAACCACCATATCAACCTCATCACCAACACTCTCAACAACATCTACAAAAACAACAGGAACCTTATCATAGCAATGCTTCAGGTAAAGAATAAAACTGTCCTTTTATTTGGAGTATGTGTCCTTTATAATAATCCATCTATTTCGAATAGTATAGATGCAGATACTAAAGGTTCAAATTGATTGGCAAAGGAATTATAAATAGTAATAGTAATGGAATATGGTTTAAAGTCGTTAGTGCGTATCACGTATTTGCAGTAGGGTCCTCGTTTTCATTTTTCATCGTCAAATGAAGAATAAAGATGTCTTTTTTTTTTTTTACTTTTTTTTTTTTTGTTTTCCTTTGACGTTCAAACAATGATTTAACCATTGTAGGCAGTCGTATTTCAACGCAGTTGTCCTTTCTGCTTCAGTAATTGTATCTTAACTTGGTCTGATCGAGCTCTGATTTGCTTCATCATATCCTCACCACGTTCTTTCACTTTTTGAACATTAGTATCTATGATTGCTTGTATAAATTCTTCTACTGTCATATTCTTTTCCTTTTCAGATAAAGTTAATACAAAATTTGATACATCAGGAGGGGGTATATCATCTAAACTGGGAAGGTTGGGCCTCTCTAGCGGTAGCTGCCGCCCTTTTTGTTTTCCATTTTCTTCTTCTCCTTGTTCATCTCTAGTGAGAGTCGTTCCTGTTGATGAAGATTGTAGTGGTCGTTGATGGGATAATCGAGAAGGTGTATGAGGGACTGTAGAGGGTGATGCTAGAGAGGATGTTTGTTGGCCAAAAGGACGTAGACGACCTGAAGCAAGCATAGGCGTGTCAGGATATGCAATGTTAGATATATGATGTATGCTGGTAGCGGCATGATTCTGCGTTGCTGTTGATGATGACGAATTAAGTACCCCAGAAGTAGAGGTTCCTCGAATAGGACTGAATGGCAAATCATCGCCGAAAATAGTATGAGCATGAACAACACCATTGCCTCGCTGAGGTGTAGATTGTAAATATAACCGTTCTTCTTGAACAGTAAGCGTTTGGTGAAATAAATGGTGGGGTGATTGTCGCAGAGGTGTCTCTTGCAACTGCTGTCGTTGTTCGATAGTTTTTGTTTTAGATAGACTCAAGGAAGGTCTTTTTTGCGATGGTAAATGTTGACTTGAAAGCCGTGCAGTTGACAGTTCTTTTGTTGTGCGGTTCGGAACAGAAGGAGGATAGAGCAAGGTAGTATGCGGGATATCGGCTTTATCCTTACCTTTATCCTTCTTAGTCGGCAAAGATGGAGAAGAAGGCTATACATTACATACATAAGTATGGTAAAAAACAGCTTGAGTCATTTCTTCCCCTTGTTCGAAAATCCTAAATATCGTACGTTTATCGCTTACAGTTATAGTATCTACGCCTTGTGGTCTACTATTTTCGTCAGTGGTCATTTTCAGCGAACCCGACTGTCTCTTTTCGCTAACGTTCGGGGACGTGTCAGGGCTTGCTTCGGCTAGCAACTGCCTGCCTTCATTCGTTTGTTTAATTGAGCTAGCCATCATTGTAGAGTCTGTAGAATGGACTTGCATTTGTGCTGTTGCTACTGCTGTAGTATCTCCATCTTTTTGCGTTGTTGGTGACATTTTTGACGACACCAACGACTCAGCGTCAGTATCGTTGCTGTTACTACTATTTTTAGCTGCGGTTTCGGAAAGCTCTGTTGTTTTCAAGACAGGCTTCGACTGTGGTCTAACAATAAATGACATTGGTAGCGTTGATGAGGAAGATCTGGAGGGCTGTTGTTGTGCTGTATCACCCATATTCAAGCTGGCGAAAATATTGACAGATCCGGCAGTTTTAGATGATGCTAGCTGCCGCTCGTGGTGCTGTGGACGCTTTGACTTCTTTGAGCCGAATGTATAGGTCGGTTTCCTCACTGGTGTCGGTAAAGCTAATACTTTTCCGATGTCCCAAATGCTGTTATCGTTCTCATTTTGTGCATATTCTTCGTCTAGCTTTTGCAGCTTCGACCTCGTCAGTGATGGCGATACTTCGTCCGCTACACGTTTCCGTTTTTGGCTGATGCTTGATCGTTCGTTCTAGACAAGAACAGAAAGAATTGTCAACTCGATCCATTCAATAGTATGTCTTTAGCCATAAGTTAACTGACCATGATAGATGATCCACTCCCTGCTGTTTTATACGTTTCTACTGACGATGTGCTAGATGCTGTGTTTCTTCGATCTGTTGTAATTGCCCCTTTGATTTCATCCGGCGTACCATCTAAGAAGATGCAATGTTCTCTGTGTCTTCCTCTATGGAAGAAAATAACAGTCTCCATTTTAGCCTAACCTTTTGATCTGAACTATATTGTATAAATGTGTAGAGTAAAGTTTACTGATATGATCTTCACTTACAAAAAGTCTATACTCTTATCAGGTTCTGTTATGGCCGATTTACAGTACGGACAAACGACTCTTGCTATATAGTCCAAAGTCGGTGAGAAATAAAATCCTGTATCTGCTAACTGGTTTGAGAGTTCAAAATATGAAAAAAAAAGTAAAGCTTTAAAAAGGATCTGTCTCTATTTTTGAAAATGATCGCCGTATCAATAGTTAGTAGATACCTACCTTAGTCACTGAGGGGTATGATCTTTTTCTACGTTGATGCGGAGGCCAGTATTTGTGGTAATTGAATGTGGCTAATCGTGCATTTCTTCTGGTCAGGTCGAAAGGTTGAGCTATAGCCTTATTCTTAATTAATCTTGACGATCGTTCAGGAAATTGCAATAAAACCAATGGACACGATGGTGACTCATTGATATGGCGAGTGTAAGGTGATTGTCCTTGCTTCCATTCACTCAATTCGATATCACATAAAAAGCAACGGACGTGGTCTGATTTGTGCATAAAGTAGAATCCTGCTTTGGCAAGCTAATAAAAATAGTGATATGACAAGTGAGGACAGGTTTATTTACAAACGAGTGGTTGAATGTTCTCATTTTACGTTGTCAGGTTGGAGGTATCTTTTCTTCAAATATGGCCATTGTATCGAACTATTGGAAAACGAGTCAATCCGATTTTGTAAGATGTTCATTATACATAAATTAAGGCAAGGCGAAAAATAAGAACAGAAAAACGATTACCACCAAGAAATAAAAAAATCGCGCATCTTGAAATTTACGTCGCTTTTTTTAGAAATTGGGTGTTTCGCGACGCATGATCCAGATCAAGTTCAGAGAATCAAAAAAAGAGGTGTTTCATTGGCTTTTTTATTGATGCATTGTAAGATGACAATGAAATAAATACAGTGAACGAACGCGGGCTGTAAAGACGGAAGCAATATCAATCAATTTCCTTCCCCCCACATTGATGAAAATCTACAAGTTATACATTCTATTTTTTGGAGTGGGAGTACACCTTATGAATTCCCATAGCTGATGTCATGACTACAATGATGGTTGCGCCCGAAATGCTGTAAGCATCAGGATACTCATGCAAAAAGAAGATACCAAATAAAAAGGCAAAAACGACATCATTCATTCTCATAAGGGTGCCTGGACCAGCAGGTGCCATTTGCAAGCTAAAAAAGAAATTATGGATTAGATGATTAGCTGACCTTTCGAGAAAATTCGATTCCTAAACACATGAGTTTACCCTTGGTTCAAAAAGCATTGACCGATAAAAGCAAAAAAGCCAACGAGAATCAACATTAGATATTCGTTCCAGTCATGTGGCATAATAGGCTTTTGGAAAGCAAACATGCCGATAGTAGACACGGCAATGGACACACAGCCAAAATAAATAACGTGAACCATGTAATGAGCACCACGACCGATTTTACGTACAATAACATAAGCGACAGCCGACATCATAGCCCCTAGTAAAGCACAGGAAATGGCAAACAAGCGTTTCAGTTCACTAGGGCCATCTGCTGAACTGATGCCATTACCGACGACCTCGTTTTGATCATTGCCACTGAATAAAAATTGAGGTTTTGACACGAGTATCACGCCAGCCATACAAGCAAAAGAACAAAATCCATCAAACACTGTAAATTCTTCACCCAAAACAATAGCAGCACCAATAGCAGTGAAAGCAGGGCCCAAGAAAAAGACAACTAGAGTGTGTGTATAGGCTGAGTGATTATATTCTTCGCTTTCAATAATGTCCTAGATCTAAACTATTTTTACCTGTCGCATCTGCTAACGGTAATTGCGTAATACTATAAAAGAACATAGAAAGACCTAAAGTGCCTGCTAATCCTCTAAGAAAAATCCATCGACGTACACCTTTCTGACCCCATGGGTACACCTTCAATAAAGCACAACCTATGAAACCTAAAATAGTCTGCACTATGGAACGAGCGAGAACAATTTCAAAAGAGGGAAAGTTGGCGCCACTCAACTTGACAAACAGAGACATTGTAGAGAAACCGAGAGCTGATACGGTCATGAATACGAGACCTGTCATTTCTCGTTTCTTTAACATGTGAATGTGTTTAGGGTGATCGGCATGGTGAGCGCTCTGCAGTAAAGGTGCTCGTTCATCGTTACTTATAGTAACGGAAGAAGTTGTGGGTTCATTTAAACTCATGCTAGTGTAAGGATTCTAATACAGAGAAAAAACCGGAGGCATGATCACTATTGTGATTTCAAAAGAGAGTACGTTATAATCCAAAAAATATTTGCCCACCTTTTGAAAGAGTTCTTAATATGGTAATAAATAATGAAGACTAAAACATTGATTGGCTGACCCGAAAAGGCAGCGAAGAAACACACAAACGGTACAACAGCTCACTGAACAGATTTGTCGAACTCTTACATCCAGCTATTGCCGATGCAAACAAGAGGAAGTAGCTTTGACCATCGAGAAGACCTTTAGCTTCTAGTCCAATGCTTTGCTTCATGTGAACTCCCCTGTCCCATATTCCATATGCATGTTATCTTCCACTTTCCCTGCGTGCATGTTTTTCTTCGCTATTCCCTTCCTCCTCTTTTGTTTTTCTAATCTAGAGTTGGGGTTTAAAAAAAAACCATGATTTGTTTGCAATGGCCACCAATAAAGTAGCGTATGTTGTTCAATTGAAGGATGCATCAGATTTCATCTTTCATAAACCTCTGACATTTGTTTTCTCATCTGTCCATCAAAGAAACAAGGCAGCAAAACGTGGATATGTACAACAGAACAATATTTTATTCGTTTAAAGGAATGTGGGATTTGAATAGACAGGTCTCTAACTTTGGAAAGTTCGTTGGAAAAGCCCAATTCATACCCGTCGATGAGAACTTACTTCATTACAAAGAAGAAGGACGCTTTGAATCGCAAGAACAACATCTACGATTTTACCGCGAATACTTCTAGGAATATACAGATGATAGCATCCATGTATTCTTTTCACAGAACGGTAGAAAGGATAAATATTTCCACAAATTGACCTTTACCAAAGTAAACAATGATAACGAAGCCAATGAGACATTCATTGCAACCGACGATCACTTGTGTATCAACGATCTATATAAGTGCCGTTATGAAATCCTCAATGATAAAGAATTCAGTATTTCTTTCGAGGTGAGAGGACCCAAAAAAGACTACACCATCAAAACTGTCTTCAGCCGTCGTTCAAGTCTGTAAAAGCAGAAAGTAGATAAAGAGAGGCGACGCCACTACTGTAACAAAATTCCATACTATTATTTTCTATGAAATAGTTCGTCTAAACCCAAGGTTTTTAACAGTAATGTACTATTGCAGTTTATAAATAAGTTCCTTTGATTGGTCGTATAGCGATGTTATATTACACATGTGCCTACGCTATTTATTATTTCTCATCAATCTAAGCTAGGAGCAACACTCTCTTAAACCTAAACATAGACAAAGTGCGGCGGCACTTTTATAGAGTGCAGAAGCAAAAAAAAAAAAAAAAAAAAAAAAAAAAAAAGAAGGGGGGACAAAGATAGAGAGCAGATGAATTTTTGCTTCTTTAGGACAAAATAATAATAATTCGTTGTACATTCGTTTTTTTGGAATAAATTATAGTTACCATCCCCAACAGCAAGCATCATTTGTTTTCTCGGGTACTGAATGCACAACAACTGTTTCTGGTGGAGGTGTAGGTTGATAATAAAGGGCTTCTAAGGAACAATTCAAGAAAAGTAAAAATAATTCATCCTGATTCAAGCTATTATCTGATTATCAGCTGCTATCACTCACTCTTTTTTGGTTCACTTACGATCGCTCTTATGATGCTGTCTATTGATGTTGATAGATTGTGCTTGTTCAGGAGAATATTGAGCGCTGAATGCTTGGCGTTGTCTGGAGTCTTTGATGATGAGGCCTTTTTCACTCATTTCATTATGGCAGATGCTGCAAATGACAAAGACGGACTTGAAAAGTAAAAATCAAAGAACAGAAGCAAAAATTAAGCGTAGAGCTGGTTTTATGATGTTAGATCAAAAGGAGCAGAATAGAGAAGATCCACAAAAAAATATAGAAAAGGGTAAAGATGAGCCAAATTGATCGACGTTATTTCCAACAGAAAGATGGGACCAATCAAAAGGTGAAGAAAGTTCCGCAACATTACAAAATGGTGCTTCTGTTCACGTTGCCTTTTAGATTACTTTCGATCATTTATATTCTGCTGAAATAAGTGCAACGATAGTTATATTAGAATACTAATCCGTACTCAAAACAGCATAGGATTTGGTCTTTTGCTAATTGCGAGCTAAATCGTGCTTTAACAATGAAAAAATTCGGATGATATTGATATATAATTACTGACACGTGCTGAGGAAATCATTAATATTGCCATAGTTAAGAGAAGATAATTAAGCAACGCATAGTATACAAAATGTACAATTCTTTGCTTGAGAATTGACAAAAAGTAAGCGCATTTGCTACTTTTATTGATCATAGGATTGCAATTTCATCGGACCCTACACTGAATACTACTAGTAAATGCTTTGGAGGATTTGCATATCCAAACGTCACTCTTAATAATTAAATATACCGCCTTGGCTACATTGGAGCCGTTCAAATTTAGTTGTATTTCAATTTATCAATTGTTGATGGAGGACAGTCAGTCTTTCTTTGTTTATAATACAGTCTAAAGCTGATCCCATGTTTGCCATAAGACAATGATGGTGAAATAGATGAGGATACAGCTTTGAAATTGTATTGTTTCTTGAAAATCGACCAAGAAGAATTTGAGATGATTGCTGTTAACTTTGCCGCTTTGTTCCTGAAATACTCCATTCCTATCTCTGTCGTCAAGGAGTCTCCTTTTAAATGTAATTAAGTTTGCTATACCGTGCTTGTTTCAAGATGAATCAAAAGATTCTTTTCTATCATGAATCTTGAAATGCTACTTTATCGGATCAATTATTTCACGGCTTATTGAAAACTCCATTCATAGGATGGTTACAATTTCATCAGGAGAGGGAACACTTCAGATGCATTGTAAAAGTTTTTAGTTCACACTACAGTTTGAATTGCATCACTATAGATTTATTTCCATAAGGATAATACAATATAATTAAGGAACTGGTTGTGTATTAGCTATTGAAATAATTAGTGTGCAAAATGAACAAGCTGTTTAATCGTATTGCATTGTCTAATTGTAAATGCCATTTTGGACTACACGTCTGCAACCATAAGCACTTCTGCCAGCATGACAATCCGCATAAGTGTCACAGCTACAATCATAAACATGAAAATTTTGACAAGAAATGGTTGAATTAGAATAGGCATGTAAGCATAAACAGTTGATTCAAAAAAATATCATAGAATTATTATTGAAACTTACCATCGAATACAATAGTCAGGAGTGCTAGGTTCAATCAAGCTTACATAGTATTTATAGCCGTGACAAATGGAGTTAGGAGGAGAGCCAGCACCATGGTTGTCGTATTGTCCACCATCGTCTTTGGTCGACAATTCGTAAGCTGCGGGATTGAATGTACCAGTGACCTGAACATAGCCAGCAGTGGTATTGCGGTAGTAATGTGCCGTTTTAATGAAGGTAGTAGGTAGGGTACGAGCGCCTGGAGCCTTTTCACTCGGCTTCAAGCAGAAAGCAACAGCATCCTTTTCAGAATCAGCAATAGCATCAATATCAACCTTGCCATTGTTGTTTGCTTTATTTCCGGGACTGCTGGGTAAGAAAAGGCAGAAATCCTTAGAGCTACTGATTTGAACAGTTAAACCATAGTTTGCAATATCAGGAATGCCAGTGGCAGTGGCAGATGTTGTCGTGGTTTTGGTAGCAGTGGTTTTCTTTGTAGTAGTTTTCTTCGTGGTAGCTTTCTTTGTAGTGGTTTTCTTCGTAGTTTTCTTCGTAGTCGTTTTTTTTGTAGTTTTCTTCGTAGTGGCTTTCTTTGTGGTGGTCTTTTTAGTACCAGTATTCTTACTTGAGCTGGTGCTAATACAGAGACCTTCGCCGACTTGCAAGTTACTACATTTAGAATTGACTTTTTTCACATCATGCAGTGTTTTAGTATACAAAACAGTGAATTTGCTGTGAAATAGAAAACTGAGATGCCTTTTACTCACTTTGCGTATTCAAGGATGTCAACTTGCTGACCGAGATACCGTACTTGGAAGCAATCTTACTACACTATAAAAATGAATAGCTTAGGAACACACGAATATTTGGGAGTATAACTAAAAAGGTTTTCTTATTCATTACAGTATCGCCAGAGACAACCTTGTAAGTTTTGGAACATGTTGCAGGAGCTGCTTCGGCTGCGGTGAAAATTGCAGCAATGCAAGATATAGCAATAGCAACTGACGAAAGACGCATTAGAAGGAGTGTAGGTTAATTATCTTGAGTTTAACAAGCAATGACGCTCAGTATTCAAGCAGTGATTAAAAGTGAATGGAAGGGGTGAGGTATGAATGAATTGTGATCAACAACTTAAGCAATGAAAGATAATGTCTTTTCGCAAAAATCTCATTTTTTTGTCCTTTTTAAATACACTTGTTGCTATTCCAGACCCTTTCTTTTTGTTAATGTAATTGGTGTTACTGAAATGGTGCCAGTAAGCGGTGTATGTGTGCGGATTGCACTGGTGCAACACTGCTAATGCCAATCAAGATCTGACGATCTTTATTTACCCTTTCAGTTTTTATACGAAAATTGTTGTCTCCAACTGGTGCTTATAATTTCGTTGCAAGATTCTATTTTGAGACGCGAAAAGTACATCCCTTTGTGAGTACAATTTTACCAAATAAAGTGCCTCACCATGATCTTTCGGCTTTCCTTAGTTTCGTCACAGTCCATTTGGAAACTTTTTCTATATCACGTTTAGAGATTCATGGTTAATACAGGTGTCCAAAAAGTAAATAAAGAAAGAGCAACGTTATGCGAGAGTCCCATAAACGGTTAATTTTTGCATTGACTGCGACAGCAAACTTCAAAGTTGAGAAAATACATTTTCTCTTTTCAGAGGTATAAGAACTGCATTTGTAATAACTCTTCTCCAATTTCACATTTTTGCAAAGTTGGAGATGCAATTCTCAAAGAAACGTTATGCAGCAACAGAGAGTGTACCATAAGTTAAGTGAACACATGATTTAGTGTGGTGTCTGTGTCCCTCTTCAAACTATTTTTAACTGTTAATTCTGATATTTGCACAATTTTTTATACATCACTAATTTAAACAGCGTTTGTGCACACTTTACAAGTAAGTAATCGAACTATGTAAGCATGGAAATCCTTGCGCTTATGAATGTCCAAGAATGCAAAAATACACCCATGAGATATAAAAAGCATTTGGAACACATAAAAACCGTACCATGTAACATACAAATATGGTCGCTTACTTTGCTGCAACCAACTGAAGCTAAACAACCCGCTTATATATTGTTAAGAAGTTGAAGCAAGTTCAAAAAAGAAAACAAAAAGATATAACAACCGATGGTAGTTGTACTTTGCTGCCTATGGTCATATTGAAGAAAGGCATCACAATATTAATAACTCGATGTAACTTCGACAGTTGCTATTACGATTAAACTCTTCAGACGTCGCCACAAGCCATTGAATAGTTCTATATTCGAGTTGCGAATGTTAGAAACTAAGTATCAAGGCAGTAACTATTCGAGTAATCGCGGCGCAATGCTGAGACATGAATGGCATGATTTTATCAAGCAATTAGGTCAGGATATTCACATAATGCCATTTATGGAACAGAATGAGAGCTATAATTAGTTAATAGTTATGTTATTAACAATAATGCTTATCAAACAGCCGAGTATGAGAGGCAATACTATAGTACTAAAATGCTTTCAGTACATGGATCAAGCCTTGAGAGATACTCGTAATTTATCGTGAAATCATGTCCAGGCATATGAACGTTTCGCGCTTCAAGAACATTAATATACTATACTTTATTATTTGTTTGCAGCACAGTTAGAGATAGTATTAGCATTGAAATATGTTAATAAAAATAAATTCATTAAACTTGGTTATATATTATATATGTACGTATGAATGTAAGATTACTAAAGATGATTTATTTTTGGTTGAAGCGATAATAAGCACCAATAAACCCAGCAATGGCACCAATGGCAAGAGGTAAGATAGCAGCGGGTGTAGTAACAGCCTTAAGACAATTGCAAACACTAGCGTTGGTTTTCTTTGTCACTGAGGCATCATGAATAGTGTCAGGATTACAATAGTACTTGGCGAAGTAATCATTTTGAATCCACAACAACTTGTTGAAAGCTAAAAGAGCCTTGGACTCTGTTTCCTTATCTAAATTCAAAGATAACAAACCTCCTGCTAACACAGATTCAACATAACCCATCAACGCGTTGATATGAATATAGTCGACATTGATCTTGGATTTCTTAGAAGGAGTATCAGTATGAATCTTTGCAACCCAGTCCAAATAACGTAAGAAGCGGTCATCATAAGGGCCTGAAAGAATTTTGTAGAGGTACTTGCTCAAGAAGTCCTTACGGAACTTGATTTGAGGATGATCCAATGTGAGCTCCTCTAAAGAAACTGGAGCGGGGCCCTCAAAACCTTCGTTCTTGGGAACAAAGTGTTTCTTGGTAACGTCAAATTTGAAAAGCTTGTCATACACAGCATCAACAACAACAGGGACAAGAGGCCGAACCTTGTCAGCGACAGCTTCAATTGCTTTGATATCCTCATCGCCTACCAACAGTTGAGAACACCAGCGAAGAGGTGGAAAAAAAGCAAGTTGCGAGATGAGTTCGTGCGTTCAGAACCATAATCCTCCCCCTTTCTTTACTGTATCCTTAAACCAACCACCATAACTCCACAACGCATTGTCCCGTGTCATTCTTTCCCTTTTCTACTTACCAAATTCCAAGAATTTAGCGACATATTGGAAACGGTATGCACCATCAGCATAGAGTTGGTTAGAGTCAATATGTTCCATAATAAGTTGATATAAGATTAATGTAAGAGATTTTTCAATTGTACAAAATAAAAAAAAGAAAGCAGAAAAAAAGCATTCGATTTTTTTTTCCCGGCATTTTTTAAACGCCAAAAGACGACATCCATTATGTAATACCCTGCAATTCCAAACTGGGATTACAAACAAATGAAGAGGAGCTTTAGCAGCGTCAAACAGAACCTTCGGAATAACGCGGTGAAAAGTTTCAGCTATTGTTCTCCACAGATCCAGAAAATAGAATAAACTGGCCATCTATTGTCAATGTCTTAAGAATGAAACAAATGATGAGCCGCTTCTGCGTTTCTTTTGGGAAGTAAAATAGAAAAAAAGAAAAAAGAAAGGGAAAGTGTTCACTTATAAGAACTAGTTTATTATATACAAAGATGAAGTTGTCTAAAATGATGTAAAAAACTATATATAGATAGATAACAGTGTGTAGAATAGGGATTAACCAGTTGGCTTCTGTTGTGTTGTATCGTATGCTCGAATGATCTTGGTTTGATCTGTTTCATTTTGCGAGAATGCATAACCGCGATTACGCTTGAGTCTCTGGATTCGACGTACTTTATTAACAGCTTGCCTAAATCGATCCATCCTTGGTCTGTAATCTGGCAAATTGTAGAATTGGATTTCCTGTACATGGTGATACGGCATAGGCCAAAAGACACGTTGTCCACTATTTCATGATAAAATGGTATCTCTGTTCGTTACACATGTCTCTATTTGTATATTTTGTTTGACAGAAACTGTTCACACTTACTACTTCCAAACAATATCACGCAGGTTACAAATAAATGGAATAATGATGAGGAATAGCCAGAAATTCACGTTACCCCATAACATAGGTATCATTCCGTAATACTCAGGCAATGTATTGACGGATATACTGGAACCAATATAATCTGTAAGTAACATGTATAAAAACCAAATTGCCATAGAGCCAATCATAGCCATTACAGTGTACTTTGTCCAAACACTGGAATTTCAAAAAAGAAGGAAAAAAAATTAGGTTAGCCAATGATGAAGGGCGATTTGCGGGGACGCTCGGACGTATAACCACCAGCAGTTCTGGTGAACGATTGCTCAGGTTGTATACGAGGGTGAACTGAACTTACTCTACAATGAGGGCACCTTTCCATAGAATGCAAGCAAGGACAGCTGTAAAGACAGCTGTTCCTGCCCACCAATGACCGCAAATCATGCCATTTTTGAACACACCTTCAGATCTGAAGGCTCCGACACCCAAGAAAAACAAAGCCTAACCACATTGTACGCAACTGTTATGAGTCGCAGCTTTAACATACGGAAGAACTACATTTGCCTACTTACCAAAGAGTGAAAGGCGGCGTTCGCCATCCAGCCCCAAAATTTCTTTTGATTGAAAAATACATTCTTTTGTCCAAGTGTATACATTTGAGGATATCTATCAAGCATACGGGATGAAACAATCTTGTCAAAAACACCAATCACCACAGGAGGCAAAAACGTAAAGAAGACATTGAAATTTGACATGGTCCACGATTCGTAAAGGGTTGTGCCAGAAAAGCCATTGTAGAAGCCATACCAAAATTGTGTGAGATAAAGAGCGACATTTTTATAAAAGTAATAGAAAATCATCTTGCTCAAACGTTGATAAGCCCAAGCACCATGTACAAGCAATAACTTCTTGAGGAATCTGAACTGTGAAATAGCAAAGTCAGCACTGCGGGCAGCTTGGAGACCTTCTACACCACTTATACCGACACCAACATGAGCAGCTTGAATCATGGATACATCATTTGCACCATCACCAATAGCCAGCAAAATTGAATTATCGTAACGCCTGACACATTTGACTACCAAAGCTTTCTGAAGTGGTGATACACGGCAACAAATAACAGCTTTACATAGAATGGCGAGGTCATAAAAGATCTTTTCAATATCTTTTTCAAGCGCGAATGATAACGCTTTACCATCAATGACTAATGCCAAAGGCTATTTCAAAAGCAACAGTTAGGATCCTATTGACAATTGGTATCACTACCTCCTCACCCGCCCCCCTTTTTTTTTCTCTTCTTCTTTACCTCCAAATCTTCCCCTCTTGTGATCAGATCATTGATATCTCTTAGCTTTTTCTCCAAAAAGCTTCTTGTTTCCCAATGATTATCTTCATTACACACAATCAAACTCATATCCTCATTCAACAATTTACACGAATAGCCAATATTGATAGCTGTTTCTTGACGATCACCCGTTAACACCCAAACATTGATACCAGCTTCTTGTAAAGTATGGATCGTTTCAGGCACACCATCCTGAAGTCGATCCTCAATAGCCGTAGCACCCAGCAAAAACAAATCTTTTTCAATCATTTCAGCTGCACGGTCCAATTCCTCCGCACGATTTACTAGTGTAGTAGACGCTGATTCCATAATCTGCGACCAGCGAGCATACTCCTCTTCAGGAATTTCTCTCATAGCAATACAAAGTGTGCGGAGACCTTCCGAAGCACATTCTTCCAAGTGAAGTAAAGTGGGTTCAGTAAACGGATTTTCTGGAGCCAAACGTTCCAAAATAACAGTATCAGCACCTTTACAATATAATTTGATACGGTTATCAGGGCCCCGAATGATAGCCGACATACGTTTACGAGAAGAATTGAATTCACAAATATTTAGCACTTGGAACTCTTGATCTTGGCCACGAATGGTGCAGGTGACAGAATTCGGTCGACGCGTGTGGAATTGATAACCCAGCGAGGCTGCCCCTTTCACTAGGGCGCCTTCGTCAGGCGATGATGCCTGATATACAATCTCACCATCATTTTGGCGTTCAGGAATAACGGTATGGCAAACCGCTAATAAAGTCAGAAATTCATTGATGACATTGGCCGTGGAATGTGTGTTCAAATGCTCTTGCAGTTGATCAAAGGTGTATTGCATTGTAGGATCTTGACCTTCTGCTCCTTCCCTGGCTTGTTTGTCGGGCTCTACTTCATCAGCATAGTATAATCCGCCAATGGATACTTGCCGAAATTGCATTTCATTACATGTCAAAGTACCCGTTTTATCAGAGAAAATGATTTTGACCTGTCCCAATTCTTCAATTAAGCTACTGCTTCTAGCTGTGGCAGGCGTATTTGTTTTGTCGTAATAGAGGTCCAAATCATTTTCGATAAGATAAGATAGAATAAATTTTACCACTTCCATAGTCACCATTAAACTGATAGGAATGAACGAATTGAATAAAATCAGGAAAGTCAAGATGTCGTAACCAAATTCTTGTCCATAGGTCATCGAGTGCAAAGGTAGGTAGGTTGCTTGTTCACCTTTGAATTTGGAAAATAAGACACCACCAAGAGCACCAGCAAAACTCATACCCACTAAAATCCAAAATAAATACATGATGTTCTGGTTGGTGATATGTGTGACATTGGATACCTTGGAGGGCTTTTTACTGGAATTTAGCATGAGTTTGGTTTCATGGCCTGTAAAAACAACAAGACCATAAATCCAAGATGTATTTCTGAGTTGGGCTCCTCTTAGAAGCAATTGAGTAGGGGTTAAAGCATAATCCTGACGTTGAGCTCCGTATGAATTGAGCGATAGAGTACCATCATAGTTGTATAATCGATTGTTTGGCTGTTCCGATTTGATAACACCTTGTAGTCGGCTCATATCTGCTGGATTGAGAATATTCGCGGTTTGTGGTAAGGCCTGTTTGATCTTCAAGTTGACCTCACCATCTAAATTACTAGTTTCGATGTAACAGAGGCCTTCTGGTTCTGAACTGCTCATTAAGATCAAATCGGCAGGAAAGTTCTCGCCACTTTCTACACGTAATATATCACCTACTTTGACATTCTTCCACTTTTTTGTTACGAACTCTGTTCCTTCCAGCACTTTACATTTTTTAGAATTAAGTTCTGCATCGGAGCGATGAACACCCTAATGTATCATTGAACATGAGTATGCTTTCTCTACGAGAGCAAGATTATTTTTTCTATCTCTTACCCAATCTTCAATTATTTCTTTCACTGCTGTAATAAATAATACAATCACCAAGGGCACAAGTGTAGTCCATCGTGAAGTAGGTGATACATCTGGAATTTGCTATACTCATTTGGGAAATTAAGATTCAATTAAACTTTACACTTTGCATAACACATATCTATTTTTCAATCTTTACCTGAATACATGACACAAATAAGAAAAAAAGATTGGCATACTTTGAAAACTCTTCATACAAAAATCTTGGTAAAAAGGTAAACACATTGTACTTTCCAGTCGTAATGGCGTTATGTAGAAAACCTTGCTCGTTATTCATAGCAGCATTGTTGATATGTATGATACGTGCTCCATTCTCACCGGGAATACCCGAAATAACCTGTGTTTTACCTGTAATACTGCCTATGTATTCCCTGAGTCGTCTAAAAATTGGTTTCTTCCTTTTGCGTGGTATTTGCATGTTTCCACGGGCATAAGGTGAACGTTCAATGGAGTCTCGAGGATCTGTATTTGATGGACCTAACATGGTAGCTGTAGAAGAGGATCGTATCATAGCATTGTTCTTGTCAGCCAATAGATCATCTACTGTATCTTCGTCTAACTTTGGATCTTCAAATAAATCTTGAAGAAAAAATGAATTTCAATGATTGTTAAGCTTTAGTCACATATAGAAACCAACTGACATGTAAAAGAGCCGAGCGAAATTTATTGGCAGAAAAACGAGGTTAGCTGATTACCTTTTCCTTTTCTTTCTGACTTGAAATGGGCAGACGATAACGATGTAGGATCTGTTATAAAGTCGTTATTGTTATAATTGGCATTGTAGGACGGATAAGCTTGAGCTGACGAAGACGATGAAGGTTGATTGTTATCGTTATGTTGAAGGTCAATTAAACTATGAGATGTAAGAAGGTCGGAAGAAGGATACTGTTGCGACATCAGATGGCGAGCATTATCGGGTTGAAGGATGGGTTGCTGACTGCTATTGTCAGTAAACGGATTGAAGGTTGTTGACTGTATGTTGGATGGCGATTGGAAGTCGTCCCAATCTTCATCGTTGCTATTGGAATTATCCCTGAAAGGGTTACTGTTATGTTTTTGAGCCACTTTGAATTAAAATCTATTTTATGCAGAAAAATGGTAAAATAGGAATTGTAACACACAAACACACATAGACACACAGGGAAAAGAAAGAAGGCCTAGAAAAAGAAAAAAGCACGGACAATAATGCAATCTGATAAAAAAAAAAAAAGTAGGAACGTGAATAAAAAGAATGAAGCGGATAAATCAGAATAGAGAGCAGTGATGATGAGAGACGGAGGGATAAATTGTTATTCCGTTCATTTATTGGTTTACAAGGTCAAACCACCGTCTATTGTTAAAACTTGGCCATGCATGTACATTGATTGTGCAATAAATAAGGCTGCTAATGATACATCTTCTACCGTTCCAAAACGTTTCAAGGGAATAGAGCTTAACAGCTTTTCTCGTTTACTCTCATCTTGCAATAATGATTTTGTCATATCGGTATCAATAAATCCAGGTGCAATCGCATTCACTCGTATTTGGTAAGCACCTAATTCTTTTGCGGCAGATTTCGTAAAGCCCACAATGCCTGCTTTCGATGCACTGTAGACTGTCTGACCGATGTTGCCGCCAAAGACACCACCCACGACACTGGCAATATTGATAATACATCCACCTTTCCGGTTCTTTATCATGGATCTACTAACATGCTGGGTTAATCGTATTGTTCCTAACAAATTGGTGTTGATTGTCTCTTGGAGATCTCGGTCTTTCAATTGAATCAATAATCCATCCCTTGATACACCTGCCGCATTTATTAAATAATCTATTTGGGTTCTAGCCAATATGGGCTTTTTGAATTTATGTCAGTCGATATCCCGTGCAAGATGGTGACGAATGTTCTTACTTTTAAAACACTCTCTATTTGGCCTTTGTCTGATACGTCCAGAACAACGCCTTCATGAACTTCGGTCTTGTAAGTCTGTCGAAATCGATCTTCAACATGTCGGACTCGATCTGGATCACGGCCGATCAATATGGTTTTCACCCCTTGACTGGCGAAATTTTTCGCAATATCAAGACCAATACCCCTTGTAGCTCCTGTGATAATAGCTGTTTTTTGCAAGAAACTCATGATTTATAATATGTACAGAGTGACATACACAGGTAATGCTTTAAAAACAAATAATTTGAACTTATCATTTACAATTTATAAAACCGTTGTCGCACTTCAAAAATTTGAATATACTCGCCTCATAGAAATAAGTGCATCAGCAGCGAAAAATAAGGTATAAAAGCACTGTCTAACATACAGAATTTTGCTTTTAAGAATTTGTATCTATAACATATCTCAAAACTTTTCATCGTTACTCGATTCAAAATACAAGCTAGAACATAGACTGCTTTCGGCCCGATCTCAGCTTATGCTGTTATGATTGTGAAAATGACATTGCCCCAATGTTGACTGAACCACAGTTTACAAAGGTAGAGGTGGGCAAAAAGCATAAACTGAGCAACGACTAGATACAGAAAGGAACTACCGATACACTGCTACTAGTACATGAACTTGACTATGGGGGTTATATTGAAAAATTATGGGTATAAGCGCGGTTGCTTTTCGATTATAGATAATTGACTTGTATACATACACAAGATGCAAATCTCCGATTGCAAAGCAACGTTAATATGCGTTGTATCTTGCATCATACTCATTGAAAGTGAATTTGATCAAATTCCGTATGTTTTTTCAACCAGAACTTTGATCAGAAGACATGCAATGTCTGACGGAGAAACGCTTCGTAGAAGACTAACTAAGGTTTGCAGTGAAGTTTCTCTCTACTCACCAGTCAAACTTTCTGAAGCTTGCTTCGACGAATATCTCCTGAAGAATCTATAAAACTTACTCTTTCATTCGCAACAAGTTAAGTCTTGGTATGCGGGCAGCAGCTATTACAATCCGTCAGGTGAATTTTCAGAGACTTGATGCTGCGACAGACACGCTGCCCTACCAAAAAAGGAAAAGAAAGGATTTGATTTGTAATAATGCAATTTGTATAGAAATGCAGGAACCAAATTCGCTCTTACTTGGTTTTTTTTTTTCTGCAATGTCAAACTTTCTCAATTTCAAAGTTGCTTTCAAATCAGACATCATTGCTTTTGAAGGCTGGGATGCAAGCTCAACTATTGAGCAAATTAAGCTGCATATCTCAGAAAAGACGTCGATGCCACCAGAAGCTCAAAAACTTCTGTGGAAAGGTCGGCTATTGAAAGACAGTCAGGCAACTTTGCACAGTTTGGGTATACATAATGAAAGTAAACTGTTATTGATGGGCAGCCTTCCTGCACAAATTGAGAAGGTTACAGAAATGGATATAAAGGTTGAGGAGAGACGGAAAATAGCTGCGACAGTTCGAATGAAAAAGAATGGAGTTTACCGAGGAGGTGCAAAGTCTAACCTGGATAGTAACTATACTTTTCACAAACTCACTGTAATTGAAGAGTTTCCCAAACCTGAACAAGCAAAGAAGCTGCTAGAAAAGTTACGAGATGATCGAGGCGTAAGTAGTTTTGGTATGGCTTTCAATTACGAAAGAAAAATGTTACTGATAATATACAATCAACTGTTAATCAGATCCGAGCAATAATGTCTGCAAGAAAATGGACAGTGCACGAATTAACCGAACTGACACCGTTCGAGAGTTCCATACTAGGCTACAATAAGAACAAAGGACAAAGTATAGCAATACGGCTACGAACAGATGATCTGAGTGGTTTCAGGCATTATGATTCAGTAAGAAAGGTGCTGCTTCACGAGTTAAGCCATAATGTAAGTAATACGTTCAATTCTAGAAGCCCCAAGCTTTAACTCACTTCATGTGTCACGTTTTCAGGTTTATAGCGAACACGATCATAATTTTCATGCCCTCAATAGACAGTTGAACAAAGATGTGGTGAATCTGGATTGGACAGCTAATGGAGGACATGTTTTGAGCCGTGAAAACTTTTATAGTCCAGATGACGCGGAAGATGATATGATTGATAATGGAGTTACCTATGAAGCTGGCGCATATAAATTGGGCGCAGAGACAAGCACAAAGACGCCTCAAGACCAGTTGTCTACACCGGAAGATAAGCGAGCAAGGCTTGCAGCAGCAGCTATGAGTAGATTAACCAAGCAAGAAGAGCAAGAAATGGATGAAGGTTGCGGCTCCGCGAAATGATATATTATATGGCATCTGTATCCTAAGTACAGTTTTTGTAAATTGTAAATTGTTTTTTGTTTTTTTTTGTAAATATACCTTTCAAATCTAATAAATATTATTTCTTAAACGTTACCATTAACAATACAACAAACACAGGATAGAGTGATCTTTCCTAAAAGAGAAGAAGTACATACAATCTATCTATCATTGCTGTTCAGAACAATTTTCGAATAACAAGCAACTTCATTATAAGCATAAAGGAATTACACGCCCTGTCCACAATTATAGGAATACTACCAATATAAACTCAACAGCTACTACTATTTCTAAACTAATTTTCTACTTTTTCGACTATAATTTTTCTATGAGGAGCGCTAAAATATTTATATTTATATTTTAAATACATGCTAAGATGGTAGTTAAAATCACTTTTGGACCTTTTTGCTTTCCGAATTGTTTTGTTCAGCTTTATTTTAGAGAGGGGAATTATTGGTTCATGACGTAAATTGAGTATATCTACGATAATTATCCACATAATTCAATAAATAGAATAAGAAAGAATAATAACATACTGCTTTCAAAACAACGTATAAATGAAGAACTTATAATTTAATGCACACGGACTAGTTTGTAAAGGATGTTGTGAGATTTGATGCTTGCTGGTAACTATTATAGCTGTCGGTCATGATTCCTTCTGCATTAAATGTGAACCCTTTAAATTGGTCTTGCATTGTCTTTGATAAGTGCGAGTCTCCGTCAGCATTGACCGATTCTACAGGTTGTTCTGATGTAAACTCTTCGTCGAAATTTGTTGTATCATATATGCTTTCAACTGAGGGTTTAAATGGTGGCTGTAACTGTTTTTTCATTAGTTTTGTCCAATCGATACTTGCAAAAAATGGATGATTTCTGATCTCATCTGTACTTTTATAACCTAGACGTGAATCGGGATCACGGTTCAGCAGCTACTTAAAGGACAAACAGAGCGCCTTAGTAAGCGTTGCCTATACTATAAGTATCAAAGAGGTCAAAATTTATTAACGTACTCGTGTCAAAAGATCTCGCGCTGGTTCTGACACATCATCAGGGAACCTTAAAGGGTCTTGCAATATTTTTCGGTACATTTCATTCGTATTCTCATCGTAAAATGGTGGCAATCCAGTTATCATTTCATATAATAAGACACCCAAAGTCCACCAATCAACGGCTTTCGTATAACCTTCTCCAATTAACAATTCTGGAGCTAAATACTCTGGTGTACCACAGAATGTGTTTGTTCGTTCTGTTGCCGTAAGTAATTTACATAATCCAAAATCACACAAAGCAATATGTCCGTTGTAATCGATCAAAATATTCTCTGGTTTCAGGTCTCTATGAATGAAGCGAATTGTTAACCATGTTTTCTTTTCACAGTTTTCAACTTTTTACCGCTCAGCTGACCGATTTTCTACCTATACACAACGTTGAATCCATGTAAGCATTGCAAAGCACAAAACAGTTCCGCTGTATAAAATCTTGCTCGTTCTTCATTAAATCGGCCCTCTACTTGTAAATGATGGAACAACTCACCACCGTTAATAAAAGCCAGTACTAGATACAATTTATCTGGGCTTTGGAAAGCAAATTTCAAGGGAACAATAAATGGGTTTCTGACTTTTGCTAACACGGTTTTCTCAGCCATTGTATGAGTTACTTCTGATCTCGAGATAATCTTGGATTTGCGCAACACTTTCATAGCATAGATACGATTGGTATCCTTTTTACGCACCACATACACTTTCCCAAAACTGCCTCGACCGATCACGCGTAGAAGGTCAAAAGAGTCAAAAGATATGGTTCGGTGTTGTTGTGGTGTATAGCAGAGCTGTAAGTACATGGCTCCTGTACCTCCCACGATGTTGAAGAGTTGTTCCTCGAGACTAATGGACGAAAAGTCGGGCTGTATTTTGATGCTGCCAAGGAAAATATCATTGTTACTACCATTTCCTTGTGATGTCTGCTGTTGTTGATTTTGCTGTTGCCTGATATAAATAGACATGGATACTTTCGAATAACATGAAACATCACTAAAATAATACGATAAAGAAAATAATAAATTAAGACACGCTTTCCAGCAAAACCATCATACCCTACTTGATTTGTATTGCAGTGCGTTTTTTTTTTTTTTTTCAACTTTAATTCTCTTATTTTTTTGCTTACAATGTTGCTCTGTAGTTGTAAATAGGATTGAATACATCGCCGCCTATGGCGTCTATAAGTATTTCGTTCTTGTCAAATTCCAATACAATATATGGTAGCCACCATGTTTGTAGCTTTTTTTGAAAGGATTCACGTTTATTGCGTTGAACGATTGGTAATGAAGCTCCTGCTAAAACCGACTCTGGTAGTTGAATAAGGGGTGGTAGAGTTATTCCTCTCGCCTCGCATACCCGAATAAGTAAAACACCAGATGTTGGCTGTTGCTGTTCGTTTTGCGACACTATTGAGCTTTCATATTAGACATGAATACACACTTTTACTTTACTGTTGTGGAACTACTTACGGTAAGAACTCATTGACTCCAAACTTCGTCTGCGATGAGGGTGAGGAAGGAAAAAGAGCAGTTGAAGAAAATTAAGGGGAATGTTGCCATAAAAAAAAGATGAAAAAAACCACGCATTAATCCCAGTTTGGAATTGTCAATCACAGGTCTTAGTTCAAGTGCTCTAAAATTTGGGAAATGAGGTACGTCTAGAACTTTTTTATTTTTGTGGCACAATCACAAAAACGAATCCGAAATTTGGCACTGTATATTTCAAGTTCAGCTAATTAAATCACACATCCGCTAAACGGCACTTCGCCAGCTAAAACAATGGGTTTTTTGCTGTTGTATAGCTGAATCAATATTCACTATATACGAAGTTTATCCATGAATAAAGGACTTGATTAGCGATTCTGTTGTACTATTTTACCCTCTTACAATTGAAGTATTATTTTGAGGCGTTGATTGATACAAACTACATCGAAATGATTATCTAATCTTCGCGTACAAATGGCGTGAAGACTTTATCACTCCGTGTGCCTATGAAAGTGGAGGTTACAGACTTTGAAAAAAGAACTCTGAATAAAGTTGAAGAATTTGCTCAGCAAAATGGTATACAATAGAGCATGCAAACTGAAAAAAGTATATAGATGTAAGCTGTACCCGTCATAGCGATATAATGAAATACACAGCTCATGAAAGCATCCGTTTGGCGTAAGTAGAGATCAAGCAAGTAGATTTTAAAGGCTATTCAACTAAGGCAGCACAGCAACTGTTTAAATTGTTAAGGAACTTTCGAAAAGTGAATCCTTTCCTAAACAGAGCAAAATATCGACCAGGACGAAGCTCGGAAACGCGTGGGATAACTACAAACAAAATATTGCTAGCACTTCTACGTGATCATATAGCTCCAATGAGAGAAATGAACCCGAGGAAGAAGGCTTGCGGCGATTTTTCTATGATTAATTTGACTTATATCTTGAGCTTTTTATCTAAATCTTCCTTCATTTTTGCGCCCATTCAACAGCATTAACGATATAGTTTACTTTCGAGAACAGGTATCAGGCTCCTTCACAATTCTTTAACGAAGCGCTTGCTTAATAATCACTTTTTTTTTATTTACAAAGGCTGTCTAATGTAAGATAACAATAGAATAGATCCTTGCGTCCAATATATACAATTAACCACCATGTAAGGTAGAAATAAATACGATCTCATCTTTATCTTGTAATTCATATTCTAATTCATCGCACAATTCCCAATCGACATTGTTGATCAACACTAAAATGCCGGGACGACTAGTATTTAAAATGTTAGTAAGAAGCACAGACATACTGATTTATCAATACTTTTGTAGACTCTTACACAGTATCCTTTTCAACGAACAATTCTTTTCTGTCAGTCATCATATTATCACGGATGTAAAACAGTAGATCCTGGAGATTAGAAGGGCTGCCAGCATTGTTGGTAGCGGGGAACTTGATTGTGTGCTTGCTCACATTGTTAAATAGAAGTTCCATACCGCCGCTATAAAACAGTTGGGGACCATTAGAAAACCCCTAAAAGTAGCGTCACATAAGCTGCAAAGTACCTGAATTCGACGTTGATGTTTAATTCTGACATTGTACAATTCTGATCAGAGTGAAAAGATGTGTTCTCGGATGGACTTTCGTTTTGAATTCTGAATTCGGACTTTTATATTCAGTTTTTTTTTTTTTTTTTTTTTTCCTTTCTAAAAATTTCAAGCCAAGTTAGTGGTTGGAGGTATCCATCAATTTTTTTATACCATTTCCAACCACCACCATTATTGAAAACTCAACATTATGTGTACAATCTGTCTTACAAGCAGTTACTGCGGGAAAAGACTCCGTTCAAGTAGATGTTGAAGGTTTAATTGTAATATGTTATAAGTAAACATGCCCTGTCCCTTCGCGATGTGAGATCAATTCCATACAGTCTAGACACGCTTTGTCCATTAATGAAAATGTTCAGGAGTGATTATTTCGCAAACCCTCTATGATAAAAGGACAGTCAATTGTAGATGCTCAGAGCTTCAGTCGAGAAAGGAAATATGTCAAAATATTAATCAAGTCTTCCGAACATTTAAAAGTAAAATGAAAGTAGTACATAAAATTACATAACCATTCAGCTTCAGAACAGTTATAAATCGCCGTGATATCAGCGGTAGACGGCTTTTTGGTAGTCCATTGATGTGAAAGAAACAATGGTAATGTAAACTAGTACAACTACACGATTGGATAAAAATTCTTAATTAAAAATACAAACGGTTGCCTCAAAAGCGAAAAAAAAAAAAAGCTATTTGTCTTGATACACTTATGACAAAACACAAAGAAAATTTATTACTTTTGTAAAATAACAAGTTCTAGGTTTTCTAAAATAATATAATTAGCTATTCATACCTATAATATATATAAATCGGTTAAAACAGAAGGGAAATCTACAATATGATCTTTGGGAAAACCAACATGGCATTAACAGAAATGACGAAGTATTTAATCAACCTCCTACGTAAAGTAAATAAGCATTAGTGATAAGATGTTTTGTTTTTTGTTTTCTTTTAAGAACTACAATCAATGACTTACTTCAATGGAAGGACCATCGGATTCGGGAGCAGCAGCACCAGCACCAGGCATACCACCACCGGGCATACCGCTCATATCGGGCATACCACCAGCAGCGCCTTGTTGTTGTTGGTAGAACTTCATCATAATAGGGTTAGCAACTTCTTCCAATTCCTTTTGCTTGGATTCGTATTCTTCCTTAGAAGCTTCTTGAGATTCATCGAGCCACTTGATAGCTTCATCAACAGCGGCCTTAAGCTTGTTCTTATCATCTTCGGGAAGAGCAGAGGCAACCTTTTCTTCTTGAAGAGTGTTACGAAGGTTGTAAGCGTAGGATTCAAGACCGTTCTTAGCAGTGATACGGGCAGCAGCAGCTTCGTCTTCAGCCTTGTATTTTTCAGCATCATTGACCATACGTTCGATTTCTTCCTTGGAGAGACGACCCTTATCGTTGGTAATGGTGATCTTGTTGGACTTACCAGTGGTCTTGTCAAGAGCAGAGACGTTCAAGATACCGTTGGCATCGACATCGAAGGTAACTTCGATTTGAGGGACACCACGAGGAGCGGGAGGAATACCAGTCAATTCGAACTTACCGAGTAAGTTGTTGTCCTTGGTACGGGCACGTTCACCTTCGAAGACTTGAATAAGGACACCAGGTTGGTTATCGGCATAAGTAGAGAAGATTTCAGATTTCTTGGTAGGAACAGTAGTGTTACGCTTGATCAAAGCAGTCATGACACCACCAGCGGTTTCAATACCGAGGGAAAGAGGAGCAACATCCAAAAGAAGAAGATCTTGAGTCTTTTCAGAGGTATCACCAGAGAGAATGGCAGCTTGAACAGCAGCACCATAGGCAACAGCTTCATCAGGGTTGATGGATTTGTTGGGCTCCTTACCATTGAAGAAGTCAGAAACCAACTTTTGAACCTTGGGGATACGGGTAGAACCACCGACAAGGACGATATCGTGAACTTGAGACTTATCGATCTTGGAATCACGGAGGACCTTTTCAACAGGTTCCATAGTGTTACGGAAAAGATCTTGGTTAAGTTCTTCGAAACGGGCACGAGTCAAAGAAGTATAGAAATCAACACCTTCGAAGAGGGAATCGATTTCGATAGTAGTTTGAGCGGCAGAAGACAAAGTACGCTTAGCACGTTCACAAGCAGTACGAAGACGACGGACAGCACGAGCATTACCGGAGATATCCTTCTTGAACTTACGCTTGAATTCTTGCATGAAGTGGTTGACAAGACGGTTATCGAAATCTTCACCACCCAAGTGAGTATCACCAGCAGTAGCCTTGACTTCGAAGATACCATCTTCGATGGTCAAGAGTGAAACATCAAAGGTACCACCACCCAAATCGAAAATCAAAACGTTACGTTCACCTTCAACCTTCTTATCCAAACCGTAAGCAATAGCAGCGGCGGTAGGTTCGTTGATGATACGTTGAACATTCAAACCGGAAATCAAACCAGCATCCTTGGTAGCTTGACGTTGACCTTAAAATGAATGGAAAAATAAATTTGTGAGTTCCCTGCTGCTAAATAAAATTTTCTTGTCCTATCGTCATGGTCGGGTATGCAAAAATCCAGAATGAAAAATGTATTGCTTGCAAATTCATTTGTTGGTATTGGCTGTTCCGCGTTTGCATTTGTTGATGGGCTATTGATTTTGCTGTTTAACCGAACTTAAAAAAAAATAAAACATATATAATACTTACTGTCATTGAAATAAGCAGGAACGGTGATAACAGCGTTCTTGACAGTACCACCGAGGTAAGCTTCGGCAGTTTCCTTCATCTTAATGAGGACCATGGAGGAAATTTCTTCGGGAGTGAAGGTCTTGGTTTCACCCTTGTATTCGACTTGGATGATAGGCTTGGAGTCCTTATCAATAACCTTGAAAGGCCAGTGCTTCATATCAGCTTGGACTTCAGCATCATTGAAGCGACGACCGATCAAACGCTTAGCGTCGAAAACGGTGTTATAGGGGTTCATGGCGACTTGATTCTTAGCAGCATCACCGATAAGACGTTCGCTATCGGTGAAACCAACATAAGAGGGAGTGGTACGGTTACCTTGGTCGTTAGCAATGATTTCGACACGGTCGTTTTGCCAGACACCGACACAAGAGTAGCTGTAATGATACGAAGGGTACAAAGAACATCATTAGATATACTATTTTTTTCCCCCTAAAAACACGCCTTATAGGCCCGTCCAATAACTTACGTAGTACCCAAATCAATACCAACTATTAAATATTAAAGTGAATCGAATGAGTTATTGGGCCTTCCAAATGATGCTATGCGGATGCCAAGATGCTAGACTTACCAGACTTTCCTTCAGACATGATTGTAATTTATGATAAAGAAAGAAAAAAGGAAACGGGAATTAAGCGGCAGACAACTAAACTTTTGGTTCCCAAAAAAAATTTACGTGATTTGTGACAAGTTTAGAATGTAAAAGAAAGTAGTGGAATTCTCTGATAATTTATACTCATTTAAGTGGGCAGAAAGGTAAAACTATCTCTTCGTACTTGAATTAGCTAGTGTTACAATGAGTAGATCATGGTCTCTTTCAAAGAGAAAGTGATAACCTGTCTGCAAGGCTTTTTATAATGGCTTGAGTAAACTTATTCTTCGGAAACGCGTTTAGAACTTGCACACAGTCATTTTATTCATTTCTTTTCAAGTCTAGTAATGAATAATGGAAACACATGTTTTTTTTTCTTTTCTTTTATTTTTATGAATGAAACAACATGAGATAAAATGATTATTAAACTAAATTCCACCAACTTTTGCAACTTCACAGATGCTGCAAACCTTGCCTTCGTACTCGGGTTTATATGAAGCTTTACAATAGCCACATTCAACCTTAGCAGAGCCACGGTAAATAGGTTCAAAAGTGGCTGCGCAAACATCGAAGGGATTGTATTGATCATAGTCGAATGCAAGTTCATCGTGCAATGTACGTTCACAAACGGACTGGATTTTGCGTGCCTAGATGTTTTTTTAAGAAAACGAAATTGATAAGCGCGTGTAATATAGTTATCATCTTTTATAACCAACCTCTTCAGCTACTGTTCTTGGAGGAGCAAGTTCAAGCAATCTAGTTGCGAACTGTGACGCTGTACTAAAGTTCTTAGCTCTGAAAGCTTGTTTTGTTGCTTGACGTAAAGCTAACTGCATGTGTGGCGTTTGTAATTGACAATGAGCAAAATATGAAGCTAATTCCAAAGCACGCTTCAATTCTTCGGGTGTTTGACCAGTAATACTTCTACGCTTTTGTTCCATAGCAAGACCCAAAAGATATTCACGACAGATACCAACTAATTGAACCAATTCAGTTGCTTCATTGTCATCTGCTGCTATCGTAAAGAGAACTGAATGTAATAACGATTTGAAACTTTGAGCAGCGGCAACCAGTTTGCCCGAAGTGAACAAACGATAAGCAGCTTGAAGCTGTGTAGTAACAATGTTTTGGAAGTTATATACAGCCACAGGCAGCGTATTGCGTGGTGAAGAGTTCTCAGGGTCACGTCGTAAATTATGTGTGATATTTGGTGTGCTGGATAAACCAGCAATAGTGATATGGGCACCTTGATAAATCGCCAAGAAATGAGATTTGAGTGGTTCGAAATTGACAATGCCCTTTTGACGGTTCAAAATTTGCATGGCACTTTCAAACGCGCCTGCTGCAATATGATCTGCAGCCTGACTTGACTTTTGAGCCCAGACAGTATCTTCGTTGACGCCTTCTGTTGGTGCGACGAATTCAGCTGTCTCCTTGGCAGCAACATTGCCCATCTCTGCGTCCAACTCTGCCTTGATATCGTCATCGTCATCCCAACCACCTTCTCCATTATCATCTTCATTATTAAATTCATCAGGGGCTGTACCTAATAAATCATCTTCCACGGCAGGTTTAGCTGAACCAAATCCAAGGTCGTCATCATCACCCCAATCACCACCGGCTGCCTCGATATTATCGATTTGCTCATCATATGAAAAACTGGGAGCTTTGAGAGAAACATTAGCATCTTGTTCTTGTTGTTGATGCTGACGAGCGAAAGCACCTTCGAAAAAGCTTTTAGAGACAGACAACAGAGGCCAGTTGGTATCGTCGAGTTGACAGACAGGCTTGGGAATATCAGATAATTGCTCGGGAACTTGAGGTAAGTCGATTTCATCTTCGGTTTTGCCTGTAGCTGCCAAAATAGCGTCTGCTTGCTCAGTTAATCCATATGTCTTAGCAGTCATGTAAGCTAAAGGTAGTTGGCCGACATCCTGTAATAAACGAACACGCTCTTCAACATTACCGAGGTAGACCGCATTTTGGAAGCGCATTAAGGGGTCCTTTTGAATCTGAGAGATTTCCAGCATTTTGTTAAGATTGGTTTTGTTACCCTGAAGGAGGTATAAGAAGGACAACTTGTCCATCTTTTTTGTACGCTGGTAACATAGTTCAACGATCTAAACACAAAGATAACATGAATAAATAGATTTTCATAGTATAAACCAAAAATCCTCAATCTACTTACCTTGAAATTACCATGGCGCAAAGCTTCAGCGCCAAGCTTGGACCAATAATCAGGCTTATTCATTGCTTTGGCAGTTTCAAGCGCAACGTCCAAGTTACCACATTCAATAGCCAGTTCAAATCTGGTTTTGTCATCCCTGACAAAGTGGAGAGCAATTTCAGGATAGCCTTTCTTTTGGAGATAGGCAATAATAGATTGTCCGACCAAGTTGGATGTACGGATGATATGGAGAACTTCTTCATATTGTTTTCTGACAAGAGCCAGTTTGAAGCGATATTCTGTAGGGTCAATAACAATTTCGCGAACCTTGCCATCACGGTCAATAGCATAAATCTTCTTTCCTTTGATTCTAGTCAGATAGATAGGTTGATCTAACGTACGAATAATACCGTTATCACCCTGTGGTAAGGCGTACTTAATATGATTCAGAGTACAGTAAATCAATACGCCAACGTCATCCCAAGTAGCACTTTTGATACGGATGGTTTCATGGATTTGGCTGAGTTGCTTCAACTCTTTGCTGGCAAGAGTAATGGTGTGTTTGCTTAAAAGTGCAATCATTGACATATCATTAGACCAAACAGCATATTTGACAGATGACACGGCTAATTCAGCAGTAATACGACGTTGCTGAATATCATATAAGATGACAGAATTGGGTGTAGCCATTAATAGGGCACCTGGTCCAGCGTAGAAAACATCGGTAACTTGACCAGGAGTTTTGAAAGATTTGGTTTCCTTATTAGCAAGATCACGGATTTGAATCATTTGATTGGTCTTATCGAATACAGCAAATCGATTACGGGCAATGAAAAGAGCAGCAAAACCGGATCCTTTCATTGACTCATCTGAAGGCTCTTGTAGGGTACCACCCAAACTCTTTGGGAGACGGTATAATTCGTAGGTACCGCCTTCATAAGGGGAGGTTAGCAAAACCGCTCTTTCTGCAGGATTGTAGGATAAGGTACGAGGAGCGACGAACTGAGAGCCAAGTTTACGGACTGACAATACTTCTTGATCAGCAGTGCTTGGGAAATCATGAATATGCAAAATATTGTTTTTAACATAATAAAGTTCGTTGTTATGGACTTGGAAAGCAGGACGTTCACGTTCTAATTTGAAGACAATCAGACCACTATCATGTCCTGCAGCGAACAAATTGAGCTCTGGGTGAGCGGTTAAAACCCAGAAACGATCATGATCCCTTCTAAAGGTTGCGATAGCAGTACGCTTAGTTAAATCCCATACTCGGATGGTTTTGTCTTCACTATCGGACAGGATGAGGTCTTGACGAGGATGGAAAATGGCACTGGAAACATTGTTGTAATGTCCACGGCAACTGTCTACTTCCCAAGCTTTGGTGTCTACAATTTTTAAGGGACGTAATGAGCTATGAATCATCAAATGTACGTTATTTTTAAAGTTTGCTAATACTTACCATTCATTCTCCACAGCTTGACTTGACGGTCATCACCAGCAGAAATGATTAATGGAAGTGTAGGGTGGAAGGAAGCCCAGTTAACACCATGGTCATGACCCTCTAAAACATATTTTACCATAACATCAGTAGCCCCAAACATATCTCCGCCGGGGCCTGGTCTACCCATCATGTCATCCATTGTCATCGCTGTAGGTGCTTGAGATTTCTTTCGTAGACCTTAATATAGACAATAAGTTCGTTATCAAGAATCGCAGACAGTATTGCTCGATTTCACAAATGTATATCTACCTGTAATGTCCCAAACACGAACTGTTTGATCCATAGACGCAGAGACAATAAGATCTGTCTTGGGATGAAACTGAGCACACATAACATAATGGTTGTGGCCTGTCAATATAGCAATACATGCTCTCGATTGCCAGTTCCAAATTCGAATAGTTTGATCGTCAGAGGCTGAAATAATCCAAGGCAACTCGTTGTGAAAGAAAACAGTACGCACATAGTCAAGATGACCGTTCAATGTGAAAAGACAACGGCGGCTCTTATAGTTCCAAACTTTAATTTTGTAGTCATCTCCACCAGAAACAAATAGTGGCTGTGTAGGATGAAAAGCGATACCTCTTACAGGACCTATTTGTTGTAAACATTAGCAGGATTGATACCTTAAGAAATAATGGCTGAGTAATTTATTCTCACCATCGTGTTCTTCAAAGCGTTCAAGCAAGGTTCCCATTCGGTAATCCCAAAGTTGAATACAGCCATTATGTAAAGAAGCTAAAATCCAAGGACGTTTGGGGTGAAAGGCAACACCTTTAACACGGTTGCTTTTTGACTCAAACTGTAAAACCGAGTAATACAATGTCAGATGAAAGCTGGTTTGTACAATTTAGAACTTTCCATTTTTAATTTGCTGATCCGTACCTTCGTGAGCATCTGCATCTTTAAAGTTCTTATTTATTTCACTATTTTAAATGATCCTGTCAATATACATCCAACTTAGTTACGAAAGCGCGTTCCTTAGATGAGTTTGTGACAAAATTTACCAGAAGATAAATGTTAATTACTACTCCAATTCGATGTCTTTTGTTTGGGTGAATTTGGACCGAGCAATCGGGTATTATAGTTTGTTAAATACGACTGCTGTAGAAACACGGATGACTGGAAAAGACGTGTTGTGAAGTAGAAAGAGATTGAAGAGATGAAAGGCGAACCAAAAAGTGTATATCAAATACTCAAAATGTACCAACCAAAAACGGAGTGTTAAAGTCCAATACAAGAATAGAAATTCAGTTTGTTGAATGTATTAACAAACCAATCAATGAAAGCTGAGTGACGTGTCCGTAAGAATGCTGGCGGCAGAATATCCATATTGACAAGAATACTATACATGAACAAGTTGAGTAATGAGTATCCCAGAGACTAACATAGAGCAGTTTAATACCAACAAAAGAGCTTCCTAGTAAATCGGATACACTTCAAGTGTATTCAGGAACAGGCACGTGTTGCGTTATCCCTATCGTTGTCGCTGCACACTGATTTTTATTATAAACCATCACCAGGCCATGTTAAGAGTTCTGATATTCCCTATTAGCATTTTGACCGTCAATAGCACTATTAATCTATTGATATATGCTTACAGTGATAATCGCTTGCAGTAAATGGAATTTGTTTGCTATGGTAGTATCTTGCCTATTCAACAGTTTTGGTTTTACCACGTACAAAAAGAAATGTATTTATGTAATAGTTTCTCTATTAGATTTTGAGGAAATGAGGAATTGAGCGTTTATTCTTGCTTTCATCTTGATACTACAAAATCAGCAGAAAATTTTAACTAGCATTGAAATACTACTCTTAGAACTAATTGAATCGCCCCTTCAGAAGCATTTTCAGGCTACATTACAAAACTACAACAGCCACATTTCTATATACAACAGCACAAAACTATATGCACGTAAGCAGTTCTTGATTGACTTTTTGTTACTATTTCCTGAGCAAAGGGGGACAAATTAGTATGCTAAGTGTCTCATTTGAGTTGTATAGCTGTATAACGGTGGCGAGTACAGTCATGGAAATGTAAATGTCTAGCTGGTGTAAGTTTTATTCATTTAATCATATTCACTTTTTATTTTCTGTTATAAAATAGACAAGAATGAAGCATACTTCTTGTTGAACATATGCTAAATCAATTGAATGACAGTCAAAATGGCCGTAAGCGTGTATTATACTGAGGCTGTTTGAAGTCGAAAGAGCTGATAGGTGGTAGAGGTTCGTCTCTGAGCCTTTTACGACTTCCGCTTTCACTAATTTCGACAACGGCTGTTGATGAGGCCAGCTTATTAAGTTTTTCGCATCTTACTTTGTCTTCTTCCCTCGTGTTTGACAAAAATGCTATCAAGACCTTTAATCGATCAATCACTACTGTTTCTTTCCTTCTATATATTGCATCATAGGGTACCGTAACTTCAAATTGCTTCAGTTGCTCAAATGGTGGGTCATCTAGTCTTTCATATTCAAGTTGTTCGTATAAGCTGCCCAAGCCCATATCCAGCAAATGTGATTTAGACACAGCTGTTGCGTACTCTTCCTCATCATCGAATGCGTAATTCTTGAAAGAGATAGGTATTTGATTTGCTCGTTGTAAAAGAAGCAAGTTGCCAGCAAACGTACACAAATGTTTGTTTAATTCTAACAGAGTATCCAAACCTGCATGAATTTTCAATTCCTTTATTGTATGAGCAAACTGATCAAACACAAGAAAATAGCCCACCCAAGTTAAAGGTAGGTTAAACATCGTTAGGTTGGATATTCCATACAGTCGTGTTATACGTGGTATGGTTTGTCGTATAAACTTGTCCGTGATTGTTGAGTCATTAACGGGGAAAAGCATATTGGTCGTCCATATTTCGGGGCTTTCATATACAATGTTTTCTATGATTTTATGACTTTCTGCAAACTCAAGTACATCTTTTAAGTTCAAATAAGATGCAATATGTACTAAGATACTTTTAGGTATGACATTTATCAAATTCTTTTTGATATTTAGCATTCTATGAGAAAAAATGAGAATAGTAGCAAGTCTATCGATGGTAAAGTTATAAAAACTGTGCAAAGAGAAAAAGAAAGTTTGCCTTGAAGACATATAGTTTTATTGTGCAACAAGCATTGCCGATTTCAACATTACATGAGCACAGTGTCACTACTGCCTTTTTCCATTAAAATAGCAGCTTTTGAATTAGTTTTTCGCGCCTCAAGTATTGGATTTGCTTCTCTGGCAAATAACCACTGACCCTATAGCTACTGTTCTCAACGTGGCTAACGAAGAAAGCAATAGCAATAGTCAATTATATAATATATCTTAGAAATGCCCTATTGAACTTTGCCGTAGCCTATGGTGTCCCGATTGGTTTTTGCCCAAATAATAGCCCTTTCATCGTTTCAGATTTTGTAGCGCTTTGTCATCCAGTCTTATTGGCTGCAGCAAAAGGTTAGTAAGCCAAGCATAAATGCAGGCTTTAAGTATTTAAAGTGAAGAACCGTTAGTTTGTTTTTCGAACGGTGTCCGTTACAATGCAAACAGCGCAATTTTCAAGGCAAAATGCAGTGAGTAAAGCATGTTAATTCAAATTATTACAAAGGACGGTCAATCTTTTGTACGAAATTAGCTTGTTTAAACCTAATGTTGCCACTAGAATAATATAGTCCAGATATTGGGTAGGTTTATGCATCTTTAAGGTGCATCATGTTAATGCACTTGAATATGCATGTATAAATTACAGATGGAAAATGCCGAGTGGAAATCAACTTACATATTTCATAGACTTGCCATAATAAAGGAGCCTTAGACTGTAAGCTTTCTTACTACACGTATTTTTTTTTCAATTCTAGAACAGCGCGAAGCAAACCTTTCTAGTAAGTTAATAGGTACACCTAGTAGTAAATTTTGAATTTTGTACAGTAACGCCTTTATATACAAAGCTGCTTCGTTCATTATTACTTCCTCACATAGGAATCTTTGAGAATAATTACGATAATTAGTAACTCTCACAATTGTTATAGAAATACAAGTTTTGGGCAATAGAAGAGTTTACAAGTAAGATTGCTATACTTCAAAAAGGTGAGCCAAATAAACGAGAAATACTTCTAGGTGTCTCTATAGATGCGATTGGCAATGATGGATATTGTTGCGATTTGTAAGCGCGCAAAATCGATATTAAATAAAGGCAAATGCCAAATGGTCATTTTGTATTCAATACAAAAACAACCTCAATAATATGGTGCACTATAAATTGTTAACGGTAAAATGTTGGTGTACATATTCTTGGAACATATATAATGCGTCTGAAAGTAGTTTTCTCCATTGAAAACCTTCTTTTCTCTTCTTTCCAGACAGACAGTTATTTCAAGAATGCTGACAATTCATCCGGGTGCTAAGATTTGAACTAAAGGCTTAAAAGCTTACTCTTGAGCAATGTCCAAGTAGAGAACTATAGTCGTTAGCAGCAGTTGTATTATTTCGGAAAAAAGTATGCCCGCTATAAGAAATATGAATTTTATTGTATGGCAGCGACTGTTTTCAGAAACCAATTCGATGATTGTAGGCCTTTCCCGGATCGTCTCAGCCAGTCTCACCATGTGTAAGAATGTGGAGAATGAAAAAAAAAAAAAAAAAAAAGCTGCATTTTCTATTGATTTTTTACCGGAAACTGCACACTAAATTCTTTTTAGACTACACTTTCTTCGCTTTCCTTCTCTTTGGGCCTTTACTTATTTCACTCATTGAACCAACTTTCCCATTCATTCATTTTGTAATCAGAATCGCGTTTTGGGAATCGAAGGCAAACACTTAAACAACATCAACGAATGCTGACCATATTCACCAAAGGATCAAATCCTTTTCCTCCATTTTATTCGAGTGGGGAATTTTCGTTCACTACTCCACTTTTCCTAACGCCAACTGTACTCCTTGTTTTTATCCTTTTCGTTGGCTCTATACGTTATTTATATACAAAACATGTTTCTTGGCAAGACATTTCTAGTCCATTCGTACCACGAGAGAGGAGACTCTCTCCTCTCTCTAAATTGATTATTGGTTTATCGTGTACTGTAACGGCCACATTCTTGATTGATGCCTTCGTGCTTATCACCAGAGTCTTTCTCGAAGAAGGATTGTTGTCCATTATGCTCCTGTACTATATTGGTGCTTCGTGGGTAGCTTGGGTTATTGCTTTAGCCTGTTTGATGGATGAATCACACAAATTTTCCAAGTGGTATTGGATTCAATACACTTTTTTCGCTTTAGCAACTGCTGGTGACACGGTAGTCGCTTGGTTATGGGCCGTTGGTGTTTGCAAGCCAAGACCAGGTAGGTTTAGAACAATTAAAAAGTGAACTTGCAGATAATCGTTGCATTGATCATGCTTATCATACAAGCTTGGTTTCTGCTTCTGTTTGCGTCTGTTGTTAAAATACGTTATGCATATGTGATTTATAGGTTCGATCTTCACTATTTATGACAACTTACTTTTGGGAATATTTATTGTACGATATGTACTTGAGTCATCAATATTTATCTTATCAATTGTACAACTGATGAACACCAAGCGCCATATTCGCCGATCCTCAGAAACTTCACCTTTACTTGGGAATGCTTCAAATTATGGAGCAACTATCAGTAATAACGCAGCCGATGAAGTTATCACAACATCAAAAATGGATGAAAATCGTAGCGGTTATCACGACTTTTTCAACAAGCTCAGAAAAGTAATGCCTTATATTTGGCCCCACAATGACCATAAATTGCAATATTTGGTTATAGTCTGTTTTCTCCTCATGATTTTCGGCTTGTCAATCAATGTCTTTACGCCTTTGCAAATTGGTTCCGTAGTCGACAAATTCAACAAAGAACCAGAAACCTTTGCTTGGGCAGCTGTTTTAATTTATGTTGGCTTCAAGTTCTTACAAGGCGGTTCAGGTCTTATTCAGGCTTGTCAGAATTGGTTATGGATTCCCATCGGACAGTTTACCACGCGTGAAATTTCTATCAAATTCTTTGCCCACCTCCATAGTTTATCATTACATTATCACATTAATCGTAAAACTGGTGAGGTATTACGTGTTGTCGATAGAGGTACCAACAGTATTGTCAATATTTTATCACAAATTTTGTTCCAAATCGTTCCTGCTCTAGCCAACATCTTGATCGCCGTTGTTGTATTTTCCGTGAGGTTCTCGTTACCTTTCGGTCTCATTGTGTTTATTACAATGGCACTCTATCTTTACGTTACCATAACTATGACAGAATGGCGTAATGCTTTCCGTCGGAAGATGATTGAATTGGATCACGTAGCTCGTGGCATCGCTGTGGATTCGTTATTAAACTTTGAAACCGTCAAGTACTATAATGCAGAGGGATTCGAAGTTAGACGTTATCATGATGCGATTATTGAATCTCAAAAGGCTGATTACAAAAATTCGGTTTCCTTGAATGTACTTAACTTGGCACAGAATGCTGTTATCACATCAGGGCTCTTGGCAGGTTCCTTGCTGTTCGCTTACGAAGTATCTCTTGGTAAGTTGACTGCTGGTGACTTCGTCTCGTTCAACGTTTATATGATGCAGTTGTATACACCACTTCATTTCTTTGGAACCTATTATCGTATGCTTCAGCAAAATTTCATTGATATGGAAAAAATGTTTGATCTATTCGAAGTCGAAGAAACAGTAAAGGATGCAGAAAATGCAGTTGAATTATATGTTACTGAGGGCCATGTCAAGTTCGACAATGTTTCCTTCTCTTACGATCAGCGCCAAACTGCCTTAAACGGTATATCCTTCACTATTCCTAAGGGCGCTACAGTTGCTTTAGTGGGCCCTTCTGGTGGTGGTAAATCTACAATCCTCCGTCTTTTATTCCGTTTTTACGATCCGCAATCTGGTCATATTTATATCGACGGTCAAGATATTGCTAGTGTGAAGCAAGCTTCTTTACGAAAGAACATTGGCGTTGTACCCCAAGATACCGTTTTGTTCAATGATACCATTCTTTATAATATTCGTTATGGTGATGTAAATGCATCTGATGAAGACGTCTACCGTGCTGCTAAAGCTGCACAGATCCATGACCGCATTTTGTCCTTCCCTGATGGTTACAATACCAAGGTTGGTGAACGAGGTCTTCGTCTCAGTGGTGGTGAGAAACAGCGTGTCGCTATTGCCAGGACCATTTTAAAAAATCCTCCTATTATTCTCTTGGATGAGGCTACTAGTGCTTTGGATACAACCACAGAGCGTAATATTCAAGAAGCTTTGGCTGATATGACAAAGGACCGCACAACCTTAGTTATTGCCCATCGACTTTCGACTATCATCAACGCAGATTTAATTTTAGTTATTAAGGATGGCAAAGTAGTTGAATCGGGCAGCCACGAGTCTTTATTGCGTGGTGCTCAAACTGGTCAAAATGATGGAATTTACAGAGAAATGTGGCAGAAACAACTTGATGATGTTCATGATGATAATCAAAGTGCAACTGTTAGTGGAGCATCAACTCCTAAAGATAAATCAGCTGAAACAAGCGGTATAGCTCCTGTCATTATTGACCAACCTATGAAACAGGTTGTTATCGAAAAAATAACCGAGCCAGTAGTAACAGATACGCCTCCCTCAAAATCTGCTATCAAAGAAGGCCTGAATGAAGAGGTTACGAAGCAATCTTTAATTGATGAAACAAGAAATGATACACAGAGAAAGTCTAATCAAGACAATGCAGTGATTGAAGAAACAAAAGAACTCGATAAAGCACAGGTTTTCTGTGAGAGTAGCCCATCAGCACAAGATAAGGAGGAAATAGACAACATTGATACTCAAAATGAAGAAGTGGATATTGAAGATCAGAATTCAGAACTGACCTCAAGTCAGAATGGTTTCGATAAAGAAGATGAACAAGGCGAAAACGAAATTGATGACACCGATAAGGCCAATACAGACGATGTGAACACAGATGATATCACCTTAAAGAAGAATGAGAGCACGTCAACTTCGGGCGGTAACAATAAATCGCGTCGAAATAGAAGAAGAAAGAATAGACGAGGCAAGAAATAAACTTAATAATTCAATACGAGTTTAAATTCAGACAGTTCATTTGGACGATTCAATTAATTCTTCAGATGTTCAGCTTATCTTTTTTGAATAAATAAAAAAAGAACAAATTAGACAAGATAAGCGTTGGTTTGAGAATATGAATTTGTCATTAGACTTTTTTTTTAATCTGTAACTAATCATGGCTTTTCCCAACTCCCAACACTTTTCTTGGTCAGCGGAGTCCATCTCGGCCTCCAAGCCCAAGAATCATTCTAAACGCTCCTATGCCCAAGTGGTCACGGCATCTAAACGTGTTTCGCTGATGCATAAAGGCATCGAAGCTCCTGATATTGATGAAGGCACGACTTATAGTCGCCTTCAAACACGTGTCTATAGGTCCTCACGTACAATGGGGGCCTTTTTATTATCTATTTCATCGGTTCTCAAAGAGTGCTTGGATATCACTGAATAATTGAGTATCCAAATTGATATCCAAAATACTATGAACTTTTCAAAAAATATTTTTTAATAAATCTTTCGCAAGGAGAAACAGGGATGACGATCACTCTACAGGATATAGTCTACTTGTTTGAGGCTGATGGTCAATTGAACATAAATGGGCTTGTAATTTCTTTGATAATCACCTAGGCCCAATATACGCAATAATTCACTCAAACTACATTACATGTATTTCCTATTCTCCCCACACCACTCATAAGATCTCAAACATGCACTTTTTTTGAACAAATAATTTATTCCAAAAGATATAAAAGAGACCCAAATGTTAACCCGAATTAAAGAGAATCAATAATCTTTGTTACAGTGTCGCTACTCAACTTAGTCCATTAGAATCCTTAAATTTAATAAGATTTATAGGGCTGAAACCTTCGGAGCCTTTGCTAATGGACCTTGCAGTGAAAGTGACAAAACTTTTACAAGACGCCAATGAATGTTTAATAAAGAACATTTTTAAGAGCTGTCAAAAGTAAAGGAATAACCTCTTTTTTTTTTTTTTTTGCTTTATTTTTTTGTTTTTAATCATCGTCTTTGTCGATTGCTCTAAGAGATCTCTGATGTTATAACACTGAGTCGTTAAACTTAAAGAGCGTCTGCAAATATTCAGCGTGTTTGCTAGATACATTTCATGGTCAGATGTATAGCTGTAGTATAATCGTAAAAAAAAAGTAGAGAAATCACAGCCAGAACTCACAGTTAAGGGGGCAGACCATCTCAGTTTCCAAGCTATCTATTTTTTGATTCTATACCGATCCATCAACAGCAACATTTTAGGCATCCTATTCTACTGCAAACTGTCGGCGTTGACAATAGTAAATCTTGGTTTCTTTTACGGACTGCACTGTTAGAACAGGTATTCAGTGATTTTCGAACGCTACTATTTATAGCACTACTGATGCTCTAAGATAGTATATGAAGCCTTTCACGTTTGAGCTATCTGAGCAGTACCAAGTAATTCTATTATAGAAGGCAGTCTTAACCAAAACCAAACCTGTCAAGAGCAACCATACCATCAGTATATTATTTTCTTTCGTCTATCAATTTCATGTACTTGACATATCAGAATGAATATTTTACTCCTTATTTTGTCAGCTTCATCTACTATTCATCGAATCGCTCAACAATAAGCATTTTCAGCTTCGTTTTTAGACTCTGTTTATTCATTTGTTGCAAATTATTCCAGTGCTAAAGCAGTATTCCTTGGTAAAAGTTATTGGTTCATATACGTCGTATGTTTCTTAAGCAAACGGTACTACAGCTACATATTAATATTTGCAAAAAATATAGGAATTATTGAAAATGGCCCTTCTCCATGTAGTTTATTCTTACTTCGAAAACAGAAATAAGGCCGAACTACATGTAAAGCATCGTCATATTGCTGCGTACCTCATATTAACGTTGAACAAAACCGTAAACATTGAATATATTGTACTTTCGTCGAATACTTGTCAGTCCTTTTAATTGACCTGTGGTGAAGATACCAAAAGATAAAACCCTTTAAACCACCCATGTCGTTAGCTTAGGGTTCGTTGCAATGACATGGTAGGCTTCTACACAAGCATCTGCACGTAATGTAACTATAAAATACAACGAAAAAAATTACTCTTCCTTTGAGTACAATAAATCAACTTATCACTTCGCAATTCTATTTTTATTTCAGCCTGTATGAAAAGAGTTTGTTTGTATGATACCCACTATCAGAGATATAAACGTTGCCAGCAGATGCCTCGTCAAAAAGTTCCGTGTCAGTGTGTTATCGAAAGAAGAGAATATGCTTGTGGTTTCATCCGATCAGAAGGTGTTCAATTACGTTTAAACATAGATTTTATTACATAATATTAATTTTTTTTAAAGCCCAATGTAGATATTAAGCTTATCAAAATTGCCCGGGGCAGCTCCAAAGGCTGAAAAGAATCTAAAAACCCCTTAGGGCTCAAGGGTAAAAAGGATTATGTACTAAAGGATTGTGGGAGGGGAAGAAGGTAACCAGTCGAGCAATAGGTGCCCTACCGAGGAGTTGTAGGCGGCTCTTGAGAGTGGTGTAAGTAGTCGAGTTCAAACAAAATGTGACAAAGTGCTGGCCATAGAAAATGCCAGTTTTGTATTTGGGATGGGTTGTTGATCGGATTTGTAGGAAGACGGTTGAGGACATAGGATATGGGATCACAGACTGATGTGGGGAGTCGTAGGCGGTGGTGCATGTCTAAACAGGAGATAGCGTGGAACTTTGTAAGTAATGACGAGGGATGTTTAAGGCAATAGGTTCGGTGGCCTCCACAAGCCAACCCAAACGCCATCGGATACCTCGGCTGCAGGTGTTCAATTACAGAAGTTACGTAAATTCTGAAGACATGCTTGAAATGTTTAGGTTTCCAGATGCAATATTTATAGTTGCAATAGAAACTGCAGCTTATAAGTCTTTTTCATCATTCTAGCAACTATTTGTTTAAACTCTTTGGTCTTGGGATATACTTTCTGCTTAAGCGATGCTCAAGTTAAATTACTGTTAAATATATACATCTAAATTGTTGCAGCATGTCAAAAATATGATATATTAAAGTATTTTCCCTTGAGGGCATTAATACTGCACAGACAAAGAGCAGGGCAAGACTCTCTTACGTTTTGGCAGAATTTTTTATCAAATGTTGACCTCTGCACCTCTTTAAGCAGTTAACTCAATCTAACGTGACCACTAGTTAAGGAAAAAGAACTTCATGGCTTCACTTTACTCTGAGAAATAGCTCTTTTTTCTCTTTTTTTTTTTTCTTGGTAACGTTTCGATGTAAAGTATAGTACAATTGAGATAATCGCTCTTTAAAACAAGCCTACCGCCATACAATTGTTGTAATCTTGATCTTTTTTCATCGGAACTCACAGAACAGTGTGGTGCACTTAGTTAAGCAGCATTAATACAGTCCTCTACTAGATAACGAGATTTTAGATCGTTACCAGCGCAGGGATGAAATGGCGAGTGTTAATCTTTCTGGCTACAGGCCTAGCCATGATATACTTTGTGAGTCTATTGCAAGACGAGCCATACCCTCATCCACTTGTCATTCAAGCTTTTATACCCATACAATCGCGACTGAATGAACCTTCCGAGGTCATTCTCTCTAGTATAACAGCGCAGAATAGAAATATCGACAACTACATATATCGTACGCTTATACACTATGAAGCCGTGCTAGACTCGAATAGGGGCTTTGTTCACGGCGTTGAATCCTTCAAGTTGAATGTCAATGGTTTAGTCATTCAAGCAAGGAAAAAGAAAAATGAATTCATCAAAGCAGTACCTGAAGAAGATTGGGAAATATGTTTCAAACATATCTTAAGCGGACCTATTACGAAAGTTGTTAAAGCACCTGAAGATAGTCCAACAGTTCAGTTTGCAGTACTTTATCACACCGTGGAAAACGATACAATTCGACACTATATAAGAGTATATTACATACTGCCATCGACATCAGTATCTAACCCTATTGCCAATAACAGCGATGATACCACAAAAACATATCATTACAAGGATATACTACTACCTGGAAACACAGACATCAACGCTATATCACTGGAGCAAGATTCAATCTTGTTTTCGCGAGAGCCAGATATGTACAAATTCAGAGTCATTCCGTTACCAGCAGACATCATTACATCACCGCCGCACTCGGAGAGGGCCAATGTCATTCCTCTAACGTCAATTATAACCGAAAAGAAAGGAGATGTTGTGCGAGAGTACCATCAACCGAGAGGAACACGCTCTCACGTTAATGTCTTATGTAAACTCTATTCATCCAACCCAGATACCTACAGAGTTTTCACTTTGGACATTCATAAAACGAAACATTTCTACCATACAAATGTATCTATCGTGGATAGTACTTCTTCAATCAACAAAGATAGCCATACTGATCATATTGGGTGGATTCCTAGGGACCATCTGTATTCCAAGGATGGTACAGTTATTCATGAACAGCTCCAGTATATGGCTTTTGTCGACGGGGCACATTTTCAACAAGAACATCGTATCATCCAAATGCCGAATCCTTCTGTGTCCCGATCCAGAGACTCCAAGACCATTGTTGTTTCTCTATTACGGAATGATTTTCAGACTCTCGATTTTACCGATAATGTAGAATACATAAAAACGGACCCACAGGAAAGTAGATATCTTTATAAAGATATTACGATTCATCAACATCAACAAGAGCTACCTGACAACGAGTTTAACATACTGAATGAATTTTATCATACTATGCAAGTGGCTGATACTACCAATATGCATGATGACAATACCGATATAAAGGGTCTTCAATTGAATGATGAAGGCACGATATTGGCAGTTTGGACAGAGACCAATTCTGTTTATATTTACAAGCGAGGAGAAGGTGAAGAATCTACTATACGTAGGGATCCTATGAATAAGCGGCAAATCAGTAAGAATAGAATAGAGAACAATTTACACCATAGAGACGTACCGCTAGAATGGAATTTACGTATGGTGATTCTGCCCACAGAAGGGCATTTGGGATCAATAACACCAATCGGAGCAGCCATATTTTGGAACCATGAAGGATCAAACTACATATGTAAGTCTGATAATTACTGTTTTGAAGTGATATAACACTGCAGGTTTAGCAATCAATAATGTTATATGATATACTGTTAGCGATTGGTATGAAAAATCATATAGTAAATACCTACCTAATTGATGAAACCGAGGAGAGACCGCGACATGTGACCAGCTTCAGAAACTTCATCAAAGAAAAATGGGATTTATGGACAGGTATATATGCGTAATCCAGACTTGGTTTGCAGATACAAAACAACTTTGTACACAATGTTTGATCTGTATAGTACGCTAACTTTATATCGTCTCCATTATCCTTTCTCAAATAGTGATGCTTATGGTGATCATGATATTTGCCATTAATGAATATAAAACATATCAGCAATAGTGGATGGTATATTCTTAGCAAAAATCACTGTACCTCGATATGTAGAACTTCGCCAAGCACCAACGTCCGATGAACTATGATTAGAGTACATTATTGTGTTAAAGTTCGAACAAGTTTTAGTCGAGATATCATACAAATAGTTAATTCTTTTTTAACACGAGTTACTCATTATACATCCTGTAAATAATAAAACTGCCTTCTACATAGACAAGTATAAAATGGTCACAGGAAGCGTCGTCTTATCTTACTGCTGTGCGAACTGCAACATTCCCATTTTTGAGGTGAAACAAGCTAGTTCGACTTCTTTCTACTGTAACTAAGCGGCAGTCTCAGTCATGAGAAAGTATGAACGATGAAAGCACTGCAAAGTAATATTACTACTCCTCTCAATATATTGCCTGTATAGTCTTTTCGCGATGAAAACCCCGCATCGTCTGAATAGGTATTAAGAAGATTACTGTTACGATCACTATCAACCGCTTTCTCATGTCTTTCATTCAATAGCTGTTAAAACCAAAATTTCAAGTATTTATAATACTTGAATAATCTTATGATAAGATGCAAGAATAATCATTTCAAAATCAGATATTCAGGAACTAATTACCTCAGTTACACACGTGGGTTAATCATAAAATGATAGTTAGCCGTCTCGCTCTGCCTCTCGTCCTTTTTCAATTTTAAACCTTTTTTGCACAACCTAGTCAAGATTATAGGACAGTACATAATCAGCGCTAATACACTTATTCCTCGAATTCTTACATTTTATAACTGATATGGCAGACTCTTCGACGGCTGTACCCACCATTTCCATAATAACCCCAGAATTGAAGGTTGAAGATTGTCAAGTACCTAGTGGATCTGTTACTCCAGAATCACCCACCATATTTGAGTTTGCCAAACAACTTGAGAAGCAACAGAAAGCTGGCTCATTTGGCACTATTGATTCAGAGGATGTCCATCATCAAAAACAAAACCAGCTGAATGTTGATGAAGCGATTGATTTAGAATACAAAAAAGAAAACAGTAAAAACACTTGTAAGGAAAGCGATGGAACGAAAGAGCAGGATCTTTTAACAGAAGAGCAGAGCAATAAAGCTTGGTGTAGTAAAGAGAAACTTGATTCACCAGACACTGCAGATACTGCCATTCGATCATTCTATCATGGGAAGAGTATTTTGATCACAGGTGCAACTGGATTTATCGGCAAGGCTGTTTTATGGAAACTGATTCAGTCACTGCATGATTCTGTTGATAAAATATACTTGCTTTTTACCCAGCAACACAGTAGACAAAGGCTAACAGCCAGAGGGAGGTTTTATGAAGACATTTTATCAAATAAAGTAAGCATTGGCTAAGCAAGACTCGACTGAGATAGAAGAATTTAACTGAAATTGCTTATTTCAAGGCTTTCACCACTTTACGTAGGTCCATCGGAGCAGCCGAATTCGATGATTTTGTTGATAGAAGAGTGTATCCATTTTATTGCGAATTGACCGAAAGTAATATTGGACTGTCAGATACGGATATACAGCTAATATCAGAACACTCAGGGCAGCAAAATATGATTGTTTTTCATTGTGCTGGTAGTATGGATGGCGCAGAGTCAATTCACCAAACTGTCAAGACAAATACTTATGGTACTCTACAGCTCTATAACTTCCTTAAGAAAAACCAGCAATGGACAATATTAGCTTTCCTTCACCTATCGATTCTTCAACCGCAATTCAAAAATAGCAGTGAAAACTATTTATATCCTTTACCAGAATTCACAACAATTGAGAATGAGCAGCAGCCTTCAGTAATGGAACTCTTAGGTGAATGTATGAATCCCCAGTCAGAAGTCATTCAGCAAGTTATGCAGCAGCAACGAAAATATGGATCGAATAACATGTACAAAAATTCTTATCTATTCGCTAAATCTCTAACAGAACATGTGTTGGTGGATCAAGTGATACGGAATAAAGAAGTTGGAATGGAACAGATTCCGATAGCGATATTGAGATTGAGTTCAGTCGGCCCTAGTGTACAGGAGCCATTGATTGGTTGGGTAAGAGCATTTATTAGTAAAGCTTCATTTTTTTAATGCAATGCGGACTAAAAGATGCTTCCTACGAAATTAGGCCGATGGTGTCAACGGTCTGAATGGGATAATCTTGTTGATGGGCAAAGGAGATAATAAAGTAATACCGGCTAGCTCGGGTCACACAGTGGCTGATGTTGTACCAGTGGACTATGTGGCACGTTTGATGATATGTAGTGCTGCTACTATTATAAATCCCAATACTGCTCAAGGCGCTTATACCACACCCAAACCAATACCATCACAAACATCCGCCACTTCGACAAATGTAGCAACTGTATTGTCTGCTGCAACCAATAATAGCGAAAGTAGACAATTCACTATGCTACCATCAGAATATGCAGCTTCTAAACGTCCTTCAGCTACCTCACGCCATAAAAGAACCTCAAGCGTAGCAAGCAATAGACGTAGCTTTCAACTTTATTCCAACAGCTCAAAGAACGTATTACCACCACAACAATGTACTATACCCGTGATATACCATGTCTCGAATGCTGATAAACGCCCTGTTAGTTGGCAAATGGCCTATAATTCCATACGCCAGTACTGGATGAAAGCCACCAATGTTACTTTATTACCAGCTAAATCATACTTTACGACTTCGCCACTGTCCATAGATACGCCTTCTCCTAGGAGTTCCTTGATAAATGAAACAGCAATTACAGCAGTAGCAGCCGCAGGAGTTGGCCTTTCGAGGGCACGTACTGTTATGACGTCTTTACGCGGATACTATTCAGGGAATTCTCATGATAATTCCATTAAGAGAAAGTCACTTATAACGCAGCAACAAAATCGAACAGTAAACAGCAATCGTAATTCTCATCGAATGAGTCGAACTTTGGATAAAGCAAGTAAATCTACTTTTATAATGAAGGACACTATTTATTGTAACGCTTCCGGTACTTTCTTCGATGCAAATGATGTGATTTCGACCACTAACAAAGGCAGCTCACCAGAGGGTATCAGTAACATAATGTACCTGAACATGGCATTGAGGTTCTGTGATTTTCGATCATGTTTGGAAGCTAATGATACATTTGACCCCAACTTGCTTGTTCCAGAGGACGCTGACCATCAGTTTTGGGTTAGCTACTTTCTCAACGCTAGTTACGGTATACACTACTTTGTATGTCAGGAAATCAGTCATACTCGCATCCCCACACCTGTTTCCGGCTGGAATTGCAGCATACAGCCTGTCATTGAAGGTGTTGATGAAGAAGAGGCAGATTATTACCAACAAGTCATTGCTCGTCAAGTGAATAGTATCATTTTTTCGCAGGATCAAGTAACTCAACGAACCAACCGCATGGTCCAGCATGTCAAATTTCTTTTGCAACATCCTCATATTGCTACTGCTGAAATGAGAGCTGCAGTTCAACAAAAGAAAAAAGATAGTGTTTGGTTAACGGACTTGGACGATGCTCTTGATGATTACTGTCAAGATGATGATATACTTCAATATCAAGAAAACAGTAGCGGTATGAAAGAACATAGTAGTCACCGTACCATTACAATGGCCTTGGGAAGATGGCGACGCAAAGTAGGTAGTTCGGATGAGTCTGTCAAAGTGATTGTTTTGAATGATAAACGGGTCAATCAAGCTATTACCCACATTACTCAAAAGGCCGGTGTCTCAAAACAAACTGCTGTTAATGAAGCCATCAAAATTTTAATGCGTATGAGTGAACGTACCCAGCTTGCATTTGTTTGGTTCACAGGTTCTTTCCTTCGCTCCCTCTTAGATAATATGTTTGATCATGTTCGTATTTCAAAAGATCAGTTACGTATGATACGACAAGCTACTATGGGCAAACGTGTAGTCTATGTTCCTGTTTCTAAATCCATATTAGATCCTCTGTTAGTATGGTACCTCGCTATTCGTTATCGTTTACCTGTCCCTGCATTAGCATGCGATGAAGTATTGGTACATATGGGACCTATTTCTGATGTATACCGATTAGCTGGCGCTTACTATATTAAAAGAGATAGGACGAAGCGTTCACCCTTGAATTCAGCAGTAACAGCAGCATATACACAAGTACTATTGAGGGAACATGGCGCTTTGAGTTTTTGTTTAGAAAGATCACGATCGCGGACTGGCAAATACCAGGAGGCTTATCCAGACGGATTTGTCGACATGATTATCGAGGCAACCTTACAAACTAACCAAGGCTCTTCTTCATCGTCCAGAGTATCATCATCTAATTATAGTAGTGGTGCCGCTACGATTGGAAATACATTCTCTAGAATTGTCTCGGCAGAGATAACGTCACCACCAGAATCCCCTTCTTCAGCTGTGACTACAGACAGTGCATCCTCAACTTTAAGTATGGAGAGTACAGCTTCAAAAGAACATCAGCAACGTCAATACTTTTCACAGCGCAAAGTTCATAAAGATGTTGTATTTGTGCCTCTCAATATCACTTATGAGAATGTGCCTGAATTGTCCTATTTAATTGATCAAGTACTTGAATCTCGACCTATGTCCACTGCTAAAGTTTCTTCTGTAGATAGAAGCGGCACTATGTCATCCCGTCCTTCACTTGTTTCAAGTATGTCTTCCCCACCGTCTTCGCCCTTATCTACCATTCCTCAACGGTCCTCGACTATTACTCTGATGCGCCCAAGTGAAGCCAAAGATCGTCGCAAGACATTATTATCTGAGTCTCAGGGTGGTATTGCATCGGATTTGATTAAAAAGAAAGGCGGTCATATCACATTCGGTGTTGGTTCTTTGATTAGCGTTCAAGATGTGGCAGAAGAGGTTAGTCGGCAAATGCTATCTGACGAAGGGTAAGGGGCTTGTTTCTATTTAACCATCAGTACAAGTTTAATAACAACTTTGTTTTGTAGGTCCTCTGTAACGAACACATACGAAGATGAATTAGTGATAGAGATTACAAGGCGCATTCACGAATCACAACGTAAAGCTCTCGTCGTCTCCCCTATCTCTATGATATCTGCTATTATTTTATATGGCCGTGCTACCCATGGTGTATGTATAGGTAAAATAAAAGACTTGATGGAATGGATGAAAAGCGAAATTATTCAGTACTATGGATATACTGTTGAATGGCAAGACGGAGAGGACCTCGATACCATCATTTTGACTAGCTTCAAATTACTTGACGAGGCCAAGAACATTATTATTGAAGGATCCAATGGTACTAAAGATTACATAAATGACGATAACACCAATATTCGTGTCAATGATCATGCTGATAACGTCATGACGCTATCATACTATGCCAATCAAATGGTCGATATCTTTTTGCTTGATGCGTTTTTTGCTGTTGTCTATTTGTCATTCTTGGAAGACGATGTGCTTCTAGAAGAATTCAAAGACCGATTCCGTTTCTTATTACAACTGCTGGAAAAAGAATTTGTATTGCTGTGGAATCTAGAAGATAAGTTCAAGACAGTTATTGATCGTTATTTAGCCAAGAAATTCATTCGTTTCACAGAAGATGAGGATACCAAGAAGGGCGGCATGAAGCGACTAGAATTACTGGTCAATATGGAGAATGATCCTGTGCGTTACGAACGAATGATCTTTTTGGCGTCATTAGTATACCCTACAGTGGATGCTTATTGGATTACATCATGTTCTCTATCGGCTTTAGAAGCAGTACCTATGTTACCTCGTAGTGTCGTGCCTTTGTTGACACAGTGGATTGCCACCCATTTGATATCTGGTAGACGTACTTTGTATCGTGAAGTTCTATCGACAGAGTCAAGTAAAATAGCCGTAGACGTCTTTATGTCTATGGGCTTCCTACATGAAATTCAATCAAAAGAAAAATTATCACCAGACGCACAAATTTTGCTGCATGAATTAGGAGTGCCCACATCAGAAATCTTGATTGAATTAACAGGACAAAATAAGAATGGAGGCAAGACTCCTATATCGCCGCAAGATCCTGAAGGCATGATGGTAAGTTGGGAAAGCCTATTTCGAAGTAGTAACAGGATGGTATAAGGGGCATTGTTTTTGATTTCATAACCTTTGATTTATAGAAGGCGGTTATGGCACAAATTCAAATGAATCGTGCTAATTCGAATATGGCTGACCTTTGCCAACAAATTGATACCTACCGCCTGGGTGCTGCTTCACAGAGGGAAAGCTTTCAGAATGCGCAAGTCTTCCAAAAATGCTTACGACAAATCAAAGGTATTTTACAAGCGAATACAAGTTTCGCGAAAAGACGGCATATTGAGTTACCTTCTGAGGATGAACATGGTTTGGTACAATTGGTATATTCATTGTTAGCTAGTAGCGTACCAGCAAGTGGGGACAGAGCAGCGCAGGTTCGTGCTTTGAGGCGAATTTCTGAGGCCTATAATTTGCGTTAAGCAATTCTGAATCTATTACTTCTCTCCGTCTATGTTCTTAATTACTTCAGTTCCTGGTTTATTTATATTGCTATATACATTATCTTACTCAACGGCTTCAAACTTCGTTGACAATAATCCATATTTGTAGACAAAACCTCTCTCCCCCCACCCCCAACCTCCTTAACTTTGTATTGCTATTATTTGTAACGTGACAGACTAAAATTGTATGTGATTGGTATTAGCTTGTGCGAGAAAAAGGAAATAAAATGGCGGTTTCAAACTTTCATGCGCGGCACTTTTTGATTTTATTAGGTTTTTTGGCGCTCCCCTTTCCATTTTCCTCTTGATAAATATTTTACAGTTCTCAATGACGATTCTCGGGGACGATTCTGAATCTGATTCTTCGGAAGAGGAATGGGTTTTCACGTCAGTAGAACAGAATGCAGATCAAAATACTGATAATCTTGATCGATTGATATCATCGGCCGAAAGGTCAGAGGCGACTAGTCATACGCAAATCCATCCAACTCGTCCGAAGCAACAGACCTATCTCCATAGCGATCATCACAACGATGATCGAGCCATAGCAGAGATTGAAGAGACTAACGCTATTCATGATGTAGATACTGCTGCTCCTTTACGAATAGCGCAAAAGCATGTGAGGCAACAATCATTCGCGAGAAGAACCTCTCCAGCAACACAAAAGCAACCCTCCACACCGCCCTCGCCTTCCCCACCGAAAAATTTGCTATTTCAATTACCACAAAGCACGCCTATAAGGATTTCGACGCCTGTACCCACTTCAGGAACGAACCCTCCCCTTCTCGGACCCTATCGACCCAAATCGAGCAATTCGATCGTTCTAAATCCATCTTCACCCGTATTCCTACCGGCCAAACTGTCTCAGCCAGTCTTGTCTTCAACCCTACCTTCCAACCGCTCAAAATCCCCTACCCTCAGTTTACAATACATCAGCGATATTGAATTGAAAATGCTTTGTATAGCCAATAATTCACTTTTGTTGATTACTCGCTTAGTGAGTGTTTATAAAAACGCCGAAGTTTTCAGCCGTATTCGTGAAATCGAAACCCAAGCTTCGTTTATCGAGATACGTTTGAAGAATAAGCTTCACTATTGCAAAGATCCTTGCGACTTCATTTTGGTGAGTATTCGTACTACATTTTACTCGTCAGATTTGCATCTCATAAAAAAAAAAAATATACTCGGGCGCATTGAAAAATAATATAGGATGCTCTTGAATATCTCAGTCACCACGCTGAAGCGAAGAAGAATATGCAGCATAAATTCAGAAAACAGCTATGTACTGTTTTATGTCAAGCTATACATATGTATTTAAATATGGCTTTAGATAGACGACTGGATCTGAAGCTACAACCTGATAAAAAGCGAGAAGAGGACAATGATGGGAAGAAGAAACGAGAAGAAAAAGACAAAAAGGCACAGATACCCAAAGAAATCGATTTGATATCATTTGAAGAAACACAACCACCCACACAGCCGCTAGAGCCAACCATTGATTTGATTAGTTTTGATGATGAGGACGATGATCAAGAGGAGCAAAGCTTGCTGAACGATGATGACTGCAGTGATACGAACTTGTTATTGTTCCCTAATGATGCGAAACAAGAAGCATCTGCCGATTCCTTACCTATGGAACATGAGCCATCCATGGCCGCAGAAGAGAAAGAGGAACACAACGATACTGATACAGATATAGACGTAGATTTGGAAGTCTCTGACTCGGACGAGGAAGTCATCACTATTGGCCAATTGTTGGGAGTATCGGACAACATCATAGAACAAATTTCATTGACACGAACGCATCAAGAACGGCTGCTTCAGATGACTACCTCTCTTCCTTCACCCATTATAGTCTATTATGCGCTAGAAGTGTTTAAAATTCCTTCCATTGCCTCTCGTGGATGTGCTTTTGAAGAAGAAGGAGTCAAGTTGGCGCAAACGTTAATGCAGCATGCTTTTTATGACGAAGCAGTGGCAACCATTCGCAAACTCAACCTCTTCTCACATTACCCACCTGATACAACAGCTAATTCGTTTCTTACCGGTGGTTACGGCAAGCATCTACATACCCTCTATGCTGGCCATCCTGAATTACAGAAGCAACTGCTCTCGTACATCAACAAGCAACTTCGATTCAACTTTGCAGGTCGTCTCGGCATTGTTCCTGAAGAACATTTCACTGACCTACGAGATGGAGGTGACACGACAACACCCTTATTAAGACTCAAAGAACGTAAATTTCAAAAAGAGATTGCCAATTGTGGAAATAAAGTGCTTAGAGATCTTGCTATACCCCAGGAAGTAGCCGATAAAGACTATTACTTCATTACGTTATCTGGTAAATATGCTTGTTTACGTTACATATTGGCGCAAAGATCCGTCCAACAGTCAGAGGAGGAGGACGATTCTATCTCTTCCAGTGAGAATTTCAATGGCCTGCTCGATTTGATATGCCAGGAAAACCCGGTGATAGCCAAATTGTGCATTAAAGAATTGGTGGATACAGGCGATACAGTAGCAGCGCCTTACTTTGCATCGCGCTATGACCAGCAGGATTTTTATTGTCTCTATAATACATTGCCATTAGAGAAGCGCCTCCTGGGTGTTGTGAAAGGTGAGCAAATGTCGAAGCATAAGTCTTCGTTTATGAGTCGAAAAGCGCCTCGCCTTCAAGCATCGCGTTACTATGAACTGCCGCCACGCATCAAACGAGTGCTTGTGAATTCACGTGAAACGCTGATGTTGATGAAGGATATCCTGTCGGTTTCAAATGTATGCGGATTGGATACAGAATGGATACCGGCTTTTGCTTCGAAAAATGGTGACGACAAGACGGCGTTAATGCAAATTGCTTCGGATATTGATGATTACGTCTTTCTGCTGGATTTGAAAACGATGTATGCATCAGAGAATGTCCAGTTGTTGGGATGGACAGAGATCATATTGAAGCTGTTGTTTGAAGACGCAGAAATACTTAAATTGGCGTTTGACTTTACTGGCGACTTTTCCAAATTACACAATTCTATACCCTCGTCGACGCATTGGAGCGTCACCTCCATGATGGATTTGAAAAATTTGAAAACTATGAAAGGAGAGTCCATCATAGGAGGCTTGAATGGTGTCGTTTACTCATTTTTAGATGCCAATCTATCTAAAAAACAACAATTAAGCAATTGGGAACAGCGACCTCTGTCAGAAGCACAGTGTATTTATGCGGCCATTGACGCTGTGTGTATTTTGGATGTGTTTTCGGTGCTTTGCCAACTAAATCATCCTTTCATACGCCATCTGCCAGAGAATTTTACAAAAGCCATACCAGAACCATCCTTTCCTCCTCTCAACCGACCTTCGAACCACCCATTATATAAGTAAAAAAAAAAAAAAAAAAACCAAAAAAAAAACCCAAAAAAAAACCAGGTTTGCCCTACCAATGGATGGGGATCGATACTATTTGGTCTTTATCCATAGCCATATTTTATAAGTACGGAATCTTTTTTTAAAGATGATACCACACCATTTCTACTACTTATGAAAGAGTTAATTTCTAAGAGACTTGCCCTATTGAAACACATTTTCCAATAAATAGAACAGACCAACATAGAGATTTCAAACAAATATTGATATGCTTGAGTTGAAGGGTAATGAATATTAAAATGGACGGCAACCAATACGACAATGCAGTTATATTTGCATACCTTTTTTGCAATTCATTCTCCTTTATGGTGTTACCCATCAACATCAGTGGGGTTGTATGTGCTGCTGCTTTGATTTTTCAAACTTCGACTGAAATTCGCTCTTTAATTCAAAAACAACTAAAAAAGATAAAGTTTCCTATGCTTTTTGTTTCCTTTCTGTTGAATCCTTTAACAATAAAAAGCAAATGTCTGGTATCATTCAGTGGTTCATAGATTGGTTGAGAAGTTTATTCTTTAAAGTAGCCCGAACATTACGCTTTCTACAGACGCCAGTAGAACATGGCCTAACGAAGCTCATTGTTTTGTTTAGACTGAAATGGAGTTGACGTTGGTGGGGCTTCAAAACAGTGGCAAGACAACACTTGTAAACGTCATAGCAGTAAAGTATAAAAGAAAAATGATGAACCCTCGTTTGATGAAGCAAAAATGGAAAAAAAAAAAAGTAAAGCAATGGGGTCGACAAGGGAGATGCTAACTTTCATCTAGTCAGGACAGTTCATTGAGGATGCTATTCCAACAGTCGGTTTCAATATGAGAAAGATGACAAAAGGGAATGTTACGATGAAATTATGGGATATAGGCGGTCAACCACGTTTTAGAAGCATGTGGGAAAGATATTGTCGAGGCGTGAATGCTATAGTGTAGGTTACTGAGCGAAAAGGTCAATGATAAGTCTAGCTTACTCATTGCCAACGTCATGCCTTGTCTCAGTTTTGTTGTAGATGCTGCAGATCGTTCCAAGTTACAGGCAGCCTGTACAGAGTTAAAAAACCTATTAGAGAAACCACAATTGGCCAATATTCCTGTTCTTGTTTTGGGTAACAAGAACGATTTGCCTGAAGCATTAAGAGCGGAAGAATTGATTGAAGTTTTGTATGATTGGTTTTTTTTTTTTTTTTGTAAGGACAAAAGTTAAACAGCTTTCATGATCTTAACCTATATATCATTCTGATAGGCATTTGAAGTCAATTACAAATCGTGAAGTATCCTGTTATTCTATTTCAGCAAAGAACCAAGTCAATATCGATATCACATTGCAATGGCTTATTAAGAAAGGAAAAGGTCAGAAATAATGAGCCCTCATAAGGGATGGAATGATAATTTATTGATAATGATGGCTATGATATCCTCTTGAACAAGATAAACTATTTTTTTTTAATATTTAAATAAATTCTTACATATACCTTTTTATTTTTTCTACAACCTAAGCACATAGTTGCACGAAAAAAAAAAAAAAAAAAAAAAAATAAAAAAAAAATAGTGCATTCTGCATAAAACAATAAAAAAGGGGTTCCCTTAAATTTCGTGACTTGACAGAAATTTCAAGTTTTTTTTTTTTTTTTGAAGAGCCCTCTTTTGTCATCTTTCACCTTGTTTTTTTTTGTTTTTAACGAATACACATCTCGCATCGATCCTGTCTTGGGTCATTTGTCTTTATCACTCCCAGACTCATAGCAGCTACAGCATTACAGAATCAATAGCAATTCAACTCGGAAGCCTACCTTGAAACGCATATCCTATGACTCTAGACAATATCTCTAGCGACCTTTTCTGTATATTCCTGGAAGATGATATCGAGTAAATATGCCCAGTCATTCGTGTAAAATAGAGTGAGATGAATGCATCTATCCTAGTCAACTAAGTTGTCAAATTTTTTGATTCCCTAATTAGCAACAATGAATTGTTTTTTGATGCTGATACCCCACCCGCCATCACAAAAGATCCAAGAAGACTTTATCATAAAAAAGAAATGCAACATGAATTACAGTTGATACGTTTAGAATCAAAACATGCTCAGGATTGGGCCAAGTTCAACGAAGCGTTTGCCGAGACTGCAGAAAAAATACCAGAATCTGAGCCAGTATGCTATTCAGACATTCTATTGGGAACGACTGCTTTGGAGTTGTTATTAACAGATATCAAGGAGACGATCAGTTGTGCTACAGCAGTAGAAAGCAACCCTGCCAGTTCACTGCCAACACACACCGGTGACGTGGACACGAATGATCATAGTAATCACAGTAGCAGCAGTAACGTCACGGAGGATACCATGGATGTCGATGAGATCAACGAAGATATTTTCGTTGATGTGGAAGACCCAGAGGATGATGCTACCATGGATAGTGAAACGTCAAAACTAAAGAGAAAGATGGGTATGGAAAAGAAGACAAGAAAGAAGATGCGAATTGAAAACAAGGTGCTCAGGAGAAAATACAGAGAAGCATTCAACGAGTTAAAGAAGAAACAGCAAGAGGAAATCAAATGTGTGTTGACATTGCAGTTGGCAGAATTGAATGATTTACCAGAAGAGTATCAGAGGCGTAAGTTGCAGTCATTACCTTCCCATTTGCAAGACCTGTTAAGAGATAAAAATGAAGAGGATGCGGCAACGATGCCCACATTGCCATTAAAGAGAACTGCTACAGCTGACGAAGACGCCAAAGACAGGGACATGGATACCAGTAAAGTGAAAAAAGCACGTGTTGAAGAAACAATAAAAAGCGAAAAGAAAAAGAAGAAAGATAGCCTAACTGCAGATGGGAGAGACAATAGCAAAAATAGCAAAGTGGACGATAAAAACATATCGAGCAGCACAACAGCAAACCATGACAGTATGAAGAAGAGTACATCCACAACAACAACAACCACCACTTCTTTTTCATCCACGTGTAAGAGTTCAAGTAATAAATCAGCAGCAGCAGAAGCCAATGCACCTTCATCATTAAAAACTAGCAAGAAAAAGGATAAGCACAACAAATATAAGCCAACCACATCATCGCCTCTTGTCACTGGGGCTGCCTATACTAAAATCGACGTACCATCGTCCTCTTCTTCATTGCAAGCGCAAACGCAGCAACCTCTCTTTTTCAATCATCCGGAAAGCAGCCAGAAGAAGAAAGGTAGAAAATTCCACACCATGTTAGGACCCAACTGTACCCTCTTCATCAGAAATAAGCCTCGACGCTCTGTCATTATCAGAGATGCAGAAGGACATGAGCAATACTATGGCGATCCTGTAGACTACAATGATGCGATCTTTGGCATCAAGAGAGACAACAACCCGGTCTTTCAGCGACTGATGGACGGTCGGCAATACTTATTCTATAGGAATGAGAAGGGCAAGGTTTTGACCATTGGAACGACGGCACAGATTCAACCGCAAATCAAGAAATACTTTTTATCGCAATGAAGAGTTTTTTCAAAAGCCAGCCTATTTATTCATTTCCACAGTTGATTGGATAGCGTCTTTATATTCCCCTTTTTTTTTTTAAGGCTCTATCTCTTTTTTTTTTTTTTTTTTTTTTTTTTCCTTTGCTTTTTGTGTTGCAAAAGAATAAAAATTATTATGCAAAAAAGTAGCAGCAGAAATGTGTTGGCTATTTGTTTAGGACAATTATTATCGTTGTGTATTACAGGAACCAGTTCAGTCTCATCAGCCTTATGGAAACATTATTCCATCAATATACCCTTTACACAGAATTTTTGCAATTATTTATTGTTGGCCATTGTCTACCGTCTGATCTACGGACATCGGCAACCCAACGGAAACTCAACGAGGAGTATGAAGATTCAATGGCGTTGTAAAGTGTGCAAAACGATCTATCGAAGGTTGAATTGTACTTTTCATAGGGCTCACTGAATGGGGTTTTTTTTTTTTGTAAACTAGTTTTGGGCTTTTCTGTTGCTGATGTTCAAGGTTTGTCAAAAAAGAGGGAAAAAAACAGCTGATAATGCTTCATGTGTATCTCAACTTCTGATATGAATATAATGTATGCCAGCAAATGTATTAGTTGTATTAGCCTTCAAAAATACATCATTATTGTCTGTTTTGTTGTTATCGGCCTGGACAACGCCTTGCATCATGTTACTGTCAACTTATTTCCTGCATGCACACTATAGTAAAACTCATATTCAGAGTGCTGTACTGTGCATGATAGGCTTGATTGTACTTGTGTATTCTGATACCATCCATCCTACTCAAGTTGGAACGAGTCCTACTGGTAAAAAGCCGAGTCAGTTGTCATTGCATTTGTGAATGTGTGATTTTTCTTAATTGTATTTATATCGTTATAGATAATCATCATTGGATAGGTGATCTTGTCGGAGTAAGTTTGATTTTTGCTGTAAAAATGTGATATCCCCATTCGGAAGTTTTGTTAATCTGTGAAAAAAAAAAAAAAAACACTTGCAAAAAAAGTTGTGCAGTGCAACCTTGTATGCGGTCAGTAATGTAACTGAGGAGCATTTAGTACAACACTACTCAACTACTGAATTCCTGGGCCAAGCAGGCTTGTGGGGATCTATTCTTTGCGGTTTACAAGCGTAAGAGCTCTTGTGCACAAAACGTTATGTGGTCATTCTTTTTCTGATGTCATTGACAAGCTATCTATTTGAAATGTAGTGTCTACTTTGAATTTGGCTACATCGTCCGAATTCAATGGACATGGCCGATTGGTATTTATTTGCAAAAAAAGGAAAAGCCAGAATGAAAAAGCAAAAAAGACTGACATTTTCTTTATTGAAACAGTTTTATTGATTTCAGCTTACGTCCTATGCTTGTTTTGTATGTATTCACTAGTACCAACTATGTGTCGTATGGCAGGTGCAACGTTTTTGAGCATGAGTTTGATCACAAGCAATTTCTATTCTTTAATCGCTGGTCTAGTCTTCTTAGATGCAGAGGTAGCGTGCTAACTTTAATATCTCCTTGTGGACAAATCTGAGACTTATTTCTTCTTTTTTGATTTGTTGTAGATGCCCACATTATACCCAATAGCCTATATTTTAGTCATTATAGGCGTTACTATATATACTTTGGCTCCTCTTCCTACTACTTCATCTCCTTCTACTGCTACTGATGCAACAACGAGCCATCACCATAAAAATGATGAAGAGGGTTTTCCGATCATGCATGGTTCTTCCTCTTCTTCTTTTTCTTCTTCCTCTTCTGTTGGACATGCTTATCAATCTCTCTGACTCCCTCTAAAGCAAACGAATGAGAATACCATTTTTAAACGCAAGAATCGCTAGTAAAAGTTTAAAAAAGTTTATTGTAAAAGAGAAGCATTATGACAAAACGGTTATTCTACTTTTGGGGAGATGAAAGTTTTAAAATGATTTTTGTAACAAAAAAGGGATTTTTACGATTCCTTTTTTTTTTTTACCTGTTTTTTTTTTTTTCTTAATGACCCTCAAGTAGAACAACGGTTTTTTTTTGGTTTTTTTGTTAAAAAAGTTAGGAAAGTGTACAAGTAGGAATGTTTTTGTTAGGGATATATATAAAAAAGTATTAGCAATGCGTGTGTACGGTTAGTCTTTAGGTGGTTCATAGTCCTCGATGGATTTCTCAATCCAACCCGTATTTCGTTTTTCCATGCGTCTTCTTCTCGTTTGTCCTCGATCACGATGGGTTTTTTCTATTCTTTCAAAGCGTTTTCTTCTTCTTTCCACTCGAGCGCGACAGGTTCTTTCTATTCTTTTCAAGCGCTTGCAACGGTTTTGTCTTTTTTCCACCAGGTCTGTTTGAACGGCTTTGTTTACGCAGGTTATGAGTACTTGATCTATGGGCATCCAGCCTTGAGGTCCTTCTATCCAGCCAAGGTCTTCAGGAGTAAGGGAGTCAGACTCTTCCAAGTCCTCAGGACGGTTAATGATCCAATTGCAATCAGAAAAGTCTTGGTAATCAATAACAGGATTAAATTGGACATGTCGATCTTGCTTCTGCTCGGTATCGGCTCCGTCCTTGGGAGAGGTCGTACGTTTGAGACAGGACTTGGATGGGATAGTTTTCTTGAATTTGCGTACAGGTACATCGTATTTTGGTAGAACCGGAATAAGTGGCCCACTGGGCGAGCCGGCGTTGTTGGGTAAAGAGGCCGGGACTTCGGGTGAAGTCGCAAAAAGGGATCCAACTTGGCACATTTGTCTCTTGAGTGAAGGAAGACCTTTAGGAGGTGCTGGATCCTCTTGATCTGGCGGAAGAAGGGGGCCAACATTTGTCTTGAGTCTCTTGAGTGACGGGACTGTAGGAGGTTCTTGATCATCTTCTGGTTGATCATCCAGGGGTCGCTTTTTGCCCTGTGGAGGAGAGGGCGGTCTCATTGTTGTTTTACCTGATGAAGCCCCTGCAGATGCTTGCTTCTGTTTCTTGTTGGACGTTACTTCTTCTTGTTCATCCTCCAACAGCGTATCCACGGACCGTTTCTTGCCATGAGGAAGAGATGCAGGATCTGCCACAGGTGGTTCAGCAGATGGCACAAGAGTGTGTTGACGGTAGAATAGCATGTACGCTTTAGAGGTCTTCATTTCCTCTTGAGAAGCAGGACGGACGATATCATCATCCATGCAATACCATCCGTCGTCATTGGAAGATTTGACATAAGTATAGTAGTGACCATAATCACAACGTGGACCCGAATGCACCAACACCGCATAGAGCTCATACTTGGCTTCTTCGATCTTCTTTTCCTTGCAAACATAGGGCGCCATATCCAAAACCTCATCAAAGCCAATACGCTGATTGAGTTTGATCATCTTTTGCCGCTTGAGGTCATACGCGAAACGTTTCAAATGCACCGTTAACATGAGGGGAAGTTCAGAAATAGTCATTCGCTTTTCCGCCTGGGTCTCTTGGTTACATCTATAACAAAAGCAAACCAAACACATGGTTAATTGAAGGCAGTTCATTGGTGCACGCGGGAGAAAACAAAATAAGGTTTAGAATATTTACGAAGGACATTTGTATCTGTTTAAGGGGTCTTCACCAAGGACCTCCGGTCTGATAAAGTCTGCAAGAGTTTGTCTCAAGTGGAGAGAAAAATTCAAGTCAACACTTAGATCTAAATAATCTTGGTAAGTGTTGGAAGTTCCTTGACAGCTACAACATTTGACCTGAGATTGTAGTTTGCCACCAAAGACTTGATAGATAAAATCAGTGTTCACAATGTGGGGAGGTAATTTTCTAAAAAAAAAAAAAAAAAAAAAAAAAAAAAAAAGGAAAAATTCATGCATTGATTTGCAAAAAGGGGGTGGCTTAGTTAATTAGTTGCTTTTTTTTTTTTTTGTTTAGATGTTACAACTGATTTGCTTACCCCAAGCCATGAACGGATGCCTTTTGGATCGAAGAGAGTAAATGCATGTAAAATTCATGAGCGTCTTCTTGGCGGCCCAGAGTCAATTGGCTGTTAATAGCTGTTCATAGGGGTTAAAAAAAAAAAAGGGGGTGTTGCTTAAGTAAACATCGGTGGGAAAAAAATGTGATAATTAACGGATCTTACATGTCAAGTTTTCCGCAAACTCTTTAGGGTAAAAAGCAGCTCCTGGTTGGTAACTCATAGGATCTCTGAAGCACCGATGGACATGTTTTTGCAGGGCACAAAGAGCACAGAATCCTTTGGCGCTACAAGTGTCATAATGGTTGGTTGCAAGTAAATATTGCGTGAGTGCTGGTGTATAGGTTAAGGACGCTAATACAGAATTCATGAAACACGTGTTGTCACCGTTTACCAAGCCGGGACCGATGGGGCGATGCACCATCCAGGCATTTAATAATTTGGACTTGTCGAAAGGAGGACCTTCAGGATGAGAGTAGGCATTGGGTAAAGGAGGACCTGTAGGATAAGATAAAGGAGCATCTTTGCCATCATGTTCTACCGTATCAGTAGCAAAAGGAACTTCGGACTCATACTCTACTGTATCAGCATCAGAAGCAGCATCTTCGCCATCATGTGCTACTGTCTCAGCAGCAGAAAAAACATCTTCGTGGTTAACTTCTACTGTAGCAGCAGTAGAAGGAACATCTTCGTGGTTATATTCCACCGTATCAGCATCAGAAGGAACATCTTCGTGGTTATATTCAACCGTATCAGCATCAGAAGGAGCATCTCCAGCGTCATGGTTGGCATCCACAGCTTCTAACATATCAGAAGAAAGATCACCGGCGCCATCGTTGGCCTCTTCAGCTTCTGGTTGTCCATGGACGTTGTTAAGTGTTTTATTTCTTAAAAGGTCCTCAAGAATATGGTGTTTTTCAGAATTGTCCATCATTTTGGTAAGCGCGTTGGGTTCTTTATTAGTTGGAGGTTTTTTGATTTCAAGCATTGCAATTGTTAAAACGATGTTCAGATCAGCAATAGAATAAGAAAAGCAGCAATAGAATAAGAAAAGGGGTAAAGAGAAATGAAGGTAAGAAAATTTGCTGTTCTGCGACTCTATTTAAGTGGCGTATTTGGTTTTTTTTATTCAGGTCCCGCTATTGACGGTCTTGAATTTAAAAATTTAGGTGACGCCCTTGGAAAGCCAAATTTCATATGAAGTTCTGTAATCTTTCAATCCAATCAGTTTATGCATGTGTTGTTATTGGAACAGGAACGGGTTACTCACATTGACTTGGAACGAAAGTTTATACACAACATATCATATGACCCTCCTTCTTACATCGATACTAAAAATTTTTTGGGGGAGAAACGCTGTCGATTTTATTTTACAACGGGTTTTGGCAGCTCAAGGCAGTGACGCTTTCCAAAGGCCACTTGGAAAATGACCAGGTTTTGAACTGAACAGTATGTTGAAGTTACCGTAGATATGCAGACTCTATATACTTTATCAAAACTGGATTGTGATACTTTTTCAAGCTAGAATAGGGAAGAAATTACATAGATCAATCTTGCTGAGGATGGTCATTGGCTGTTGACAGAGTTATAGTGAGGGCTGCAACGTATTCACCTATCGTACTCATTAGCAATTTTCGCCCGTATGGAAAACGATAAACGACAGCTTGAGTTCATTGATGAGCATTCGTATTGGCAAAACTACAACATAGAAAAGTTTAGGAAGCAGACGTTGACAATGGGCGACAATACGGTTTTCGATCATCAGAAAGTGTTGTCTATATTTTTTTAAATCACAAAAACGGATTCAGTTGCCATCACATCCAAGGCTCCATTGTTAGAAATAGGAAAGGCGCCTTTCAACCTAGCGGAAACGGTTAACTGTCTCTGAGGCAACAAAAAGAAAAAAGAGATTAAGGTTCTTGTTGGGCCAAAATAAAAAAAAGGTTAGTTTGTCCTGCCGTTGCGCATCTACCTCAGCCTCTTTATTTTATTTTTTTTCTTTTTTTTTGAATCCATGATCCCTTTTATACACAATAAAGGCATTATTTTTATCCTAGTAGGTTTGGCATGGAAGTATAGGAAACAGGAGCGAACACGAACCAGTGCTATTCTCATGAAAGCATTCTTACTTTTACAAATGAGTCCTATTGATGACCCCACCTGCACGACGATCGAGGTTCAGAAGCTGGGAAAAAAAATCTTATCCATGCTAGAGTATGACAGAGATTGTATCTACCCATATCGGTCGGTAGCAATAAAAAGGGAATTTTTCTGTAGATAACGAAAGGATACCAAAACCCACTTTTATTGCATCATAGTAGGATTCAATGAATCCATTGGGTCTATTTACCGACGAATCTATGCTTTGTTTGCTTTTTCAAGCGCTTGGTTAAAGTCCCATTTGATATCATCAATATGCCTGCAAGACATCAAAAAAACGTCAATGAGTGCCAACTTTTAGCACACTACAAGTGCATTTTACCAATCACTTACTCAATACCAACAGACACGCGGATCATGTCTTTCGATACGCCGGCTGAGACCTGCTCCTCGTCACTCAATTGTTGATGCGTGGTCAATGCAGGAGCAATCACAAGCGTTTTCGCGTCACCTACGTTAGCCAAATGAGAAGCCAATCGCAATGATTCGATAAACGTCTGTATTATAATAGAAAAGTATCATGTGTCTTAGTCTTGTAAGGTCCTCATCGCTGTTTACTACACCTTCCAACTTTACCTTGAGTGATCCTTTTACGCCGAAACATAAAACACCGCCAAAGCCATTCCTAAGGTACTTTTTGGCCATCTCATGGTGTGCGTGGCTTTTAAGTCCAGGATAAGATACCCAATTCACACTATCATGTGCCTCTAACCATTCCGCCAAAGCGAGTGCATTTTCCACATGACGTTGGACTCTTAGAGATAACGTCTCCAAGCCTGGAGGAGGGTCATCAAAGAGAGGATGAGTACGTTTGTTAAACTCTTACTGATTCACGAGTGATTCAGTTTGCCCATAGCAGCAGGAATGTTACCTTGAAGTAAAAGGAATGAACCAAATGGATTCTGACAGGCACCAACGTCTCTCAATGATTCCGTTATCAAACGCGTAATAAAGGATAACTTTCCAAACGTATCCCAGAATTTCATTCCGTGGTAGCCTGGTGAAGGCTCAGTAAATTCCGGGAACTTGCCATTATTCCAGTTGAATTTGCCAGCGTCAATCACTATACCATGTAGAGTTCTACAGTTGTCAGCGTTATGTCATCTATTGTGCATTCCATCATGAAAGAAAAAAAGACTTTTATTACCAACACCAGCAATGGTGGTGCCATGTCCACCGATCCATTTTGTAGCAGAATGAACAACGATATCTGCGCCATGGTCGATAGGTCGAACAATGTAACCTCCGGCTCCAAAAGTACTAAATATTGTGCAACACAGCTTATGATCAACTTTCTTTCCTGATGGCGACATTGCCGTTTCGATATCTTACTTGTCCACCACAAAAGGTATACCTGCCTCTTTTGCAATTTTTGCCAAGGCATGAAAATCAGGAACACTAAATTGAGGATTCCCAATGCTCTCCACATAAATCAATTTTGTGTTTTCATCAATCGCTTTGCGGAAGGCTTCAGGATCATGACTATCCACAAATTTCGTCTCGATGCCCAATCTAGGTAAATAGACCTTGAATTGGTTGTACGTTCCACCGTAAATATTGGTGCTGGAAACAATGTTATCGCCTGCTCTACAGATAGTTGTAATAGTGAGAAATTGAGCAGCCTGACCTGCATTTTATAGGATAGGATACGAAAAAAAAAAAAAAAAAAATTAACAATAAATACCCAAGTATCGATCATCATCCCAAAATGTTATACTTTAGATGTGTGTGTGTGTGTGTGTGTGTGTGTGTGTGTGTGCTTACCTGAAGACAGAACTGTAGCTGCTGCACCGCCTTCTAAAGCTGCTATACGTTTCTCAAACACTGCATTGGTAGGGTTTCCAATTCTGCATGCAATTTAATATCCATAAGAGTTCATACCAATGCAAAGTACATATTTATATATACCTAGTATAAATATTGCCTTCCCCCCGAAGAGCAAAAAGGTCGGCTCCATGGTCAGTATTATTGAATACAAAAGAAGTAGATGCATAGATAGGTACAGCACGAGCATTGGTAGCTGAATCAGGAGTCTGCCCAGCATGTAACTGAAGTGTATCAAAATGAAGTTGATGTTCTTGTTGAAGGTTTTTTTCAAAAGTCATGCCTTGTAAATGTTAAAATGATAAAACACGAAAAGAAAGAGTTAGATAAGCTTTTTTTTTTCTTTTGATATTTGAGCAGGGCTCCAAACTTTATTGGGCAGAAAGTTGAACTAAACCTGGATAGTTCTTAAATTCTTATGGCAGAAGTTTTGCTTCGTAGATAACAGAAGCACACCCCCCCCCCTTTTCCTAACCTCCTATAAAATATATATTATCGGTCCAATGGATGACTTTAGCCCTTCAAGGCCCTGAAGAGAACAAGACCAAAAATCAAGTCAAGCTGATAAGTATGAGGATGAGGTTAACTTTGAGCTATTTGAGAGGAACAGTCTGATTTTAAGCTTTAAGTCGGATGGAAATTGCGAGGAACATACGACTCCATCATTTGATTTGAACTAAAGAAAATACTTCCTATGTTTGAGCGTTGTTTAATAATTGCTCTTCGCCTCTGTTATGTATCGCTTAAAACTATCCATGATATCATTCCATAACAGATTCCCCAAATACAGCCCGATATTTACGACCCCATTACTATACATTACTATTCTTCTAAGGTGCGTTCCCATAGTCACTTTATCTGCCATAATCCAGAGATGTGTTGCATTTGAATCTGTGCAAACATGACAGCTACACTAAGTGGCGATATCTGAATATAATTTGAATACTTGGAAAGTCTAAAATGGTTTGGTTACTACTCAACTAGTTTGCCATTGAAATAGAAACTAATATACACTTTTCTATTTTTTATTTTTCCTCTTCACTCTTGCAGATGGAGAGTATCTAGGTAAGATTGGGTGTATATATACATGTTTATGTACATATGGAGAGTAAAGTGAGAGAGTGTGTACAATAATAGAGTCTCAAAAAAGAATTCACAATGTCCTTCCTCCTAATGAGCATCACCACGCTTACTAATATAGTCGATAGCTTGTCTAACAGATTTAATTTCATCAGCTTCATTATCAGGAATTTCTATCGAGAAATCTTCTTCAATGGCCATGATCACTTCCACTGTATCTAAACTATCGAGACCGAGATCGTTGACGAAATGAGCATCAACATTAAGCTACAATGGAGGGAAAAAAAAATGAATAAATTGTCCCCCACTGCCTTTGGTGACATAATATACACAAGTCTTTCTTTCGATGCCATCCCTTCCTATGTACCTTTTGAGCATCAATTTTATCGAATCCATGTAAAATATCCATAACACGCGCTTCAATATCTGCATGTCCTCCACTGGAATAGAAACGGTAACTCAAAGGTACGGTCAACCTGCTGGTGGTAGCACTGGTCATCGGCATGACAGTTCTGAGAGTAGCAGCCTTTTTGGCAGCATTGAGGAGAGCGTTAGGTCGGAACATATTGTTTTGCGTGGCGAAATAAAAGAAGAAGAGACTGGTATGAAAAGTTTCTGAAAGAAGAAGTGAAAGAAAAAAAGTGGGGTAGCTTTTGCTAATGCACGATACCTGGGGTTGTGCCAATAAAACTAGTCGACCACTTAAAATTGGAAAACTGTTTCAATAGATCAAAAAACGCCAGGGGCGCAATTACCTTTTATGGCTTTTTTTTTTTTTCTTCACTATACACACGCACACATATTGGACATGCTTTCTAACTTTTATTTATTTCTTTTTTAAACCGAACTGGAAACTAGTATTCTTTTTCAATCCAAAAGATAACTTGTTCGGCTTCAAAGTTGTATTTGTGCTTTTACTGGACGAGGAGGGAGCATTAGAAGTATCCTTCACAGTAACATTAGGAGTACCTGCGGCGGATGAAGATGGTATTGGTTCATTGCTCGTTGAACTGCTATTTCCAGATATGTTGGATACTGTGGACCACCCTCCTTTATTAACAGTTGTACTGCTCGATAAGTTGGAAACATTTGACCCACTTGATAAAGGTTGTTGATTAACCCTTACACTAGCATCACCACCAGTACCGACGCTCGTACCGCTGTCTGTATTCGACGTTGTTGGCACTGGAGACCAGCCTCCTCCTCCTCCTCCTCCACTATTATTAATATTCGTACTTCCTAAAGTACTTGGTATTGATGTTGAAGGTGTTTTCTCACTGTTTTCAGTAACATGAGTCTGTTTGCCCATCCTTGACTGTATAGCAGCTTGTAGCCGCTTTAACTCTTTTTCTTCGCGCTTCTTTTCCCTTGCTTGTCGTTTCTCTCGCTCAGACTGTGCTAGACTCGAATTCCTTGAGCTTTCCTTCATCTCTTTAAATCTCTGAATCGATATGCCAAATTATTCCTCCATTGTTTGAATCGAACACGCAGTCTATTTCACATTATATATCACAAATTGCATACCTTTTTATGATGATGATCGTAGCTTTGAAGATGCTGCTCAAACTCACTGATTTTCTTGTATTGCTTATCACATAATTCACAATAAAAAGCTCTTTTGACTTGTTTTAGTTCTTCTGCAATAGCCTGTATCTTTTCAGCTTTACGTTCCCGCTCAATACGCTGAATTTCTGTTTCTTCCATTTGCTTCTCACTGTCCAATGCTTTTCTTTTGGATGCGGTGGTTTCAAGAGTAGCAACATATTCTTCTTCTTTACCGATACCTAGTGAATTATCCTTAAAGTTGATTCGAATAGGATCAATTCTGCCTAAAAGCATAGCAAATATAAGAATCCATCCAAAAGGCCAACATGTCAAACATCATTTCCATCCTTTCAATGAGGTAGTTTTTGATTACCTTGCTCTTGGCAACCAAGCCCTTTCCCTGCTTTCCATCCCATTTTCTGCAACATTTTGTAACCTATATTGTCTTCTGATATAGGGTTGTCCATTGAAATGACATGATCATTTTGTTCAAACTGAGATGACGTAGAGTCGAACTCATCATCTAACATATAATCTTGATCTTGCTCGTTCTTCTTTTCGCAAACCCGGAAAAAAATTGAAAACAGTGACGAAAAAGGACGTAGAGAGAAATGGGAAGCGAATGGTAAAATGGTTTCTGACAACACGAAGAATAGAAAAGCAATAGTAGAGTTGAGCAACGATCATGTTACCTTATAGTTGTTCGTTGTTATGCTCATCTTTCTGTGGTTTGCTATGAAAGTAACACTTTGCGCTGGGGACTTCTGTTGTGTACCTAAAATGAATGGACAAAGCGCAGAATCAATTTTAATTTTTAATGGCCGGCTTTTTAATTTTAAAAGCAGTCTTTTATACTGATATTTCATTTTTAGGTACAATCACATCGATCAAGTGACTTACTCAAGCAATCGCAACCATAGTGGCCATTACTTGGGCTTCCGTTTTGGGACTTGAAAGAATTCGCGTTATAACATTTGAGGAGGTTTTTCTTCCATTGTTACAGGCTACCATTGATACTGTTCGGTAAGGTATTCTCCTGCAAAAATCAATGGCGCATAACTCTATCCGTTGCCGTTGCTCAGAATTGTTCCATTAGATGAGCTTCAGCATGAGAATAACCAGCAGATAAACACACTTATGCCTCAAAAGTTTAATGTACTTTGGTATGTCTCCTTGCGTATGAATAGGTGCGACGCATTTCATATTACTTGAAAATTAGGATCGTCAAAAAAGCTGTTTACCTACTTATAAACATAAGTGTACCTGCTCCTCAATCTTTCGTGGGCTGGTTTTTTTTTTTTTTTTTTTTTTTGACAGAATGCAAAGTTCTACTTATTTCTTCTGATTTACAAAGCTTCAAGATTAAAAGCTAGAATATGGCTTTGTCCAGAAAGCAAGGCTTTTATTATTTCATTTAATTTTTTTGGTATTCGCAAGTGAGTAGTAACAGGGAGTCTAATTTATAGAAAGCTATGGATGAAGCGGGTCTTGGTGACAGGCATCTTCTTGAATATAAATGTATACATATAAATATATAAAAAAGAGGAGAGTATAATAAAAATGATAATAAGAATTACAATAAAAGCATACTAATAGAAAATAAGGGATAGTCATTTACAATAGCATTCCCAATGGGACAATTTCAGAATAGTTTACATGGCGAAGAGGGATAACATATGAGCTCGGATATCATATATGTGTATATAAGCTCTACAACAAACAAGTTCACCTATTGCTAGCTCCAAGAGAGTGTAATGAACTAAGCTATCGTAAGGTGATAGCATGCTGTTGAACACCAATGGTAGCCAGCTGCGACAATTTATTGGCTTGTGCTGCGTCGTCAAGTGTCCCATTGCTGACTCTCCTTTTGCTGAGGCTCATATCATCATTCGAAGCGGTTCCAGACCACTTCTCGATGACTGTAAGAAGGCGTAAGATTTTTAACTCATTTCCGTCCAAGATGTCTATTGTTAATTGCTGTTAGTTGCTGTCACTCATTGATTTACATTTGATCGGTTATTCTTACCTCTTATGGAACATATGCCGTCCAGCTGAATGCCCTCATGGTTGAGAAATTTAAATACGGAAATGACACGATCCATTTTTTGTGTTGCAACTGTTTGCGAAGGTAATGTGACTGGTGTTGGTATCTCCTTACCACTGAGTCGTCCCAGAAATTCTAAAAGAACATCTCCTGTGTTAAGCTCTGACAACGATCGAATTCCGTTTGTAACATTTGCATTGATCCACTCAATATATTCCTCTTGTTTTTGACCACTATTAAAACCATTAGGCAATCTAGTTGATCCTGCCACACTTTTTTGGTCGGGATCAATTAGATCCTCGTCATCCTCGTGAGGTTGGTAATTTGAGTTGTTGTAGTCATTATTAAAGTTGGTTGATGGCGTATTTTGCTGGTGGATGACGGAGGCAATAGACATGCTATGGTGAGTGGTCGATCCACTACTTCCAGTACCAGTTCGTGTCAACCATTTATTACCGCCACCTCCTGTACTATTGAATCCTGAATCATTCATCCGATTACGTTGATCGATTGAATAGTCAGACATACTATCAGCAATATTGTTTGGCTTTCTATGATAGTGCTCTTGTTCCAATGGCTGGCGCATATTTATAGACGACGGTCCACGGGAGCCATCTTGTTGTGGATTCGATACATTAATGAACGGCTCTGGTCTCTCATCTAAAGACATTACTGAGAAATGCTGATTTATGCTTCGGAACGAAGGTGACAATTCTTTTTGAGTTGAGAAAATGGTTGAGGGTGGTCGAGGGCGCATTTTTCGTGCCATTTCTAATGAGATCGTTGGAATGGTGTTGGAAGACATGACAGGAGCTATGAGATACCGGGTAACATTTGTCAGCTTCCTTAAAATCTGGCTATGCAAAACGTTGAATGAAGCAATACTTACTTGCAAAATCGCGGATAATAGTGGCTTTCATCAATGCTTTTAACCAGTCTTTCATAGACTTTTCGTAGTCCGTGTAGAAATAAAATGTTCGCTCTCTATCATGATGAGCCATGAAGCAGTATTTACCAGGTTGAATTGATTCGTCGACGTTGATTCGATACCCTTTCAAATTGATAATGCCCTTGACTCTAATCGCCTATATGAATAATGTAAGTAATGAAAACTCAATGGCTTACAATCAATGCTTTCCTTTTCCTTCTACCTTCGGGCTCTTGAAATAAAACAGATTACTTCCTTTAAGCACAAACCATCTCTTATTCCATGTTTTGTACTTATCGCCTTGTTTATAAAGCCAGCCTTCCATGTCAGGTGCCGTTAATGATGATTCTGAGATACCGCCACTAAAGTCTTCTGAACGTCGACTGCTCGAACTATTCGAACTCGGTAAAATTGAATGCAATTTGTTGTTTCTCATAAAACTGTATCTGCTGGGTATCGATGATAACCTGTTTTCTGTCTTTTAAGGGGAAAGCGATATGAATATAATGATCGAAAACGGGCAAAACTATGCTCAGCGGACTATTTCGTTTCACACTTACATCTTGATTACTTAAAACTGTACTGCGAGAGTAGTCTGAGGAGGCATCATTCAAAGAATTTGTTTGAGAGACAGTCTTTTCCAATAATTGTAATTTGTACTGCTGTTGTTGTTGCTGCTGCTGTTGTTGTTGTGTAAGTCTATGACGTTCCAATGGAGTTGCATTAATGGCATTATGATCAACTAGAGAAGATAATCTATGGTTAGATCTTTCCATTTCTGAAGGAGGTCTAGAAATAGATATCCCAGAGATATGTTGCTGTTGTAATGATGTGTTTGGGCTAGCTAACTGAGAATTTCTGAGAACCATATTATAATCAGAAACCACATCATCCTCCATATAAAACTGCGGCTGCTTGAATGAATTGTAAACTGAGCTTAATAATCCGTTGCTGTTACGTTTGTTTGAGTCTGAGTAAACTGAGCTGGTTCTTGAATCAAATTTTGCATTGTTGTAGTTTTGCTTTGTGTAAACAGTTAGTATAAACATTTTCTTCGTTTACTTTTTATTTATTATAAGAAGCTTACCATTATTTGCTGCTTCTTGGTTTCTTGCCTTAAAGCATTAATAGCGTTGTGAATTTTGAATCTTTTGCCAAATGTTGTAATTTGTAGCTCTTTCAAGGAGTCCAATGTTAATTCCAATAAAATATCACCGGTGATTTCCTGATCTGTTTTAGAGCAATTAAACGCAGAAATTAACAGGTGGTTTAGCTCAAAAAGTGCTCCTTGACGTTGCTTATATCCAGTAGTATCACTTCATTGTATTCCCTCAACGTTTCTACACTACTTACCCTTGAAATTATCAGCTATTTCTGCTTCAAATCCCAAGCTTTGTAGCCAGGCAGCAACTTGTTCAGATGTCCACTCTTCTACAGGTTGAGAGTTCAAGTTCGGGCTGTCCAGAGATTGATTAACAGCTGCTTGCATATTCTTCGATGTGATAGAAGTAAACGAAGATATAGAGTTCTTTTGATTCCTGAGTGAATTCTCTTTCATTTTTGTAATAGTGCTCTCCAATGAATCGATTTTGTTTTCCAGGGTTGCTGATGTTGTAAAAGGTGGCGAGGAAGGTGTAGCGGTTGATATCTGCCTTGATGTGTAAGTAACAGGAAATAGCCCTATTTCGCCCCTTATATTACAGCCCTTGTTAATATAGATTTAGGTTAACAAAGAGAGATGCGTGAAAGACTCATAATTCCTCAAATAGAAAACTGATAGTTTACCTGCCACCAACCATCGTTGTACCCATCGTCTTTTTCTAAAACAATAACCTGCTCTCCTACATTGATCGATATTTCGTCTGCATTTTCGGCTGTAAAGTTTCGTATTGCATAAACTACTTCTAGTTCAGGCATGTTGGCTTTGTAAATTTTGTATTCAAAGGAAGTAAAAGTATATTCTTGTTCCTCCGGAAAAGGCCCAAGGTCAAGCTTAAAAAAAGTACAAAAAAGAAAAAGAAAGGTGCTTAATTCAGGTTACATTTCGCCACGAACCATTATTGAGTATGTTTCATTCCTTTTTAGGTAAATTGCATTATTCGGCTGGAAATATTGTGTTATTGCTTGCTGACAATTTCACCAATTACAAGCAGTGTCCTTCGCGACTTCAAAGTGCAAATTTAATTATTCGAAGACACAACCAATTTTCGAACCAACTTGCGATAATATGTTTTACAGTGATTCTTACCAAGCACATCAAGGATCTTTGGATTAGTTCAAAAGCCCAAATAGAAAAATATGAACTAGTTGGTAAAGCGTCATTACTAGAAGGGTTTAAGCCTAGAGGATGAAAAAGGTACCTTTGCCGAATTTCAAGACATTACCCAATAAAAATTAACTTTGAGTTTGCAAAACTTTAAAAGTCATCGACGAAGCAATTAATTTAAGTAGATTCAACCGCTCAAATTGGCTCAAGAAGCGAAAAGTATGTACGAAATGATCGCTTTAAAACCAGCAAAGAAACGCCGAAAATGCAGATTATAGCTATGGAATAATATTGAAGCGATGATTCGTAATTCTTCAAAGGGCAAAATTACCTCTGGCGATATACTGACTAAACAGCGCGATTAATAGGCATTGCACATTATTTGGAGATACATACTTTAGAACAATAAGTTTGGTCGCTTGAGCAGAAGGACAAGCCATTGAACATTGGATGAACATAAGCTCTATAATGACCGTTACATTGACCAATAATCAATTGATTCTTAAAGACTTCTTTGAGAACGAAGCACAGTTTTCATCCTAAAATCGAGATTTGCTGCGTTTCCTGATTTTTAATTTCCCAGAGATACAATGTCTGTGTACGAAGGATATGGAATTACTGTACAACAATTGTATCCCTTGAACAGAATGAAAAGATTACTTACAACAGTTTTATTCTCTTTTACTTTCCAAAGCTTTTTCTTCAACAAATCTAACTATTTTACACTCGTTTAGCAAATGTCTCTTTTACGTAGACAAATATCTCCGATTCCTTCCTTTATTATTTTCTTCTATTTTTTATTTATCGCTCTGGTCTGGGGTCAACAAGCCTCCGATCATCGAGCATATGCGACTGCTATTGCTCAACGTAACTACATATATATTATAGGTGGATCTAATGTAAGAAATTGAAGAAACCACGACCTATTATCAATAATACAATTGACGTATGAGTCTTTTGCCATCAACACCACAATTGTTATAGGAAACTTTGACAGTTCCAATCCTCAATATCACGGGAGGTATTGATTCAAATAATCCAGAATGGCTCCAATTTGAGCAGAATACAACCAGCATTTTAAAGCCATTTGAAAAAGGTGTTGCTTATCAAGCAACTAATGAGCAAGTGTATGTTCAGGGCGGAAGTGGGACGTCCTTAGAAATGCAGAATTTAATGAAATACACTCCTGCAACGAACAGTTGGGAGCAATGTAAATACTTTGGTGTTTATTCGAACAATTCAAATATCAAAGCGCTTAATTCTTTTGCTCCTCTTTTATCATGAAGTTTATCAAACCCTTGCAGAACGACCTGAACCGAGGTATATGATGACAGCTAATTTAGATAGAAGCACCAATATTGCTTATTACTATGGCGGTCAACCCTTGACCGTTGGCGCATCTGCAGTGAGTTTGGTTTTTCAAGTGAAAATTTTGCTAGTAGATTAACTAAAAGAATTGTTCTTTGGCTTCACATTACTTAAACACTTTTCACAGTCTGCTGATTTCACAAGCTTCAATACCAACACAGGCGAATGGAAAAAATTGTCTCCCCGTTATCCTTTTGCTGTTAGACCTGGTCGAAGTGCACATACAGCCAACCTGATGTAATAGACCCTTCATTTTTGAATCCCAAGTAGAGATACTTACTCCTCTAACCTTCATTGACTACTTCTTGATTGTTTACGAATCTATTTCAGTAACAAGCAACTATTTATCCTAGGAGGTGTTACAGATGACGCGAATGCCACAACTGATAGAGTTGAAGCAGATTTTCGAAGCGTTTTGGGTAATCATGCAAAAAAAAAAAAAAAAAAAAAAAAAAAAAAAAAAAAAAATTGACGCTAGAACATAGAAGAGTCGTTTACCCTGTGGTACTTTTTTCATAAACAGTATACGATATCACCAGTAACACTGCAGCTGCCATTGCTACCTTAGGTGATATTCCTAAAGTTAGACAATCGTATGTATGCCATAGCAATTATTTTAGCAATTTTTTTTCTAATCATTTCAAATTTGTGCCAAATGCAGCTTTTCCACTGCTGTAGGTTAGTATTCTATTATGATTTATCCGCTTGGAAGGCGCTTTATCATGTTAAACCACTTTAATTATAGGTTTGGATGGAAGATCAATTGTGCTATTCGGAGGATACATCTATACTCAATCCAATGAATTTCAGCCTGCACCGAACGACATCTACATTCTAGACACATGCACTTTAACTTGGCGAAAGCAATCTGTCAGCGGTAAAGCTCCTGGTCCACTTTATGCTCACAGTACCATTAATATCAACAATTATATGGTAATTTTTATGGGCAAAACGGATGCTACCAACTACAATGAGAGAATATATATTCTGGATTTGAAACAATGGAAATGGGTCGACAAGTTTACTGATATAAGCACCTCGACTGAGGCTAAAGATTCCTGCCAATTTACTCTACCTGCCAATTTCAACAGCAGTGATGTTACTTTTTACCCTTTTAATTACGATTACAGCGTTCTAATGAACCCATTTACGCCGTCTTCTGACTCTTCTAAGAAAGCAAAAGGTTTCGGCATTGGCTTTGGCCTATTCTTTTTGATACTTGTTGTAGGAGGCATTTACCTTTATTTGAGACGTATTCGTAAGAAGACAAGAACATTCAATCCTCGATGGATACGTCATATTCCAGAAACTATGGCAGCGTCTGAAGCTCCTTCAGCAGATGACAGCCGTGGTGGAACTGGAAAGAATAGTGACTACCCACTTTTTGTATACAACAATTTGGAAAACGGTTCGATCAACTATCAACAACCTCATCATACTGCGACAATGTATTCACCACAACACAACATTCGAACGTACACAGCTTCTGATCACGAAAAATGGGAGCGTGAATTAGTGAAACACGACAGGGATAACAACCATAGGGATGCAGTGACAAATGATATATGGAGACGTATGGAAGGATTGAATAGCAATAATAGCCGCTAATACCGCCACTACAAGTCATTACAGTAATAGCCATCAAAGCCAGTATAACCCTCAATTGACATTGAATGATTATGACAGACTTCTCAATAAATAAAGAGTGTGGATAAAGCGGATACAACAACATTTGCCTCCCAAAGCATATGCTTCTTTTCTAACATAAATAAATGTGCTTTGCTCTAACAAAAATGCAAACGAACCCATTAAACATAAAAGTTACTGAAAAGCTGATCCGGTATCATGAAAAGTTCTTACAAAGACAGCTTTTGCTTGCAAAAGAGCCGCAGGGTGTCAGTTGCGATTTGTAAGGTTACCCTTGACTGAAAACTTACCCGTCTATCGGTTAAATACCTCTTACCTTTCGCCTTGCTACATTGTCAAAAAGTCATAGACAAGGCTATTCATATAACAAATTCTACTTGAAAAGATTCTTGCTTCTCAGCAAAAAAAAAAAAGAAAAAATAATAAAAACGGAATTAAAATGTGCCGTTCCTTATTTCTCATTCTTCATTCAACTGGTGAAAAATTCCAGCTTCTAAAGAAAATTTTCATTTCATACATTTCTCTTCCTTTTCATTTATACTTTTTTTTTTCACAACCATTCAGGCCAACAGAATCAATAACCTCTAGCTTTATCCACCCGTTTATTTCTATCTTCTTCAGCTTTTTTTTTTTATTTCAATACTTGAGAGGACCTACTTTCTTTACAACGCGCAAATCTCATTAAATAAATTATTGTCAATGAACCCAGTCAGGTAATTCAAGAAAGTGTACGTTGTCAATCGCACACTACTAAACTGAGAGTACAATAATAGCCACGAAAACGATAATTGGAAAAAGAACTTGAATCTTCCTGCGAAAGACCAAAGACCACAGACAGAGGTTAGACTCAGTTTCATATAATAACGAATGAAAAATCATGTCTTTAGGGAGCTTTCTGTATTAACTCCAAACATGTGCATACAACGTGTTTCTTCATAACGAACTATCTATAGGATGTTACAGCGACAAAAGGAAATGAATTTGAGGATTACTTTCTAAAAAGAGAACTATTGATGGGTATTTTTGAAGCCGGATTTGAAAGACCCTCGCCTATTCAAGAAGAAGCCATACCTATTGCTTTAGCAGGGCGTGATATTCTTGCTAGAGCAAAAAACGGTACAGGCAAAACAGCAGCATTTGTGATTCCTACTCTTGAAAAGATCAACAATAAGAAAGCAAAGATTCAAGCATTATTACTCGTTCCCACCCGTGAATTAGCCCTCCAAACGTCGCAAGTATGTAAAACACTCGGAAAACATTTGAACTTACAGATTATGGTCACTACTGGTGGTACAACTCTGAGAGATGATATTATGCGTTTAAGTGAAACTGTACATGTACTTGTCGGCACACCTGGCCGTATTTTGGATTTAGCTTCGAAAGGAGTTGCTGATTTCAGAGAAGCAACTACTTTTGTTATGGATGAAGCCGACAAACTTTTATCGCCCGAATTTACGCCTATTATTGAACAACTTATCAACTTTTTCCCGAGAGACAGACAAATTATGCTTTTTAGTGCCACCTTTCCTATGATTGTCAAGAATTTCAAAGACAAGTTTTTAGTCAAGCCTTACGAAATCAATTTGATGGACGAATTAACATTACGAGGTGTTACTCAATACTATGCTTATGTCGAAGAAAAACAAAAAGTCCATTGCTTAAATACATTATTCTCAAAAGTAAAATTCAGAGTAAATTATGTTTATATGTCTGAACATTTCGACTCACTCTGGAATTTTTAACTTTGTTTTTTTGTTAGCTTCAAATCAATCAATCAATTATCTTTTGTAATTCTACCAACCGTGTCGAATTATTAGCCAAAAAAATCACAGAGCTCGGTTATTCGTGCTTCTATTCTCATGCTAAAATGTTACAAAGTCATCGTAATCGAGTTTTCCATGATTTCCGAAACGGTGTTTGCCGTAACCTCGTCTGTTCCGATCTACTTACTCGTGGTATCGATATCCAGGCCGTCAATGTCGTGATCAACTTTGATTTCCCCAAAAATGCTGAAACTTACTTACATCGTATCGGTCGTTCTGGCCGTTTTGGACATTTGGGTTTAGCGATCAATCTTATCACGTACGAAGATAGATTCAATTTGTACAAAATTGAACGCGAATTAGGCACGGAAATTCAACCTATACCACCCGTCATTGATAAGACATTGTATGTAGCTCCAAATGCTTTGGATGAAGCCGAAGTTCAACAGCCCAATAAACAACAAGCAGTAGCCATCCGTCAACAGCAACAAAATCAAGAACAGCAAGGAGACCAACAGCAGCAGCAACAGCAAAGACAATACAATAATTATCGATCCAATCAACAATGGCGTGGAAGAGGAGGTAGAGGCGGTGGCGGTGGCGGACAACGTTAGCTTGCAACCAATACCTTTCTTTCCAGTCGCATCGACAAGGAAAAACATTAGCACCTTTCAATCAATGTAAGAAGAGACTAGTATCAGCCTTTTTTTGTATCAATCCTCATGATAACAACAATGAACAAAGACCCTGAAGAAATGATGTAAAACATTGCTTAACCATTTTTTTTTATGTCGGTTTTTGTTGGTTTTTTTTTTCAAATCATTTAGTTTCATGCGCGCTGCATAAAAAATGTTAAGGAACAACACGAAATAATAAAACTACGCGTGATAAATTTGACTTTGAAATTATTCTAGCAGAGAGGAACATCATTAAAAAAATGTTGACGCTTCTTCCAAGTTCATCGAGACTCTTCAATTGAAGCATTATTAGGTGCAATGTCGCATATAGAGAGTATGGCTATTCTGGGTGTACGTTCGTTCAGCCCAGACGAACCAAGCTATATTAGATTTCAATCACCTTTAACGTTGATCGTCGGCCCTAATGGATCTGGCAAAACCGTATGCAGTGCTGATAGCAGACTAGTAAAGAAATCACTTTCTGAATCGTCTTTTTCCTTCATATTTTCATAGAGCATTATTGAGTGCTTACGATATGCTTGTACAGGCGACTTTCCACCTAATAGTAGAGGCGGTGCATTTGTCCATGATCCCAAAGTGAGATTCACTGAATACCCCCCCCCCAAAAAAAAAGAAAGTAATACTGAATATATGCATGGCGGACTGATCTATTATTAAAATATAGCTCGCAGGTTCTGATGAGGTCAAGGCACAAATCAAACTCAAGTTTTACAGTGTGAACGGTCAGAAAATGATCTGCAGTAGGTCACTATCTGTGACAAAAAGAGGCAAAACCTATTCTCAAAAGGCGATTGATAATGCTCTCTTAAGATATGACCCGATTACAGGAGAGGTGAACTACATCACAAGGAATATCCAAAAGTACATCAACATTGCTCACCAGTTCCTCCTATTTTGAGTCTAGGCTTTTAGTATAACAAGTAGGTGTGCGGATATGGACTTGGAGCTCCCTCTTCACCTGGGCGTTACTAAAGCAATATTGGACAATGTGATTTTCTGTCATCAAGAAGATAGTAACTGGCCTTTATCAGAATCCAGCATCCTCAAAAAAAAGTTTGATGATATTTTTGCCTCTAAACGCTACGTTGTTGCTTTGGAAGAGATCAAAAGTCTTCGAAAAGAGATAACACAAGAAACCAAAATTGCTAATGTACAATTGGATTCCCTTAAGGAAAAGGCCGCTAAAGCCAAACGTATCCGCAACGACTTGACCCAATTGAATCAACAATTGAACGGCAAACAAGAAAAACTACAAGCGATTGAAAATGAGATCGAGCGAGTGAGTGAGGAAACCGTTCGGCTCAATTCAATGTTGCGTGATATCGCAAACATAGAAGAACAGATTCAAACTCTGATTCATAAAAAGGATTTCTTTGAAAGTACAATGCGTTCGATCGAGTCACATATTGTTCCTAGCGATAAATCGACAGAAGCCTTGAAAAAGTTGCTGGAGGATCATCAGTTAAAAGAAAATCAAAATCAAATGGCGAAAACTGATATGGCAAAGCAAAAGCAAGAATGTGAAAGAAAGTTAAAGAAATTGCAAGATGGTCTCTCGCAGAAGCATACAGAAATGGGTCGCTTGGAAGCAGCACAGGAAGAATATGAGAGACAGATAGCATCTAGAACCGAATTGATTCGAAGGATTAACGAGAAAAATAACTTGGAGTTATCAGAAGAAGATGGATCTGCGGCGGCGGCTGAATTAAAGGAATTCATGATCGACTTGAATAGAAAGAACAGTAAATTAAAGGAAGAAGCAGTGGCAAGGCAAAATAATCTTTCTGACGATGTGCAAATGTTGAAAAGTAGAGAACTCTCTATCGATGAAAACAGAAAGCATCTAGAAAGACAAATTGTAATCATCACACTATTTCGAAGGGTTAAAAAAAGTAATGGAAAAGGGAGCTCACATAAATTGTTTTAGGCTGATGATCAAATCAGAATTGAAGCTATTACGCAAAAAATCGCAACATATCGAGTATCTGAGCCCGAGATTGAAGCATTGGAAAAGAGGATTATTGAATATGTAAGAGGTGTTTATTAACTCGAATGCCCTTCTTTATTAATAATGTATCACGCTATACTCGTAGGAAAAGAAACTTAGCAATATGAATGATAGCACCGACAAAACAAACCAAGAGCAACTGAAAGTAAAAGAGCGCGAATTAAAGGCATTGGATGAGGAGATCATTGAGCTAAACGATGAACTAGCAAGACTAAGTAAACAAAGCGATGCTCAAGCTCGGTTATCTTTGAAGCATAAGGATAAAGAAACCAAAGAGACGACCGTTAATCAAATGTATGTGAATACGTCCATTATTGTCTATAAAAGAATGTTTGCTTATCAAGAAAATTATACTATAGATACAATGCAAACATTAACGCAATTGCACAGTTGTTGGGCCATAGACCTGACATTGCTAATCTTTTTGGAGAACTCGGAGATTATAGCAAGTGAGTCAGATCAAAGTAAGAATTTCAGCTATATATGGGGGATTCAAAAATAACACAACCATGCTTGTTAAGTAAAAAAGGGAAGGAGCTAGCAACTCATATCGAAATAAGGAATAAGGCTAATCGAGAACTGTCGGCCGCTGATGCTAAATTAAACATGGTTAAGCAAAATTATCAAATACAGAAGAAAGAGTTTGACAGTAAGTTCTTCGTTTACCTGTGGACTTTGAACTTGATTGATCTAACTATTCTCCATACTACATTTAAGAGTATCATGCTGCTGTGAAGGAAATCTGTGGAAATAAGGATTTACCCCAAGAGCTTCTCAATATGGAGAAAAAGTTAACAACATGGAATGAGTAAAGTATTCTTTTTCAGGTCATTTTGCAACTCTGGCATAAATCAGGCTCATACTGTTTCTTTTTCAATAGAAAACTTCACCAAATGGAAGGATGTGAGATGATCTACAAACGCTATGCTGAAACTCAACGGAAGAGTGGATGCTGTCCACTCTGCACAAGAGAATTCAATGATGAACAAGAAATCAATACCTTCCAGCAACAGGTAGGCATGCAAGTCAAATTTAAGCCAACTTTAACTTTTAAGATAGGTACCAATCAATTATAAATTTTATGTCACAGCTAGAAACAATGCAATCTTTTATACCTGGACAGAAAAGAACATTACAAGAGCAATTGCATCAGCTCCAGAGAAGGAAAGAAAGATACCAAAGCGCACAAGATACATGGGTGAAAATGAACACTTTAAAAAAGGACCTTGAAACGATAGAGAATAATATGAATAAGTTAAAGAATGAGCGAGAATCCTGTGCCAACAGAGTTGATGTTGTAAGCCCATTATTCAAATGACATATAGTACCTTTCTTATATATAGGTTACTGATGACTTGTCTCTTATCGAATTGCTTAGTCTTCGGCTGATTTTGTTGAGGTTAATAACTCTAAAATCAAAGCAGACCAATTGCTTTTGGTGGCAAGCAACGTCAATCGTATATATAATGAAGTTAAAGTGCTTACAGAAGACATAAATGACCTCGAAAGTGAATTACGTGTGTCGGGTCTAAGACGCACTATCGGTGATGTTCAGAAAGAACTGGAGCACAAGAGTGACGAGAGGTAAGTGCAATTCGTAATAAACTTGCTGTTTAATTTGATGTTCCTCGATACTTTTTACCTTTTACTAATATGCTTTCTGTAGCAAATCAATTCATCGTGAAATCAAACGTATAAATCAAGATATGACTGCTAACAACAGCCGCAAGCAAGCTATTGAGCTTTCTTTGAGTGATTACAGAGCCAAGAAAATGAACCTTGAAAGTAAATTGAATTTCAAAATTGGATTGCAATTACAAAGAGAAGAACTAGAGGAACAGAAGAACAATCATGAAAATGAAATCAAGGTAGCAACTTCTGACATATTCCCTCCTACATTCATAATGAGTTCCTGAAATTTTTCCACATTTTCTACAAATACGTGCTACAGAATGCTGATCGGGATAGAATACCTTTAAAACGTCAACTTGAAGTGGCAACGGAGAAATATGAAGCAGCTATAAAGGAAATGCGTGAAGTAGAAGAAAAGGCTTCTGCTGAAACGAATGCCATAAGTCTTTTTTTGGATCGCTTAACTGAAGTTAATAGTAGCTTATTGAGAACTGCAAGAATAAACAGTCCTGAAAACGTCAATCGTTTGAAGAATGAAATAGCTGAACTGGAAGAAAATATTAAGCAATTCACTACTGCCATTAATACAATCGATGAAAAAGTAGCTATCTTTGAAAAAGATGAAGCTGAAAGAAAAGGTATAGAGCGTGACTTACAAGACCAAATCAAGTACCGTGAAATGAAAGAAGGGCTTCAGGTCTGCCAGCAAGAATTGAGCGACTTGAGGCAACGACAGACAGAAAATACTTCTGGGGATTTAAAAACTGATCTCAATAAAGCACGCGACAAGGAATCCGAATTGTTAGACAAGGTATGTACGTGTTATATGTTTGATATATGAAAAGTGTCGCTTGTTTTAAACACTTCCTTTCCTGACTGTTGATAGAGGGGAAGTATCCGCGGCGAAATTGGCCAAATACGAGAGCAAATACGTCGTTACGAAAATGAACTCTCAAATGAATATGCCGATGTTGACGGCCAATATGGTCGCTTATTCATCGAAACGAGAGTCAAAGAGCTTGGTAATCTTGATTTGGAAAAGTACAGTAAAGTACTGCAGACTGCCATTACAAAGTATCATGCTTTGAAAATGGAAGATCTCAATAGAATCATTAAACAGCTGTGGATTGAGACTTATAAGGGAGGAGGTAATAATTTGTTCTGTCATTTTATTGTTTTATCGTTTGCATTTGGCACTTACATGATCCTCATAACGTTCACAAAAGACATTGATTATATAGAAGTCCGTGCTGATAGTGATGGTACTGGTTCTTCTCGCTCACTTAATTATAGAGTAAAGATTGTCGAGTCTGTCTCACTACATACATTTCTATTTTTATGTATTGACTAATCCTTAAAATCAAACTTTTTTATCTAGGTTGTAATGATAAAAGAAGGTCAAGAACTAGTGATGAGAGGTAGATGTAGTGCCGGTCAGAAAGTGTTAGCTGCTATCATCATCCGTCTTGCTTTAGCGGAGACTTTTTGTATCAATTGCGGTATTTTTACTTTGGATGAGCCCACAACCAATCTTGACCGCGCGAATATTGAGGCTTTGGCAGAAAGCCTCAAAAAGTAAGTATATTATGTTCGAATTGTTGCTCGATCGATGCTTCCTAACATGTTGTTGAAATCGTTAAAATAGAATAATCGAAAACAGAAGCAAACAAGCCAACTTCCAATTCATTATTATTACACATGATGAAGAATTTGTCAATTGTCTTAAACAGTCATCCATTCTAGATACGTACTATCGCGTACATAAAGATCATGGCACTAACAGTATTATCACTATTCAGAGTGTATCCGGCCTACCATTCGAAGAAGACGGGCATTTAAGCAACGTTCTTCAACAAGACAATGAAGAGCAGGACGCAAACGATCTATAAGTAACATATTTTGGTCATTATATTACCGAATGTTAGAGTTATTCTACCACACAATACCCTCTTCTGTGTCAACCACTTTGCTTTTTTGGCAATAAAAATTGCATGCAGAACAATCAATATTAATGTGACCTACGTCGAATATCTTCCTCTAAATAAACATTTCTCGACATTTTCTTCGCGGTTGTCTAGATGATTGTGATTGTAGACTGTGGTCTTTCTAACTATAATACATTGCATTGTTACCTACGTAACTAGCCAATGAAAAACAATTTAATTCAGACCTCTATTCCAAAAAGACTATATAAACCCCACAAATTTGACAGAACAATAAACATTAGATCTCGCTTGTCTCAAAAATCTTATCTTAACTTCTACACTAATCAAGTGTTATTCTGCCTTCTACTTCTGCGAAGTAGTATTAATCATTTAGAACTTATTCTTTTGACTTCATTGCTCTTAACATAACCAGATTGTACCAGATACATCTCAGTTTATCGTTAGACTTATTCATTTAGTCAAAGATCATAAATCAAATCATATAATACACATAAGACAATATAAGTTGGTTACTAATAACCTGGTGCTTACTACTCGCTCGAGTCTTATTTCACTGTTCAACTTATTTCTCTTATTTACTTAAGCTCCTTTACCTACTCTACACATGTTAACAGCATAATGAATTGATGAAATGAGCAAGTATTTTCCATGTAGTTTGAACGTTGGGTGAAGGTAATAAAACGTTTTTACAGACAAAGAATAGATGGAATAGTAAATATGTTTGCTAGGATAATCAAATAAATAACGCTACATAAAAATAAAACATATAAGAACATCAGCCGAGAGTAATAGAGCACTTGCTTGAGTACCAAGGGGAAATAAACAATGGCTTCAAAAAGTTAATGACAATTTTGATAATGGTTGCTTATATCATGGATTAATTATCCTGACCATTTGATATCTTCACAAAACACATCAATTGTAATAAACGGTCAAAATTTTGAGTTTATTAACAGAAGATGTTGATTTAGTTGATTAATAAAAGAGGTAAAATGAAAAAGTAATATAAGATAAGGAAAGATAAAAAGGGTATCCCGCTGACAATGTTGACTCAATCGAGCATTTGTTACATATACCACCAAATGAACGGGAAAAAAAAATTGCGGCTAGAGTGGATCGAACACCCGACCTTTAGATCTTCAGTCTAACGCTCTCCCAGCTGAGCTATACCCGCTTTAGTTGATGTTATGCGTGACGTAGATTGTCATAGTAAATTTAAGGAAAAGCCGGTCACATGATTTTATAAGCAGCGCTGGACCGAAGAGGGTGTATCTAAGAGTAATCGGAGAGTAGAAGTATGTAGTAATAGCTTAATCTGGGGTATTTAATGAGATGAAGTATAATAAATAGAACAGGGCCTTTCTCCATCTATAATTTTGTACTATAAAGTTGGTCAGAGCTTTATAAAATCTCATTTACGATATAATCCATATCATTGAAAAGCGAGATTGAAACATTCTCTCAACAAAAAAATTTAAATTGTATCACGTGGAAGATAGTTGATTGGTTTGAGTTTGTCTGTCTTTTTTTTTTTTTTTTGTTTAAAGTCTGTCTGTGATTTAAATAGAAGGAAACATCCCACGCACCCATACATTTTGAATTCCTGGCTATGACAACACACTGTTAAGTTTGTCTGCTTGACCTTTATCTGACCTCGTATTACACATATCAATGTTGGCGAAGCTACCAATTGAACGGTATACGTATTGGATTGCGTTGATGGTGTTGTATATATGAGCCAGAGTTCTTACATAATGATCGGAGTTATGACATTAGGAGTAACCATAGCCATAATACGAGATTAGACTTCTTCTAGAATCTTTCACAGTTGAAATACAGCGACAGATGTTAATTATGATCTACAAATGCTACATATGAGGTTTACATATCCATAGTACATAGTACTTCAATAATAACTCACTCTTTCACAATGATCTGTCAGTAAGCAGACATTGGTTAGTGGTCTTACCATTCTATTTTTATATTCGTCGCCCAATTGCTTACAGTCCGATCCTCTAACCTCTCAATGAGTGAGTACCCGCGCTCAACCATAGTGAAGGTACCCGTGTCTTTGATGAAACAGTCTATATGACACCGACTAAACCTGCTCTACTCAGCCCACCACATCATCCTTTAAAAGATAGAAAATATTTCTTCTATATATGTTTTTCTTTTGTACGATTTTCACTGAATAAAGAGTATAACAAGTTCTCACAGAATTCGAACTCTTTTGATTAACCTTGATTCTTTGAAGATCAACAGATGGCTACCGGCTCGATTGGGATAACTGCCGTATTTGAGGGTAGATTATATACCAATATTAAAGATTATAATTCACTTTATGAAGGATAAAAGATGAATTATACAATACTGCAAACCAGAAATAATTAGAAACTACATAGACTCTAATATATGAGTACCGTGAATTAAGCGTTGTGTTTAGTTGACAGCATCTTATGAAATGTGGAGAACTCGTAAACAAATTATACAAGATCCTCACACCTCAGTACTGCTGAAATAATATAAAGTAGAGTAGGAAGCGAATATAGAATAAGTGATGATTCTTATACGAGATTAGCTACAACGTATAAGGCTGAACAGGTTGTCATTTAGGATATATAGTTTACTTATTTTACTATAACACATTACTATATGACATAGGATATATAGTCGATTTAATATATGGACATGCAGGATATATTGATTCAACACCAAAGTATAATAGGTTATAAGTACTATTCTTTGCTTTTGACGTAAAGAATAATTACAAGATAAAAGGCTGTGATCATCCTTTACAATAACTGTTCACTCAACTCAAACACCACGCACGAATACTATTTTCATTAATTAATACTATTTTTCTGCAAGCAGTGCTGCATAAAAGTCAGCATGGGAAATAGGTTAGTTGCATGATCACTAGATGAAGCCATGGATACGTTTGCAAGTCCACCCGCTCCGTGTAGATGCGTAACTTCCTTAAGGTGATTTTTATTCTTTTACAGTTCAGAAGACGTACGTCTTCTTTGAGTAGAATAGCTCAGCTCTCAGTTTCTAGGTCCCCCAATATGAAGAAATTATTTGATTTTTCGCAGTATATATTTTTCTTCTCTTTGAACTTTTAACTTGATTCAAAATAAAGTCTTACTAATTTGGTCTTGTCAAGCTTTTTATTGTTTTTAACTAAGTGCTATTTAACTCAAGTTGTCAAATACCACAATAACATTAGGATTTATTTTGATTTAATACTTTATTTCTAGATTTTCGAACATTTTAAACTTGTATGCCAGTCGAAGAATGATCACTGACGTGTTTGGTGAGGTAATGACTACAATAATCGAGTACGTACAACCAGGTAGAGAATGCATTCTATTACGGTCTATCTATATTGTACCTCATACAGGTTATATACAACATTATAACAAGATACAGGCCTAGGCATATGTAAACACACATGAAGCATTTGAATCTGAACTTATTCACTAGCATACGCGCCCCGCCTTAATATAATTGCCATCAAACCTTACATAGTAAAAAATCTTTCTCTGAAGAGTAATAAAGACACTGAGTTTAATAGTCTTAGACTTACAATAGTTACCAATTATCAGCAACTCTTTTATTCTGGCAGATTCAAGGTATTCTTGCAGCTCTATAATCCACGATCTATCGTCCACCAGTTGCGTACCTCTAATATGGGAATGATTATAGATGTTTGCTAGAGAGCGGTATTTGTGCGTGTTGTTCGTGATTACATGAACAATTGTTATATTAATAAAAAGTAATTATGCCTTTAATTTCAAGAAGGGGAAGTGATATAATAGCTTGCTATATACCTAAACATTTTTTAGTCTTAGGTAAAGTAAGTAGAATATGTTTTACAAAAATAGCCTATTCGGTTCTTATGTAGGGTAGCAAATCTCACTTTAAGAATTATCTATAATCGCTTTTCTTTGTTTAGCTTTTCTTATTATTAAACATTCCACCACTTACCAAAACGGGAACGAGAATATGAGCCACGATGTTTGTGTGTCGAAGTTTTATTTTAATACCTCGTAAAGCATTGTAATGATTGACTCAAGCAAATATATCACTATCGCATCTCAAAGATGACACTGCTCAAAATCGCGCGTGCTTTCTCATGCATGAATTTCTGGATCAAGCGAGCTCTCATAAACCCTTCCTTCCTCTAATTTATCAGTAACCTACAAGTATATATTACGTCTTGCGTATATATTTCGGCAGTGTGGTTTCAGAACGATCGCCTTTGAGAATTTGTTGTAATCAAGCACTCAAATATACATACATTATAGCATTATTAGTTGCTTTGCTTTATCAATATGTACACTGTATAATTGTTTCGCGCTTTAGCTTGAAGCTTTCTAAACCAAAGATCTTCTACTTCCGTTCCGATTAGGCTGTATCTTGCAGTTTGCTGTAAGGTTTTCTTTTGTAAAGATTCAATCGAAGGAACACATGTACTTGAGGAATCATTTTGCTTCCATAGATGAAATTAAATGGAAATAACAAATTGTGGTAGACGAAGATATCAACTGATAGATTCTAAACAAGCGAATATACTTGCAAGAAACAATGAACTGTTTCTTGAAAGAGGGTCTTTAAATGAAAATCCAAAGATCAAATATGTTTACGTTTTCTAGTACGTTGTCGACTTTCTATTTGCAAACAATGAGATAAATTAAGAATAATTGGAATACACGTTCAAATGAGCTCATATCTGTCATAACAGTTAACTTTAGTTGGCCGTCTTTGCATAATTTCTATTTGCACAATTGAAAGTTATTTGAACGCTTCTGGGACTTATCGTCTAACGGTCACAACGGACAGGCATTTCATATCTGGAAGTTGTAAAACATACAGATGATGATTCATATGGTGGCTGTATTTTTTCTATGTCTGTCTCAGGAATGGAATGATTAAGACGACACACCAGATCCTGATTTCCTGCCGGAGGTAGGGAGCCTTTTTTTTTATCGTTAAGTTATCTTCGTTTCCTGTATCGTATGAATATAGTCGCGTAAGTGAACTAAATGTGTATTTTTTATTCTCATGTCTTCAGATTTTATTTACATTAGAAAAATATACATAAAAAGTTGAAAAAAAAAGAAAAAGGAAGTTGAAGGTGTCTACGATAGACAATTTTAAAAGAAAGAGACTGTCGCTCAATCAAGGAACTGATGACTATTACAAATTGATTAGATTTTCACATTGAAAGGAATATTATAATAAAAGTGTATATAAATGTTGTCTTTTCCTTGAAAAGTCTAATTCCTATCATGCTGACGCCAGTTGTTGTTTTGATTGCGCTGACCATTGCCGCTATAGGAAGACCAGTTGTTTTGCGGTGCGCGATCCTTGCCCCACGATAACTATTAACATATTGCACCATTTTTTTTCAGTTCTTCAGTCCATTCCAGTATATATATCAACATGAATTGTTCTTACCTTAGCATCACGGCCGTTGATATTCATGCCTTGTAAATTGACAATAGCTTCAGCAGCATGTTGATGTGTATCCATTCTACAATAGCAAAATATTATGAGTTAGCAATGGAGAATGAGCTGCCTCCTTTTCGAATACTCACTTAATGAAAGCAATTCCTCTATCAGCTTGTAATTTAATCTCTTGAATATAACCGAATTTTTGGAAGGGTTGCAATAAATCGTTATCGCTCGTATTGGGTGGCAAATTACCAACATAGACACTGGTAACATAAGCAGGTGTTTGTTGAAGAACGATTTCATATGGAAGTTGTTGACCGGGACGAGGAGGGGGAGCATCATTATGGCTTTTCTGAGTAGCCCAATTAACACGAATGCTACGGGAGCCCAATTGTTCACCATTCATAGACGCAATGGCTTGTTCAGCTTCAGACTTTTCGCGGAAAGTAACGAAACCAAAGCCTCTAGAGTTACCAGACATAGAATCTTTCATAACATGGGCATTGCTATTATATACAATGGTAGCTTATGAATATTCCGTTTCTTTTAAGTGTAATTATTCACGTGCATTTCAACATCGTCCTCCATGCTGCAAATAATACTTACATAATATCACCAAAGGTTGCAAAAGCGTGAGTCAAAACTTCATCTGTCACTTCAGGGGCAAGATCACCAATGAAAATTTGGAAGTGCTCGGGTTGTTCTTCTCTGAAGGTTGGTTCTCTGCCACCTTGTTGGGCCCAATTTACTTTGATTTCCTTTAAGTAAGGAAAAGAAATATATAATTTTTTAGCCATGATTTTTTTTTGAGAAAAAAAAAAGGGGGGGGGGGCTTATCACTGTCGTGTCTTGCAAAATTCTTACATAATCTAAAAGCTTGAATCCATTAAGCTCTTGAATAGCTCTATCTGCCGCAAGACGGTCAGCAAATTCAACAAAGCCGTAGTTGACATTAGACTATTATACAAACGTAATTTTTCCATAAGGGCAGGTATAGAAAGGGAAAGGTTAAAACGTGTTGAGCCCATAAAATTAAAGTGGAATCTTGTAAATAGATCCCTATGAACGTACGAAAGGGCCTTGTCTGTGATTCTACGATAAAATTTAGTAAGTATCGATCGGCTGCTCACTGCAAAGTTAAATAAGGCTCGTTTCAAATGAACTTACTTGAATGATCTTGACGTTGGCAACAGTACCCATAGAGGAAAATTGCTCGAGTAACATAACGTCAGTTACTCTATGCGGTGATATTGAAAATATGGTTGGTTCGATTTCTGGAAAGGTACAATAGTGCAACAATTATAAATAGTAAGAAAGCATATGTATACCTTTGATCCAAATTTCCTACATAAATAGCGGCAGCGGACATATTTCTTTAGTTTTGATAAGCTTGGAGAAGAAAGAAGAGGAAGAGCAGAAGGACGTAAAATAAAAATTTGTTAGAATACTGAGATCTTCCATAGTCAGCCTCAAACTTTGAGACTCAAAGAATTTTGATGTTTTTGAGACTCAGAGGTACATGAAGTCTGGCTGCAAGTGTAGATCGTTAATCTTTGCATATCTAAAAACCCTTCTCATTACTGCCCGTCAATTGATTGCACGAAACAATAGCGCACTAAGAAAACTTAAAAGGGAATTTTATTAAGTTATGGCTTGAGAGTGTTTAAGAAATCCTCTATTCATTTGAAAAAGAGAAATACTGACAGCAATACTCTGCTCATAAGTTTACCTTCACTGAGCTGCCTCTTCTTTCAACAATCTTTTAAATATACCAATTGATCCGTATAACGCTGCGCTTCTACTTCCTGATTCGTTTTTCAGCTGCTTTTGCTTCCATATATCTATAAGACTCGTTTCGTCTATTGAAGGAACGGAACTCGTTTCTGTCAGTTCCCATCGAGTCCGATACGTACTCACCAGAAATTCGCGAGCTGGTTCATATACAATACCGGCCTTATACCCTCTTCAGAAAGTGATTATTTTAACGTCTCTGTTCAAAATAAACGAGAAGCAGAAGACGATAGCAATGTCTGTAATGAGGATATCATTTCCAACGCCTGTTGAAGGCTGTTGAATTTCTGATAACGACTGATGGCTCACAATTCTATCAATAATATTACTACTGTGGCTATTACTACTGAACATACTATATCTTACGTAAAAAACTTTTGGATATTTCTTGGGAACGATTCAAAATTGTTATCATAGGGAAGCTGTGTTACATGCATAGCCGATGTCATAGAGTTATAACCGTTTTTCTAAGAGGGCAACAATTCAGGTACTGCAGCCTGTACTAAAACTGCAGGTGAGAACCAATTTTCATGCTCTTGTATAACTGATAAAACTATTACCTCAAATTAAAGGTCTTACAGAGCCATGAATAGCTCTAGTCGAGAGAAATGATATTTCTTTCCAGCAAAACAAGTTCAAAGTTTTAAATACAAATTAAAAAATATTAAGCTGCTGTACACTAAGCTGTTCATTACTTGCCAGACGATTACTTTCATATTGTAGAGCAGAAAGAAATGTCGAGCCAACAATATCTTCTTCTACATCATCCATGCTTGTAAATCACTGCTGCCATAATTGGTTTGAGAAATACTTTATTTCGCAAGTTTTGAGAAGGAACAACGACAGCACGAGCAAAAAATAATTATCTGGTAGGATAACAGAACGGTCTCAAAAGAAAGGATTTTTTTGCACCGATTTGTTCGAAGGAGAGTGCCATTAACGCCAAGGATTGAAAAGGTGTTGCAGAATAAGGCTGTCTGAAGCCAAGCAGAGGAATATGAGAAGACTTTTCTGGAGAGCTACAAGATACCTGCTAAAATTAGGCTCCAAATGAGACGTAAGTTCTCAAGCTGTAACTTCAAAGGTACAGTTTTTTACGTATGAAACACTATCTGAGCTTTTTTTGCGTATCAAAAGTATAAATGAAGAAAATATAAAGGTACTTTGTTGGATTCAACATATAGTCATGAAACCTCCTTGCACCATTACAATTAGCATAAAATAAGCTATTGAATTAACTGGGAAAGTTCTCGATAGAAGCTGCTGCTACAATTACGCTTTCAAACGGCAGTAGATCGTATTTTTGTTTGCATCTATTTAAGCAGACTTCGTTCAATTCTTTTACCATTCCACTATTTTACTCGTGTTGATTTCTAGCCAAAGGAACCCTCTTATCACCATCAATTAATATGGTGATTGTTATATTTCCCAGTAACAACAGCACCTTTTACAATCGTATTTGAACACAGCTGTAAGCCGTTGGTTCCTCAGTTTGCATAAATCCCTTATTGCCTACAAAGATAAATAACGTAAAATTGGATAATTTTATTAAAAGGTATTGTTGTGAGGTATGCGAGCTTCATTGATCTATGAATATAAAATTATTGATGTTGCTGTTGCTTATTTTTTAATTTGATTGCCGAAGAAGATGTCGACATCACCGAAGAATGATAGTGAGTAGAGGATGATGTAGTTACCATATCCAAAAACGCGATTGGGGCAGAGGTTGTTTGGGAGGTATTCAATAATGGAGACGGGAAATTGATGATAGACTTGGGGGAATGAGTAGCAATTGTTGTGCTAACAGAATGCGTCGATATTGATGGAGATGGAGGTGGTTGATTGTTATTGGTACTAGTAGGCTGTAAAGTTAGATGGTTGTGGTCCCGACGAATAGGATGGTTGTGTTCATCCCATTGATCGCGACCGGTACCATTAGCGTATGAAGAGATTGATAACACAGACATAGACGTGGGTTTCGACGTGACTGACGTTGTTAAGATGGCTTGGATAAAGTAGTGGATATTAGGTAACGTATGTCGCAAATCCATAACAATTAAACCATATGCATTCATCATCTACAAATTTATCAAGTTGAAGGATAAACTTTCAGTATCAGCTTTGACAAGCTTCGTACAGCACTCTCACCTACCTGTTCTATATCCTTATTTAGCAAGAAAACACCAAATTCAAATCGATATTTGTCAACTCTCTTAGAGTATAAAGGAAACCTGGAAAAAATACAGTTAAAACAGTGAAATAAAAACCCTTATGCTAAAAGATAGTTCCTTACTCTCTAGAACCAGTAATCAGTGAAACAGGGTCCGTTATAGAGGCTCTTGAGCCCATAGGTTTAATTGGATACCGTAAGGGTATTTCCAAATAATAAGCCAGCATTGACACTAGATGAGCTGTAAATCCAAGAGCAGTAGCAATTCTTTCTTCGTCTTGACCATCAAATACGGAATTGGGTAGATTAAGACCGCGAATTGAAAACTGTTGCGAATCATCAAACGACTTTTTCTTTTTATATAAAAACTATTGGACTCTTTCGTTTTTACTAGCAACTTTTGCAAACATACCTGTTCTATGGGGTATATGGAGAATAAATCTGCAATCAGTTCTTTCTTTCTTCTGTTTAACAAGCGAAAAACGTTCTGCCTCATTTTGCTATTTTCCTCTAAAATACATTCATTCTCTTGAAGTTCTTCCGAATTGATTATACAACGTTTATATGAATCCGCAAGTTTCATCTCAAAATTCGCAAGTCTCTCTTTTTGACTTTGCAACGTTTGTATTTTAGCCTTCAAAGCTTTTTTCTGCTTCATAATCCTTGCTTCTTTCTCAACCAGTTCTGTTCGTCGTTCACTCAACTCTCGTTTCAACTTAAAACCTCTTTCTTCCTCTGTAAGTATTTCTTGAATACTTTCTCTAATTTCATCGGCTGATTTGCGGGTATCAAATATGCATTCCATTAAAGTATTCAGTCTAAAGTCAAGTATGAATGTAAGTCAGCAATCCTAAGACATTACAAGTAGCAACTTGTACGCGTTACTTCATTAGACTATTATAAGTATATGATCTTTTGCTCTAAATTTAAAAACTGGAACAGTTGGCATTTTTACTTTGTTACGGAATTAATGTCAACTGATGAGTACGTACTCTCGAAATTGAGCTTCCCGATCGAATGCTCACATTATCCTGATTCAGATTATCCAATTCAAGCATACTAGTTCTTTGACTCTGGTTCATTATAAGCGTCTTGATAACCGGAGCTGTATAGAATCCATCGTCCAGTTCAAAAATCAAAGTATTTTTGGGAAATGAGAAATGCAAGTCTGAATTCTAGAAAGACATGATAGCGTTACTAGTTAGACCTTGCAAATTTAGCATATAAACATAAATGCCGTAAAAACAATCATTGCAATGGCTGGTACTCAACAGTATACATGCATAATGCAAACAATACATAAACTGCCTTCAAGCAAAAAGTATATCTTACCGAGTTTCCGATCTTTGATAATGCATTCAAATCAAGTTGCCATTCTAGCAATAGCTGAAAATGAAGGGTATCTACAGGCGATTCTGTTGAGATATTATGTACATCCTTTTGATACTGATATCCTAGTACAGGTTCACTATACTGCCCTGCTGTCTCTGGTGTAGCATGTCTTGCGTAAATACGAACTATCAACAAACTCGATGCTGCATCATACCAATTCATCCAATCAAAAGAACAAGGTAAAGATCGGAAAGTTGGGTTCACAGTATTGGGTGTTACTTCACTTTTATAAAACTCAGGAATAATGTTGCCTTCATCATTGTCATCTGTATTGTGAATGCTGACGTGCAGTGTCATAAAGGTGTCCAATAAACTCGAGGAGTGTGTGCGATCGTGCTCCTCTTTATGATCGTCGACCTCTCGTTGTTGAAGGTGATGGCCTTCTTCATCATTTCTTTTTTGATAAGCTCGTCTTAACAGAGAAGAATCTTCCACGACAAAAGCGACAGTATTGATAGAGTTTGCGCTTCCTGATCTCTTTATAGGTGACGTTGAGGAATGCCATAGAGATTGCGTTGACACTGAAGGTTTCGATGATATCTCGTCTCGTCTATATTGCTCTGATAATGATGCAGGAGTAGCTGTATTTTTACTTTCCCAACTTAAATTACGACCTGCAATAGATATGATATGCCTTATTCTTCGCTATTTTGAGTGATGCTATAGAGTTAGGTTGATTGAAGCAAAGTTTCCTCCTTAACGGCTAATTGGTTGAGCTTTTGAGAAATAATGAGATAAAACAGTAAGTATTTACCTGCCTTGGGGCAAACAAAGCTCTTTCAGACATTTGCCAAAGTTTCTGATTCTATTAACTTTGTGGTTGTCTAGAGAATAGGAATATTCCAGATGTAAACAGTTGTAACATGGAAGTAAAACGGAAATCAAGGAAACCGGAATAGAAGCAGAAAACCCGTAAGTATACAGTACCTTCAGCTTCAGATTGAGACAAAATTTTCATTTTTTTGACACAAATTAACGTAGCTATTAGTGTTAGGTTTTACAAATGAATATCACATTGAATTGCTCAACTATTTACTGAATATGTCCAGAAATAAATCACACTTGTTTTGGTTATAACGGCAAAATGAAAAGGATTTAGATATCTAATAATTTAAAAAATGCAAAATTAGCTGAATTTCAAGCTAAAAATACTGTTTAATGGTGTGTTAAAGGCCCCCCTCCCCAAAGCTCAATCACTTGGCTGCTTCTAGGTGTCAACTTCATATAAGCATCTACACAAGGTCGTTCGACCTCAACCGGAATATGGCCTGGCTGTCATAAAATCTGAAAAATCTGTCATTAATCACTTGGAGAAGCTCAAAACGCTCAACCTAAAAAAAACCGTAATGGTTCGTCTCACTCCGTCAGTAGTCATCATGCGCCATCTACTGAAGTTACTTAGTATGCAGAAGCGTCCCTATATTCTTCAAGCCGATTTTATGCTTCAGCACCCAACGCTTCCTGATAATGCTCTGCTAAAGCGTCTTCTTCCTCAAATATTCCCATCTTGATAGTAGATCTCTCTGGTTCCAAATATCTTCGTTTAAATTCAATTTGGAACAGACAACCGCCGATTAATGATAGTAAACTTTGCGTGCAACCATCACAGCGTCAAGGCATTCTGATAGCCTTAAACTCGGCGACACCTTCCAAATTGATCAAGCTGTACCGACCAACAATCAGTCTTGACCCCATTTTTTGGCTTCCGATGACGTTCAGTGAGCGTAGCCGCTGCCTCAAACAACTACTCCGGTCAATGCCCGACGAAATCGACATGTACCTCACAAAAGATCATGCCTTCAAATGTTTGAAAATGTACAACCATCTCCAGCTTTAACTCACCATTTCTGCCCCATTTCTCACCTGTTGAACAGCGTTGCAGCACAGCATGGCCCATCATGCAACTCTTACTGCATGAGAAAACGTCCCCTCTACCGTCAGACACTTAGGGCAGCTCCTCTAGATTAACTTTTGCGCCTCCAACAATCAATCGACGATAGTCCCCTGGTTAGGTGATGATTCCTTATCTTTTTTCCCTTTTTACTTTCGGAACTGCTCAGGGCAATTTGAATATAATTTTTCTGTGTGCCCACTGGGTTAAAAGTAATATTGTCATTAAAATTCAATTACAAATGCTTAAGTTCTTTTCATGCACTATGCAACGAAGCCTGTTCTTGCTCGTTTGATATGGAAAACGTTACTTTCGGAGCATAAATACTGTACATCAATGCTTCTTTTTGAAAAAGCAATAAAGAGGTCGGTTTAATGGTTTTCAGGTTCTACAGGTAAGAAACAACTATATTTGATATGTGTAATCAAAGTACAGTAGAAAAAAAAAAGACGGGTTCTTATATTACAATTGCTTTTGGGAAGTGCGGTTACTTAAAAGGGAGGTGGCCAGGCGGTACTTCTTTGATTATTTTGATTCCATTCGTTCCATTCAGTCCAATCCATGGAGCTGGGTATACCAAAGAAAGGATTGTTCGGGTTATTTCTGAATAATCCCTCGCTATTACTGTTATTTAGAATAGGATAAGACTGAATTGGAGGTGTATTGGTATTGGTAGTGTTCGTAGTTGTATTACTGGCTGCGTCCGATGGATTTGCAGATAGGTAATTTGTTAAAGATTGAGGCTGTTGCTGTGTTGATGGAGCAGAAGTATTAAGAGATTGCTGCTGTAAGGGTATGTTTTCAAATTGTTGATTTAGCATATTGGGCAATGGCGGTAGTGCGTCCATTTGAGAGAAAGCAGACACATCTTGCATAGTATAATCAAGTTGATTGGGATCACCGATCATACTATTGAATCCGAATTGCTTCAAACTGAAGGCTTCAGCCATAAAGGTAGGTGATGGTGCCGATGTTTGAGATACTAAAATCCAAAAGAAAAAAAAAGATAAGAATTCTGCTAAGCATCTGGACAAATGATTCGATATCTCAAGTTAACATACGTAATCTATCCATATTAGGAGGAGCAATAACTTCGGAAATGTATTGAGGAAGTTGACTAATATTATACAGTTCTTTTGGGGATTTGACAATCACAGATGAAGCCTTTCCAGGTGGAGGCGGTAACATGGTTTGTTGTTGGTGTTGCTGCGACGGACTTTGCATTTGTCTCAAAGAGCCGCGCCCCACATCCGAGGTATGAGCTGGAATTTGCATAGCATCCAAACTATTATCTCTTGATCGATTACTGACGCTGGTTGAATCATCCATATCAGATGCTGGAACTGATACTTCAATCTCATTGTTGTTCATAATAGTTTTCAATAATTGATGAAGTCGTCGTGCTGTGCTTGACATTATCTTCAGGCGGGAAATGGCTGTCATACCTTTAACAAGATCAGCTTTGGCTGATGCAGAAAGCCGTTTATCAGGGTTTTTAGTATTATATATAAGAATAAGGCAGCATTGCAATACTGGGTATAAACTAAAAGAATAGGGGAACATTAGAAAGTCTCGATTGGATAGTTGTGATGCAATGCGGATCCCACGTATGGCAGCACTGGTACCAATTCTAAAGGAAGAATAAGAAACGCGTGCTTTTTGACCGCTAGCAGATGCTTCTATAAACGGTCTATGAAGTAAAATAAGTAAGCTAAAATAGCACAACAAAACAGCGCCTGTTGTGCAATTCATGTTTGTAAGAGAAAGCTGATTTGTCACTCGTGGCAAGAAATCTAGCAACACAAACCTGTTACAGGCGCCAAGTATCCTTTCTTCTCATCAAAATCCTCGAAATTAGCCTTCTTTAATGCTTCTGGGAAGCCGAAACGCCATTCTGTTAACTCATGATCCAGCTGTGTTACAATGGCATCACTTCCCTGCTGTAGGCCTATTTTTTTCGCCTTAGGTGTATAAAGACCTTGAAGAATTCTGCCTAGAATCTCTGCTAATTTGATTAACTCCAAAAATAATTGATAAATCTTAACATTGCCAGCGGTTTGACTCGGCCTACACATGGCTGAAGGGAATCGAGGCTCTGTGTCTGAAAGATCGAGAGATATGTCGTCGTCGTCAGGTTCATCTAAAATCTCCTTCCAACTAGCTGAAGCATCGGGGTATCCCACATCGTTATCCTATAATAATTGTTTTCAATTTAATGAAGAGTGCAGTGTTAATTGCTGGACGAAAGATATACGAATTTCCAGCATTACCTCATCTCTAATAGTGATTGGTCTTCCTAATGATGCTGAATGAAATCTGTCTGCTACATACAATGACCACCAGATTCTTTTCCGGGTCTGTTTCTCACTTTCAGGAATATCCCACTCCTCACAATCACGATTCAAACCTAAACCTTGTGCTAAGCGAATAGCATGACCACCCAGTAGCCAACATGCCGATGATTTAGAATCCAGGTTACCACTATGATTATGAATTAATATGGTTGCTTGCACTTTAGAAATAGTGGGTGTGGAAGCTGAATGAGAAATGATCATTTGAGCCTGTTCGAAAAATTGGTCAGACCAACCGATGGGTACATCCCATACGGAATCCGGCAACCGGTTGGATTTCGATTTTTGAGTTAATGCTTCGCATTCTACGAATCGAGCAGCTGCACCGAACATGGCATTAAGCAGATCTGAAGGAGGATAGGTGTCGGCTTTATCTCGGTATTGTTGAAGAAATCGAGTTTTGTTGACGACTGGTAAAACTGGATGAATATTAGCAAAATATCTAAAAAAGCGTTTTAGGTAAAGTCATATACGAGCTATGAGTGTCTTTAAATAGTTCGCATGTAATTTACATTTTCAACAATCGATCACTTGTATGTCTATCAACGCCAGTAACGGAATAGATCCAATAGTGTATTGATTTGATATGAGGTAATAGTTGAGCTTGTGGTATATCCACATTTTCATCTTCATCTTTACCGTCATCAACAAGCACCACTTGTTTGCCGAACTTTCTAATATGTTGCCCTTTCCACGTATCATTCTTTTCATTCAAGTGCATCTTATGAGAGAAAAATTGAAAGCTGGACATATCACCCAAATACTGCACTTTGTCGTAAGATGTTCCTTGCTGTCGTTTGTTACTGGTATTTGTTCCTGAAGAAAGTAATGAGTTGCTTCTGGTGGGCGCTGGTGAAGGTGACTGAGTTCTACGAAAAGGTAGCTGTTGTTCAGTTATTGCCATTGATGCTGGGCTATTTAAGGTCTCTTCAATTTTTTTGATCCTCTTTTCTAACGCGTCAATATAACTATATATCAAACGTAGAACAACTTGAGTAAATGGCAGAGAACACGAAAATCTATATTTGTCCAATTTACCCTTTTGGAGGACCCCGTTTTTTTGCACTATATTACAAAAAGGCTTGTAAGCGAAATATTCTTTTAATTTTATTTTTCTTAGTTCTCTTGTTATCTTACCCATCGTTGAATTCGCAATTGATACCGAGTGCCACACAGTTTGAGCAAGGTTGTCCAGGCTCAAAGTAACATTTCACTTTTTTCTTTCTACAGTAATCGCTAGGTTAAATCCGATGAAAAGTCGTTAACGATCAAAATGCACGGACAATATTTGAAATGTTTACGTTACCATGCTCTGGTAATTCGTACACGCTTTTTCCCCGCTCCCGTATTCATTGCTGAGTCAGGAGGTTCAGAAGGAGAGCGCGAATCTACCGAACGCTGTCGTTTGAAGTTATCATTCATGTCGGCACACAGCTTTTAATCAGTAGAGTTATAAAATTGTATATGTAAGGGAAAAAAGATAATGATTGCCCGGTAAAGAACCATGGAATTTTTTACCCCGCCCGATCGGCAATACCTGGCTAAACTTAATCTCCGAACCAAAACAAAAATTGTCTCAAAATCATTTCGAGTAAAAAAAACCTCACGTAATAACATCAGATAACGAGAATGCTCAAAAGCTCGCAAAGGAAGTTCATTGCAATCCATACAGTCAATCTTCTTGTGACTTGAGCGACATATTTTATCTCCCATAATCTTAATTCACAGCATCTTTTCTCAAGTATACCTATCCTTACTAAGCAAACTATGGTACTAAGCTTTCACTTGGTAGAAATAAATATCTCTAAAGTAAAGAGTGTTGCCTCGTTTATTGCAACCTTTTTAGTCATACAGAATCCCGTTTTTGATAATGCATTTTTTAGATAGCGTGCAAAAAATTAAATTGATCCGCTCCAACAGATTCTCCTCATATTCTTACTTATGTTAGGTTCTAACCGGAATTTCCTGCCATATTGACGTTAGCTAAGAAGCTTTATTATTTGGCTTGTTTGTGTAAGTTCTCGTAAAAATTGTCCAACGTCTTCGATTTGAACATATTAAGCTGTTGGTGATCCAAAAAAATTGAAAAATTACCGTTATTATATAATTGATCTAATCTATATTCTTTGGTTAAGGCATCTGGCTCTATAATCCTATCCTGTCTAGGCATCAACCTGTAGATGAATTTACTTTCGTAACTATCGTTGTATTTAAAAGAATAGCACTTCTCTGCTGCTTCATTAAATTTGATATTTGTGTCTGTTTTCTTTTCAATGTTGATGTCTTTGAAACGCAAGCCAACTGAAACGGCTTTGTCCACCATCCACTGCAATGCTTGGTATGAAATGATATTACCACACTTTGGAGAATCATCATCATCGTCTTGGCCGCCACCTACATCTGTATGCATCCCTGGAAACCAAACTTGTTCCAAATATTGGTGCTTTCTCGTTTTTTCGACAATTGAAGAAGAAGAATCAGTATTATCGTCATCTGAAAAGCTCATGAGAGTAGGACGAAACCAAGCACGTTGGTCATGTATGGCTATTGCATGAAATGCGTTAATTACATTAGGTGGTAAGCGTAAGTCATGGAAGCCGTACAACCTGAAGGACATACGATTAACTACATGCGAATATTTGACAATGAACGATTAGTTGGTTTTTTTTTTCGCTGTTGTATAATATAGGATGTATTTACATAATGATCCACCAAGATACCAGGGCAGTTTTGGGATACCTAGCGCTCCCACTGTATCAAAGCAGCCTAGAAATTGTATAGTAGGTACTATACATTGGTTATCCTTTCGAAACTTGGTGGCTATCTTTTTAGTTGGGTAACTATTAGTAGATCCGTCGCGATATATTTGGAATGCTCGTTTGGCTTTGTTGGACACTTTTGAACTTGGTAGCAATCCAACATTGTTTATCATCCCTGAAAGGCTTCTAGCTGCAAACGCTGAATAAATAATATTCGATTGAATAGAATAATTAATAATCAAAGGAACAGCGACATTGCAGAGAATGATGAGAATTTCGAATACTACCTCCTCGACTGAAGCCTAGAAGCCATATTTCATCCTTTTCATCGCGGTAAGCGTTACAAATATATTGATAAGCGGTTACAATCTGCTTGCTAATACCGTAGCCAAAAAGACCACCCATCAAAGGGTGTCTCCAATGAGTTCCTAAACCAGAGTAATATTGTGCAGAATGTTCCCATTCATCTGTTTGCGTTGTATCTATACGATTGAAAAATTTGTAGACATTTGTTTTTTCTACAACAATAAAAGACAAAATTTTTGCTTGGTTTTGGTTTTTATAATGTCGCCTTAGAACAAACACGAAGAAGAACGTACCCTCTGGCGTTTCCCAAGTTCCATCCAAACAAACAATAATTCTTCTTCGTCTCATTTTATGCTCATTCGCGTATATCTGATTAGAATTCATAGGTTTCTCAGCTTCTATTCAGTAACTAAAAATTGCACAAAAAAACCAATACTTTCTAGATACTGATTCACTTATCCTCCTTCCTTTTATACTTGCACCGAAATGTGAACAGGACGATTTTAATGATTTCTGATATAGTATCTAAGAAACGAAATCGTAGTCTCGAGAACTTTATGCCAGTCATTTGAAGTTACAGCGTGCCTAGCAATGATCTCATAAAGGACTGTATATATTATGAAACTTAGGTACACAGCATGGTTACACATTCAATGCTGATATTGTACAACAACTATCATGTCAACGGTTGCATAAAAATTTCTCTTGTAAATAATGGTATGGGTCAAAAGTGTGCTTTTTGCCTGCCCCCATCTTCTATTGCAATCTGAATTGAAAAATCGAAGAGAGTAAAAGTCTCCTACGGTCACGGATTTTTGTTGATGAACGCTCAAACTCGCACAAGATGAGGTAATTTTTGTTTTTGGGAGTATAAGCCGCGAGAGAAGCTTTTAATTAGCGCATCATCGTTTGAATTGGAACATTAAGATTGCACATGTCCACAGAACTTGTTGTTCTTCGTCTCAAGCTTCAATGGGGCGCCAAAGCCTTCATGCATTGGATAATCAGAAGGAGAATGACTATATAGAGTAGATACTTGATCGATGAGAGACACGGACGAAGCTAGTAAAATTGAAACGCTACAGATGGGTTTTTCGTTTGTTAAGGTTGACTTTGACATATTTCATCGAGATTCTGCCAGAATTACCAACCTACAATATTTGTGGCTTAACATCAACAAGTTGGAGCTTGTGATCAATCTCATAAGAGATACTAATTCAATGCACGATATGAAACCATTAAGGATTGAGTTGTACAGTTGCACTATGCTTGACAATTTTGGATCAATGGTTATAATAAAGAGTTAATTGACTGCCTGTGACATATGTACAAGAACTGGTGGCAATAACATCTCATCACTGCCGAAGACATATAGGACAGCTCCATTCTGCTACTTAATACTTGCAATGTGTAAATCTTGCCGTATTGAATGTCTTATTTCTTAATGTAGGTGGATTTTGACATGGTAATCTTAATATTGTTTTCTGAAGTCAAATTTGAAAGCCAAAATTATGTAAAAAGCCAAATTGTATCTTAACTTTTGTTCAATACTCTTTATAAATGACACATGATCATTTCTGCAATTTATCGAGCGGTTCAGAGTATTGTTAATTCATTTTTTCATCTTGTACTAAAAATTTGACCTACTAAGTCCAATAGATTGGTTGTGACAGGATCAAGCACGTTTGACGATGTCCGAGTTTGTGTAAGCTTAAAGGTGAATGGTCGCTATACACTACGAAGCATAACCATGATAACAAAAAGAAGATACACTTGTGATATAAAACAATTTTTAGAATGACATACAATGTAAGGGAAGTAACGCTTCTATACCAGCTAAGTCTCCAAAGATGACATCTTGACATTAACCTGGAACACGCCAGTTGAATCGTTTATTTGTTAATTTTAAACAGAGAAATCAAGATTACGGAAGCTATAATCGAAGGATTTTTACTAAGCAGCTGACTTCAAACAAGCTGATTCCAATGACAGCTGATAAAAAGAATAATACTTTTTTTTTTTTTTTTTTTGTATGTACATTCACCATTTACAGATAAATTGCATAGTCTAAACTGCAGCTGGAATCCTATGGCATTTAGTTACATAACTAACCTCATTACGTATATACTATTTTCCTCATCGAAAACATGACATTTATAATGGCTAACTAACCCTCTTTGTCTTTCTAAGAAAAACAAGGTCACTATATCAGAAGTTTAGTAATGAACGCTATAAGAAGTTGAGGAGATAAGCGCTTAATCATAACTGAGCATATGTTGATTATCCGATAAGGCACGTACTGACTCTTGCTTCATGCAAAAATATCGTTACAGCAACGACGGATGAAGTGCTGGAAGAGTGCATTCAATATGTTATGCTTACAACTTAGTAGTATGTTAATTCGTTATTAAAATTTAGTAAAGAGCCAGTATTTCGCTATTAGAGCTGACCATGGACGAGTCTATTGACTTCACATATAGCTGGTTTTTAGTATTTTTATCAGCGCCGTTTCGGTCGCCTTCCATTTCTTATGGGCTACTAATATCCATAAAGTAACTAAAATTTAATTGAAGACGCTTGTCAGAGTTTCGAATACGTAATTCTCTAGGTTGCGAATATTGTGACGAAGGATAGGGTGAGTAGCACTGTCGGATGCCATCAATCATGATCGATGGTTGTGGTAAGAATGCAAGGCAATTGGTTGCAAGACGGTTGGATGGGGAAAATCTTGGTCCAACCAGTGGCGACATAAAGGGATGTGCAATTGAATGATGCTGTGGTGGCTCAGGCCCTATAGCGCTAAATCGATAAGTGGATGACTGGTGCTTTAGGTTTGATTTTTGTCTTTCAGAAGTGACAATAGCGGTTTTTTTTAGTGAACCAAGGCGAGCATATCATTGATAGGTACGTCTGCTGTTTTCGCCATAGGTATATTGTATCCTAAGTCGAAGCTGTGGTTATGATCGTGATCAATTTGATTGAAAAAGGCGCGATTTTGCTCAGCTAATTTATACTGCCTCACAGCATCTTATGAAAGTAAGCTGATTTTTATAACTAGAGCAATACATAGCGAATCCTTTCGCGTGTGCGAAGACAGTTGATGGAGTAACAGTGCTACTGAAACCTGTCCAGGGTAACACACCCGATTGTAAAGTATTATAAATTATAATTGCAATAATGATAAATACGTTTATAAGACACATAATTCGACCTATCAATAAATTTTTGTGTCTGTGTATGAGTCTAATAATCAACAGCGTCATAACTGACATAGAGGACACAATGGTACCTACATTGATAGTATGTACTAAGGAGTTGGAAAAGTTCGAAGGTAACAAGTCTATTTCTTTACTTCTTCTGTTATTTACTTCACAAGCACATACCTCGATCATCAACCAACCGAGTTTTTGACTGATCTTACAAGATGGGCTGAGCTAAATATGCATTGGATGATATTAGTTGAAAATACAAGGCATTCACGCGTCCCAAAAGCCTACAGTTACCTAAATGGCATCCTAATGTAATTAAACTCAGCACTAAGGTCAGTAATTTTGAAATAAGCAAATTCAGTACTTTGTTGTTCATTTTGAACGATGGAAGAGTCAATATATCGGGGAAAAGAGGAAGAAAACTGTTTGTATTTATATACTTTTAGTTATTTCTTTCTTCATAACGAAATCGGATTTACATTTTAAAAATCATTTTATTAAATAAGAGATTCAAAATACACTAAGTTCCAGATCACAGCTAATTCACCTATCGTCTGTAATAGTCAGTCTGCATACTCGCTCTTTGACTTAATATCAGTACGGCTGAAAAAGTAGACCTGACAAAGTAACTCTAACTGCCCTGTCCCTTGCGAAATGCAAGGCTTACACTCGATGGCGAAGCTTCATCAAATGCAACGCGACTTTTAATACAGCTTCAAATAATGTCAACGGGAAGTAACATATTCTCATTATTTAAACGGAGTTAACTTCAATTTAATGCGTTGATCGAATTAAATGAAAGGCCCATATTATTGCGATAAGCAAAACTGTCCAAACAACAAACTGATGTTTTAAGAATAGCAAAGTACTGTTTAAGAATCAATGTATACAATCTGAAGGTACAATATTTGTAGAAAAATGGCGTAGATTTTCGAACCATACGTCCGGTTCACAATCTTGAAAGGTACGGACTTTCAAACCGTCAAGATAGAAAAGTAAGGAAATGCATTTTTTACACTGCTCTCTCGTTCTTTTTTTATGAACCTTTCCAAAGACGTATAGATACGACTACAGAAAAGTTTGAAGGATATCAGTCTCAAAGCATACTCTATTAAGCATTTATTTAATTTGATATAAAAGTTTGGAATCTCACTTTATTCAACAACTTGTATTCAGCATTTTCAAGCCGCTATTTTCATCTTGAGTAGAACAAACTCTTTGTCAAGTCAAAATAGGCTCCCAAAACCATATCTACATTAACGTATTAATGACAACAGAAAATATACCAGCAAGCAATAACCATATTGCTAAAGAAAAAGATGAGCAGCAGTTATGTAAAACAAGTTCAACAATTTCATCACAATATGGAATCAAATCCGAATTGTCATGGCGACAAGTGGTTAATGCAGAAATTACTGGTAAGCTTTTGGTTTATTCACTATTAACCAATATTCGGTGCTCAATTAGTTGACATTTTTAATGATAAAAAGCTGTGACAAGTGCTATGCGCAAAAATGCACGCTGGTCTGGTATGGGCGTAAGTGGTTTAAGAATGGGACGTTTAGGCAATAGTATGGGTTTAAGAAGTGCACAATCACATATGAAAGACTCAAATACGAAGAAGGTAATATAAGTGGGTTAAAATACAGTTTGAATGATAGTAGGTATTAATGCTTGCATTTATTTCTTAGGAAAATCCTTTAATGCAAGGATTTATGACATTAAGAGCTTATATGGATACAGTAACCGGTAAGAAAGACACGAATCACTCTCGATGGATATTTGAATTGAACAAGGCATGGACGATTCCGACAGTCTAAAAACTTACGTCTGTATATGTACGTTAGATATACAGGATTTGGATGCTGTTAATTTAGTTCAGCCTTTCCTTGAAGTTATTCGATCAGGAAGTACGACTGGCCCAATAGCTGGAACTGCATTAGGCAGTCTTGAAAAGTTTATAAATTATGGCATCATAGGTATTAATCAATGTTCACAGAGAAAGGATGACCGCAGTTACCAATAATACGTCCTTTTTGGCTTTTTGATTTTTAGGCGTACAGAATCCTCGTGTCTCATCAGCTATGAACGCTTTGTCTTCAGCAGCTACACATTGTAAATTCGAGGCTTCAGATATAGCATCTGATGAACTCGTTTTATTACGTATGTTACAAGTCCTTGAAGTAGCCATCACGAGTGAGGCTGGGCAAGTGTTGAGTGACGAAGCAGTATGTGAAATGATGGAGACTGGCTTGAGCATGTGCTGTCAGATGCGATTAAGCGGTAAGTAACGAATAAAAATCTATATTAAACTATTCAATATTGATGAGCTTTTCAAAGAAATGCTGAGGCGATCTGCTGAACATGTGATGGTCAATATGGTCATTGCTATATTTGAGAGGTATTGTTCTACTTTCTATTAGAGGAAACGATGTAGTATGACTAAAATTCATTATCTTTTAGACTGAAAAGTTTGGAAGTCGACGATTGGCAATTTATCGATACACCTGAGGAAGGCGAGAACGCAACAGTTGATCCTCATATGAATACCCCGAAATCTACCCCTTCACCAACCCTAAAAAACACAGCAAATGACGTTACAGAGGACGGCTCACTAATCAAAGGAAGTACAGAATCAGTTCAGAAGGAAGAAACAGCTGAAAAAACAGCTGAAGAAATAGAAAAAGATACAGGTGAGAAATGCCATACTTCATCAACTAAACAGGAAGCTACAATTACGAAGAAAAGCTCAATTGGAGAAGAAGATGTAACAGATAACGCAGAAAATATGAATAGTACAGTCGATATTTCTACTACCAAAGCAAAAGAGGGCAACAGCTTTTCGTTACCAATAACTGAGGAACCTACCACAGTCGCAAAATCACCAACCAGCACAGACGAAGAGCCTTATAACGCAAAGGCCATCTCACAAACCTTTGATGAGCCGTCTGTGGAAGGAGAATTGAGCCTAATCACTGATCCGTCAAATTTGAAACCATATGGGCTTCCAGCGATCCGCGAATTACTCCGCGTATTGATATCTCTGTTAAACCCTCACGAGCATAAGCACACAGATTCAATGCGTTTCATGTCGCTTAGTATACTCAATGTTGCATTTGAAGTTGGAGGCAAAAGTATAGCCAGATTTGAATCACTTCGACAGCTTATTACTGACGAATTTTGCAAATATGTATTTCAACTCGCCAAATCGGATTCCACATCACTCTTATCTCTCTCTCTGCGTGCTATCTCTACAGTATTTGAGACAATGAGAGCCCACCTGAAGTTGCAGCAAGAATTGTTTATATTCTTTTTAATAGAACGTTTATCGCCACCCACAGGTGCTGGAAGCCGAAATGTGACAGTGGATGTGGATGAAAATGGAAATATAAGTTTTGTCTCATTGTCAGCAATCAACGCCAACAACAACAGCAGTGGAGATACAGACGAGAATAGCAACAGTGGTTCCAATACTTCAACCATCAACACAAGAAGCTCATCACCTAATATGTTTTTGGGCAAGTCCACAGATTATCCGCGGGCTACAAAAAACTATTCAACCTCAGAACATTTGGCTATTACAAGCGAAGTTCGCGAACTCTTGTTGGATTGTCTTGTGCAATTTGCTCGTAGGCCTACTTTTATGATCGATTTGTGGTATAATTACGACTGTGATTTGTCATGTGGCGACCTATTCGAAGAATTGATACACTTTTTGAGTAAAAATTCATTCCCTGATCATCAGAATTATTCTTCACCAATGAGTGTACATGCGCTTTGTTTCGATACCATTCTGACTTTCATTGGACAAATGGTTGAAAGGATAGATGACGAGGTACTATATGATAAAAGTAAAGACATATTAAATCACCTTTCACTAATCAAAGTAATTTAAATTACAGACCTTGGACGAAGAAGACTATGTTGTATGTGTAAGAACTTGTTTAAAAACTTAGAGAGAAGTATAAAGCATACTGATAATGAGATTTTGTCTCCATATTAGGAATTGCGATCATTACACGATTTGCAAGAGAACAAAACAATAAAACGCTTAGTATTGAAAGGCTCAAGACTCTTCAATGAGTCACCAAAGAAGGGTATCCAATATTTAGTAGAGAATAACATTATTGAAAAAGATGATAATGGAGACATCAACACTAGTCTTTCCACTTTCCTACGATCAACACAGCAATTAGACAAGAAAGCTTTAGGTGAATATTTGGGACGGCCTGAAAATTTTGATACACTGAAAGTGTACATGCATCAATTTGATTTTACAGGAAAACGTATGGACGAGGCATTGCGTATGATATTGGAGACCTTCCGTTTGCCTGGCGAATCACAACAGATCGCGCGTGTAACGGAATCATTTGCTGCAGCGTACTTTGAAACAGCGCCTAAAGAAATCGAAACTATCCTCGCAGCTGAAGTATTGGCCTACTCAATTATTATGTTGAATGTCGACCAACATAGTCCTCAAATTAGACGTCAATCCAGAATGTCTCTCGAACAGTATATACGTAATGTAAGCGATGTTAATAACGGAAAAGATTTCCCTAAAGAATATCTTGTTGCAATTTATGAAGCCATTCAACAGAACGAAATCTTAATGCCAGAAGAACACGAAGGCCTATTGGGCTTCAACTATGCCTGGAAGCAATTACAGCATCGATCAACATTATGCGGTAAATTTGTTGAATGCGCTACATCCACTTTTGATAGAGCGGTATTCGAGCTATCTTGGAAACCGGTGGTTACCTCCATCGTTTACGTATTCAGCACAGCACAAGATGACGATACTTTACAAAAAGCTATCACAGGTTTCCGACATTGTGCCACTTTAGCAGCACGTTTTGAACTGTACGATGTATTTGACAGTATCGTCGTAAATTTAGCCATGATGACGGGATTGTTAGAGCAAGCCAACGGGAATACCTCAGTACCTGATCCCATCGTTGATGTCGCCGGGCAGAAATACACTGTAAGTAAGCTAGCTGTCCGGTTTGGCCGCAATTATAAAGGGCAATTAGCAGCAGTTGTTTTATTTGCAATTGTTACGCGTCATGGAGATTCATTACGTAAAGGGTGGACCAAGATCTTGCAGATCATACGTAATTTGTTTCTAAATTCCTTATTACCCAGCTCCATGTTACAAGTAGAAGACTTCCTTTCAGGTACCACGACCATCCCATTGAAACCTAAAACACCCAAACCCATAAAACAAGCCAATCGTCGTGATGGCTCTTTATTATCTACACTTTCCTCTTATTTACTGTCACCTTATTCGAGTGATGAATCTTATTATCGCGATCCAACAGAAGAGGAGGTCGAAAGCACAATGTGCGCTGTTGATTGTGTCGCCGCATGCAAGCTAGAGGACTTATTCTCAGATATCACAACATTACAAACCGATACTCTAAAATCACTGATGACAGCCATCCGGTCCGTGGGCTATGATTCCGAGCCAATGAAAAAGGCTACAATTACTGTTCCGTATGATCCAGCTACTGTATTGTTCTTAGAATTCATGGTTACAATCACAGTACGCAACGCAGACAGGATACAAGAGATATGGTAATATAAGCTCAATGCTTAAAATAAATGGGCATACAAGTGATGTACTCCATAAACTAACCATTGCTCTTTGTTTAGGCCCTTTGCCACTGAGTATATATACGGTATCCTAGAATATGCAGAAAAACAAAGTGTGTTAGTGGTAGAAAGGACAGTAGTCGGCCTTTTAAGGATTTGTATTTGTAGCGCATCAAGAAATGTTATGTTGGACGAAATTGTAAAATCTCTGCAGATTCTTCGCGATTTTCCTCCAACTGTTACTCAAGCGGTAGCAGAGCAAATGATGGCTGGTATTTTCAACCTATCATCAGCAAATTCTGAGAACAGAAAGTAAGTTTGGGTATAACCTTGTATAAAGTCAAAAAAATAAAAAAAATAATACATTTGCTAATGCCAATCTTTTTCCATTCTTTTCCGAATTAGTGATACCGAATTCTTAAATACAATTTTGGAAATCAAGCAGAAGGTTGCTAACTCTTTATAATTTCTTCGAATTACATACAATATTATCTATTTTCTTAACTTTTAGAGCATTTTTCTGCATGCATCATTACACGAATACTTCCATGCTTTATACATAATTAAATAGTCATCGTCCCTTTTTCGTTTACTATTCCCGTGAATGCGTCCAATCCTTCACAAGTAAGGAAACTGTGCGTATTAAGTCTGCTATATAGCAATAGGCATTCGAGCCAAAAAAAGCTGCTGCACAAACATATCCACATTGGTTCGGTAAGCAACGTTCCTTCACAGATCTTCAATCCTGACAGCATTGTATTTTTTCATCGTATAGTTCATTTTAGGGAAACGAGAAACATCGACTACTTTTAAGGATTACGTTAATAACAGACTCTGATTATCGTTTAACTCGAGCAGGTCGCTCTATAAGTATTCTGACGTGAGCAGTTTCAATTTTTGTTGATTTGGTTTGCAAATTAGCAATCAAAAAGATCAGCAACCCATGCTTCTTAAGATTTGGTTTGTAACGGATCGATTATAAATCACGTTACATTTATTAATTATAAGAGCTTCCGGTTTAACATATTTCAGGGTGCTGTGCGCACAACGGGTGAGCGGAATAACGCTATGTGGGTCAGACGCGTTACAGCATCCTGATGCACTGCATGGCAAAAAGATCAGCATCCTGCTTCTTGTGCCATAAATCTGTTACACAGCGGTATGTGCAAAATTCATGTTAAATGATGATGGATTGTTTTGACGGTATGCTTTTAAAGCATTGTATTTATTGTTACATTACACACATACAAGGCAATCATTAAAGAAAAGGGATGTTAAATATAGTGCTATCAAATTGAATGAAATGGAATACAAAAGACATACAATGAAAATAAAAATGTCTATGTCTATCAAAATAAATTCTGTGCGGATTTAGATAAGTTGGGCAGCAGCTATAAACAAGCTAGCAAGTAATGCAAAGGAGCCTGCGGATGAGATTAATTTAGATGATCCACTAGTAACATTACTAGTGGAGGCAGCAGTGCCATTGTTGGATGTACCAGCAGAGGTGCTGTTGCTGTTGCTGTTGGGCTTGTTGGGAGTAGCAATACTCGTTAATTGACAATCAGCACTGGTACATAAACAAGTGTTTCCGACAGGATCCCACCAAGTAGTGCTATATAATAGACATGAAGTGAGCGATAAGTATATCGGATTCTTATATACTGGGACAATTTCTTCAACTTGCTATGCAGTAACTTACTCGCAGGTATCAGGAATGGGGTAGCGATAACCAGTGGTACCATTTTGGACCGAGGAAGCGGGTGTAGGGTTATCTAGTGTAGGAGCAGTGCTGGGACAATTGAAGCAAGTCTTGGTGGATGAATTTCCGAAATTACAACTATATAATGTGGTTATTAGATTTTATGCATTATAAGAAGACTTCACTGCTCTAGAAAATTCATGACTTTCACTGCCAAGAAATCTTATGTTCGTTTAATTACCTTTGGACCAAATTATCATCAATAGTACCGTTGTGATCATCATCGAGACCATTACAAATTTCTTTGGAGATTACAGGTTGTTTACATTGCATGTATGTTTGGTTGCCAAGCTCGGAAGCCTTGACAGGATTCTTCATGTATTCCAAAAGTTGCTGGTTGGTAACGAACCAAACATTAGGCTTGGAGGCAATCTCTTGGATGAATTCCAAGACGCCATTAAGCATATCGGAAGGATCAGGAAGACCAGGATAAGTGGTTAAGTGTGCTATCATCAAGAAGAAATTTGCCCACAGATTTTAGTAACGCATTATTAAGCTAAGGAAGAAGCTTATCAGCGAGATCACTGCTATTACTTACTGGGATGAACGTAGATACCAAAAGGTTGGCGATTGCCGTTGTAATGCTTATCAAAAGCGGTTTGACTCCCTATAATTATCAATTTCATTCGAATCGTTGGTATCTAAAAAGTTATTAAAGATCTTAGTAAAAAATGGTGTACCTACATGTCTTTACATCAGCAGGAGAACCGGCAAGATAAACATCCATAAGTTGAGGAGTACCGGCCTTATCAAGAACAGAATACATTGGGATTTCCCAAAGACCAGGTAATTTTATTTCCCCAGCAGCACAAATGCCTGTCCAGCAATCATTAGCCATACCGTTATCAAGAGTATAGGGCCAATAAGCGTCGTCTGTCACAGCGCTGGAACTTGAATCGTACAAGAAACCTTGTTGGCTAATAATATTCAAGGTATCCTTAGTGTAATTTAAAAATGGTGCGCGGAAACCTTGAATCTTGCTATTAGGGATGCCACCGTAGGTGTTCAGCATTGACTTACAGGCAGAGATTTCTTGCGCTGAAGGTGTGCCAACATGAGAGAAAGTATGACTATATAGCAGAAGTAAATAGTACAAAGTGTAAGTTTATACTCATGCCAGTAAATTGACATGTTTATTAAAGACAAGTAATACTTACTCGGCTACTTCATTTCCGGCAGCATACCATTGTTGAACTAATGAAAAGTCGGTATATGCCATCGAGATAAACCTAAGATGTGTATGAAACACTACATGTCAAAGGCTTTCTTTTCCAGGTAATAGATCCCAAAAATAGCAGCGAGGATCTTAAAAAAATATATTTACCAGGTTCCGTGACCAGGACAACCATTTGGATTGCTGCAATCGGTAAAAGAAAATTGGGAGTTAAAAATAGCAATTCGTCTTCGGGTGAGGTAGAAGAGAAGCCTCAAAACAAAGGAAGCTATTCTTCTAAACCGGTGTGTGCTTTTAACTTACGTAACATTGACCATTCTGTACGCAGTTTTTGATAACGTCTCTTGAACAGAATCATCGAATGTAACTGTGACGAACTACACATATTGAAGTTTAATGTCAATTCTTATATTTTGAGAAATTGGTAGCAATATCTTACTTGTGGAGCATCAGCAGGAGCAATTCCACCTGGAGGGGATTGTGAAGCGCAAAGACAATTGTTTTCAATTTTACAGGTGTTAGGATCGCATGAATAAGAGGATGTCGTTGCTGCTGGAGTAGTGGGCACAGTGGCTCCTTCTTGAGCTACAATAGCGTGTATTAAAAGAGAAATACTGGGAAGAATGAATGAAGACTTCATTATAGCTGCTTGCTGTTGTCAAAAATATACAGAACGTAAAAGAAAAGAGAAGAAAAAAAAAAGGAGATGTTTAAATGAAGGGCAATTTGATGAAGGAAATTCGTTGTTTGAATTTTGTCAATTTTATTGTAGCTGTAAATTGCCTGCAGCTAGATGGTGATAGCGAGTCTAAATTGGATAGTCTTCTTTTGGATGGTTACATGACTAGATATGGTATAATATCGTTATATTTGCACTTGGTAAAAACATTGGTCGCGTGGAACGAGAAATAAACAGGTTCCACAAATGCATGTTGATCAACGTATACATAATGTATTCCGTGTTACTATTGGTTACCGTTCCTATGCCAAAAGACTCATTTTGTAGAACTACAATGTATTTAACTTATCAGTTAGAGCCGTGGAATGAAGCATAATTACCATTCCAGTTTTATTAGCATTCATGAATATACGAGAACATATTATTGGAGACCAGGTACTTTTTGTTTAAGATATTGTAAACCAAAATATCTATATAGAATACTGGAAGAATACATTAACGCATTTCAATTGACGAAAAGTCTCACAAACTTAATATTCACGCTTTTTGGATAAGAAACCTACTGATTGTTAGTAGAAGTAATTCGCTTTGGGTCATATAAAAATGTTTTATTTCAGATCATAAATAGATAGCAGTACTTTATCGACGCGTCTTTTGCTTAATCCTTTCCTTAAGCTCGGCCTCCATCGTTTCTAGCTCCTTTTCATCTTCTTTAATAACGTTTGTGATATGTTTAATACCATTTTGTTCATCTTCCAAAAGCTATATAGAATTTGACATTAACATTTGTGAATCATAAAATCAATGACCGATTTAAAATTCCCTCACAAAATAAAAACAAACCTTTGCAATGGCGTTGGTATCTTCTTCACTGACTGTACGCCAGACTTCGACTTCATTTTGTTGCTTAGCTGAACGCTGCTCCCTAATACTTTGTATTTGCGCCCATAAAATGTTCAATCTCGACGCAAGATCCTCCGGATTATAATTTTCTGTGGCCATTTTATTCAATTCTTCCATAGCCGACTCTTCCTCTGCGGTCAATGGGAATCCTTTATAACGTAACACCTGACTGTAGCGAAGTAACTATTTCCAAGAAAAGTCAGCCTTTGGTGAGATGAAACTTGACAGAGTATGTACATTTATAAGTATAGCCAAAGGTCCTTACCCTAAGTACACGCTGTCTTAGATCCATATGACGACGCTTATGCTCTTCTAGTCTAATTTTTGTTCCTAAATCTTGTTTACGACGTAACATTGACACTCTTTCAGCAATTTGTAATAATGTGTTTTCAAATACTTTCGATTGCTTCTGTTGTGTTTCAATACGTTTCAAAATATCATCAAAACCAACGGCTAAAACGGGTACCAAGCTATTTTGTCATCAATTCAAAGGATTCAGTACAATATAAAAATCGTTCGAATGTTACAAAATTGACTGTTATTCATACCTTGTAGGATCTGGATTTTTACGGCACGCTTCATTCCACAATTGCTCATCTTGGTTAGGAGGGCGGACGTAAAGTTGTACTTCATTTGGCGGCACTTTATTGTAAAAGTAATGCTATATGATGCCGGGTGGATCAGTAAACAAGGTAGGTTATAAATCAGTTTTTCTTTTTCTTTTTTTTTTTTTTTCTTTTTTCAAATCCTCTAAAAATATGTGCTGCAAGCTTACTCTAAACTGACAAAGAGGTGATGTTGGATCAAATCGTGCTTTGATTAAAGCAAATTCTTGCCAAACGTTTTCTTTTTGTTGTGATACGCCTGGTTGTTGCTGTTGCTGTTGTTGCTGTTGAAGGTTAAATGAGGTGACATTATTCTGTGTATTTAATAAATTATTTGAGCTACCAAATGTGCCAAATCCAGTTTTATTCGTTGTTGTCGCATTGTTAGAGCCAAATCCTCCAAATCCTGTCGTAGCTGTTGATGCTCCAAAACCAGTATTTGTATTTATGGACGAGCCCAAGCCGCCAAAGCCGCCTGCAGTATTAGTGCCGATCGTATTATTTGTTGTTGTACCAAAACCAGAATTGTTTGAAGTACCAAGTGCAGAGGTATTTAAGCTAAATGCAGAAGATGTAGGCTGCGAAGTTGTATTCAAGCCGCCAAATGTTGGCGCAGTTGAGGATGCTGATGCGCCAAAAGTACCGGTTCCTGTATTGAAAGCTGGTGTAGATCCGAACACTCCAAACCCTACGAATGTAAATGCATTAGTTCCAACTTCGACTGTACTAATTTTTTTAAATCACAACAACCTGTGGAAGCAGGCGCTGAGGTAGCAGTTGCTGAGCCACCAAATAAAGTGCCTGCCGATGCTGAGTTGACTGTATTATTACTCCCAAACAGAGTTCCAGCTGAACTGTTATTTGCTGTAGTTGATCCAAACAACCCACTGGTATTAGCAGGTTGTGATGATGCTGTTGGTGTACCTCCAAATAATGTGCCTGCAGCTGATTGTGTTGTATTACTGCCAAACGCAGAGGCTATGGTAGAGAAAATAGAATCTCTTAATCCTTATTTGCCTCAAGTATAACAGAATAACAAAAGGATAAAATACTTTACTTGAAGAACCAAATCCACCAAAACTCATTCTAAATTGTATATGTACAAAGTCGGTTCTTTGGTCTGTAGTCGGCTTGCTAAAAGAGTTCTAGTGGAAGAACGATTAAAGTAGCTAATAGAACGCGTTGAAAAGGAGGCCCAAATTTTTTTGAACAGGATACAAAAAAATCAGCGTCACACGGTTTGTCGCAAAAATGAACTCTTCTGCATTACTGACTATGCAAGATTTTCGAACATTATCCTCCTCAATTAGAGCTTTCTTATGTCGAAATCTACCTACATCCCTTTCGCCATAACCTCTGGCTTTTTCGCAGCGTCATCTTCTGTCTTCGCAAAATTATTTTCTGATGAACGTACAGTCTTAATACATACTTATATTTCAGAACTATTCAATATTGTACCTGCAAAGGTATAGTTACAGAATTCAATAGCAAAAAAAAAAAAAAGAAATTGGTTACGGAAGAGCAACTCACGCGAATTGAATGAAGACATCGTTATTATTTATGAGAATAGTATGCTTTATTCTTATTTTTGGATGTAACTCAATCATGTGGACTACGTTCACAAAAGCTCTGAATCTTGCGCCTTCCTCAGTACAAGTATCGATTGTGAACGGTGCTATCAATTTCAGTGCTTCGGTAAAGGTTCAAACAATTTAATTTGTTATGATGGAATTAACTATTTAAAGTATTGGAATTGTAGGCAATTTTAGGTCATCTGATTTTTGATGAACCGTTGGCATTCAGATGGTGGATAGGAGCTGCTTTTATTTTAACAGGAACAGTGATATTATCTCATGCTCAAACAACAATCAATGAGCAAACTACCACACGGCCAAAACATGAATAAGAAAATGGATCATTATACAGTATGATTGACAAATATCTGCTGAGTTCACATATAAAACTGTCGAATTCAGTTAAACAGTTTTTTACAGAGAGGATATATTATATACACCATCTGTTGTACATAGGTTGAATGCGTGGAATAAACTAAATTTCTATTTACATGACTATTTTAAAAGTGTTTGCTGTGCTGAAGTGAAAAATAACTCTAACTGAAATTGTAACGAGTATGACTGATTCAGTAGTCGCTTTAGTTGACCGTTAATGCGTTCTGATTCCTATAATTGAGAGACCCTAGTTTAAATAAACCGTGGACAGATCAGCAAAAGTGGAATTTCGACCTCTTACCGCTTGTAATTCCAATCGCTCTTCTACATCCGCAGATGGAGCGGCAGCCTCAACATTTAATTCGTTGTCATTGATTGGATTCTTCTGCAACCATTCAACCGTCGTTTTCAGCGTTGTCATCAACAGTTCGTATTCCTTACGTATTTTTTGTAGTTCAACAAGATCAGGTTCGACTGTCAACGATGCTGCTGCCGTTGCTGAAACAGCTTCAATAACTTTTAGCATAGTTTGCCATAAATTTGACAATGTATCCAACGCAATGTTAGTTTTGTTGTATATTTCACTCACTGTCGCTGACATTTTTGTGTGATTCGAAAGAGAATCGATCACTGTGAAAATACGTTTATAACATAGATTTTATTACATAATATTTAATTTTTTTAAAGCCCAATGGACACGAGATATTAAACTTATCTAAATTGCCCGGGGCAGCTCCAAAGGCTGAAAAGAATCTAAAAACCCCTTAGGGCTCAAGGGTTAAAAGGATTATGTACTAAAGGATTGTGGGAGGGGAAGAGGGTAACCAGTCGAGCAATAGGTGCCCTAACCGAGGAGTGGTAGGCGGCTCTTGAGAGTGGTGTAAGTAGTCGAGTTCAAACAAAATGTGACAAAGTGCTGGCCATAGAAAATGCCAGTTTTGTATTTGGGATGGGTTATTGATCGGATGTGTAGGAAGACGGTTGAGAACATAGGATATGGGATCACAGACTGATGTGGGGAGTCATAGGCGGTGGTGCATGTTTAAACAGGAGATAGCGTGGAACTTTGTAAGTAATGACGAGGGATGTTTAAGGCAATAGGTTCGGTGGCCCCCACAAAGCCAACCCAAACGCCATCGGATACATCGGCTGCGTTCATTAGTTGACATTGGAATATAAAGGATCGGGTCGATCATTAATCGAGAACGGCATTGAGAGATCAGTTTGGAGTTGGGGCTGTTCGATTGTTGGATGTGAAGGAGGCTAGTACACTGTGAAAATACGTTTAAAGAGAATTTTTTTATTGACAAAATATTTTCTTTAAAACCCAGTGGGCACCATGTTATATAAAATTGCCCGGGGCAGATCCGACTGTTTATAAAGTATCTAAAAAGCCCTTCAAGATCAAGGGTAAAAACGAGTTTATCACAAGGTTGAGTGATTATGAGGAGACATCCATTGGAGCAGTAAAGATCCTAGAGCAACATCCAAGGGTGGGGGTTCTTTGACGTGGAAGAGATAGTCTAGCTCATATAGTATGTAGCAGAGGATCGGCCATTGGTGTTCCCATTGACGTTTTATCATAGGTTGTCTTGGCGGGTGGTTAGGTAGCTGATTTAGAAGATACGAAAGGGGATCTTCTATTTGCTGTGGTTGCTGCAAACGCGAGTGCATATGCAGGCATTGGATTGAGTGTGTCTTTGTTAACAATGCTGAAGGGTGCCGGACGCAGTAGGTGGTGTTACCACTAGGTAACCAACCAAGTCGCCAACGAAGACATCGACTTCTTTCTTCTCTTGTCATTGGGAGCCATAGTATGGGATCTAAACTTACTGTTGGGCGGCAGACGGATATGAGCTTAGAGTTTGTTGGGGCGCTTTGCATTGCTTGTAGGGATTCTGTACGAAAGTCTCTTAGGGACTTTTTGAGATTTTTCTGATCCATTGTCGGGGCGTTTTCCTTGGTTCTTTGCCAGAGAGGTGTACGAGATAGCTGAATCCAGATAGAAGAGCTATTTGGTTGTTGTACATATGGCAGCAGTAGGGACAGTAGGGCATCATCTGGGAGCGTTTGTGGTCGTAACAGGAATTTAGCCTGGAGAGTGTAGGCTCTTTCTCGCATCGAGGATAAGTTGGCTAAGTGACGCATTATCTTGACAGAGGATCTAATTGACCCACCAAATATCCTTCGAATGCATTTGTTCTGTACGTTTTCCAGTTTCATATGATTTGTCCTGTTCAGTTTGCTTATCGCCAATCCGTATTCCAGTTGAAGGCGGACCAGATGAGCGTAGAACCTGAGAGATAGTAGTTTATTAAAGCCGTTAGGGTTGACTCCAATCGACGATAAGGTGTTCATAGTAGCCACGGCTTTGGTTGTGTTGATATGTATGAGCTCTTGAGTGTCCAGGTAACCACCGGGCTTGAAAGGAACTCCCAGATATGGGAAGGAATTGTTGCTTTGGAGTGTGGATCCATAAAGGAGATATTCCATCGTTGGCTGATCAGAAGAAGCCAGTATTACACACTTGTCAGGGTTCCATCGGTAACCACGGGAGTAACTTTGCTGTTCACATTTTTAAAGTAGGGATTGCATCTGGGATTCTTCGGCAATCAAGACCACCTCGTCCGCATATAATAAACAGTTCATGTTCCGAGCCAATTCCAATGGCGGTAGATCATACACTCTTTCTTGGGTTCGTAGTTGAGTAGGTAGGTCATTGATGTAGTATGAATACAGTAATGGCGACAGAATAGAGCCTTGTAGCACACCAGTAACTGGTCAAAAACGTGAGGACTTAGCATTTTGTAGCAGTATCTCTATTTCCACTTCATCAAAGAGGCTCTTAAGTAACATAAGGAGAGCTGTCGGTACGTGTTGGCGGATTGTGTTCCAAATATGTTGTCGATCCACCACCGTGTCATAAGCAGATTTAATATCCAGAAAAGCTAGTACTGGTGATGCGATGGTGTCGTCGTAATATATGGCATATTTCAGCCAGACATAGTGCTTGGTCTAGCTATGGAAATACAGTGTTTTAACTGCTATTTCAGACTTTTCACAAATTTTATTGGACACTATTAAATCTTAATTTAGACAACTTTCAATTATTTTATGATGAAGCGGTATATTATTCTTGGACGATTTCGCTGATAATCAATTATCCAGTATCATCCAAGCAGCATTAAGGATGGCGTACAAGCTAGTCCTAAAAATGAGTCTTCATTAGTAAGGAAGTCGCTAAGAAAACTCTGATTGGCGTCACTTTGCAATAGGGTGAGCTACAAAAAGCTTAACAACTTTTTCGTCAAATGACGACGTGTTATAAGACCAACCAGATGTTCGTCAGTGCCTTTTTTGGAACTTTGCCCAATGATAAAGACGTGTCTTTCTTTTCTCGCGTTTTTGTTGTCAAAGTTAAAAATATAATGAAGAGGTTCTTTCAAACGAGAATAAGATCTCTTCTTTTCCGTATTTCGCTTTTTTTGTAACTTACAGCTCTATTCATGTACAAAAGTTTCATTATACAGAAGATTAGATCTATTAAAGAAAAGCATAAGAACCAGGTTAAAAGGAACCCATTTGGTAAAATGCTTGATAATTGTAGGAGAACCGTCAGATCAAGATATAAGGATTCTGATATTTGTTGTAACTTTTTAGAACATACCAAGTGTCGAGACTGCTATGAACCAGGTCATTTTGACAAGCGTTATTACAAATGCAAGTATTACAAAGCCGTAAAAGCTGATGATGGTAAGCAATAAACCTAAATCTATCTTACACACAGCACTTTATTGCTTGTGAGTAACCTCCTTAAAGTTGGTAGCAGTGGCAAAAAGAGAAAACAGAGTGACCAAGTGAAAGAGAAGAAGAAAGCAGTTAAACGGAAAAAGACCACCCCACAAGCTGCAAAGTGCCTCAGCTGTGGACAAGATGGCCATACCACTGCTCGTTCGTCGCAATGCCTCAAACACACGCCTTCGAAAGAAGAACTCATTTCATCTGTTCTTGGTGATGATGCTACTGTATTCACAAGAAAGCTTCCCATCGACAGTGCGATGTTACCAACCTTCCGCGAGAAGTTCAGGGAAAGAGTCATTTCGTGCTGCAATGACATTATGGCTATTGTGTTTCGTTCGCAACTATTTGTTAACGCTTATCTCGTCCATAATAAGAAAGACACACCAAAAGAAATCTTCACCCAACAGTTGTGGTATTCGGTTGGACAACTTGTAACAGCTAAAACAGTAACCAACAAGAAAGCAATAAATGATTCCATGAAAAACTTCTATAAGCAGTTCAAAGAGAAGCATCCAGCTGTCGAAGTAAGTTATAGCTTCACCAAAGGCTATAGCCAATGCTTGACAGAAGCTTGTAAGGAGCTCAGTACCACATATACGAACAGCATTGTTGAACTTTTTGAGCAGCGAATGCTCAAATATCTATACTATACCTTGCAGAATATGTTCCCGGTAAGGATTAACTTTACATTAAACCAAACAGCAGCGAACTCAATATTCTTTTCTCTTTAGAGCATGGTAAAGCGCGATGTTGACGAAATCGCAACAAAATACTGTTATCAAGTGATTTGCAAAGGCGAACCCGAATGGCCTGGTAAAGTCAAGTTAAGCAGTGATGACAAATTAAGAATAGATAATTTGTGCAAGAACTTTGCAGACCTTGCGGAGGAAAAGGTTACGCTTCTGTCATTGGCGGCCGATCCGGTCAAATGTGTCAAGCCCTTGTGGTTTATCCAAGACTACTACGAAGAAGAGCATTCTAATCATCTTGCCTACGATGTTCGTAGGTTACCATTACCTCATCGCTTCTTCCCTTTTCCAACTCCCTCAGTATCATGGCGCTTCATTACCATCAGCATAAACGCCCTTACTCCTTTTTTATTTCCTGGAAGACTTGTAAAGGGCTATTGGAATCAACTTGAACAATTTTGTAAAGTGTTCAACTTCAAAAAGTTAGGCTTCAGAAGGTAAAGTAAATAGCACTCTGCTAAAAGACTCTGTTCTCAAGATTATTCTTTCACTTATATCATAGTATTGCTGAGCTAAAGACAAACACAAGTATGCTCTTCAGGAATCTCATTCGATCTGATGGCTTCACTGTAGACTTTTTATTTAGTCGTAAGAAGAAACCAAAAGAAGACGCCATCATTGATCATCATGGCTTGACGTTGGAAGACTTCTCCTATGAAGAGATCGCGGCAAACTACAGACCCACATTTGTTGATCCTGGCCGAAAGACAGTATTTACAGCAGCAATCGGGTTAGAAACAAACAGACATGAGATACGGCGCTGCTCGACAAAAGAATATTATCACATGACGGGTAGTACTCGTGTCAATGCAGAATTAGAAAGGAAAAAGGCCGATTGTACGATAAAAGCGATAGAAAGCAATATACCGAGTAGTAAAACAGGCTCGCCTGAACAGTATAAGAGATATACTATTTACATACTGCAACATTTACAGATCCTATTCTCATTCTATGGGCCTGGTATGGGTGAAACAAGGTTCCGTCTGCATCAAGGCAGACAGCGTGCTGCAGACATGATGGTGAACATGCTTGTCGATGGAGGTATCAAATACGACAAAGAATTACGGAAGAAAAGAAGGGAAGAACAGATGAAATGGCCAAAGAAGAAGGGCAAATTAAGCATAAAAAAAGAAGAAAGAAGACGAAACAGAAAGTGAAAGTAAAACAGGAAGAAGAGAAGGAGAAGGAGAGCCGGGAAGAAGAAGAGACAAAGAGCGATAACCACGTTCGGTAAGTCTGTAGCGATTAACTGTCCACTGAATTTGTATATACTCAATTCACTGTCTTCCTTCAACAGACGATGGGCCCCAGAGAAATTCAGGCTGAGTGATCGCAAAAAAGTTCCTCTGGTTGTATTTGGTGACGGCATGTTCAATAAATCCGCCGTTCATCTAAAAGGCCTTAGAACTGGTGTCGTTGGTGTTCTGTGGCGTGCATTGAAGCGAAGAGAGGCTGCTGGTGATCTCCTTGCCGTTACAATTGATGAATACTTGACATCACGCATATGCAATTGTTGTCGCTCAGACACATTGAAAGCATTAGACACCGTGCGTGGCTGTAGTATCCTTGTTTGCAAAACCTGTAAGATACTATGGAACCGCGATGTCAATGCAGCAAAACACATGATGGCCATCAGCATTTCGGTATGGAAAGACAAGGAACGTCCTAAAGAGTTCAGCCGGAAGGCAACTTCTTAGTCTTTTGATTTTTATTATCGCCAGAACGAAACTGGCTTGATATTTACAGGTAAACGTCTCCATTTTAATGTAGTTCGATTTTCAAACTCTAACTCAATCGTCTCAAAATTTTGGTCATTCCATCCAGTTATTTTTAAGCTGCGTCTAAACCCGCAGTTAAAAAACTGTACAGCTTTTCCTATTTAAAAGACAGACACATCTTTTAAAAATTCTGAACATTAATGTATGAAAGAATTAAATTGATACAAAAAACCTTTTCTGTCTAGGGCGATCATTGAAAGTGAAAAAAAAAATAAAATATGAAAATAGTTTGTTAATATGAAGTATTATCTGCTTGATAGAGAACACGTGTATGAGCCCCAGGAACAAAACTACTAGAGCCGTGATATATAATCCATTACCAACGAAAAGCAGTTCAAAAGGGGGATTCATAACAAACCTGCTACAACAGTAACTGTCGAAGAGTAAAATGTTAAGCAGCGTGATCATTCATCAAAGGCTCATCTGCTGAATGATATATGCTGTAAAGACAGATATCTCGGCAGATTATTGTTGCATATATTGATGAGTATGTAGCTTCGCAGGTAAAGCAAGTTGATCACAGTATACTCTTTCCTCGTATTTTTCTTAAGAGCCTTTATTTAGAAGATTTGCAGCAACTGCTTTAACCATGATCTAACTCCAGCATTACTGTGGCACGAGATACAAACGCTGCGAGAAATATCCATTGTATCAGTCACGTAACATTGCTAAGGGAAAGCTGTCTTCTTTTGAACTCAATAATAACTTTACACTTATACCACCGGAACAGATTCTGTCATCTTTTGAGACTATAGGTATTACAACTGAAGTCGTTTAAATTTTAAGACCAACAATTTTGACAAAAAGGGGCTCCTTAAAATTATATTCATGCATAAAATCGGACTTCTGATTTAATTTGGAATTGAGTGATAAGTATAAAAAGCAATAACGTAATGCAACACGTAAAAAAACTATTATACATGGGGTAAGGACTGGTAATACAGGTTATAATTGAATAATTAACATAGAGTTAGAAGGAGTATTGTAAATACAACAACTCGCATCACATTTTTGGAGTCAATGATTTGCGGCTACTTTGTGACTCATGGATCGATGAAGAGCTCGAACAATTGTCATTATCCTCGGTAGGTAGATCGCTGAGGTTTAAGAATTCTTTTCTTTCTTTGCTATTATGCAAAATGGTCAGGTTGGCTGGAGATGAGACAGTATAAGGTGGTGCTGAGTTCAAGTCATCATTTTGAAAATCGTTATTTGTAAATCCATAAAAATTAACTGCTTCCGGAAGACGCACCATGGCCCCCAAATTGTTGTTATCGTGCCGGTGTTGATAGCCTGAATCATGTGAAGAATACTCGAAATTGTTAAAGTCATTGTGTGGTTGCCTTTTGTTGTGGAATGAGTTTTCATGATTAGAATCTCTATTGTGGGTCGTTGAAAGATCAACACCAGTTTCTTTCATTCTTTTACCAGGTGCTTGAGAAGTAACCTAAATAATACCCTCGTCAATTGATGTTAATCCAAAAGCAATATTGTGTTAGTTCATATTTACCCAGTGGATGGTGATCACGTTGATAGTAACGTCTACTGTGCAACATGTCAAACATACAAGGCCTCTTTCTCTGCCATTCAATAAGACAAGGGACAACACATTAGCAAAAGAGGCTAATAAGCATACAATTGAAGCAACCATTGTGCGTAAAGCAACTTCGTTTAAGCGTGTTGCTCTCCAACCAGATTTTGTACCAGCACCAAGTTTCATTAAAGGACGAATGAAAAAGACTGTCATGTACGAGTTGATGAACTAATATAAAAACAATGATGAATATAAAAATGAACGCTAACAATGAAAAGATGAGTGAGATATGATATTTTGTTTTGTTCACCTACGAAATCATAAATCTACACACGAAAAATACCATAAAATAATTAACAAAAGAAAAAGAATTAGGATTAGCGATAACAAAGAATAGCACAAACTTTCAGAGTCGTGAAGAATAATTACGAGGAGTGGTAATGATGCAATTGATTGCAGTCCGATTATACATATGCCGTCCGCTTGGATTTCTGAAGTATGGAATATAAGCTATTTAGATTTGATAAGTTGTAAGTTATAGTGTCAAATGTAAAATTTTTGCAGAGGAATCATTACCATAAGTGTGAAAATAGCAATGTATGGCAGCAGTAAGGACATATGGAATAGGTAGGATCTCGATTTCCATCTTGCTTGGCGAATTGATGATACAACGTAGACTTTTTCAATAAGCCTTAGAATATAAACTGCCCGTGAATTTGCTAGCTTAAAGTACATGTATTTAGCTGCTTCACCATAGTCTTACCAGCAGTAAATGACGATTTTCGTGCCTGAATAAAAAATATCGCAAGCCATAATGGAAAGAAAGCAGGAAGTATAGTTTCCTAAGCACATGTGCATGATCAAACTAATTTAGCTGTCGTTTGCCATATTAAAATGCTCAGAAATCTGCTCTCACCGTTGTTCGTTGTCACCAACAACATACTAGTAGCGCAAAATGCCCACGATATAACGTACAATGCCAAAATAAGCCATCGTGAATATGTTAGGTACTTAAAATGTACATTATATGTCTTTATACCGAATAGCAGAGAAAGAAAAGTAATGGAGAAAATCGAAACAAGTTTGGCAGCAATTTCAGCGCCATCTGGCTGAGAATATCGCAAAAGATGGCTATCCATGATTTCTAGGGCAGTAGAAAAGGACTCTTTTCTGTTCATAGGATCCCTATGAAATTGTTTTTGCTATGGAAGTCGTAAAAGTAAACGCCTTCTAGAAGAGTTTATTATTTTCTTTAAAAAAGGAAACCTGAAGAGAGAAAAAAAAGAGAGCTTGAATGAATTTGACATTTGTCTTTAAATACGCTACTTGTAATGGGCTCTAATTCTTTGTGATTTGTAGTCAACCTGAACACAAGCTTTTTTGTGTTATTTATCATTCCTCTTTGCCTTCCCCCCTAGCGACCTTTTGATGGTAATCTAGACTCATCCATCAAGTGATGAAATGATTAATAGCGAATCTTTGTGCTGGCGAAAATCTTACCACTTCTTTTTTTGTACGAATGCTTTAATAAAAAAGTAAAATCAGACAACCCTTTTCGATTGTTCAGCAAGATAGCGTTGCGTGGTTACACCATTAAGCCTGCCTTATGTTTGGACAATCGTTTTCGAAATGCCTTTCATGATTCTCTCCTTTTCGCTTGCCTATAAAAGCAAATCAGGCCACTTTGACAAATTACTCGATTTAGCGCTCTGGTCTTTCTACTACTAAATTCGCAAGCATTCAAAGTCTATTACCCCTTTGCGTTTTATGTACGACATCTAAAAAATTAACAAATCAAGTAATAAACGTAGTTCATACAGCGCCTTTGATAGGGGAATGATTGTGGCAGCCCAAAAGTTGCTAAATTCGATGAAATAATTTCTTGATACGCAGAGATCAAAGAGATAAAAATAGCCTTGTAAAAACTGACGGGCAAAGAACAATATTTACTGTGTATCCAAAAGTTGCGGTCTTTGACGGGTAGGACAACTGAGAACTATATATTCTTTCCTATTGTTCGTCTCCTTAAAAAAAAAGCTTAAGATTATTCCTTACCGAAAAGCTGGTTATAACATGTCCGGATCGGAAATCACAAATTAGCAAATCGGTGGGTCGAAACCGGCCTCTGCTAATTTTCTGCTGGCTGGACAAACGCACAGCTAATGGCCCGAAAAGCTCCATACTTACACGTAGTATCAAGCAGCACACCTGATACAGTCTCTCTTTCCTTCTGAACATTACAATGGCTGGTAAATATAGAATCAACAAATGCAACATCAACAATCAACGAACCCAGTCGGGATCAGTTGCATAATAATAGATGAATATGATCAAGCATGGATGCAATTTATATGGATGAACATCGTTACTCTTAGATAGGTGGAAATATTTTGGATACCGAGTGATATTACTTTAATTGACATTACAAAATTCCACTATTCGACATGCATTAGCTGAACTTGACCTCATCCGTTGATTGTTGATTGTTGACTTCACACCTCAGTATTATTATTTTCAAAAATGGTTGATACTCAGTTTCATTCCCTGTAGCTTCTCAGAACAAGGCTCTCGCTGCCAAGAAGGCTGCCCTCAAGGGTGTCCATGGCAAGGCTGTCCGTAAAGTCCGTACTTCTACTCACTTCCACATTCCTAAGACTTTGAAGTTGAACCGTGCTCCCAAGTACGCTCGCAAGTCAATCAACCATGCTCCTCGTATGGACCAATATCGTGTTATTCGTCAACCTCTCAACACCGAAACTGCCATGAAGAAGATTGAAGAACACAACACTTTAACTTTCATTGTTGACGTTAAGGCCAACAAGAACCAAATTAAGGATGCCGTCAAGAGACTTTATGATGTTGAAGCTGCTAAGATCAACACCCTCATCAGGTAAAATGAGTGAGAACTATACACCAAATGTCGAAATAGTTCACTAATATGCAATTTTCAATTTAGACCTGATGGTTATAAGAAGGCTTTCGTTCGCTTGACCGCCGATGTCGATGCTTTGGACGTTGCCAACAAGGTAACATATTTATTGCTCATACAACTATTTTGTGTTGCTTTTATATACTAATCCGTTCGTTTTAAATTAGATCGGTTTCATTTAAACAGCTATGTTCTTTTGGGCGCAAGACTACAGTATTTTAACTAATATTTTAGATGAAATACATTTTTTTTTTGGACGATTAATATTTTCATTTTAGATGAGTTGCAATTGTGTTGTAGACGAAAATATAAACCGTTTAAACAATAATTCCAATTAAAAAACTTGTCAGTAGTGCGAAACCAAAAAAAAAACGGTACTATTCCTTACCTGTAATGATCTAAATCCTTAAAATATAAGGAAAACCGTGTTTATTACGGCGATACTTTTTTCTTCTTCACTGGCTTAAATACGTCGGGTCTTCCAGCTCCGAACCAAACTGCTTGAGATATAGTCATCATGTTAATAGCGGCGTTAATGTCTCTCTGCCATAGCTTTAGACATTGCTTGCAATGAAGAACGCCGGTACCCTTGAATCCAGGAGTATCAACAATTTGCATATCATCATAAAAACAGAGGCTGCATGTTTTAGAGGTTTTGAATTCATCGATTGTGACAACAATCAATTGACCTTCAGCTTCACGTTTCTTCAGAGTTGCAAAAAGTTTACCGACAACACCACATCTTTGCCCTTTCAATTTTACTACATCTTTTCCAAACATTCCAGCACCAAAGACAATCAATGGTACCCTTCTAGGGAATCCTGAGTACTTATCAGCCTTCCACTTCTTGTCACTTCTAAAAATTATCAATCAGTGCGTAAGCTAAACGATGAACATGTAATTCATTGAAACTCACTTTGATGGCTGCTGTTCGTTGACATTCTTTCCTTTCTTTTTCTTCTTCTTCCGCTGTTTTTTCTTCTTCTTTGCCTTGCTTCTCTTCTTGCGATTGTATTTGGACGTTCCATGAGTCAACATGTTGGCCATAGTTTCGGGTACTCTTTGCCTTCCTTGGTACAACATAAACCGGTCCTTTGCAGTTTCGGGTCCATAAAAAGCCAAAAGAGCGTCCAGGTTATTGAGTGTATAGACAGTGTATAGCTCATATATTCCCAAACGAGAGGTTTTTGGCGAGGGTACCTGACTTTCTATGAGATCTATGCCTGTAACGGCCTTCTTTCTGTTTAACTTGGTACTGTATTGGGTCGACCCTGTCAAATGATAGTATTCAGATGTAGTGCATCTTCGCACTTGTCTGTTATATTCAAGACCAATAGCAGCAGTAAAAACAGACTTTCTTCCAGGATCCAGGGTAATAGGTAAATAAGTATTGTCAACTTCATCCAGAGAGAAATCATCAAGAGTGAGGTCAACTTTTTGGAACGAGGCACCATGGCCAGATTGTTGTCTTTTATAAAAAAGAAAGTCAACTGAAAACCCATCCGTTCTGACAATATTACCAAAGAGCTCTTTGTTATCACCATTCGGTGTTAGTTCAGAGATACTACAAGTGCCCAAGAAGTTAAACCTCATACATTATACTCGACTGTATACCGTATTAACTGTATGCTTACCTTTTGTACCGGAGTTTCTTGAAATCAAAGACATTGAAAACCAGCTCTAATTGGCTTTGGTAATTGCGGGGTAAAGAACGTTTCACAAAAGAAGACAGAGCGTTCACGCTCAAGGTAATGAACCTCCATTGAACGGAAACCTTTGGCAGTAAGGATAGCAATTTTGGAAGAGGACGTCGTCGTACGTCAAATGGTTTATGATCATCGTGTTCCCTCTCAAATTCTGCGTTCAAAGATAACAAAAAGGGTACGAAAGACCCAGGATCAGCGGATAATGTCTTCATGTTCACTTTCTTCCCCAGCTTCTTCTTCCAAGGTTCACAAAAGGTTTGGATCTTTGCTTTTATATCTTTGGTAAGGTAGTCATCAGTTGGCCATTTAGGTTCTCCTTGGCATATCTCTTGATAGCAGAAATCATTTGTGACTTTTTTTACAAGTTTCCAAGGCATATACTACGCAAGATGAGAGCTTTTTTTAAAATTCATGTAAGACCCCAAGTAATATTGAGTTGCAACTTACCACAAATGCTGTTTGTATTTTATATATCAAAAAATAGAGAAGTTTCTCCTCGAAATTTTCCACCATACTGTTCGTATAGGAAGTAGCAATTTCGGTGCATGCTTCTGTAATGGCTTGACTAAGTCCAGGAAAGAGCTTGATAGGGAAGACAATCTTAGGGTAAGTCGTTTTAAAAGAATCAAACGAGCTCAGTAATTGTTGTGATATCAGCCTACTATTTGTTGGTCTTTGTCCATTCACTAGCTGTATCATAGAGTACCAGAAATTTTGTGTAAAGATACATTTAATACATTTTGGCTCAGCAAGAGTGGCATTTTCCAAGACGTAGTAATTCACAAAGAGCTTGGCTCTAAGAACCAAGTTGCGGATAACAGAGCAAGCTTCAACAACTTTTGACTTGAATGTGTTGCGATAGTCACCAAAAACACAGTTATCAAGAGGCAGCCTTCTTGTAAACGCCTTGTAATTACTTCCCAAATGATGTTGAAAGACCTCTGCCTTTGATAATACATGTTGAGGACACAGAGGAGAACGCACCGATTTATGTCCTGGTTGCTTGCATTTGGTACAACACGCATTGTCTTCATCTGGGTCTTCATCTTTTTCTTTCCTTGCTTTTTTCTTTTCTTTCTTGATTTCAAAATTCTGTTTGCGTTTTCTGCCCGTCGCACCATCGATAGGTACAATAAGGTCGCTTACTAATGATGAATTAACCAACTTTTGAAGCCACCTGAGCTGCTTACCTTGATCTGCAGTTTCTGGCTCATATAAGTCACATTTAAAGTATTGTTTGGTGTAATGACTCCCTTTACCGCAATCAATACACGTTACATCTAACAGTACACGATGATTAATCTATACGTATATATGATCAGGTATGTAGGCTTTCAAAAGGCAAGTTACCATGAACAGCACTTGATTTTTTCTTTTCAGATTTGCTTTTTCTTTTCATAAATTATTGTTTTGAACATGGGTCATAGTATGTATCTTAAAACGTGAAATAAAAGTGAAAGAGACAACATTTGACTATAAGAGAACAATATATTTTATAGTGCTTTTCTTTGAAAGTCACCCATGAACGCATATAAAAAACATTGACAACAGATAATATAACCATCCCGTTCCGCTATGGTATTCTGTTATACTATGGCCCTCAGCCCTCTATCAATGGTTTGATGTCAATCAATTCAAAGTTGACCTTTTTTGGAACTCCAGAAAAAGGCACCGACAAATATCTGGTTGGTCGCGGAACACATCGTCATTGAATAAAAAAGTTGTCAAGCTTTTTGTTGTTTGTCCTATTGCAAGATAACGTCAATAAAACCATTATTGGCGACTCTCTTACTGATAGAGACTCATTTCTTGGGCTTGATTGTATGTCATCCTTAATGCTGCTTGGGTATCACTGAATAATTGAGTATCCAAATTGCTATCCAAAATACTATGAACTTTTCTAAAAAAAGTTTAATAAATCTAAATTTAAAATGTATATTGTCCATTAAAAATTGTAAATTCTAAAATATAAGGTAAAATACTGTAACGGTATAAAAACTAAACTGTTCCTAAAAAGGACAGCCAATAAAATAAATGCCTTGCCTATAGGCTTTGAGTAGTTGAAAAACTACTACTTATAGTAATCCTTCCATTTTTGGATAAAATCACGCAAATACTGGAAATCATATACTGAGTGCCCCGCAGGGCCAGAAAAAAAATCATCATTGGCTTTGACATCAGATGATCGCTTGGCGTCATGTTGGACATTGGAGACCAACAGTAACTATCTTGCATGACTATCTATAAGATATACTTTTAGGCTTTTTGATACCACCATTTGTATTCCTATCTTTTACTATAATACTTTATTTTTGGCAGACTGAGTAAGGCTTTTTTTGTTTTAATGATGCGTAATACATGTGTTTATTGCAAGATATGCATATACAGTATAATGGTTACATAGGTATAAATGTACATATTATTTATGAGATTATTTGGAGCTGCTTGGCTCGTAGTTAATCCATTTTGTCTTCTTTTTTTGCCTTGGTCTAGATAAACCACTGGTATTGGCATTGGTGATTGTTGCTGATGGGGCAGGGCTTATAGTGACAGGTTGCTGAGCAGAAGGTGTAGGCTCAGCGACGAGAGGAGGAAAGGGAGTATATTGTGTTTGAACAGCAGAAGAAAAGGTAGATGCTTGAGGCATATCGTTGTTGATATTTGTATTTAATGGAGTGTTGGTAGCTAAAAGCAATTGCATTTGAGAATTCAAACACTGTTGTTGCATCATGAGTATTCGTACGTCTCGTGCTAACTGTTGAGTAGTGTTTAGCAACGTAAGGTGGTACGATTGCTTTGTTCAACAGATCGCTGAAAATTGTTTTCATTCTTTTGAAAGCGGTCATTTTGCTGCTGTTGCAAGCGTACAATCCTGTGATTGACTTCCGTTACTCGACTGGCTACTTGTCTATGTGTATCGACAAGACTTGGCACAAGGTTTTCGTACTCTTCTAATCTGCCAACAGAAGGACTGGTTACGGCAGCTACAACATCTTCTTGGAACTGCTTGAATATGTAATTTGAGAAGATACTGCTTCTGGAGTTGACGGGTTTATTCTCCTTGTTCAAATACATGTATACTGCTGCATCTTGTAAAATTATCCTTCTACATCTGATCAAAAGTCGTAAAAAGCCTCTTTTTGCTGTGTCTAAGCTGCTCTGAACTGCTCGTTGCTTTCCCTTTCTTCGTCTTTCTCGAGACACCATGATTCCATTCTCTTCTACAAATTCCAATGAATTTTCACTGATTTCTACATTGGCCATGTTATCCTCCTCATCTTCGTTCTCGTCAATTTCTTTCATTTCTCGCTCACATACAGCCATCCATTCAATGTTGTTCTCTCCAAAACAATACTCAATCCAAGGGAAAATCATTCGTTGCAGTTCAATGGGCGGTGATACGCTGTTTCTTGCTAATCCGAAAGGCTTATCCCAGAAGCCGGCCATACCTCTTGCGAACTGTGATGGAAGTTTACCGAGGTAATGAGTCTCCAATCGGCCAAGACGATCCTTCCATCCTCCACCACGCTTGATTAAATCAATAGGCATACCTAGAGTTTCAGCCTCCATTGCACCAGCATGGCGTCCACCGTGAGTCACTCTAGTTGTATGGATTGTTTCATCTAAAAGCGCTTGTTTTGCAGTTTTCCATTGCGAAACGCCACTCAAACTTTTCTCTGGGTTGCGACCTCCACGCAAAACCTTCCAATTATGCCATCTATCTTCTTCCAAGAAATCACCGTTGTTCTTTAAAAGGAATGAATTAGTGCTCCTTCTAGTAGGATACTGAACTCTTGTGAACAAACGAGTTACCTGAAGCAAATTAAACATGAAAAAAAGCAAAAGCACTGAAAGGACATCTGAAGAGGTTTTCATGGCGCATCGCACAAGCAAATTTTACTTCTCCTTCTTTGAGTGTCTTGCCTTTGTCTAAGCTAAACACTAAAGCTACAGCCTGTTGAATCCCCTTATGCTGTTTCTTTGGTATGGTAGTACAGAAACAGTCAGCAAAGTTTAAATTTCTGAGGTCTTGATCCCGAAGTAGCATATGGTGGCGCGACGAAATGGAGAACATCTCACGCAAGGCTGTTTGGCTTTCAGAAACCCATAAGCTTTTTAAGATTCTAATAAATTCGCCGGATTTGTATGAATCACGAATAACACAATGGGCAGCTCTATCCACGTTAGGTTTGCACTTGATCGTAAATCAAATCATTTTCATACTTCTTTATCAGATCAGTTATTTGCTTTGTCTTGTCGGGAGATGGCCACTCCAGTCTTCGATGTTCAGATTGAAAACCATATAGATATATCAAGGCTTTCTTATATTGATTGACAGCTTCTATGCCGATAGGAACTTCTATTAGTTTCTTTCGACCATTCCTGCTTACTGGAGCATTTCTGGCCACTATTAAGATAACGTTAAATGAGTCTAATCACATATATTCGTGTTATATAATGCTACATACTTTGGAGCAAAGTCATTCGGCTAGCCTCATTTTCCTCAGTCTGCAAGCCAACCTGTGTCCTAACGTCAGATTCAATTGAGACGCTCTTCTGATAAGTACGCTTGAATACGAACTCTTTGAAAAAGACTATGATGAACTCAGTGGGTCCAACTGTGTACGGGTAGAGAGGATCAACAGAGTATCTGACACGATTCTTTTCACAAAAATCCTTGAAATAAAGTGAATTTAGAAAAACTTGCATAGTTAATACAAAGTTTTAATTGATTAGTACCTTCCAATGTTCTAAAGGCATTATGTAAATCATAGCAGTGCTAGCACGGACTCTTTTAAACAGGGCTTCCATTGCAAGATCAAATTCGGTTACTATAATCTGTAAGCCAGCTTGAGCAGAGTATGAGCTCGTAGGGATAGCTGTATTTGAAGTAGAAGCTTCCATTTCGACTTCAAGCTCTTCTTCTTCAGTCTCTTTGATTAAACGTCGCTTAGATGAAGTGGTTTGATTGAGGATAGGTTGCATATTGAATGGTTTAGAGTATACAAAAAAGACAAACTTTGATGGTAAAGCAACTGTGTTGGCCTGAGGTAGTATTTATAACTATCGAGTTAATAATACTGGAAAGTTCCTGCAAATTCTACAGTTTGATTAACTCACTTCTCAGTATCATTAACTCGCACCTACCCTATTTGGAAAATTTTGGGCAGAAATAGGCGCATATCATTGGACGATTTCAATTTTTATTTCCAAAAAAATATAAAAAAGTTAGGATACTGTATTATTTTTTAAGGACCGTAAAAATAATTGTGAGATAAAACTTGAATGTTCTTTATTAATTTCTTTGATTCTTTCTCTATTTATATAGTGAAATATCTAAAGAGTTATACATATATTATTAATATATCAAGCTATCTTTGGTTAGGTATATTATAATGTAACTCACAAATCTAATAAGTAATACTACAATAGAAATGGAGTTATTACATTCTTAAGATTATGTCATCGTCGTCTACTTTGTATTCGTATAGCTTTCTGGACGTTAGGCCTAAACCTTTTTTTATTCCCATTCATGCTGGTACTTTTTGACTCCGAACCGCGCCTTTTTTCCGACTTCCATTTTGGTCATCATCGTCATAAATTGAACCAGCACCGTGCACGTGACGGGTGCCTATGGGGTATCCAATAGGCCCACTTTTCGCTGTGACAAAGGGGGGCCTAGCCCCCGGTGGAGGTAGTTGACACCTTGGCTTTCAAAACCAACGATTGTTGGTTCGATTCCTGTACGCCGCTGATATTTTTCAGCTTTGATCCCTTTCTCTCTGCTTCCTAGGGTTTTTTAATGCCGCTATCAAGGTGGTTCTCGGTCGGTGTTGGTGTTTAAAAACAAGTTATGAATAATTGCGGTGCCCGCCCAGGCTTAATGAAGCAAGATCCCGAACCGCGCCCAAAGTCTTAGCCTACCAATTATAATGATTAGTTTAGCCCCCTCTCCCTCCCCCCATTTAGATAGTATGCTTTTTCGCCCACCACGGCACCTGACCGACACTATGCATCGCTCTATTCTCAAAAAAATCGAGCTGCCCCGGGCAATTTAGATAAGCTTTAATATCTCGTGTCCATTGGGCTTAAAAAATGTCAGTTCCTTGTTTAAGACTATTATTTTATAATTGTCCGAAATAAATAATTGAAGTGTTTAGTCAACCGCTCGTCAATTTTGGTTTTATGTTCCATGTTGGATAGTTATGTGGGGCTCGTATGTTAGTAAAGATCTGAGGCTACGAACATCAAATAAACCAGCAGAAATCCGGATTGAAGCCATCTTTAATCCAAATCGCCACGTTTTAATAAGGAGCAACAAATTAACAATTCATATTTCAAAAATGCACGATATTCTATGATGTTGATCAAGAACGTTTATTAGATTTATTGTACATATGTAATATATGAGTATTTAACGAGACTTGAAGTCTATTTGTATCATTAAGAAATTAGAGTTAGTACTTTTGGCAAACATAAGTCTACATAAACCAAATATAATATACTTACAGTCCAAAAGAACGTTCATAGCTTCAGATTCTTCTCCGAAGTCAGTAACGGCAACACAAGAACAACCAACGACCTTACGAGCGTTACCATCACGATCAATCTTACAGAGACCGGCCCATTCACCGAGCTTCTTGGCATCGGAAACCTTGATCAAGTTGATGTTGTGTTCAGCGCAGAGAGCTTCAACAAGCTTGAGGTATTCGGCTTCAGTGACGGATTCACAGAGAACAGCCAAGTGAGCTTGACGTCTGTTTGATCGATGAGGACCTGATGATCAGTCTTCCATTATATACTAAAAATAAGCTTGCTTAGAATATATTACCTGTCGAGAGCCTTGACGGCTTCCTTTAAACCACGAGCAAGACCATCGTGAACAAGAGCACGACGGAGAACTTCTTGAAGAGCATCTTCAACGGACATTTGTCCAGAGGTGGCTTCAGCAGAAACAACTTCGACTTCTTGGGTGTTATCAACGATATCTTCGTGGTCAGACATCTGTGAATATTCAAAATAGATCAGACTGGTTAGCTGTCATCCATCAATCTAATATCGTTATGGATGCATTATCTGCTGCTTTTCAACCGTAGGATACATACTTCGACTATAAGGAAAAGAGGAGGGGCCTTCCAACTGACAGTACGACAGCACTTTTATGTTCTTAGTTACCACAAGAGTATCCTTGTCCCAGGATGCGGAGAATTAATAAGCCGCTAAACAGTCCGCACCGGACAAAATTGCCCCAATTCAGGTACAGAACCTGACTGTAATTGCAAATTCTAATCTGTTGCATTAAATTGAAAGTTTGGAAGCATTAAGCATATTTCGCGTGACCTTTCGACAAAAAGTGACCCTAAACTACGTCGCACAATCAAGTGTGTGCATCAGAAACACATCAGATTTATAATAGAACAAATTACACTTTCGAAACAATGCATTTAAATAAATTAGTAACACTAGCGTCAAGAATGCTGAAGATCATGACAAGGCAAAAAATTAGGAGAGCATGTAAAAAGAAATACGTGGATTTATTTAATAGACAAGAATTGGTAGTGATTTAGAATTCAGTGTTGGCGGGGAATTCAAAAATAACGTCCTTGCCAGTAAGCTTCTTGTAAACAGCAGAGAAAGTGTCGAGCTTGTATTCAAGAGAAGTAGCATCCTTGGCATCAAGCAAAACCTTGAGGGTCTTGGTACCATCAACCTTTTGGCGGAGTCTCTTGCCAACGATTTCAGTGGGGAAAACAAGATCGTCCAAAATGGCATCGTGAACAGCAGTCAAAGTACGAGATCTGGGACGGGGTTGCTTACCTTGGTTGCGACGACCAGGAACAGCCAAGATACGGCGTTGAGCAACGAAGACAACGTGACGATCAGAGAACTTCTTTTCGAGTTCGCGGGTAAGACGAGCTTGAATCTTGTGGAAACCAGCTTGAGCAGGAACAGGGACGAAAATGACAATAGCCTTCTTACCAGCACCGAGCTCGACCTTTACCGATTCAATGTTCAAAGTCCATTAGCACCGTGCATAAACATAATGATCGCAGATACCAAATTAAATATCTTACCTCCTTTGCTGCAGAAATGTTGAGAGCCTTAAGACCCTTCAAATCGGGGACACTGTTTTCTAAGTCGACAAGTGCTTGAGCAACAGAAAGTTCGAACTCATCAGCAGCTGGGGCACCAGCTTGCTTGACAATCTTGTTAGAAGCCATCTTTCTAATGAACGCGAAGTTGAATAATTGTTGGGTAAAGAATGAAAAGGTGAATGAACAAATCCATTATGGGTGAAAGAACAAATGCATTAAAAGTTGATGATTTTCAATAATCGATGAAATTGAAAATGAAAAGCAAAAATGTAGAATGTTAGTAATCAGTTTGCAATTGCTGAAATTTCCACATCAGATTGTTTCCCAATGTCAAGAAGGATGCAGCTAATGGAAACACACTTAAAACATCCATGTATATAGTATAACTGATATGTATTCTGCTGATTGATGGATTGATTGATGAACTGATATACTGTCTGGATAATTGGATGTTTGACATCCAACTTCTGCACAATCAATTTTAAACATCACTTCGATTATAAATGTCGTATCCTTATTCATCTATCCGTTATCTAATGCATACTGTGTATCTAACAATGCTGCATCCTTGCTTGAACATTTGTCCACTATCTATATTGATACATACTTGATAAATAAAGGAAGGAATCTCAGCCTTGCAGATGCAGCTTTTACTTTTACCACATGGACAGCAAAGAAGGTCCAGCTGTCGGAGTTTAATCAACATTTGCCTACTGCCATTATGGCACATTAGCATTAAAAAGATGCAACATGTGGGAGGCTTTACGCTTGTCTTAAAAATTGCTCTTTATATTGCATGGCTAGCACTACAAATCCAAATCTTTTAACTAGCAGATACACTAAGTGGGAAGTCCTTTTGCCATCTCCATTTTCTTTCAATTATACCTATAAACCATGCTTTTACTGGAAACAGTAGGTGATAGTTGAATCGGTGTTACAATACTTACACATTGCGCCAAGTCATGCTGCAGTTGCACTATCTGCAAGAGTTTTTTTTTTTTTGTTGTTGTTGTTGTTGTTGTTGTTGCCTGCTATGCTTTCCATTATCTGCTATAGAGAAGTGTAAAACTGCGCACAATTTCATTTAATCTTATTATGCGAACTACGCCATTCCGCTATTTCATGAAGGAGGGTTATACTTAATAGTACAGTTGTAAATTGTGGCTATAGGATTTAGTGATATAATTACCTAGAGCTGCTTTCTCATCCACAAGGTTGCTTTTTCAAGATCAACATTACAATTTAGATTTTTCTTATAACTATAGGATAAATGAACTGTGCTGTAATATGATTTTGCTAGGTAGCTCGTTTCAATGATTGATGGTTTCAAATTTTTCCGGCAGCCAGTCCCTGTCCGTAAATAGAGATCAAGCTGTTATGAGTTCAACATGGTTATGTTGCATCACTTTTCTATACCAATAGACAGCTTTCAATTGATTCATTTTGACACTAATACCGTCTGCATAACAAATCGCATTGCATTGGGCATACGGACTATTTTGGCGCGCGGATTGCGTATACAATATACCAAAAATCTGCTGTTTTAGGGCTATATTTGACAACTATTCCTTCTTCATACAATTACCCAAGAAAATTCTGAACAACCGCCTTTCCTTGTTCTGCACTTCGTGTAAACCATTTGACAGCCTCTTGTTCATTTTTCTCAACGCCAGTTCGATTGCAAAAGCAGAAATCCAAGAATAGTTGAGATAATGCATTGAATACACCAATACTATCAACTCTTACCATGTTTGTGACCATGCTCCAATAAATGGAGTGCGAAGATATTGTCAGCTTCTTTGAATTAGTAAATTGCTTTTGTTTCATCTTTTTCAGTGCCAATGCCATCTTGGTAACAAACCCAAAATTTATGCTATGCACACGCATGACCCTGACGAGCTACTTCATTATGCCAGAAAGCACCTTCTATTAGATCCTTTCCAGTACCTATTCCGTTCTGGATAACAATACCAAAGGTTGCACTGAGCCAAAAGATAACCTTGCGGCGCGGAACATTGGGTACTACTTCACTATCACTGTTTGTCCTGAAGTACACCAAACCCATCCTCCTAACATAGCCCAACGACTTCTAAGTATTATTGCATTCAGCTGCTATTTTATACCACTTAACTGCTTTTTTCATTTTTTTGCACACCAATATCGCCTCCATAGCATTATCCAATGTTGTAAAAGGCAACAGTTTCGCATTGGGTAGCTGCTAATTTTTACCATCGCATTGCTTTTGCATCATCGTTTTGTAACACTAAACGCTACATCTAACCAATAGCTTAAAATGTCGTAAGCTGTAATAACCTTGATCAGCACTTTCTGATATCAATAAAATGTATGACGCATGTATCCTTTTTTTAATGCTAACTCATCAATATAACGTGCATCTCAACAATCTTTGCTTGCTGCACAATTGTCTTTCATAGCTACTCGCTGTATCTACTTGACAGAAGAAGTTTACTCAACTACATTTGACGTTCCTGTTTATTTGCTTTAGTACGATCAATGAATATTTCTGAGCGGCCGTATTTCTTTCTAAAATGCTAAACGTGAACCGGCAAACATAATTCACTCGTCAGAATAACGCTTGCTTGGGAATAGCTGCAGTATAGCACTGTTCAGCTTTCCTTTTTTGAAATTTGATATTATTTGTGCCTAATTCGAATCCGTATCAAAAGCCTAAAATAATGAAGGTATTTCGATTAGACTGAGCTGCTTTCTGCAGCAACTTCACGGCAGATTTTGACTCTTTTTAATACCCATTTTATCCAAATAAATAGAACTTCGGCGTGCTCAATGAGATCATTTACTTCGAAGAGGAAACGGTTATTACATAAAGGTGTCTTGGCGAATGAATTCCTAAAATGATAACAGAGATGTTCTTCGATTTAATGATCTTCCTCAGTGAGTATGTTCCAAATATGCTTTTGAAAAGTAAGCAATTGCTGAATGAAGGCCGGGGATTAATTATCTTCGCTATTGTTGTTCGTAACTAGGTTCGTAATTTGTTATTAGGGAAGAAAGAAGTATACAGAAACATTAACAATTATGAAAGTTGTTGTATAAAGTTCTTCATACATGCGTCAACCATCAGACAAGAATTAATTTCTTGTCCAAATCGTAATTCTTCTATTCCCCACATTCATACTCATTTCCAACCTCCCTCTGTTGTAATACCATGATACTTTAGCAGAATTGAAAATAAATGAGCCGAATTATTGTCTTCATCCACATTATAGAGTGAAATTAATCACTCTTTTCTTTAAGAATATGTAAATAAATTCTTCACCACTTCTGATTTATTGAAATAAGTATACATCTTCTCTGTCATCAACTTGATCTTTTTCATAGCACGTCATCCGAATGAGCTACATCCCTTTCCACGCGAACTGAATAATCGTAATCTTTTAGCGCATTTATCATTAGGTTTTTATCTCCACGTCTCAATTTATACTTTACAAAAGCTGCTACAATAGAGGTGCAAGCAATACGCCTCTTCTTCATGCAAAGAACGTTATTAGCCAAGAACGAAGTAACGAACCTTTATGGCCTTGCATAATGCCATAAAATCGGAAACTGATCAGTGATATGAAGAATAGGTCCTTGGTCATCCCATTCCTCCTAAGTGAGCAATTTTATCATTTTAGCGCGCTTTCTACAACAATGTACTTAATTTTCGTTCGAGACAATTTGGATCCAATAGCTGCATTATCTTCTTTCTGATCATCAAAGCAATTTGGTGTACCTAATATTGCTTAACCCTGCTCTTGAAACCAAATGCTGGTATCTCAATTTTTTTATTTTTTGTTTTTTTAAGTTCAATCCTAATAATAAAATGCCATGCGATGTATGTTCTACTTTATCCAGGCGACACGTCGTACCGACTATGCTAATAGAAAGCGATGCAGATATACAACCAAATTTTGAACAACTGACATTTTCCATGACATTGAGACGGACTTACATTACAGAAGTTTTACAGATAGAAGCTACATAAAAATGTTTTGTAGCGATGATGGCAGTGATACACAAGCATAATCGCCTGCTGGATATTCGTCTTCATCTAAAGCTCCATTATCATTAACATCCTTCAATTTTACAATCCGCTTTTTTTGAAAAACTACAAGAGAAATACATGAATTAAAAGGGCTCTTCTGAAGTATTCTTGGTTTTTCCAATAACCAATTTTTTGAGTCAAAGTGGAAGAAGCTGAAACAAAATAGTTTCTGCATAGTGTAATTTCAAGTTTTCGAGAGTGACTTAGGAACAAAGTCATTTGAAACAATTTTATGCACATGTATAACTATAGACATGACATTATGGCCAACGAAACACCGCCATCTAGGGCTTCGGTAGATAAAGCATCTCTAAATGACTCGACAGCCTCCGACTTTAAAGTTGCATATTTGGCCAACAGAAAAGTTAAAGCTGACGAAACATCGCCTGCTTCCACACCACTTACGGAAGCCAGCGGCAATGAGCTTAACCCACCTACAGCAAGTAATACTCATATTCGTCAATTAGCTCGCGAAAGACCTTTTGCACGTGAGGAATACAATATTAACAACGCTTCTAACGGGAGACCTGCTTCAATTCGATCTGCCGCTTCAATCGGACGACCTGTCAACAAATTCTTAACCGGTCATCACGTCAGAAGTCATTCGAACTATTCTAACTTCAGCACTATGAGTGAGACAGCTTTACCTTGGACAACCCAAGATATTGGATTCAATGCTATCTCAGGTGAATTATACGGAATGTAGCAGTAAAACAATGATTTGCATGAACTAAAACTCTCAATGTTTCTTATTGCAGGCGTTCTAAACGATCCTGCTAAAACAAAAGAATTCAACAGACCCAACAAAGGCGACATACCACCGGTGTCGCATGCTTCTATTCCTCGTATAAAATCCAGTGATTTTGAAATGTATTTGAAGCATATCGAACCTGTTTTTGAGCGCTACCGACATAATAAGCTGAATAATAAAGAGGAGGTACAATTATCTTATCATTCTACACCTACAAACAACGACGAGGAAGATGCCTCTGCTTCAGCAGCATTATCTTCTTCTTCAGCGGCGAGAGGCCGCCGTCAATCAAAAAGACTCTCTCGGAATCCTTATAGCTTACCACAACATGTGCTATCGAGTGAGAGTTTTTTAGATGATATTTCAGTTAGGACGCCTCCTCGCGAATTGCCTATGATAGAAAATGTACCTTCTATCTTTTTTGCGCCCGAATTCCGGCTAGAGCACCCCCATATATTTGATACAGTCTGTGAAGGGGCAGATATTGTTGGGGAATCAGGTTCCAACCTATCAGTTTCAACCAACTCAATTCTGCAAGAAAAGTTATCAAATTATTTAGACACAGTGGAAGTTCACTTATTATGCGAACTTGAAAATCGATCTTCATCCTTTTTCGAAGCGCTGAGCAACTTGCAAGCTTTACACCAGCAAACCGTGAGTTGCGTTTCGCAGATTCATACCATTCGACAAAGAATCAAACAAATACAAAATACAGAATGTAAAGACGGATTAGAGATAATTAGACTACAAGTGAGGAAAAGGAATATTGAGAAGCTTTATAAAATAACAAAAATCATAAGGAATATCCGAGCTTCGCAGCCTATGATACAAATACTGCTTGGCAAAGGAGATTATTTTGGCGCCTTGGATTTGATCGATGAAACAAAGGGTTTATTGAATAAGCCAAAAACAGAGGAAGGTGAAGAGCGGCTCGATCTAGGTTCAATAAAAGCGCTCTCCAATTTTTCAAGTCAACTAGACGAAATGCAAAGAGCAGTAGGCATCATGATGCAGCATGATTTTCTGAGTATTTTGTTATCAGACTTATCCTACAGAATCGAAGGCTTAGATCAAACAAAAGCAAAAGAATTACTATTCAACCAAGCTGAATCACGAGTGGGTGAGAACGCTGATGATAAGTTATGTAATTTAAATTTAGAGGAGACGGAACTACAAGAGAGATTGAAACCAAGTGCTATTGGTTTACTGAGGACAGAAATGTTTTCTGCAACATTGCAAAATTATCGTGAACGGCTTATGGTGGAAATTAAAGATATTATTCGAAAACGCTATCCAAGTATATCAGCAACGGGATCGCCAGCAACAACTCCCCTTGAAGAACAGGGCGGCTACTTGGCAAAACAATTAAAATCAATGCCATTCTCATCGTTCTTTCAAATGTTATTAGAAATATTCTCAACATTAATTGTAGCTGTTCACCGTGCCGCAACATATCATCAACTCTTCATACGAATTGCTGAAACACAGCGCCTAAATGAAGAATCGTTGGCTCAAATTGAAGGAGAATCAGCCGATATTGTCTATTCTGCAACTGATTTGGCACATGCTCGCTGTGGCAAACTCATGGGATTTCGTAGTGACCAAAACGCCCTTTTGAATTCCAAGGATTTTTATCGACTATCCTATGTTGTACGCAGCTTTATTTCCCAATCTGAAGTGTTTTGTGGACGAACTTGCTATGGTTTGAGAGGAAACATCGCTTCACAGGAAAAAGCGTTCATGGAACATTTCCACATGGAACGTGTGAAGCAAGAAACGCAGTTGATAGAGAATGAACAGTGGACTGCGAGCGAGGTGCCTTCAGACTTTCAGTTGATTGTTGATAGAATCTGTGAAGGGCGAATATCTTCTTTTAGCGACGATACTAAATCACAGCAGCAACAAATGGATGAAAACGATGAGAAATCTTCAAAATACCTGTATATTGATGGAAATAAATTTTACATCGTTGGCTGTAGTTTGCTTATTTTGAAAATGTTCGAAGACTATTTGAAATGTGTACTGAATTTGGAAGATATGACAGTCAATATCATGCAAAAATTAATAGAATTGCTAAAGGTAGATATTCAGATTATTTTCACCTGTCTGGCTTATTACTCAACTGCTGTGTTAGCTTTTCAATTCAAGAGTATGCCAAGTGATTTTAGGTGCGGGAGCAATGCGATCTGCAGGATTAAAGAATATCACCGCAAAACACCTGGGTAAAAACCAATAAGATATAATCGTCATTTCACTTTTTCGCTCAACAATTTGCTTCATTTTTCGTTCGTTTTAGCATTGGCTTCACAATCGCTGGCTATTATGATCGAACTCATACCAAAATTGAAGTACTGTATCAGTTGTCACATGCCATCAAAACAAATTCGTCAATTAGCTGATTTTGATCGTACCATTAAGGATTATACTGATCATCAAGGCGAGGTCCACGCAAAATTAATTTCAATTATGAAAGAAAGATTCAGTGCTCACGTAAAAGCAATGCAAGCTATTCAGTGGGACAAAGAAGATTCGCAGACAGGTAAACATGCTAATACGTACATGGAAACACTTGTGACTGAAACAGTAAGATTGCACAAAGTACTTTCTAAATACTTGCCTGTGCATGATTTAAAGGTAAGATGGTTATTCCTTAGATTGTGCCTAGATTTATTTCTATTACTAAGCAAAGGCCTTTCGCTCAAATACAATAGTTTATCATGACACAAGTTTTCGAAACTTTTACAACTCAACTTTCAACAGAAATTTCTACTATAAAGATAGATACGCAGGAAGGGAAAGATCGTCTGAAGAAGGACGCAACATTCTTCACTCAACGGCTTTCACTACTGAATAATGTAGATCCGCCCTCTAATGCTGTACTAGAGACAGTGGACAAAATTATGATACCTACATCGACAAAAGCTAACGATAACTCAATAGCAGAAAAAGAATCGCGACTTGATAGCGAACAACAATCATCCTCTGGAAACAGTTCCACTACAACTTTGTAATTCGAACATCCTCATATTCCCTTTACATATACATAATATTCGAATAAAATGTTCTTCCATTCAATTTTTATAATTATGCTTCCCGTATCAGTTATAAATTGGATTAGCATAGAAATATAGAATCATACTTTCTCAACAGCTGTACGGCCATTGCTAACGACAGCTTCGAAGTATTTGTAATGACTGTTTATCGGTTGCGAAATGAAGTGTTGTAACTGTTCCTTCTTGCTAAAATAATTCTTAATAGCTTCGTATTTCTTACTTAAAAAAGGCTTCACGCTTTCACTTCTTGTATGTGGTGTTGGACCATTGATAGCTTGGTCGAATGTGGCATTCGGTATCAAATCAGTCAAATTATCGAGAATTATCGCTGCACCTGGCTGGTTTCGATGGAAGAATTCAATAAATGCTGTTAAATTTAATACATTCTGTAGCAAATTCACTCTTAACAGTTGTCCTTTTCTTTCCAAATTTTGATCCCATTCTACGTCTGATCGGATCATGTCACTCGTATTGTCAATATATGGGAATATTACAGTAGGATTGATTAGGCCATCAGCCAAAGTAAGAAGCAAATCTTCGTACCGGCGTCGGTATTGAGGATACGTTAGTAGTGCTTTAGTAAGTGGACGTAAGGAAATGCCGGGGTATTCGGTATAGTTGCCATTAGTTATTGTTTCGATAGAATAACCAGTGAGTCCTACGGCAGTGTCCAGATCATTGGGAATATAAGTGAAGCGACCACCCTCTCTTGGATCCTGGTATAAATAAAAATTATGGCCCACTGTCATATAAGAATCAGAAAGCCCCAGAAGGTTTTCTAATGCCATACTTAACATGCATATTAGCAATGTTATGAAAATATCTGTAATTTCGCTATATCTTCAATTGTATTAAAATCTTGACAACTATGATATACTTACGCACGAAGAAATCCATCAACATCAAGGATTTGTTCCCATTCTTCTATCGTCGTTTGTCCATCAATTGCTTTATCAATGAACTTTGTGAATACTTGCAAATTTTTATAGTCTTCGACCTTATTATTGATTGGGCCATCATCAATATCGTATTGCCCTTGACTATATTTTGTAAGGTTGTTCAAATAAACCAGATCACTTGTGAGAAAGGAGTTAGCTGTCTCTTGAATAAAACCTTTCGCTTGGTATAAGTATGCTGGCTCATATTTCGGGTCTCCCCCAGCAAATGTATTTGCAACCCAAGGCTTTTGATAAGACTCAATAAGGCCAAATAGTCCCACGGCTTTATTATCTATGAACAACCTATATAGAAGCATTTAAAACAGTGAAGAGTATTTGTCATGCAATAGTCATATAATGTTCCGAACATCCTTACCGAACAAATGAATAACCACTAGCAGCCACTCCTGCTGATTCCATACAATCAAGGCTTATTTTTTCGCGCAAGTAGGAAGGATCATAGCCAGAAGCACGTAACTTGAGTCGACTGTGACCAAACAAATTGTCTCCACGTTTTCCAATAAGCTTAAGCTTGTAAGAAAGTTTGGGTACAAATCGTGAACTGGAGCCAGCTAATGAAACCTTCACATTGTGAAAGGTGTATGCCTCTTTCATGCTATTTAATGACAAACAAAACAAGGAATACAAAGTTATCAACTTGATTCAAACAATGTTGTCTTAACATAGCATACCTAATATATGTCATGCTTAGCTTTACTTCGATATTCTTCAATTGATTTTCTTTGGCATGCAATATTCTAGTCGCTTCTCGATTTCCGTACAAATGAATGGTAGGTATTTCGTCTAACCTATGTAGATTTGAAGTCATTTTATGAACGTTTGACGGATAATCAAATAGCTTGGGTAGTTTTTTTGCAGAGTATTTATTAGTAGAGCGGTTGAAGAACTCGTAAAACGTTGAGTCGTCAGTGCTTTTACTGGTGACATATGGCTGTCTTCGAAAAGGTTCAGATATTATGATGTTACCGGTATTATTGATAATAGCGTAATGATAGTTTTCAATGGCAGCAGCAGCCTTGCCAAAGTGAAGAATGCCATATTTATTGTGGGTCAAAGGGAATACTTTGTCATTGTCTACAATAACAGCCATAAATAGAGAGTTATCTTCAGGTACTTCTGCAATTACGCTGTATTTGATTTTCTTGGCCTGTGCGAAACACAGAGAAAGGAGTATGATAATTAGACCTTTCATAATTGAAGTAGCCATTACTTAGTATAAAAGGTAAAGAGGGAAGTGAAACAAAAGTCGAAGAAAGGTCATCAATATTCAGTCAAAAAGATGCTGATGACGGTTATCTGCAGTTCATAACAATGGCATAGATCTACAAAATCAGTCGATCACATGATTCATACTTTTTTAGAATGAAGGCTGAGACACCATTTGGGGATACATACGCATACAAGTGGATAAACTACTGATATTTAGATTTTTAATTGCATTGTAGCGTGAATAATTTAGAGTATGTTATGTAATTTGGGTAAAGAATATTAAAACAGTAATGAAAAATCAAAAAATGGAACAATAAGATTAGTGGATAAATTGTATTCAGGGTCTGTATGTAATAAAAGGTATGAAGGACTAAGGCTCTTCTTTTCTTCTTCTTTCTAAACTTCCTCTTGGACTTAGCCTTGGACTACTCACTCTACTGCTACTAGTGGCTTGCTGTTGTTGTTGCAGCCACACAGTGGCAGGATTATCTGTTAATGGGCCGTCACTTAATGCATAATCTTCTTCGTCGGACTGTTCATGAATGACGAATCCAATGCGAGACCTAGACCGTGTCATATTCACTTCCGTTGCTAGCGGCGAAGTGGTCCTTTCCATTGCTGTAAAGCCTAAAGCATTCAGATTCGGTGTGCTTCCCGGTCGTCCACCAGCTGCTATGTTAGTAGATGAGCCACTGTTACGGTTCGCTAAGCCCATAGCTGATGATGATGTTCTAAATGGTAATACACTAGAGCCCTCTACGACATCTACTGTATGTGAATACGTATTGTGGCTATCGCCACTATAGCGTTTCTTATTCCAGTATTGTTTGGAGATGAGCTTGGGTGATTTACTGGATGGACCTAATACACGATCGTCGTTGTTGGGGCTACCGATATTGATGCTAACTATGCCGTCATTATTATTACTGTTGTTGGCAATACTTACTGTGCCAACTCCTTCCTCAAATGTATGCAGATCGACAGGTATGCTGGTATTTACACTCGTGTATTGATTTATATTGCGGCTCATAAAGCTGGATAAGGAACTGCGCATAGCGACAGTAGATCGAGAAAGAAACCTCGATAACGAGCTGAGATATGCCATTGGGTTTATATAGTAGCTACATGTTGATACTGCTACCATGTTATCATTACCAAGTATACCCCCATTAGCGCCTGCGCTTCTACTATAACTGTTTTTGCGTATGAATCTAAACAAAAGCCATAACACTATTATCAATGCGAGTAGAATCATTAATACATTCGCTGTCGATGATTTAGAGGAAATGGCATGGTCGTCATCTATTGAATGAGATGCAGATGTGTTTGTTTCGATTATATCTTCTCCATAATGACTGCTTATAGAGGGATAAACAGCAACGCCATCTGCAATTTCATGAGGCCCTTCATCATCTGTACTATGTCCCAAAAATCCATCATTATAATCGACAAGAGGGATTTGACTTGCCACGTGCAAAAGCATGGCACCCAATGTCCAAGACACTTGAATATCATTAATAGTGTCGATGCTTTGAAAAGGCGGGTTCCAATTCTTCGCATCCACACTCTCAATCGTTTGTTCAAGAATCTCTTTGTCCTCTGTCAAATTGTGATGCCCACTAGGGTTTTTAATGCGAGGGATTTCAATACCTTCATGAAGCACGTTAACAATCCAGGCTGATTTAAAGCATTGCATCTGATATCGATTCAGCTCAGCAGGAGTGAGGTCCTTCTTTCCATCAATATCGGATGTTGACCAATCTTTTGCACAGTAGTTGCTAGCCTTCTTCTCATATTCGACAAAATCATACACACCACCTAAGCCTAAAATATCATGTGCTGAATACCAATATTCTGATATACCCACAAATTTGTGGACAGACCAGTCAATGTGAGGAGTATGCACGCCGTTGAATAGACAGGGTTTGCTAGGACATTCTGCATTTTTATTCAAGAGGGGTAAAGTGTATTCAATACATTTTTCATAATCGCCTGTACCATGAAGTGATAAAGACACGCTGGTGGAGGAAATGTCGGTCATATCCAAGTTATAAGGTAAACATGGATCGTCCAATTTTAACATGCGATGCTCGTCTAGTAAATTCTTCTTGCCGTTGGAACTAGCATAGAGTTCTTTTACACGTTCTTCCAAATACCGTCTACGAGCTTCATTACTTCCATAACCCAAAAAAGTTGTAACAAACACATCGTAATCAACAGTTCGCCCGTCCAGAGTGTGTAAAGTGATACGGGTTAAATCCTCTATATGTTCTTCTTTTTGATGATGCTCTGGTTCGAATGCGATTTGTGCCGATGCCCCGCCCATATCTAAAAAACCAAATGTATGATGTTGTTCCAATTTTTTATCGTTGTTGTCGTTGTTTTGTTGCTCCTTTACTTCACTTTTATCCACGGCATAAGCCTTTATACTGTTGTCGAATCCTCCCATTAAATAATTGATCGCCACCCAACCATAAACGCCTTCCAATTCACCAGGTATAATGCGAACATGTGCATCGCAATCGCGAACCACGAAGGAGGTTTTGTCACGTATGTATTTACAAGTGGCACTTAGAAGTTCTTTCTGCTGTTCTTCTGGTAGCAGACGCATACCGGCTGTTGCCATTAGGAAGATTGGCGTCAAGGCATGATTCTTTTCCGGAACTACTTCTTGAGCAAATTCCAATAACATATCAAGATGTTCACCAACTTCATTTGGCCTTGAACCGTAAGTAGATATGCCTTATCAACGACCAACCATTTAGTGATATAGTTTGAGCAGAACTTTCGCGTTAATTTACAGATAGAATCAGTCTACATATACCGTACCTGGTTCCTCTCGACTTGTCCATTTTAAACCTTCTTTGTCCGCTCTCTCTACAACAGGTATTTTGCCTCTCAACTCTTTGGACGTGAATAACTTCTTCGCTGTTTCATGATCCTTCCAAGAGTAAACGTAAACTCGGGATCCTGAAGAGCCGGCATCGATAATGACGCCGTAGTGTCTGTCTTGTTCCCAATCATCTTCGAGTGAATTGTGATTGGCGATCGAAGACGAAGACATTTACTATATACTCTCTGTATTGTCTGTTATTTATCTTCTAGTAGTTGAAGAGGTGTTTAGTGAGATTAATTGAGTCTTTTTCTTCTTAAAATGAATCAAAAACTAATTTTGAGTAACCATCAACAACCGTCATTTTTAGGTGATCAAAGAAATTCAATCTCAAGCCATTTTTTCCCCTATGAAGAACTTACATTATCAATTAAATAGTGAGCAAAAACACTGAAAGAAAAATAAATAATACTGGATAAGAGAAAAATTTTAATAAACTGTAAGACAGAATAAGGGAGGAGGAAGAGAATGATTTACAAGCCCAAAATGTTATGTAATATAAGGATGTTTGTTTGTTGAGCATCGTCCCAATCCACAATAACAAAAGAGGCAAACCCTTTTTATTAATAAACATGACAGTTTTTTTTAAGCCCAGTGTCTAGCTCTAAATCCATCTGTTACGTTTAAACAGAATTCTTTTATTACAATATTTTAAAAATCGAAGGAGCACCAAAAATTGCCCGAGGCAGATCCTAAAGTTTCTATAGTATAAATTGCTAAAAACCCCTTTGTGAACAAGGGTAAAAAAGGATTTAATTAGTTATCGTGTGAGGGCTGAGGGTCAACCATTGTAATAGAGCGAAGGCTAGTGAGGGGTCTGGTGGAGGTGGATCAAATCCATGAAACAAATGATCGAGTTCATAGAGTATGTGACAAATGGCCGGCCAACGGACGGTCCATGATTGGCGAGTGGCGGCTGATCGAGGGGGACGGGTGGGAGGTTGATTCGGAAGGTTAGACAATGGATCTAGAATTGATATTGGCATCATCAGGCGTTGATGCATCTTGAAGCGCTGTATGGCATGTTGTTTTGTCATGATGGTGGTGGGATGATGGAAGCAGAAGTTGGAATGACCACCAGGTAGCCATCCGAGATGCCATCGGATACAGCGGCTACGCTCTTCGCTAGTCATCGGGGGCCAGAAATCCATCTGTTACAGTGTTTTTACTCGTGGTGGAGACGGGTCAAAAACATCACTACAGATGAAGAAAATTGACGTTTAGAATGCCGCAGCAAATTTACGAGCCACCACTACAATTTTCCAGATAGGTCTACCTGTAAAGATCGAGAGGATGCTGTTAAGCAGTCGACGCAGGTGGCATCCTTGGTTTTCTACAAAAATCAGTAGGTCTTCCCGTTGATTCCATATCGATACGCTAATTGCCAACATGTTTTTTGCAGCGTTGACGTCCCGGTTCCAAAGTATCGAACAAATTTTGCAGGCAAGGATACTTTGGCCTGGAACAGTCTTCAATGGTTCAACAGTGAGAGCGGCAATTGTTGCATGTTCGAGAGGTGAGGAATTCATCAATTGTTATCACTATTAAATTACCAGCAGTCTCTCTTCGCTTTAAGGCATGCCAAAGGACACCAACAGCACCAGTTCTAAGGCCTTTTAGATGAACGGCGGATTTGTTGAAACATGCCCTCACCAAATACAATCAGAGGAACTTTTTTGCTATCACGCAACTTGAATTTCTCAGGGGCCCATCGTCTTGTTGAAGAAAGATAATAGAGTGAGTATACACAAATTCAGCTGACAGTTAATCGCTATACGACTTACAGAACGTGGCACTCTTCCTCTTTCTTTTCTTTTTCCTGCTTCTCTTCTTCTTTCTCTTTCTGTTTCTTCTTCTTTTTTCTTTTATTACGCTTAGGTTTGCCCTTCTTCTTTGGCCATTTCATCTGTTCTTCCATTATTTTTTTTCATAATTCTTTGTCGTATTTGACACCTCCATCAACAAGCATATTCACCATCGTATCTGCAGCACGCTTGCTGCCCTTGATACAGACGGAATCTTGTTTCACCCATATCAGACCCGTAGAATGAGAACAGAGTGCCTAAATGTTGCAGTATATAAGTAGTATATATTTTATACTGTTCAGGTGAGCCTGTTTTGCAACTCGGTATATTGCTTTCTATATCTTTTATCGTACAATTGGCTTTTTTCCTTTCTAATTCTGCACTGACTCTAGTACTACCCCTCATGTGGTAATATTCTTTTGTTGAGCAACGTCGTATCTCATGTCTTTCTGTTTCTAACCCGATCGCTGCTGTAAATACGGTCTTTCGACCAGGATAACAAATGCGGGTCTGTAGTTTGCCGTGATCTCTTCATATGAGAGGTCTTCCAACGTCAAGTTATGATGATCAACGATGGCGTCTTCTTTTGATTTCTTTTTACGTTTAAATAAAAAGTCTACAGTGAAGCCATCAGATCGAATCAGATTCCGGAAGAGCACACTTGTGTTTGTCTTAAGCTCAACAGTACTACGATAAAAGTGAAAGGATAATCTTGAGAACAGAATCTTTTAGCAGAGTGTTATCTACTTTACCTTCTGAAGTCTAACTTTTGAAGTTGGAGACTTTACAGAATTGTTCGAGTTGGGCTGTATAACCCTTGGCAACTTTTCCGGGAAACATGAAGGGTGTAAGAGCGTTTACACTTATCGTAATGAAACGCCATTTCAGGGACGGAGTAGGAAAGGGAAAGAAGCGCTGAGGAAGTGGTAGGACACGGACATCGTGCGGCTTCTGCTGCATATGTTCTTGCTCGTAAGCAAACTGTATGTGCCATAACGCATCAACAAAGTTGGCAGGAGAAGCAGAAAGAGAAAGGAGGGTTACTTTTTCTCGAATGAACTCTTCAAATTGTTTGGAAAGTGCTTCAATTCGGTTTTTTTCAACAGTCGCCAGCTCGAGGTTGTCTGGCCATTGTGGATAACCATGGCAGATAGATTAGTAACAATACAGTTGCACAATTCTTTGTATATCATACCGCTTGATATTCTGGAATGTATATAAAGGGAAATTAGATAGATAAGACAGCAGAGCACTAAGAAGGTATTCAGGTATAGCCTTACCGGAAGAATGGTTCTCAATTTGTAAGTAATGAACTTTGTTAAACGTTGCTCGAAGCGCTCTACAATGGAGTTACTGTAAGAGGCATTCAATTCCTTTGCTGCCTCTGTAAGGCATTGACTATAACCCACGGTCAGCTTGTGTTTTACTTCGATAGTAGGGAACTTGACCTTGAAGTCTGTATAATACTGCTTTATGTCCTCGGACAATGCTGTTTTGTGAGTAACTTGCTTGCCCGTTACTAGTTGGCCTACTGAATACCAGAATTTCTGGCAGAATACATCAGGAATGAACCTGTCTTTGTTGGCTTCTTTACTGCCTTTGTTGCTGCCTTCTTTGCTGTCTTCTTCCTTGGCTTCTTTCTTGTCGTCTTTGTTTGCATAGCTTTTACTCTCTTGATGATGAATGAGGTACGCATTAACAAATGATTGACCAGAAAATACTATTCTCCTTATGTCAGTGCAACAAGAGACGACTTTTTCTTGGAATTGTTGGCGAAACGCTGGGTTCACGGCGGACGTAAGAGGGAGCTTCCTCGTGAATACAGCAGAGCCTTCTCCAAACGTAGAGGTGATAACTTCTTCTTTTGAAGCAATGTGGTTGGAACATTCGAGGGAACGAGAATTAGAATGACCCTGTAAGTCACAACTGATGCACTTGATATCTCCAGTTGTTTGCTTCTTCTTTCTCTTTGCTTGCTTCTTTTCTTCCTTGACTGTAGCTGATTGTTTACGTTTCTTGCCGCTACTTCCAACTAAATTTCCGTTAAGCAAACATAAACTTGTCCTGTAGTGAGAGCATGATACTTACCATCACATGCAGTAACTGCTTTTTAAAACTTGTATTCATGGTATGCCTGTTGAAATGTCTGACTTTTTTGCAAGATTTTGGCTTTGTACATGGTAAGTAATAGCTTACAGGATGAGAAAAGAAAGTATGGAAATGAAGATGGAAGTTAAAGGAAAGTCATCAAACATATTTTTTTTCTTGTAAATGCTTTGAGTTTGACATCATCTACTTTTTATTACGATTGACAACAATAACCGTTATCTACGTATGTGGCGGAAGAACACGTAGATCAATTTATTTGATTCATAAATAACGTCTCGTAAACCGCAACCCTGTGTCTATTACTAATAAAATCTGTGTCGCGCTAAGAATTCAGTACATCTCGTAGTACTTTAGACGTAGTGTCGCTATCAATTGAAAAATATCTAATAACCTTCAAAGTAATCTCTCCAATTAAAGTGTAAAGATCTTAACAGGTATTTCAATTCATATCCTGTTTTTACCTAGAAACGTCTCCAAACCAAGATTGTCCACTAAAAAATTTGAAAGTGTCTCGTACGGGTAAAGATACTGTTATTTTAATGTTTATATACTTCTCTGATAGATGAATGTAGACCCAAACTTTCCCAATTAGACTTTTATGCTTTTTGATCGTAAAGACATTAAAACTAGCCATACGTTTTTTTTTTTTTTTTTTTTGTCAAACGATCAATGGTCGCAAGCTTGAAAAGGTATATATTACTAGAACCGCATGCATTTGACTTCAACAGATCGCTTTCAAACAATATTACTCAAAATGATTAAGCATACACCTTTTAAAACATGTAAACGTTTATAGGATTTTTTGTCGCAGAACTTTCGCTTGAATTGTATTTCAAGGAGGGTAGTAATTAAGAAGAGGCATATCTCTTCCACAATAAATCAGGAACAAACTGTATATCCTTTGTACTCCTCGAAACCATAAACTCATAGTAGACTGCATGAGGAAAGTGAAAAAGCATGTCTTCTGAATACGAATACCTGCACGTAAACCATTTTTTATCATGTAATGTAGGGTGTAAAGACATGATGAAGAGATGATGCACCTGCAAATGATGGATGCCTCATTTGTAGCCAATGGAAATGATGAAATTTTGGAACCGATTTTTTAACGTCTTCTAAATTGAGTCACTAATTTCCTGTTTGTAAAAATACTGGAAAAAAAAAAGAATGGTGGCCATTTTCTTTTTTTTTTCGTTTATCGTTAAAACAGTCAATAATTTCTATAAATAAATGCATAGTTCATTATCACCATCATGTCAGATTTGAAGCGAATATCACAGCAAAGATACTGGTGCGGGATATTGGCGTTAGCAGGTGTAGTGTTTATTTGGGTCTCATCATCATTTGCCATGAATGTAAGAAGGCTGCTATTCTGTTAAACAAACAAACAAAAGATTTTGTGTAAGCTTATTCATTTCTTTGACATAGAGCTTATTTGGCGAACTCAGTTATAATAAGCCGTTCCTTGTTACCTATCTAAATACAGCGACATTTTCATTATATCTTTTACCATTATTATTCAAAAGATTGAAATCGTCCTCTAACCATTATAAATCAGACAACGAAAGAACAAAGTAAATTTTATTCCATTTTTTGGCTATTACGATCAAACAAAAGCATATTAACAGTTATTCTATCTTATACGATAGATTGCTATCAGCTACTCAATTGTCAAAACATCAACAATCTGAGGTAAGAATTCGTTTTAACAAATCAAGATCTAATGTATACACTATAGTTACACTAAAGTCGATCTAACTGATCATCTATTTATTGCAGCAGTATGCAGCCATCCAACACCACAACTCCTCAACATCGTTTGACGCAATAACCACAGTATCAAAGGATACCAAACTATCCACTTACGATACTATTAAATTAAGCTTACAGTTTTGTATCTTGTGGTTCTTGGCCAATTATACAACAAACGCTAGCTTAGCTTATACATCAGTGGGAAGCAGCACTATCTTAGCCTCCATGTCAGGTAGTAATCATACTCTTAACACCTTTTATACATTCGAAATGAAGCGTTGACATTGCCGTATCCGGTAGGTCTCTTTACGCTTGGTATAGGTGCTATATTTAAAGTTGAAACAATGTGCATGACGAAATTAATGGCTGTCTTAATCAGTTTTATTGGCGTTATATTTGTTTCTTATTCTGATCACTTCACCCACAATAACAATAGTGGCGCTAATTCAGACTTTACCAGTACCACGCCTCAACCTTTATTGCCTATTGATGATCCAAGCCAGCATCAAATTATAACTGCTCCTCTTATTGGAGATAGCTTGGCCTTATTGGGCGCTATATTCTACGGTTGTTATACCACTCTTCTAAAATTGAAAATTGGCAATGAAGACCGTATTGATATGCCACTCTTTTTTGGATTCGTGGGTGCATTCAACGTCGTTCTTTTATGGCCATTGATACCCTTATTTGATTATGTTGGTCTGGAATCATTTCAAATACCTATGAATGCAACTTTATGGATCGTTATTTTTTTGAATGCATTTATTGGTACTTTTTTGTCCGATTATCTGTGGCTGTTGTCTATGCTTATGACATCGCCACTTGTCGTTACTTTGGGCATATCATTAACTGTAAGTCCATCCGTCCGCTCTGCAACCAAAATTATTAAAATATCATTAGTAGTTTTTAATTTGACTCTCTTTCACAATTAGATCCCGTTAGCATTGTTAGGTGACGTTGTCTTCAAAGGAATTATACCCAATCTTCATTATATCCTTGGCGCTATGTTGGTAGTGGTAGGATTTTTGGCTATCAATACAACAGCAATGAAAGAAGCAAGAGAAGAGACTCAGGATGAAATTCTAGCAGCGGAAAATGAAGTGCTGTAGCCAGTACTCAAACCTTGCATTATGTACATAATCATAACAAATTCCAGATATAGATTATTATTTATTCCATCATTTGCATTTTGTAAATAATAACGGAGGTTTCTTTATATATCTTGATATTATGTTATTGTTGAAGAGCAGTTTGTGTCTTTGTTGTAGTTAAAGTTGTTGTTGTATTCGAATAATACTGATTATAATCCAATCTTACTACTAAACATAGGAATTGTGATGTTTCTTGCGCCGAAAAGAAGTTAAGACTTGTCAACAATAATTTCATATGATAATTGAACGCATCCTCTAAACGACAAAAGGTTCTGTAACATTCTTCGAATCGTTCTTGCGAATTACCATTAACGCCATGTCGAGGTAAACCAAACTCATCTAACTCGCGTTCCCGTTCAAAATCACCCAGTAACTGTGTATATGTACTGGCCTCCTTTATAAACGAAAAGCAACCACCAATAATCTTATTGAAGATCCTCAGGAGCTTCGGATTGGTCAACATGCATTGATTCAAACAAATATCTAAGAATTCAGAGTGATCTTGTAGTACTTGATCTACGGTAGACACGTTGAATAATTTGCCTTGTAATTTAAGCCAATTGGGTTCGACTACTTCGTTAGCCACATAAAATGCAATTTGCTGTACAAACGTCAACATCCGGTTCCTTAACTGAAATACTCTGAATTTCCAGATTTGAACTTGAGGATCTTGTGTATCCATTTTCCATAATCTATCCTTTTGATCCGACCATAGGTTACACAGTTTGTCCTCAATGTTTTTCATTTGAAGCATACGGCGGAAAATAAGTTGATACTTAGTGATTGATTTACGGGATATCACCAAAGACAGTGGAAAATTGATTTTATAGTCAAGTGTGAGCGCTTCATAACCTGTCAATGGAGTGTCAGTTGCTTGTGATGCGAACAGTGTTGTATTTGCATTGGGAGCCGAAAGATGTGCAGACTGGAAAAGGTGAATACTGCTATTGTTGATGGAAGATGCGGAAGACGTTGGGATAGGGGTATTATTATTATTGTCATTATTGTCATAAGTACGAGCATAATTCACTGATTGTGCGGTTTCTGCTGGTGCTGAAGCGTTATTTTTGCCTGATATACTTATGACTTCTAATAATTGTTCATGGAGGCGTAGAGGGCTCATTTCGACTACAATATCATCTTTAAAGGGGTCATAGGCTGCTACAGAAGATGGATTCCGTAATACTAAATCCATCAAGGACTGAAGGCGGCTCTGGGGTATCTCTGATGCAGGTTGTTTTAATTCTTCTTTGGCTAAATCTAAGAAAGATGTAAGGAAGTCTGCTTGATCCAATAGAAAATAGTGCTTGATAGATCTTTTGTTTCAAGTGAAGAAATTATTAATACAGATTAGAACGATAATTGCTTAATTTGGTCAAAAAAAGTACATTACTTGAGACGCGGTAATAACTGGTTATCATGAATTAACAGATTTAATAGAGTATAATTAGCGTATTTGTAGGCAATTTCCAAATTCCTTTCGAGCCTAATGAAAGATAAGCTTAAGCTTAAAATATCCACAATTAGAATTCTTCATATGTACTTACTGGACACCGTTGATGGCCGTCCATACTTCACTACGATTGGGTATATAGCTATCGTTGCTTTTTAATATTTGACCTACTCCTGTTACTGGGCTATTACTCATCAAGGCACTCTTCCCTCTTTGCTGCTGTTGTTGCTGTTGTCGCTGCTGCTGTTGTAATCGCCGCTGATCTTCTAACACCAAAGCGTTTTGCATTTCTTCTGGACTCGCTAATAAACTCACACCACATCCTCTTACTACATTCAAAAACTTCCCTGCTAATAATATTTGATTTTTCAGAGGTGATAAAAAATTTGGAATTGAAGTTTCTCGTAAGGTATACCGTGTTTCCCAATATGCATCATTGAAATCCTCCTTAATATCTTCTTTTGTCACATTTATTTTTTCTATCACCATAAACTCGTCGTAAGAATCCCTTATTTCTCCACGATATATCCAATGTTGTAAAATGTCAAAGTAAGGAATAACTGCTTTGGAGAGGAGGAAGGTGTATATCTTTTTACATTTAGGATCACCGCTCAAACGAATCAAACGATTCGATAGTACATTAAGAATCGCACCACCTTTTTGATTTTCAGCGATCCTTTCTTCTTGCTCTATGATTTCATCCATCATCGCTGCATCTACACCTTCGCTTTGTTGTTGTAGTTTCTTCTGTCGTTTCAGTTTCTCTATCGCTCTATGATAATCAAATCGATCATCTTCTTTTATTGGCTTTATAGATCGAAGTGCCATAGCCAATTGATGCAAAACCCTCATTTTCTGTATAGTATCTTGTGCGTAAAACCACAACTTCTGTAAAGTAAATGTGGGGTCGTTATGAAATGAATGCTCTAATTGAGCTACAAAACTCAAGTAGGTTTTGATGAATTCTTTCATGCCAGAACACAAAGCGTGGTTGACAGTGCCGTATTTGAAATGAGAATACTCTTCAATGAAAGCTTCGGTGGACATATAATATGTTGCTAAACAGATAATTTTGTTGACAAAGCTTTTTATACTGGGATCTAGCGTTGGATCTATTGTATAGGTTGTAGCATCCCAATCCTCGTAAACGTTGTCGTTAATATCGTCTTCCACGGCTAGGCTGGCATTCCTCTCTTCGCTTTCAACTGACATGGTTGGTCTATGGCAAGTTATATAATTACCATCGACACCCTAAATTAAACATGGTAACGATTAGCTGCTTGCCAGCTTTTATTTTTTTTTTTCTGGGTTGATCCATATCAGAATTAACATTTATATTTACAACAAACATATTCAATAGATCTTCCATTATTGCATATTCCTGTATCTGAACAGAAAAATTGCCTACAGGCTGAACAGATCCTCGTTCATGACTTGTATGACTAGAATTCACTGATTAATTGTTAAAGGAATATGTATAAGAGTTATATAAGTATAACGGCCTTATGCAAACAGAAGTCGAAAACGAACTCACTTGTGAACGTATTCGGCCAGGGTGAGGATGTCGTTCTCATTTCAGTTCTTGCATTGTAATTGCTAATATTGGAACTACTATTGCTATTTCTCCGGACTTTTGTGTTAACAGATAATACGGGTGGTGATTGTTGCTGTGATTGTTGCTGTGGTTGTTGCTGTGGTTGTTGTTGTGGAGTTGTGGTCGATCCTGAACGATTATCGTGCCTTAAATGTTCTAGCCGACTACTAATCTATAGAAGAATTGGAGCCACAAGAGTCAATCTTCTCTTTTCACCGTTCAGTAATAGATTGATTCCGCTTACTCTGGTCAATCGATCGTCTGAGAGTAAAGGTGTTACTACTTTTCTTTGAGATGCGAAAGCAGGTGAACTAGCAGTTTGGGTTTTGTTCTCATGACGAAGTCGATTACTGTTGTCCGAAAGAGCACCCATAGCAGTTGATGAAGAAGTCGATAATTGGCTAAGTCTATTAGCTGATCGATCTATTCGTAGAGAGGAACCTGACGTTGTTCTGTTGTAGCTCATTTTTAAAAAAGCTGTTCTATTCAATTGCTGTTACCACAGTACCATTTGAATGCGCGCGAATTTCCATAAGTGGCATACATTTGAGGCGCAACAAGGAAATAAACTCAGAGTAGTTTTTTAATACGTTTAAAGAGAGGTTTTTTTATTGACAAAATAATTTTCTTAACAACCCAGTGGGCACAATGTTTTATAAAATTGCCCAAGGCAGATCCGACTGTTTATAAAAGTATCTAAAAATCCCTTTAGGATCAAGGGTAAGAACGAGTTTGTCACAAGGTTGAGTGATTAGAAGGAGACATCCATTGGAGCAGTAAAGATCCTAGAGCAACATCCAAGGGTGGGGGTTCTTTGACGTGGAAGAGATAGTCTAGCTCATATAGTATGTAGCAGAGGATCGGCCATTGGTGTTCCCATTGACGTTTTAGTTCTTTAATACGCTTAAACATAGATTTTATTACATAATATTAATTTTTTTTAAAGCCCAATGGACACGAGATATTAAGCTTATCTAAATTGCCAGGGGCAGCTCCAAAGACTGAAAAGAATCTAAAAGCCCCTTAGGGCTCAAGGGTAAAAAGGATTATGTACTAAAGGGTTGTGGGAGGGGAAGAGGGTAACCAGTCGAGCAATAGGTGCCCTAACCGAGGAGTTGTAGGCGGCTCTTGAGAGTGGTGTAAGTAGTCGAGTTCAAACAAAATGTGACAAAGTGCTGGCCATAGAAAATGCCAGTTTTGTATTTGGGATGGGTTGTTGATCGGGTGTGTGGGAAGACGGTTGAGGACATAGGATATGGGATCACAGACTGATGTTAGTTCTTTAATACACTATCTTTACTCTAAATTCAGTCAATGTTGGTTTTTTTAGTGGACGAATAAAAGTTATTTCTTAGATACTTAACTTAAATTATTTGGATTAATTAACAAAAAAGCTAGACAAAAATCCTCAATATTGAGACGAATTGGAATTTATGTCTGTGACCTGTATGATCAGATAAAGACTTCATGTAATCGAATACTGTCGTGAGCAGTACCTCTGCAATAGCTTGATTTAGTATGTGTAAATTATGACATATCAGTAAGAATTATTATAGCCATTATGTTTAGCTATTTTGAAAAATGTGCTTCGAACTTACGTTATTCGAGTAATAACCACTGCTTTCAACTGTTTTGGTATATTAACCGAAGAACAATTGAAAGGAGATAAACATCCATATCAGCAAAAAACCTGAACCGTCACAAATTGATGTTGTGATATATCTATAACAACTTTGATCTGTTTTTGTTGTCTATTCTCTCTTTCTCTCATTTTACAAAGCCATGTTTAAATCGATTATTCTTGATAAAAAGCGTCAGGTTTTTGAAAACCGTAAAGCAGATGCTTTTGTAGGTAAAAAAAATCAAATTATTATCGAACAACGAGTTTAAATTTACAGTATGTATCTCTAGATGCTATATGTGCTGACTGTAAAAAACAAGGTCATTTCACCAAAGACTACTTCAAATGTGATTTTTACAAAGCATCCTCTGCTGATGATGGTAAGTTAGATTATTAAAAACCAAGATATTAAAAAAAACAAAACAGTTATAAACATTTGAGTTTGTAGTTGGCTCAAGCAGAGGCAAGAAAAGAAGTCAGAGCTTTGATGTAAAGAAACAGAAAAAGAGAGTCAGGATAGAAGAAAACCTGAACGAGCATCAGAATCACACAGTTTGCAGTAAATGTAAACAGCCAGGCCATTCATCCACAAACTCCCCTCTGTGCCCTGACCACATTTCAAGGGAGACTGAAATTTTCAAACAGAATTTAGGTGACACTTATCAAGCCTTTACCAGAAGAATTCCGGTTGATAATTGTGTTTTTGATGATTACAGAGATAGCCCGAGGAAAAAATAAATGAAGCCTCATCAACTGCCCGTTATCTGGTATTTGAAGCAAGAATATTCATAAATTATTACGTTTTGGAAAGCTCGGCATATGTTGCCCCAAAGTGTCTGTCCACACAGAGCTTTTGGTATACAGTGATTAAAATAACCAATGGGCAAACTGTCAAAAACACATCAGCACTTCCAAATGGGTTTATAGAAGCCTACAACAACTTTAAAACCAATTACTCGTCATTTACACGCTCCAAAACCCTCGTACCAGGAATCAGCCAGTGCATTCCTGAAGCCTGTATGGAGATCGCTACTTCCTGCCTCAACAATGTCATTGAAAATTTTGAACAAAGGCTTGTATATTTTTTGAAGTTCAAGTTGCAAATGATGTTTGTGGTACGTTGAGACTGGAACGATGCATTATGCTTTCTAAGTACTCACTTTAATCTGTACGACATAAATTACTATTCGTCTTCAAACTAAAATTTTTTGTCTAATTTTAATTTTTTATTTATTTACAAACTGTTAGGTAAATATATAAAAAATATTTTTTATTTGTCCAAAAAAAAACTAACATCGTCTGAATTTGAAGTAGAAATACTGTATGTTGTGAACATATGCGTTCGCGATACTTACACCTTGATCGTTCCGTTATTCCCTAGTTTGCCTCTGATCATCTTCCCTTTTTCCTTTGTCCCGTTAAAGGTTTTAATTCCCTCACACTTTTCTTGAACCTCCCCGGGCAATTTTGGTAAGTATTTATCTGTGTGCTCATTGGGTAAAATTTCATTGTAATAAAAATATCTCTTTAAACGTATGTTCTGAACAAATTATAATGATTAGTTTAGCCCCTTCCCCCTCCCCCCACCCCATTTAGATAGTATGCTTTTTCGCCCACCACGGCACCCTGACCGATACTATGCAACGTCCTATTCTCAAAAAATCGAGCTGCCCTGGGCAATTTCTGATATGTAGTTTATCTGTGTGCCCATTGGGTTTAAAATATATAATAAAAATCATGTTTAATCATATGTCGTGAACAACCAGACCCCTCATTAGGCTTCGCCCTATTAATGGTTGACCCAGCCCTCACACAACAACAACTGATTAAATCCTTTTTTACCCTTGTTTCCAAAGGGGTTTTTAGCAATATACAGTCTATACTATAGAAATTTTAGGATCTGCCCTGGGCAATTTTTGGTGCTCATTGGGTTTTAAATATTGTAATAAAAGATTTCTTTAAACATGTCGTGAACAAGCAGTCAAAGCACGTACACTTTCAATTATAATAAAGGGGGCCATTGGATGGATGTAGATCACTTGTCTGATTGTTGTTTTTTGGGTCATTATAAACATTCCTTCACTATAAGGAAAAAAGTGTAGACATGAATAAACTATGTATGCTTAGCACATATATATACGGAAATAGTTATATATTTGAGACGTCAGGGTAGAAGAAAGGAATATGTTGATATAAAAAACGAGTGATTAGGGTAGCAATACATAATTAAAGAAAGAGAATACTAATATCATTGATGATTGTTGATGTTGATCTGTTCAAAAAAATTAAAGAGCTGAAGTATGTCATCGAAATGAATTAGCCTGTTCACAAAGTGAAAAAAACGCCATGGTATCAGTAAAACTACAGAGGGTAACTTATAATCACACAGACTTACATGCACATCCATTTGCATTAGTAGCATTGTTTTCTGAGTTTTCTAAATCAACACGAGAAGAATTCAATCCAGCTCTATTTCTACCACCACTGCGAGAACTATCGGCTAATTGATCGAGGGGCATGCGCTTTGCTATCGCATGGAAAAGTTCATTCACATTCTCAGCAGTCTTGGCAGAGGTTTCGAAGAACAACAACCCAGCTTCGTCAGCATATTCTTGAGCAGTCTATTGTTGCAAAAAATAAAATTAAGTGTCGTGAACAAACAATTTCTCGCTTGAGTTAACAATTTACCTTGGTATCAATAGCTCTTCTAGCTTCAAGATCAGATTTATTACCTGCTAGGGCAATGACTATATTGGGATCTGCTTGACGTTGTAATTCATTGACCCAAGCTTTAGCTTTATCCAAAGAAGACTATTAATGAACCGTAAAGTCAATTAAGTACGAATGCAAATTGTTTCTTAGGCGACGTTGTAACGGCGAACTTACAGCTTGAGTAATATCATAAACAACGACAGCACAGTTTGCATTACGATAGTACATAGGTGCTAAACTCTGTTATATCATATTAAGCATTTATCTCTGATTTGTAAATCTTTTCCATGTGTTTATGTGTGAGTTACCTTATATCTTTCTTGTCCAGCAGTATCCCTAGAAAAAAGATAAATACCCAAGAAGTAATGGTATTAGTTAACTATTGAAATCATATCCCTTCTTCTCATGTTGAGTGTATAATCACCATATCTCAAATTTGACAGTAGTATTGTCATCTAACGAAATGGTTTGTGCAAGGAAAGCAGCTATTTTGTTAAGAATTGATATCGAGTTAGCTAATTACCAATGACTTTATTTCCATTATATTCCAAACTGGGTATTTCAACCCAACGCTCTTCAAACAAAATTGTGCTTCTCAAATGGCCGAAAACACTAAACAGTGATAGCGGAAGGGAAGAGCCAAATGGAAAACATAGCAAGACCGTTTGGAGATTAGAGGTTACTTACCACCGATGGTACTTTCTCTATATTCATCAAAGTGATCTTTGACGAAGCGCATTACTAAACTGTATTTATATAGACATATCAATTATTAGAAAACTACTTCGTATCAACTCATGCATTTCTATATTAGTTTCGAAAAATGCTGAGCTAACCTTGACTTTCCAACAGCTGACTCGCCTGTTTAACCCAAGAATCAAGAATTGGTGGTTAGTCATTGTAATATTCGCTTCTCTAATCTAATTGTACGAGCTATTTGTATTTCTGCATACCTAAGAGAACAAGTTTAAATTGGAAGGTCTTTCCTTGTTGTGCAGACATTATGTACTAAGTAGTGTGTTTAACAAGATTGCTGATGTATTCAACGGGAGTAAAAGAGAAAGAAAAAAAGCGAAAATTTCCATCAACATTCGCCTTCTGCGGAAATATGCTGTTGTAGAGAGACCTACTTTATTTGGCAATGATTTAAGCGAACCTATTCAAAAAAAAATAAAAAAAAAAGAAAAAAAAATTATGATTTGTATCAAGTGCAGTAAATTAAGGATGAGTATCGATTAATGAATTCTTCGTTGTATGCCACCAAACTGTAGATGCTAAATTGGTATACATGGATAAAAAACATAAGCGGAAAGTTACGAGAAACAGTTCGGCTGAGACATATGGAAAGTAGTTGGGAAGTATCAAGGATGCCCATCTACTCTTTACTTGTCTGATACGAATGTTCGATTTATTGAAAGGTACAGTTTCCTCTAATCTCTTCCTGTTAGTAATGAAGTTTTTCCTTCAATCACAACCTTTCTCGTTAACTAATGCTTTGGCTAATGCTGACCTTAGGAAGCTTGTTAGTGTTGCTTAGATGTATCCAAATATAATCACAGATATGCGAATTTCGTGAAGGTTTATCAAGTTTGGCCTATTCGCGTAACTAATCTAGTTGATGAAACACATAAACACCACACGTATACCGTTTAGTGAAAATCTTAGACGAAGGTAAGGATTTGCCTCAAGATACCCTCAACCTCAACTCAATACATTTCCTGCTTAATTTTAATATATGCTAGGTCTGGTAGTCAATTAGCAGGGGAGGCCATTGAAGCACTCATGGACATACTTAACTGACTAAGCAGGCTACAGTCAGTGTCAATATGATTTTCCTTTTTTTTTGACAGATAGAAGTACAATATACGATGTACAGTTGAATGAATAGGAGCCCAAGAAAGTCAATTTGAAAATATTCGGCGGCCTCATAGCGACTAGCTTCCACCTAACATAGAACCGTTGGAGACTAGGTAAGAAAAGTAAATTCAGCTTTTACTCTTACTGTTCGTCTCGTTTGACTGAATTTGCAGAACTATTTTACACTAAATGGTTAATAGAGATCTTTCACAGATCTGTATCTCCTTTTACAGCAGCCAATCAACTTACGATAAAAAGCAATCAAAAAATTTTTGAACCACATCTGTCTTCGTGAATACGCGAGTAATTTTCCCTTTTCTTACTTCCCTGCCTTCCCTTTACGTTTTATTCAAAGTAGAAATAATAATAACATGCCTTACACTTTTCTTGCTATGGAAAATCCTTTATTGGATATTCAATGTAAACCCAGCAAAGATCTCTTAGAAAAGTACAAGCTCAAGGCTAACGATGCCATTTTGGCTGATGCTTCACACGAGTCTTTGTATAAAGAAATTGTTGACAACTATGAAGTTGCTTATGTTGCTGGCGGTGCCGCTCAAAACACTGCTCGTGGTGCTCAATACCTTTTGCCGCCAAACTCTACCGCTTATATGGGTTGTGCCTCCGATGACGATTTTGGTAAGAAGATGGCCGATGCTGCTAAGGCTGATGGCTTGTATACCAACTATCAAATAACTCAAGAAGCTCCTACTGGTATCTGTGCTGTTTTAATTACTGGTAATAATCGGTAAGTTGTTGTGCCAATTGACACGTCTCGATTTTTGGAAGAAAAGAAATTTTGGAGGCAACAGTTTAATGTTAAAGACGAACTTGACAAGAAAGAATACAAACTGCTGGCAGTTTGTATGATGGATTGAGTGGATCGTCGGAAATCACATTTGCATACATGGCCACAGTGTATATTACTGAAATACAGTATTTGCTTATCGAGCAAAGTGCTCAGTTTATAATCGTTGCTTCCTACTTTTATCAAGTATAAAGAACAATCGAGCTGATTATGCCTTTTTTTTTCGTCTCAATAATTAGTTCCCTTGTCACCAGGTTAGATGCTGCCGAAAAGTTCCAAACTTCATTCCTTCAGCAGCCTGAAAATTGGAAACTCGTTGAAGAAGCTAAGTACTACTATTTTGGCGGTTTCTTCATCACTTTTGACGGTGGCTATCAATCCGCTCTTTTAGTTTCACAGCATGCTGCTGAAAACAACAAGACTTTCGCTTTCAATTTGAGTGCTCCCTTTTTATCTCAATTCTTTAAGGAACGTCTTGATGCTGTCATTAAAAATACTGATATTCTTTTCGGTAATGAAGATGAAGCACGCACTTATTCCAAGCAAGCTGGTTGGGATACTGAAGATGTTCAAGAAATTGCCAAGAAGTTGTCCAAATTAGAAAAGGGTAATGCTAAACCTCGTATCGTTGTCATCACTCAAGGTGCCGATGCTACCGTTACTGCTGTTGGTGACGAAGTTAAGGTTTTCCCTGTCATCAAGGTTGACTCGAGTGAAATTGTTGACACCAATGGTGCTGGTGATGGCTTCTGCGGTGGTTTTATGGGTCTGTATGCACAAGGTGTTGATGACATCGGACGTTGTGTTAAGGCTGCTCACTATCTCGCCAATCTCGTCATCAAACGTGTTGGTCCTACTTATCCTCCCATGTCCGAGAGAACCAATATCCCCTCTTTCTAAGTATCTATGCAGCTGTAACTATTACTGCTGCAGTTGGAGTATTCATTGGTTTCAACAACTTTTCTCCTCTCTTTATTACGATACTCCTCATATAATACGATCATTTTTTACATTTACATACTTATACTTTTGGTTTGTAAACCTTCAAGATATTTATCCATACCAGGTTTACTGTACATTACCACTTTCTGTAGAATAGTTTCAACACATTTGTACAAAATATTAAAGTTAACTTATATACTCACAATATATCAACTAGTTGATCGAAATCGTGTAATCTTCAAGGTTATTCTTCTAACGAATGATCAGACAATTTTGAAATTAGTTTGAATTAGAAACAAGTACAGAATGCCATTCCTATTGAGACGTTATCGTATGAAAAAGCGAAAAAAAAGCCTAATACATTAATATTCTACAGTTCTTTGGTATAAATCAATGTAACATGTTTAATCTATTTACAGTTGAGACATGGATGAATAAGTTAATGATTAATGTAATTGTATAAATATGAAGTTAAGGTTTATATACTAATGCAATGATATCTTAAATTTCTTGCCCTGACAATTGACTATAATTTCTTTTTGTTGAACCCTTAGGAAATACTTGCTTGATTTTGTGAAAAACGGACTTCATAAGAGAAGAGTCCTTCTTAGCAGAAGAAACATAGGAGTCGTTCAATAGACTTTGATATTCAGAGTTATTGTTATTGCTAGAAGAGCCAGGCTGCTGGTAATCTAATTCGATATCCAGTCCTTCTTCAAGGTTACCCGTTTCTATTTCATTCACCAACAGGGATAGTCTGACAGCTGCATCTTTAGAATTGCGGCTGTCGTCAACATTGTGAGAAAACTCCTTCTGGCCGATCATGTCCGGTTTCTTCCAACTCCATTTTAATATTAAGCTGCTCATTACCACACTAGTTGAGCTACAAGCCATAGCAATACCAGCCATCATAGGATGAAGTCGATAACCCCAAGGTAGAAAAACACCCATTGCCAATGGAATGCCTATTGCGTTATAGATACATGCCCATAAAAGATTCATACGAATACGATGGAAAATGGCCTTGGATAGGTCAAGAGTGGTCACAACATCAGTTAGATCATTGCGCATCAAAACCACGTCAGCTGCTTCCATAGCGATATCGGTACCACTACAAAGTGCTATACCTAAATTAGACTGAACTAACGCCGGAGAATCGTTTATACCATCACCAACCATAGCCACCACTGTCTTCTTTGATTTTGAATTATTGCTGCTGCTGTTGTTATGATAAAGAGGCAGATAATCGCTCCTTATTCCACAACCAAACCATGACCTGAACGACTTTCGTGAATTGGTGAAGTGCATCTCTTGCATTGTTTTGACAATTTGAGTTTTACCGTTCGGACTAACACCAGCATGCACTTCATTGATACCCAACTGAGAGGCGATACAGTTGGCTGTTAGTTCATTATCACCAGTAACCATAGCTGTTTGAATGCCCATCGAATGTAACGTCGCAATAACTTCTTTGGCTTCCGGCTTAACAATATCAGACAACGAAATATAACCAAAAGAAACTCCATCAATGCCAATAAGAATGCAGGTACGACCCTGGAATCCCTGTTCCTGATAATCACTTTCTTGTTCATCATGCAAACCAATACCGTTATAATCTTCCAACCAAAGCTTATTACCAATAACAACACTATGTGAGGTATTCAGAAGAGGCTCCAAACAACTTTTTACCTTTGCTGGTAACTGTGTAAGCATACAATCTGTCACTGTAACGTCACATGAAATGCCAAATCCGGTTTCGCTTCTGAAGTTGTCGATGGTAGCTAATGAGTCCAGCACATCCAATCCAGTCAGTTCCTTGCCAGCAGCAACAACGGCACGCCCCAAAAGATGCTCACTATGAGATTCAGCAAGTGCTGCCAAAATAAGCATTTGTAGACGGTGATGATCATGTCCTTCTTCATCTTTCCAACTCTTAGCGTCCACTAAAGTCAGTTTACCCGTGGTGAGAGTGCCTGTCTTGTCGAAGACAACCTTATTGACAGCTTGGCCGTTTTCAAGCACAGAACCACCTTTAAAGAGCACACCATTCTCAGCACCTACACCAGTGCCAACCATAACTGCTGTAGGTGTAGCCAAACCTAAAGCACAAGGACAAGCGACAATGATGACACTGATACAGAGTTTCAGACAGACGAAAAACCAACCTCCATCACTGTTGTTATTGATTTCATTCTTTAACACGGTAGGCATATTATCAACACCTAATATGTTCACCATTAGTGACCAGAAAACCAAAGTACTTAAGCCAAGCATGATGACTGTAGGGACGAAATAACCAGCAATCTTGTCAGCAAATCCTTGGATAGGTGCTTTGTTCACTTGAGCATCTTCAACAAGCTTGACGATTTGACTAAGACAAGTATCAGCACCAACGCGTGTCGCTCTCATGATAACAGCGCCTAAACCATTTACTGTGCCACCAATCACACTCGAACCGACATTTTTCGGAACAGCATCCACTTCACCAGTAACCATGCTTTCATCGACAGTCGTGGAACCAACAATAACTTCACCGTCAGTAGGCACTTTTTCACCAGGTAGCAGCTTGAGTAAATCTCCTTCGGATATAAGCTCTGAAGGAATCTTTTTCTCAGACAAGACTACATTCTTTTCATCAATTGTCACCAGTAAAGCTGTTGATGGTGTTAAGGACATAAGTTTTGATAAAGCTGAAGACGACTTGCCCTTGGCCTTATTTTCCAAATATCTGCCCAACACAATAAAGGTGATGAGCATTGTTGATGTATCAAAGAACACAGTGGGTGGTGACAGAGTTTTGGCGATTACCCCACGTATCATAGAGACAACGGAAAAAGTAAAAGCAGCCAATGTTGATATAGACACTAGTACATCCATAGTAGGTGCTCCGTGGCAAAGCGAGACATATGCAGATCGTAGAAAGCGTTTACCCACACCAAATTGTACAGGAAACGTGAGTAAGAGTTGTGTAGCATCCATTAAATACATGCCAGGTAAAAAGAAAGGTATCTCCATGACCAGTTGACTCCAACTAAACATAGGCAGCACCATAGCAATGATGAAGACTGGGATAGCAAAGAATAAACACTCAACGAAAGCGTATTTCCACTCTTGAATCTCTCGTAACTTTGTCAAACTTTCGAGCTGGGAATCTTTGACTGTATTTGTCAACAAGGCGCTGAAGCCTAATGCTTCTATTTCTTCAACGATGACTCGTGGACTGGTAATATCGCAGTTGTATTTAATCTTGGCAGTTTCTGACAATAGGTTTACTGACACTTCCAGAACCCCAGGTAAGTTGTTCAATCCATTTTCAATCGATGCTACACAACTACCGCAAGTCATGCCATATATCTTCAATTGTATTAAATCATCTTGTTTACGTTCTATCGCTATCGCCTCGAATCCAGCATCATTTATAGTCTTCACAATTGCTTCTGTATTAATCAAGTTCGGTTCAAAAGTGACAGTACCTCTTTCTGCTAGCAAAGCTATATTGACGGTTACAACGCCCTTCTTAGACCGCAGACTCCTTTCTATACTCATAACACATGATGCACACGTCATTCCGTGGATTTCCAACTGAACTGACGCCAAACTATTATGTTCATCATTGTCGCTGTCAAATATTTTTTCTTTAGAAAACAATTCATCTACTCCTGCTTCATTGAATGCTGTGTTACTATTTGTGCTACTGCTACTCCTCATGATGGGCTTGCTTTCAATAATTTCACCTGGCTTTGCTACGCTGATGTTTTTATTGTTGTTATTGGGCGCAACCACTTCAAATCCACAGCTTTCGATTGCTTCCACTACATCAGGCGTAGTGACAAGGTTTGGATTATAGCTGACGATCGCTTCTTCGTCTCCTAAATCTATTTCTACAGAAATGACGCCTTCAATGCAAGAGAGAGCACTGGTGATAGCTCTGACACAAGATTGACAAGTCATTCCTAATACACTCAAAGTGACAGTTGTGATGTTTACTTCAAATCCACAGTCCTCAATTGCATTTTTAAGATCAGTGATGGATATTATAAATGAGTCGTAGACAATAGCTGCTGCCTCGTTTTCAAGATCGACGTTGATGGTTTTAATACCATCGATGCTTGATAAAGCGGTAGTAATAGCCCGCACGCAAGATTGACAAGTCATACCCTTCACAGGTAAACAAACTGTCTTTTCATTACATATGCTCATTGTTTCTTAAACACCAAAGGTTTTTAGAATTACAATATAGATATGAAAAGAAAAAAAGGGACTAGAACAATAGAAGGGATGGAAAAGAGAAAAGACATTGCACGGGGGGGATGAGAGCACTGAAGAATAAAATAGGAGAATGGAGATCGTATCCAATGGAAAGTCCGCTTGCCATACACTGTTACCCAAAATCACATTTTGCTTTTTCGTCTCCTTTTGAATGAATATCCTGTTTATGCTATCATTTTTAGGTTACTAAGAGAGTATGAAAACTTATCACCAAGAATGCAGATACTTGACTTTAACTTTCCAAAGTACGACTGCGTTTTGCCTTTTCCTGTACAGCTCCAGGCACAGATGGTAATTTTCTGATATCATAAATTTCAAAGAAAAATTTTTTTGTGAATCTCTGAAACAATGGACTTATCAGATTTTTTCTTTTGTCTTGTGGTACCTTCGAGTTCCGATTATACTAGTGGTTCCAGCTGCCCCGTGATTTTAGATAAGATTAATAATCAATTTGATAGTTCTTTAAAAATAAAAAAAAATAAAAACCCTAATATTTCCTACCATCAGTTGTTGTAGTTGATTGTTGAGACTTGGAAGATGATTGCGAGACCAATTCATGGGTTAACATATCAATAACCTCGGCGTTGCTGAATTAAATGAACGATAGTATGTAATTGTGAAATAATCAGATCTTGCAAAAAGATAAATCGAAGAAATCTTACTCGTCAAAGACATATTCCTCTCCAGCATCTTCCGCTTCAGTAGACTGTATCATCTGGTAAAAGAACTCGTCGTCACCTTCTATTGAATTTCAAAATTGAACATCATATTTTAACCAAAAAGAGAAAGAAAAAACTGTTAGTAATGACTGCTAATTTTTACCATAAGAAAAACTCTCTTCAGGAAGTAAAACGATATTGCTGGCTGTTTCAGTAGGATTAGATTGTGCAGTTTCTGTTGAAGTGTTGGACTTTGATGTGCCTGCGATTGCCTGCGAATGTTTTGACGGTCCTGCCGACTGTTGTTGTTGCTTTTCATTCTGAATTCCTCTTTGATTTTCATGTCTTTTTTGTTCAAGAAAATGCTGCTGCTGTTGCTGTTGCTGTTGCTTATGCTGTTGCTTATGCTGTTGCTGTTGTTGTGCTGGCTCGATTTCACGTTTTAGCTCCCTCTGAACGGTATCAAATTGGTTATGCCTATATAAATTTTGTGGGGTATACTTGATCTAGCAGTTCGAAAGTGCACACAAACTCACTGATTAGTTTTATAATTGTCAAACAGACTTAAACAACAGATCACAGTACCTGAGGTTGTCCCATTTGGTTAATCATTTTGACATATGCTTTTTCATAAAGGCAGTTCCCTAGTGCATTGCCAAAATTCTTCAGAGCACGTTTTACACCATCCGTAATTGCTTGCTTCTTCGCCTTTTCAAGTGCCGAACCTTTTGTCTTAGCGTTTTCAGTTGATCCGTAGCCGATATCCTATTGTTTATTGTTTAATAGATATTTGAAATCGAACAATGAGACCCTTACCAAAACCAAAGATAAGTCTGTGTATATGCAAAACCTACTTCATGGAATGTACCGTCTCTCAAAGTAACTTTTACAATCGCCGTAACACCACAGTTAACTCTGCCTTCAGCAGATACATCTAACTGTTCAAGGCCAATAGCAAAAGTGAACCATTAACAGATGTGAATAGCTGATACATTTTTGGTAATTCAGTAATTTGTATACGTACATAGTCAATAGTTGTTTCTTTGATTTCAGATGTCCAGCCGTTGAAGCCAAAAATCTCATTGGCTATGCTGATGACCTTTGAACCCTCTATGTAAGTCAATTTCCCTGAAGGCCCAGATCTTGTAGCGATGAACTCAGGTCCAAGGTTTTTTCTTAATTGTTCGTCTATACGCCTTTCTTCTTCTTCAGTATATGGTCGATTTGAACTCATTATGTAGATAGATCTAACCGATGTCGTCAACTTGACTAAAAGCTACGAACAAAAATCAAGCTGTCAAGCTGGAAGATGATGAAATCATGCACCAGGACGACTATAAGATTTTTAGGGTCGTGTCTTGAACGCGCCACAAAGAATCAGCTTTGTTCAAATTTGGTACTCAGACGCAAAGTTAACCTGCATTCTTCCCTTGCATTGTATTGACGAATCGTAAAGCTCTGACAGGGTTTGTTTAATATCGGTAGCAATAGAGCAGGTTGAATCATTAAAATTTAGAGCAAATGAATACGAAGAAAGGAAAAGAAAATCATTTGTCCATTCTGGTCAAAATATTCAGCTAATTATTTAGCAAAACGTAAGTGTCGTGAAGCCGCCTGAACTTGTGAAGAGTCGATAGCACGTCTTCTTTCTGGCAACATCTATTATAGATTTCGGCCCTACCAAAGTCCACTACAAGCTGATTAATAAGAATATTATATTCTTGTAAGCATTTCGGTCACCATTCCATGATACACCAGAAAAGTTGGCGATTCAAGTGATCAACAACTTGACCAATTTTCCTTCCAACTAAGCTTTCATAAATCAATAGAAATACGATATATTAGAAATTGGGGTTACTGCTCATGTTCGAATTTTGTAAATGTCTGAACATAAAGTAAATGAAACGATTGATACCGCCACAATTTTCATACAGCAATTCCTCCACTCCTGTTAAATACCCTCTTACCTTCGCAATACTCTGTTCTTCGTTTCGTTATCAGCGGCGGTCAACTGTACTTACAATAGCCCTGTCTATTATGGTAAAGACTTCCATTCTGAGCATCTGTTTCTACTTTTATAACTTGAAAAGAGAAGAAAAGTAGTAGTTTTCACGTCAAAAAAAAAGGCAGTATGAAGGAACTGTTTGCGTAAAACGCAAACAATTGAACTACTTCTTACTCTTTAAATATTTAAAAAACTCGCTATTTCCTTCATGCTTCTTGATAACCTTTTTTTTTTTTATATACTTTATGATACTCTTATTGCCGTCAGAAGCTTGCTTCATAGTTTTTTTACTGATGGTTTTTGAGAATAGTCATACAATCCAGTTTAAGCTGATTCATTTCTGCAGAATTTCAACAATACATTGATTTCATCAAAAGTATGACTGCGTGAGCGTATCTTCCATGTTGAGCTGTTTTGTACGTTGTATCAGTTTCAATCTCTTTGATACGAACATATTCTTCTTTTCTTGGGGCTCATATTTGATGATCAGTCTTGCTCGTTACTACAATCAACACAAGTGGTTAATTCGTAAGAGGTATTATTATCACTTTTAGACAACGAACAGCAATCTAGTAGCAATATTATCTTCTTTTATTCGGTCATTTATGCTTCAAGTAGTGCCTTACTTTACAAAATAATACGGCTATCATGGCATTGATAGTGAACGTAGTAAAATTGGAGAATGTCAAAAAAATTGAAAGCCATTGGAAGCAAAGAGTGTTCTATAATGTCAAAATGATCAAAAGGAAAATAGAATATAAAATAAAACGAAAGAATAGATATGCATTATTGAAGTAGAGGTCTAACGAAGGTGTCTTTGATATTGCCGTTATTGTTCTAAAAATTCTTCCAAGTGTTTGAAACAGCATACTACACTCCATTGATAGTACAAAAATTGACGCCATATGTTATTATCATGTAATCGAGCCAGATGATAAGCAGAAATTGGAAGAAGCGCCAATACTCAAACACGGCTAACTGGAAAATGACATTTCTATGGTGCCGATCACATCATATATATTATTACCTAAGAACTGGAATCGAAAGATATAAAATCAAAAGAATCGTATGCTCTGTGATTCCTGAAAGTTAATCTTTTCTTTAAGGGAACCCTTTTCAAAATGAGCAAATCCACTAAACTTTACCTTATAACTATTTCAAGCTGTTTTCGTTAGCATTACAAGCTGTCGAACAGGATTCAACGAAAGTAATTATGTATGATGATAGAGGAAAAGAGTGAACTAGGAAAAACTGATAATTACCAAGGTCCTACCAACCTTAACTCACGCATTTTGTCTACAACAACGGTTTATCAGCAACATATTGATCGGATCAAGAATTATCACGGTATCTTATACGCCTTAGAAAGTAAGAAGTTACAGATCAAGGCTTTCCTTTAAATAAAAATATTTAGTTTAGAAATTGCAATGCAGCAATGACGATGCAAATTATTATCACTGAGTTTTCGTAATTGCTTAAATAGTGGTCTACGAATTGCGATAGTTCGTTTCCAAATGCCAAGTAGAATAAATTCTTTTATTTCAAAAATTGGGAAATTTTACCTCAAAAACTTTTCTGTCAGAAATTTAATTCGCTGAGAAATGCGTTGCATTATTCTCATTTAGTTTCCTTTTCATAAAAAACTTCATGTCTGATGTGAACGAAGAATCCTTTCTCAAAGGAAGTAGTAATGACAGAGGTCGTCATCCATTACAGAGAAGAAAGTCTGATTCAAATCTACTTGATATCAATACCAAAAAAGTTGATACCCCACAGCAAAGAGCACACTCGCCATATACCCGGAAAAGTAGTACTCAGTACTTTCAACTGAATAAATCCATATCTGTCACTATGGCTGAGAGACAGTTGTCTAAACAGGCAGCTGCTATCGATAAGGATAAAAACAACGGTAGTATCAATTCTCAAGAAGATACATTTTATCGCGCATTGGAAATAAAGTTTCACCATTCAGTTGGCAGCATGAGTATAAGCCCTGCGTGTCGTGATGTTGTTCTAGCTGGGTAATGTTGACTTAACTGCAATGGCGGCTATGAGTATATCTAACTTGTTTGACAACTTTTTTATGCAACTAAAAAGACGACAAGGCTTAGTTATAATTGACTTGGAAGATCCATGGCTGATTCCTAGAATCTTACCACATATGTCAAAATGGGAGGTTGCTGACGTTCAGTGGAGTCCTCATATCCTCAGAGAATCATGGATTGCCTCAACAGTAAGCAGCACCATTGTTTGCCATTAGTTATCTTCTTTTCTTTCATATTATTGAAATAAAAGCCTCGCTTCATTGTGTGATTACATAGTCAAATCAAAAATTACTTGTTTGGAACTTAAACTATTCTGGTACAAGAGCTATTGAACACGTCTTCCATGCCCATGCAAGAGCAATCTCAGATATAAATTGGTCCCCACTTCACCCTGACATTTTAGCAACCTGCTCGGTTGATACATATGTTCATTTATGGGATTTACGGGAGCCACAAATAAACTCCCAAGATCAAAATGATGATAGGCAAATGAGGCCAACTTTCTCCTTTACTCCATGGAATGGTATTTACTGATATACAAATCGAATCAATCTCGAGAACAGTCTACTAAAACTTTATATTTTTATAAATCAAGCGGCTGCAACACAAGTTAAGTTCAACAGGAGAAGTGAACATTTGATAGCATCTGCTCATGATAAAGAAGTGAAGATTTGGGATTTACGAGTAAAGCGAAAATAGGTTGAGTTAAAATTCTGTAAAGCTTCTGCTCACAAATAATTTGTATGCATAGAAAGGTGCTGTACCAGTCACAAGTATAACAGCACATTCAAAGAAGATTTATGGAATTGATTGGAGTAGGCAAAACGATCATGATATTGTTACATGTAGTTTAGATAAGCTAGTCAAGGTAGAAGACTATATTCTCATATGATGCTTAAAGAATAATTCTAACATTCCAGTATAGTTCTGGAATATTCATTCACCAGATATTGAGGAAGAAGTTATAAGCACAAACACACCAATCTGGCGAGCAAGAAATACCCCTTTTGGAAATGGTGTCCTAATTATGCCTCAGAGAACTGATTCTAAGCTCACATTATACAATCGATCATGTCCAGAAACGCCTGTGCATGCATTTGACGGACATAAAGATACGGTGAAAGAGTTTGTATGGAGATGGAAAGGCGACAGTGACGGGGTGGAAGGCGGTAAAGATTTTTGTTGTGTTTTTCATGAAGTGAGATATGGAATTAATCATTTTTCTAATGCTTCAGATGATCGGGAATTTCAGTTGGTAACGTGGTCGAAAGATCAAAATTTGCGTCTATGGCCTGTATCCGAGGACATTATGCGATCCATGGGACATAAACCCTCTGCTTCTAAGACAAAGCTGTCAATGCCTGCTGTAGCTTTCCAAAAGAACAGCAATTACTGTTCTCATTCGTTCCAGCAGGAACCCATGGAGAAATCGTCAAACGAGTACTATCGTTCATCCTTCCAGTCCACTACACCTGTTCGGTTAACACCGAACAGTAATTTGGGCGCTTACAGATCAAGTATACCCAATACTAATTTTACTGCTGGCTTCGAACAAGCAAATGCTGCTTATCGTGAACAAAAATATTCTGCAATTAACCCTTTGCTTTGGATGCAAAATGTGAAGACATTAGGACCACCTCCGGGTACGGATAACACAAACAATATTAGTACACGGCTGGATGCCAATGGTGAGATCATTAGAGCGACAGAGAATACTTATCAGTCTGTTGCAGAGGAAATGTCCACCGTCCTCAATAAATATCTCCCTGTGGGCGTTAAAACAGAGAAAATCAATGCTGCATCTCGCACTTGTACAATATCTTTACATGGCCCATGGTCAGATACAGGAGATGCTCTCATACGAATCACCATCAAGTTCAGCCCGCAATATCCTGATAATAGTCCGCCAGAATTTGATATTCAGAAAAATAGTATGATATCTATCTATTATCGCGCGCATATGACAAGAGATTTAAATGCTTTAGCAAACAGTTATACATCACAGAAAAAATGGTGTTTGGAACCTTGTCTTCGGTATCTTTTGGGAGAAAGTATGCAAGAAGAATCGGAATTAGACAATCCCAATTCATCCTTTGATTCGGCTGGCCCTCATGGTATTTTGGGAAGTCCGGGTTATTATAAAGGTGGTGCTGTTTCTTTGGATGCTGACGATTCAGATGATGAGCTGGGCCCCGGGTGGAGCATTCGGGACACTTATCATTTCGGAAAACGTGAAAGTATGACAAGCGAAAAGGGTATTATGATGGATATGTCAGCCAAACAAAGCTCAGATGCTAAGGTCCCTTTTCCTCGTCTCTGCGGTGGCATCTTCTCGGGCAGCGGACAATTGGTTTGTTTCTTCTCTACTTTACGAGTGCGCGACAGAAATAAGAATAACCGAGTCAAAGAGTCTGTTGGTGATTTATCAGTAACTAAATCAACAGTTCAACAGCAGCAACAGCAGGATAATAGCGGGCAGTCGCATCAAAGTGATCACAGCAACGGGGAATACTTTGAAACAACATATAGTGATTTTTATAGGCATCCAAAAACCTACGAGCAGTTTGAAGAGTATAAGGAGATTGCAGCGATGTCTCGTCAAGGAAAAAATGCAAACGTGCTTGTCGGCGGGTCTGGCAGAGTCTTTGGGGAATATGAATACGACGAAGATCACGATGACATGGATGATGCGCTCAGTACGGTTGGGTCCATGGGCGGCGTATATTATAAAACGGATGTAAGTACCTTCACTAAGAACATAAATATTGAGTCGCAAAGCTAATGGTTATTTTCAAGAATATCACTTTGGATAGCCCCATAGGCTCGGGAGATGATTTATTGTATCACGGTACCAAAACTGATCGAATTTCGCACAATGTGGTTATCGTAGATTACTCGGACAAAATGCCGTATAGTCCATGGCTTGCCAAAGAATATATGTAAATGCGCATATCTACGATCTTTTAGAAGATAAATACTAACGTTCTCCATCGATAGACTGTCTTCAGAAGACCCCGTTACCGCTTGTATTCATAATGCTGAAGTTTGCAGGAAATATGGTAGGCTTGATCTCTATAAAGTCTGGTGTGTTGCTGTTGAAATCCTTCGAGAATGTGTGCCTTCTGAGCTGCCAGATACAGATCGTGTTATCACGGATGGCCGTCAAATGTTACTTGACAACTTTAACTCGGAAACTATAATCAATAACGAAAACTGGCAACGCGACCGAAATTTGATGGAAGTGAAGAAGATGCTTTACAACAATAATTTTGTGCCTCATCTACCACAACAAACTTTAAAACCTATTAAGCCATTGCAAAGAGTTAAATGGGGCATACATCCATTAGGGCAGAAACTAGTCAACGAATTGTATGTAATTAATCGAGAAACGAAAGGAAAGCTTTCAATCACTAATTTGATTTTTTCATTCAAAAACTGCAGGTTACAGCACTTTGTTAGTATGGGAGATATACAAACGGCTGCTATGTTATCGTGCACATTTCAAGTGCAATCTAACAAAATTCCCACTGCCTTCTTCGGTCAAAAAGTAAGATGCTAGCAGAGATTGCACGTAACATAATTATGTGTCTTCGTAATCTTACCTCCCTCATTTCCTTCAACGCTAGCCTTTTGTGCTAAATGTCAAAACACCAGCTGAAGTAGCACCTGAAATGGATTATTTCTCCTTACGTGCCTCTCAGCGATGTGCAAATGATGGATACCCTTATCAACTTTTACGAGCCAATTCAGGCCCTAATACCAATAATGCAGAAAAAATAGCTATTACTCCTTTGAGTACCTCCTACGGTGCTACCAAATCAAATAGCCTTTTGTCCTACATACAAGAAGCCAGACGTCCGTCTCCAATTGATAGATCTCTGCTGGATCCTCCTATTCTGAACCCCACAATGAGACGCAATTCGCGCCTTACACGGAAATGGACAAAAAGTCATCCTAAATTAACCATACCGAGCAATACAGCACCCGGGATCCGTCTCATGGCAAGTGATATGCTGGAAACCTCGCCAGCTTTAGCTTCACCCATTATTGTAACACCCAATACACCGCTTTTCAACAAAGAGGGACGTATAATTGAAAAAGAACCCTCTGAAATCAAAATCGAATTCACCAACATGGAATACTTTGATAACGAGCGTTTTGTCGTAGAAAAAAGTGGTGCTAATGGTGCAATTGCTTATGATAGTATTTCACTGATGGACCCAGGGGGAATGGCACAGCGTGATGTCCTTTGTCTCAGGTATGCAGAAATGCTTTATTGCTGGCATTTATTAGAACAGCGCGCCGAAGTCTTGCGATTTTTAAATTACCAACCCTTCCCGCTTGAGGAAAAAGAAGTGAGGTCAACTCATATACAAGTATCGTGCTACTCCTGTGGTACGGAGCTATCTTCGACTACTGGCAATGTTGATAACGAACGATACTGTTGTTTGCAATGCCGAAAAGTTCGTAAATGGATTCGTTGCTCGTTCTGTCATATTTTGGTTAAAGGGCTGGTAAATTTTTGTATACATTGCGGACATGGTGGACACAGCGAACACATGGAACAATGGTTTGTTACAAATCGACAGGTGTACTGTATGACGGGATGCGGGTGTAAGTGTGCTTTGGAGTCATTAGATTTGCAACGATAAAATAACGATAAAATCGTCGAAGAAGGCACCTAAGCTGTATACGTTTTTCTTTTTATTATATTTACAAAACGGTGTTATTGTACATAAAAATTCACAAGTCTAATTCTAAAATATTTCTGCATTAATAAGTGTTACTTCAAAGCAGATGAGTTACTGGTCAACTCAACTCTTTCTGTAAAACATTTCATTCGTCTAATCATATCATCAATCACTTCTAATTGCTGTTGAGAATTGAAGACTTTTTCAATTAAGGGTATCCATTTATTGCTGATGATATATGACATCGTCTTAACGGGTTTGATCCAATCTTCATCCATATTTATTAACACAGGCTTCACGTTCTGAGGAGCTTTGTTAATCTTTTTGGGAAACTCTTCAGCATCCGAAATATCTGATAAATCTTCCACTTCATACGTAACATTGGCATACTTATTTTCTGTGCTTTCCATTATAAAGTCTATAACAGTACTCAGCATACGCCATCCCGCAAAGAAAGCTGCTATTGGGTTTCCTGGCGAAGTGGCTTCTGGATGATGATCACGCGGAGAGAATATAGATTCGTCTAAGAACTCCAGATAGACTAAGGCTTCTTCTAACCCTTTTGTCAGCAAGCCCATCTGAGAAGCGAGACCTTTACCAAAAGATTGAGGAAATAGCTTCAGATGGTAAGTGGCCAATAAACAATGGATGACGCTGTAAGACCAGTGATGCTTAGGAACTGGTACCTCACCCTTCTTTTCGGTTGGAGGGCTTAATAGGTTCAATAGGTAAGGCTCAAGCATGCTTAGCATACTTCTACTCACAGGTCTACTGCCATTGAGACGAGCAAAGAATCCCATCACCATACGTTGTACATTTTGTTCTCGGCCATTATCAATGAAGCTGTTTGTTGTGGGCTGGCTTTCCTCTCTATTTGTCTTACTGCCGCAGGAAAAGCACACCCAATCATTAGTTTGACCATGATAATACTTGCGTGGTTCCTGGCATTTTTCACAAGTGAGTCCTCTTGACCAATCCCAGTCGAGACACCGTTCGCACATGCAATCAAAAAATTTGAACTTTTGTAATTTGGCTCGTCGATCCATAGTGGTGCCACAAATCAAACCGCCCAAGGTTGAGTCATCTTCTGGTAAATAAGAAAAAGTGAGGACTTCACCTTCTTTAAGTGGCCGAATCACTGTAAACACCATAGCGTTCTGCTCCGGCTGAAAACGTAGAAACATGTTAGGAGAGCAAGAATGAGCAAATTTCGATCCCCATCTTAGTAATGCAATCATAGGCGTAGTTGAAGCGTTAGTGGAATCTTCGTTTCCCCAGTACGTTACATTGTCACCAAATTTAGCTTTATAAAATTCTCGGCGAAATTTCCTTTTCGTGTGGGTAGCTGTTATTCGGGATCGAGGCAAAGCAACCGTATGAGCGTTGGAGTAGATCTTTAATACAAATCCACGAAGGTCGAATGGGTCAACATGGGCAAACAAGGAAATTGTATCCACCACTTTCTGCGTTACGTTGTGAATTAGCTTAATGGTTCTATGATCAAACCAACCAGCTTCCACATCTGTATTTGGATAATAGAAAAAGTCAAAGTCATTTTCATTGTAAGTTCTACGTCTACGAAGACGAGAAAAGGATTTTACTGGTGGGTGAATATCAAGATAAGCCATAATAGCTGCAGGGACACCAGGACAAAAATCTGAATCATATTCGGTTGTATCCTTATCTTCATCTTGCGAATCATTATCTTCTGTATCATCATATTCACCAGAGCTGTCATCATCGGAAGAATATCTGTCACAATCGTTATTATAATTACTGCGCTTCGTTCCCTTTTTGTTGTGTTCGTTATTCGAATAAGAGTCATTGCACTGTTCTTCTTTCCTTTCCTCATTTTCAATGATGGATACGATATAGTTCCAAATCTTTTTCGAGTAATACGGTGATCTCGATGAACGACATTTCGGTCGAAGATCGTACTTAATCAAAGGTTCCTCAACCAAAACAACGTCACCAGGTGAAAGGGGTCGTTTAGCCACGAGTGAACGGCCAACATCAGAACATTCTTTGATAATCACATTTTCCTTAAAATTTGTTTTGTTGATAACAGTATGAATGCCATAGTGTTCAACACTTGTCATTCTGATCGGAAAAGCAGAAAAGAGAAGGGGAAACGGAAAAAACGGGAACGAAGAAAAAGAAACTGTACAAAAGCAAAGCTGTAACAAGCGGCTATTGAATTCCATGAATTTCACACTTGCATTTCAACAGTAGAAGATTCAACTCCTTCCCTCATTTGAAAACCATCAACGAGTTGCTTCTTCAAAACGAAATGTTGACTCTCGGACTTGGACAATTATTATACGTCTTACTTTGCTTCATTAATGCAATTGCAGTTCTCAGCGAAGACAGATTTTTAGCAAGAAGTAAGCTGAGATGGAGCGTAATCTCAAATCTTTACACGGTTTAACATATAATCTTTTATATTAGTCGGTTGGACAGCACAACCAGATGCAGGCTTTGGTCAGGAACAAGGACAAACAATTAAACACAAGATTGTCAATTTGATATCGGCAGTTAGAACACTTATGAGAAGTATGACAAAATTGGTAATGTTTTACTGATATCAAACAAACTGACATTCTTTAACTGGGTAGTACCTTTGATAGCCATCAATATCGTTGTCATCATATACGAACTTTTACTTGGATAGGATCAACTTCTAAACACATTTGTAGATAAAAATTATCAAAATATACCGATGAATAAACCACAAATCTATTCTACCGACCCAAGCCCAATCAAACACCAAAATGAATAGCTTTTGATTTTATCATTTTCAGTGGATCGATTTAAAGATGATTTCCTTGAATCATCGTCGACACTGTCCACATTCATTTCATCTGTATCAATGTCCCCCGACGACAAGTCCATGCGATCTTCATCAGACTTATAACTGTACGTTACGAGTAGAGGGAACTAAATATGGAAGTTAGCTAGTCTTCGCGGAACTTTGCATGAGTATCATTTGACTATTTTACCTTGAATTCACCTGCTTGCTCAGGAACAACTTCAATCAATATACTTGTATAGTTATTTCTCTTTTCATAAACACCATCAGCATAAGCTGAAGCTGTTATATTGTTATTATTGCTCCTTCTATTACTTGAGGGGTAAATTTCATCGTCATACTCAATGGTTTCATTGTAAGCGTTCACTGTAAAATGAGGCGATAGTATTGTTACACGTCCTTTAATCTCTGGCTCTTCGACTATTGGTTTTATATTCGTATTGATATTGCTGTCTTCATTTTTGGGCAGTTTCTTTTTCAGTTGGGGCGTAGCTAATGTAATATCCATCTCTTCATACAAAGGATTTGAGAATTTCAAGACTAACTGGGTAGGTATGCCAACCCTTAATGGCCAATTCTTTCGAGGCAATTTTACTATTGTGATTGTGGGTATGTAATTCCTGCAGAGAATAAATTTGATTTAAGATTGGTTTACGTACAAACGGACTTCGTGATTTTGCTACAGCTTACATTGCCACTAATTTAATCTTGAATCGTGTTGCCTGCGCTTTCTGTTCAGGCTTGATTAAGATATGACGACAATTGCGACATCTTTTGGACCTCTTGATAGCTAAGTGTACTCTTTGTGGGTTTATCTTTCTAAGAAAAGCATTGTTTAGTCATTCTCAATGCTCATATATAAATGTTAGTGTTGTTTCTACATACGATAGTTCGTACGGCTGATTATGTAGTTGTGAGAAGCGTTGATTTAATGTTGACACTGAATGAAAGAATGCCTACAACGTTAGTAATCGAATCGACTTAACATTTTTGTCGTCTTTTCTCCTCACTCACAATCGTTCATATCTCTAAGGTTGGCTAATTGTTCAACTAATCTCTCTTCATCATCCTGTATTCTTGTACTTGGTTCATAATCACTGATATCGTCCACTTTCCCCTGCTGTTGTGATTGATGGTGATAATGACTATGATGATGCGAAAAATGACTACCGCCCCCAAGTATTTGCTAAATGCTGATGAACTGGAAAACGATAAGAAACTGCTGGGTAAAGAAGGGGGCGCATTCACTCTCAAATGCTTTTCATAATGCTCTTTCAAATGATCAAATTCCTTAGCGTCAGGCAACATTTCTTCATTCTTTTGCAGCTGAACTGAGAATGACCCTTTAATAAATTATTCGAGACTTTTTGATAGAATACTAATCACTTACGTGCGAGACTGGTAGGTTTTTCGAATGTCATATTTATCTCTTGAGAGTTCCAACGACAAACATTACAAGCTAAAAAATATGGACCTGGTATGGGTCCTGTTGCGCTTGTGATAGGAACTGTGGTTGGAGCAGATGCTTCTTGCGATGCTACAACAGAAAGGGTGTTTTGGCAGACAGGACACTGGAAACAGTTCCGTGCGCATCTATAAATACATTGTCAACTCACTTCTAATCGCGCGATGCACAATATCTTTTTAAGCTTTGCATATAATTTATGGAGTATATTTACCTGTTCCGCTCGCTTTTGACACTGGCAGTTGGAACCTAAAGAACTTGAGCAGTTATATAACTCAGTACTAATTTGTGCCAGACGTAGTGCAGTTTTAACTTACTTCAAAAAGACAGTTGGGACAATAATAGGAGATGATCTCATCTTGAACACAGGAAGGACATCGAATCTGGTGGCAATCCTCACAAAAATAAAGTCGAGAAAGAGGATATAAATAGCTCGAAGCTTCCTTAGAGAGTAAATGACGTCCTGTAACAGATGCCTCAGTTTCCTCTGAGGTTGCAGCTGAGGTAATGTGTTGATCACCTGCTGATGCTGTTGTTACTGTATTACTCGCTGCACTTAACGACGATCTGCTTTTGATGGTAGAGCAAGTACAAAAATAGTCTACGAACGGCAAAGTTTCTTCATTATTCAACGCGAACATTGTTCGTTACGAAGATAGAATATCAACCGAAGGACAAGGAAGTCCGTCTTTAATTTGCTTAAAAAATTAAAATAGAATCAGGTACCAGTTTTCTGGTTCGAAATCTTTGCTTCATCAAAGATATTTTAAACAAAATTTAGTTAATTTTCTTTAACAATGTAGCTAACAAAAGTCAGTGAACTAGATAATTTGTACGGTTGCAAGCCTTTCAATCAAGTTCAAATGATGTATTAAATTTTGAAAGAAAGTAAATGGAGGTTGAGAAAGCCTATGCTTGATACAACTTAAGCCCCGTTAACATTCCAGGGAAAATTGCTTGCGCTAGTAGAAGTCGAAAACAATGTTGATTTAAGTTTAGTCTGCTTCATTAACAGACTTAACTTCTAAAATACAACAGCTTAACGGATGATTCTGTATAAACTAGCCAAGCAGCCTTTTCGGATTTGTTTTCTGGTCGACTATTAGCAAACAATTTGAAACAAGCTTTGACTGAATAATAGCAACATCCTGAAAATATAAGTGATGATTGATAAAAGACCAAATCAGTCCGGTACGCTAAGTTAACATTTCACTTTTGATATAGGCTTAATTTTATCGATTAATGTTGGAAATGATGAGTTTTAAGACAGATGAAATCATCAACAAACGCATACCCGATATTTCGGAATAATCAGTCCTTGACACAATCAGATGTATGCCTTCTGATTTCTGTAGAAATGCACGTAGTAAGTTCACGGGAAACAAGCCATTACATCACTTTGTTGATGCAGTTAAAATATGTCAAATTGTCGAAAAATGTATAAAAGCGGGGCATCGAAATTTCAGGAGGGGTATGTCTATGAGCAATGTTGAAAAAGAAACCAAAAGAATATACAAAACAAGAGAAGTGCACAGGCACAAGCACACGCCCACATTCTTTCATTGTTAAGCATTTGATTCTTATTAATTCCCTTCTTATTCTTACTATTGTTCATACTAATTTCTTCCATTATCTGAATATTTATAGCAAGTCTTATTGAAAGATTCTTTAAATCAAACTAATACGCTTACAACGAAAATGCCCATATTTAATAAGAGAAAGATATCACAATTGCCACCAGAGCTTTCGGACTTTCCACTGCTTCATTCATCCTCCAGTAATACGAGTCCGAGGACAATCTCGACTATTGAATCAGCTACTATAATATCATTTGAAAAGCATAGCGATAAAAAGATGTGGTATGTCATGGAGATAGAAACACAACAGCATCAACACCATTTTACCACCAAAAGAACTTATTATAGAATCGCGCGCAGATATGTTGAATTTGCTCGATTATCTCAGAAGCTTTATAAACGATTCAAAACTACTAAATTACGTGCAGGCGGTTACTTACCTCCAAAAATAAAAACGAACAAACTAAAAATCTTCCCCGTCAGTAAAGAGCTCCAGAATCGACGATTAGAAGAGTTGAATCAATTTCTCAAGCTCCTTTTCCGTAAACAATCCATAATTACAGAGTCTTCCACTGTTTTTGAATTCTTTAAGCCTAGGGCTTCGGATCTGAAGTACGCCGGCAAAACAGCGCTTAACGATCGAAAAGAGAATAAAGAGGGCGATGATGAAACCACAATGATGATGCCAGTTGATGATCCTCCAGCACCAGCACCTGAAACAGGGGCCATGCCGAAATTGAATAATGAGAATGATGATGGTCAGCATAGAAAACATGACGACGAGAGACCAACACATGGGTGGAAACTTCTCCGATGTACCTCCATTCTATCAAGATCATCTGCTTCGACTTCGAGTATATCATCTTTCTGTACTCAGGCTGTGCACAAACTTATTTCCCCGTGGCATCCTTCTCAGCATCAACAGTGTCGTCATCATCAACGTCGCAACACCGATTCAAATTACTGGAATAATTCGACGGCAACACTTGTGGGTCGTAAATCATTCCAAGATCTACGTGAATATTACAAAAGCCGTTGCAGAAAAAGCAGAGTTATTAAAAAATGCCAATCGACACCAGGTTTCATAATTCGGAAAGAGCAGCATCCACTAGAGGAGACGACGAACAGCTCGAAACATGAGCATAGTAATATAGATATGCTATTCTTATCATCTTACCACTTGACAAAAAGCACAAATAGCATATCATCCATGAGTTCCATTCCCAACTATGTTAGTACTATGACCGAAAATATGGACGATGATGATGTTCGATCAGACGTACATGAAGAAACAGAAGCAGAAGCAGAAGTAAAAGAAGAAGAAGAAGAAGGGGAATGCTCTGCAATACCGATTTTGGACGACAGATATAACAATGTTATCAAATTTAAAATTATATGTGACATGGATAATATTGTAATTATCAGAGTTTCACGTATCATTTCATTGATTGAATTGCGTGAGCGTATCATGAATAAATTCGCTGAACGCCATGGATTGAATATTTCAGTAGGATACGATGACTTTGTTTTGCTGTACAATGACACCAACGGCAATCGATGTAATGCTCGAACAGTTCTGGAAAACGAATTGGTGCTACCTGCCAGAGTCATTAGAAAAGAAGAAGATTTGAAAGATTTGTTACAGAACAAATGGAAAGAGTTTGATCGCGTCGCTTTACGTTGTATAATAGTTTAATTCAGTAGAAAGGTGGGGGGAGGGGATTACATAACCATTTATCCAGCTGTCAGTATACGTTTTATACCACCTACAATTCATAGAAAATAGACTTATACCCTGATATATTGAAGCACATTCTGTAATATTAATAAATGAAATCCTCTTTTTGCTTGCTTTGTCCAAAATAATCTCATTATCAGGTTTGCTATCCAAAAACTCCTGCGGTCGAGATCTGTTATGTTGTGATAACAAATATGACATTTCTTGGAAATAGGATACTAAAACAAAGCAACATTGAAATAATGAGGCTTACTATACGTATAGCAGAATAGTTACAAGGTTCATTTCTATTTTGACAGAATAACCTAAGTAGAGTATGATATATGCTGGAAGTATTTTCAATTTTTTAAAAAAAAGGTTGGAGGGGAAGTATCCTTTCCTATTACTTCAAGTTGTTCATTTACTTTATATTATGAATGTCATTCCAGACCGCTCTTCTCACGTACGTCGTTTGAACCGTAAAAGAATAGAATTCTCCCTTTGAGGAAATTACGCATCTTGTAAACGTATCCATGGCTTGATCTAGCGATCATGCAATTAACTTATTTTCCCGTGCTAACCATTTGTAGCACTGCTTGCAGAAAAATAGTATGAATTAGGAAAATGGTATTCGTGCGGTGTTTGAGTTGAGTGAACAGTTATTGTAAAGGACGATCACAGCCTATTATCTTGTAATCATTCTTTATGCCGAAGGCAGAGAATAGTACTTATAACCTATTATACCTTGGTGTTGAATCAATATATCCTGCATGTCCATATATTAATTCTACTATATATCCTATGTCATATAGTAACGTATTACAGTAAAATAAGTAAACTATATATCCTAAATGACAACCTGTTCAGCCTTATACGAGGTAGCTAATTTCGTATAAGAACCATCACTCATTCTATATTCGTTTCCTACTCTACTTTATATTATTTCAGCAGTAATGAGATATGAGGATCTTGTATAAGTTGTATACGAGTTCTCCACATCTCATATGATGCTGTCAACTAAACACAACACTTAATTCACGGTACTCATATATTAGAGTTTATGTAATTTCTAGTTATTTCTGGTTTGCAATATTGTATAATTCATTTTTATCCTTCATAAAGTGAATTATAGTCTTTAATATTTGTATCTCATCTACCCTCAAATACGACACAGCTGTTATAAAAGCATCCCTAGAAGGTACAACAACTACTCATTTCATCAATTTATCAATGAGCTTCTTGATATTCTGGATGATGGTGAAGTTCTGAAAAGCATTTATTTGGTAACGGATAATGCTACTATCCATAAATTAAACCCGATGATTCGTAAAATCAAAGCTGGAGGTTACAGAGTAATGTATTTTTCCCCTTCTCCGTCTGAGTTGATCCCTATTGAACAGTATTGGACCTTATTGAAAGGAAAATCGAACGCTAGCGCTGGATGACAAAAAGACATTATTTTCCAAAATCAATGTTTGAAAGAAGTTCGTTTCAAGTATCCTCGTGGCTTTTAATTCATTCCAGACGCTAGATTATAAAGTGCTATAACCAGACCAGCTGGACTGTACTTTGATCTACAACAAATATCGATATAATAAATAAATCTTGTAACTCAAAAAATAGAATCAGCCTTATAGAAACCCTTCAATAATACACTATCAAAAACATTTTAATTGTTTATCTGTAACCAGCAGACGAATGAACGTATATATATATGTGTTCAAGAATAAGGACTTCCTACTCCCACAAAAACAGAAACAATCAGTACAGCCTTCGTTGATTGTTTAGAAGTATCTTTTACGATCTCTTCTTATGAGTGGCATTTTTCTTTTTTGTCAAAGATCTTTTTAAACGTTTCGCTCGTAATTGTTCATGCTTGAACACAACAAATAGAGGCCCCGACTTACTATCGTCGTTCTGTCGCATCGTTCTCAGGGATAACATTGTCTCAAATGTACTATTTGTATCAGCTTCCGGTAAAAATGGTGAGGGTATTACCCTCGATGATGGCGGGAGCAACAACTGCTTGGAAAAATCTGTGGCTCCACGCTTTCGCGAACATTTATCGAATCTGAACACAAACATATTTGATTTCACATTTGCATCTTCTCCTAGACTGGTGGAGGTGATTGTATTCAATGGTATGTGGATATCCAGTTTTGAAAATTGGTCTTGAATTTTTTGTGCGTAGAGTTTGATTTTGAATACATCATGTGCATAAGCGGGCGTACTCTTCAACAGCATTAAATTAATTTGCAACTGTTCTTTTGCATAAGGCTTGAGCCGCTCAATGGAAGGTGAGTGGTCGTATTTAAAGATACGCTTGGCTGTGTTATGGATAGCAAAAAACACATGGTGGTACGTGCTTTGATCGCAGCCTAATTCTTTGAGATGCTGTAAAGCTTGTAAGAGCTCCAAATTTGTATGAAGACAGTCGATAACGATGTCTTCAGGTGGAGGCGTCAATGCAGTCATGAATTGATAAAGTATGACGACACGCATCGAATGGTAACAAAGATGGAGGTGAAGCTCGCTTATGGAATGATAGGGTGGTAGTTGTGAGTACCAGTGCGTGAGCTCACTAGTGATGCGATAGTAGTAGGCGGAAGGTTGGGACTTTTGTTGGTAACTCGCAAATAGCTTGCCAGAATGCAGTGCACGAATGTAGCGACGCATGTAGATAGTAAGATTGGCGAATGCATAGAGGTTCTGTTGATCTGAAGGAATAACAGATAGACGTTCTATTTCTTCTGGTGTCGACCAAGGCACTTGATCGGGTAAGAGGCATTCTCGGTTTAGTGTGAGACACATCCAAGCGTCAATATAGTACCATCGAAACCAGCATCCGAGGGTCAGTTCATCGATAGGTTTTGCTGCACTCATCTTGCTTGATGTGACTTGCTGCAAAGCAATGGAGGCTAGACTTCCCCACGTTCTCTGTTGTTCATATAATCGTAGCAAGTTGGACGTATAGCTGAGACAAAAGTAAGACTGAATGATGAATGGTTGCATATCGTCAAAGACAATATCATTAAACTTATTTCGAGCTTGTTCGTAGAATGCCATGGCTACTTGCCTTGAATACATATCATCCGCACTATGGCTGCTACAGTCGTTGCCATTGGGTAGCTGCTGCCGTCGTTTTTGATCATGTTGCTTTTTATGACCCTTATCCATAAGCGTCACCAAACTGATAGATGCTATACAATAAACAATGGATTTAGGTGCTCTTCGCCAATTTTTGACAAGGTCCACACTTATCGGAGCGACTTTGAACCCAATGCAGCACCAATGTTCCACAGCACGAAGCATGAGAACATCCATGAGTTGGGAGCTTTCCAAGTTGTGGCGTATTGCCGGTGGAATATTTTTGCTAAGTTCCGAGCTTGAGAGATGAATCAAATCTTCTTCTGTGGTGAGCCAAGCATGTCCATCGTTCGTTTTTTGAAAGGCACTGTTCAACGATGTAGTAGAGTAAGGAGGCTGTACAAGTGTTCCGCATCCTTTTAAAACGGCCTGTAGGTCACTAAATGTATTTAGCTCAATGACTATACCACTAGAAGAGGGAGTTGCCGGTGTCTCTTCTATTGCTCCCGTACCAGTTCCAATTTCATCCTCCAACGATAAGAAAGTACCATCCCACAGAGTTGACATTGTATGGGGATTATTGCGCTGCAATAAAGATAAGGTTGCTGGATGGAAGATGCTATGCTGTTGTGAATTTTTAAGAATGGTTAGCTGTGAAGCCTTCTCTTCACTTTGTGTTGACTGCTGCTGTTTAGCGACTTGCAACATGTCAAATTGAAGATAATCATTCAGTAATCTTTTAGTCGACTGAGGCGATGTCATCTCAATTGTCTCTTCCATGGAAACGAAGCTGTTGTAATGAGTATTGTAATCAACCATTGGAAGCGTTTGGTACGTAATATACAGGATGATATGGTATAAACTACAAGAACAAATATGAAAGAAAAGGCGTTTTTCCTTCTTTTTTGTTCGAGAACTTTTTCAAAAGAAGGGGAGCAAATAAGGTACGGCAAAACGATAGGACAAACACACACTACAAAGTAGCGTGCCCCTCATCCTTTTCGATCCTATCACCTGCTAAAACTTTGTCAGGTTTAAGTTAGCAGTGCTGATTTTTTGAGTTTAGGGGGGTGATTAACAAGGTCAATACAACTCTTTGCAGCTTAAGTAGAGGACAGAAAAAAGCTTAACTGACAAGCTTGCATAAAATTAAGAAAGAAAGGATCTTCCAGAGTTCAAAATCAAAACTAATGTAGTTGGGCTAAATACTTTTATCCTTTATATTTTTTTGTTTGCGTCAGGTTTTCAGTTTAGACGACTAGTAAAACAATATTTGACTTTCTTTCTAAGAAATGAAAGAATTCAAAAGAAAAATGGGTGCGTTTTAACGGCATGGTCTCATAGAAAACGACCCCTGTGTAAAGGTATGATGATAGAACCTTTTGTTAAATGAAGTTGCTTAGCCTTGACTCAAATAATTCATTTGGTAAATGAATATTTTGAACCACAGTGGTATTTAATGATAGAGATATGTATTATCAAGTAGCACTATTTCAATTACTTGTGCTTATGGCTGACGAAGGATTCGCAGTGTTAGATAGTTACAACAGTATGGTACTATAGCCACTATTTGATTCACTTACACTATTAGATCTGGACATTTTGTTCTCGTTAGTTATTTTGAATAAATAAGCCCTGCGCAATTACTATTTCTATTTTCAGAAAGAGGAAAGCACTGTATAACTGATTTGTTTAATCTTTGTAATATTTGTTCTCTTCATTATAATGTAGACTCAAACTGAGGGGCGGCAGATTGATCTGCAGGTATAAGAAAATTTTGCCACGTAAAAAGGCACAAGTAATTCCTTGTTGAGTTTTTCTAAAAGTTGGTTTACAAACATTTGAGCATGCAAGCACTCGTTTGTCTATGTAAATAAAATTGATTTCTAGCAAAGCTATGTTGTCTAACAATGGCTGTAAACTGAGAACGCCAGATGTTATATTTTGGCCTTGATCTCTGCATTCGATGGCGGTTTCTTTAGTAAAGCCTTTTGATCTGTTGTAGAAATCGCATTGTTTTCACCCAGGAGATCAGCCAAACGAAGTACTCTGGTACTGACTAGATGCAAAAAAAGAGAGAAAGAGGAGTGTGAATGATGATTTGTAATTAAAGGATCCATTGGTGTCGTTTCCAATCAAATTACCTGTGGCATTATCTCTTCTATTTTTACCTTCCCTTCGGAAACGTCCAATTCTATCTACTAATTCCCACAGATGTCCTCTAGGTATCAAGCTGCCATTTTGCCGTTCAGGAGTGTAGTCTGGACTGATAGCCACCTCAGACCAAGGTTTTGTATTGGCTGCATGGTTAGTTCGCTTCAATAAGATACCTTGTTCCTGATAGCGTAGGAATGCATTACTGAGGGTTTCTTTATTGCAAGCTTCAAGATAGCTCAGGTCGCCTTGATAATAGAGTGTCTTGCCCAAGGATTGAGTACGTTTAGCGAATAAAGTGCTTTCCACCCAGATCGGGCCTTGATCCACAACATGAGGAGGTGCTAAAGTAAAGAGACTGACAGCTGCTAACCAATAAGCGTCGATAAATGGCCAGATCAAAAAGCAAAGGAAGTCTACACTCAAAAGAAATCAAGGGATTAACGATAAGCGACGACAAAAAGCGAAAGGGGTCGCTTACCATAATTCTCTCTACCGCATTGTCTTTCCATATCAGATAATCCAACCCAACCGTCTTTGGACACCTCAATGACATGATTCTCTTTCAACCATTGAATAGTACGTTTCGTATTGTTCTCAGCACCTCCTGGCTTATAGATCATGTCGAGTTTCATTAAACTGGAAAGGAAAACAATTTCGTCCAAAAGCTCTTCATATTTCAAGCGCTGTAGAGATTTGCCACCTCCTTTCTTAACCACAGTGTAAAGTGCCGCGCTAACGATGGCTTCTTCTACAAACAAATGGATCACTTGATTACGATAATAAGACAGTTCAAAAGCGTTGATAGGATAAAACGTAGGCTCGATGATATCTTTTCCTTTACGTTCTCCAATAAGATCTTTGTGAATAGTTACGGTTCTGTGGAGAGAGTGATGAGAGGCCCTACACGTGTAAAGATCAGGCAGGAATGTCATGACGAAAATTCACTTACTTGTCGACGATTTCACCTGTAGACATGTCGTAAAATTCTGACACTCTACCGCCCTTGTTTTCCGTAATGCTTTTTAGCCAATCGACGCGGCGAATGAGCTCACTTCTACCGACTCCTCTTCCTCTTAGGGTGAGGATGACTGTGCCTACCAAGGCAGATGGCATCACCACGGAAATAGCATTCTAAAAAGTAGATGAACGGACGGAGGGTGGTGAGTTACATGGAAGGGAAGTTTTCTTTTAGCGAAGAGAGTTATTAAAAAGCAAAAGGATAGTTACGATATCAGCAAGCACTCTATTATAAACATTTCATGTTCAATAGGTTGGCTTTTCTAAGAAAAAATTGTTTTTACCAGTATATGTAGACACGTCATAGTTACCTGTAACCAAGTGATTTCAAAAGTATTGACTTTTGTTGTTGTTGCGTTAAATCCATAGGGCTAATGCACATATATCAACAGCACGAGAAGTATAGAAGCATGATGTTAAGAGATCTGCCATTTCATCTCAGGAGCCTTCTCTTTTGTTTTTGTTCAGATAGAAAGCTTACCCTCTGAAGTTAATTTGATCATTTAGCCAATTCCTTAACGAGAATGGTTTACTTAAACGGACTACAGATAGGTTAATGCACCATGTTGTTTTCCTTCTTTGTAAGGGCATTCTTCTTACCATCCACTCGTCCCCATTTCAATTGCAATACACTAGAGTTGGTCAGAATACCCCATAAGCTCTCTTTCTCTTTTGGTGCACCTAATAATTCAGTCGCATAACTGGACGTTTCAATGATTTTATCATAACCGATAGAGATAGGAACAATATGACAATCTTCAAACCGATGATCAATCAAGGCGTCGAGGATGATCTTGATGATACCGAGTTTGGGCTGTAAAAGTTTTCCAAGTCTAGAACGGGTGCCTTCTATGAAGCATTCTATATTGTCTATCAGGTTGAAAAGAAATGAGTTTTTTGTAGGTGGAGTCAATTGAATAATATCTGAAACAAGGATGCTGACTTACATCCACCGCTTAATAAAGTAGTAATGTATTCTTCGAGAATGCCTTTATACAATATGTCATTGCCCCATTCTCGACGTATATAAAAAGCGCCACATCCCTTCAAAAGGATGTTGACAAGGGGTAGGTCGAGATTTTCGCCAGCGACAATATGAGGTATTTGGATGCCTAACCGAAACATAAGGTAGCTTACTACCAAGTAATCAATATGTGATTTATGGCTTGGCAGGAATAATAAAGACTGTTTCTTTTCTTGCGCAATGAGTGCAACACGTTTCAACTAGTAAAAAAAGCAGATTAACATGAAGCTATCAAGACGAGTGTCGCAAATGAATCCACCATGGATATACTCCAAAGTTGGCTTACTTCGACCCATTCACTTTCTCTTATATGCACACCTTGATGATAAAGTCGGGCAAGTATCGTGTTCACCATGAAGGCGAAGAGTCTTTGAATAGAATAAAGAGAGAGAGAGAGAGAGAGAGAGAGAGAGAGTACACAACTTAATCCTTCTTTTCTCTATGTATGCATCTGGGATAGGACTGATTATTTACCGAACTGTTCTTTTACTGTTCATCGTAGCAAAAGCCTTATCCACGATGGCTTTGGCGACGACCTCTAATTCTTTCCGTAATGCTTTTCTTTGCTTGGTGATCCGTTTCTCGTCCCATTTCTTTTTCTTTTGAGCTATCAATAAATCAGCTTGTTCTTTGGCCAGACGTTGTATGATTTCCTGGACTTTTTTTGTTATTTTACTTTATTTTTAGATAATTCATGCTGCTGACATTGGAATTCTGGAGATTTACCTTTTGGACTGTTCAACACTATTTCTTTCATTCTTGCTGGAAACTCTGGATAAAGGATCTTTGTGCCAATGTAATCCTTATAACCACGATAGCCCTTGATGATAAAACAAAAGACGTTATTGTGAACATTGATATAGGTTGAACAAATCCTGAAAATGGGGCCTTACAGCTCCTTGATAGAATAAACCCAAGTGCAATAAGTAGGCAATAGGATCCTCTCTTAAACGCTGTGGTTCTTGAGCACTGAAATTTTTCCCAAAGAGGTTCAATCATTACGCGGCGCTTTTAAAGTGGTTGATTTTCAACTTACAAGATATTTTTATGATCGTTGGGTATATCTCTTTTGACATGAATTTTGACAACGGATGAAGGCTGTTTCATGGTGGAAGAGGTGACGACGGAGGTGGATAGGTTTTCAGTATCGTTATCATCATCGCATTCTTTGAATCGATTGGCCAAGTCGCGTACGGTTTTATTCGTGGTTTGATTCATGCTGTTTCAGTGGTAATTCACTTGAGTCATAAGAAAGAGAAGAAGGAGAAGGGAAAAAAGAAATGTGGGGGTAGACTCGCTTTATGTAATACAAAAGGTACAAACATGAGATTGAAATGGGGTTCGAAATGAAAACGTTGGTGTGAAAAGGGAAAAACGAACCACTCCAAGCCATTTCATCAAAATGTGGAAATTTTATCATACAGATTTGGGCATTTTTCGTTACAAATCAGAACAATTTCATTCATCCAAAGAAAAGTAGTAAGTATATGATGTATATAGATAATACTAGCTTAAAATGCTTTCTTTTATAAAGTATATCAGAACAAAGATATGATTGTAGCTTTGAAAACTCGCTGTTTTTACCAGCAGAGGCGGTTGACTTGAAGGAATTCATTATGAATACAACAACGATGGGTCAATTGCTATACATTCAGATCCTTTCATCAAAGGAAAAAAAGTAGATAGAAACTCTATACTAACCCAACTGTCAGTAAGAAGATCTTTAGCCCTTACAAAGTGACTTTAAGTATAGAGTCAACAAGTTTCGCCCCTCATTCGCTTTTGCTGCGATGACAGACCTTGTTGGTGGTACGTTCACAAATGTCGTCAAGAAAACCAAGTGAAAAGGGACAACCTTTTTGACTTTCTATTTGCATCGTTGTCTTTATTGATGTCCGTTGTATAAAAAAAAATAGGAAGTTTGTAAAATCAGCCTGTACAATTTTGACTTTTTTTAGAATTTCGCAATTCAAAGTGCTGTGTTCAATGCTATTTTTTTTTTTTTAAAGACCTATCAATTGTTGTAACAGAAAAAAAAAAGTGTTATTCTTCCCTCTCGAAATCACACAAAAATTATATAGGACAATGAAATTACAAAAAAATAATTAAATCAAAAAACCGAAAAGCATATGAAAAATATATTCCAGAAAAAGAAAAAAAAGATGTAAATGTACAAAGGGCTTTTTTGTCATAGAAATGGAGGAGTGTGGGGGAGATTTTTTCTTTTCTATGATTTATGATTGTTATTGGAATTCTGTTGTTGCTTTTTAGAATGCTTACCATCAATAGGATTTAAGATATGAGATTGTTTCCCAAATCCCATT